AAACTAATGCGCAGACTAGACTCGGACCAAAGCCTAACCGCAACCGAGGCCTTCCTGGGGAAGGAAGGAGCGCAACGGAAACCGACCAGCCCAGTCCCACGATCAACACCAGAACAGATCGAGATCGTCACGGGACTCATCATGGTCCCACTATCCACCTCGCAACGACGCAGACGGCTGCTCGGGAACGGGCTCTCCGGGATCACGAGTAGTGAGGAAGGATCCCACAACCGAACAAACCGACAGAGTACCACCACGATGAATGAGGACGCTGTCACCACACCCATCAAGGAGCTCATGCTCACTGAGCATATGAGAACAGCGTTTCGAGGGAATCAACAGCTGACGGCGGCATGCACACCGTCAACCCAGATGTCAGGTCTCTGGATGGCGGAAGGGTACCAAGGATCCAAACCCATCCTCGAGCTCATGGTTCGGTGGAGACTCGGAGCCTTCCCGGGCCATCACACAGGCCGGCTTCAAATATGCCGACAATGTTCGACAAACGGAGCCACCGTGGAGTTCAACCGCACCCACGCACAGCGGTGCATCGACCCAAGAGGGATCCTCCCGAGGAAGGTGCGCCAACTTCAACGATCACACCCAGCATGGGTGGAGCCTCAGACCATCGGAGTGGGACCAGTCGACAAGCTGCTGGACCTGATCACCTTTGAGCAACAGAAAGCAAGACAGAAGAACCACGAGGACACTGACGGTGGAGCGGATTGCAGGCCACCACCAATCGTGTCCGACACCACGTCGGATGGGGAGACCAGCATTGACGAAGCAGTCTCGGATGACGACGGGGAGTCGCTCTGGTACCCACATCGAGAGGTGCTGGCACGACTGGAGCGACTCCGGCTGACCGACGACGACTCAACAGACCTGAGCTCCGAAATGAGCTCGGTGCCAGACTGGGAATTGAATCTGGAGAGAGATCTGGACTTTTCCTTCCTCACCAACATCGACGACGACCTGCCCAGCCACGGATGGGACTGGGAGAGCGACCAGAGTGTCGACTTGCTCTCGGACACAACACCAAGCATCGATCTGATCGACGATGCCGATCTGAGCCCGGACCTGGTCTCGGACGACGACCTCGGACTCGGAGACACACCGTTCCCAACGACCAGCAGGAGAGGCAGCCTTCTCCCCACACCGAGCAGTGACAGAGCGACTGGGGCGCTCAGGGCCACGAGGCCACGACAGCGACCCCAACGAACAAAGCCGTGGATGGGCTTTGAGGAGATCCCGGAGAGGAGCTCCCATGGCCAGAGAGAAAGGGTCCCCGAGCGGGACCTGGAGACATGCGAGTCCCTGTGGGACCTCTTGGAGGAAGTGTTCACCCGCATGGCTCGCCGTGTGGGCTGGAGAGTCGGCGAGAGCCGCAACAGGGGCGTGTGAGCCTGCTTGTACGCCCACTGCCGGGTACCGCATGGTACTGATGGCTTGTTGAATATTCCTGAATATACAACTATTGTAAACAAAAAAAAAAAAAAAATCAGGGCACGCTGCCTGGTGTCGGATCGAGGGAGGATGGTCTTGGTGCCAGGGAAGGCTGGTGGCTTGCTGCCTGCTTTCTTCGGTACCATGTGGCGAGGGATGGTCTGGGTCGCGCTCGCCAGCTATGGTTGCAGAACGAGTATCGATTGTGAATGTCGAGTTGTCGTTGTCGAGTCATCGGATGTTCTCTCAGTCGATCAACATCAGCAATTGTTATGGGACAGCACTATTGTATATTGTATGTATTGAATCTATCGAATATCAAATACAACATCACTCGGCCATTGCTGCTTCATCAAGTACACCTAACCTAATCCACACTTTGGAATCATGGTGTCTGATGGGTGACGGCGGTGCAATTTGGTTGAATGTTGGATGTGGTAGCTTATTACTTTGGGAGTGGAACTCAAGGGATCAGGGTCACTTGCCGAGTTGTTTGAGCCAGAAGATGGCATCTTCGTGGCCCTGGTCAGCGGATTTGCGGTACCAGAAGACGGCGATGTCGATGTCCTTGAGGACACCCCAGCCCCATTGGTAGCAGTTGCCGAGCCGATCTTGTCCATATCGATTCCCTTGCTCGGCTGACTTGCGATACCACTCGACCGACTTGGTCCAGTCCTCGGTGACTCCCCCTCCATTGCAGTAGCACTCTCCAATCCACAACTGGCTATCGCTGTGGCCTTCGTTGGCGAGTTGCTCAAAGATGCCCGCTGCCTTCTTCCGGTCTTGCATTATTCCGAATCCTCGGACCAGACACAAAGCCATCAAGTGTTTGCACAACCAGTTTTGGTCCGATCCGAGCTGGCAGAGTTTGAAGAACATGCAGGATGTGGGTGAATCGGATTTGCATTCGTCTGCCAACCACGCCAGACACTCGTGCTCTCCAAGCTTGAACTCATCCGATTTGTTATCTCGAATGATCTTGATGCCCTTCTGTTGGTTTTGTTGTGTGCCCCGGCCGAGGTAGTGCATCCACCCAACCATGTGGGTAGCGATGGACTTGATAATCGGATCGGTGGACAGGTTGCTGACTTCATGCCAGTGGTTGAAGGCATCAGCGTCGCTCTGTTCGACACCAAGGCCGATGAACGAGAACTATCCACGGAGGAACACGATATGGAGTCGGCCATCGTCACTGCCTTGATCTGCAGCCTTAGAGTACCACTCGATTGCGTTGTTATAATCTTGATCGACACCTTCGCCTGACTCGTAGTATCGACCGAGTGCAACTTGGGCTTGTGCCATTCCACATTCTGCAAGACTGCGAAACATATCGACAGCTTTGGTGTGGTCTTGGTCGACTCCAAGACCGTTGCGATAGCATCCAGCCAAGTGGAACTGTGACATTGTGTGGCTTGTGTTGGCGGCGATCTCCAAATGGCGGAAGATTCGCTGGCGGATAGCTTGCTTCTTGGATTTCTCCAAAGACTGCCGGCCGGAGAGATCAACCTGCAGTATTCTTGCCAGGAAGTATGATGCGGCAACATTGCCGTTATCGACTAGATATTCAAGCCAGGATCGGCCAGTTTTGACTGGATCCTCGCAGTGTATGGAGAGTACAATCTCGTCGCTCGGTGTGAGTTCGACCCGCATCTGTCCGTCTGGATGACACAGCCCTTCCTTCCGACACCAGCCGTGGAAGAGAGGCAGCTTGGAGCTCAGGAGGGGTCGGGCACGCCGGCACACTCGGAGCAGGGTCTTGATGGTGCTGTGGTCGAGAGTGAGTTGGAAGCTGTCGTTGCAACAGACGATGGTGAAGATGTCTGGGTTGTGTTCGAGGGAGAGTTGGGTGATATTTGGCATCGACGAAGCTGTGCTGTCATCAGCTTGAATTTGCTGAGTGGCAGATGATTCCGTGGTTGAAGCAGACTCGTTGATGTTGGCCATGTTGATGGAGACAGGAGGGAGGCAAGTGGGTGATGGAGATGGACAGGAGAGGGAGACGAGTGGCGAAGCAAGCCAAACGCTGGCAAGCCATACCCTGGCCATCCAATACCACACACAAATCTGGCTCGATTCGTTTGTTTGATGGTTGGAGTCGTTGTTCCTCTTGCACTGCCACATGCACTGCCGCATCCATCGAACATGGAATCGATCATGGAATCGAACATCATGTCGAGTCCTGCATTCTCGCCAAGGCAAGATGTAACAGCCATTCCATCCAATTCCACATCGACTGCAACACTATGGCTCCAACCTGCTGCACCGAGTACCATCAAGCAGGACCTGAGAGTGTCCAAGGTTACCATTGCAGCGATTGTGAACGGGTGATACATTCGGTCCATCAAGAAACGTGGCAGTCACTTTCTGGCATCGGCGAACAAGTCCGCTGATCCATGTGCTCCAGCGAGCAAGCCGTGCGATAGTTTCCCGTCCTGTTTGGCAATCTCAGTGTGGTGCATTCACTCGATCCTCTGGGCAGTTCCATACTAACTCGATAGCATGATACTCGGCCTTCTCGAGTCGCTTGGCTTCCCGGTACTGCGAGCACACCTGGAGATCGAGTCGCTTGAATCGCCGTCGCAGGATCAGGCTGAAGTACAGCTGTTTGTCCAGTACTCATCCATTACTGCAGACCAAGGACATTGTGGGTGCTCTGGATCCACTTGGTCGACTGGGTGGCGTCTTTCGCTTGCGGTGAACCATCCGAGCGAGACAGTGTCCTTGATCCAGACCCAGAAACGCACCACTGAATGGTTATGGCCAACGCGATGTTTTGAGGTAACAACGTATCTGTTCGACGACCAAAATCCGAGGTGTCCTGTGTTTTATTGAATTGGGGGTAGTTGTGCTGCCCGCAGTCTGCCTGCGGGTCCTCTGGATGGGGCATTTGGCTCAATCAGAGACTTGCTTGCAACTCATTCCCTTCAAATGCAGCATCCAAGTCCCATGTCTGCGGAATCGCCATGACCCAGCGGGCTCGTACAAAACAGACATTAAAATCACACCATTCTGTATTGTGTGGCTTGCCTTGGACCCGGTGGCGACATCAAGGGTGAGGGACGCATCCAAAGACAAATGCACCACACGACTAACTGCAAGATTCCCACATATGCCCGGCTCCTTCATGGATTACTGCTGTCCCGGTGGAAGCCGGCAAGCTGGCAAACGGAGATCCCATCGTGGAACATGCCACGATCAACCTGTGGAGCTGATCTGGCATTGCTCATTCGCGCCTTGTGAAGTCTCGACGAACGGCAAGTTTGATTCAGCGAGTCTGCGTTTGACCTCTGAGCAACCCAATCCAAACGATCGAGCTGGATGACGGAAATCAGATGATGGCCGGTGCCACCGTAATGCGAATACACAGCAGTGAAAGCAGCACAAGCTGAAGTGGAAACCTCATTTTACCCTGCACGAGTTTCCAACATCGCTGTTGAGTGGTCGGCTGCAACCCATGCTTGTCGACAGGAAGTATCAACCAAGGGCTCTCCAGACATCCCCAACAATAACATCCCAACACCAATATCCAAGCCTGCTGCGCACGCTGTCGTCTCAAAACCCGCTTCTGCTCCGCCGTTCTTGCTCTGCTGCCGTCGTCCATGCCTCCTCTGCGCAAGAACTTCCCCGCCTCCACAGACTACGTCGACAGGAAGCATGGCCCGCCGCCGAGCCCCGAGGAGCTCGATGCCCTCTGCGCCCGCGCCGACGAGCTGATCGCCAACCTCGACCTCGAGAAGGGCTATGCCGCCTTCAAGGTGGCTGCCTCCTGGAGCCATCCCCAGGGGCTGATGGGCTTGGGCCTCTGCTACCGGTTCGGCTTTGCTGTCGCCGTCGATCTGAAGCAAGCGTTCGAGCTCTTCTGGGACGCATCCAGAAAGGCGCACCCGCAGGCCATCTTCATGGTCGGCCACTGCTGCGAGGAGGGCATCGGCGTGGACCGCAACCTCGAGGCCGCCCTCCAGCACTATGTCGTCTCGGCGACCTTTGGCCACCTGGAAGGCATGCTCAAGGCTGCCGAGATGCACGAGGCCGGGCTCGGATGTGCCCACAACGAGGAGCGGGCGCTCTTCTTCTACAAGATGGCCGCCGAGGCCGACCACGTCCCGTCGATCCTGCGGGTCGCCCGAGCATTCGACTATGGATTCATCTATCCCCAGCGACCCAGGGAGGCTTTTGCCTGGTATCTTCGGGCCGCCCGCCAGCACAGCGCCGAAGCCCAGATCCAGGTTGCATGCTGCTACTACACCGGCAACGGCGTGCCCAAAGACCTCAACCGATGCATCGAGTGGCTGAAGCATGCCAACAGCCACGGATGCAGCTATGCGAGGAAGAACCTGGAGCTCCTGATGCACGAGGTCCAAGGCAAGCAGACTCTGGAGCCGCCTCCGAGCCACCTCACCGACAGCAGCAACCACACAGCGCCGGAATAGCAACTCCAGCTTCGGCTTAGCGAAACAAACTACTCTTTGGACGACCAGACTGCCACCAGTGCCACCCACTGCCAGCTGAAACCACCTGCTGGTCCATCAGCGCATCGAATGCTTGTATCAATGCTTGTATCAACGCTTTCATCAACGCTTGCATCAATGCTTGTATTCATTGCACACTGCAAGTCTCGCAGCGACCGTCCGAGCAGATGTCTTCTTCTCCAACGTTCACCCTCCGGAGCTGTGCGATCGATTGGTGCAGTTGAGACGGCTGTCCCGGCCTCAATGAGGCATAATGTCGCATCCATGGGTGGCCGTCCCTTCCGGCATCATGGTTGAATACACTGGCTGTGGCGTCCATGCGGCAGTCTGGACAAGCAAACGATACCTGGTGCATCTGGGCGAGCAACAGGAGTCATGGATCGGATCGGATGTGAGCAGCCGGGGGCTCATGGTGGTGCGCTGTCTCGGCTGCCTCTTGGCCCTCATTGTTGGTCTGCAGCACCATCCCTCCTTCAACCTCGCTTGTTCTGGACCTCGGACACTATTGAAGACTCATCCTGCCAGCGACGAGATCAGCAATAGACACAGCCGAATGCTGTACGGATTTGGGGCTATCGTCGATGCCTCATATCGTTTTCGAAAGCCTTCATCCAACAAACCGTCGTGAATCAATGATCATCAAGTCGCTGTCTATTGTCGCAATGTTGACTGCCACACATCCGAAACACCCCTCTGGCGGTCCTTAGCGGCACTGTCCAAAATATGACTTGTACGGAAACTCACATCAACCGCAGAGTCATCTGTTTTGGAACGGGCAATAGTATTGTGTTGAAGTTTACATTTCCCACATTTCCGAACACTGGGCTCCACAGCGACGGATGTTGTTGCTCATGAGCTTGTTGGCGCGCTATATACCTCAGGCAGCCCGGGAGTATCGAAAACCGATTGCAGCATGACGGGCCGTGATCACTCCAGCAATCGATTCAGTAGTCCATAGTATCCTCGTGGACGATTATTGTTGGATCCTCAGTCAGATAGTTGAGTAGCTCAGCAGCGTGCGTTTCGCTCAACACCAGACCAAACCTCCCCGCGGATGTTGATAGCCTAAAGCGAAAGCGATTGTTGCCAATATCGTCACCGCGATTGACATGAACGATGGATTGGAGCAATGGAAGCACAAATGAAACATTCTGCGACAAGATGCTATCGCGTCAGCCTCTCAGATTATGTAGCAACCTCGTCCGTAACAATTACCAGACCCCCGATTGTTCTATGCATGTTCCAATCGATCAACATACCTGCTTGCTCTCGTCAAGCGGCTTGGCATAGAGAACAGAAAACCCTGGGAGATACAGCTCCCAGAGACCAAATCCGATCCAAGCGGGCCGATGCAACATCCGATATCTGCCGATTTCCACTTGTGGCAGCGCCTTGGTTCTGACGAGAGATACACCCCCTTGGGCGAGAACGTCGGGAGGCACCTTTGGAGGTATTTTGAACGACACTGCCATCTCAGGCTGTGCTGGATTTGCCCGAGGACTTCCACCGACGAGCAAGGCAGAGCTTTTGTCGGCCGTGCTCAACACCAACGGTAAGCCAACGCATATGAGGACCGAAGTTGAAATGACCAACTGACGACAAGCAATCACTTGGAAACGGTAGATCATGAGTGGCCTCAAGATACTGATTCCATACGCTGCTGCTGTCCACACGATAAAGCTCCTGATAGCAAGCAGGCAGGGACGAGCCTGTTAGATACCACAAAGTGTACATTTGGAATAGGTAGATGGTCTTATGACCCATCGAGCAGAACCCACGAACGCCTTGGCGGACTCACCCAAGGAGGAATAGAATCGAATGTACTTCGCATCTTGAAACCCAATTTTGTGAACATATCAGGGCAGATGATTAGTCCCGCAGCGCAATCGGCCGCTCATTTCCGAGCCAAACAATGGTGTTCTTACAAATACTCAGTGTCCATGGCACCGACTGTTCCAAAGTAGATTCCCATAATGGCTAGAATGAGGCCCAGTGCATGCACGGACATCAAGTTGTTGACATCAAAGTGGTCGAGTGGATGGCATGATATGAGTTGGTCAACGTCATTGAGATTTCCGACGCTGACGCCATCAACTGGTGCTTGCTGAAAGATGATGGATATCAACTATGGAGATAGCATCGAGAGGTCAACCATCGTGCCCTTGTCAGACGAGTATTTACTTTGGAATAGCGACGCTGCACTCAGAAGCGACACCTACAACTTGAACTGATAGGGCCAAGAGTGTGGCAAGCGCCATCCGATATTCGGGGACAGGTTTGCGCTTGGCGATGATACTCTTCATTCTGAGATAATATGCTGTCACTCGAGGTCAGCTTCAAATCACGATCCAAACTGGCAGCCCATATTGAATCCTATAATCGAACATACCGACTGCCTTGACTGTTGGAGGGCTGTACGGCAGAGAAGCGTCAAAATCGCTGATTCAATCAGGAGCACATTTGTGTTTATGGCTCACCAGATACATAGGGTTAATGATATTGAGCTCCACCAGTCGGTTATGACACAGTTGAGTGGATCCGGGAGAGTTTTTCGCACGACCATAAGCGTGTACCCGAGCGAGCATCCGAGTAGCACTGTTTCAAATCATCGTGAATCAAGATATGAGGAAGAGCTGGTATCAACATGCGATTCGATGTTCGACGTTAGCCAAGCTTAATGGTTCATATTATTGCGATCCTACCGCTCGTGGTGTATGTGATTCCGTAAACCGCGACGGCCTTGGTGTTTCGATGATATAGCATATAAGCCATCAGTCCCATGCACATGAGCATTCCAAGGAAGCCAGACACGCGTGCCCAGAGAACATCAGCGTCCGAGGGATTGATGATGTTGACGGGGTAGTCGGCCGGAATTAAACCTGAAGGGCAATCGAGCAGTTTCCTCATACAGTCAGCACAGTCGGCACAGATAACTCCACGACAAGCGAAATACTCGATGGATCGCATTAGACGACTATTACCAGCCGACGACCCACACTGTCTGGGTATAATATCGATCATAGCATGCGGATACTACATCGCAGTTACCGCCGAATCTGGGCTTTACCTGCACGGATAACTCCAGCATACCGACTATTTGGTCCAGCTCCAGAGTCCGTTGATTCGGAGCTGATGGGAAGCTCATCGACGACATCAAAGGTATATCCGTCTCGCCCGTGGGCTGTGATCCGCATCATTGGTATGCGAATCATATCCGACGATCGGTTGAAATCCTTTATGCAAATGATTGATCAGCGTCATTCCGGGCAGCACATACGACTAGAATGGCCTTACCATACTCAGAAACTCAACCACGCTAGGGAGACACAAGTTTGATTCCGAGACGAATCATAATCGTTATAACGTGGCTAGCGCGCTGTGGAGCGGTAGATTCCATCACAAGCTACCCGAAAGCGAACACTTACGCTGATTCTCTGTTCCCATTTTCTGAGAGGAGGTTTGCGAAGCCCAGTCGTCAGACTCTATTTTGAGCGGCGCGATGATCTGATCTGCTCCTCAGCGCAGCCCGCGCATTGACCATGTACTTACCCTTGAGTCCAATGTACCCAGACGCCCCTTCTGACACATTGAAGATGGATGTGTTCACCAACCCACGTGGGATCTGATTGTTCATAATATCTTCTGGCGTCGTCAAATTGTTCTTGAGAAGCTGATGTTCGAAGGCTTTGTCAGCATCAGCGTGCCCCAAGAGCGACCCACAATCGGTGTACTTACATAGTCCCACCCAGCAACGATAAGGACTGCGCAATCGAATGACATTCTGTCGGAAGAAGCGCAGGGCCAGAGGTTCAGATGATCGATAACACAACTGAGAGTATTGATACGGTTTCATTTAGTGCTTACGGAGGAAAGTTTACTTCGGGTGTCATCCGTAGTTTGCCCATTCCCAAGTAGTTGAAGGTTAGGTTGAGGTAGCTCCACATGTCACCGTCAGTGTCGGTCAATATTGGACCATGCCTTGGCACATGGTAGCGAGTTAGCTGCGGACGTGAGTTATAACTGCATCGGCGAAACTCTTTGACTTACAGCACGTAGTGTCTAAATTGTGATCGATCATGGATTGTGAATGATCGTTCAGCAAACATCCCAAACTCCGAGTACTGCCGCGTGCGGATTCCAACAGTGGTGAACTCACTGATCGATAAACGCCTCGGTGATGGTTGAGTTGTCAGGTATAGGATTGGGGTCGATCGCAGCATTGATCTGCTTCATAATATCTGGAGCTGAGAGGCCGTTCGACACAAACCACGAGAACTGGCTGCCTGTGAGATTTCCTGCCGCGCTGTAGACAGACGTTAGCTTGCGGAATCTCGACCCCACTCACAAGATTGGCTTGAGTTCTCGATCGACTGTACATTGCCATCGTATCGAGGACTTGTTCCAAGCAAGTCCATCCCGTGTGCTGCGGCGACCGATGGGTCTCCCAGCAACGCGGCACAATGTGCCCTACGCAATACGTACGCAGCCTTGGATACAAGAGCAGTAGCGAGCCGACGGATGCATTGCGTGAGTGAAACGCGAGTGACTTCCTTCGAACTGCATCCTTAATCGCCATCCGCTCTTCTCGCCCTGTGCAAGCGAGCAGAACATACATGCAGCCACAGACACGAGGCTTCGTAGCTCCCAGCAAGTACTACGAACACCCGAACTTTGGAGTTCTTCATGGCCGCTATCGTGGAGGAGTAATCCCATCCGGCTGGATCGACAACAATACTCTGGCGAGCATTATCGCCCAGAAATCGCGTGAACATCACATCGAGACCCAGAACCGGCGCCTCGTCCACAAACCCGCCAATGAGATCCCCTCCGATTGTGGAGTAATCAGACGACTGGAGAGGCGGTTCCCGCGGACGAAGAGAGGTCCCTGGCCATTAGTTTCAATATGCAGCCTGGTTGATTCATGACTGTGCAAATGCAGTGACTGTGATTCGATATCCTGCGACAGTTCTCGACATTGAGTGGCCGGCTGTCCATTGCATCGCCTACCGTAACGATCAATCCCAACTTTCGCCATCCCATTTCGTAAATAAACCGCGCGATCGCTAGAATGATCCATCACATGTGTATGGGCCAGTGTCCGTGAGCTGATCATCGCATTCGTCCGTTTTGGATATTGCATTTGCTGGTTGGGGTGAATCGTTGCGTTCTCGCGTCTGCTCTACCCATACCTGCCCCAGCCAGCGATGTCTCGGGTATAGTTCGGAAGAAAGTTGGATATTTGGACTTGTCCGACAACTGTGGAGAGCCGAATCTGTGAGAAAAATGTCATCGTGCATGTGTTTGCGTGTCGATGTACTCACAACAGGGTCGGGGGTGGTTGGAGAGCAGTACGGCACATTTGCGATGCCAGCCGCCACGGCACCAAGCCGTTCATTTCCTTCGAACAAGGGGAAATTGCTCTCCGACTCGCCTGACCAAAGGGCGAAGGGCATACACGTCATGTTGGATCAATGCTCGATGGCAAACAAGGGTCTGGAAGGGCTGATATTGCGACATGACGTTCTGTTTGCGCCGAGCTCCGGCCAGCACCAGAAAGGCGGCAGTGTTGATGCTAATCGAGCGCGACGACGATGACGGTAACGACATGGCGATACGCACCAATCACGGCGTTGATTCTTGCGCTCCGGCTGATAGACCCCAAGTTGTCCATGATGGCCGTGAGCTTCAAAGAGTTCAGGGTACAATGATATCGGCCCGAACGAGTAAGTGGCAGGTGAAGTCGCCCCCGAGTGACAATGCCGATGCGCTCTGCCGAGCTTGCACTCGACTGTGGGACGGGGTAGAGGCTCACCGACTTTCCGCTCGAGTGTATCAGATTCCGGTAGTTTCCTGTCTGAATGAGCCTCACCGACAGATGCTGGATCGAACGCGACAACCGAACTGTGCTTGAGTCGCAATTCCGGAGCAACCCGCTCTCCAAAACGATCTGTCCTTACCACTCCAGAGAGAATGTCCGGCCTTGGTCGCCCAGCCGCACGGGTTAGATCTTTGTTTGGTCTTACTATCCAAGTTTGGTTATGCACTGCACTGCGAAGCGGCTCCACCAACCTCGAGTTGACGTATATCGCATACGAAAGCACCGAGTTGGCCCTATGTTGCCTTGTGAATGAGTTATCCGAGGCCAAAGCCTTTTGAACACGACAAGCCGCTGCCGCCGTACTTGGGACGATACCACGGTGCTTCCAGATATTGAAGTGCCTCGGAGCTTACATGGTCTTGTACATTTGTATCGTCAGTGGCGGGGAATTGGTTGTGAAGAATCCCGCCACGCCTATTGTCAGATTCGTCGCGGCCGCGAGCTTTGATGGGTGAACCCGAGGCAGGACGGATGTCGACTGGGTCGCGGCATTGGGCAGAATGCTCATCAGCAGAGCGCATAGCAAAACAAGCAATAGTCCAGGCGGCGCCATTGAGCCAAACGGAGTCTTGGGCCGCTGGTTCACAGCTCAGGCGACCAGAGAGCGACGCGTGTGAGGGTCTGGATTGTGATGTTCTGGATCGGAAAGGAGGGCTCTCCAGGCCGAATCGACCCTGGGCACCATTTCAATGTCTGGGACGGGGTGATTGGTGGTCATGTTGCCGTCACGTTCCACTCTTTGGATGACGCTGCTTGGACTGCGACCGATCGCGGATGCTCATTTGCGGATGCTCAATCGGAAGTGCCGGATAAGCAATGATGTATTCAGGATCCACAAAAGTGTAACTTCCACCACCACCACCACCGCCGGCACCAAAAGAAAAACAGGGTGTGCCTCGATCGACTCTTTACGAATGCCACGAAACCCAAGCAACACAAAAAAACACATGAGACCGCCGAATCAGCGACAAGGACAACAACGATATACAAAACTGGAGCAGAGAGAGAAGAGAGGAGAGAAGAATGGAATGTGACGGGCAGCTCGCCCAAGGAACATCGGACAACGAAAGCAGGCTTGCACAGTACACGGCAGAGGAAAGAACACGGCGGCATAGGATCAGATCAACCAAAGGTGGAAAGTGGCATCCAAAGGGAGATGCGATTCGCGCTGGTCTCTCAGACTACAGCTCAACTCGACCGACAGCCGACGATCCACCCACCAGTCGGTCAACAGCAGCCTGGAGCCGCAGAATGGTGAGCTGGTTGTACAGCACCATCAGGATCAGGAGCAGATTCAGGCTGACCCAGGTCACAAAGATGCACATCAGCAACCTGGACTGAATCAAGACTTCAACAACAACACCCAGGGCGTCGCGGAACGGAATTGGCGAGCCTCGGGAATTGACAAGCGCCGTGGACGTGGCCACGCCGGTGCGCTTTTTCGGAGCTGAGGAGGCCGACACTACCCTCTGCGGCTGAGTCAGTGGCTGCGTTGATCCAGGGGCAGGGACATTGGCAACGTCTTCGATCTCGGGCAATCCGCTTGTCCTTGTCGCCCCCGGTTTCTCTTCGAACTGCTCTGGGTATTCGGTCTTGCTGTCGATGGCCTGCGGCTCGTGCGTCTCTTGTGCAGCGGCTTTGTTCTCGTCGTCCAGCTCAGCTTCGAGCTCGGACTCGGACTCGATCTCAAGCTCGACTTCCGAGTCAGGATCGGGATGCTTGGCGATGTATCGGTGCAGGCTTTCAGCAAGATGCTTGCTGGTGTTCTTCAGGCCATCGGGGACAGCGTGACTGATGGCCACTGCAGCGGAATGAAACGTTAGTACGATTGCAGAGCACATGCACGCACATGTACGCACAGGACCGCAGCACAGCGCCAGCCCACGTCCACGACTCACACTTGATCCATGTGCTCTGAGTGAACTCAATCTCGGAGCTGTACTGGATGCGCGTTCGGTGAGCATGGTCCTCGGAGAAGCACATGCGCTGGTGGGTCTTGAAGCAGCTTCCAGAGGGCACATCTGGAGTGATCGATGTCTGCAGGATGCAAAAGTATCTGTGACAGCGTGGACGATTGCCAACACGCAAACAACCGAGTGAGTGGCCGTGCACGCGGCGGCATATCAGCAGGCACATGCAGAAGAAAGATAGCACAGGTCTATTGCTGGAAGCAGACATGGCCAATAACAGCATCGTGTAGGCATGGACCGTCGATTCGTGCGCAGCTCACCTGTCACCTTTCTCGATAATGCGGTCGGTGATGTGACAGCGGGTTTGCTTTGGCCCCATAGGATGGGTCAAGGGCACGACATAATCGACCTTGCGTGCCTGGCCGACGCGAATCTGGTCGAATGCGAGCACCATGTCTTTGAATCCAGACGAGACGGGATCGCCGACAGCATCGACGCTCGATGCCCAAGCAGTCATTTTGAGATCTGGCCAGAGAAGAAAAGAGTCGCATTGTCAGCAGTCCGGTCCATGATGACGGGTGAGCTATTCCCCGAGGCACCTGTCACAAGCTTGAAGCGCTGTGCCTTCTCACCGAGTCCATCGCATCAGACGACACATGTATCTGCAACACGCACCAACACACACAGCACACGAATCACACGCAACACCATGAGCATACCTCTGTACTTCATTACCGATCCAAAAAAGTCGGCAATGTAGACTACGCTCGTGCCTGTCTCGAGGGCGATGGTCTTGTTTCCAAAGATCAGGTCCCAAACATTGCGGAGACTCGTATCCACGTGCTGATCCAGGATCGGCGTCTGCTTCTTGCGAATCTCGCCACAGGGACACGTCGCCGGCCCAGAGTGTATTTTCGTTGCCGGCGGCGGTCGGGGCTTTCTGGCAGCCGACCTTGTTGGCGCAGCGTCTCGTTTCGACACGGGCTGTGCCGACACCGCTGCAGGCTTGGCCGGCGAGGTGCCCTTGGGAGAGACGCCAGTGATCGATTCGGATCGAACGGCTGGTGCTTTTGGAGCTAGGGGATCCAAGAGTTTGGGCTCGGGGGCCGCAGCGTAGCCGTCACGCAGGATCGGATGCACTTCGATGGGGTGCTTGCGATGAACAATGTGAAGATTGGGCTTGATCGGCGTGGGCTCGTCCGACGTCAGCGATGAGCGCGCAGAGTCCAAGGCCGTGGGTTTCCGGATTTTGGAATCCCGCTCGTCGCTGGCCGTCGACCGCGTCGCTGAGGCTTCGCTGACTCGCTCCGAGGCCACGGATGTTGGGGTGACTTGATTCGAATGGCTGGTGAGGGTGCGCTCGGCCGCAAGCTCAGCGAGGCCGAGGGTTGGGAGCCCAGAGACATTTGCGTGTGAAAGGCGGCGGGCAGGGAGCTCGAGCGGATTCGTGTAGAGAGTGGGTGGCAGCCAGCCGGTGGAGCTGTCGCCATCCTTGTCGGACAGCCGGGCGCCCGAAGTCGCCTGTAGCACGCGTGGGAGCAGCAGGGCCTGTTTGGAGACTGGGGTGCTGTCGGATCTGACGGCTGCGAGCTGGCCCGCAGGCTTCTCGGGAGCACCAAGTGCACGCTGGCTCTTGCGAGCCTCTGGCGTGACCGACCCGGCAGAGCCAGCGCCGTCTTGCGCAGATGGATGAGCGACACCATCAAAATGAGAGAGTTGAGGGGCGGACCCAACCAGGATGCCAGCCGAGCCCTCGCCACGATCCGGAGGACTATCTCGAGGAGAGTCGGCGGATTGGCTGCGATTGGCGTTGCGGGAGAGCTTTGCAAGATGTCCGGGACGGCCACGGATCCGGGGGATGTCGATGCCGGGGGTCGCCGAAGCGTCCGGAAGGGCGGGCTCATGCCCGTCGGGGTCGTGGAAGGACTCGTCGCTATCCGAGTCATGGTCGGTATCGCGGCCCTGCCACTCAGTGATCGACTCTTCGAGGTCGACCTCGCTGACGGCCTTGCAGTAGTCGCACTCGCCTGTCTTGCCCTCGGGGCAGGTGCAAGTGCCAACAACCGTCTTTCGGAAGGTGCGCATCTTGATGTGGCTGTTGGGACCGGTGTCGAGCAGCGTCTGGATCATGGCCAGAGCTTGGTCGCGCTGGATAAAGCTGGCAAAGAAGTACTTTGCGGATTTGGTAATGACCTCGAGTGAGTTGGGGATGATGCCGCCGATGGCGCGCTTCTCGACCGAGACAATGTCCTCGAGCGGGATCGAGACCGAGTGCACCCAGCCAAAGAGCTTGGCGTAAAAGTTGATGTGGTACTGCGAGATATACAGCTTGCCCTGGATGAGCACCTCCTTTTGCCAGGCACAGATAAATTCCTCCATCAGCAGCTCGGTCTTGGGTATCTCGAGGAACAGGTCGTGGAAATCCTGGTTCTTCTTCTCCGACGCAAAGGCCGCGGTGCTCTCGGTGGCCGTGTTGAGCAGCGCAACTGCCTCCTGGGCCGAGAGGTCCGAGTTGTCGTCGACGGGAGCGTCGAATTCGTAAAAGGCAGATGCGGTTGAGCCCATGCTGAACCGCTTGCGGGGCAGCTGGAAGCTGCTGCCGCCGCCGGCAGAGTTGCGCCGTTCCTGTGAGGTGGATGTGCGGCGAAGCAGCTTGGAAGGCAACCCAGAGGCATTCAGAGGCGGCGTTGAGGATGGCGAGACCTGGCTGCCTTGCCGAGGCGGCGAACCCGAGGCGCTCGACGAGGACGCCGGCAGACTACCCGATCCGGACACGTCCTCCAGCGGGAGAGGCGACGAGGAGCGTCCGGTGGGTTTCGAGACAGACGCATCTGTGGACGACAGCGAATGCAGCGACGGGGCCGACTCTGGATCCGGTGCTGCTGCATTGGCCGAAAGCGACGTTGCCGAGGAGGGCAGTGGAGCCTCCTGTAGGCGCGAGGGTGTGCCAGAGCGGCTGATTCCGTTGGGAGGAGCAGAGGATTGTTGCGATGGTGCGTTTGGGTGCGCGGACAGGACCTTGGGAGTCGGTGACAAAGTCTTTTGGGACGAGAAAGACAGCTCGGGGGTTGGGGTGGTCGATCTCGATCCAACCATGGGTGCAGACGAGGAGGTGGACGAGGACAATGGTACGGCCGCTGGGTCGGATGTCGCTTTGCCGGAGAGCGATGCAGATACAGATGTGGCTGAGGGAGTTGCCGCCAGCGACGATGCCTCGTGAGCATCGGCGGAATGCTCCCGTTCCGCCGGACCAGAGGAACTTGAGACAGAGCCATCGGCAGTGCGACGATTCAGAAGGGGAGCCTCATGTCCGGAGTTGGGTTTGGGCGACTTTGCAGATGCCTGAGCCATGGCAACGTTACTTTCAGCGGCGATGGGGGGAGGAAGAGAAGCGACCGACGGCTCGTTGGAGTGTTTGGATGCCACTGGCGGATGCGTAAGTTCGACGAGAAGAGGGGAGTGATGTGGAGGGCGGGATCTTTCTGTCGATGTCGAGGCAGTAGAGGAGGTGGAAGTTGCAGATGCTGCGGAGGATGTTGAAACGGCAGCGGCTGGCGGAGCCGCGGCCAAAGTTGTTGCCGTCGTTGTCGTTGATGAAGATGATGCCGACGAAGCAGGTGGTGGATTCTGGCTGTTGCGGAGGGCAGATAGCGAGACGGCTCGGCGGACATTGGGCAACGCCCAAGTCCTCTGCGAGGAAGGGCGGCGCTGCGATCCTAATCCTTCGGGAGGTTTGGAGTAGCCTGTGTCGACCGAGTCTCGGAGCTCCGAGACATCGACGAGGCTGCTGGTGGTGGACGCGACCGAGACAGAGTCAGGATCGAGATCTGCGGTCGCAGATGGAGCCGCAGCCGAAGCTAAAGCTGAAGCCGAAGGCGAGGCTGGAGCTGGGACCGGGGCTGGAGATGATACGGCGGATGACGCTGCGGCTGGGGCCGTGGCGGACAATGAAGATGACGCCGGGGCCGGCGGAAGCACGGCGGCCACGACCTTGGTTGAGACCAGGCCAAAGAGAGCGTTGGTCCGGGCAGAAAGATCCGAGAAAGTATCTTTGCTCAGGAGCCTTCCGACGGAGGAAGCCGATGCAGCCGGTGCGGCCGATGACGGGGCAGACGGGACAGGCGCCGCAGGATGCGAGAGGAGACTCAACGATGAAGTGGACTGCGGCGAGACAATGTCTGACTCTGACGACAGCCGAGGGAACTCTTCGGGAGGCCAGCTGGAAGGATCCATGTGCAGGGGGTATGTGGAGGTTCGGAGTGGGGCGTCTGTGGACGATGGTATGGGCGATGGTGTGGACGATGGTGTGGACGCCGAGTGAGCGACAATGCAGCGATGGGATAGAGATAGGATAGCGACAGAATAGCGATGGGACAGCGGAGACGAGCCGAGCAGGAACGAATGAGGACCAACGAAGGAAACTTGGATAAATGGGCCGTCTTGGGGATTGGAATGGCGAGGATGACAAACGCAGGCGCGAGGACATTGAGCAAGAGGCAAAGTCGGGCGGTGCGAGGCAGAGTTGGAGGTTGGTGCACGGATTGAGGGCCATGATCGGGGGGTGGGCGGCCGGCAGCCGTATTGAATGGCGACGGTTGGGATTGCGGTTCCGTCGGCAATGTGGACGACGTGGACGGTGAGAGTAATGCCGAGACGGTATCAAGACGACGGCAGTGCAGAGAATGGTAGAAGGTGTGAGATTGAAGACATTGCAAGACAGACGGTGTGGGACAGCGCGAGTTGCATGGTGTGGGAATACGACAGAGCATGGACAGACCTGATGCAGATGTGGATACGGACGAGAATGCAATCGCAATTGCAGATGCAGACGAGAATGCAATCGCAGATGCAGACGCAGGCCGAATGACAGAAGCAGATGCAGATGCAGACCAGAATGCAGACGAGATTGCAGCGGCAGGCCGGCGGCAACAACCAAGACCACCACCACCCCCCGGCGAATGCGTGCGCGAGACGGCACTTTGGGGAGGCGACTGTTTTTGGGGGTGTGGAAATGTGGTGTGAGGCCGCCGGCAGCGAATCGGCAAGCCGGGCCGTGTCCAGCAGACGTGGGACAACATCGGATCTGGCAGCGTGATCGCCCGAGCAGTGTCTGCAGTGTCTGCGGTGTCTGTGGTGTCTGCCGATGCTGGTGCGGCCGATGCTGGTGCCGGCGAGTGCGATCGGCCTGCACCACCAAGACTATCACCAACATCACTGCCAACATCACCATGAACACCACTGCCAATATCATGCCAACACCATGGCCAATATCACTGCCAGCAGCGAATCAATATCGCCGTCAAAGTCCTTGCCAAGGGCAAATCTGGTGACACAGAACAGCTACAGAACAGCCACAGAACATGCACTGCGCAGCACCGCCCCAAACCAGCCAGCCAGCCAGCCAGCCAGCCAGATCCAGCCAGCCAGCCAGATCCAGCCAGATCCAGCCAGATCCAGCCAGATCCAGCCGGATCCAGCCGCACCCGCGGCCAATCAGCAGGGGCAGCCACGATCTGACCCGCGATTGGCTGCCGCCGCCGCCGCAGTCGCAGTGAGGCGCAACAGCCGCAACGCCACACACAGTCACAGTGCGGCTGGCCAGCCAGTGTGCCGCACGCACACACACACACATGGCTGGTGCCGACAAGGCGCCGATCCATGGCCAGCCAAGACCCAGCCAAGACCCAGCCAAGACCCAGCCAGCCAGCTCCTGGCTGGCCGGTACTTATCTCCCTGGCTCCGTTTCCGATCCGCTCCTCCAACGCACCGACCCAGTCCATCTCTGTCTATCCCAATCTACCCCAGTCTACCCCAGTCTACCCCTGCTGTTGCAATCTATCCACCAACTCAGGCCCGACCCAGCACACCGAGCCTCGCCAACTCCATATCCCGCACGGCCCCTCCATCCCCCCCTGGTTCGGCTGATCAAGCAGCCCAAGTCGCCGCTGCTCAATCGACGCTTCGGATCCAATCCCTCCCTCTTCTCGCCCAGATGGCTCCATCTCCCAAGGCCGTATCGTCGGGCCGGACGCTCTTCACAATCTTTGCCTCTCTCCTTATCGACATCCTCGCTTTCACCATCATCCTTCCCCTGTATCCGCGCATCCTCGCAAACTACCAGCAGACAGATGGGCATGACGAGGTAGGTCTCCCAGCTTTGTATCGACGGCTGCCGTGCCGGACAGCCCCAGTCCCTGTGCTCTCACAGGCTACTCGTCCATTGCCGCTTGTCTGCCACTTACTCGTCGCATCGTTTTCCGCCGCATCGGCCCTGTCACATCGACGACAAATCTCAACCCCGACCTGAACCTGCTTCCATCAATCCAACCCGCGCTTCCGGCTCGACAACGTCAACCCCGACAGACGACGCTCTACTATCACTTCCAGAGCTACATCCGCCAGTTTCGGGTCTTGATCGGCGGAACCGGCACGCATCTCGACATTGTCCTGATTGGCGGCGCGCTGGGCTCCATGTTTTCCTTCCTGCAGTTTGTCTCGTCTCCCTGGATCGGCTCGCTCTCCGACAAATACGGCCGGAAAACCATCCTGCTCCTCAGCATGGTATGCGGCTCGTCATGCTCCACGCCGATGGGCGACTGCTCACGACAACCAGTCTCTGGCGCTTTGTTGATTTGCTGTGTTCGGTGGCTCGCAATCGTGTGACATGCCTCGGCCCTCTCCCACAGATCGGCAACGGCCTCTCCATGCTCCTGTGGATCTTTTCAAAGTCGTTTTCGGTCTTTGTCCTTTCCCGCATCATCGGGGGCCTGACCGAGGGCAACGTCCAGATGTCGATAGCCATGATCTCGGACGTCACAACCCCCGAGACTCGATCCCGCGGTCTTGTGAGTATTGCTGAACCGACGGCGCCGTTCAAGCCCCAACTCCGACTGGCCATGAGTTCTCGCTGAGCATGGATACGACGACTCACGCCCCGACCCGCTTCCATCTCGCTGCTGCTTCGTAGGCACTCGTCGGCATCGCTTTTTCCCTCGGCTTCACCATCGGCCCTCCTCTGGGCGCCTATTTCACCTCCCTCGATCTCGCCAAGATCTTCCCATGGATCCAGGCTCTCCCCATCAACCAGTACTCGACCCCGGCCCTGTTTGCCTTTGTGCTCATCGTCATCGAGTCAGCGTACATGTATCTCGCTCTCCCAGAGACCCTGCACTTTAAAGCCCAGGACGAATCCGGCGCCGACTCGCAGCCTCCCGAGTCCAGCTCCAAGGCAGAGCCCGCGCCAGGCACCCAAGATACCTCTCAGCTGGATGTGGCCTCGACCCGCAAGCGGCTGCTCACCCTGGGCTTGGTTCACTTCCTGTTTCTGTTCTTCTTCTCAGGCATGGAGTTCACCTTGACTTTCCTGACCCACGACCGCTTCCACTTCAGCCACGCCAACCAAGGCAAGCTCCTCGGCTACATGGGCATCCTCTCGGCTCTCATCCAGGGCGGCTACGTCCGTCGCGTAACACACAAGTACATCTCGGAACGGACCTTGGTCCTGCAGGGAATCGCCGCCTGCGCCGTGGGCCTCTTCCTCGTTGCCTCCTGGGCCACCACCGTCTCGCGGCTCTACATTGGCGTCACTTTCCTGGCCTTTACGAGCGGCACCGTCGTCACCTCACTCACTGCCCTGGCGGCCAGCTTCTCGGGCGGCAGCCGCGGCAAGATCCTGGGCGAATTCCGCTCCATGGGGCAGCTTGGTCGCTCGCTCGGCCCCATCTTTGCCTGCAGTGTCTTTTGGATCATCGGCAGCGAGCGCTGCTACTGGATCGGCGCCGCCGCCATGGTCCTCGTTGTGCTCTTGGTCGTTGTTGCCGTTCCCAAGCAGACCCTGCCCTCGCTCAAGCAAAAGTCCCAGTAACAGCAGCAGTTGTAGCAGTCTTATCGTGCTATGGGGTGCAAGCTCGCGGGAATACACACAATTGGTCGGTTACCTGCGGCAACAATCAGCCGACAGTGATGGTCGCGATGCGGGAGTGTGGTGTGTGCATTCGACTATCTGGGCATCTCTGTGGTTTCTCGATATCAAGATACTCGCTTGGCTTCCAGGCACTGTGAGCACACCGTTTGGTCATGGCAGGCGATGGGCTCATGTGTATTCAAGATCCAGAAACAACAACAAAGCAGGGTGTCCCGTTTCGTTTTGGGAAGCTTTATACATGCACCACGCCGGCCATCGCCACAGCGTCGCTCCAAGGCATGCCCGCGAGGAAGCATGATTTGATATGATATGATCTGTATTGCGCCACTTTAGACATACGGATGAGATGCTCCACGAGCCTCCTCGGCTGCCCCACAATATTTGCAAGCACGATGGCTCGCTCGCTTGTCGCCGACACATCCGAGCCTCGCTCTCTCCCAGCGATTGTCCATCCCGCACGCCCATCAATGTCCTCAACAATCACTCGCTCGCCCGCCTGTCCTTCCATGTGCTCTCGACATCAGAGCGTTGCGCCCACACCAAGTTTGTGGGTGGGGAGAGAACCAGGGTCGCAGACATGGGTTCGTCGTGTGTTTCTTACCAGCCCGACGATCCCCCGGTGGCCCGATCGGCATGCCGGTCCTGTTCCCGTTCGCGCTCGTGATCGAGCTCCCGGCTCGGCTGATCTCGGCTGCCACCAGCCCATCCCTCGCCGCCGTCGGCCGGCGGAGGAGGAGTGGCTTTGCGCTCGGCAGGGGCACCGCTGGGGGCATCTCGGGTTTCGTCACGTCGCTCCTCACGGCGGTCATCCCTTCGGTCTTCGTTCGACCAGCCTTCTCGTGCACCTTGCTGATCCTTGCGCTCCTCGGATGAGCTCCAGTTCGATGCGCCATCGCGAGGGGCTGAGGGTCGATCGCCCGACCAGCCACGGTCGTCTCGTCGGTCGACGGCTCGATCACGGTCGCGATCGCCCGATCGTGCCGGAGGAGGAGGCCGGTCTCGGTCGTCGCGTCCGAATCGCTCAAAGTTTCCGCGGTCTGCCGGAGGGTAGGGTCCGCCTCGAGGAGAGCGCGAGCGGTCTCGGGATCTGGGAGGCGATCGCTCGCGGCGGTACGCAGGCCCGTCTCGGAACTCGCGGGGGTCTCGTCGATCGCGGTTGCGGGTGTCCTCACGAGGATCTCGGTAGTCACGGCCCGAGTCGCGCGGGTCTCTTCGCGGGTCGCGGTCGTCGTAACGGGGAGGTCGGTCACGGCCGCTGTCTCGCGGCGGACCGTCGAAACGCCAGGACTTTTGGGGACCAGAGCGAGCCCACTAGAAAGGGGGTTAATGATCCAGTTCAAGTTGCGAGATCCCGGCGAGACAAGGTGGAGAGACATAGCGAGATAGAAATGAGACGACGGAGACGTGGGCGAGCAGATGGAGGACACGAGCCTGGCCCGCAATCGCAATCGCAATCGCAATCGCAATCGCAAGCACCAACACCAGGCTGGCCAGACATGCCCCGCTGCGCGAGTTGCTCGCAACCAACGCACCTGGATGTTGAGGACAGCGCCGTTTATGCTGCGGCCGTGGAGGTCATGGAAAGCATCCTCAGCATCGCGGGGGTCTTCAAACTCAATGAAGGCGTATTGGTTGGTTTGGTTGGGCTTGGGGGCCGGAATGTCGCAGCGGACCAGGCGGCCGAATCTGGAAAGGATGCGTCCGCATCCAAATCGTCACCGATGCCACATCGAAGCCGAAACCGCATCCAGAAGAGTGACCGGCATCCGAATCACGACCCCAGAGGTTGCGTCGCAGGAGCGATGGTTGATGTGCGAGTTGGTTCGGCGCCGCGCAGATCGGCGGGGAGACGAAGAGGAGGCGAGAGAGAAAATCGGATGTTGGCGAGGTGTGCTGATCAGTACGAGTCGTGCTTCCGATCGAGCCGAAGACAGTGAGGGGGGGGTATTGCATCGGCCGCAGGTAAAAACAAGTCCAGCGAGATCGAGGATGCGGAGTGCCCACAAGCGGCAGAGGGCTGAAGCGACGCGCAAGCGGAGGCGAGGACGGAAGCACCGACGACGAGTGGCCGCAGAAACAGGATCGGCCGTCGTCGTCATTGTCATCGTCATCGCCATTATCATATCGTCATCGTCATCGTCGTCGTCGTCAACCTTCGTCGTCGACCCGAAACAGCCAGAGGTGCGCCAAAAATCGGTCCAAATGCCAGTGCAATCGTTCGTCCCAAAGAGCGAGTGTCGTCGATCCGCTCATAAAAAAGGGGGGGAGACAGCCTATGGCCGTCGCTCTCCGTCTAGCCGTATCGCCGTATCGCCGAAAGGACGCAGAGGAGCAGCAGGAGGCAGGATGGAGGCAGAGCCGAGCATTGAAGCGCTTGAGCAGCCAAGGGACCGAGGAAGCAGCACCCACTGTCGCAAGATCAACTGTGCCGCTGGGCAGGGAGGCACAGCCGTCCCGGCGCAGAGCAGGACAGGCGATCAGCTCGATCCTCTCCTCCCTCTTGCGTCTCGGACAGCCAGACAGCCGATAACCGCGAGAGCAGGCCGACAACGAAGCGAAATGCAACGCAACGCAAAGCAACGCAACGCAACACGGCCCGATCGAAGCGATCAAGGGCGGCGACGGCTGATGAGATGCGTCTCCAAGGGCCTCCACATGCGCCCACTAAAGGTCGGGAGGGGGGAGGGTAATGCAACACAACAGCCAAGGAAAACAGCCGGCGGCCGATGAGATCGGGGAATAGACACGTTCGGGCTATACTCTACCTTTCGAACTCGAAGCCAAGATCTCTGGCGGACACGCTGGAGAAGGAGGACAGGGCAGATCAATCCTGGTCAGATCGAGAATCACGGCGCAATTTGCTCGGACCTAGCGCTATGCGCCAGGCACGGGAGAGCTGTGACGGCAGCACGTCCACATACACCTGAACAGCCATTCGACACACCGATGCAAGTGCCGGACCCGGACGAAGCACTGTTCTGCCCCCCCCCCCAGGCGGGACGAGCCAGCCAGCTGGATTTGTGCAGCGCGGCCGCGAATAGAAGAGATCGACTTACCCAGAGCCAAAGCCGGCAACAAACAGCGTGGTTCTGCTCATGACGGATGGCGGATGGGGCAGCGGCAGGCAACGGAAACGGTGCAGGAAGGAAAGCGGAGCGAGACCAAGCGAGGCGGCCGAGTCTGACTTGGCCAGGGCCGACGACCAGGCAGAAAAAAGCAGCCGGCTCGAGCCGGAGCGCGGATCAATCCGATCCGCCCCGGCAGGCGAGGACGATGTTGGGAACGAGTGCCAACCGCGCAATGCAATGCAATGCAATGCAATGCAATGCAAGGCAATGCAAGGCAAGGCAAGGCAAGGCGGGGTGGAAGTGGGGGCGGATGCGGAGGCAGATGCACCGGCTGCAAGCGACACTCGAGACGCAGTTGACAAGCCACCATGCGTCCAGCGGAATATCGTAGCAACGATCGACTGTGTATTCAGGGCCGTGCTCTCCATGGCGAGTGTAGTCGTAAGCCGCCATCGGAGAGCCAGCGGGTGCCAGCGGGTGCCAGATACTTGAGCAAATGCGATACGTTCGAAACAATCTGGCGTTCACTCTTCACCGTCGCCAGGAGGAGCTGGAGGGGTATAGCGGACCACCAAGCCGTACCCCAGATCTGTGGGATGCGTTGCGATAAAGGAAATGGATACCACCGCGAGTGGTTAGAATCGTACAGCTTTGAAGATACAACTCCGCAGCAGCAGCAAGCAGAGTCGGAAACGTCGATGGCATACCTTGGATGTTGGCGACACAGCCAGGAGTGACCAGAGTGCCTTCCAAGTTGATGATGGCCAAGTTGGAGAACGCTGCAGCAAGATAAAGTTAGTCGCTGGCTGCAGGGCACACACGGTAATCGAGAGAGACTCGCTGGGTTGATGGGAGCATCGGCTCGCTGGTGCGCACCTGCCAGCATGTTCATAACGCCTGCATCTCTGACCGGCGTGTGCGACAGATTCAGGCTCTTGAGAGCGAACCGCATCGGTGACTTGGTGAGCTCGTCCAGGAGCTTATCGGAGACATGGGTCTGTGCCAGAGAGAGCACTCGCAGGTACGGAAGCGCCAGGAGGCAGCCCATTCCCTCGTCGTGGATATCGAGGTGGTTGAGGTAAAGCTCCTTGAGTTGCAGCAGCCCTGGTTGCAGATCGGCCCAAGCAGCGATGATACACGCACCCACAAATGCGAGCGAGTCACGGATGCCGTAGCGCGTGAGCCGGGAGCGAAGGACCAGCCGTGAATGCGGCTCAAGGCCGATTGGCGACTGGTTGATGCAGGAGCAAGTGCAGGAGCAAGTGCAAAGCTCTCGGGACCAAAGCATCCTCACCTGCAACCGAAGCAAGACCGGCGTCGTCCACCTTGGTTCGTGACAAGTTCAAGTGCTCCAATGTTCTCGAGAGTCGAGGAAGCGTCTGCAGCCCCTCGTTGGAGACTTGGGCGCCTTCAAGATCGAGCTTGACGAGTGGGAGATCTTGGAGTTGTAAAGCATGTCCAGCCGTGCGCCAGTCGTCAATGGGCATGTCAGACCACCTTCGGAAGCATGGGGCGCAAAGACACTCGACACACTCATACGATGGCCATGTGGAGACAGCCGATCCGCCGTGTGCTGTCGTGCGAGCCCTGGTACTCACTTGCAATCACATACCTGTAAACTTGGGGAGTATGCCATCCAGCGGTAAACCGGAGAGCGGGAGCTGGATATGCTGAAGATGCTGCTGGCCTGTTGTTTGCCAGCCGAGGCCGACAATCCCATGGCCAAAAGAAGGGTGTCCGTCGTACCGAAGCAATTCAACGCAGCGTCAGCTCGGGCAACACAAGAAGCGGGGCCTCATTCGATCCTACACCCATCCTCGGTTGAACATGTGCTCATCGTCCGTCAGAGCAAATCCACAAGGGGCATCGACTGACGCACCTCTGGGGATCCAAATCAATCCCTCGGCGCTTAGGTTGTTGCAGCCGCGCAGATCGAGCTCCAGCAGGTTGCGAAACGACGAGACCACCAGGCGCACGTCGCCGTTGACAATCGGAGTGCCACTGATATCGAGGTACTCGAGGGCGTTGACGAGGCTACCACGAACAGGGCTCATTGGTGCTGCAAAGTGCAGTCGCGAGACGTTCAATCGAACAAGACGAGTGTTTGCCAGAAGTTCAAAGACACGCTCGCCCTCGATTCGCTGGCAGTTACCGATGCTGAGGGAGACGAGGGTCGTCTGAACAGCATCGATGATCTCGGCAAGGCCACTGGTGCCGATAAGGGTGTACGACAGGTCGAGCTCCCGCAATTGGCCAAGCTCTAGCAACGGAGTCGAGATTCGGTCTCACGTAAGCGTCTCGCACGGTTCGACGCCCCACCTCCCCACGAGAGTTGCACACATCTTCATCTTTCTTACCGCGGAAGACATATGCACATTTGTCGGTTACCCGACAGTTTGCCAGATTGAGACTTTGCAACGACCGGGCAGCTGGAGCAAGGTCACGAAACATTCGCGTGAATAGGCTGTCACGTCTACCTCAAGAATACGACGCCAGCACACTAGAACAGCACTCGCCGCATGAATCGTGGGTGATGATGCCTACCCGAGAGTGCGACAACAGCTTGGTCACTGATGTGGCAGCCCTTCAGCGACACTCGATCCAGCGTCACCCAATGGTCGAGGGTCAGCTTCTCCACGAGTGAGTCGGTGGTCAGCACGCAGCTGATTGAAATTGCCGTGGGTTGTCCGGGGCAGAGAGGAAAGCACTCGCTGTCAGTCCACCGTTGCTACACTTGGGCGGCGGCGTTAGCAGCGAGCAAAGGTACCGAGAGGTATGATGCTGCGGACAAAGCATTGCTGAGCGACAGTGTGCCGCTGGATACCCACTGATCGAGACAAAGGTTTTCCACGATGCTATCAAACCGAGAGGCATGGATCGAGTCAGTCAGCCAGTCAGTCAGTCAGTCAGTCAGTCAGGATGAAGCCTTGCTATTTGAGCACCGGATTGCAGCACAGGCATTTTAACGCACGCAGAGCTCAGTCGTGAGGCCAGGAAGGCGCTGATGGTCTTAGAGCGCACAGCATGATCTATGATCATCTCGACCAGGGACGAGCCATAGCTTCGCAGCACAACCAAGGTTGAGGCCGCTGTTCGAGGGTCTCTAATCACATCTAAACCAAGATTAAATGCGTGAGCGGGAAGGCACCATTGCACCGCACACTCAGCCAACTTCAGTCCATACCCATAGATGTCAGCAGAGCCAGCTCCTTGAGTGAACGCGGCGACCTGAGCAGCTTGCGGGGCCTCTTCTCCGCGATAGTGTCGGCCGGCGCGACCGGGACAAAGGGCAGCGCTCCTGTATGGGGTTGATCAACGTCAGATCATTACCGAAATGCTCGAGATATGGACCCAGCAGTGCCCGCCGTGCTTACTCTCGTCTTGGGGAACACTTCCGCCCAGGCGATTTCCGGCGCCGACAAAGGCGTTCTGGACAATCCGATATCTCGGCCGTCCTCTATGAAGCCCGGGCTGTCTCCCGCGGTTCCTCGGTGCCGCATGGGGAGGGACAACTTCTGGCTCGTGGTCACTGGCACGGGAGCCGTCGTTATCGTCACTGGAATCGCTGGAATCGCTGGCGCCCACGCCATCATCGTCGCCGTTTTCATCAGTGTCTGAGTCCATGACATCGTGAGGACCAGGCCCGCTCCTGGTATCAGAAGCATCCTCGTTGCTATCAATGGCCATGTCGTCCGATGGGAGAGTGGCTGGTGCTGCCGGATCACGGGAAGTGGTCGCACTGGAGTCACCAAGTTCGGCTGAGGATGCGGCAACCAAGGGTGGCTGGGCTATCGGGCTAACGATTGCGGCCGGAGCACGATCCTGAACAAACACCGAGAAAGGAGATGAGGTGAATAGGGGAAGTGCAGACACTGGATTATCTGAGCTGCGAGTAATTACATTGCACAGAACACAGAACCTACCACCGACTCGGCAGCCAAAGGGACCACATGCAAATTCCCGCTGGGAACCAAACCTGAGAAGATGAATTGAGGGCCCGCTTGGAATCAGTCTTCCCTGGCAATCGGCGCCAAATTGCCCAGCCCATTCGGCGAGCCGCTCCCTCATCCTCGCTCGGATGCGCTGTTAGCACGGCTCTGCGGCTCCAGTAGAGGGCACGACCCCAGTACCTGCATCCAAAAGCGACAGGACATGGTCTTGACGGGCAAACGTTCGCCGCGGAAACGGCTGCAGTAACTGGAAGCTGCCGGCCTTGCACCAGGCTGGCACACGTGCACTTGCCGAATCGACGACCCAGGCAAAGACACTTCCCAGGTCCGAACTGGAGGTAAAGCGCTTCTTGACACTCGTTCCGTTGGGATACCGAATCTGATGCAAGCAACCGGCCGAGAGTGAGCGTGGGCACCGGTCGAAGAAATCCGTGCGAGGCGATCATGTATGTCTCTGAGAGCCGATCCAACTCTACCTGGAGGACCGTTTCATTGGCCGAGGGGCTAGGCTGGACAGCCTTGGGCTTGATATCAGGCGGGGCCTATGCAGATAGCAGGATAGTCACAAGTCAGACGGATGGTGGCGGCAGAGGCTTCGTTTGTTGAGTCGGCAACAGTAACCGACGAAGGTCCGAGAGAGATAGGAGAACATACTGCCGATGTGGTAGATCTCAGCTTCATTCTCTCGCGATCCTCTTTGAAACGGGCCAGAGCCTCTTGCCGATGCTGAAAAGCCCCAGTGTGGATCGACAGAAGCGAGGAGCGCAGACATAGAGCGTTATTATCAGAGCAGGCCGGGTGGTATTCAGGGTTCATGAGCAGCTGGCGCCGATTCGTTCCGTCACTCGATCGCTCCTCTGGACTCGATCCACTCCCATCCCCGACGACGGACCGAAGGGTCAATCGCTGCTCGTACTCAACCAACCTGAGCATTTTGGCTCTTGAATCGCTTGCTCTCCTGGAATTGAATCGTCTGCGCCAAACGGGAGTGGTCTTCACGAGTTGATGTATACCGCGAGCTGACCTATCGGAGCCAGGGATGGCGATGGGGTGTGAGCCGATATCATCACTGATGGTGTTTGAAGATCATTCGATCGGCGATATCGAGGAACACTGCGAGCCCCGGCCTCTCCAATTCGCCGTTCATGCGACCAATGCGCAGGAGAGCATCAGAGAGACGATCGATACCTGCGGGGTGGGATCGTGCTGGATGGGATCCTGCGCTGCCGATACAGGGCTCGTTATCCGAGAGGAGCTGGCATTCGTCGTCGGAGAATCGGCTGCTGGCTCACTCGACGGTACGTCTGCATCGGGCAACGGCTCGATATCGACTTCGCTCGGGGACGAGTCTGAAGGCAGGTCGAGCCGCAGGATGGGTTGGTTGTTGGTGGAGAGCAACTGGGACTTGATCCTGCACAGGCAATAATAGAGCTGGTTATTAGCTTGTAGGGAGAGGAAGGATGGGCTAAGGGAAAGCCGTCTCCACAAGAGAGCCGGGGGTGGTGGCCGAGGCGGGGAAGGGAGCGACAGGGGTCGTTGGGAAGGGAGCACCTTGCCAAACGCACCATGAATCGGCCTCCTCAGGGGACGTGAAGCCATATTCGATTGCCCGGATGCAGGACTCCCACGAGTGGCCATATCCCAGCAGAGTGGCGAGCAGGAGATCGTGTCTCGTCGACATGTTTGGAGATGCGGATGCAAGGAGATTGGGATCGGGGCGAGGACGAAGACGAAAGCGAAGGCGAAGGCAAAGGCAAAGGCGTGTTTGGGGGTGACATGGACGAACCAATCGTCCGGGATCCAAGAGCCACCAAGCGAGCCACCACACCACCAGGCAGGGCGGACTCGCATACGACGGCATGCGATACTCTGGTAATGGAGCAGGTGTCGGATTGCGGCCCGAGCACCCCGACTGGGCGAATGCACGCCGAGCCAGTTTCTGCTTCTGCTTCTGCTTCTGCCTCTGCCCATGCTTCTGCTTCTGCGTCTGCTTCTGCTTCCCACGCTCTCACACCGATATTGGGTGACAGGATGGGCCGTGCAGCAAGCCAAGTTGCCGCACAGAGCCCTGCAATGTATTTGCGGTCCGTCGGAGAGCAGCCTCCCCCCCGGACTCACTCGTCGTCATAATGGACTTGTCGCTCCCGGGCGCTGTGGGTGAGACGGCGGCTTCGCGTTGACCTTGGGCGCTTCCCGAGGAGCAGCAAATAGATTCCGCCGCCGATCGGAGCGCCAATGAAAGGGCCGAGAATGTAGACCCAAAAGCCGATGCGTGAGCCTGGAAAGGCGACAGTGCCCCAGCCCAGAGCCGCGGCCACAAAGCGAGGGCCGAGGTCGCGGGCAGGATTGAAGGAGGCCATGGTGATTGGGCCAATGACGGCTATTAGGCAGGTGAGGGTAAGGCCGATAAAGTACGGTGCAAGCTCCTTTCGGGGCATGGCTCTGTTGTCGGGATCAGTCAGGGCAAAGGCCATGAAGGAGAGCATGCCAGATCCAAAGGCTTCGCAAAAGAGGGCATTCGCGGGGCTCAGCAGGGTGAGCAAAGGTCCATTGATGGAGGCGGACGAGGCGTTGGTTGTGGGGGTGTAGTACTGGGGGTAGTACCCCGGGTTGGGAAAGTAGTTCACAAAGATCATGGCCGAGAGTTCGGATCCGGACTGGCCGCGATGGATGTTGTTGAGCTGCTCGTATTCGGCAATGAGGGCGTTGAAGAGTGCGTAGTTGAGGAACCCGGCAGCGATGCTTCCGAGCAGCTGGGCGACCCAGTACAGCAGGGCTTTCTTGAAGGTGAACCCGGTCCGGTACTGCCATATGGCCATCGTCAGCGAGATTGCAGGATTCAAGTGTGCCCCTGAGACGTAGGCCGTTCCGTAGATGGCGAGGCCCAAGGCAGTGCCGCAGACAACAGCCAGCTGACCGGGATCGAGCCAGATCCATCGTGGCAAGTGAGTTGTTGAGGGATCGATTCCGCCAATGTGTCGGATGGAGTTAAAGGCGGACGGTCAGCACAACCAGGCGAGTGCCACAAGTGGATAGAAAATGGAGCGAGAGTTGGAATCGTACCCAGCTCAGCTAGGACGGCAGGCTTGCGACGACATGGCTCTAGCAGATGCACGGAGCCCGCACATTGCTCAGCTCGGTCATGTGCGCTGAGACAGACACGCACTCACCTCCCAGATTCCTTTGAGAGCCCCGATGAGTACCAGGGACGACAGAGAGCCGATACAGAGCAGGACTAGAAACAGCGTTCCCAGAAACTCGGCGACGTAGGGTTGGAAATGGGGCCACGACAGCTGGATCGCCAGCCCGTAGTAAGTAAGCTTCCTCTTGACCTTGTGGGTCCACAGACCCCATCGGATTTTGCAGGATACATGAGAGTCTGAGGGGTCGCTTTCGCCCATGTCGATCTCCACAACGGGTGTCTCCGACTCTTCGCTGCCGCTTTCGACCACCGACGACATGCCTAATAGCCCGTGGATGTGAGCGAGGCGCTGCGAAATGCTGGAGATGCACAATATCGACGGCAGCACGAGCCAACGACCTCAGTGCAGTGACGTACTCAGATAGAGCAGGTTTTCTCCCTTCTTTGGCAGCTGCGACATGGTATGTAGTGGGTATGGTACGAGTTGCTATGGCTGTGGGAAAGGGGAGCACGAGAAGAGGGCGGGTTGGGAGCAGCCACGGACGAGATTGCGTGCAGTGGTCTTGGCGAGTCATGGAGGCAGAATAGGAACCGCGGTGAAGGCAAATGAGTTTGGAGTATCGTTGTTTGAAGGCAGGGGCGACAGGACGGTGGTTGTATCGATTGCCACGATCCCAGGTGAGTGTTGGCATCCATTTTCATAATGGTGCTGGGGATCGGGACGCGTCGGCCTCGTTCGAGCTCAAGCCGACGATGGGACGGATGGCACATGCATTGACTCATAGATTTGCCCATGCACACCACATCGCACAAAGACCCTTGTGTTGAACCCTGAGAAAAAAGACCCGCCTACCTCGCAATGGCAGTGTGCTCCAGTCACGGTTGCGGAGGACTGCGGCCAAGTTTTGGTTGCGAGACGCGTCCAGTGATGACGACGAGGAGGAATGGTGCACAAGAAAGGCCGGGATGAAGGCTGTGGAGTGACAAGCCGGGCTCGGGCGAGTGGCCAGCGAGAAAGACGAGGGTGCTGTCGGAAATATATTTTCAGATTCGCCAAGAGCCAAACCGACAAGACGGAGAGAATCAGGGGCCGATCGTCACGGGGGGGGCAAGCGTCGATGCATTGGTTGTGCCCACGACACCTCAGGGGAAGCACTGCACAGCCGAGCGGTGCGACTGACTCGCTGCCGGGTCGCGAATAGTGAGAGTTCCGCCATGCATGACAGCGCAAAGGGCTGATCCTGATCCTGATCCTGATTCAAGCTGGGGGCAGCCGTGATTCTGGTGCGCGCCCTTGCAAACAGCAGGCCCCGTCGGGTTGATGTTCACGGACGAGGGCGAGCAGGCGTGCACGCAGAGGATATACGGGGTTCCGTGAGTGATCAGGGCGACGATGATGGCCGCAAGGACTGGTGGCGGTCGCAAGGGTGGCCGGAATGATGGACCCGACGACGACAAGTCCGATGCTGGGCGTGGGAATCAGAAGCACCCTGGCGTTTGGCGGTGGCGGTGGCGGTGCTGCGGCGACACAGAACGGCAGCCAGGCTCGCTGCGATTGGCCGGAGCCCAGAACATGTGCCGCTGCTGCCCCGGAGCAGACACGGTGCAGAGTGGCACAGACACGGAATCATGACAAGGGCGTGCTTCTGCGGCAGCGGCGAAGGACATGTGGGTATCAGGTGAGGCAGCAGGTCGCACAGAGCGGGAGAGAGCGAAAGCGAGAGCGAGGCGAGACAACAACAGCGAGAGCGGGGGGAATATTACTTTGACGCATCGGCTGCGGGCTGGGGCATTAACCCTCGACCCGACAGCACCCGCAGCCGAGGCGCATCAAATACACGCAGTATAGACCAGATGCAGACTCATCCTCGCCTCGCTCACAGGACACCACCACACCACGCAGTCGCAACAGACCACAGTCTCAGTGTCGACGGCACATGACGCCGCCAAGGCGCCACAGAACACAGACACAGAATGCCCCTGGCTCGCCAGAGCGGCGAGATTCCACTTTTTCGCCCCCCCCGCCCCAGGCGAGAGCCACAGGCGGCCAGGTCCTGCGCAACTGGGCCGCCCTTTTTTTCTTTCCTGCTGTTGTGAATCTCGTCTCCTCGTGCTCCTCGCCGGTGCTTTGCCGCTCTCCGAAATCTCGCTTCTTCTTCCTCCCCGTCGCCGACTGCCTATCTCGTCCGCTGCCTGCCATGGGTCAAACACTCTCCGAGCCCGTCACCGAAAAGCACACCACCTCTGGCGGAGACGATCGCCTGCTCTATGGCGCCAGTGCCATGCAGGGATGGCGCATCAGTACGTTTCCGACCCGTCTGCCCTTTTGCTTGGGCGGCTGCGGCTGCTCGTCGCTGCTATCTCTCCTCTCGACTGCTTCTTGCATCTGCCGCACTCGGTCTTCTGTACACACGGCTGCGATGATGCCTGGCTGCTATACAGTCCTCCGTCCGTCACCCATACGTGTCGGGGGGGGGGCATTGGCCAGGCATCCTGTGCTGTCGCTGGCTCTGTTGCTCAAGGCAGCTTCTCTGGCACCAGTTGTCTCTCGTCTATAGGCAGATCCATCTGCTGCAGACGTGTGGCTGCCATGCAGTCGTCCTGCTGTGGCGGCTCCGGCTGATCTGGCGGTGGAGGCCAGAGCCGACCAGAGATGACCGACCAGAGGCGATGCCGCCATCCGGCTCTCCCTGCTTGTCGCTGGGACCTGGAGCGGCAGTAGCAGCAACGGCAGCAGCTGGATCGCTCGTCTCTGGATGATGTCGAGCCGTTGTCGCTGCGGTGTGCCTTTGGCTGCTGTCTTGCTCGAGCCCCACAGACCGTCGCTGTGGGCTCTTCCGCTGCGTCACGCAGCCGGACCGAGGCCGTTTCTGCTGGACGAACTGGACTGGGAGCAGCCATCACGAGACACGGCCGTTGCTGACACTTGATGCCGATCTCTCTTTCCTCGAAACCAAACCCGCCGGTCCAACCGCACCTGCCTCCTTCTCCACTCGCTGACTCCTGATTTGCGCGGTCTGTCATCGAACCTATGCGATCTCGTGTTGTCTGCCCGTCGCCCCTCTCGATACCTCCTGCTCCTCAAGGCATGGAGGATGCTCACACTACCGTCCTGAGTCTTATCGATGGAAAGAAAATCTCATTCTTTGGAGTCTTTGATGGACACGGCGGAAGCACGGTGGCAAAGTTCGCTGGAGAAAAGCTACACACCCAGATCGCCGAGACTGCCGAATTCAAGGACGGCAACTTCAAAGACTCACTCAAGAGCGGCTTCCTCTCGTTCGATCTTGCCCTGTCCAAAGGTACCCATCCCACCGCCTGCCTGGCTGCCTGGCTGCCTGCCTGCATGTCTGGAAGTGCGCGCTGCTGCACCCCCTCGCGGCAGCACGCATTTGCGCTCGCGGTATGCTCTGAAGGCCGAGGTATCCGCAGCCGCCCGGCGCGCTCGATTTCCGCGACTTTGGGTGGCACGGCAGCGCCAGGGCCAGACCCTGGACAGCGGCCACCTGCCCCCCCCCACTTTGCATCATATACCCTAACCTGTCGCCGTCGCATGCCGTCCTCCAGAACCCGTGATGCAGTCCGACAGCTCCGGATGCACATCGGTGACCATCCTGATCACCGAAGACAACCGCCTTTTCTGTGCCAACGCCGGTGACTCGAGAGCTGTCCTGAGTCGCGGCGGCGGTGCCATCCCGCTGTCCCAGGACCACAAGCCCACCAACCCTGGTACGCTCAGGTCGCTGCATGTCGCAGTCATCATAACCCCTTATACGCTCTCCGGACGTCTGGCTTACGACTTTGCGCTCGCCACCAGAGGAAATCAACCGCATCACCATGGCCGGTGGCTTTGTTGAGTTTGGCCGCGTGAACGGTAAGTGGCTGCCACACGCAATCGGGCTCGCTGCTGCCTGGGTCCGGCGATGTGCAGATATCCAGTCTTCCTTTTCTGCTCCCCGCCCCCGGCAAGATGGCTTGGCTTGCAACTCATCCACCCGCTGGGAATCTTTGTTACACCACAGGCAACCTGGCTCTTTCTCGTGCTCTCGGCGACTTTGAGTTCAAGGATGTTGCCGATCTCCCCCCGGAACAACAAATCGTGACCGCCAACCCCGATATCACCGAGCAGACTCTGGATCAAAACGACGAGTTTGTTGTGCTGGCGTGCGATGGTGAGTGCTTTCATGGTGCCTGTTTGTTGCTGTTGGTGCCTGTTGGTGCCTGTTGGTGTCTGTTGGTGTCTGTTGGTGTCTGTTGGTGTCTGTTGGTGCCCATGCTCGCATCCTATTGTCACTGCCGTTCAGCCCACCCCCCCCAGAACAGGCCACCGCCTCATCCTCTGTTTCGGTTGCCGATGCGTGTACAGGTATCTGGGACGTTCTTTCGAACCAACAGGTCGTGGACTTTGTGCGTGAGCGGCTCCTCAACCACGGCGACCTCGCCAAGGCCGCCGAGGAATTGATGGACCGATGCCTGGCCAAGGACAGCGACATGGGAGGTGTTGGCTGCGACAACATGACCGTCATTATCGTCGGAACCCTGCTGGGCAGAACGCAAGAACAGTGGATCGAAGCCATCAAGAGCAAAGCCGGCGACCTCATCTCGAACTAAAATCGCACTCATCTAAATGTAAATTTTGAAGAGAAACAGCACCAAGACGAGTCGCTCAGATGACTCTTGATGCTGTGTTTGTTGCGACGGCCTCCTTAAGCTCTGCCCTTTTTCTCGTTTATTCACTCTCCGTTCTTTCTCTTGCTCCTTTCATACGTTTCTCCTCCTTTCCTCCTTGTTTCTACTTGCTTGTGCCTTTGCCTCACCTCTCTCGCACTCTACTATCACCACCATTACCACCCCACCCCCCGTTGGCTGATATGCGGCACATTCTCCTCCGCAGCAAATCACCCTAAGAGCACGGGGTGGCAGAGAGTGGAGGATGGGCGGAGCTGCCGCTCCATGATGTCTCAACAGATTGAGCTGACACCGAGTCTGCGCCGCTGTTCCCCTCCCCTCGCTGCCTTTCCTGCTGCATTGCTGTTTCGCTGCTCCTGCCTCGGTGTTTCTGTGAATGCTTCTGGTTGCTTACTTGCTTCTCTGTGCCCTGGTATCTTGAGGGTGTGGATGTGTTCCCTCTGGTGCTGGTGCCTGTGTCGGGTTTATTCGATATTTGTCTCCTTTCTTCTTCTCTGCGATGCTTTCTACCAGCTCTCACCAGCCCGGTTCGTGATGCAACTTGGACTCTTCCCCAATGTCGATCCTGGATGAACGGCTGGCCACTCCCTGGTTTCTTTTCTCCACCCAAGAACTGTGAAAATAGGACCCGATGACCCATTTCCCATGTGCCGCCGCTTCTCACACGTCCTCCTCCTCCCCCTCTCCGTTTGCCCTCCGTCGCCTATTTTGCTCTCCTGTTTGATATACTTGTCGCCTATATTCTGAATGTACCATTTGAGCAATGAAGAAACTATCAACCAAAACGACCACAACCCTCGTCGCCATCATTGCCATCACCACCAATCTCCACAATTGCAGTTGCTGGTATTGGGACCTTGGAGTCATTGCGAAGAGCCAGTGAGATGGTGTGCCCAAGGCTCGGCCGGCTGATACCATGCCATGAACCAGGGCACAGCGCGGCATAACCTGTGTCATGCGCCCCGTCAATCCCGGCTGGATCCAAAAGGCCTGGACAACACCTCGCCGCTTGCGAACAGGTGCCATGCACTGCGTTGCGGGCTCGTGGGCGCTGGACCCATGCAGGAGGCCTAGTCCGAGTTGATCGGATCAGATCGGACTGAATCCGTGACTGGCGGTGCCGAGCCGCCCGATTCAAAGATAGGTAGCAAGCTGGCCAATCCAGTAGATCTCGAGCATGTCGAAGGCCTGGGTGGTATGGGGGTGGACGGTATCATCCCTGAACACTGTCTGCTCGGCGAGTTGGGATGAGAATCATGCGAGGGAGCATGATGCAAAATCAGGATGGTGTCAAGTGATCTCGGCCAGTGGTCAGAGCGAGGCCAGGGTCACCCTGTGGCGGCGGGGGGAGGAAAGGCAGAGGCAAGAAATCGAACAGCGTCCTTCTGATGCCTTTTGCGAGGATGTCTCTTACCGAAATGTCGGTGCCGAGGTGCTCCTTCAACAGCGTGAATCCGCCGGGATGGTTGCTCTCATCGTCGAGGAAATCCGTGATATCGAACACAGCGCCATCGAGGGCGATCCATGCATCGTTCATGGTGCTGTGCTCCGCGATCTCGGCGATCGAATAGACAGGGCTGTCGCTGCCGCTCATGAGGGTATGTGGGCGGCTGGCCGGTGAGTTGGAGAGAGACAGTCGGCGGGTCTGGGTGGATGATGTGGGTGGGTGGATGCAGGCATGGCAAACGAAGCGAGGCGAACCGAGAGCGCGACTGGAGATCGAGGGATGCACGTGCCGCGATGCAGCAAGGATTTGGCTCGATCCGGCTGGCTGTTGGTGCGACCGCGCTCTCGAATTGGACACGGACTTTGTGCGGTCTCGGCGAGAGCGGAGAGAGGCAGCGGCGGCGAGAGGGAGAGAGGCGGCTGCGTTGATATCCGTCGACATGGGCTGCATTGGAATCCCCGGCACACATGATATCATATATCCCCCAGATCATATCATATATTTCACACATCATATCATATACTGCACACATGACATCATATGTACCGCTGCCGGCTGGCTGGCTGCCCCCCCTGGCGCGCTCTCTGTCCCCACCTCGCCGATCTCGCCGATCTCGTCTTCTCGCTTCAGCCTCCAAGGCGCCCCTTTCCGTCCTTTGGGAGTTTCCTCGTCGTCGCCGATTTCACCCTCGCCATCACCACCGCTGCCGACGCCGCGAGCGGCTCCTTCCGTTGCCCACGTCCGCCCACCGCTCCATCTCCGGGCCGATCGGATTGCATCGCATCGCATCGCATTGCATCGCATCGCCGGGCTCCTCTTGACTGTCTTCACCTGCGCATCCACCGCCTCTGCTTCCCCTCCTCCATCGCCTCCGCGTCGGCTCCTCGGTCTCCAACTGCCCTTTCGCTCTGGGCTCGCATCTGCTCCATCCGCCAACTTCCGTCACCAACTCTCGGTCCCTGTCCGATCCGCCCTGCCTCCTGAGACATCTCTGCCAAGAGCCACCTGTCCTCCATGGAACAAGAGTATATCGATGTGGTGATTGCCCTTCACAACTATACCTCCCAGGAGCCGTCCTGCCTCTCCTTCCGCCGGGGCGACATCATCTATGTCTGCGCCCAGGATCCCTCTGGCTGGTGGGACGGCGCTCTCCAGGACGGCCAGAAGGGTTGGTTCCCTTCCAACTATGTCAAGAAATACGTCCCACAGGTCAGGAGCTGATGCTGCTTGCGGACATTCTGCGTCCGGGGGCTGGCGGAGGAGCGGGTCTTGGGATTGGGATTGGGATTGGGATTGGGGTTGGGTCGGGTCCGGCTCGGTTGGGTGGGTGGGGGGAGGAGGGACAACAATCCGCCAACGTGCCGCTTTCCGCCGCTGGAAAGGAGCGGCCTGGCCAGCATCGGACGGCCCTTCGATGGCCATCAAGAGCGCTGGGATTGCCGACTCAGCCCAAGGACGCAGTGGCACTCTCCTCGATGATGTTGCCCCTGTACCGGCCTTCCCCTCCCCTTCCAATCATGATGTCGCTCTCTTCCACACGATCTATGACTGCACGACTTGCTTTGCTGTCGCTTCTCTGGGCACCCTCACTCTATTGCTCATATACCTTCGGGTCCTGGCTTTTGGTCCTGGCTTTTGGTCCTGGCTTTTGGTCCTGGAGCTGGTCCTGGTCGTTTGGTCAACTGCCGTCGGGGTTTCATATCCATCTGTCCTGACGCCATCTTCCCGAACGCAACATGCAACATGTAGCAGGCAGCCCCTCAGAGGTCCAACTCCAACCAAGTCGAGGCCGTCACCCAGCAAATGTCGCAGATGATCATGGAGGCCCAGAACTTGGGTCAGGAGGACGACGGCGGCGAGTTTCCCCAGCGAACGCTCTCCTCTGACAGCAAATCCAAGGTCTTGGACATTCCTCAGACCCCGACCCTGGGCGCGCACGCCACGACTTATGTGAGCCCGATTGCTGCGGCGGCCACGCCCCTGGCAAACCCTGCGGCCACTGGAGCCGTGCAGGTAATGTCCCTCGCCTGTCGATCAGCATCGCGCTTTTGTGGATCGCCCGGTGGCATCTATCGCCCGTCGGCCCTTGCCATCGGCCTTGCCATCAGCTGCATCGACCTTGCGTCTCGACACCTGCCCAAAGCCGTCCTGCGTCGATATCGTGTGCCTCTCTTCGCTACCGACTGTTGCTTGCGGGTCGACTGTTTCTCGCGGATCTGCCCCTAACCATCCATATCAACGTCTCTGGGTCGGCCGCGGATAGCTCCCCCCCTTTTGGGGACGAAAGACAACTCCCCAAGGCGTCGAGTACTATTTCAATGTCCAGACCAATCGCACCACCTTTGACTTGCAAGAGGTTCTCCAATCGGTACGTGCCGCGATGCTCTCTCGGTTGGGAACCGCCGTCGGCTGGGAACCCTGCCTTGGACCACCATCGTACCAACCGCGTGGGTTGCAATCGCATTTCGCTCTGCCTTTGCCAATCGCGCAGCTAACAAACAGCTCTGTGCTCATGACACGAACAGCAAGTCAGCAAGCGCCGCTCCCAGGTCATTCTCAACGATGTGCGCCGGTCCTCCAACACACTTGAAGCCGTGCCCGAGAACGTCGCCGTGGCCATGATCACCAGCACGGGCCAGCCTGTGTCCCAGTCTCCGATCCCCGAAACCTCGCGCCAGCACTCGTGGATCCCTGGTCCTCAGTCCCTGATCGACGGCCAGGCGCCGCTCACCTGGGAGCTCCTGGTCGACAACATCCTGCGAGCCATCTCGGACCTCAACTACTCCACAAAGTCCAACAACAAGGCTCTCTATGTCAGCCAGACCAACCAGGTCGTCCGCGCCATCCGCGACATGCTCGCGGCGTCGGGAACCATCAACAAGAACTCGGTGGTGATGCAGAACAACCGCCAGCTCCGCACCCATCACCAACAGATCCTCACGTCGCTCTCGAGACTGGTTCTGGCTGCGAAGGTTGCCTCGGGCCTCTGGCCTCCCCCAGACGCCGTCGGCAAGCTGCGCCACATGGCTGGCCAAGTGCTCATGGCCATCCGCCACTTTGTCTCCACCGCCAAGGAGCTGCCGCTCGAGCTGCAGCCCATCCGCCAGTACATTGTCGATGACTTTGATGTCCGCGGCGCCGAGCTCTCCGAGTCCGAGTTTGTCAATCGGCTGGACCAGAGCTCCGAGTCGGCAATCACGTCGATCGCCCGCCTGGTCAACATGATGACCCAGAACAACCGGGTCAGCAGCGTCCTGATCGACCAGGTTCGCATGGCCGTGACCGAGATTGGTCAGTTCCTGTCCCTGATCGAAGACATCAGGATCGTCAACCCGGACGAGGCCCACGACGACGTCCTGACCCAGTTCCAGTACAAGAAGGATATCTTGTACGCTGTTGTCAACGACATGGTTGCTGCCGCGCGCGCCGCCATGGACAGCTTTGCGCCCCCGAACGCCGTGGTGATCTTGTTTGAATGCTCATCGGTTGTGCTCCAAACCCTCGACGATCTACTGATCACCACCAAGCTCGTCGTCGACCAGCGCGAGCTGATCGAGCAGCGCAACTTGCAAATCGATGCTGAGTATCTGGAGCAGGAGGACGACTCTGAGCTGAGCCAGCTCCAGCGCAGGGCCATGTCCCTGACTTTTCCGGCCAACCCTGTCAAGGCACCGCAGGGCACTGCTCCATCGCGCACCTCTGCCCCAGCAACCTTCAACCCTTACCAGCAGCACGTCCGCACTCCGTCGGACAGCCAGCGACCTGCCTCGACGGGTACGCCGGCCAAGCCTGTCGATGCCTCCACGGTGGCGCCACCGCGCGACAACTCGAAGCGCATCTCGGGCGAGCCGTTGAATGCAGCCAAGCTCTCGAAGGGCGTTGGTGATGAAGTCGCTGGCCCCAATATGGGTCGTCGCGGCAGCTTGGATGTAAGTGTTGTCTCGTGTGTGTGTGTCTATGACTGCTCTGCTCCTCTGTCATGCGACACAATCGTCGAGTGAAGAATCCGTGCACGAGGAGCCGGAATCGCCTGCGGTGCGCCGTCCCTTTGTGTTGGACCCAACAGCCACCGCTGAGCGCCTCGGTGTTGAGTCCGTGCTGTCTTTTTCTCTGTAGCCCACGAGCGACAAGTGGTACCTGTCGTACGACTACTCTCCCCACGAGCTGTCCCACACCCCCGACGGCCAGATCAACGGCGGAACCCTCAAGGCCCTGGTGGAGCGCCTCACCATCCACGACATCCGAGTCGACTCCAACTTTTCCAACTGCTTCCTGATGATGCTGCATTCCTTTACCACGCCCGAAGAGCTCCTCGAAACACTGATTGCCCGATTCCGCATCCAGCCACCGCCTAACTTGTCGCCAGAGGATACCAAGATCTGGACAGAGAAGAAGGCCACCCCCATCCGCATTCGGTGAGTGTCCGCGGGCTTTTTCGGAAGACTCTTCGCAGTGGAACACGTCACTGATTCTATCGGGCTCGATGCAGTGTCTTTAATGCGCTGAAGCTGTGGCTCGAAAAGTACTGGTCGGACGACTTTGACAAGCCCATCTTGCCAAAGCTCCAAGAGTTCCTGTCGGCTCCGGGCGAGGGTGTCAGCATCCCCATGCCCGCGCGCCTGAGCGAACTGGTGAACGAGCGCGTAAGTATCGACGGCGATGCTCCGCCTCCCACGACAGAGTACATGTCGACGTAAAAAGGCGCTCTGGGCTACACCCTTGCTCGTGTTGCCGCCGCCACGCCTGTTTCCCTTTGTCCAACTGACGCATCCCCACCGGCACATATATAGACGAAGGGATCGGGGCTCCAACGGCTGGTTTCCAAACGTGCCGTCAATGCCAGCGATTGCCCTGCTGTCAAGCTCCCGAGCAACCTCCGCCGCTTCACCACGATCGACATCCCTCCTGTCGAGATAGCCCGCCAGATGACTCTCATCGCCAACCGCACATTCTGCGAGATCGAGCCCATCGAGCTCCTCAACCAGGAGTGGCAAAAGAAGCAAAACAGCGTGGCCACCCACGTCTTGGCCATGAGCCGCATGTCGAACAGGGTGCGTTCCATGACTAACGCCACCACCACCACCACCGCTGCTGCTGCTGCTGCGCTGCTGTCGCTCCACACGCAGCTGTCATCTCTATACGAGACTCTGGGCTCAGAATGCTGACGTCGAGCGGCGCGCGGTCTTGTGTTTCTGATGATGACGTCTAGATTACCTCGTGGATTGTCGAGAGTATCCTGTCCGAAACTGATTTGAAGAAACGCGGAAAGCTCGTCAACCACTTTGTTTTGGTCGGAGAGGTGGGTGTCCTTCCCCGAGGCTTGTGTCGGACTGTGATCAGTGCCACTGCGACTCCAGTCTGTTTCTCACCCGTTTGTATGTGGCTGCGCTATACCCGTCGCTCTTTCTCTCTCGCTCTCTCAACGCTTCCAACCCCAGCAATGCCTGGCGCTGCAGAACTACGACAGCCTGATGGCCATTCTCGTGGCTCTGCAGTCCTCCACCATCAGCCGCCTGAAGCGCACGTGGGACCAGCTTCCGCCCAAGTCGAAGCAGCTCTTTGATGATCTCAAGCTGTCGATTGACATGAGCCGCAACTACGCCGACTATCGCGCCACGATCCGCAACGCCATCACCCCTTGCCTGCCGTTTGTGGGTGTGTATCTGTCCGATCTTGTCTTTATCGAGGACGGCAACCCCAAGCTCCGAAACAACGGCACCCTCCTGAACTTTGACAAATACGCCAAGCTCTACAAGGTCATCCTGGAGATCCAGCGCTTCCAGCAGCCGTACATGCTCATGGAGGTAACCGAGATTCAGGAATTCCTCAACAATGCCATCGAGCTCAGCGGCCGCCAGAACGAGGAGCAGCTCTACGAAATCTCGCTCCTTCTGGAGCCTCGAGAGAACTCGGACCGTGGCGACGATGCCCAGCGCGAGCTTCAGAACAAGATCCGACTTCTCGAAGATGCCGGTCTGATTTAATCCGAGCAACAGGAGAAGGAGGAGGAGGATACGGAAGTGGAAGTCGAGGTGGTGGGGAAGGAGCTTTGTTGCCCTTATACTTGAAATCCTTTCGCCCCCCCCCTCTCACGATGGAGCTTCTGCACGGCCATGTACAATATGATCCTGTGACTGCACGGTGGTGTTGATCAGCACGAACGTTCGCCTGACCGCCGCTTTGGAATGTGGCTCATGGTGTCGATAAGCTGATCCTGGACGTCTGGTGCTTTGCTAGTGGGATGGCCAGTGACACAGCGGCTGAGCCGGCCAATATTCTCTCCCCTCTTCTTTCTTCCACTTCCCTTGCAATTTACTATTCTCTCTCTCTCTCTCTCCCACTCTTTCGATTGCCTTTCCATTTCGCTACCTAAATCGTTAATTAGTTGATCCATCCTTACCATTATCGTTCGCTCGCCTCTGCTTTCTTTCCCATGTGTCTCTTGCTCTCTTTGCTCTCGATCTTTTGGATGGCACGCATTTGTCCGTTCCTCCATGCTCAGGCCGCTCTAGTCTCTCCATCGCGAATGCATTTCCCGCTTCCATCTGTATTCCTATTTCTTTTTCTTTGCCCAAGCTTGTTTCGGCTGTGTTTGCCCCTCTCCATCCTCTCCATCCTCTCCTCCTGCATTCGTTAAACGAGGCTTCGGATCTTGAGTCAAATCTGCTCAATACAGTCTCTCCGGACAAAGAATGGTGTCAATAGCGAGTGACTATGCATGGCCGTTGGTCTGTTCAATGGATTTGGAACCGGGAAGGACTGGGTGCAGGCGTGGAATTGCTTACATCGTTTCCAAATGAAATGGGACTCCCTGTTTTTGAGCCAGGACAGTGTTTTTATCTGGAACCTGAATACACCCACCACTCATCGCATTCATGGCCAAGCACAGCACCATCTTGATATCGAGAAACCACACATTGTCCGGAGCTGTGTAAGCTGCCATACGCTGTGGGATCGAGACATCAATGCCTCACGGAACATGATCTCGGTATGCCAGTCGATCATCGCCACAGGAGATCGACCGAGTGTATTCAAGACCATGCTCCCGAAACCAACCAAAACAAAGAGATTGCCAACCAAGACGGGAAACAATCTCACGGCTTGCTCGCTGGGGCCTTCAGATATCTGAAGCCAGAAAGGGAAAGTGTCCCGTTTATTTCTGGATAGACTCTGCAACTCGCCAACGATGGTCATAGTGACAGCCAGTTTTGGCTGGGAATGTGCTTCTACTGTGGCTGGGAAGTATCGCAGAGCTACATGACGGCATTCGAGTGGTTCGGCAAGTCAGCAAACCAAGGCAATTCATCCGGACAACGAATGGTTGGCGGATCCTTCCACTTTAGACACGGAGTCACCAAGGTCTGCACCAAGGCCGTCGAGTGGTATCGCAAGTCCGCCGAGGGGGTTAATGGATATGGACAACTTTGCCTCGGCGCCTGGTATTATTATGGCTAGTGTGTCACTAAGGACACCGACGTTGCTGCCTTTTGGCTTCGCCAGTCCGCCGACCAGGGCCATCAACGACCCATCAACTGTCTCATGAGGCACGGCAAGTAGCCATGATCCTCGGATCCTGTCGAGTGCCACTTCCTGCCACCATATCAATGCAGCCATGATAGGCAACAAGTACCGGCTTAACTATGAGTGTGGGTGGTCCTGCCTCTGTGACCCACAGGGCACACCACTGTTCCGCCGCCCCGCAGGCGTTGTCCACCATAGGATCCATCATGGGCTCAGCTCTGTGGGTCGTGGTAACCTCCCTCCTTGGCATCGGATTCCTCGCGATCATCAAGAACGAAAGGCCGGAAGAGACGTCGCTCATGCAACACGTCTTGGTCCTGTAACATCTGCAAGCTTAAACGAGAAGAAACGGGACGCCGAGCCGACGCAGCCCATCTTCCGATGCTGGCAAGCTGAGCCAGTGCGGCCTTGTCTGCTGGCTGACACTCGACGCCGCCCTCGCACGAAATACAGGGGCGAGGCGCCATCCAACCATCGCACGCCAAATTTGCCTCTGGTGCCAGACGGCGGCCATGTGTAGGAGTTTGGCTGCCTCGCCGCCGGGCCGCGCCAAGGGCCGATTCGATGATTGGTGAGATTGAGCCTGCTGGCCAATTGGTCCGACTGCTCGCCTCGGGGAGAGATTTCACAAGATATGCAAAGGACGCCTCGATAGACAGAGCTGATGAGGCAATGGCGGCAACACCTGTTCCATGGCGACTGCGGATCGAGAGCCGTTGCTCGTGTGCGTTCTGTCCCGATAGAGGATAAGCAAATTTGATGCCTGGCTTGGCGAATAAATTGCTGCCATTCGGGCCGGCCCTCCCAGCTCATCACAGCAGCAAGACCCGCGTGAAATCGACAGGATGATGCTGCACACCCTCCCGACCGTCTTGGCTCTCGGCGCCCTGGCCGCCGTTGTCAACAGTGCATTTACTCCCGCAACCTACTATGACATTATCGAGGTACCGTTTGTGCCCTCCCAGCCGGCCAGGATCCGAAATGCTCAGGGCCGTCGACCTCATCGCTGCTACTGTACTGATTCACCCTTCCATCTCGAAATTGTTACAGGACATGCTAATCGGTATGGCATGGCGTTTGCATGCGTGTAGCGCTGTCGGAGAGCTTGAGCGCCGCTGTGATGATCGTGTCTCCACTAACTCACTTGAACCAACAGACCCTCGCTCGGGCTATGGGGCCGTCGGAATTTTCATCCAGTATGTGTTTTCACTGTGCGCGAGGCTGCTTTGACGATCGTCATTGAGATGATGCAAGAACATTGTCCATGTGTATTGAGGCACGGACTCTAACCGACTTGGCTTGCTTATCGCTGACTAGGACCTGTGACGACAACCTTGGCATTGTTAACCCCGGAGGCCCAGGCCCAACTAACCCCACAAACGATATTGTTGCCAACGCTCCCGAATGGGTGAGTGTCGTTGTAATCCGATGCGTCTTGGTACTTCCAAGGCATCCCAGGGCAATCCATGGCTCCCAGTGTGGCATACTCACTCCGTATCGATTTCTCTAAACCTCAGATCCGCACCCTCTTCCACGACTGTGCCAGTTATGATGCTAGCACCGGCACTGGCGGATGCGATGCATCTGTCCAGTTTGAGACCACTCGACCCGAGAATGTTGGCTCGGCCATTCGCGACACGATCGGCCTGCTGCCCAAGCCCGTCGGCATCTCGTGTAAGACCGCTGAGTGGCATACTGAATCCCCTAGTCGATCCAGGCGGTTGCGTTGCAGTGCCGGCTTGTCGGCTGTCCATGATAGACTATCATACAGTGATGGAATAGTCCAACTCATGTGCCCCATGGAATGCTCATCAACTCATGCATCTTTGTTGAAACGGCATCAGTCGCCGACGTCCTCGTCGTTGCTGCGGTTGCGTCTATCAAGGTCTGTGGCGGCCCGACTGTGCCGGTTCGCTTCGGCCGCATCGACGCCACGACTGCCAACAATCCTGCTTTCAACGTCCCGAGAACGTCACCACTCACACCAATCAGTTCTCGCGCATGGGCTTTACCAAGCAAGAGGTAAGCATTTCCTTCATTTGACCCTCTATCGTGCTTCGAATATCCAATACATCGGCTGACTCGAGTGTGTGGGTTCCATCTCTATCGACGGCTAGATGATCAGCCTGATTGCCTGTGGACACACTGTGGGACGAGTCCATGGTGTCGACAAACCCGAGTTGGTCAAGGGACAGCCCACCGTGCCCTTCGATCATACTCCCTTTGTTTTCGACAACGACGTGGCCGTGAGCTACCTAAACAGCACCACCCCCAACGCTCTTGTCAACGGACCCACTGCCGCCCAGCGATCTGACTTTGACATCTTCAACTCGGATGGAAACGCGACCATGATTGGGTAGGTCATTGAGCGTAACAGCACATTAGACTCTCAGAAAGCACTTACCCTCGGTTGCTGCCGGAGCCGCAGTGGTTATCCCGTGGTCACGATTCTGGCCCTGGATGCTGCGTCGCTGCTCTCCTCTGACCTTGGGTCACCCATGCGCTATCATGCGCCCCACCACTCAAGTGCTGACTCTGACTCTCGATATGACCCCCAAGATTCGCAAGCAATCCCGCGAGTTTTATGGATGCGTGCGCCGCCGTCTTCCAGAAGCTCACCGAGCGAGTGCCCAGCAACGTCCAACTCGGCCCTGTGCTCAAATTCCGCACCACTCGCTTCAGCGATCTCACGGTCGAAGCCAATAGCACCACATCGCAGGGCTTTGGTGGTCGTCTCAAGGTCTTCTTTCCCACCAAGAACAATGCACCCAATGTCACCGGTGCCGAGCTGCGCTACCTCGACAAGGACGGCCAGTTCGTCTCCAGCCAGATCCTTAATCTAGGTGCACCTCATCCATCCAATGCCAACATTGACAGTCCCTATGGCATCTTTTCGTGGATTGCCTTCAACTTGAATGTACCTGTCGGTCCCTCTGTTGTAAGTTTTTTGCAACTGTAGTGCTCCAGTGGTAGACCCCTCATCACAGAGGTTTCTCATCGCAGTGGGACAACCGAGTTGCTTAGCCGCGACGGTCGATGTCAAGCTACTGCGCAAGCCCGGCCGCTGTTGCCCGAGTTTCTTGTATAGCATTCACGTCATTCACCATATCCCCTGGACGCCGACCACAGAGCTTGTACTGGGCCACCGCTACTCTCTCGAACGGCACCGTCGTCTACACCAACACGACCGCCGCTGATCTGGCTATCGCCAAGCAGCCCACCAACCCGGTTTACTCGTCGATTTCCATCAGCACTGCCCACAGCGGATATGGCGCCAACGGTGATACCTACCAGCTTGGCGAAACCAGTCCCAGCCATTTTGTCACCGTCGGCATGACCACCGATCTGCCCGAAAGCTTCAACGGCGCCAACCTGACCTTTACGTGAGTATCTCTGTAATTACTGCGCGTCTATCCTGCGATCGCCATCTCTGACACAGCGGCTGTTTGTGGTCCATTGTGCCACTGACATGACATTCTGAATCCCTCTCATATGCAGTATCGCTCTGCGCTCGACCCAGTCCGTGTCAACCTATGGTGTCGACACTGGTATCTCGGTCTTCCGTCTCGGCCGCCTCGGATACTCGTTCAGGATTCCCAATGGCGTTCCAGTCGGAACCTACCAAGTGACTGCTACGCTTGCGGGCTCTGCTGTTCGTATCGGCGACGCTGCTGCCCAGAACAACCTGGTAGTCACCGACTCGACCGTTATCACCGTCGTCAACCCTGCTATCACCACCACTACCACCACTACCACCACCTCAGCTTCTCCCAGCAGCACCTCTGCCTCAATTGTCCTTGGCGGTCCATGCACCAAGGTCGCTTCCTATGGCTGCGATGTGAATACTCCCACGATGATTCTCACTTGCGACAGCACCCTTCACTGGGCCTATTCCAACACCTGCCCCAGCCCGACCAAGTGCGCGATCAACGGCGGCTGGGTTGGCTGTCTTTGAGCGGCTTTGTCCCAAGTGCTTCAACACCATCGGGTACGCTTTCTATGAATCCCTGATCGATCTTTGTCGGCAGCCATCCGACTAAATCCGCATCGGCGTTCCAACGAGTCGCCACTGTATGCAGCGAGCCTTTATTGAGCCATACAATACACATCATCGAGGCTGATAAGCTCAACGTTCATGAGCAAGGAAATATGGTGGGGATCCGAAAACGCACATGATGCTTTCGCTATGGCCAGGAGCGCAGCCAATCGGGCCTTGGCGAATTGAGGTGGGCTTACGGACGGCACCATCATAATTAGAGGATGTGCTGCCTACGAGGGGGCACTGACTCGCTTGAATATGAACCGATACGCGTGACGGGTGCTTGATAAACTGTTTTTGCTGCATTTCACGAAGGATGGCACAAATTTGCTTCGCCGAGACTGATGCCCAAGGAGTTCCGTACCTCGGAGCCATCGTCGACATCAACGGCTTCAGGATGGACCGCCAGATCCAGAACCTCACCCACAAGGCTAGAGGTGCCGCCGACAAGCTGGTGAAGCACGGAATGAGCCTGGGCCGATACTCGGCCAAGACGGTGACGAGGGTGTTCAAGACCTTCGTTCGGCCCATGCTCGAGTATGGACTGACCCTCGAAGTGCTCACGAAGCAGCAAGCCGTGATACTCAGACGAGCACAGATGCACTGTCTGACTCGACTCTTCAGAGTGGTGCGGAACACATCCTATGGAGCGATGCACCTCGGATGCGGACTCATCACCCTGTTCAATCCAGGCGTTGAAATTCCAACCGAGAAAGAGAAAGAAATGGGCCTGTCGGCTCTCCATTCGCTCTTTCTTCAACCTTTCCTGAGATATCAAACTGCAAGCAGCGACTGGGCACAAGATCTTGAGCGGCATCTGGAGCCGTGTCCGGAGCATCGTCAACATTTTGGTCGAAAGGATCAGGACCAGCTGTCGGTATGATGTCGGTGTGGCTTTCTTTGGCTGCACCCCAGACCATGACCTCATCACTGAGTTGTCCACAATCCCCTGAGGTGTGTTATATATACTGATATATTGATGTGCCAGAGCAATCCGATACACCGAGGCGTTGTACTAGTAGGTCATTTCATACTGCCACATAAACGAACCCAAGATTTGCTCCGGGAAAGCGGCCGCAGCACGATGCATCAACAGAGCGCTATCGATGAATCCACTACTACTCAAGCACCACCCAGGTTGTTCTCTTCTTCAACCGGCCTTACTTCCGTCACCATCTGGACTGAGGCTGATCGATGATAGTGTGATGAAGCGAGGACTTCATCCAGATACGCTCAGTTGCGGTGAATCAGCTCCTCAGTCGGGCCGACTAACTCATCGAATATTGATTGCGGCATGCCGCTGCATCTCAATTTCTGGAGCAGAGGCATGCGTGGGAGTCCTTCGATCGATCGCAAATTCGTGCATGAGTATAGATTCAGTTCCAAGAGCCTCATCAGGGACGCAGGGAATCCCTCGAGCGACGTAAGCAAGGGACACAATACGTAGAGGATCTGAAGCGACGGCATACAGCTTGGCAGTCCACGGAGGTTGTAAAATGAACCATTCAGACACAGAATCTTCAATTTGGGTGTGTATGGAAAGCGATCAAGTGACTCGAGACTTGACGAGTACGACATATGGAGCTCTTCAAGCGAGCTGATGTGATTCAGGGGTATGTCCAAGGTCTTCAGTCCCCTGGGAGTTATCAGTTTTCTCAAGTTGGGGAGATAAGGAATCTCCTTGAGCGACGCAAGCTCAGAACAGCTTGAGAGATCAATGCTTTGAAGCGAGCAGAGGATCCTGGGCAGTCCTTGCAGGCTCCGTATCAGTGGAGGCAGTATCAATGTTGTCAATTTGGGCATCTCGGGCATTCCCTTGAGCGACGTTAGCCGAGCGCAATCACTTATATCCAAATGCATGAGGGACGGAAGCACTGGCGGCAGTCCTTGAAGATCCTCAACATCTGCCCTGAGAGTGAGCTTTTCGAGTAAATGCATCTCGGGCATGCCTCTGAGAGACTTGAGACTATTCCAGCCGATCTCCAAGTGCTTTATATAATCGAATCTTGGTGGCATTCCCACTAGACACTCGGCTTTACTGTCCCTCCAGACCATCTTTTCTGCCGTTTGGTCGATGCGCAGTATATAGTTGCTCTCACGATGACAACTTTCAAGGGATTGAGAGTGGACTGTGACTTTCGTCAAGGGAGATTTCCAGTTCACCAGCCCTGTGGGAATCTCCAGCACAGACAGCATGGAGTCATAATCCAGAGCGTAGCATCCGATGTATGTTCTGCCTCGATCGATGCCCAGCAACTGAATATTCAATCCTGCTGATATATCCATTGCCGTGCGAGTGTCTCCTATTAGTTCATTAAAGTTCTCGTCTCCTGATGTCCTCAAGAAATGATCAAGGAGCTCGCTTGGTTCCTCCATATGCACATTGAGGCACTGGTTTGATAGGTTCGCCTCCGATAATGCATCGATGAATACCAGGCTCAGCAATGTCCAGAATTGGTGGAATGCTAGACGGACATTGTGCGATCGATCCTTCGCAGAACAACTCCTCCATTGGGGTGATTGTTGAAACCAATGGATGATATCAACAGCATTCTTCAGACAGATCGATTGAGGAAGCCGGATGTTCCTCAATCCCGGCATCGGTGGTCGTCGCTCGAGCGACATGAGTCGATCGCATGTCCACATGTTCAAGTCCGTGAGCGAGTCCAGTTGGCTTGGAAATCTATACAGGCTCTGGATGGATCTTGGAAGTCTGAGCTCATTCAATTTTCGCAACGGAGGAAACCCAACAAGAGATGTGATTCGACTGCAGCGGCTCAGATCCAACATCTCAAGCTGGCCAAAGTATTGATAAAGAGGTTCGATGTTCTCGATGAGTGGAGGGAGCCTCACTCTGATAACACTTGGTATCCGTGACAGTCCGTTGAGGCTCTGGATGTTCGCACACTCGGATAAATCGAGCAGAGTCAAGTTCGGCAAGGTATTCGGCATTCCTTCGAGAGTGGCAATATTGCACCGAATCGTCAGAGACTCGAGTTGTTGCATCTCGGGAAAGCCAGAAAAGTCCGTGACTTCGTTGGTTGAGTTATCAATGATGAGAGTTCTGATGCGGTGAGAGATCTCTGGCCAGTCGGAAAACACCGAGACTCCGCAGTCGACCAATCTGATACATGGCGCATGAGATGCATCTTGAAGAAAATACACTTCGTGTGGGAGGAGCTTGGACACTTGTTCGTCGGTGTGATATGGGTGATGATCGAATCGGACAATGTTCAGAAATAGTGCGTACGGGTTGTGTCCAATATTAATTATCCTGGAGCGTCTATATGACGGCAGCAACAAAATGGAACTGTCGAGTATTTTGAATTGGTCTTGTGGGCTAAGGGAGCGAAGGTCATCGGAAGACTCGAAAGATTCATTTCGGACCACCTCCAGATCGTAATTGGAGAATGGATACTGAAGACCTAAACCATACCTCTCGTGGTTGATGATGCACCGAAGCAATTCTGATCTGGCAGCTGCCCACCAGAGAGGCAGCTCCTTCTGATATGCCTCAAAGCTCGCTGGATATCCGTTCCTGCGTGTGAGGAAGAAGAAGACTCCCTGGAGGAAGTCGTTGGCATCGATGAATTCCTTGGTCCTGTTAAGAACATCGCAGAACTTGGCTCTCTTGGAGTTGGGAATAGATGCCCTGCCATCGATGTGAGACTGAACAACACGGAGCCTCCCATCTTCGGAAACGAGCGAGAGGATGTCCTTGTACTCTGGCGCCAGGCGAGGAAGGAGAGCCAGAGTCGCGATGCCGATGGTTGCGACAAAGGCATCGTTGCAGATCAAGATCGTGAGGATGTCGTGGGAGGCGAGTAAGGCACAAACGTGGCTGGGATAGCCGGAATGGGTGTTGCCGGGTGGACCGGTCTCGGCGACAGTATGTGGACTCGTATCGAGGCGGGCGATCTTGGCGGGACTGCTGTCTGTGAGATCACAGCCGAGGGTGCGTTTTTGAGACATGCTGGATTGGCTTGGCTTGGCGGATGGTGTGAGTGGGATGGGAACGAGGATGGCGGTTTTGTGCTTGGTCCGAGATGCTGCTTCGCTCTGGATACCCTGCTTCGCTTGCTGCGCAACAGTTCAGACATTCCGCTCGACAGCTCCGTCGCCATGTTGTCTGGTTGTCATGGTTCCCACGCCAGAGATTGTGTGAGGAGTTTGGCGGCAACATTCTGGACATGTGTGAAAGGCGCTGTGAAAGGTTGGTGAGGCATTGAACGAGGGTGGGTGAATACTCAAAACGGTGGCGAGGGTTTCAAGACGTCCATTCAGCCGATGATGGAGGATGGGCTGACCCTCGAGAATCCCAGCAAGGAGTGGCTATGGCACACAGCCGAACCCAGTCCAGCTGCAGAAGGAACTGATCCAAGGATCGGTCCTGAGCCCTCTGCTCTTCAGCGCCTTCATTGACGACCTCCCGAAACTCCTGAGGAGAGGGAGGAACGACCCTGACGACCACCCGCGGCATCAACATCCAGATCAACTCGCTGTGGTTTGCCGACGACGGCGCACTGATCTGCAGACCCGGACAAGCACAGAGATTGCTCGGACATCTGCGAACAGCACAGTATCGACAACAGATACAAGTTCTCGCCGCCCAAATGCGAAGTGATCTTCTCCGAGGGCAATCCTGAACGAGCAACCGGCCTCCGACTCTACGGCCAGCCGCTGCCCATGGCAAAGGAGTTCAAGTACCTCGGAGCCACCTTCGACGTCAACGGCCTCCAGATGGACCGACAGATCCAGAGGATGACGGCGACAGCCCAAGTAGTGGCTCAACGGATCGCAAAGCAAGGATACATCCTCGGCAACATGACCGCCAGATCGCTGGTGCGGGTCTACAAGACCTTTGTCCGACCGACGATGGAGTATGCCCTGTCCCTCGATCTGCTCGAAGCCAAACAAGCCAAGACACTCAACCGAACCCAGATGCACTGCCTCACGGCTGCTGTTCAAAGTGGTCCGAAACACATCGTGGGGAGCCATGCACATCAACTGCGGGCTCATATCAATGTCGGGCCGCCTCAAACAGCTGGTGATTCAATACCGGGCTGTCTGGGAGGATCGGAAAGACCAGGACGACAAGATGGTCTCGCTGGTGCTCCGATTCACTCGCGCAGGACCCAGAGCGCAAGTCCATCTTCCTTGGAGCAGCCATCTACGAGGACGACTACTGGAAGCGCCTCGAACAAGTCAAGACCCGGCACCCCCTGGGAACAATGAGGTGGCTCTTTGCAGAAGGAACGATTGAAGAACCTGGCCCACCTCTGAAAATGGTGATGCACCTCGAAGACGCCCGCAGTTTCGACCGGAAGAAGGAGCTGACGGCGGCCTGCTCGCCTCTGACGACCATGTCGGGCCTGTGGGCTGCCAAGAAATCCAAAATGGACCGATGGCTGCACTGCATCGCGGCCCGATGGAGACTCGGAAGCTTCCCTGGCCACCCGAAAGGCGGGAGGAGACACTGCAAGCAGTGCACGACAGACCCAAATGACCCGGTGATCCTCGACAGAACGCATGCTCAGGAATGTGCTGACCCAAACGGAAGCCTCCACGAGGTGGTCCGACAGTACAAAGACCAACACCCAGAGTGGGAGGAACCGACCCACGACAGCGTGGGGCCGATAGACAAGATCCTCGACCTCCTCAGCCATGTTGGATACGACAGAAGTGAGAGGATGGTGCGCTTCGTGAGAACTGACACAGATGTAGATGCTCTGTGGGGTACGATCTCACAAATCTTCATGAAGCTGACCAAAGATCCTGGCTGGGTGGGCAGCACCTACACATAGAAGGATAGCACAGGGGAGGAGGCATGTAGGCACCTTCCAGATAGCCCAGGGGAGGAGGCGTATAGCCACCTTCCAGAACGACACTTTGCCGAGTATCAGTGATGCTGAGGGCAGGCGCACAAATAAAAGTGCGCTATTGAAACAACAAACTGAATAAATTCACCCGCTTGGTCTCAGACCTTGTGGCCAGCTGAGGCACCGATAGGCAGTACCAGGTGTGTGTGAGTCTGCTTGAGCTCCCACTGCCGGGTGCCGCATGGTACTGATGGCTTGGCTTCTTGAATTCATTAGCAAATGTTAAAAAGCAATCATCGACCTGTCCATGAAAATCATCGCTGTAATTATTAATCACTGACGCAATTATTGAATTTTATTCAAGGCAGGAATCATCAATCCTCCAGTGCCCTACGGAAACACGAAACTTCGGCTTGGATATCGGGGGTGTTGAGGTAAATTGGCTGTGGAGGTGGATGTGTCAGTCGATATCCAGAATGAGAAGTGGTGGGTGACCTTGACTTACCAAGATGATGACTGGACGGTGGGGTTCACAGGACATGAACACAACCCCGCCTGATGGGATGAGTGTGTGTCGTAACCAATCTCCAAAAAGGGAGTGTGATATTTTGAATGGGTGAGTGCTGTGGCGGACCCACCGAGGTGCTTCATCTTCATCAATTTGGATCCATGGGGACCTACATGGAGGGTTGAATGAACCCTCACAAGAAGTGGGATCTTCATTGGAGCGAACCCACTGGTCATCGCGACTGACCCAAATGAATTGAGTGTCGCTACAGTCAAGAGACTTGATCGAGTTACCATCGGGTGAGATCGCCACGGAGGTCACACCACTTGTGTGTCCCTCGAGAGTTTGTTTCACATGGCCCGTGGTAGCATCCCACACCTTGATGGACTTGTCGTCAGAGCCAGAGACAATCCACTTGCCATCGGGCGAGATAGCAACGGAAGTCACACCGCCTGTATGCCCCTCAAAGGAGTGCTTCAGCCGGCCTGTGGCGGCATCCCACACTTTGATAGTCTTGTCTTCAGATCCAGAGGCAATCCACTTGCCGTCGGGCGAGATCGCCACGGAGGTAACATGCCAGGTGTGTGCCTGGAGAGTCTGCTTCATTTGGCTAGTGATGGAGTCCCATATTTTGATAGTCTTGTCATCCGAGCCAGTGACAATCCACTTGCCATCGGGAGAGATCGCCACGGCGTTCACCCGGTTCTTGTGACTAGCAAGTGTCATTTCACACGGATCCCAGGTGGGTGCTGGACCAGTCGTGACCAGGAACGGGATCTTGTCCTCGAGTTGGTCGGCATATGCCCTGTAGATCGCCGTCTCCTTCGGTGTGAATGCATACCCCGAGTTGTACACCTGTGATGCGCTCTTGATGATCGGGTCGGCAAACTCGCGGATGAATCGATACGTGTCCTTGACCAGTTCCTTCGTGGTGTCGTCGACGATGGTGCTGGGTGCCTTGGCGATCACTCCTCGCAGCACAGCCAGTTGCTCGATGATCGGCTTGACCACATGTGTGAGCGACCCACACTCGAGCCAGAAGAACACATGGGTCTTGACGAACCGAGTGAGCACCGCTGCCACATCGACAGTCTCAGCCGACTGCCACACCGGACTCGACTCGGCCACTCCGTCCACACACCACACAAAGTGTGTGATCCAGTGGGCGACGCTGTATCGCTGCGACGGTGTGATCTTGGCTGCGACTCTGTCCTCGAGGTCTGGGATCTTGTCGTGAAAGTCGAAGATATCGCAGATGTTGATCACCGGCTCGTGCGAGAGGATCACTCCGAGACATCCCTTGGCAAACACCGTGTGGAACGAAGTCGACACATGCCACGGATGGCCAGTCGATGCATCGCCGAGGAGATAGTCTGCCACCGACTTGTGGTTGAACTTGACCTCGGTGTTGGTGGACTGGCTGTCTCGGGGACCCAGTCCGTTGGCGCCTGGATCGAGGACCAGACTGAGGCTCTTGAGACACTCGCGAACGACGCCGATCTCGAGTCCAAACACATCAGCGATGATCTGTGGGGTCAAAATCGACTGGGCCGTGGCGATGGCCGACACCACCGTGACCAGCTCGGCCGGGTGGCTCGACTGCGAGTGGATCTTGGCGAATGTCTTGTTGTACAGCTGCCCGACATCGGCGGCGCTGTCGTTGATGTCCTTGATCATGGCGAGTGTCACTGGGCCATCGGTGGATGCTGCATCGACGGTGTTGAGGATCAGGTTGATCCACACGAATGTCTTGGACTGGTCCAGCAGGATGGCGACTGCCTTGGTGCGGTCCGAGTCAGTGAGAGTGTCATACACTCGCAGTCGGTGGCGGATGAACACCTCGAGGTCACGGACGTTCTCCTCGCTCGAGGGTTCGATCGTCTTGGTCGGGACTCCATCGAATGCTGCCGTGATGTCCTCTTCGGGACGGGATGTCAGCAGCAGCTTGAGCCACGGACGGGTCTTGTTCAGCTCAACGAACCGCCAGGCAAGCAGGCTGAGCAGCTGGTCGCGCGGAGAGCACTCGTCGAGTGCATCCACCAGGATCATCACCGATCCCTTGGGTCTGTATTCGCCGATGGCTTCGAGTGGCTCCTCGATCACGGCCTTGAACAGATCGGGGATGCTCATCTTGTCAAGACTGTCCTTGGTGTGGCCAGCCTCGAGCAACTTGCGGCCGATCGGTGAGTACCACTTGCACAGACCGTATGCGATGGTGTTCAACACAACTCGCGGATCGCTCTTGCGGGTGTCGTTGTACTTGAGGAACAGCGCCGACACCAGCTGTGCGTTTGCCTGGAGGATGTTGGCGATCTGGGCGGCAGCGACAGACTTGCCGACACCAGCGACGGCATTGACCCACAGGACAGTGTCGGTGGTATCCTGGTTGACCCACTCGGTCGTTTGGTCGAACAGCCACTGGCGGGTGCCCTCGACATATAGCTTCTCGAGTGCCCGTCTATCTAAAGTTGAGTCGATGGGATCAAGGAGGAGTCGCAGGGCGTGGTTCTCGTTGGCAGTGAGGACAGTCGATCCAGTCGGGAGATAAGTTGGCACGGTGGCAACGAGGTTGGTCTTCTTCCAAGTCTCACGGATCTCGGGGACGAGTCTGTGGATGTGTGAGTCAGCATCTGGATGGTCTGCATCAATGGATTGATGGATGAGACGAATGCCATCAGCAAGTCCCACACAGACACACTCACTTAGTGACGGCATAGTCGTCGGCAGCAATCAGCGCCTGCAGCTTGAGCAACTCCTCGAGAGTCTGACGCACAGTGAGGGGAGGGCTGATCTGGTGCAGGTTGGAGGGACTGGACTTGTGGCAGTGGATGGCATCGGGAAAGTCGTTCTTGTTGGGGAACCAGTCTCTGGTGTACTTGGTGCCATTGATCATCGCACTGGACTTGATGAGGATCGGGAGGATCTGGACGGGTGAGCGGGTGTTCTGGGTCTCCTTCATCTGCTTCAGAGCCAGCTCGATCTGGGACAGGATCATTGGTGAGTAGATGGCGAGTGGATGGTGATGGTGGTGCTGGACTGGATCGACGACACTCACCTCGAGGAATTGATTGTCTGGGCAAGTGTCGGCAGTCTTGGTTCTCTCGAGTCCAGCCTCGGAAAGGAGGACGACAATGACCTTGGAGTTGGCCAGGCCGTTCATGAAGCCATCTTCCCAGTCCAGTCCGTTCTCGAGGCATCGGGCGTCCAGGTAGACATGGGAGGGGTGCTGCTCGCCGACACGACCAGCACTGAGGGCCGAGTGGAGTTTGACAGCAGTCACCTCCTCACTGGCCACGCGATAGCTGGACGGATGTAATATCGGTGAGATGGATGCGAGATGGATGCGAGATGGATTTTTTTTTTTTCTTTCTTTATTGTGCGCCGCCGTGGCGGCGCACTAGCCATCAGGACCCCGTGGTCCCCGGCATCTCGCTCTTCATAAAAAAAGTTCGGAACGAACCACTAACGACCAAAGTCTTAAGAGGCTGGGCCCCACCGGCACGCTCGGCACGAACTCTGAAGGAGCTCGTGCGTCATCTGCTATCACCAGATGGGGACGGACCCCTTCCTCCAAGGGCGGCCAATGTTGCGCCCCGATGGTGGGATACGGGGGTCGAACCCGCGGCATCACGTTGCAAGACGGTGCGCGCTTCCCAATGCGCAAACCACCGACTACATGCGAGACTGATGTGAATGGATCACGCGCAACAACAAGCGCCACCAACAAACCTGATGAAGATGTCGTGGATATGGAAGCCGCTGGCGCAAGTCCATCGTGGATTGAGGACAGGCGGGTTGTATTCTCGCTCCGTGGAGGCAGGAGTGAGGATCGAGGTAGAGATGGCAACGACTGGAGGGGCAGTGGGAGTTGTGATGGCTTGTTGGTTGTGGTCTCGCTGAGCTCGTTTGATCTTGGTGATTGCTCCAAACTTGAGACCGATTGCACTCATTTCCTCGCCCGGCATATCCAGGATCTGGATGGGGATTGGTATCAGCCATCGGGCAGCGGCCACACTCTACCACCTCATCAGCACATACCGAGTCGATGGTGTCGTATTCGTTGTCCAGCAGACATTGCCTGTTTCTCTCCAGTCCATATCGTTTGAGGAAAGCATCAAAGTCGTCTGTTCAGGGCAAGCCACCAGTCAGCTGCTGTGCAAGTGTCCACCATCCTGCCACGATGCGGCACTCACCTCCCGACATTGCAGAGTCTCAGGACAGGCGATGTCAATGGAAGGCAGATTGACAGAAGGCGAGGGGGAATGAGAAGGCAGGGAGACGCCACCAGTTTTGGGGAATCAACCTTGTCAGCGAAGCCAAATGGAGCCAGGGTGGATCCAGGTTGGAGCCGGGTGGCGATGCAATCAACTCTGGTCAATCCAGCACACAATCTCGCCTTTGACACTTCATCATCTTTCATGGGCCATCATGGCAGGGCACTGTGGTGTGGAGGCAAGGTGATGGTCTTGGAGTTCGGGGAGTCGGTGGGCTGTTCGGTGTCCTTGTGACGACATTGATCTCGGATTTGACCTTGACATCCTTCCGAGTGTGGGCAATGAGGACTGGCTGCTCGAAGCAGAGGTGGTTGCCAAGATGGATCCGGCAGGTCTGATATGGAATATATGAGCCACATACTTGTATGACAGAATGTGGGGTGTTATTCCATGATCGATTTCATGTTCGATGACTGTGGCAGTGGCAGTGGCGGTACAAAGAACAACGAGTCCAGCCAGTTATCCGGCGGATCGAGCCAGGCTTGTGTGATTATGCGCTATTTTTGTCACTTCCTGGGGTGCAAATATCGGCTGTCCATCCGCGGGAAATGCTTGCCTCACTCCAGTCTCCGTCAAGATGACCGGCAAATTTCCCCTCAATCCAAACGTCGTTGTTCGAACACAGTGGTACATCTCGCCCAGGGACATCACCGACCGCTCGGCCAACCTCATCGGCCGCGGTGGTTTTGGCGAGGTCTTCACTGGCACATACTTTGGCTCCAAGGTCGCCATCAAGCAGCTCCTCGGAAATTACAGCAACCGGGAGCTCGCCGAGTACCACCATGAAATCGATATCTGGCAGAAACTCAGCCACCCCAACATCCTCCCTCTGCTCGGTGCCTGCGACAAAGACGATGATGGCAATCCGATTCCTCCCTTCATGGTCTCGCCGTTCATGCCCAACGGCACCCTTCGCAACCATGTTGCCAACAACAATGTCCCGCTCGAGGAGAAGCTCCGTCTGCTCTACCAGGTGGCTTCGGGGATGGCATATCTCCACGGCCGCCGCATCATCCACGGCGATCTCAAGGCCCTGAACATCCTCCTGGACGGCTTGAACAACGCCGTCGTCACCGACTTTGGCATGCCCCGCACCAAGCACACCTCTGCCTCGCTGGACCGCAACCGATCCATGGGCCCGACCGGCGGCACTGAAGGTTACCTTGCACCCGAGATGCTTGACGGTGATGATCCCAGCGGATCCACCATGAAGACCGACGTCTACGCCTTCGCCATCACCATGTATGAAGTACTCAACGATGCCAAGCCCGTCTGGGTCACCAGCAACGGACAAGTCATGCGAAATCGGGTAATCGAACACATTTCCTGCGAGGGCAAGCGTCCTAAGCGTCTCGACGACATCCCCGACGCCATCTGGGCCCTCGTCGAACGCTGCTGGGCCCAAGATCCCGCCGCCCGCCCTGCCTTCACCGAGATCCTTGCCGTCCTCCAGCCATACAACCGAGCTGTTATCCCTGCAAGCGCTGCTCTCGCTGCTCCAGCCGCCGCCAAGTTCCCTTCCGTCAACCGGGTTGCCAGCCATTTCACCACTCTCAGCGTGAACAACCAGCCCCCGTCCCAGTCCAGTCGTCCTGCCGAGCTCAAGTTTGACGGTATCGAATCGGCCACTCGTCTCCCTACCTCCATCGTCTCCCGCGCCAAGCAAGGCGATCCCGATGCTTGCCTCGATGCTGCCAAGATGGTCTCGGAGGGTCTTCCTGCCCGCCACCAAGATTGGAAGCTCGCCGCCCAGCTCTACAAGGTCGCTGCCGACCGCGGCAAACTCGAAGCATCCTTCCAGCTGGCCTGGCTCACATTCCTGGGCGAGGGAATGGCCAAGAACGACCGCGGTGCCTTCGTGCTTTGGCAGGAAGTTAGCAACAAGTCGGATGACGCTGTTCTCAAGCCCATCGCCACCCACATGCTCGGTTGGATGCACTACCTCGGTCGGGGTACTCAACAAGACAAGCAAAAAGGCATAAAGACCATCCGTGACAACAAATCCAATGTGTTCGGCCTTGGGGAGGACGAGTGCCTTGCATCACGATGGAACGATATCCAGTCCGACTGCCCTGCATCCTGCAAGTTCTTCGAGCTGTGCCAGTTGGGATCGGACCGAGACTGGATATGTAAGCATCTCATGGCCATGTGCATGATCCATGGATTTGGAACCAGGCAAGATCGTATGATGGCAGCAAGAACCTTGGAGGAACTCGCTCAGGACGGTCACAGTGACAGCCAACTTTGGATTGGAGAGTGCTATAAATGCGGCGAGGGTGTTTCGAAGGACTACGAGCAGGCCTTTCAGTGGTTTAATAAGTCCGCTGAACAAGGTAATCCATACGGGCAGTGGTGGGTTGGTTACTGCTATCACTGGGGATTTGGAGTCGCTCAGTTCCGAGGGCTGGCAACGGACTGGTTTCGCAAGTCGGCCGACCAGGGCAATCGGTATGGACAAGCCTGGCTCGGCGAGTGCTTCAAGACTGGTCATGGTATCGCAAAGAACAACGAAAGCGCTGTGTTCTGGCTTCGTCGATCTGCCGATCAAGGGCTTGAGTTTGCCATCAGCCGCCTCAATAACATTGACAAGCGGACTTGATCCGATTGTCTTTTTCAAAGGTCATGTTGCAAAACCGATTATCTGGTCTGAGAAACCAAGAAAACCATGGCGCCTCGCTGGTCGTCAGCGACACAGTATGTGACATTCATTGCCTCCAGTCCATCCACAATACATAGCAATGATGCCCCATAGCAATAGCCGACTCTGATCGACCGAGAGTATTTTTGAAAGACTCGACAACGACAAACTCAATACTCGATAATCGATGCTCGTTCTGCTACTAAAGGAGCGGGCAATTATCGCCAACGGAGTACTGCAATTCATGCGACACTCCTCCACCAAGCTCAAAATGCGATTCAGAATCGACTGTTTCATAGTGTGGCGCTCCTCACTTTCCTTTGGCTTGGATCGCTCGGCACCACTAAGGATTCTGGGTGTTTCGAAGAACACATTCCAGGGCCTGTTCTCGGATCCGGTCCTCCAAGTTGGCAATGCTGGACGCGACTTGTTTGATGTCCTTGTGCCCGGGATTATTGATGGTTTCGGTCCAGATTTCCAGCGCCTCTCGGTACAAGTCAAGGGCGTTGACGTATTCGCTTTCAGCACATGCAACATCACCCAGGTTTTTGAGGACCTTTGCAATGCCGGGATGTTTTCGTGTTTTGTAATACTCGGTGAGAATGTCCACGGCTTCCTGAAGCATGCGTCGCGACTCGGAGAGTTGGTCCTGGAGACACTTGAGTACTCCATAGGCGTCAAGGGTCAAGGCAACCTGGACATGGGCTCGAGTTTTGAGGGTCTTGAGATAGATATCAAGGGCCTCGAGGTACAGCTTCTCGGCAAGCTCATATTCGCCGCGTATGCGAGCAACAGTGCCCAAGCGGCGCAGAGTGACGGCGACGTCGACATGTTCCCGAGTGCCATAGATCTTGATTTTGATGTCCAGCGACTCCTGGTAGTGCTTGGATGCGACCTCCAAGTCATCTTGGAAACTGGCGACGTTGCCCAGGCAGTGGATGATGGTGGCAACGAATCCGTGTTCTCGTGTGCCATAGATTTTTACACCAATGTCGAGGGCTTCTTGCAAGTACTTGAGAGCGCCATCGGTGTCACCCTGAAATTCTGTGACATTGCCCAGAGATCCGATCGTGGGGACGACTGAGAAATGTTGCCGAGTGCCATATAGTTTGGTCTGGAGGGCAAGCGTTTCTTCATAAAATTTGATAGCGATTCCATAGTAACCCTTCCACTCAGCAATGTTACCCATCTGTTGAATCATGGCGACGATATCTGGATATTCACGGGAGCCGTAGATTTTGGTCTTGATCTCGACCACCTCTTGGTAATACTTGAGAGTATCCTCGTAGTTGTACTGGACATTGGCAAGATTGCCCAGAGATAGAAGTGTGGTAGCAACTAAAATGTGTTCCCGTGTGCCGTAGACCTTGACTCGGATATCGAGTGCATCTCCATAGTATTTTAGTGCGGCTGTACAGTCTCCCCACATGAACGCAAGACTTCCAAGGTTGTGAAGCACGGTCGCAATTTCGGGGTGCTCTCGGGTGCCATAGATCTTGGCCTTGATGTCGAGCGACTCTTGGTAGTACTTGAGAGCGCGATTGTAGTCACAGAGTGCGCTTGCGACATTGCCCAGGTTGTTGATCGTGGTGGCGATTTCAGGATGCTCTCGTGTGCCATAGACTTTGATGCTGATCTCGAGGGCCTCCTGATAGTGCCGGAGAGCGGCTGTGTAGTTACCTTGGGAGTTTGCGACGTTGCCCATGTTGTTTATCGTGGTGGCAATCGAGACATGCTCTCTCGTACCATATATCTTGATTTTGATATCGAGCGACTCTTGGTAGTACTTGAAGGCAGCAGCGTAGTTACCCTGGGAGTAGGCAACATTTCCCATGTTGTTCATGGTCGTGGCAACTGAGGAATGCTCTCGTGTGCTATAGATCTTGGTCTTGATATCAAGCGACTCTTGGTAGTACTTGAGAGCAGCCTCGTAGTTGCCTTGTGAGGAGGCTACGCTGCCCATGTTGTGAATCGTGTTCGCGACATCAGGATGTGTTCGGGTGCCATAGACCGCAGTGTTGATACCAAGAGACTCTTCGTAGTATGCAAGGGCGGACTTGTAGTGCCCTTGCGAGTTGGCAACATTGCCCATATTGTTGATCGTGATGGCAATAGAGGCATGTTCGCGTGTGCCATACACTTTTATTTTGATGTTGAGCGATTCTTGATAGTGCTGGAGAGCGGCTGTGTAGTTGCTTTGGGAATTGGCAACATCGCCCATATTATCTAACAAGGTGGCGATCTCGGGGTGCTCTCGGGTGCCATAGACCTTGATCTTGATGTCGAGTGACTCTTGGAAGTATTGGAGAGCGCCTTTGTAGTCACAGAGTGAGCTCGCGACATTGCCCAGGTTGTTGATCGTGGTGGCGATTTCGGAGTGCTCCCGAGTGCCGTAGACCTTGATACAGATATCGAGAGCTTCTTGATAGTGTTTGAGAGCAGCCTTGAAGTCCCCTTTTGAGCTGGAAACGCTGCCCATGGCATTTATTATGGTGGCGATATTGGGGTGCTCTCGTGTGCCATAGACTTTGATGCTGATCTCGAGGGCCTCCTGATAGTGCCGGAGAGCGGCTGTGTAGTCACCTTGGGAGTTTGCGACACTGCCCATATTACTTATCGCTGTGGCAATTTCTGGGTGCTCTCGGGTGCCATAAACCTTGGTCTTGATGTCGAGTGACTCTTGGAAGTATTGGAGAGCGCCTTTGTAGTCACAGAGTGAGCTCGCGACATTGCCCAGGTTGTTGATCGTGGTGGCGATTTCGGAGTGCTCCCGAGTGCCGTAGGCCTTGACGCTGATCTCAAGGGCCTCCTGGAAGCATTTGCGAGCGACTAGATAGTTGCCTTGGGACTGAGCCACAGCGCCCAGGTTGTTTAATATTGTGGCGATTTCGGGGTGATTCCGCGTGTTATGGACCTTGGCTTTGATGTCCAGCGACTCTTGGAAGTACTGGAGAGCGGCTGTGTAGTCACCTTGGGAGTTTGCGACGCTGCCCATGTTGTTGATCGTGGTAGCGATTTCAGGGTGCTCTCGGGTGCCATACACCTTAATGCAGGTATCTAGTGACTCTTGGTAGTATACAAGTGCGGAATTGTAGTTCCCTTGCGAGTGGGCAACACTGCCCATGTTACTGACCGTGGTGGCGATTGCCGGATGTTCTCGCGTGCCATACATCTTAATCTGGATGTCCAATGCTTCTTGATAGTACTCGAGAGCAAGCCCATAGTCACCATTACCCTTTGCCATACGGCCCATATTGTTTATCGTGGTGGCGATATCAGGATGCTCTCGTGTGCCATAGATCTTTGTTTTGATGTCAAGCGATTCTTGGTAGTGCTTGAGAGCGGTTGCGTAGTCACCTTGTGAAGATGCGACATCGCCAATGTTATGAATCGTTGAGGCAACTGAGGGATGTTCTCTCGTGCCATATATCTTGATTTTGATATCGAGCGACTCTTGGTAGTACTTGAGAGCAGCCTCGTAGTTGCCTTGAGAGTAGGCAACATTACCCATGTTGTTCATGGCCGTGGCAACTGAGGAATGCTCTCGTGTGGTATACACTTTGGACATGATATCCAGGGCCTCCTGGTAACATTTGAGCGCTACTTCGTTGTCGCCCAGACAGTGCGTGGCATGACCCAAGTTGGTTATGCTTTCAGCAACATCCGAATGTGTTCGGGTGCCATAAATCTTGACTTTGATATCAAGTGCCTCCTGAAAGTATTTGAGCGCAGTCCGGTGGTCTCCTTGTGAGTTGGCGACAAAACCCATGTTGTTGATCGCGGTGGCAATCGAAGGGTGCTCTCGCGTTCCATGCACGATGGCTTGGATGCTCAGCGCCTCTTGGTAGTATTTGAGAGCTGCTTGACTGTCACCTTGAGCGCCAACGATCCTGCCCATGTAGTTGAAAGCATCGGCGACCTTCGGATGCTCTCGTGTGCGACAGAATTTGAGAGTTTTGACCAGATGTCGTTCGAGCACTTCTTTTGCCTTCTTGTAATGTCCACTTCTTAGTGCAATCTGACCAATGCGAGCCTCGACGGCCTGGTGGGTGTTTTTGGTGTATTCATCTGCGGCAGCCACAGATATGAGCGTGTCGAGATGCTCCGCGTATACTTGTGCCTTGAGATCCATTGGCTCGGTGAGCTTGAGTAAAACTGCGCCCGTGGCATCTTCGATCACTTCGGCATTCAGTTCACTGTGTGCCTGGACATACTCTCGAGCCACTCTCAGTGTGAGCGAGTGGGTCGAGTACTGTCCCTCGGCTCCACTTCGGAGGAGACCACTCTGTACCATCATCTTGATCAGATCGGTCACTGCGGACAGATGGATGATCAGTTCCATACACTGACACCATTGATTGCGCTTCGATTCTATCCCAACTCACCTTCAGTCTTGAGTTCCATCTTCTGTGCAATCGCCTTGATCAACTCGAGCTGGATGTTGGTCGGCGCCACCAAACTGAGGGCACCGAACAGCCTGGCTGCCTCGATGCCCTCATCACCTCGCCTCATCAGCGAGTCCAGCGACAGATCCACAATCACCTTGAGCGACGACCGCGTGTCGTCCTCGCCATCCTGCAGCTCCAATGCTCCTGCAAACGTGGCCTCGAGCTCCGACAGGGGAGTGTCGTAGTTCTCGGCAAACGTCATGAATGTCTGGATGACGAGTGGATATCCGCTGATCTTGGCCACGATGTTGTCCAGTGACTTCTTGGCCTCGTCTGACACAAGTCGCTGGACAATCATTGGCGACGACGACAGGATATAGTCGAGTGTGGTTGTGTCGTCCCAGTTGCCGAGACGGAGCAGATCGTGCTGGAAGCTCGGTGCCTTGGTCTCAAGAGCACTGGTGAATGCACCAGGAGGCAGCGAGGCCAGCCGGGTCGTCACCACCACATCGCCGCTGAACCCGACTGACTTGGAGTGCTCAAACACAGAGTCGACCACACCGATGTCGTCGACATTGTCGAGCACCAAGAGATAGCCGTGTGTGCTGGCGAGGAACCTCGAGGCATGCTCCTTGATCTCGTCGGGCTTGATGCCAGGGAACATCTCGATGAGTCCATCGATGGCAGTCGACTCGGTCGAGCAGTTGATCCAGAATACCTGGCGGTACTGCGGCTTGATGCCAATGGTCTCGGCTTTGATGGCGAGGAGGTCTTCCTTGTTGCTCACATTCAGAATGCCCATCATGAAGAACAGGATCTGGATGGCGAGGACGGACTTGCCCATGCCACCCATGCCAGAGATGACGGCACGGCCAGTCAGGGTGAGTTGCTTGAGCAGGGTGTCGAGGTGGGCGGGATCGAATCGGAACTTGGAATCGCAAAAGTATTTGTCATGGATGGCCGTAATGAGATCCATGTTGGGTGGGATGGGATGGACGAGGTTGAGGAGGCGGTAGACTCGCTTGTGCATCTGGTCGGGACGGAAGCCAAGTGATTGGATCTGGTTCACTCTGCCGAGTGTCTGCTTGAGGGGGGCAAAGGCAGGGTCGTCGGGTAGGGACAACATGTTCGGCAGGAAGGGAGTGAAGACATCGACACCATCCTTGGTTTCCTTGGTGGCGATTCCGAGGGGAAGGACAGGGAGGGAGCGTTTGGCATCCTTGAGGTCGAGGGCGGTCTTGATCTCAAGCAGAACGCTGTCCTCCTGGCCGGAGAGGGTGTTCTCAATCATAGGTTCGAACGATTCCAGACTGAGGAGCAGGAAGACAGCCTTACTGGTGGGGAGGGCGCTGATAGGGCTGACTTGAGGGTCGTTGGGATTGTTGAGGCAGTCGACATCGTGGAAGACGGAAAGGGGTTTGCCATATCGACGGAGGGCGACCGAGGTGAGCACCTCCTTCAGAGCCTGGACAGTGTCGGCATCAGTCTGGGCACGGTATGAGAGGAACAAATCGTGGTCGGTGCCGTGGGCAGGGCAGGAATAGAGCTGGTTGCTGGTGGGTGTCAGCATGGCTGGATGGCTGACCGGAGGTGATGAAAGCCAAGCGCCAGATGTTCTTGATGGGGATATCGTCCTGCTGGCGCGCTCGAATGGTGTCGCCGTTGAAGCCAGAAAAAAAGGCGAGCCAGATCATTCGTTCGCGCAGCCTCGATCTTGGCCTGGTTCTGGATCGATCTCCCCCAGCTCATCTCCAAAGCAGCAGCTACGCCGCCTCGATAGGTAGAGACCCGTATCGCACCCGTCAGCCAATGCCGCCCAAGACCAAAGCCTTCAAGCTTTCCAAGTACCTGTCACTGCTCCAAGACCATCTCGCTTCTGAGAACGGAGAGCAGGCCGCAAAGCTGTTCAGCATCAACGGCCCCCATTTCCCCAGTCTCGTTCTCGAAGTGAGCTCGGTGAACGTACGTTAAGCTCCCGGCACCATCTTCCCAAATCGCTGGCATATGGATCCAGAGACAAGGCCGTCCGCCGGATGAGAAAGGGCGATGGACGGCTGCTGACGCTCTGGGCGCCATTCTCTCGCAATGACCCAGTCCCAGGATCTCGAGCAGGATGTGTATTCGGCCCTCGACGAGCAGTGGGCCGAGATCTGCTTGATGCACATCAAGGTGATTGCCCAGTGCCAACTGAATCGCATCATCGATGCTGCAGCCGACCAAAACACTCTTGCCCAGTGAGTATCTGTCGCCTCGTGGCTAATGCCGCTTCGTTGCCAATGCGGACTCTTGCTTCGACCCGACCTCGTTTCGGCCCATGGTTCTGCTTCAGGGTTGCTCATCCACATGCTCCCTTCCGTCTGCTCCCTCCAAGAACATTCCACCAGATTTTCACGACACAAACCCGCTGGTGTCTGCCCATCTTTTATGCCATCGCCAAGGATCTTCGAGATCTGTCTATTCAGGTGAGCGGCCGCGACAGATGGGGGGGGGCATTGAAGCGATGAGACCGCTGGCGCAAGTCCGGTCTGCTTCATTCGCACTCGGGTTGGTTGACTTTCTGTGGCTTTTCTCGGCCGCATCTGGGATTCTTCTCGGTTGCCCATCTTTTGAATGTGCGCTTTGTTTCCATGCCGCACTAACGCTCGACCTGCAGGCAGATCTGTTGTTGAGCCAGCAAGGCATGAAGGTGGGCCGAGTCGAGGAAGCTGCACGGACCCTGAATCGAGGCTTCTCGCTGTGCATCACCGATCGCTCTGGGTACGAGGCCACCCGCAAGTGGGGCACCTATTACATCACCAACCTGCTCTTCAAGACCTACTTCCAGGTTTGTCTGCGCCTGCTGTTGCTTGCAGGGCAAGAGACGCTGGCACAGGAGGAGGGTCGCATCGATGTCGAAACTGTTCGTCCTGGCGGCTCTATCCGTCCATGTCCCCGATTAACTCCATCGACACTATCGGCTTTATCCATGGCCCTGCCTCTCCAGCTAGGCTCGACGAACCTGTGCACCAACGTGTTGCGTCTGATCGCCGCCGCCCCGGATCTGCCGCCGCTCGAGAGGTTTCCAATCGGCCATCAAGTGACGCATCGATTCTACCTGGGGTTGCTATCGTTCCAAAACGAGCAATACAAAAAGGTATGCCGCTGTAGCGTTGGCGCTGCCGTGGTGTCGCCGCTACTCGCCCTTCTGGATCAGCTTCGCTTCGACAACCCGGCGTTGTTGAGCCACGAGATTGCATGATATTCTTGAGATGCTTCGACAAGACAGACGGGCCCCATGGAAACCAAAGCAAGGCAGCCAGAGCAGATCGTGCGTGCACTGTTTGACTCGCTTCGACAACCCCCATCCTCACAGGCCGACGTGGATTTGTCGTTTGCATTCCGGCGATGTCCACGCGACAGCCCCAAGAACAAAATGTAGGTCGCTCACCGACGAGATGCTGGATTGTCGGCGGAGAGCTTGCGCTGTCAATGGGGATGCTGAAGCCGGTGGCTGCAGTGGTTCAGTCGCCATGGCAGCTGATTGTTTCGGGGACGGCTTATCGGCTAGAGTTTAATCACCTGTTCCGCACAGACTGATCCTCAACTACCTGATTCCGACGCGATTGCTGTATGGGATCCTGCCGAGTCCCAAGCTCTTCCAGCGGTATCCCTCGCTGGCGGCGCTCTATGAGGGCTTTAGCAACGCAATCCAGTCAGGCGATCTGGCCTCGTTCGACGAGTGCCTGAGCCAAAGCGAGCAGCTCCTGTTTCAGAAGGGCACCTTCCTGACGATCGAAAAGTGTCGGCTGCTGTGCGTGCGCACTCTGTTCAAGAAAGTGTAAGTAGTCGAGAATGTTTGGCGTTGCTGACCGTGTGTTTTTCTCCAAGCGGGGCGGGACCAGGAGATCCTCGACAGCGGCGGAGGAAAGGGGCTGAAAGACCGTTTCGCTGGCGATAACTCAACTGATGGCATCTCCGACTCTGGGCCGTTTGCTCCAGCTGGCTGCTTCAGAACAAGAGCCCAAAGTTCCAGCTGGCGCTGTTCCAGACGGCGCTGTCGTTCTGTGGACAGCCACACGATGTCGCCGATGTGGAGTGCCTTCTGGCCAACATGATCGACAAGGTGAGCAACCACCAGCACCAACGGCCGATCTGTTCGTTCGCTGATCCGTTCGCTGATCCGTGTGTCTTGTCAGGGTCTCGTCAAGGGGTACATCTCACATGAACGGAGCTTTGTGGTTCTCAGCCAGAAAGACCCCTTCCCGCCGCTCCAAAGCTTCCAGTAGCGCAGGTCATCGTGGCGGTCATGAAAGCCCCACATTTTGCAGCAGAGGCACCCTGAGTTGTCGTTGCTTTCGGGACCCTCAATACACTCGCGAGTCGCCCAGCTCCCTGGAGCTCGAGAAGTCCATCGTTGGCCGTGTCTCGCTCCAGCGCCATCCATTCACCCGCATTTGTGAGCTCATTCGAGACGGACAAAATACGAATAGGAATACGAATACGCATGCCACACGCCCAGGATGATCGAGACCTCGCGCACATCCCACACTCACCACGCTCGGATCGATCAACGGTCTCTCGAAAGATATTGAAAGATATCGCACCATTCATGTTTGTCTATGGATTCGCTCATTCCACAAACGGGTCTGGAGGCGTGATACAGCTCAGTGTCAAATGATGAGAATATGAAGGAATGTCACCACATTCTTCAAGGATATGAAGAGAAAGAGAGAGAAGGAAAAAATAGAGAAAAGTGCAAAAAGAAAGCTGGTTGGAGGAGCCCACGGAGCCGATAAAATGCAAGGATCAACAGGCCCTCCTTGGGCTCGTGGGAGTGTCTCATCGAAGGAGGGGGAGGGAGGGGGAAGGAGGGCGCTCACAAAACACACAACATCGGCAGGTATTCCGCGCCCTCGCATCCAATGCACACACGTCAAGGGGGAGCCATTAGAAAGGGAATGAAGATGCATAGCCAAACCCCACAGAGTCGTCAAATTAGCACACAACGAGAGGAAGGGTGGGAGAAGGGTGGTGGGGTGGCGCAGGGAGCGGCAGGCAGCTATCCAAACTGATCAACGGACATTGTCGGGCACGTCAAACTCCTAAACATAAATAGCACGAGGGAGGGGGGGAAGAAGGGCAGGCAGACACAGACACAGGTGGGGCCGAGAGACGCATACGAGAGGCATATCCGTTTAGTAGAGACCCAGTCGGACGGCCTCCTCGTCTTCGTCGGTGTCGAGGGCCTGGCCGGCCTTGAGCTTCTCCTGGATCTTCTTCTGGAGAGCCTTCTGCTCCTTGCGGGACAGCTTCTTCTGGGACTTGACCTTGGAGACGTTGCCAAAGGCATCGATGCTGACTTCCTGCTCCTTCTGCTCAATGAGCTCGCCCTTGCCGACGATCTCCTTGGCGCCGGTGATGGTGAGGCGGCCGTTGTCGACGTTCCAGACTTCGGGGCAGAGGGCGCCAGTGAACTCGCGGTTGTGCGAGATCATGACGACACCGCCGCCAAAGGTGCGGATGGCCTCAGCCATGGCACCGAGCGAGTCACGGTCGAGGTAGTTGGTGGGCTCGTCGAGGATGAGAATATGGGGGTTGGGCCACATGGCGGCACCGAGGACGACCTTGACCTTCTGGCCGCCCGACAGACCGCGCATGCGGGAGTGGGTGGCAAACTCGGGGTCGAGGCCAAGGTCCTTGAGGTGCTGCTCGACCTCCTTCTGGGTCAGGGGCTTGGCGTACATACCGGCACGGGCGGCCTCCTTGTCGTCGAAAGAGACAATGAGCTTGTCAAAGCCGAGCTGCTGCAGCTTCTCGAGCGACATCCAGGTGTTCTCTTCCCAGGACTTGTTCTCCCACTTGATCTCGTACTCGAACGAGCGCTTGGACTTGCGGCGACCGACAATGTCCTCAAGGATGCGCTTCTCGGTGACGCCATCGGCGTTGGTGACGTTGATGGGCTTGCGGTAGAGGATCTCCTCCTCGGGGGTCAGGACACGGGTGACCTTCTTGGCAGTCTCACGATCCTCACCAAAGGCGTAACGCCAGCGGATGTACTCGTTGGGGGTCTTGTCGAGGTGCTGCTCGATGTGGTGGAAGGCGTGCTGGGCGACGTAGGCGACACGCAGGTTGGGGTGCTTGACGACATCACCCTGGTCGGCGACGAGCTCACCAGTCAGAATCTTGATGACGGTCGACTTGCCGGCGCCGTTGGGGCCAATGACGGCGACACGCGAGTTGAGCGAGCACTGCAGCGAAATGTTGAACAGGATCTGCTTGGTGGTGCCGGGGTAGGTGAAGTTGACGTTGGACATCTTGTAGATGGCCTTGTCCTTGGACTTGACACCGTCGAGGAATCCGGGCTCGGGGAACTTCCACGAAACGAGCGAGGCCGAGAGCTCGTAGTAGGACTTGGCCTCGGGCTTCTGCTTGACAAACTCAGAGAGGTTGCCGAGGTAGGTCTTGAGCTTGCGCTGCTCGTAGTGGATGATGGCAGTGCAGACGCGGTCGAGGAAGCCAGAGTCGTGCGAGACAATGATGGAGGTGACGTTGGGGATGTTGGTGAGGTAGTTCTCGAGCCAGGCAACGTTGGCAACGTCCAAGTGGTTGGTGGGCTCGTCGAGGAGGAGGATATCGGCCTTCATGAGCATAGCACGGGCAAGCTCGAGCTTCATCTTCCAGCCACCAGAGAGGGAGCCGACGGCCTGGGCGCGGCGCTCGGCAGTGAAGCCGACGGACTCGAGGGTGCGGGCGACCTCGTCGCGGTCGGCGTTGGCCAGCTTGGGGTCAATGAAGATAAAGTCAAAGACAGACAGGTCGGCGTCTTCGGCCTGGAGGGCGTGCTCGACGTAGACGGTGCGGAGCTCGTCGGCAGAGGGGAAGCCATCGAGCTGGCCGTTGGCAATGGCGCGCATGAGGGTGGACTTGCCGGCGCCGTTGGGACCGCAGAGACCGTAGCGGCGGCCACGGATAAGGCGGAGGCGGGCGTTGTTGAGCAGGATCATACCACCGTAGGCAAGCGAGAACTCGCAGTTGCAGAGCTCCTCACCCTCCTCCATGACCATGGCCGAGACGGTAACGGCACGGCGCGAGGCAATGGTCTGGCCAATCTCGAGGGCAGCCTCGAGGGCGGTCTTGATGGACTCCTCCGAGGTGAAGGGGGTCAGGTACGAGAGGACGTGGTTGGTCCACTCGGCGACATCGACGATCTTGGTGTAGATCAGCTGGACAATGATGGCGGCAGCGAGGTGCAGGGAAGCCTCGCTGCTGATCTTGAGGTGCTTCTTGAGGACGGCGAGGACGCTCTCGGTGTCCTCCTTCTCGACGGCCTCGTACTGCGAGGCAAAGTCCTGGACGGCGAGGACAGCCTTGGCGACCTCCTCACCACCACCGACGCGGACGAGGGTGGCGCGAGCACGGCCAGCAACGTCACGGAGCTCGGGGTCGGCGGCAATGTCGCAGGCACGGTCGATACCGGGCAGGAGCTTGGGCAGGAACTGCTCGGCGTCGAGGGGGTTCTCGACGAGCTTGCACATGTTGTCAATAATGACACAGGTCTGGCGGACAATGGCAGGCTTGCGCTCAGCGAGACCACGGGACAGCAGGGGCGACATGATGGCAAGGGTGGGGGCCTCGACGGTGGTGACGAAGGTGGTGGCAGCCAGCTTGAAGACAGTCTCGGGGACCTCCTGGGGGCGGGCAATGGACGAAATCATGGCAGGGAGGAAAGGAACGATATCGGGGTTGCCGACAACGGAGGTGACGGCGGCGAGGGTCGACTTGGCAGCAGCCATGACCTGGTTGGAACGATGGGATGCGGAGAGGTCAGCAAGAATGTCGCTGCAGCCACAAAGCACAACCACCAGGCAGAGGGGGGCATCTGGTGGCATCTGGTGGCGTCTCGGAGCATTTGGTGGCAACGCGCGAGAGTGGCAGAGCCGTCGCCACACAGGGTCGGTTGCACGGCCTGCACAGCACCGGCGTCACCAGGACACAGCACGGGATTGGACTGCCCTATCCCATGCACCGATGAAAATGCAGTGTGCAGCGGAGGCATGGATACAGTGGGACAAGCAGCACAGCGGGCCAAGTGCCGGCGGGCGGTCGGCAGCGCAAATGCTCACCTCGGGCTTGGTGTCCCACATGCAGTCAGAGACCGAGGGGAGGAGATCGGGCAGGCAGCGGGAGACCTGGGTGGGGGCAGTGGCAGAGAACTTCTCGAAGCACTGCAGGGCGGCGACCTTGGTCTGCCACTTCTTCTCATTGGTGAGCGAGTCGATGAGGGCAGGCAGGTACAGCTTGAAGACAAAGGCGTCGGTGACAGCCAGGAAGGCGTCCAGGGCAGCCTGGGCGGCGGCACGGACGGGGGCGATCTTGTCACCAAAGGCACCAAAGACGATGGGCAGAGACGGGATCAGGGTGGGCTCGCCCTCACGGCCAAAGGCAGTGACGAGCTCGCCAAGGGCGAGAACGGCAGCCTCGCGGGCACCGTTGTTCTTCTTGTGCTCAGAGGCAGTCTTGAGGCTGGCGAGGACATCGCCCGACTCGAGAGACTTGAGGCCAGCGGCCTTGACGGCAGCAGCGAGGTCCTTGGCGACCTGCTGGCGCTCCTCAGTGGTGGCAGCAGAGCTGACCTTTTCGATCAAAGTGGCAACAGACGACTGCAGGGAAGCGGAGAGCAGAGAGAGTGTCAGCACCGATGAATCGCACCGTGGGATACGCTGCGGGCGAGTGTGAATTGCAGCAGCTCTGTGCGGAGACAGCTGCTGCTGCTGTTGTACGGGGGAGCACTGCCAGTGCTTGCCAGGCCAACGCTGCGATTCGCTGCGGCTGGCAGGTGGATTGCTGAGACCATTGCATGCCAGAACATCGCGGCAGCGACGCCAGCACTGGCAGCCAGGGCGACAACCAACCGGCGTCTGACAGCAGTCAGAAGCGGCTATCACTAATCGCACAGTGTACCACCCCCCAACCACCAGGCACACACACTGAGACATAGCAGAGCAGCAGTTACCATTTTCAGTATGAGAGAGATGGGTTCAAATCCTGATACAGATGTAGAGGGAGGATGCGTTGATGAATGAGCGAAATTCAAAAAAGCACCCGGGGAGGAGGAAAGGCCGTTGCGATTGCTTCGAAGAGACTGAGCTGGGCAAGAGAAAAAAACGGGGCCTGCACGCCGAGAGGCTTGCTTAAATACATGGTTTTTTCGCCCAGCGACGCGAGCACGGGAAAAAAAAAAAGTTCGTTGGGCAAAATTTTTTTTTCAAAGTCAGCTCGCGGCTTGTGTGAGTGCAACAGGGCAGCCGCGGTAAAGGGGCGAGCCGGGGCGGCTGAGCCACACAACGGCCGCGATCGGCCACGGGGGGCGTGGGAAGGCAAGGCGGTGCAGCAAGGCGGGGCGGGGGCTTGTGGGGGGGGGAGACAAACACGGTAGCATGTGCGCGGCGAGGCGCGGGCGAGAGCACAGAGACAGCGCGCGGCAAGCTGCGAAGGTCTGCCGAGAGCGCACCGAGAATCCAGCGAGAGTCCAGCGAGGAGCCAGAGAGAGCATACCGAGAACACGCCGAGGAGCCAGCGAGGGCGCACACACACACATCCAACAAGCGTGCGCGGCACAAGGGGTCGCCTCCCCCCAGATAGGACACCCGCCTGCCCCGCACAAGCCCGCGGCCGCGTCCAAGACAAAGCCTCCGGGCTTCCCGCCCCGCAATCCGCGCATGGGCCGTCGCAGAAGTCCTCCGAAGGCTGCCTCCTCCCCAAAAAGAGCGTGCCTGCTGCCGACCGGCCCCGGCACGACAGGGACCACAGAGATAGCGCCGGGGCTATCGCGGGATATGAAGTCTTCATATGCCCAAATCGATCGCCTGCCGGTGGCCAGCAAGCCTCTGCATTTCGTGGGAGCTGCTGTGTGGCCGGATGCCGAATGGCCTTGTTGTTTGCGGCTTCGAAGCCGAGTGCGGGCGAGTGCTGTGTTGTTGGGTCCCCAGCCGCAACTGAGTCTGCCACTGAGTCTGCCACTGAGTCTGCAATTGCAATTGAATCTGTGGCTGCAGCTCAATTGGCCGCTGTCGCAACCGTCGTGCTTGCGAGTTCTGCGCCCCGTCGCTTGTGCTTGTTGTCCCTGGCTGTGTGCATCCGCCGTTGCCGTGACCCGCTGGTGGTTACCGATGATCCGCGGCAGCCCCCTGCCGACCCCCATCAACATTCAAGCCCATCCGCCAGGAGTGGTCCCTCAGGGGTCCCTCAGGGGTCCCTCAGGGGCCAACCCCCCGTAAACATCGCGCTCGCTGACCCCAGCACCGTCACGAGACCTGGCCAGCGCCACCAGCCGTGTTTGCTGTGCTGGCGCCTCCCCCTGACTGGCCGGATCATGGAATGTTCGTTCAACCCAGCCCAGCCTTGCCCTGCCCTGCGCTGTCCAACAGTCTGCCACGGCCCTCGGGACTCTTCCTCCGCTGATCACCCCTGGCCAAGGTTTCATCCTCCTGTCTTTACCGCCCAAACTCTGCGATGCGCCTCCATCCCGCCCAAACACCAACCTCGCCAGCCTCCCCGACGCTCTGCTCCGTTTGCCTTGCTCTGTCCGGCACCAGCCTTCCCTGGCATCCGATCCCGAGGCCCGCATCATGTCAGCTGCACAGCCCGAGCCCGCAAGTCTGTCGCGGAGGGTTCATCAAGAGGTTTCGTGGGATCGGTAGGCGGCAGGCTGCTCCGGACTGTGTCCCTTGCTGGGCGCTTTCGCCATTGCCATGCAATGTCGCCTTTGTCGCATCCAGCTCACCGCCGGCTGGCCGGGGCCATTCTCAAGATCGACCTGCGCACGTCTCCATCCGGTTTCGGCTGTCGATAGTGATCTTGCGCTAACGCCTCACTCGATACCGTCGCACCCTTGCTTCGGCAATCGCTCCCGTCAAGGCTCGACAAGAAACGCTTCATCGGCTATGGCATCGTGTTTTTCTCGGGTGTTCGCGCTTGCGTATACCCTGCATCCCTTGTCAAGACTCGCCTTCAGGTCTCGCATCAGGCAAGCATTACCAGTCCAATGTTGTGCCTCACTGCCTGGACATGCGCCGAGACCGCACATCGATGACGATTGTTGAACCAATGCTGGCACACCGACCGCGTCCTTCATCTGTCCATCACCTCAGAGCGAATCGTGTCAGACCCTCAAAACGTTTGCCAACATTCTACGGAACGAAGGCTTGCTCGGTACGATGCACTGCAGCACACCTCCAGTCTCCGATACGCCGGACTCATCCCTCTGCGCTGTGTTGTCGACCATCAAGCGTTCTACCAGGGCTTTCCCATCAGCGTCGTCGGCGCTATCCCGTCCCAGATGATCTATCTTTCGTCCTTTGAAGTTGCCAAACATGAATCGCTCAAGATCTGCCAGGATATCCTTGGCTTTGATCACCATCGCTCGGGTTCGTCTCGCTTGCGAGTCCGTTGCCCAAGCCTGTTGCAGAGCCCCTCTTCGTGTCCGGCACCCGAGTCTGGTGTCCTTCCGAAACGTTGGTGCCTCGTCGTAACAAACCTCTGTGCTGTCCAGTTGCCATCAGCTATTTTGCAGGCGGGACCTTTGCCTCCCTTGCCTCGCAGATCGTCGTGGTGCCAATCGATATCATCTGCCAGCGGTACTTGTCGTGGCATCTGGGACAAGCGAGTCTGGAGTTGTCACTCGATCACCTCTTCTGTGTGTTTGATCCATTCGAGGAATCACTTGCAGTGCACCACCCCTCTCCGGCCCATCACCAGCAACGCTGGACGACGAATTGCTAACAATGCGTATTTACCCCACCCTGTGCGTTCACGCAGAATGATGATCCAAGAAAAACACTCGAGATCCAATCTTCCGCTTGCTGGCTTGGCCGGGGCTCCTCCCAACCAGACTACCATGGGTACATGTTGCCCATGGCTGCAGATCGTATGCATCTTCGTACCCATTCCTGAGATGCTTATCTTACCCGCACCCGGCCCTGCAGATGTCATCCGGCACATTTGGAGGACAGAGGGGCTCTCTGGATTCTACCGCGGGACGCTTCTCTCGGTGCTGACGTATGCACCCTCGTCGGGGTGCTGGTGGGGTACCTACAGCCTCGTAAAGGCCCTCATCCTGCATTTGGCTGGTCCATTCTCTCCTGAGAGTGCACGGGCTTCGAATCTTCTGGTGTCGGCTCCTTCAGGACTTCTCGCTGGCTGCGTCAGTGCGTGCATTACGACCCCAATGGTATTTGTCTGGAAGCTACTGCACACTCATCTTGCTCTCCGCGCACCTAGTGCGTTGCTTCTGTGTCTGTGGCTGATGGCTCCTTCTGCAGGATGTCATCAAAACGCGCCTGCAACTCATGGATCCACCCAACGCTCGTTCCCGCGGGCATTCAGCCCAGCTCAAGGATGTTTTGCGATCACTACTGCGTGAGGAAGGCCTCAGAGGATTCACAAAGGGCATGGGCGCACGGATGCTGCACATGGGGCCTGTGTCGGTGAGTACCATTTGCATTCTCACAAGCAAGCGTTGCTGAGCCAGTTTCATATACCTCCTAGCTCCAACTGATGCGGGTTGATACGAATCGACTAAAAACGATCGCTCCTCCGCCGAGTTATAGATCCTCAACATTCTTACCTACGAGACAGTCAAGTCTCTTTCCCGCATTGACGCATGACCACCCTCGACCGCCGACACCGATCCTCTCCTTTCCTTTCCTGATCGATGGCTTGGTCCATCATTCGATGTCTCCGCACGGTCCGTCTCCGTCGCCATCCAAGTCATGGACTCCTCGCGTTCCACTTTCATCGTTCATCGAGCGTATCGGCATCACAGTATCCACCGTCACAGTATCCACCATCATGCCCACATCGCTAGCCAATGCGAATTGTGCCATTCGCTGTGCTTTGCTCGTTGTAGCGTCTCAATATACACATACCCCGCAATGGACACCATTCTCATCCAATGGACGGCACTCTCATCCGAAACCCTCAAAGGCATCAAGCTACCTGACCTTCTCTCGTCGGGCAACGCATCGCCATCTTGGCTTTGCTGAGATGTATCCGCTGACGGGCTCTTGAGAACTCTCCGCTCTCAACTTGCTCCGAGCGTCTCCGCACACATACCCCCCCCCAATCATCCTGCCCCCACGCACTCTCATCGCCTGCGTCACTCGCCTCGTCTTGCGCAGACAATCACTCTTGCGCATTATCTGAGTTGAGTTGGCCGATGCAGACCCGGACCGTCGCCGGCGTTTGATGCGCTCACGCACACACAGTCACACACATGCCCTCACTCATCTGCCCACCCTTTCTCTGTCCATTCTCGCCACCGCCCTGCACGATCGGCAACGTCACATATCGCCACTTATCCCGATTCTTGAAATCGCACGATATGTGTCACTGACGTGGGCAGCCCCAAGCAGCAATCAGTCGACCACTGCATCGCCCGTCGACCTTTGGATTGTGGTCCGGCCGACCTCCGTCCTTGAGAGGTGGTGGGTGTTGAGGTGTGCCTTGCCCTTTCCTTCGTACTGTGTCTGCACTCACCGCTATCGCCATTGCAACTGCGACTGCGACTACAACTACAATTGCGACTGCAGTTGTGACTGTGACTCCGACAACTGCCGTCACCACCCGCTGCAGTTGCCCAGGTTGTCCTTTTACTACTCGACAACGGTTGTGGAGAAAGGAATCAAAAGAGCGCACCGACCCTCACACTAACACAAAAAAAAATCCACAAATGCTTCAAAGCCAGTGGTCCAAGTGAAGCAGGGTCAAAAAAAAAAAAAAACAACCAAGCCAGAAGCAATAGCGATACCACACCCCTGATCTCCCTCCTTGTTTTTTCTGTTGCTCCCTCCCCTTGCCCTTGCGAGTGCCGAGACGGTGCCCACTCGCCTTCCTTACATTGAGTCATTCATTCCCTGCTATCGGGAGTATCCAACAATCGCCGAGCTTCATCGCACAGATCGCTAGTCATTCACAGGGCCGGTCTCGCATCCAGTCGTCCCCTCCCAACCCCTTATCGGCGTCGTATATGTGAAGTGCCCTCCACCGGTATCTGACGGGCGATTCCCAAACCAACAAACGAGACACCATCACGACGTCCAAGGCCAGACAGCAACCAACACCCACAAGCGGCAATAACCATTCGCCGGCGACCACTCGAATACTCCGTCGGCAACAAACCCTTCCAACACAATCGCCTGCGCCTGCCTCTATCACCCGCCATCCTCGGGCAGCCCTCGTAGCCATCTGCTGCCCATCGCTCAGTCCAACCGCCCACTAGACAATCGACGGTCGCATCATAACCCACGTTCCTCCCGCACACATCCTTGCCCACAGCTATGGAGGGAGGAAACAAGCTCGAGGACTTTCGGCTCATGTGCAAGCTGGGCGAGGGCACTTTTTCGGAGGTGCTGAAGGTCAAGCACAAAAAGACCGGGAAGGTCTATGGCATGAAGCGATTCCGGAAACATTTGCACAGGTGGCTGTTTGTCGTTCTGTGCCTCGTGCTGCATATCGCAGGCTGCATAGCGCATATCGCAGTCGCATGCTCTCGGAGCAATCGTCTGTGCCGTCCCGCTACACCAGAGTCATCGTTCAGTCAGTCGCTTTCCCCTATTCTGACTGCATTCTCCTGTTCCTGCTCGGTCTCCACTGATTCGACTCCACTGGCTCGGTCTCCACTGGCTCGACTCTGCTATAGCTATGAAGAAGTCGAAAACCTGCGAGAAATCCAAGCACTGAGGCGGCTGAATCCACATCCGCATGTCATCATCCTGGAAGAAGTTATATTGTTGAGTATCCCAAGCACCTCGATGTCTCCCCGCTAACAGCCCACCCTCCCTGCGTCCCATATGGCGGGAGGTGACCGAACGCAAGTGCGAAAGCTAACTGGCTGGTTGGGCGGGCGAGTTATGGATGGAACGCCTTGCTTCGGAGGAATGCGATTGCATTGACGAGCTGAGCTAACGCTATCCCACACCCAAATCTCCCGGCACTGCTCTTGCGTCGCCGCTGCTGGGTGCAATCGCGGATTGTCCCGCACCACCGGATATCACATACCGCATCGTCTCATATCGGGGATGACACATGCTGGCGGTTGCTGCTCTCTCGCCACGAAAACGTTGAACTGACATTCACACGACCGCGCTGGACCGTGAACGTGCCGGCACGAACCGCCGACCGCTCCTACCGTCTTTGCATCCAACGAACCCATGTGATTCACATCGACCATCTCATATCGACCATCCACCAGCGAGCCCAAGCACGGCATCTTGTCCCTCAATTTCGAGCTCATGGAATGCAATCTGTACGAACTGATATCCCGCAAAAACTCCACCATCAGCGAGGCCAAGGCAAAGTGTTTCATGCACCAACTATGTACCGCTGTCGAGTACATGCACAGGTGAGGGCCATATCTACCTTCGAGGATGATGGAGCGATGGAGTGCGCCAGCACCAAATGCATCGATAGCCAGGGTCTGCCGCACGCCCTTGAATTCCTCGTGTGCCTGGACTTGCTGCGTTGCGCCAGAGATCATGATCTGGATCTTGTTGCAATCGCATCAGCTCGGAATCATCACCAGTTGACTGCAAGTTCGTTTATTAAACCCACGATTTTACTCTACTCATCATCTGCATCATCTGTATCATCTGCATCATCTGCATCATCCGCATCATCTGCATCATCCGCATCATCTGCATCATCTGCATCATCCGCATCATCTGCATCAATTATGGCCACCACACGGCCGCTATATTGCAGCAAAGGAATATTCCATCGAGACATCAAACCCGAGGTGAGGCTTCATTCCGACTTCCCTGCCTCTCCTACAGTGCTTGGATCCATTCTAGTGAGAGAGGCCATTCTCTCGACTCCATCCTACACCGCCCGATTCCAGAGCCGAATGCGCATGGATTTCTGACACTTGGTCCTCTCACCATGCGACTCTCCGTCGCATGCGATGCAACTTTTTTGCTCCGCCAACGCCCGCGTGTCATCAGAACATCCTGATTCGGGACAATGCCATCAAACTCGCCGATTTCGGGTCCTGCCGCGGCATTCACTCGAAGCAACCCTACACCGAGTACATCGCCACCCGCTGGTATCGATCACCCGAGTGTCTTCTTTGCGACGGCATTTACAACTTCAAGATGGACATTTGGGGTGCTGGATGTGTCTTGTTTGAGATTGTGTCCAAGGTGCCCCTGTTCCCAGGCGCAAACGAGCTGGATCAGCTGCACAGGATACACGGAGTTCTGGGGACGCCGTCGCAGAAGGTGCTGAAGCATATGCTCGGGTAAGCCGTCGGATATGGCGCCGCAGCCCCGCACTTGATTCCCATATCCTCGAATGCGAACAATGCGACAGATCTGGTTTAAAGCGGATTGGCACTGGCTTCGAAACACCACATGTGCTGTATGTCGCGACGCCCGATGCCGTCGCCCAGCTCACATAAGGACTTGCACGTCTCATGCTTTGTGCTCTGGGCGCTTGTTGTCGCTCGACGCCTCAACCCAGACCCAAGGCATCGATGGCCAAGTACAACTTCCCGTTCCGCGAGGGGACCGGAATTCGGGCTCTGATTCCACACATTGCCCAGAACTGCGTCGATATGATCATTGCCATGCTTGCTTACGATCCGGACGAGCGCATCACTGCCAAGGAGTCTCTCCGGCACCCTTACTTTGACGATGTTCAAGACCCATACATCGAAGAGACACCATCACAGTCCATGGCCTCCTCAAGCATCACCCTGAGCCAGACCGGTAGCTTTGGATCATCGGTGGTGCTGGCACAGGAGAAGGCCAAGGAGAAGGAAAAGGAGAAGGAAAAGGAGAAGGAGAAAGAAAAGGAGAAGGAACGAGAGAAGGAAAAGGAGAGAGAGCGAGAAGAGAACGGCCCTGCAAAAGCCCAGGTGAGTGGTCTGAAGGGACAAATGTGCAATGCCCAGAGCGTTGAGCCCTCTTGCGGTGTACTGTGGACGAGCTATGAGTGGACACTTGTGCATCGTCCAAAGATTAACACTTCATCCCTGGCCCAGGAGCCCGTCACCCCACCAACCCCGCCAGCCCACTCGTACATCAAGCAATCCAAAATCAAGACCGATGCCGAAAACAGATCAACCCAGGAGGCTGCAGACGACAGCACGACGATCATCGCGAATGTCAAGCCGATCATCCCCGAGTCTGAGAAGCCGTACAAGTCGCTGCCATACAAGGAGCCATATCTTGAGCAGGCGCAGGAAGGTAATGGCCAGCAGCGCTGGGTCATGTTCAGCCAGTGGACACGATGAGTATCGGAGCGTGTGCACGGCCGGCATTTGATTTGGGCAGACCGGATCGATCGCTCAACCTAACACTGTGCTTCCGCAACATAGGACAAGTATCCAAAGCTGACCACCGACCCGACGCAAAGAGTGCCCCGAAGCCGGAGCCGGCCGAGAAAGCACATCCGCTTCAGCTCCCAGCTATACCCCAGCAACACGGTACACAGATTACGGGTCAGACGCAAGGATCGGGGCAAGGCCCGCAAAACTATGGCATGCCTCTGTCGCAGGCGCATGACTACTCCGTATCGTCTTCGCTGGCGTCTCTTCCGCCCCAAAAGGAGGTCAGCAGCCATGCAACGCATCATGACAATAGCGACAACATGTCCTCAACGTCCACCAACTCTGCATCCACTTTCTATTCGAAATTCAAGCAGCAGCAGCAGCAAATGGATAGCATCGTCAAGGTCGGCGGAGGGGGCGGTGGTGGTGGTGGTGGCGGTGGCCGACGTGGCCCGGCACAGATCTCGGCCATCAATCGGAAGCGCCAGTCAGGCGGACCAAAGAGGCGCGGCGGCAACAACTCGAACCCATCGATCGTCGCCGCCGTGGCCGAGGCCAGGGCCAATGCCGCTCGAGACCCGATGTGGCTGAACAACCAGCTCGGAATCGTTGGAAAGACGACAGGAGGAAGCGGCGCTTCAAACAAGGTGTGTGCTGCAATATTGACGACCAAATGTTTTATTGTTCGATGAGCGACTGAGCTGTTGGGGCTGCATTGATGGCATAGTGTCATCGATCCAGTCTGCAGAGCCTCTCCGGGCATCACAATCACGAGCAAGATTTGTTGCGTTGCTGTGGCTGCGACTTGGGGAGTTGCGCACAGACTCTATGAAGCAGCGGGGCGCACCGGACCTGATTCGTGCCGACGCTGCGACGGAAGATCATGCGCTCAAAGCACTTGCGATGCAGCCGTATCAAATTCGAGCGACGTATATTCCTCGGAATAGACGCCACTGACAACAATGTCCGCTGCTCGCTCTCTCCCACTATGCGAATCTCTGCGGTAGCTGCCGAGCCTGCAGTTCGCGCCGCAGGTCATCGAGTCAAGCTTTCACAACTCGGGATACCCAACAAACTCACACACATCACAACCGACCTTGCCACTGCTTCCGTCGTTGGGCAATCACAGCGATGTTGAAAAACGAAAGCCAGCGGCAGGACCAAAGGTACGGCTCGCCGGGGTAGCTTATAGAGAGCACAATCAGCTGGTGGATAGGCAAGGCGATCGCTACCCGAGCTGCCATGAGCATAATGAAGTGCGACAAGCCCTGGGTGCGAGGTCACGCGGTTTCTTGCACTCGTCTGACGTTGCTCATGTTAGAATATACTGACATCAGGCATGTGCGCTGAAATATGCTTCAATACCGGACCCTCATTCTCCCCTCTCGTCCACCCAGGATTCCATACTGCTACCGGTTCTGCCTGAAAAGGCTTCCAACAAATCCTCAAACGCACCTCAGCCATCCGGAGGCACAACCCAGACACTGCCGGCGCTCAAGCCCGCACCTGGCGCTACAAAGTCATCGAAGCTGGATGCATCATGATCCACCCGTCCCTCCCATCCGCACGACCTATAATCGTACACCCATCTCCTGGTCTTTCTCTGCCGTTTTACTTTTGTTTGTTTGTTTACTTTTGCTTCTGATGCATATTTGTTCCAGTCTACAGTTGATCTGCACGCCCTTCCCTGTTTGCCAAACCTCATATACGAACGCCACGGGCCATCTCCCTCGCCTCGCCAGCCACACCCTCTCTTGCTCGCCTCCAAACTCTACTGTCCAACCTCAGCCGAGTCAATACTCCAGTTTTGGTGTGCCGCCTTGCGTGTGCCTGTGATTCATGCTTGTCTGAGTTTGGCACCGTTGACTCACATACCCTCGCGAGACCCCCCTTCCTATCTCCGCCACTCTCACTCGTGGTCGCCCATCCAGTCGTATGCTCACCCCTTGTGTTGGCGCTATCGCTTTCCTGTACTGATGCCACCCCTTCACGACTCACATACGCCACATCCGGCTGAATAAACCTACTTTGCTTGACGCGCTGCTTCCATGTGTCCTCCAATAGATTGCTTCATCACAAAACTCGATCCATGACGAGAATTGTGACCCCCGATAATGCGACCCGCTCTGACGAGATCGGCTGCAAACTTGGCCACTCTGCTTGCCTAGTATCGTTCCAATAGTGATGTATTGTTTGCCCCGCAAACATAGGCGGCATGGTAATTCGAGGTGCGCCTGAGACTACTTGGCAGGCATGCTGTAGAGAGAGATGTTCGGGAATCGTGACTTTTTGGGTATCACTCTCATAGATCTTTGAGACCGCTCAATATCGGGCTGTGGTGGGTTGTTTCTCCAAAATATCATCTTTTGGAACATATTGGCGTTGGGTGCATTTGCATTTTCGGTCTCGCGCATCAAAATACGATCCAGGATGGCCTCGACCTCGGGAATCTGCCGAATGCGGTCCGGGATCCTGTGTTTGCCCGAGCCATCCTCAATTAGCCGTGGCGGAAGGGAAGAAAGCCGGGAGCCGCTTGTTTGCAGCACACACACGATCGATATGCCACAAGAAGTTGGCCATCAGCACTCACCATGATGTCAAACTGAAGATGCAGTTGTCCATGAACTGAAAGCATCGAGTAAAGCATGAAAGCTGTCAGAATCTGCGAGGTATGTATTCCCCTGCAGTTGTACATCGGTGTCATGCTGCTGTCTCCGCAATATTTTCACTGAACGCTGCGGCTTACCTTGAATCCGTTCATCATCCTGGCCACAATCAAAAACTGACCAAGGATCAAGACGAGGATCTCGATGACAAAGATAGCGATATCCTGCTGGGTCAGAGCATCGACACTGTCGTTTGTCAGGTTGTATGCCATATCCCCTGCTATCTGCCATCCTTGCATCAAATACGGATCCAGAATGGATTTCAACATGAGAAGTTTGCTGGGATTCGGCATCAGAGTCTGCGTCGTAGGGAGGTTGGCGATCTCGAGCACAACGTTCATAAAGGCAGCCGAGGCGTAGAGAATGCCTGAGTTGACGGTGTCGATGGTAAACTCGATGCTCGTGTTCCAGCCTGGATTGGGAAACGGCGGGTTTGGAAGAGAACACTGTGATACGTTCTGCAGGAGGCACGCCGGACTGTTGAAGTAAGTCTGCATATCTGGCCAGACATTGTTTGATGAGGGTGATGGTGGGTAGCGGGTATTGTCGCCATAGAGAACGGTTTGGTACACGCCGAAATACCAGTTTGTCTGTGGGCACGGTCAGCACAGGGGACGGTCAACACAGGGACGGTCAACACATTGGTCGTCACTTGATCCGTTTCGAGCTAGGCTCGGTCATTACCTCAAACACGATATCACTCCTCAGAAGATCCACCCGCTCCCATGTTTTGAGATCGATGTTGACAAGCTCGTTTTGGATGAGGTAGCTTCTTATCGAGTAGGTGATCCTGCAAGGTGAACGCACAGCGCGTGAGCGGCACTATTGCTCTGTGTCTTGAAGCAGCACCAACGGTGTGAACTTACATGTCCGAATCTGCCAGAGCGCGCGCAATTTGAATGTTAGTTGGTGTCGCACCGTTCCAACGCTACAACTTCACACAGTTCCGGGATGCACAGCATGCTGCTCTCGATTCAGCGGCTTACTCTGGTCAAGCACTGCGAATCCCATCCCAATGTTGTAAACGCCCTGTGAGACCCAGAGTATCAGCGTCAGCGGCAGCATCTCCGCTATGGTGGCTCATTTTCGCAAAGCTGGGACGGCGAACATACCAGCACGTTGAGATAGGCAAAGATGCCCATGATGGCCGTGAGAGACACGGCATATATACCATACTGAATACCAAAGGTGCTCGAGGTGGAGATAAACTTGCCCTTGGGAACGTTCTCGAGGTACTTTGTCGTCTGACGCTTGAGCGAGTCGCTTGTCAGGATCGTCATGAGGCAGATTTCGGTGTACTCATGTATGGTCTGCAGAGTCGATATCGTGTGAGACTCACTACCGACTCAAGTGCCTCGCTTGCTGCCTGCGCCGTCTTACCTCCAGGGTCTCGCGAATGTCGCGCTCAGGGATCGCCTGAAAGACATCCAGGGACTGGCTCTGCTTTCGCTTGAATCCACGCACCTTGAGATCGATCAGATACATGAAGAGCGCGACGATGACGACGCTAATTCCTGTAGCACAGCGATACAGACCATGAGAACCACAACCAAATCACGAAGTGCGTCCCAAGGACGAGCTCCTCCACGCTCCACCGAGTGGCGATCCGCAAGGAGGGAAAGGCATACCGGTCAATATGTACACCAGGTTTGTCGCCTGTGTAGAGACGCCCGCCTGCATAGGTATCAGAGCGAGTTAATACATGAATACCCAGCGCATATGTGCCATTTTGCTATGCGCAAGTTGAACACACGCATCGCCTGACAGAGTGCCCATTCGGCAAACGACCCAGTCCTCGGTTGACAAGTACAGCTCACTGGCGCCCAAGCACAACGGACGACCTGCCTGATGCCCAAAATAGAGAGTGTTCATCGAAAAGTCGTCTGATATTTGAAAGAACCAGAGATCATTGGAATTAGAATGAGACAGAAGGACATCTGATCAGACGAATCCGGAGCGCCTGTGGGAGCCGGATACGGGTTGTTGAAGAGCAGATGATCTGGATACATACAAGCCTGGTGCTGTATCTGGAACATGTTGTCGAGGATAAAGCGCGCATCGTTGTTTGTACTGATATTCTGGAATGCCGCAAACTCAATATTGGAGATTTGGAGCCCCGCTTCGGCAAAGGTCTTCAATTTCGATGCATATTAGACAGCGTGTCAGTGAATCGAGGGATTAGCTTGGCAAGACATGGCATGGTTCATAACGCCAACGGAAACGCGGATGCAAGGCTATCGCGGGAGGTCGGGTGATCAAACGGAGCATTGGCAGATATCTTACGTTTGTCACCTGGTAGAGAGTAAAGTTCTGGAGCACTTTGTTGCTTGTGTACGGATAGTACGACACATTTACAAGTACCAGAGGGGTTGTGTAATAATAGTCTGAGCTCGAGTCGCGATAGGCAAAGAGTTGATCAGATGCCTGTTTGAACGATATCATTTCCGTCCGATAGAGCGAGCGCACATAGTCATAGAGCTCGGGGTTGTTGGAGTCGTGATAGAACTGCATCTGTCTGAGCCGGTAGAAAGTCATGGCTGTCATATGCTCTCTTTGATGCAACCTGCCATTGCCCAACGCCAGCAATTCGATCAGTCAACCACATGCCATGGGCAGCAAAGATGGAATAGCCATCGCGCTTGGGCTTCAAGCTCAAAGCGAAAGCACTTACAGCTTCAGTACATAGAGACCATTTGCTGTGCTCTGGAGAAGGGATCTGAAAGGTGGAGCGAGGTGAATCCGAATCCTTGTCCAAGATACCTCCCTCGCTATGAACTACTCCAACATCGGCCAGCAATTTCGTCGCCACAAATGTCCGAGACAGATCGAACGGTCGCGCCGAATTGGGAGATAGCTCGAAATGCTCGCCTCCAAACAGTTCATCACTCGAGTTCAATCAGGTTCAGAACGTACGTGATCGTGACAAAGTTCGTCACGATGATGGCAAAGCAAATCGTCGTAGAGGATATGAGGAGAACGGTGATGTTCATCGAGTTCTTGCGCAAGATTGCAGCCCGCAGTCGATGCAGTTCCTCGGTCCGTCTTGTTGCCATGCGCGTGTCGGCCAAATTCTGATGTCGGTTCATCGACTCATGGTTATCCTGTTGCTCATGAACACTGTGCTGGTCTTCATTAGAATCGAACTCGCGATTGTTATCTTCAGCCATAGCTGTACGGACTATATAAGGCTTCACACGACTCAAGCTCTTCATTGTTGCTGTGAAGATACCATCATCGGTATGTTGACGGGCCTCTTCCATTTCCAGACTGTCGGCCTTGTCCAGTAAAGTCGTTGCCTTTGCAAGGTCACCTTGAACCTGAGGGCAGCAGCGCAAAAGACAAGCACGATATGTTGGCATCACCGCGAATCACAACAGCATTTGCATTGACATCACACGGAAAGCAGTAGAATATCCCTCCTGAAGCAAGCCACAACACGCCCTTCCGAAAACTGCCCTAGTCAAGCCAAAACACAATCCCATACCTGGAGCAAGAATGCGCCGTACTGCCGCAGAAGCTGTATACTTCTCGGAAACCTGGGATGCGAGTTACGATCAATATTCGATTGAGACAGGGGGTTCCTCTGTGCTTGCGCTTACTTTGTAATCAAGACGCCATAGGACGTGGCCGCCTTCTCCGAGTGATGATAGGCTGCCGACGCGAAATGGGCCAAGTCCTCCTGCTTATATTTCTGTAGGATGAAGTGCATCTGTAAGCAGGCGCGACGCAGCCTTTGATGCTCGACAAAGGGTTTCAGCGCGATCTCGACGACCTTCATTATCTCTCTATCGATCCAGTTCAGTCGTGGTGTGCCTAATACCTTGTCCAGGATCAAGGACCAAAGTTCCAGAAGAAACTTGAGTGCCAGGTAGTGATTAGATCTTGCTTCCCGGTCTAGTTTCTTGTATTCCGCAAACGCGGCAACATCTAGCTGCACGCCTGAGCCAAGGAAATCGACTTCTCGGCTCTGAGTTGATATCTATATGTGCAGCAATATCAAACCATGGGTGAATACGCGGAGCCTGACCGAGCAGCCGTGAAGACCAGCCAAAGCCAAGATCAGTGACTGAGTGCACCTGCCTTTTCATCATAGTAGATCTGAAAGCGCACATCGATCGGGGAGTTGTGTCTTTGGGCCTGCCGTAGCTGCTTGGCGGCCTCCATCTTTGACTGCTGCACGAACGAAAAGTAGCTTGCATAGCACAGTCTGATCCAATGGCACCTTGGGAATTCGGTAATTCCGCGCTTCCATCAGAGACACGGTCAGATGCAAGGTTACCAGAGTAGCCAGGCCAACAAAAACGAAAGGTCGATGAATACATAATCCCAAGAAAGGGCAACACACTTATGCACACGCAGCCTGCACGTTGGCTCGTAAATGCTCTATCGATGGAAGTCCGAGTTACCAAGAAGATGTCACGGAGCTCTCCAACGAGTGCTTGCTTAACGTTCCGTCTCCTAGAATCCATCTTGGCTGTGATAAATCGCGCCGTGATCTCGACATGAGTCCAATGGTAGAAGACAATAGGGTCGTCGTCCGGATTGACGGTGCTGAGGGCATCGGCCAGTCGCTTGCGGCTGCTCGATTCGATCCATTTCAGCAGCCAGGCCGTGAAAAAGTAGCCTGTGACCCAGAGCGGTGCTATGAGCGAGCCCATCACGATAGGAACGACAGAGCTCGTTTGGAGATTTGAGCCACCAAAGGTATTGACGAGGCAAGTAATGAATGCAATCAAGCCGATTCCAAATGCACTAAAATAAAAGCCAGATCGCTGTCGATATTGGACAAGATGACGGAGATGATTGTTAGTAAGAATTCGGCTGGACCAACAGCTAGTCGAACCTTGTGGGTCTTTGGATCCATAATCAGCCCGGCATCTCCACAGTCTAAATGAACCTAGTATCCACTGGCTCACGACTACCATTTGGTTGATCCTGGGATTGTAGTATGGCAAATCTATGGCAGTAATAGAGCAAAAGCATGTAGAATGATGGGTTGACATTTGCCGCGCGATGTGGCTCCACTTCTCCAGTTGCATGGGTGCGAGAGGCATGGATCGAAGCGTAAACCCACAATAGTTCAGGACCATCAGCATAGTTCCGGGCACCATCGTGGCCACGCCAATGCGTAGCAGCGGGATATTGGCGGGGACCATCAGCCACACCAGAACGAGTAGTGACTTGAGGAAGATATCTGGAAGCGACATGGCGACGATAGTTAGCGAGCACGCAATGCCTCAGGCTCGGCATCCACCGCCATGAGGCTACATGTTCTATGAGCATCCTACGAATCGCGACATGTCGCATATCGCATGTTGCACAGCACGGTTCCTGCGAGCAGAGTCCATCGAAATGTATCCTACAAGCAAGGTCGACTCGTCCGTGAACCTTGCTCTGTGAATAATGGAGGTGGATGTATGATTTTAGGCTGGGTCGCCGAGACTGCGCCGATTCGGTTCATGGTTTTACTGCGGAACCAGATGAGTTGGACGAACTTATTGGCAGAGATAGAGTGACTCACCATGGGGCTCTTGAGGGTTGGATCGGGGTTGAGATAGCTGCGAACAATGGAGGCATCGAGCGGAATGAATTGTCGGAAGAGCAGAGTGGCAGAAAAGCTCAGCTGAAGGAGCTCAGGTTGACAAGCCGAGAGCAATTTTATACGTACAAGACGCTCAAGCCCGCGGCGATCGGGATATACACCACCAGGGTGATGATGGATACAACAAACAAAGGAAGTCGACTGCCGACGACACAGTTGCTGCCACCCAGCTGGGAACTTGAAAGAGAGCTCTGGATCGTGCAAACCAGAGCGCTCATTAGGCTTTCGACGATGGGGATGCTAGGTAGAAGGAAAGCGGACGATTCAGCCAAGCAGGTGAGCAGCATTGCGAGCTACAGGCCATTCTACTTGCAACAATGCTGTATATCGTCAAAGGGTCAATTCCACGATACTCACTAGAAGACAGTTGGCAGATACGACGCAAAAAAACGAAGCGTCTTGATCGGCCCTGAGGGAGTCGAAAGGGTGAATACGATTTCATCAAACGATGCAATGACAGAACGAAGTGATCCGAACGAGCTTGACATACATATCGCCTCTTGTTTGCCGTTCTGCAGTGGAGCCACTCCATTGGTGTTAGCGTGACGTATCTCTACCAATGACCCAAGTTTCGAATGCCCTGCACTGCAGTATCGATTACAACTCACAAACAAGCCCCAGCAGATATAAATGATGTTCAGGATCAACAGTGCCACAGACGAGACGGCAATCGCGTTGAGCGTCACGTAGGTTGGCGTGATGTCGAAGGTGAGATATTTGACTTCGACAAAGTTGACCAGGAAATCCGGCAGCATGTAGACGCTGCGGAGGGAGTCCGAGAAGAAAAAGCACAGTAGCTGCCCATCCTCGATCACGAGGGACACGTAGTCTAATACAGAGGAGCTGCGTTGATGGAGTAGAACATTGTATGGCCGCGTTACCGAAGGAGCTGGCACGGAGTGCGGCGGTCGATAATGACGCACAAATAATGACCCAAACCACTCTGCATAGTCAGGCTTGATCAGTGGAAGTCGCAAGCCCGATCGAACAACTTTGATGCTCGGACACAGGCCAATGACTAGTGGGCAAAGCATCGGTCGCCACCACATCCATTCCTGGCGGCGAGAAAGCACTTACGTATTGCCATGGACAATGTAGAAGAGGAGCGCGAACATAACATCTCTGACGGTTTCCGTCAGACGGCGCTGAGTCAGGAGCTCGGATGCTTCGGTCGTCTCGCCAGTCGATGATGCACCGTCGCTGCTGCGTGAGCTGAATCCTTTGGCATCCCGACTCAGCGAGCTCCTTCGTGGCCCACCGAACTTTCGTGGTGGTGTTACTTTACTCTCGTCATGATCACTCGTAGCATCGTGCTCAGAAGCATGACTTGCTTCGGCGATATCTACAAGTGAGAGCGACGTATCAGCATCCAAGGGTCCAGGCTCATTATATCCGAAACCAAGGGTCCAGGCTCGTGATATCCGCGCCCTCATGCAGGTGCGTAATTTCTTGCGCTTACTTGCAAACGATGCTTTCTTGATGCACGAGGCCATAGGAAAACTGTGCAGCGCCGATGAGTTCTTGGACTCATCCAAGTTCATTTTGCAAACGCCGCGCTAGAGAACAGGAGAGCAAGCGGCGATTTCTCCAACAGGGCTGTGAATTTATAAGTCTGTAATCCAGGGGGTATCGAGAGGAATCAGACGGGAGAAGGATATCTGCCTGCGATTGCTCCCTGCAATGGATGACGATTCCGGCTCGGTTAGGATCATATGATTGGGGTTGTTCCGCATTTGTCCACCGCCCAATAGAGTCGGCTTGTCGACGCAAGTCTGGCCCGCAGAATGACGTCGTCCCCTGAGTCAACTACTTGGATGGGGTTCATGATTCAGTATGTGGTGGGATGGGTATGCAGATGATCGAGGATGCGCATCATTCATTTCAGTGCAATGCAAACACTCGCCCACCGCTCGCTGTGACCAAGCTTGGGTTGATTGGCTCAGTCACGACACCTCATAGACTACTTTATAAGACGGGGCTCGGAACCACAGGCAAGGCAAATCCGATATATATATATATATTGTTTCATTATGACCCCGGCTGGCGACCAATGATGGAAATTAGCAGGTAAGGATGAATATAGGATCGCTGTGCGCGACGCTGTTATCGCTATTGCGTCGAGCCATAGTAAAGGGCGAGATAGGTCCCGTCGCTTCACGGGTGTAAGCATGGTTGACGCAGGCTGTAGCGGACTGACGAGGCCCGAGTTGGCACATGAATCTTTGGGTGATCGGCGCCGGGAGGGATCTGTGAGTACTTTTCGACGACGACTTCACGACCCTGGATATCGGTGACCGTATATATCATCTTGACAGGAACCTCATAGTCTAGCGAGGGCAGGACAGTCTTTTGGCTTGCACCGACGTGGGAGATCGTTGGCCTGGAGGCGGTATCGGCGAGCTCCGTTGGGCAAGAGTCAACAGTGTCAACAGCAACAGAAGGCAAAGATGAAGGTAGCGCTGTGAATGACAGCCTCGGCGCCGCAGAGAACGACGAGGTTATTTGCACTGACAAACGATGGTCGACGGACTCGTTGCAGAAAGGCGTGTGCGAATCGATCCCCTCGACTTGTGGCTTGCGTCTGCGAGGAAGCGTCTCGCCAGCCGGGCTCTGCGCAATCCTACGTCGATTTTGGATTGGCCTATCAAGCGAGCACGCCGTTATCGGAAGCCCGCCAGACGTCGGAGGTTGAGGCAGTCCATCGAAATCGAGGTCGAGCAGATAGCCCATCGAGCTCTTTCGGGGCGGAAGCACCGGCGGAGTGAAAATTGTCCTGGAAGTGGTTCGCTGTGGAATGGGGCCGCGACGGAGCAGCGGGCGTTCGAGCGGAACTTGGCTCAGGTCAGCAGATTCGGATGTGAGGCGATTCGGGATCTCGGTGCATAGCGAGGGCCTGTGGTTGCAGAAGTGACAGACGCTGGCATTATGGGAGTGGGATTGGGGTGTTGATGAGGACATGGCGTCTAAGGCCCGGTGATGGCGAGAAAAGGGCAAGCAACCGCTTGGGCGATAGCCGAGGGAAGGCAAGGGAGTGGAAAGTGGGCGCTGGTCGGCACAATGCAAGGCGGCGTGAATTCTGGACGAAAAACGGCAGTCTCGGTGGACTTGGATGCAGGTCCACAGCTGAGTGCAGCCGGAGCGATGATGCAGGGAAGCAGTTGCGGATGCTGGTCGGCCGATGCTGGTCGGCTGATTGCAGCAGGAACGGAGACGAAGCCAAAAAGGTCGATGCGCCGAGAGCCGGTTCATGGGGAGGCGCCAGGCACGAAACGCAGAGACGGACACAGACGCGACCGCGCAGCGCAGCAAGGGCGGCGGGAGCGGCAAGGCGCCACGAGCCCACAGCGCAACTGGGCTGGAACCTGGGCCGGGGTGAGTGCTGTTGCTCTGTGTGCTGTGGGCGACGACGCTGACACGGTGCACGCGCTGCCTGTGTGACACACGTGGACACAGCTGTACAGCCCAGAGCTGTGCCAGAGAAGGCCGCGGCTCCTGACCGCCCCGGACGCCACACGGCCCCGAAGGACCGTGGGCCTTGGTGCTCCGATCCTGGATCCCAGCCCCGCGGCGTGCCTTCATGCCTCCATGCTTTCATGGCCCACGATCCCGACCGGCGTTGACGCCGCCAGAGAACCTGCATGGTCCAGCGCCACCGAGCATGAGCCCCTTGCGTGCGGACTCGCTTCATGGGGCTTGACACTCACAAGGCCTGCTCCCAGCGATCTCCCTCCAACAGGAGCATGGGCTGCAGGAGTTCATGGAAAAGAAACCGTTCATCTGCGTAGCTTGCCATGCGTGGGAGAGTCGACAAAAGCCGCAGCTTTAGCGGATGAACCAGCCTGAACATGTGCTGCGTGGGAGTGTCCGACCATCGGATTCACTCGAATGGGTTTTCGTTCTCGCTCTCCTGGATGTCGTGGCCGCCATCCACATTTTCATTCCTGGCTTCCGGCGCCCCCCAGCGCGGCTTTGGATGGATGACAATCAGGTTCGGGCTGTTCTGCTGGGCTGCCTGGTAATAGGACAGCGGGCTTTTGCCTCGCTCGGCCTTGGTGGGGCTCGGCTCCGCGCTCTCTGCCGCCGAGAATGTCGTGGATACCCGCTTGGGTGTGCTGTTTCTCGGACTGCCTGTTTGGGTTCGGAGGATCGACCCTTGAACGACACCGGATCCAGGCGATGTGCTCGACGCAGACATGTATGATGGCTTTGTGAGCTGATCGACACTTCCAAACTTGACAGGCGGTTTGGATCGCTCGGGCTGGTCAGACCGACCGGGCGACTCGAACCGACGGGTCATCGCACCATCCGGCTTGGGCTGCGGCTTGACCAGCTTCCTTCGCCACTCCCACTGTCGGCGCTCGTGCCAGTCCTTAATTTTCCTGTACCAAACAGTGTAAAACCACTCGACTTCATCGCTTTGCAGACCGCGTGCGAGCCTATCTGCAACTTCTGGATGCTTTCGGATGTTCTCTGGAAGTCTGGAGAGTGCCCGCGGTGAGCGCCACGATCAGCATTGTTTCCTGCTGTATGGCCGCATGACTTGCCTCAGCCTGCCTCTCGAATCCATGCTCCACTGATTCACTCCGTGCTTACCTGACTATCAAATCTGTAAACGGGGCCAAGTCGAGGGGATAGAGTCAATATCGTGAAATGGCTATGGGTCTGCGTTGCTTCATCCGTCTGCAGCCGCACACAATTCGATCAGGAGTGCGATGCCGGTGCCCGGCGAGTGCACACCACCGCACTTACCTATGACACAGTCGTTGACGAAGCGGAACCGCGTGTTCATCCGGTGAAACACAATGAACTGGCCCACAACAATGATGACGATCTGGCCCGCCAACAGGATGTTGTTGTACCACTGATAGGTTGCAAGGTTGGTGTCGAGGTTTCCGTATATGGATGCCTCTGCTCTTTGATATCCTTCGATCAGGTCCGGGGTGAGCAGGGTTCGCAGCAGACTGATCGTGGCGTTATCGGGCACAAAGGGCCCGACCAGCGTCGCTTCGTAGAATCTATTCTGGATGCCGTAGATGTAGTTCTGCAAGTACGGAATGCCGTGGCTGACCATGCTGCTGACATTCCCCATGGAAGGGTTCCACGTGCGATTGAAGCACGCCGACTGGTTCAGCAGCAAGCAACTCATCTCCAAGTCCCCGAACAACGTTGAGCTATAAAGCTCAAAGGGCAGTGTTGGTGGACTATCTGTTGTGCGGAAGGGTTGGAGGAAATATCATTTTCTGTGAATATCGTGCCATCATGCCCCCTGGAGTCCTTGGAAACCGATAGACCGGGCAGCAGCACTGATGACGATGCAGCAGTACCCAATCTCCTGTCGGGTAGCTAGTCCAGAGCGCCTCTCAATGACGTTCAGCCACTCACTCGTTGGGTTTCCATATATCATATTCGTGTAGATCATATAGAGATTGAGGAATTCATGGTCGTAGAATGCACGTATCTGAGACTCGCTCCCCCAGGTGAATGTGTCCTGGATGAGCATCTCATTGGTGCAAGTGAAGGTTCGGATGTTGAACGTCATCATGTCGCTGAACTGATCGACTGTACCGAAGTTGACGCCCATTTGATTCACAGACTAGGATACGGATTTTCGTTGCCGTCTATGAGTGCGGATGTCTATACTGACGAACGAACGAACGAACGAACGAACGAACGAACGAACGAACGAACGAACGAACGAACGAACGAACGAACGAACGAGCGAGCGAACGAACGAACGAGCGAACGAACGAACGAACGAACGACAAACCAATGCAACAATGGATCGTGCCCCTGCTACATCACACGCATTATCCTGGTTTACTGCGCTTCCATTCCATTGTGACTTACCATCACATTGATGTAGTAGAACACCCCGGCGAGTGTGCATGTTGCCATGACATACAGACCGTATTGAAGCCGCAGTCCCCATTTTCCAGAGGCAAACGACTGCTTCACACTTTCGCTGTCAACAGCCAGGTTGCTGGTGGTGTTAAAGAAAATGTCCTCACTCCGTTCAAGCTCGATCTTGTTGATGTGTTCTTTGATGATTTGAGCTGGAATCTCTTTGAAAAACGAGAGAGCCTTCCGCTGGAGCTTCAGGAACGACATTACGCCAAAGTCCAGAATTACCACAAGCGCAATGACGACCAATATATAGACTATCGTGAGCTCAGTTATTGTGGTTGCGGCTGCAGGAGGTATCAATTCCGGAGAGTCAGTGCTTCCGAGTCAGTATTTTGCATCCGGACAAACAACTGTGCGCGACAGGCGTCAGGTCGGTGTCGGGGATGACAGAATCACTCTCAGCTACCTGTAGCGGCCGTGGCGCTTTGATACGCCTGAGTGACCAGGGAACAGCGATGCGTCAGCCTACTTTGAGCCATGTCACACGTTTGATAGCCATAACGAGGATCGAGAACTTACAAAGAAGCAGTCGTTCATGGAGTAGTCGTAATAGACATGAAGGTACCGGAAGTTGTCCATGACAAATCTGGTGGCGCCATTGTGACTCGGTGAGCTTGGGCCCATCACTCATCGCGTTTCAGAACGGCAGTGATGAGACGGCCCGACAACATCACCCCACGGGTTGTTATCGTTGCATCAGGCCCAACAAGCGCAGCTATACTCCATCACAATCGAACCTGAACGAGTTGTCATAGGATATGTTTGCAAAGGCCGAGAAGCTCTTGTAGCTGAGACTGATGATCAATACATGTCAGTGCAGTGTTGCGCACTGGGCATCAGCGAGTGAATAGCCCCAACACCCGGATATCAACAGCTCGGTGTCAATGCGATTGATACAGTGCACTCACTCGTATCCGCTGGACGCCAGTCTCTGCAAACATGTGAAATACACCAACAGCGTTAGCATGCCGAGCACAGCGCCATCGTCCGCTCATGCACACACTGTCTCAAACATCCTGCCACTGCGGTAGTGTTACCTTGGTCAAGTCGTACCCGCTCACTATCTCTTGAAATGGCTGGTTGACATACGGATACGCAGTGAGGTTGACTGCGATGGAGGGATCGTTGTACCATGAAAAAGTTGCTGGATCAATATCAGACCAAGAGAACAGCCAATCTGTCCAGTAGTTGTACTGATCCATTTCGGATCGCAGCAGAAGTTGTTGTTGATTGAATGTGGCTGTGTCGTTGGCAAGATATGCCGCTTGCAGTGCCCTCGCGCGATATGGAATCCAGGCACTGAACCTTTCACGAGAATGAAGTCTGAGTGCGAAACGCTGAGCATTAATTCATGAACGCCAATTCAACAAACTGCCCCATTCATAGCGGATGTAACACACACATACCCTTGCAGAATTTTGGTGCCGAATATGGTGTACTGCAGTAAGTGCGCACACAGGATCGAGTTGGTGACAGCCGCCGCCAAGCTCATCAGCCCCATGATGTTTGACGCAATCGTTAGCGACTTCATGTCGCGGTTACGCTTGATGATGAGCTGCGATCGCATTCGCATTCGCTCTTGCATGGCCTTGTAATCGTCCGCCGACGTCGTGCCGGTTGACGAGGGCGCCTGGCTTCGGGATTCGTGCTTGTCCATGTTTCTGACTCTCTGCGCAACCGATGCTCGTTCTTCGGGGACGCGATTGAGTCGAGAAGCTTGCGATTTCTGTGGACTGGAGCGTGGTTCCCTCTCCAGGGTCATGATGTTGTGCAAATCGTCGACAGATCCGTCAGCTTGCTCTTCGCCCTCGAGGAAATCGGCCTTTTCCACGAGTGCGTTTCCCTTCTCGATATCGTTGGTCACATCAAAGCAAAACTTTGCGTACATTCTCAGAAAATACTACGAGGGCGTATCGGGGTGGATTAGCGAGTCTCACGAATCGCCAAACACCGGTCGCTATGGAGACCCGTCCACTCCGGCGAGCATTACCTGGCTCTTCGGGAATCTACGTAGTCATCACATGACATCGTGTTAGTGTCGCTCTGGAGCTCTGGAGATTACTCGATCATCGGTGGCGACTGGTAAGGCTGAGCAGCTTCATTGGTCCGAGTGTCGCCACAAAGTCGTCACAAAGGTGCGCTTACCGGCTGACCAGGGACAGATATGCATTATCCGCTTTCTGGGAGGTCGAGTACAGCCTCAGACCAACGCTCTCGACATCAAAGACAGTCGTTTTCTTGTCCACCACGGTTGACCAAAACTTGGTTATATATGCGTTCGCAATCTGGTGGTTGCGTGTGGCCGTCCGGTGGCTCTTTTGAAAATCGGCAAAGCTTGTGACATCCAGCTGGACTCCAGAGCCAAGAAACTCGGACTCGGCCATTTGCTGATTGATCTACCAGAGCGAGACGCGAGGCATTGTGTCAGCAACTCTACACGAGCGCCAAATCTATAGCAGTCTTTGATCGGCTCAGCCGCTGTGGAGTTGCATGCCGACACAATACGGACGGTCAAACGAGCAAGCTCGAAAGTGCAGATACTCAACCTGGTTCAAAAAGTGTATTTGACAGGAGACGTCGAACGAAGGATCCAGCGACTTGATGCGCTTCAGAGACCTCAGCGCCTCTTGGCGAGCGTTGGTCAGGTGGAACAGATATGTTGCGTATTGGAGGCGGATGTACGCTTCTTCCGGGAACTCCTGCAGTCCGCGCTGTTGCCCCACCCGATCACCACAGCGTCAGTAGAAGAACAGGCGCTTGACTGCAAATCTCACTCCAAGCACGACCGCACAATATGCCAAGCACGATCGCGGCACATGCGACAGCACTGCGAGCCGGTCCGCCATCAAAACTAGGTGCTCGATCCAGCCCGAGAGCTCGCCAGAATCACACATCCCCACCTTGAAGATACGCTTGACTTCGCCAAATTTGGCCATGTCAACCCTCCTTCTTCTGTTGTCGAGCGCCTCGACAATGAATCGGGCAGTCATCTCGACGTGCGGCCAGAACCTGAATATGATCGTGTCGTCCTCGTACTGGCTGGAGTGCACGTTCGAGTACATATTTTCAAGGGCCCTGCGAGCCTCTTCCTGGACACGGATGTATATGAACTCTGTTTGGGAGTGGCATTTGTACAGATGGCTGCGTCAGTCCCATGATCCAGGGCAGGATGCTGCACAACAGGACACTCAAGCATGATGCACTCACCGCAAAAGTACCATCCGGTAGCGTATCCGATGAGCACCACAATCACCATCAGGATCGTGTAAAACCACGGCAAAGACACTGATCCATAAGTTGAAACGCCGACGCCGATCAGACTCATAGCTCCTGCGAACATCGAGGCGCAGTAGTTGGCGGCGCGCTTGGAGCAAAGCACGAGTCGAGTGAGTAATGTGCATATCGAAGCGGTGGTCACGGACGAGGATCTGTGTGGTACTGCAGCCAAGATGCCAGTACAACGATTTGAAAAATGATGACTGCCTACCAGCTGGTTGAAGCGAGCATTGAAGTATGGCTGGTAGAACATGATGGACAAGAACATGAATGTGCAGGTGCAATAGCCCACTGCAAACTGAATGATCGGACTCGGCACGAAGCGCCAGCAGCAAATCAAGATCGTCTTTAGAGTGATGTAGATGAGATCCACTCGGCCGTGCGACTTGTTCCGATTGCCCTTGAGGCACGGATTCATGTCCAAGTACCTGCGAGGCGTGTCGCCAGAGATGGACGGTGGTAATGCGGGCTTAGAGCATAATCAAGGCGGATACGTTCGTTCGCGGACTGGATGCACTATCTCAGCTTGCCGAACCTGCAGAAATGGAGGGTTGTCTACTGCCCCCGCTTACACACTGCCCCCACTTACACACTGATCATCGCACACGATGTCGGAATGAACAGCAGCCCTGCTAGTCCCGAGAAGGAGAGAAACAGCAGCCGCTGGAAGTCGTAGCATCCCAAGTTCGAGACGATTTGTGTCTGTGAGCCGGAGCCTGTGCTCTGCCACTCGCATTGGATTGGAGTGACCAGGATGTTGATGATGGGGGAGTAGAAGAGCGTTGGCAGGACACTGGCGGATGAGATGAGGGTTGCGGAAATGCGCGTCAGTCGAGATTGATGGATATCGATACAGGTCCGTGTGTCCAAGGCTGCCCCCAACTTACCTCGCAGCCACTCTCAGGGTCGAGATGGGCCAGATTTTCTTGTGCTGTAGAGGCGACATGGCAATGCAAAGTGGAGCGCACGCAGTTAGATGAGGAGATGGATCACGCATTCCTCCTGGCTGACCATGGCAGCGGCGTTGTCGGTATGGCTCACCTGTCCTCTCTGGGACCATCAACCAAACGGTGTATGGTTGCCGATGCGATGGCATGCGATGGCGAGGGATGGCATGCAGTGCATCAAGTTGTCGTTGGCACAGATTATCGGCGACGCGAGCCATGATCAATGAACAGGGATTGCCGTTAGCTCCACATACGCCTGTCGATGCGATTTCTCAAGCAGAGTACAGGCACTCTCGAAGTGGGTCTGATGGCAGATCCAAGCGCAGGTCGGGGTCAGTGCTTTCGCGGCAATACGCACCACCGTCCCCCAGGCAACGTATGCGACATTCGCCACGAAGAGAAAGCACGCGACCGTCGCACAGCAAAAGTAGATCTGGAACTGCGACGTTGTCAAGGTGCTGTAGGGAATCGAGGTCAGGGTGGTGATGAAGCTCGGGATGGGGTAGTACATGGCCGCGAGCGACGAGAAAAAGTACGTCAGCAACTGGATGTCCTCGCCGATGATGGAGGCCACTGCGAAGAGCGTGGAGGCTCGGTAGTTGCTGCAGTTGGGTTCGGGAAGTGAAAGTCGGGTGAGTTAGCGATCGATCGGAATGCCCGGTCCACCTGCGAAAACGGCAGTATCAGACTCGTATGCAGGGAGTGCACCCAGACTCACCCAACCACCATCAGGAAGAGCAGCTGGTACACAACTTCGTAAATCTCCTTCACTTTGGACTTTTTCGCAGTGATATCGATCAGCTCCCCACCGACGGACGACGAGTTGTCGGTGCTGTTGAAGTGGCTTCCGTCGGTCCGATGGCCGCTGGAGTGTCTTCCTTCTGAGGCCTCTCTGAAGCTCGTCGACCCTCGGTTCGGAGGCGAATGCGACGGATTATCATCGCCGGTCGCGTCGGCCATGTTCCCGAGCGAACTGCTGCTGCCGTCGCCGCCTGCATCCTGGTCGTCTTCATCTGCGGGCACGCTGCTGCGAGCGACCATGCTGTCCCGCTCCTTGCCCGGCTCCTTCTCCGGGATGGTGAAGTTGGTCATTCCTGGAGGGTTGCCTGCCGAGAAGCGTCTGGTGCTAAATGCTCCGATGCGTCGCTGGGAAGGTTTGGGCGAGGAGCCGCTGTCGATGATGGGGCCATCTGTCGCTTGGTTCTGCCGACAGGCGAGGGGCTCTGTCCTGCTGCCGACGCAATTTCGCCGTATCTCGCTCTCCGGCCCGGCCAGTGCGCACACTCTCAATCGACACCGACCAGAACCCGATCATGAGCCTGCTGCCGGTCTCGTCTGGTTCGATTCGTGGATCTGATGTCTGCCCATCGTCTCCATCCCATCCAGCAAGTGTCACGGCGCTCACATTATGAATCGGAGCTCTACTCCAATACCTTTCTTTTGTGGTGTGATTACTCATCCACTGTTCGCCATATTCGCCTGCTCGGCGCCGCCTTTGGCAACTTCGCCTTGATCTCCGCGCCTCCCGGGCATCTCATCCACCAGAGCGCTCTTCCAAGATCGCCGCAATGCCGCCCAAAGCAGCCTCCTCAACCACCCCGGCCAGAGCCACCTCATCACCGGAGATCGTGCTGCCCACAAAACGGCCGCTCGACTCGGCGACAAGTCCTGGCGCCATGCCGTCTGTCGATGGTGCTGACGACGATCACGACATGGTCTCCGATGCCAAATACAAGGCCAGCACATCGTCGACGTTTCCGCAGACCCGAGTAAAGCGTATCATCAAGGAGGACAAGGATATCATGAACTGCCAAAACGACGCCGTATTTGCCGTGACCGTTGCGACGGTGAGTGCTCAACAGAGTGATCTGCACGGACCGACTTTCGCCGTTGGCGGCCGACATCGACGCCCACCCGCCGGCATGTCGATTCTCTGGCAGAAACCGAGCAATCACATTCGACCTGATCCGAGATCAACTTGTGCTTGGCTCGGCTGCTCCTGGCCTGCTCGCTGGCCTGCTCAGTGCTCATCCGCTTGTCACTTTGATCGGCCTCGCTTCCAATACCAACGGCCTGATCTCCTGCCTCACTAAAACCGTGTTGAATCTGCACTGGGCCATCAACCCTGGCGTTTCGTATCCCGGATCGGTCAAACTTTGTGCATCTGTTCGTGGCCATCTGGCTGCAGGAACTGTTTCTCCAAAAGTTTGCCGAAATGGCCTACAACCAAGCTCGGAAACGGAACGCCAAATCGATTGCATATGGCGATGTTGGTATGTTCGGCAGTGCATTGCGTCTCACCATCGTATCTGCACATGTGCACCTCAAATCCAGCCGCCTCTGAGTTTCTCATGTCCTTTGCTGCGTCTTTTAGCTAGCGCCGTCCAGATGACCGAAAGATTTCGGTTCTTGGAAGGTATGAGCGCTGAGCCCGATTGAGGGTGTCGTCAGCAGTACCCATCCTTGCTTGCCCGATCCCTCTCGTTCGATGCTTGAGCGCCGTTGCCTGAGTTGTGGCTGACTCTGGCAATGTGATTTTTGCATCCCGATGCATCGGGTGTTGGGCAACCAGATGTCGTTCCGCCGACCGTGCCCCTCCGTAAGGCTCTCAAGCAGCGCGAGACGCTCCAAAAATCGGAGGAGCAACAGCACGACGAGGAAGAGTAGACACGGACGGCCCGCAGACACCGCTCGTATCTTGTGCTGTAACGACGCAAGCGATCTGTGTCTGCGGGCTGACTGCATCGGATTCGATCGGTCCTGCACCGTTCCAATACAATCAGACGGCTCGCCGCCGAGCCGAAATGACCATGCTTCCCCTCGGATGCTCTCCATACTGCATTCGACATGCATCGTCTGGTATTGGACATGCATCTTCTGGTATTGGACATGCCTCCATACTGCATTCGACATGCGTCTCGATCGCCGTGGCGCGTCGCTGCCTGTGCTTGTTGCCGCGCGCAGCAAATGAATCCATGCTATGAAATTAATTTCGGCGGCGCGTTGCTCGCGCTGACTCAGCGCCCGGATCCAGCCGCACTCGAGCCGCCGCCGCTGGTTTTTTTCGCACCGTTTTCGCTTGTGCGTTTTTCGCTTTTCGCCTTTTCGCCCTTCGCTTTCGGTCTTGAGAAATCCATCGAGCTTGCTCTCAAACACGGAAAAGGTGCGGTATGCCTGGACCCGCCGCTGGCCATTGCGTGCGTGGCCGCCGGCACGGATACGTGCTCGATGCTCCACCTTTATATCGGCCTCTGGAACGGTAGCACCGCCGCCAATCGACACATGTCGCATCTGCGGCTTCATGTCGATTGCCTGGTCCATACCCGTGGTCCTTATCGCTATGCGTCATGGTCCGATTCCCAAGCTGACCTATCGCGCCATTCGTCCTCCCGCCTGCTCATGTGCATATTTATGCTGCTCCGGCGGCAATGCTATTGCATCTGTCCGATGGCGGATATCCATGGCAATGTGTTGCGCGTCTCGTATCGTTGGCTTGGCGCATTGGATTCGATCTCGACATCACGCTATCGACCCCTCCTCCATCGAACCGAAACATGTGCTTGACTGCATACGCTGTCATGCCTCATCTATTGCATACGGACTCGATTCGCGGCATCCAATCGATATTCACCCCACAATTCCGACTGGCAATCGGTGCTGCTCGTGAACCAATCCGACCTGACCCGACCCGACCCGATCCGACCCACTCATCTGTATATCGTATATCGTATATCGTATATCGTATATCGTATATCGTATATCGTATATCGTATATCGTATATCGTATATCGTATCGTTCACACGGCCATCTTTGCCACCGGATATTCTCGATCGGAACGACGCTACAGACGGAAGATGTTTGCTAGAAACCTATTTTCTGCCACCCAGAGCATCCGATCTGCCGCCGGCCTCCGCTTCGCCTCCAGCTCGGCGGCCCAGGGTGCCTTCGCCAGCCGAAAGGATGCTGCCCTGTGGGTCGTTAAGGCCGCCGCCGTCTCGGGCGTTGCCGGATACACCCTCGCCAACTTTGTCCTCACCGAGGAGAACATGAAGAAGATGTCTGTCAAGCTGACCGAGATGGGCATCAAGCTCCCCATTCCCGAAGCCCTCGCCTTCTCCGATATTGACCACGGCCTCCACGCTCCTCATTTCCCCTGGGACTTCAACGCCTGGTGGACCACCTATGACCACGCCGCGTACGTTGACTCTTCGTCTCGAAGCTGATGCCGGGATATGTGTATGCCGCCGGTGTAGGCGCGTTCGGCATGATCGCCTTCCGACTCTGCACCCACGGATCGTGCTTGAGTGACTCATGTCCGCTGCAAGGCAACGGTGCCCATCTCGTAGTCGATTAGACAGAGTGCACAATCCCACGAAGCGTCGTCTAGCGTGGGCATACGAGGCAGCCGATCGGCGCAGGATCACGCACCGATGTCTTCAGCACGTTGCTGAACCCAGGGCGGCTTTCATACTCGTGATTCGCTTTTTGCATGTATCACAACACATGCTCTGTATTGATGAACTTACCTGCCTCCAAACAGCATCCGCCGTGGCTACCAGGTCTACAAGGAAATCTGCCAGGCCTGCCACTCCATGGACCGTATTCACTTCCGTAACCTCGTTGGTGTTTCTCACACCGAGGCCGAGGCTAAGGCCATGGCTGCCGAGAACACTTACATCGACGGCCCTAACGACAAGGGCGAGATGTTCGAACGTCCTGGAAAGGTAGGAATCGTGGACGCCTGGACTTGACCGACACAATCCGCTCAGGCTCGCCTGCATCAACCCGCGCCCCTTAACGGCGCATCGTCAACGGCGTCAACCTGCGGGGCGCGTGCACTCGAGCCTTTTCCATGCCGATGTCGCTAATTCCGACTCTCTCCGCCCTTGCTCCAACTCGCTGTAGCTCACTGACCACATGCCCAAGCCCTACCCCAACGAGGAGGCTGCCCGTGCCGCCAACGGCGGTGCCTACCCCCCTGATCTGTCTTGCATCGTCAAGGCCAGACACGGTGACGCCGTATGTATTGCCCTCTCGCCAGACGCTTGAAATCTGCGTTGTGTTTCGTGTCCCTTTGTTGTGTAGACTCTGGTGCTGACGTGCATCTCTGGCCACAGGACTACATCTTCTCGCTCCTCACCGGCTACTGCGATCCCCCGGAGGGCATCAACCTCCGTGAAGGCCTCCACTTCAACCCCTACTTCCCCGGTGGCGCCATCGGTATGGCTCGCTCCCTCTACGATGAGGTCGTCGACTACGAGGACGGCACCCCCAACAACGCCTCACAGCTGGCCAAGGACGTCACCACCTTCCTCTCCTGGGCTTCTTACCCTGAGCATGACGAGCGCAAAAAGATGGGCTTGAAGGCTCTCACCATCTCTGCTATTCTCTTCGGATTGAGTGTCCACTGGAAGAGATTCAAGTGGAGCTACCTCAAGTCCAGGAAGATTGTGTACGTAACCCGGGAACTTCATCGGCTCTGTCTCTGCTGACTGCTACCGTCGGTGTGCGCTGCCCACCCCGACTTGTTTCCCGTCCCTGCCAACGCACTGCTAACATACTGTCTGTGTCCTTCGTTTGCACCAGCTACCGCCCGCCCAACATCCCTCAAGTCTAATTCATGTGAATTCTGAAGGTGGCCTCGCCTTTAATAAAACTCTTCTTGATCCATCCCTACAATCACTTGTAACGCTGGTCGAGCAGACCGTTTTCTTTTTGTATGCGAGCCAAGCCGCCTCTGCGACCTCCTCACGCCTGTTGTTGCCTTGCACTTTTCCTTCACAACGATACACCCTTCCCTCTGAGGAAACGGATACAGCAAATATAGTGCCTCTCGAAAACAGATCGTCGCGATGGATGATAATCTAAGGGCACGTAGGCGAAGGAGACTTTTGGATTTCGGCATTGAACAAGGCGGGCCGGCCTTTGCCGAAATATTGCAAATCGCGAGCGTATATTGAGTGCCTTGCAAAGGCCTTCATCGCTGGTTGTGGAGGGGCGACATTCGGTTGGAGGCATTTGGTTGCATCCATGTTTCCACCAGAACGGCCCAGTTTTCTTGGGGGAGATATATCGGAATACAATCTATCTATGTTGCTTCCAGGCCTCGCATCAGGTGTTTGGCTCGACATCAATCTCTGCCCTGCTCTGAGAAGCCACAGTGGCTTGTTGTTGCATGACGGCTATTCTACACTTTATTCAGAAAAAAACGGGACAATATAGCCGTTTCCATGAACATGTAGTATGTGCTGTGCTTGCGTCAAGCAAAGCCACAAGAAATAAAACAGATCACTTTGGCAGCCTCCGAGTGAAGACCGCCGGTCGCTCTCCGATCTCCACAATCGACCTGCACACTGCGATCATGTTGCGCGCCGCATTGACGTCGCGATTCCACACTGTCCGGCAGCTGGGATTCTTGCAGCTCCTGACAAAGTGGGAATTCGCAACACTGGGCGCATCGAGTCCTTCCAACCGAACTGGCTCCAGGCACTTGGAGCACACCTGCGAGGTGTTGAACTCGTTCGTCGAGGCCACCTTGACGCTTCCATGATGGTGATTGGGACGGCGTCGGTGGTGCTCGAACTGCTCAAAGTACCGAGCGAACCGCTGCCTCCGAGGGCTGGATGCATAGCCCTTGCCTTGTCGCCATGACGCATTGCCAAAGGCGATGACCACATCGGTCCGTATCGGGGCGTGCTTCAGGACGGCCTTGCACATCCTGTCGACGGCCACTTGGCGTCTCCTGTGGCCCGTGAAGCGATGGTGACGGGCCTTCTTGCCAAGGCGGAAGCCGAGCTGCACTCGCAGCTCCGGTCGCAGGACATGGGTGAGATGGACAAGGAAGGCCTCCGAGGACGACACCTTGGGCGAGGGTGTGGTCGACATCCAGGTCTCGATGCTGAGTCGATACTTCATGGTGTTGTGCCACTTGGTGTTGGACCTGTGGCCACACATGTGCTGGTAGTGGCCATTGGAGAACGAGACCACCTCGTCTTGGTGGCCCGGTGCTTGGATGACCGCCGTGAAGATGGAGCCGACTCCAGGATCGATGCCAATCCAAGTGGTGCGATCGGGGTCTGGGTCGCCGATGTGGGTCTGGATGCGCTGCTCGGCAGTCGGAGGAGGCTCGATGGTCTCGGTGTGATCGGTTCGAGGCAGAAACTTGACGAGACCGATGGTGCATCCAATGCCATCGGTGCTGATCTCGTAGTTGAACAGCTTCCTGTCCCTGACCCGCTCTTGGAAGAGGGAACTACGCAGCTTGAAGCAACTGCGCCAGAGACGATCCTGGTTGTTGATGCCGTCCTCACCTTCATCCTTGAGCTTGTCCCTGGTGAGTCTAAGGCGCTTCTTTGGACCCAGGAGATTCCAAAGAGTGACCGTGTCGATCTTGACATACTTGGCCGTGGCAGTGCATAGAGGAACCATCGTGCACACGGCCGGAGGAGTGTCCAGAGCGAGCTGCTTGAGGGCCCACTTGAGTCTGGATGCCAGCTTGTTGATCTTGGACTTGGTGGTGCCGAGGTCAGACTTGGCTGTGGTGAACCTCTTGTCGTCGGAGGGAATGCCTTGGGTAGTGAGCTCGTCCAGCTTGGCCTGGCGCTGCAGCTCGGTGACTCGGAGGGCGGGCATGTCACAGTCGATCCACTTGTGGACATTGTCGACCATCTTGTCTCGGGCGAGGATTCTCACATGGTGTGAGAGGCGATGGAGGGCCCGGAAGCGGTCCTGGTCGTTGCTGTACCGAAACTCGTCCAGGACGTGGCCAAAGTCTGGATAGAGGAACTCGAGATCGGCCTTGGGTGGAGTCTGCCCTGGTTTCTCGAAGAGCTCAAGACAAGCCTCGATGGCTTCGTGCTTATGCTTGTTGGCTGGGAAGACAGCAGCACAGAAGCGGCGAAGGAGTCGCCAGTAGGCCAGGTCGAGGTGGGTGGTGCAGTTGGTGGCATAGGCATTGACAGCCAGTGTGAGAAGCTGACTGTGAGCGCCATCAGGCAGACGAGGGGCCGGAGGCAGGTCTGCGTGCCGAGTGGTCTGGTAGTCGCGAAAGGAAGCGACCAGATGCTCGTTGTATTTCTTGGTATCCCTGGCCGTCGAGAGGGCATCGGCCTGGACGATCTTGAAGCATTGGCGGATGAATGCAGGGGTGGCCTTGGAGATGACGGGGACGGGAAGATCCTGCTCGATGCACCGGAGGATGTGCAGGTTGAGCAGCCTGGATGCCTCGAACTGGATCTGGGTCATGGCCTCGACGGTGGCCTGGATCTTGTCGCGGAGAGCGGGATTGAGACAACAGCCATCCATCGTCTGCTTGAAGCAGCCGAACTGAGGGGCGGATGACCTTCCATCCACGAGTGGGACGACAGAACTCTTGAGGGGCCGGTATTTGGGACACTTGTTGGTGTTGCAGCGTTCGTGATCGGTGCCATCGCACTTGGGACATCGCTTGCCGGTGCTCGAGGAAGTAGATGGACCAGGCTCGGTGGGATCGACATCCATTGGATCTGCAGAAGCAGTGGTGGTGAGCGACGGAGCAACAGAGAAACAAGCATGCGTGAGATCAGAATACGAACCAGAGACAGGCTCCGACTGTGACTTGGCTTTCTTGGGCCTGGGTGGCCGAGGCTGGCCATCACCGGCACCCTTACGCTTCGGAGGCATGGGGGCAGAGGATGCTGGATGCCTGCCAGTGGTACTGGTCAGAGCAGAGACTTCTCTTTATCGTACAATAGCGCGATGATCAGATCAAGGCGAGATGAGGGAAGAAAGCAGCAGGACGAAGGTGTGGCATTTATACCCGAGAGCAGGAGCCCGTCTGCGCGGGCTGGTTGGGGAAGTGACTCTGTTCAAAAATCGCCGAGAGGTTCAAGCCAGGGATGTGAACGTGAGAACGGCGGCTTGATTGGAGGGACAACCCCAAAATTGATGGGGACTAAACCCCAAAATGATGGGGACTCAACCCCAAAGAAGTTCTCGATGGGATTGAAGTCGGGCGATGCAGGTGGGGTGAAGATCACTGACCATCCTCGGCGCTCGATGCAGTCCAGGACAGCCCGTGTCTTGTGCATGCTGACATTGTCCATCACAATCACAGAGTCGTCTGGGAAGGTCGCTCGCTCAAAGAACTCGACCATCGAGTGTGTCTTGAATGATGTGGGGATGTACATGCGATGCAGCACACCAGAGTGGTTGATGGCAAATGCAGCCGAGACAGACTTGTGTTTCATGTGATTGCGCTGGCGAAGCGGAGCACCCTTCGGTGAGTATCCGTAAAGAGGGAAAATGGATCTCCTGATCCCTGTCTCATCGACAAAAACGAATCGTCGTGGGTCGATGGAGCGGGCCTGGTCCCTGAACTGTGCCACTCGCTCATCCAGTCGCTTGGACTTGTAGAGGTGTGTTGCTCTCTTGTGAGACAGACCTGCTCGGTGGATGGCAGTGTGGCAGAGTGAGAGTGATACTTTCCTCTGGAGGATGGACTCGAGCTTGCATCGCAACACAGGACCAGTCTGGAACGGGTCCTGTTCAATCAGGGTGCGAATGACTGGACATGCCTGCTCGAAGAAAGTGGATCTGCGAGCTGGGACCCGGGATGGGTCATCCAGCTTGCATCCTCGGTGCCATCGATGGATGGTGCTCTTGGATACACTGAATATGGAGGCGACCTTACGCAGGCTATGGATGAGGGCGTAGCATCGCAATGCGGCGGTGCGAAAGTCGGATGTGTGGCGAATGGTCATGGCCAGCGCGCGATAACATTGGGTAACAAAATATTCGATGAATGGTCAAAATCCCGGGTGTCCCGTTTTTTATTGGATTACCTCTAATTCAGCAGTCATCGCGAAGATCACCACGGCACCGCTTACGGCTCTGGGCATCGCCATCAACCCATCGTCTCGTGCCATTTCTGGGAAAGGCGGCGAGCGGCCCTGTCAAACCAGCCCTGCACTGCGCTGCGGCTGACCGACCGAAATCTGACAAATTTGGATTTGAGCAGATTGGCTGATCCCTCGGTGCTTTTCGCGTCCGATGGGTCGTCTTCATCGGCTTCGTGCAAATGTCGCTCGCTTGCTGGTCGCGATCGGATCGACTGCTCTCTGGATTCTGTCGCTGGACCATGGGGCGTCATATTCTCGAGCTCCTGGTCCATTGAATCGGCATCCAGCATCGATGACCTGATGCCTGAGCCCTCGTGAAGTGCGTCCTTTGTCCGGAACATCGGATGCACCCTGAATCTGTTTCGGATTTTGGTGACAAGTGTGTCCCACAGCCCGGCTGTTCGTGTGGGCACGACCGCAGGCAACATAGCGGGTGCTCCTGCTGGTGTTCGCGAGCAAGGCGATTGCACAGCGGAGTGGACTGCTTCGTGTCGGGCTGTGTCCCTTGTGGCTGCTGCAATCGTTGTGTCGGCAATGTCCACCGAGTGTCGAGGATACGATGACCGTCCCTCGGTGGCCGAATTTTGTCGAGATACGGCACGCTCATGCGTCTTGCGGTCCAGCACCTCCATGAACAGTTGACCGGCCTGCTGGATGGTCGAGCACTTGACCCGGCGCACAAAGTCGATGGATATGCTTGGATGCATGCCAATACTGTCGCACTCCATGTAGTCGATTGGAGGTACATCGTACGATTCAAGGACCCAGCGATGCGTCATCACAGCCTCGAGCTTTGCGCGCTTTTCGATCGACGGAGTAAGCATCCTGCCGATAAGATCTTGGAGATCTTACGATACAGGAAAAGATATCTGTCAACGACGCCTCCAGTAGTTGCGGTGATCTGCGAGTATCGGCCAGCAGATCTCTCTTGTGCATCGCCAACCATGCCAACCATGCCAACCATGCCAACCATGCCAACCATGCCAACCATGCCAACCATGCCAACCATGCCAACCATGCCAACCATGCCAACCATGCCAACCATGCCAACCATGCCCTCCACCCAGTAACCCATCTTTATCAACAGCCTGAGGGCCCTAGCCAGTCTGCAGATACTGCACCGTCGCAGCAGCCTTACCTCTGGACATATCCTGGGGATACACCACAGCGCCTTTCTTGATCTTGTAGGCAAGTGAGTGGAAGGACTCTGCGTCAAATGGCAGACGCCCAGCGGCCATGCCAAACAGGCACACCTATCGAGACAAATGCCGCGACATCGTCGAGTCAGAATCCGAACCGGCGACGCGATCCACAGTGCCCCATGATACAGCGAACATGTACTTACTCCAAGCGACCAGACGTCTATTTCGGGGCCACGATATGCCGCATTCTCGTAGATCTCCGGAGCAGCGTAGCAGGGGCTTCCACAGTTGGTCTTGAGCAGCGACTCGCGGTCCGTCGAGTAGAACGTCGCAAAGCCAAAATCCAGGACCTTGGCCACATTGGTGCTTGGGTTGAATCGGATATTTTCGAGCTTGATATCTCGATGGACAACATAGTTGCGGTGCGCGTACTCTGTCCAATGGAAAAATTCAAACCCACGATTGAGCACATGTATCGGCTTGGCTCGCTCTGGCCTCAATGGGACAGCCGCTCATGTCATACACAGTATCGCCCGGAACGTGTCACAGCACACAGTCCTTCTTTAACTGCTGTGGGAGCCTTTTGGGACGATCGGGTGGACTGCCGACCGAGGCACTGCCAAAGCACATACCTATTGCCGAGAGGACTTGGCGGATGATCAGTCGCGACACACCCTCCGAGAGCTTGCCGTGGCGCGTGATGTAGTCGACCAAATCCTCTCCTTCCAGGTACTCGAAAAAGCAGTAAAAGTGGTTTTCGCCGAGCTCGGCGTGGAACAGACGCACAATGTTCTCGTGGTTGAGCAGCATGTTCAGTGTTGCTTCGCGGATCATGTAGAGCTCACGCTTGTGCACCTTCTCAAGCGCCTCTTGACTTGGGCTGCGAGACTCGCCTTTGGCGGGTCGCTGGACTTTGCCGCCAGAGTTGGTGTGGTATTCGTCCATGCGGGGTCTGCGGACACACTTGACCACGCACTGGTGAGGGATGGAGCAAAAGCACGGCGCAATGTCAGCAGAGATCGATGCTGGCAAGGCCACTATTCCTCTGCATTCGATACAAATCAGTGTCTTCCTGATAAACCGCCATCCACTCCAGTGCCAGCACATAGCAACCCGGTGCTGATCGACAGGCTCTGGTTACTTCACGGCCAGCACGCCGTACGCCAGTCGTCCGATGCAGGTCCAAGTCTCCATCACCATGCGGCTGCGCCAGATCCCATCCGATCCGAGTGTCTTGGTGTCCTGGCGGTCACTCACCACCTGCCCAGTCTTTGAGTTCACAGCCATCTTGACTTTGCCAGAGGAGCCCTCGCCGATGGTCTTGCCGATCATCCAGTCGCCGATCTTCCGACGTCCCTGGGTCGGAGCGGGCGGCTGGACCGACACATTTGTGCCTGCTTCGGGCTCAAATGCGCTGATCCTCTCCATTTCGATGACTGGAGTAACTTCTGCGTTGTATGGTGTTCCAGTCGCCGGACGTGACCTCTTTGCGGTCTGCTCCATCGATACTCGTCTTGAGCTGACGCGTGTGTTTGGGTTGGAACTTGCTGCTGATGGATAGCCGGGAGCAGTAACCATGCTCGATGCGGTGCTGGGAACTATCGTGGCCGCCGTTGGCTGCCGTGCGCCCTCCAGCGTTGCTGCACAGGAGCTGGGATTCGTTGACTCGTCCTGGGCGAGTTTCAGCGGGCCATCGCGGTCGCTTCCTCGCTTGGACAGCACGCCCGATGGTGAGGTCGCCGAGGGCACCTGGCAACTCTGCAGGCCCCCGAGGGATCTCGCACGCACGCGACTATGCTGTATCTGGCGAGGGTGGGCGGTGTGGACCGGAGCAACAGCATCGTCGTATCGTGAGGCGCATACGGAGCCTTCAGGCCCAGACAAACCACTGCCGGCGAAGGCATCGTAGCACTCGACTATATCATGCACCTTGTGTTTCTGCATGTGGGTGCGGCGCGGCGGGGGAAGCGGCGGACATCCTGGATCGCCATTCATGTCTGCGATGGCCTGGGAAACGATTGCTCACGAAATGCTGTGCTTGGAGGGAACGAGCGGCTCTGGCCCCGCTTGGGAGAAACAGCCAGGAGAGACGCGCTTGGCGAGATTGTTGGCAGGACCGTGGGAACAGCTTACGATCGATCAAGCGACACGATCGATTTATCCAACAGCGCTCAGCGTGCTTGTCGCCGTTTTATCTGCGAGTTTGAGACGGCACACGTAGCTCGGACGAGGACGGCCGAAGCGTAACGACAGCGTGCGGTGGGTTGCGTTGGCTCTCTTGCCGCCGGCAGCAGCTGGTTTTGGCGCTGTGACCTGCCGGGCCAGAACCACCTTTGGCGGGAGATGACCAGGCATGCATGACCAAGCGACACCTCGTCAGTCTCTGGCTGTCGGGAAGAAGAGGAAGAAACTCTGGTCCACCAGGCAACTCTTTTGGCAGACGGATGATCTGGTCTCTGTTCACGGCTGCGTCGCAAATACCGCCACGCAGTATCGATCGGCACGAAGGTGTATATTCAGGACCAGGACAAGGGTAGCCGCCGGCCTTGGAGCAGGAGCATCTCGTCTCGGCTTGCAGACGCTGAATACCATGGCGACAGCCATACGACCGTGTCGAGACTTGGACCCATACGATACGATCTGCTCAGATGGATCGACCGAATGCCGTGTTCTCGTAGCCGCGACTCTTGAGACCAAAGTCCTTGACGGCACGCTTGAAGCGGTCCAGGTCCCTCGTTCTGAGGACGGCAGGCGGGGATATGCAGACGCTGTCAATGATACACTGCGCTGACGAGCCACACATCAATCCTGTGGATGCATGCCATGTCTGATACGAGCCACCAAGTTCGATCATTGAGCCGCGCTCACACTGGAACTCACCCCAGCACTTGCTTCGCAAACTGCTCCTTCTCGCGCTTCGTGATCTTGGCGGTCGGGAAGCCGTCTGGGCTCAGGCACTGCAGCAGCCACTGGCGCGTGGGCTCCGGATACTTGGACACCATTTTGAACAGAATCCGGGAAAACTCGTCAAAGGTCGACGGGGGAGACCGACCGCCAACGCACTGAGGCGCCATGCGTGTCCATCGTAGAGAGACCAGAAGAGGAGTGGGAAGAGTGACGGGAGCAGAGGGTTCGTCAGCGAGAGCTTGTCTCTGACGAGATGCAGCATCTCTCAGCACATTTCCAGGACCTGCACAGCTCACTCAGAGCACCAGGAGTCTGGTATACGGTACCGTGACAATCTCGCGGATCAAGGACTCTCCGATCTGCCCAACAACTGCCGACACGAGCCCGGCAAGGCCCTCGTCGACGCTCGAGCCGATGAACTCGACCTGATAATCGGCACGATCCAGAAGCCAAGGGTGCAGGAAAAGTACCGTTAAGCATTTCGTGAAGAAGCTCATTCACAGTCGCAATGCAGCGCACGAGTTGATGCCGATGCACGGCGCAAGTGTCGGGGCTATAGCTTACCAAGAAACGAGCAAGGACATGCAGAACAAATGCATCCGAGAGTGAAAGTCCTTGAACCACCATCCCCATGAAAATGTGGTTCAGGTGATCCGGCGGGAAGTTCAGCATGACCCGTCCGTATCGGCGAAGATTCTGTGGCACATCGCGCCATGGCATATGCGTGGGCAGATGCATACATGGAAGCGTCAGTAGAGTTGGCAAGAGAGCAACGGAGAGACGAGTCGGGCAGCAGAACTAAACAGCAGAACTGAGGCAGCAGAACCACGAGCGAGATGGCGTCGACACATGACAGGATGGCGACAACACATGGCAGGAGCCAGCGTCGCCGCCGATGTCTCTGCCTGTCCGAGAAGCACACTCTCTATCCGTGCGAGCCGTTGCTCAGTGTTAGCATCTTCCACTTCCAGCGACTGGCGCGGCTCATACCTCCGTCAGCAGCGCAAAGTACTTGGCCACGACATCGGACCTGTCCATCATGACCTCGGCGTTGTTTACGATGCGAACGATCGAGTTGGTGAACGACAGCAGCAGCTTGGACAGAGGCTGGGTCGTGTCCATGAGCACCTGGGGCGTGCTCCATTCTTCGTCCAAGTGTGAGATCAGTGTTGTGCCGCATTGCAAGATACACGCATGGGAGTGCTGGTCAAACAGGGCTGTCAGCACATCGACCAGGCGCAGGGGATCGCTGGCAAACAAGGGCAGCGCTGCTCTCAGGGTCTGTTCGATGAACGTGCAGAGGGCCTTGTGGATGGAGTGGCAGATGAGAAGGGCAGCGGCAGTGAGTAAGACAGCGCATATCCGTTATCATGGACTTTCCTGCACCACCAGGACCAGCTCCAGAACAGTCACCAAACAACAGGCACCCTCCCAAGCAGCCGATGGCCTCGAACAGCAGGCATCGCTGACTCGGCCAGCTTGGTTCCGAGTGTGTCTGTACTTGCATCACCGCACTAGTCCTCCAAAGCCATATATCGAGGTGCACTCGAGCGCCGTGGTTCTGGATACAACAGTGATTCCGCTTTGCACTTACATTTACGATTGGCTCCACATCGCCAAATAGTTGGAAAAGCTCTAACGTGACCTCCCATACGAGGGCACTGATCTGGCGCTGCTGCTCAAGTTGCTCAGCCGAAAACATATTCTGGGTGACTTCGTCGCCCTCGACCACATAGATTGGTTGGACTCCACGACAGCAGCTCTGCATGTATCGAATCTGGGTGCCGACTTGCTCGTGCAATTGCTCTGGCATGAGCTGCGAAGAGTCCATGGATTCGCTTTAGCTTTGTATGGCGGCGCGGCGTCAGGGACGCTGGCAGGCTCAGTGTAGATAACGGACTCGCGCTCGATAGTGGCTGCAACACCCATCCTCAATCTGGCCAACTCACCTGAGCCGCCATGGACAGGATTGCCTTGATGTCGCCAACAATGTTCATGAGCATGTTCATCAGGTAAATGACGCTCTGCTGCTGCGGCATCGCCTGGATGACAGACGAGATCGCTTCCAGCACCTTTGTTCTCTCGCGCATCTGAGTGGCGCATAGAGTTTGCGGGCAGTATTGGTTATATCGTGCCGTGACCGTGCAAGATTGAATTTCGCACAGTAGCGGCAACAACGTGCCCCAGCCCAGAGGCGTGGTTCTGGGTTGCGCAAGCGGCTTACCTGGAGCGAGGGACCAATCTGTCCATAGATGGTAATTAGCGAGTCGATGCCCTCAACCATGCCGAACTTGCAGCTGTTGCAAGTACTCTTGAGCGCCTCGGCCACACCAGGTGCAATGTCCGGCTGGCTGAGGCCCATCAGCAGGAAGTTGACCGAGTTGAGGATAGCGTCGGGATGCGAGCTCAGCCAGTCCGAGTGGGCGCCTTCAAGCCACCATTATCCGGGTGCCAGGGCACCGCACACGCAGAGCACCAACGAGACTCAGGTGAGAATTTAGGAGCTCGGGGGACAGGAAGAGCATAGCAAGATTGGCCCGCGGGATGGCAGCGGCAAACACAGAGCCACTGACAACCGCCCTCGCAGTGACAAGCGATAGAGCATATCCCGAGACGACGACATACCAATCAGCAAAGACATTGTGTACTTGACGCGCGAGAGCTGGCCAGCGGGCACCAGCAGGAGGGCTTCGAGAACACCTTTGCCAAATACGCGGGGAAGATAGACGCTCTCATTGACGTCCGCTGCTTCACTGACAGCACGGATGGCATAGAGCGTAGCCTCTAGTGGCTGTGTTGAAAACGAGGCGAGTTAGTCGCTACAGACCTCGGGGGCCCTGTCGGTGGCTCTGCAGAGAATGTCTGGCTGCAGACGAGCAGACATGCGAGCGTAACAGAGGTGCCGCCCGATCCAAAAGCTGTGCTTGCGAAGGCGCTGCAGCAGGAGTCCTCACCTGCCATTTGCTCTGCCTGCCCTCCATCAGATCCAGAATCTGCTGCTCTGCCAAAGGAACAAAGACCCCATACAGATCCTCGCGCAAGATATAGAAGGCGTGCAAAAAGTTCTCGCCACAGTCTTTACGGAACACCTTGAACTTGTTTTTGGTGTCTGTCGCGATGGGGGCATTGCCACCGAAGGCCATGTCGCTCAGTAAGGGGTTTCTCACATCGCATCTTGACCGTGTCCGCCTGCCCCCCCCTTCATCTGGCAGACCGTATGGCATCTGCAGGACAAACACCGAGCCAGTGCCTTACCAGAGTTCCACTCATTCCACGTTTCATCCTCTGGGAATGTAATCTTGCTCATCCATGCGACCACGGCACGCACCAGGAGGACCTTGGCGGCCTCAAAGATACGCATCGACTCGCTCTCGGTTGCACCGGCTGGACTTCGCACCGGCGTATGCTTGGCAAAGACTCGATCGGCGTCGGACGGGTGCAGGTTCGTGGCGCTCAGCACAGGCTCTCCGGTCACGGGGTCGGTGATGAGATCCTCAAGGCCGTCTTCCTCAACACCGGGCCGCTGAATGATCCGAGGATCCAGCAGGGTTTCGCAGAAGATGGCCCAAAACTCGAGCGTGAGGGCACTGCATAACCATGACGCACGTGAAGGAGAGGGTTAGTTGAATCGACAGTCATTCCGTTCGCCGAGGGCAAGTCAACGAGTCCCGGCCATCCCGCTGCTGATCATCCTGTCGCCACTTGACATGCTCGGCGACAACTTACGACAGCTCCTGGTCGCCTGCATAGTACCCTTCAAAGTTGGTACAGGCCAGGATCATCTCGTAGAAGACCTGGACGTCGTCCCGGAGAAAGTTCTTGACAAAGTACGGGGTAAAGTTCAGTCCCAGCTCGACAAGAATGTTGCAGATCACCTTGGCAGTGTGCTCGTCCGTCTCTGGAAACACGCCGCGTCGATGTCAGTACGGTAGCTGAATGCACTGGACGGCAGCTTGATCGACAGGCATGCGTATTTCGCTCTCGTTCCGGACATGCATCTGTGCCGGTCGTGGCCGCATGGATCTACCTCGGATCGCGCGCTCGAGCTCGTTCCTGAGCCAGCCTTTGGTGAGAATGCCCATCATGAAATTGCAGATCGTTTTTTCATAGGCAGCCATGGTGCGGAACGAGATCAATTCGACCAAGGCATCGGCCGATCGCTCAAAAGTGCCCGGGAAAGACAGGTGCGGGATCACCAGGTCGAGAATAACGTTTACCGACGTCGCTGATCTGCCAGTTTCCAAGGACACGTCAGCTATCAAAGGAGTCGCTTTCGGAGTGGCCCTGATCTCAATCCAAGTACCGCATAGGCAGCAGCAGCGACGTGTGGCTTCCCCGTGGTGTGCTCACTTACTGCGCGAAAATGATGTGCGAGATCCAGTTCCGCAGACATCCCAGCGCTGACTGCTTGAGCATCAGGATGGGCTGGGAGATGCCTTCAGCAATCGGGAGCGATAGGATTCTCTGCAACGTCGCAAGAACCACGCCGGTGGAAGACGACAGCTCGTTTTCGAAGACGGACCTGGAGCGGAGGGCGACATGATTGCAGGTCAGCGAGTGTTGGGAATCGTGAGATCGACAGAGACGGATTGGAGTCGATAGACCGGCAGGACGGCATAGCAAGGGACTCTGGGGCGAGGGCCAAAGGCAACCATGATCCTGCCAGATGGCGCAGCCAGTACAAGAAACAGCACAATGCGGGCGTGCTGGCGACATTTACTTTCGTGTCGGAATCATATGTGCATTTTGCATCTCCTCCGGCAGGACAGTCAGGAACTCGAGCAGCGACAGCTCGAGAGCCACCTTGCCCTCCTCGACCGGACACTGCTCGATGGCGCTGTTGATCTCTTGATCGAAAGACCTGATAAAACTATCCCAGTGCGACGGGAAGGCGTTGAACGCATAGGCTGTCAACTGGCGGTTCGATTGTATCGTTTTGGTCAAAGTAAAGAGTCCCGATGTGTCCGGCAGTCAGGTCGATGGTCGGCGTGAGTTGCAGCCCAAAGGCGACAAGAGTTGGAGAGTTAGTCGTCGAGTCTCGATCGTCAGTATCTCGATAGTGTCTCAATCGTCAATGCCTCGATCATCAGTCTCTCGATCATCAGTCCCTCGATCGTCAGTCCCTCGATCGTCAACACCGTGACAACTTGCAGCAAGTTTGAGCAGAGGGAGAATGGGTTTCGGGGCTGCTGGATATCGACAAAGGGTTGCTTACAGCGAGACAGAGCTTGGTTGTGACAAACTTCGGGCCGGGCGACAGCTGGATGATGGCTTCAATCACTCGCAACCGGAAACGCTCGATGCTGTCTTCAGGGATCGATTTCCTACAAATGCTCGATGAAGTAAGCGCTCTGGAGCGATGCCACTCTCGGAGTGGTGCGTGCTATGGCGGCGCTCTCTCATCGAACGGTCTCCGGGATGCGGACACACGAGAAGCAATCGCATCGGAGCAACGACTGCCGAGACGCTGTGACCAGCATAGCGCCGATCGAGCCGTCGGTCACGGTGGCGGCCGTACCAATCATGGGAGAACTTGACTTGCAGCGTCAGGGCACCGAAATATTGGCACTGGGCTGACTGTGAGTGGCATTGGGAGGTGAGACCAAGGCTGCGAAGCGACCTGATGGGGCATCGCAAATTGCTGCCCGAGAGAGAGAGAGTCTCGTATCCGAGTCTGCTCCCCCGAATGCACCGGAGATGGTCTGCCAACGAACATGCTTACGGGCGACTGGAGCAGGGCAAGGGCCACATCCCAGCCCATCGGATCCTTCTGGAGATTTTCGAGCCACTGCTGGGCAGACTGCACAAAGGCCGGATCGACATTGTGCGTGTACAGACGGGTGATAATCTGCAGCATCAAGATGTTAGAGGGCAGCGTCCCGAACAGCACAGGCACCATGGCACGAGGGGGTGGAGATCCAGCAACGGCTTGGGCGGCCACCTGAGGCGAGTCCTGCAAACGACGAAATCTGCATCCAGCCAAGGGCGCGAGGGCACGAGGTACGCACATCCTGGGCCTGGGCCACTGTCTGCGATAGCGCTTCCATGTCTCTGTGCTGCGGGGACGGGGACCGGTGGAGATGCAGCCGTGCTGGAGCCAAGGACGATGTCGAGCAGTGTCGAGAGCGGTGTCGAGAGCGGTGTCGAGCGGTGTCGAGAGCAGTGTTGGATCGATCGAGACCGAGGAAAAACCCGTCAGGAAGCCCTGTCGGGTGGCTGGCTGCGCTCTGGCTGGCGAAGGGCTGCCCCAGCCCTAACGGCAACCGCCAGGGCTGCTGTCCATTGCCAGAGCCCGATTTCCTGTCGTGGCCAGCCTTGCTGTTGATCGCAACGGACGACAACAGCGACACCGCCAGGACCGACTAACCGACCAACCGACCGACACCTTCGACCAAGCACGGACGCCATGGCATCGACGCTTTTACCTCTGGAGCTGGTGGACAAGTGCATTGGATCGCGCATCTGGGTCATCATGAAGTCCGAGAAGGAGTTCACGGGCACGCTTCTGGGCTTTGACGACTTTGTTAGTATGTATCTTGCCGCAGATCAGCCAAGCGACTGCCGCGATGGGGATAATGCAAGACGCACTAACAAGCCGAGATCTGCTCTCACCAGACATGGTATTGGAAGATGTGACGGAATAGTAAGTGGCATGCATCGTCCAGCAAGACGGGACCCACCAAGCTGCTCGTGGATCGCGAATGTGCTTGCGATCGGCTCACCAGCATAACATCCTGCTGCCGTCACCAGCGAAAACACCCCGAACGGACGGATCCAAACCAAGCTGGACCAAGTGCTCCTCAACGGCACCAACATCTGCATGCTGATTCCAGGTGGAGAGTAAGTAGTGCGCCTGTCCGGCCGACGTTGATGCAAGCGGTCTGTGGAGCGATCTGCGGCGCATCACCTTGCGGATGGAGCGGGACTGATTTTCCCTCGATGCCACAACGCAGAGGCCCGGCTGCATGATCAAGGGCTTATGGGACGCCCCGAGCGCCGCAGAGACAAATGCGTGCTGTTTCGGTTCTCTTCATCGATTCGGCTGGACAGCATCTGCAAATTGAGATATGCCCTTCGGCATTCTGGACGAATTCCGATGGCCTTCTGGATGCATTGCGGTGACATTCTGGATGCATTGCAACGGCATTCCACGATTCCAATACACACGTTTGTCCATCTCCGCCGCCCGTCGAGCTTTGTCTCGTCATCTGTATCGCCATCCTCCGATGTCTGGCGCTGTGGCGAAGTGTGTGGCGAGCAGTAGCCAGCTCAGAATCGGATTCTGGGCTGAGAACATGACCTCTTCTGCTGTTTAGACGGGACAAATGGTATCGTCAATAGAACGAATGAGGGTGTATTCAGAAGCCAAAACAGCCAACGCCTTGCAAAGTAGGGTGCTCCCAGTTGGCTTGTGAGCAGCACCATGGAGGCACAGCCTTGGGCATGGCCGTATTCCACTTGACGCTTGGAGGAATGTCAACAGCAGTAGGAATAGTAGTCGTCTTCGCCTCGCTTGTTGTCGAGCTGGACAATTTGGGACTCTGATGGTGCTGTGTTTGATTTCTGCCACAGCGATGGAGTTTCGGCAATCTGTAGATGAATTGGACGGCAACGTGGCAGGAAGCGGTAATTTAGACAGAGCCAGAGCGACCAGCTCGACATGCACCCGACGATGAAGAGAAGCAAGGGTCCTCAAGAGATATCTCACCTGGCGGACCAGGATATCAAAAGTGTCGTGGATGCCGATGCGGCTCTTGGCGCTAGCTTCGACAAATAGGGCCTTCATCTTGTGGGCAAACGCTTCGGCTTCTCGCTTGGTGACCTGCCGAGCTCCAGCGATATCCCTGTCGCATTTGTTTCCCACGATGATCTTGACAATTTCGGTTGTGTTTGAGTATGTTTCGAGCTCCTCGAACCACATCTGGAGATTCTCAAAGCTCTGGCGATTGGCGACATCGTACACTGCAATCACAGGCAGGTGCAGCAGAACCGAAATCAGCCGCAATGTCCAGCATCCACATCGAGACTGCACCGTCGATGGAAGAGTTCGCTGGACTAAAGATCTGGGCAGACAGAGCCACTTGCAGAGCCAGTGGAGGAGCCGGCCACAGAGTTTGTGATATTCAGAGTCTCACCGAACATAACGCCGTGGGCACCGCGATAGTAGCTTGATGTGAGAGTGCGGAAGCGCTCTTGGCCGGCCGTATCCTGAGCAAGAACGCAAGAGTCGGCGTAGATACGGGTCAGTGTGTCCGGGCCACAGATACTTCCATTGGCGCCCATGGCGAATATGCCCAACGATCCAGTCTCGGGAATATGCTTTGGCAGAGCATATCTCGCCGACAGAGACGGAGATGCCACGGAGGATCAGTCGCTCGCCACGGCGTGGCCCGGCGAGAGGAGCCGAGGTTTCCATTCGTGCCCGACCGATTCTTGGATACGGATCGGCCGAGGTGCCGCGGCGTCTCGGCCTAGCGGCGCTATAATTGCACGCGGCGATTGCTCCTTGGTCTCTGCAGAACAGCGAGTCCAACGGCATGCTGGCCCGAGCCAACGATTCACTTTCGGCGACTTGAGAGTTGGCGCGAACGAAATGCCGTCGCTGATGGCTGCACCTCCAGGTCCGCTTCGGTACGCCTTCGGACCGTAGCGCTTCCGGCATTCGGACACCTACCCAGATGGTCAGCTTGTACTTTCGGCCGTCCACATCGGCAATCTTGATTTTGAAGTCGACGCCTGCATGCACCCGCAGACACCGGGCAGGGCCCGTTGGAGTGTGAGACATGGATCGGGTCATCTCGATGGTGCAGTATCCCATCGCAAGCCAGGAATACCTCCGTCGAGTCTGCGGTACCCCTCCCTCGAGTCAAGAATGCGGATACATGACGCTGGCCATGGGGCGAAAGCGGAGGCAGGGCGGCGGTTTCGACTCACCGATGGTGGCCTGGACTTCGTCGGGCTGCAGCCAAACATCGTCTGTGTATCGGAGCAGCAGCGACGACTTGCCCGTGCCTGAGTCGCCGATCAGCAGCACCTTGAATGTCGCACGGACGTCCGGATCGGTGGGAGAGCTCTTTGGGGCCATCGCGGCGCTGGCGGATGCGGTTGATGCTGCGGGTCGAAGCTGGGATGCCCCGGCCGGCGGGACGCACCGAAACAAGCCGGGCCTGGCGGGTGGCCGAGACGCGTCACGTGCGCACGTGGAGCACACACACACTCGGACAGCCAGACAGCCGTGCGACCTGGCGCTGTCCAGCCGTGTGCGACATACCCGGCGCACAAGGGTCTGTGTGGCTGGCACAGCACAATGGAGTGCTGCGCGCCCTTCATGCGCACTGCCACAGCGGCCACCTGCTCCGCCATCGATACGCAGAGTAGCACAGTGTCGCACACCGCCACGCACGGTTGCACACCGTCGCACGCCCCTGCCCAATCGCCGCCTTCCACAGCGACCCGTGGCGCCGTGCTGCGCACTCCTGGCTGTCACGCGACCGGCTCTGTGTCCACGGCGATATCGCCCGATATAACGGCGCTTGCTCGCCGCGGCCTTCTCTTCCCCACCTCGTTCCTGATCGCCCCCCCCTCGACACTCCTGCCATGGCCAAGAAAGACGCTTCCAAGCCCGCTGCCGCCGCCGCCGCCGCCGCCGCACCTGCCGAGTCGAACCCTGCTGCTGCTGCCCCCAAGGCTGCCAAGAAAGGTGTGCTATCGCTCTGTCGCCGACCCAGCGCACGATCTCGTCGCGGAAGCAGCCGCTGATGGCCCCCTCGCATCTCAGCTGCCCCTTGCGCTTCCTGCGATTGGGCGCTCCTTGGCTCTCTGTCGCTCCTTGGCTCTCTGTCGCTCCTTGGCTCTCTGTCGCTCCACATCCTCACGGTGCTGCTCTCGTCCTCCAGTCTCCGGTCCCATCAAGTCATACCTCATCGCCTACAATGCCATCAGCTTCGTTGCCTGGGCCGTCGTTCTTGGCAGAGTCCTTCTCTCGGTGGTGCTGAACCTGCACTACAAAAATGCCTGCGCGGACACCTTCCCCCTGCTTTCGATCGTGCAGACTGCGGCTCTCCTTGAGGTCGTCCATGTCGCTCTGGGTATGTAGCGCCCTCCCTTCACGCTGGACCGACGATGGGTTTGGCGATGGATTCCAATCGCCGCAAAGGGCAAGGTCGGTTCGCGTGGACTCCATTCCGATCAGGAGCGCTGACAATCTGTGCCGCTGACTTGCTTTCGCATCTCGGCTGGCCGCCATGGCACACCCGCAGGCTTCGTTCGCTCTGGCCTTTCCAGCACTGCCATGCAAGTCGCCTCTCGTCTCCTCATCGTCTGGTTCGCCTTGTACAAGTACGACGTTCCTCTGGTAAGAATCGCTGTCATCGAGCAGGCTCTACACCACAGAGATAGTTCTCTTGCGCACCCGTCCTTCTGCCTGGTATCGAGCCCCTCCATTCCAGAACCGCCCGTGATTTTCGCCCCGACAGCGACGCTGACCCCGCCACGCCTCGCCTCGCCGTCCAGGTCTACGAAAACATCGGCTTCACCGTCATGGTCATCGCCTGGTCTCTGTCCGAGCTGGCTCGCTACTCCTTCTATGTTCTCAGCCTCTTGGAGATCCCCAACCCAACCGTGACCTATGTTCGGTATGTGCCCTGACTTGCTCGCTGGCGTGTTTGTTGTGTGTGAATGGACGAGCATCGAATGCAGCATTGCCCGACGGCTTCAACGATTCCGCGAATGCGCTGCCCGTGGCTGGTTCATCCCGTCGGTTGCGACGATGGTGCCATCACTCGCGCTGATCGACCCTTTCTGCTGCCTCCGCTCCCGCCTCTAGCTACTCTGCCTTCCTGGTGCTCTACCCCATTGGCGCCGTTGCCGAGCTCTGGATCACTGTCATCTGCAGCACCATCATCCGCAAGTCCCCCGAGATCTGGCCCAAGATCCTCAACACCCTGATCATTGGTCTGTGGCCCGCCGGTATGTATTGTGCGGCGTAGCTGGGGCCGGAGCTCTCAAGCCAGCCGACAGAGGCGGCGAGCATATGATGGCTGTGTCTGAGCAGTCTGGTGAGCAAATGGCGGTGACAGTAGACTGACATCCACCACCCTTTGGCCGGTGCGTTGTATCCAAGGTCTCTACATCATGTACAACCACATGAGAGCCCAGCGCAAGAAGGTTTTGGGCATCAAGGACGACGACGAGCCCCAGTCTGCTGCCTCCCAGAGCCTTGCCAGCAAGTACGGAAAGACTCAGTCCAAGAAGGATTTGTAGTCGCCGCGGCCGTGCTCTCTCATCTCTATCGTCTTCTCCAGCTGTTTCCGTTCTGTATTGCGTGTTTATGATTCATCCTAATGGCTCCTTGAGGTTTATCTCTGCCACTTGAATGATGGACGGACCTGTTGCCGTTGTAGCTGCATCTATCTGCTATCTCCCCTTTCTGCGATTTCCTTTCCTGTTCGCCTTGCTTCGCCATCACACCCAGTGCACCTAAAATACAGCGTGCCTTGAATGCAAAGTACAGACCCTGCGCCTATCTACCGACTCGATGGTCCGATGTCCATCACGAATGGCTCTCGCGGATGGCTCAGAGACACCATTGCCCCATGAACAGTCAGCCGGCCAGCCAGCCTAATCATAATCATCCATGGTATCGTCCGACTGTGCTGGATACGCTGCATCCGGGTACGGAACGGTCAGGAACCTCGAGTCGACCGCTTTGACTTCAGGTACGCTCTGGATGCTGCTGCGCCTGTTGCTTCTTGGGAGAGTGTCATGGAGGGCATTGTGGCTGCCGTGGAATCCATCGGGTGTGGTGAGCACTGCTGTCTTGAGCACTGCTGTCTTGAGCTCCTTCTCGGTTCCCTTGAGCGAGTCGAGGCTTGCCTTTCGGCACAATGGCTCCAGGGTCGGGGAGAGCTTGCAGGCCTCGAGGTCGTTGAAGGTGCTGCCCGGCTTTCCGGTCGCGAACGGGAAAGTGTCGAGCCCCGAGATTGCTGTGGCTTCGATGATGTTTAGACAGGGCTTTGGAGTCGACTTGCGGCGAAGCCAAAACAGGAGCTCGCGCAGGCCCATGATGGTAAGGCCAAGCCCGGGGAGACCAAAGAGACAGGACAGGGCGATGATGAGCGACAGAGGCAAGCCACTGTTGGATGGTGGGGCGGGCGGTGGGCTGAGTGGAGACGAGCCTGATGAAGACATCGGGACAGCCGGGAGCGGGGAGGGTTCTCAAAGGCGCTTTGCAGATGCTTGGACGGATGTTTTCCGGCCTGGCTGGGTGTGGTTGGTCTATGGGACGGAGCGGGTCGACAAAGTCATCAGCAAGAGCAATATGGGCCAGATCACCAGCGGAGGAAGTGTCGCTGTGATTTTGGAAGCGAACGTGCGTCGGGGATATCTTTTGCATCGATCACCGTGGCGGACTGTGTCATGGAGCAACCAACAGCACTCTCAGACACACGCACATATGCAATTCACTCATCGCACCGGCAGCACCTACGATTTGTCTTGGTATCGGGTTGCCCTGGATATGGAGATGGAAATGGGAATGTGATGCCTTTCCCAGGCTATCACTGAAGCAGACATACGGGAGGGATGCCCTACCTTGGTCGGAGAAGACGGTGTAGAGGCAGAAATAAGCTGTGCAGATAATGGGTGGGATCTAGCATCGTCATTGCTCTTTCCATTGCTCTGCCGACGCACCAGTGATGTTGAGGATGACGATTCTTACGGGAGTCCGCCCGAGGAAGACAAGGACTATGGGGTCAAACAAGAGTCTGGTTGGATGACGTGCGTTCGCGCGGCCGTGCGGTTTGGATATAGCTCGCATATATTGGAATGCCAGGGACACTTCAGCATGCAGTGGGTTGTGTTGATTGTGTGAGCTGGCTGCTGTTGATCGGTTGCTTGGTTGAGTGACGTCGATCGGCGCTCGCACTGATGTGATGTGCTCGGCAAATGCGATATTCGAGTCTTGAACAGACTCCATGAGAGGGACACCCAGGGAAATGATTAGATCCGCTCGGTCGCCATCGGCCGAGTGCATGATATGATCCGTGTTTGTCCGAATGAGACGATATGTCCCATTCTTTCTTCAACACACTGTCCATATGCACCCGAACTGGCAGTCGGAGAGCCAGATGTGGCAGCAGAACATGCAGTGACTGCTCTACGAGGATCAACGGCCGACCATCATTGGCCGTCCTGGTAGTCCGAATCACAGCTCTGATGGCGAATGATGTCAGGGCCGAGGGCACCCACACGCACGAATGACGGTCTCCGTGCACGAATCTGATTCGGAGAAACTCGGGATTGCAGCGTGAAGTGCTCGACCTGCTGGTGACTTGTCTCGTTTTGCATCGTGGGGCAATCTTTGGAGCCTCGCGGAGCCTGATCGCAAGCACTGCCCCTTCCCATCCCGCTACATTTGTCAGCTCCAAGAGAGTCCGCCATCATGGTATCAGGAGATGATATTCGAATTGAGCGGGCCTCATGATGCTCATGAGCGACGATCTTGTCCAAGTGGCGGGAAAATCGTCTCTGAGACCCCAAGCGCGCGAGACCAAGCGCCTCTGGGGGGGCAGACCCAACGAACCGCCATCAAGACGACGATTGGACCGATGGCGGCTCATGATCATTCAGCGGCCATGTCCGTTCGGCTGGCGGGCAGCGTCAAGCCTCCTCGCCATCTGTTTCCCGCGCAATCAAAATGATTCCGGCGGAGCATAAGCCATGGCCAGCGACATCCGCACAGCCGGCCATTCCAGGTCGAGTCGGCCCCAAAGGCGCTGCCCCTGCGACCCACACCTTCTCCACCCTGCCCCCATACCTTGGGTACTTGCTTCTCGCTTCTCTGGCTCCTGATCACTCGGTCTCTTTCCTCGAGCCGCTGTTTCGACCATCACCATCATCACCACCACCACACAATGTCGTTGGTTCACAGAGGCAAAGTGATTCTGGCGGCCTGGGCTGCTCTCGTCCTTGTCGTGCCCATGTGCCTCGCCTGGCAGCTCGATGTTGTTTTCTACCAGGATGACAACTATGGCGGGGCGTCCTTTGACTTTCAGATTCACAACAGTCTTGAATGCTACAACATCGATCAATGCTTCAACGACCAAATGTCGAGCTACAAAGTGACCTCCAGTTGCGACATACCCGCCGGCATGAAATTTAACTTGTACGCCGATGTCAAGTGTCCCTGGAACGACTGGAGCAACGACTGCCGCCTCGATGGCAGCTCGACCTACTCTTCCTATGTCGACCTGATTCCCTGCCAGACCGTCTCGGTTCCTTCGGTCGGGCTATGCTTGAACGACAAAGCTAGCGCCTTCATGGCTCTCGAGCAATGGCAGAGCTCTTTCTGGTGGAATGCCGCCCAGTACACGTTTTCATGCTGAACGGATTGTACAGAATAGTTCCTTGGGGGGAGGGGGAGGAGACGATGGGATTGTTTCCGGTCTCGGTTGTGAATCGAGTGGTTCTGGTTGGTTTGGGAAGTACGGTCTTGAATACAACTGAGCAGACTTGAGTCCTGATGGGATTGATGGACATCCCTTCCCCTCCCTTGCCTGCTCGAGACATTCCCAACCAAGGCGAATAACGGATGGGTGTGCATTCAGGCCCAGAGAAGTAACAGTCCTGCCGCGAACAGGGTGTCCCGTTTCGTTTTGGATGCGCCGTAGCTGGCTCGCTCGAGCACTATACTCAAGAGGTGATAGACAAGCAAAGCAGACCAAAGCAGACCAAGGCAGACCAAGGCAGGCCAAAGTAGACCAAGGCAGATCGAGGCAGATCAAAGTAGATCGAGGCGCTCTTGTCTCTGGTTCCCGGGCGCATGTACCCGATCCAACCAGGTACAGGATCCAGACGGAGCTACCGAGATCAAGGGTGTCGGCAATACACCCAATAGCGCACATCCCAGAGGCATGGTATCGAGGCAACCAAGAGCACAATGCGAAGACGGTTGCCATCAGCCAGCGGAATCCATCGACAGGTGCCACTCATCAGAGCTTTCAGCATTGATATTCGCGTGTTCCGTGTATTCATGATCCAAGGACCGATGAGCGGTGAATTCCAAAGAGCAGAAAGTGTTTTCTTTGAGGCGGTGGATAGTCTAGCTGCACTGTGAATCTTTGCATCCCCATGTATCGCGGATCCCCCCATGATTCTGGAGACGATCCAGGTCATCCATTCGGCTGGGCTACGATAATCTCCCCGCTCAGATGATCTGCTCGTCCCAAAATTGAACGACCCGCTCGATGTATCCGCTCTGGATGCATGTATCGTTGTGGGTTCCGTCGCGGAACTCGTGCCAATCGACGCGGGCTCGGCGAGATTTCAGGTCCAGCTTCTCCTCTTGAGCTTGCTCGTCAGCACGCTGTGAGCTTGCGATCTCATAGAGGCGACGCATGTGGGTTTGTGGAACGAGCTCGTCTTTGCTCCCAGAGAGGAACAGGATAGGAACGGATGGGCTGATGCGCCGGATGCTTTCCTCCGAGTTCCATACTTGATGACAGAGAAAGACGAGATTGCGGATCATTGGCATGACGTGGGGAATCAGCTTTGGCTACATGGACAATAGAGACGAAAGCAATCAGCGGCGAGGACGTAGGCGGGAGGGGCGGCCCTGGTGGTCCGAGGATCACCTCGAATTCTGTTACTCCGGTCACTCACTCACTCACTCACTCACTCACTCGCTGACTGACTCATTCCGCCTCTCTCGATAGTGCCAATTGCTCCCGAACGAGCAGCCGCTCACCAGGCTCAGGAAGGTATTCTCGACAATCAGTCCATGGATGTCTGCCGATCGCTCAGCAGCAAGGTTGATGGCAACGGCGCCTCCGATCGACTGGCCAAACAGAATGACTTTGGTGTGCTTGAGAAGAGGGTGGTTCTTGATATAGTCCAGGGCAGTGTAGCTATCGATCTTGAGGCCAGCCTCGGAGGCGTGTCCCTCGCTCTTGCCGTATCCGCGGTACGACAGCATCACAACGTTGCAGTTGAGACACCGATAGAAGAGATACGAGATTGGCAAGCGATGGCCCTGTCGTAACCGGCAAAGCGGAGGCTGAATCAGAGCGCAGATCTCGGGCAAGGATCGAGAGGCAGCAGCCAGGGAAGCCGCATGTCGGGCCGAGGAGTCCATACCATGTTTCCTGCATTGGCGTGGAAGTAAAGCACCGTGTAGTCGGCGACACTGCCGGATCCAGGCTTTCTCGACCGCATGCCATCTCTCGACACCGGGTCGTTGATGATGTCAAACCCAGCGGCGCCCTTGCGCTTGTAGATGGCGTAGACATGCAGCTTGACCTTGTCGGGGGTGGTGATCATTTCTTCATCGTAGTCGCTCATTTCGCACTCGTGCGGAAGGGCGACTTGGGTCCGAGAGCCCGGTGGAATGGAGGAGGGATAGATCTGACGGCCGAGGGAGGATGGTTCATGTCCAGTTCCATTGACGAGGACGGTGTTGGTTGCGATGATGATGCGATCGCCGTGGATACAGATGCGAAAGGACATTGTTCGGTATCGTTTGTGTTGTGATGGCGATCCGCCGCCGGGAGATGGAAACATGGATGAGCAAACGTAACGACAAGCGCTGCATGCACGGACAACACCAGCCCAGGGCCGGCTCAGAGCCAGCTGGATGCGGGGCATTCGTACCAGCTCTGCTTGGTAGAGATACAGGGCACTGATCAAGCTCACGGCCAGCATCGGGCCAAGGGCGAGGCCGAGTTTCAGTGTCCAGTGCATGTCGTTGAAGCTGTCGAGCAGGCCCATGGAGACGGTGGAGCAGACGAGATCGACGGTGTTGGGGGATGTGAAGATGGTGCCCAAGAGGGCGGCGGGCAACAGCGGGCTTGTTATGGTGTCGGGCGGGGGGAGGTGCGGCCAGACGGAGATTTCCGGGCCAAGCCGATACGAGACGGGGGACGGGGACGCTGCTGGCCACCGTCCCTCCTGGACAGCGATATCTCGCCACAGACCGGGGCAATGACGCCCGCGACGGCCCTGCAAGACCCGCAGGATCGGCGTGCGGTGACCCGGGGCGGGTGATGTCCGAGATCACGCAACATGCTCGATTGAGAGCGACAGCCGGGGTGTGCGGGTCTGCAGAGCGCTGGACTCTGGTGGGATTGGATGTCTCTGCGGTGCTTGTGGAAACGAGACGCCTTGGCTTTGAACCCAGATTCTGCATTCGTCCTGACCCTGAACCCATTCATGGCGATCGGATGTGTCCAGCGACGACACTTGTGCATCAAACGAGCGGTGGGAACGCAATTGTGTCGACCAGGGTTGCTCGGGACTGAGAGGAATCCCAGCCGGGGCGGATCGATGCGCAAGGAGAAAGCCCGGCCCTTGCGCCTTGCGCTCCTTTGCCCTTGCTGCCCAGAGCCGCACAGGTCGCACAGGTCGCACCGCCCACAGCACTGTGTGCGCAGCATGGCCGCACAGGCGCGTGTGCACAGAACGCGCCCCACAGAACGCACTGCCACACCGCCCGCGCCCGCCCCGGCCGTTTTTTCTTTTCGCTCCTGTTTGCCCGTCGGCGTTGCCCATCGGCGCTGTTTCGTCTTCGTCGCTGCGACGCTCTGCCGGCCTGCTCGACGCCTCTGCTACGCTGCCCCTGCCTCCAAAGGTGCCTGTTGCGCTCGCCCTGGGGCCTGGCTCTCGGCCTAGGGCTGCCCGTGTCGTGCCGGATCCGTGGTCTTCCAGCCTGATGTCTGACTCTGGCCCTTTTGCTCCCATCGCCAATCTGCTCTCGCCTCCCACCCCCCTGCACTCCATCCCCGATCTCCCCACCCCTGTCGCCTCATCCCCTGGACCAAATGCTGCCTCGCAGCCTGCACCACACTTGCTCTAGCATCTATCCGTGTAGTCTGCCATGTCAGAGTCCTCAAAACCCACGCCTGTGCTGGTCTTCCAGGGCCATGAAAAGTCCGTGTCCTCGCTGCTCTATCACAACGGCCGGCTGTACTCGAGTTCCAAGGACGGCACGATCAAGGTTCGTCCTGCTCTTGCCCTTGCCTCCTGTCTCGATGACGATATTCCAGTGGCCGAGAGTGTAGTCAGCCGCCGGTCTGGTTGATATGCCTCGTCTGTGTCGTCGTCGACAGCCGTTCGTCCGTGTCGCCATCGGCAGCCACGATGCTGTCCGGTTGGTTGGTTTGCGGGGGTTGCTGCAGTCGCAGTAGGATGACGGAGCGACAGGTTTCGCCAAAGCAGACGATACTTTTGTGCGATGTGCATCCACATCGTTTGCCGTTGGGAAGCGTGCATGCAAGGGGCTCAGTTGCCACGAGAAAAGTCTTACATGAATCTTTCGTGCTGTCTCGCGCCATCATTGCAACCTGGAATGGGCCAATCTGCTCGTCTGGCCTTGCATCCAAACCGATCCTCTGGCCTTGCATTCAACCCGAACGTCACTGTCGATCTGCTGTCGAACCACCTGCTTGATCGTGCCGTCTCGCTGATGCTCGATTCTCGCGCCGCCGTTGGCCATTTCGCCGTCTCGCGCCCTGCATCGGCGGATCGACTGGCTTCGCGCCTGAATCGGTAACGGCTGCCGCTTCATGTGCCCTCTGGACTCGACTGGGCCTTGTGTAGGAATGGGACATTGATACGGCAGAGTGCTTGCGCACCCTGAGCGGTCACACTCGATGGGTTCGCAACATCAATGTCGGGCGCGAACACCTCTACAGCGCCTCCTGGGACGATACCATCCGGGAGTGGAATCTGGAAACAGGGCTATGCCAGCGTGTTTTTGAAAAGCACCACGACCTCGGCATCAACGCCGTTGTCTTTGACGAGGAAACCGGCAGAATGTATAGCGGAAGCGATGACAAGACCATCGTCGTGTACGACACCATCGTCGGAGAGGCCGTCGACCGACTCGAGGGCTTCTCTGGCAGCGTCACCTGCCTGGCACTGTACCCTTCGCTCGAGCGCGCCGAGGACGGGCTCCTGATCAGCGGCAGCAGCGACGGCTCCATCAACATGTGGGACCTTCAGTCGGGCGAGTGCCTGGAGTCCATTCCAGCCCACGCCGCCGAGGTCACCTCGCTCGTCATCATCCACGGCCGGTTGTACTCTGGTGGCAACGACAAGGTCATCAACGAATGGGACATCTCCACCAGCTCGCGGCTGCGGTCCTTCCGGGGCCACTCTGGGTACATCTCCTCGCTCTGCGCCGACATCGACACCCTCAACGACGGCTCCATTCGCCTCTTCAGCGGCAGCTGGGACGGCACCGTGCGTGCCTGGGACCTCGTCTCTGGACGCTGTGTGGGTGTCCTGAGAGCCCATACACGATCGGTCAACTCGCTGTGCTTGCGTGCAGACTCGAATCTGCTATACACCGGTAGCGCCGACGGCGTCATCAAAGCCTGGGATCTGGGTAAGCACTGGGAACCTAAGAGTAACTGTTGCATCATAGTGGCGCTGGTGTCGATGCCAGTATCGATGCTGATGCTGATGCTGATGCTGGTGCAAATGCTGATGCTGGTGCAAATGCTGATGCCGGTGCAAATGCTGATGCCGATCGTGGCATCCACTGCTCTCGTTCTTTCCCAACAGATTTCCCGGAAAGCGCGGACCCTCAGAATGCATTCGCCGCCGCCAAATCGCCCGTCATGGTGGTCCCCACCGGGAACCACTACCCCGTCCACTCGCCCATGGCATATCCTCACTTCCAGCCGGTGCCGCCAATGTACCACGCTCCATACTACAACGCGCCCATGCCGCCTCCGCCCAACGCATATATCCCGCACCATCGACCACCGCCTTCGCCTTACACCAACCAAAACGGCGGATACGGACACAACCGCCCCAAGGGCAAGCATGGCGGAGGTAAGGCCGTGACTGTGACTGTGACTGTGACTGTGACTGTGACTGTGACTGTGACTGTGACTGTGGTTGTGGTTGTGGTTGTGGTTGTGGTTGTGGTTGTGGTTGTGGTTGTGGTTGTGGTTGTGGTTGTGGCCGCTCTTTATTCGCAGCACTGGCGGCTGCTGCATTGCGTTTGATCGATTCACTTGCTGTCCATGTCTCGGCTCTGTGTCAGCATCCGTATGCTCTGTGCTCATCCGTATCCCTCTCCGTTATTTGTCTCCCCCAGGCCCCTCCCGCCACAACGGTGCCCCAACGGTCTGCACCTTCTGGCTTCGTGGAAACTGCAAGTTTGGTGATGACTGTCGCAATCTGCACGAGCAGATATCGGACCCATCTGGATGCTAACCAGGACGTGCGCTGTTGCCTGTGGGTTGCTGACGGGGGGGGGAAGGCGACAGACGGCCGGTCCCAGTGGAGACGGATCCTCTGCTCTGCCCGCCACTGTCGCTCTGGCTGTCGGCACTTTTCGCTCTCATCTCGCGCTCCGGCCCTTGCTCGCGATTCTTTCTTCCTGCTCTCCCTTCCCTCCTCCTCTCCTTTCCCCCTCTCTCTCCCTTCGTTTTCCTCCCTTGCCCCTCGATCGATCTCTCTGTTTGCTTGCAGCTCTTCCAAGAAAAAATTGACGGGCCAACCCGGATTTTTGATGACGCGAACCGTTGTTACTGTTCTGGAGCTGTGAATACACGTACATTTCGTTCAAGTCGGGCAGCCGCCCATTCATGTTGCAGCCAGCCGTCCCTATACCATCGTCCGGCACCCGCACGGCACCCGCACGGCAGTCAGCCGAGTGCCGCAGCAGACAGGGGTTGGTGGGTGCCCCACCACACCATCCGCTGCCAGTGCCACTCTGCCGCAGTAGTGCGGGCCCTGCCGCAGCCGAATGTGCCTCATCCAGCCCACTGCGCCGTTCGCTGCATATATGGGTGCCTCGACTTTGCCACCGATTGCTTCCTTCAGAACACCCTTGATTCTTTGGCTGCTCGCTGAGTCGTTCCAAGCTCCCGCTGAGTCGTCCCAAGCTCTCGTTGCATCGTTGCATCGTTCCAAGTTCCACGCCCCCGCGTCGCCCATTCGTTCCTGTGTCTCCTTGCCGCCTCCCTGATCCCAAGTCCCGCCAATGACCGACGCTCCCTCGCAGACTCTTGACCACCCCGGCAACACGCTCCAGGCTGCTGCTGATCGTGGTGACCTCAACGCCTGCTTCCAGATGGGCTGGAACTCTCTGATTGGCGAAGGGGTCATCCAGAGCGATGCCGCCGCGGTCGATTACTGGAAACAAGTCCACGAAGGCTCTGCCGACCCAGTCGAGCAGCCGATTGCCACGCTCATGCTCGGCTGGCTGCATTACCTCGGCCGTGGAACGCAGCAAGACAAGACCAAGGGCGTCGAGCTCGTCCGACGGAGCAAGACCGAGCTGATTCCTCTTGGCGAAGACGAGTGCTTCATGGGCCGCAGCATGCCCGCTTCCGACTCTGCCGCAGCCCGCCGGTTCTTTGAGCTCTGCCGGCTCGGCTCCGAGCGCGAGTGGCTCTGCAAGCATCTGGTGGCCATTTGCCATGTCAGCGGCTTTGGCACCACCAAGGACCAGGAAGCCTATGTCGACCTGTTCGAGGAGCTTGCCGCAAGCGGACACAGCGACAGTCAAGTGTGGCTGGGCAAGTACTACAGCCAGGACTGGAGGTCGCTGGGCGACACCTCCAGAGCCTTCCAGCTGTGGAGCAACGCCGCCGACCAAGATAACTCGTATGGGCAGTACCTCCTCGGCTGGTGCTATCTCGGCGGACATGGCGTTGCCCGCAACTACCAGAAGGCAGTCGAGTGGTATCGCAAGTCTGCCGAGCAGGGCAACCAGCACGGACAGTCGTGGCTCGGCGACTGCTACGAAGAGGGCCGCAAGGGCATTGCCAAGGACATTGAGGCTGCCCTGTACTGGTTCCGCTTGGCCGCCAGCCAAGGCAACGAGTATGCGCAGGACAAGCTCGAGGAGCTCACTCAGTGAGCCCCGGTTGGCTGCAGGCGGATGAAGCTTGCTCGATCTCAAGCCAGGGTTGTCCTCTTTGATGGCCGGGACATTGCCGGCTATGGCGAGCCAGGAAACTGATCCTTCTGTAACCATTGATTCAACGTTAAAATACAGATAGAATCCCTGCATGCTGCTGCTTGCGAGTGTGCTCGTTTGGGGACACCCGGGGTGCATCAGAACGACCAGGAGTGCAGCGCATCCTGATGCCGATGTGCCAGGGACGGCCAAGCCATTCAGGGCTCGCTGTCCGGCAATACCATCCCAGCGCCATGTGTGGGCTGGAGCACTTTCATGCGAACTTATTTTGAAATGGGTTGTGTGAATCAGGCGACTTTGATGTATCATCCTCGCCGAGGTCTTGGATCGATATTGCTCTTTGCCCTGGGTCTACCTCACCCCGGGTATGCCTTCTTGCTCTGCAGTGGCTGCATCCACAGCGACTCGCTGGTCCCCGTCGTGCCCACTTGACCGAGTGTGTGATATGATCCGACAACGCCGTGTTTGTCCGAATGAGACGATGTGCCCCATTTTTTCTTCAACATGCTGTACATTCGTGCGAGCATGCTGCATCTGTCCGGCCATGGCCAAAGGGGATTCAGTTGGTGGACCAGCTGCTGCCCGCGAGCGTGGCGGCATTGCGGCACAATCGCAGGCCGGTGCTGGGCCATGTGCCGCAGATGGATGGAGTTGTCGGAGACACCAACGGCATGATCGACTCGTATCCTGTCCTCTCAGTGCCGATAGACAATGCTGTCGACATCGCACGGTGACCGGCCCGTCGCCATTCCCCCCCCCGGCACATGCCTCTCCCTGCCCATGGCCGTGCGCGGGGGCAGCGATGCGGCAGTGATGCAACAGCGATACGAACGACGCCGAGGCAAACGACGGCCGTATCAGCCGGCCCGTGTGGGCTGGCACCCGGATGACGAGCTGCGTTGTCCGGCCGTGCTTTTCAGAGCGGTCTTGCGGGGATCGCGGCCTGACCCACATCCATCCGTCCTGCAGCATCCTCCTGCACGCCTCCCCCCCAGCAGCGGCCGTCGGCGCCAGCGTTATCTCGTCAGCTGGAAACCAGCGATATATCTTCCCCCTCCCCTCCCCGCCTTCGCCCCCCTCGCTGGCCAGCATTCTCTATGGAGGACCACGATGCCCGGTCCAGCACGCCCGGCCCGCACTCTCCTCTCCCACAACCCATCCCACAGCGACGAGCCGTGAGCTCCCACTCCCCATCCGTTGAATCGTCGTCGTCATACCCGCCGCTCAGCTCCAGCAACCCTCCGTCGGCCTTCCACCCGCACGGCATGGTCTCCCTCTCGCCCCCGTCGCAGCCTGCGGCCCCTCCGTCGGCCCAGGGTGCGTCGGCCAAGCTCTCCAAGCTTGACCAGATCATCCAGAACTTCTACTCCAAAGTTGCCCAGGTCATTGTCCAGGCCAGATACACACAGGCACAATACCCGGCATCATCCACCCATCCCTCGGGGCTGCCGGGCTCTCCACATCTTCCCCGACGACCATCATCAGCGCTTTCCAGGAACACCATGGGCTCCCAAGACGAGGTCGAGTCCCATGCAGCACACACCCCGCTGCCCAAAAAGACCAACAAATGGGTGGGTAGCGATATGAAGCAGCGTCCCAGAAAGGATACCTTTGATGCTGTCTGCAATTTCCGTCCGGCCATTGCATTTGTGCCTTTCTTTCCCGTCCATGGCCCACCGCATAGCCATGGAATTTGGCCCGAGAAGGCATGGTCCAGCCATCGGCCATTCGTGTTGGCTGTGGCTTCGCAAACGTCGACTTCTTTTGATGTCGCGGGCGGTGTGGTGTGGTTTGGTCTTGGCAGCCGCTGCCTAACAGTATCCGAGTCCGCACATGGCTCCTCATCGCGCATTTGCGACATTGATGTTGCCCGTTTCCTGCTCCTGCTCCTGCCCCTGCTCCTGCTCCTGCTCCTGCTCCTGCTCGCCCGACTGACCTGTCTGCTCGCTCAATTCGCCCGGACGCTGTGCAGTTCAACCTCGAGCTCGAGGAGCTTGAGCCTCTGAAAGAGGAGATTCGGTACTGGCGCACCGCCGCGATCCAACCCAACCAGATTCCGCCCCCGCTCATTCTGGATATCTATCTCGACATATCCGAAATCACACCCTCGCACAACCTCATTCTGAAGGACGAGGTTCTGCAGCGGCGGAAGCGGATCTACTGGGACCAACTCGAGTCAGTCGATCCTGTCGCCGGCAAGGCCGTGAGGAAGAGGACCATCCTGCTGGAAACGTGGCAGCTGACGCTATCGTACGTATGTCTGTCTCTGGATGAGCGTGTGTGGATGCGTCGAGACAAGCTGTGCAGTAGCCCTCACTATCAAGACTGGGCGATATAGACACTGGCTGGCGTGCGAGAGCGGCGATTCTCGGACCTGACTGTGCTCCGCTGTCCATCATCTCCAGCCAACCGGGTCCGGCTCAGTCGCCAGAGCTTCCCACGCTATACAAAAAGTCTGTGGCCTTCTTCCGATCGCTCTACAGCATGGTTCGCCTGCTGCCAGCCTACCGTCTCTACCGTCGAATCAAGTCGCAGCCGGATCTGCTCAAGGTCGGGTACCGACTCTCGATGTCGCGGAACACCTCGTTCTCGGAAGCTGGATTAGGTAACTACTAACCCTCAAACCCAGCTGCCAAGCGGGGACAGCATGGGCGATGACTGTGGCTTGCAGCTGATTACGACGTTGCCTCTCTCAGATCAGCTTCACACGGGTAGCGATATGCGACGAGGAATCTCCGAGCTCAGCTTCGGAAACATCGATACGCCGTACGGGTGAGTGCGGGCTTTGCTCACTCCATGCCAAAGGGCTGGGCGGAGCAAACGGCGTCAGCACCCTCCCGGTACTTCCGCCGCATTGCTGGGCATGCTACCACCAGCATCGGCCGCCTCTACTGCCCCCGCTGTAGAAACTCGGTGCTCGAATGTCAAAATATGCGTCGCTAACCCCATTTTCCTGTTTCCGCTGCAGAATCTTCTCGCTCCACGTCAACTACCGCAACGAGTGCGACTTCTCCATTGACATCCCCGACTCGCTCGCCCACTCACGCTTTACCGATCTGGACGAAAACTACTTTTCTCCACGCAACGTCGGCATCGATATCGTTGGCAGACGCACATCCTTCCCGACCAGCCGGCCATCCCTGACTCGCCGCGAGTCGCGGGATCAGAACCTTCAGCAAGGGTCGCTCACGACTCCGGCAAAGGCTTCGGCCAACCCCCATACGCATCGCCAGGAATCGCACTCATCGCTCGGAAGCGGCGGCACCGGCTCGGACGGGACTCACGTTGCTGCATCCCTGCCAAACCACTTTGGAAGCACCAACAATGCGTTTGCCGGGCAAGCCCCGAATTCGTCTCTGCCGCGGTCGCTGTCGATATCGCCGTTGACTGCGGGCCTGGACGAGCGCCTCCGAGGCAGCTTGCACACGGTCACTCGGCGCGAGAGCATGAGTCGACTGCATCGCGGCCCCACGCACGACCACTTTTCGCCATTTACGCCGTCGTCTCAGAGCACGCCGCCCCATATCCACATGATCCAGCCCCATCCTGGCGACGACAACGTCGTTCCGGAAAGCATCCGCTTCGAATCCGAGCCACCGCCGTTCATGCTCGCACCCGACTTTCACACAAAGGCCGTCGTAGACGATACCGCCGTCGACTCGACCGGACCGGGGCCAGCGCGCCCAAACTCGGCCTTTACGTCCACACATGCAGCTCCGTTTATCGAGCCTCTTTTTGGAATCCATGGAACAAGCCCGCCCTTTGGCACTCTTCCGAGTCCTGACGCCAAGGTATGCGTGAGTGGCTGTCCTCCGCGCTGGAGGGCGGGAAAGGATACGCCGGATGATAGGCGCATAGCCGAGCGAACGATTTAATTGCTGGAAGCGTGTGCCTTGTCTTCAGGGCGCGGTTGTGGTCTGCCCGGTTGATGGAGATGTTTTGCACTCGGCGGATGCTGGTGTCTGACATACTTTGGTTCCCGTCCTCTATCCAACCATCTTCATCGGACCCGCAAAGTCGTTCAAGTCTATGGGCGGCGTTTCCATCAACAGCATCCAGTCGCAAACCTCTGGCCCGACTGCACAGCAATACACAGCCCTGTATCATACAACGATTCCCCCGTCCGTCCCCTTCAGCTTCATGGGCACGCCCGGTGTCCCCTCCAACGAGTTTCCCGGCACTTCGGCGACGCCAACGACAAGCACCCACACCCCCGCAACCACCGCAGCCCTGGGCAGCACAAACCAGCTGCCGTCCGCCGTGTCTGTTCCTTCCACAACCCCGCCGATGGTCGGACTGGGAGGATCTCCCATCCTGTTCACGCCGTCGTCGTCGCTGGGCCAAGTTCACCACCTAAGTACCCACGACTACGGCACCTCGCCGCCGCCCTTCGTGACTGGAGCCGTGGCTCCTATGGATATCCGCAGGGACCCGAGCGGCAACTACGGCGTGCTTCGGTCCTCCGATAGTGTCCGAAGCATAGGGATTCCTTCGGGCGGCGCATCACAAGGCGGAGCCAGCGGCGGAAGCCCGCATTCGATCGAGTCAGAGATTGGACGCCGATCCAGAACCAAGGTAAGGCGGGGGGCGGTAGATCTGACGCCGCGAGTCCACAAATTATGCCTTTCTTGGGCTCACAAGAGTGCGCGCCGAGTGCAACTGGAACCTGCAGCATGATGGTATCGAGCGCAGTTGCCGGAATCATACTGCTTTTGCAGCACCCAAACTCATGATTCTCGCTGTTATGGCTCGCGATGGCGCGTTGCGTCATGCATCCGTAGTTGGCAAAGTTTCACCAGCTCAAAGAACGCAACGCCTCGTTCTCCGAGTCACTCATCATGGCCGTAAGCATGAGCATGAACTCAAGCGCCGACAGCGGCCGGCGCAACCTTGGTATTGTCAGCGAAGAAACCCGCCCGCAACCACATACCGCAAGCCTCGACGATGCCTCGGCGGCAATCGGCCAACCGCTCTCTCGGGACGGTTCGCGGCCGCAACTGATGCACACTCCGCCTCGGGCCCGTCCTGTCTCCATCCCGGAACCGCCGCAAGGCACTTTATCCCAAAGCAGTGCTGCGGCAGACCGGTCGTCGCTGTCGAGCACCCAGTCGGCGCCTTATCGCCAGCTGCAGTCTCAACCGCCGACTCGGCATCCGGAGAGCGAGCGCGGACAAAGCTCGCCGAGCAGTTCGCACCAGGAGGTTGTCTCTACGGCATCGCGTCGGCTGAGCGGCCACTACAAGGCACCGCTCGGCGAAGCGGTATCGACGCTTCCGCCGTTCCACAGCGAGCCACTCTCGTTCGAGCGCAACCCCCTCTTCAGTCTTCCAACGGCGGTGGGGCGTGGTGCATTCTCGAGCACAGCCGGCTCGCAGTCCCCGTCTCGGCTGCATGACTGGACAGCCGGACCGATTGTGTCCCTGGGCCAGTCGGATGCCAAGATCCTCGACGACGAACCTCCGTTCTCGCTGCCGACACAGGAAACGCGGTACTCGGTGTCTCAGCCAGCGCCGATGCACTCTCACCGACTGTCATGGCGGCACTCGCTTCCCGAGCAAAGTCATCGTCTCGATCCGCAGGGCCATATCCATGACCCGTCGTCCAGGTCGGCTTATGACCCATCGAGTGCCTTTGGCCCGCCCGAACCACCCAAGCCCCTCACAGGCCGCCTCTATGGGTTTGACGGCGAAGGTAATGTCTCTGCAGCGACCGGCGCGAAGAACCAGCTCGCGGCCCTTGGCTACACCCACCAGCCCAGTGTCAAGCGCGTCCTCGGCCCCGATTACGGCGTCGACTATGGCCTCGGTAGCCGAGTTCAAAAGTTTGAGACCTACAGCTTGCATCGGTCGGCACTCGACCCAAGCTTCCTGGAACTGATTGACAGGGATACTGACACTCGCACCTCTGTCCCCGACGCCTCGGCGATGCCGTCCGCTGGTTGCATGATGACTGCGCTTGCCACTCCAGGTACCGACGGCGGGCCGACCACCTCTCGAAACGAGCGATTCTATGCACCGTCGACAGGCGGTCGATCGCAGGCCAAGGTCGGTGGGCCCAAATTTATTGGCAGTCTCGCCGACCACTCGCACCACTCGCACCACTCGCATCACTCGCATCACTCGCACCACGGCCGTGGCCACGACCTCGATCAGCTCGGCGAAGACGGAGAGCCTGACGAGGACGACGAGCTGCTCTTCAACATGAGCGGCCTCGATATTGGCGACAGCCAGTGAGGGCGGTCGGGTCGATGCGCTGAGGCAACATCGCACCGATCTCCTCTCTCCTCCCAGCGGCAGGCTCTGGATCACTTCCACGGCGCTCTCGCACACTCTGGGGCCATGCATCGAGGCGATCGACTGCCCATTTTTGTTTTGGATGCTGAATATACAGTCGATCCAACCAATAACGGGACGCCCTTTTATGATTTGTCGTTGATTTCTGGGGTGAACACACACCACTGATTGTGTGTATTCAGACACCACGCCCCCCCCCCGCATTCGAGCCGCCGGCTCGATCCGCTCGCCCGCAACGCCCTCATGGCATCTCGGAATCTCGAGATCCAACCACCCGCCGCACAAAGGGCCGACAAGCCTGAATCTCGCACCATAGCTGCTTTCTCCCACCGCCGCCGCCGTCCCTGCGTTGTCTCTGGTCGCCAGCACTCTCGCTGCCGTCGCCCTATCCTGCGTTCCTATACTCGGTCGGAGACAGTCTCCACACCATTGGCCACTCCCTCCCTCTGCCCGAATGCAGAGCGCCACGCCTCCTCGAAGCACCATACACTCCCGAGCCATCCCGCAGCCCAGCTCCCCTGTTGTCTGCCTGCTTGCCTGAGACAGCCGCAGACCCAGCCCGAATTTCATCTTTGGTGCAAGCCCTCCTGCCCAGCCCTCGGGGCCCGACGTATCCTGCAGCTTGTCCCACCGACAGACTTTTGCCACACCCAACCCGGAACCGTATCGAGGTTGGTCTCGTCTCTGTCTGCGTCCATGCTTCCCTCTGACCACACATCTCTGGCTCGCAACCAACGCCGCCTGCGGTCGCCGAACAGCGCAAGGCTTGTGGGGAAGGGGAGCGAGCGGCGTAGTGGCTTTTGATTCTCGGCCCTGAGGCCAGGGACTGACCTTTCCTGTCAACAGGCCGCCCTTGCTCACTCCGCTCTGTCTGCAAGCCCGCCAAAGCCCAGCCCAGCCCAGCCCAGTCCAAGTCCCTCATGAAGGATAACCGCGTTCAGTTCATCCCGTCCCAGCTCTTGGCCGGGACGTCGCCTGCCCTGCATCTCGCAGAGAACCTCGCGGCGTTTCCCCTCACCAAGAGCATCCCCGATGCACCCGCCTGCCACTCATCAGCGCCCCGTCCCGACACACCCAAGCGTCCAGGCTCCTCGACGACGCCCGCCACAATACCCGCGACGATAGAGCCGGCCGAACCCGCCGAGCCAGCAGCCACGCTATCGCCCCCCGCCTCAAGCCCGCTATCGTCTGGGTCGGATGTGTCGGGCGGCAAGGAGAATGTCCAGAGTGCCCAGCCTGAATCAGACTCGGCCGAGTCGCTCGACCCGGACGCCAATGCCCCGGAGAGCGTGAGTGTGGAACTCTCGGCCGAGGATGCGCGGGACCAGGTGCTGGTCGCCGTCGTGGCGAGTCTCATCATCCTGGGAAACCGCCCAAGCACTCCCAAGGAGCTTGCCGCACACATCCTGAGACACCGCATGACGACACTCGGGTAAGTAACTGCAGCGCAGGTGTCCAGCAGGCAGCATCGCTCCGAGTCCCAACTCTCGACGGCTGTTTCTCATGTCTGTGGCTATCATTGTGCATCCGCTCAGGGGCAAGACGCCCTATGCGACCGTGTCCTCCCGAATCTCCCAGCACTTCAAGCGGAGCAACGAAAAGAACCGTGCGCCGATCCTGGGCAAGATCGGCGAGCCCTACTCACCAAAGTCCAAGACGGGCCAACCGCGCAAATGGCGCTACTACGTCGATGCCCCGGGCATTGCTGTTGGAGAAGTGGACCACTCGGTACCACAGCCGGTTTTTCGGCCATCGGCCAACGGCCAGGACTATGAGCCTGTCCCCATGCCCGAGAGCACGTTGCCTGCGTCCAAGCATCAGCATCGGTTTGCCACCAGTCTGGTGGAGCCGAACTCGACCGCCCGCGGGGCGAAAACCCTGCATGTGATCAAGAACCCCTCGATACTGTTCTCTGGAGGCGAGACGGATGCGCTTGTCTCTGGGGCGCGGCTATGTCCCCAAGGCGTCTCGCTGGTGCTGCATCGCATTCCTGCCTGTTCAGACGGCATCCTGGCGGCTCACTCGCTGCCTGGCAGTGGTAGTCCATCCAAGGCGGCGACTGGAGCGTCGGCCATGTCGTCTGCCGTACTGGCCGACTCGAACCACGGCCACGCTCCTCGACTGCAGCTTGCACACCAAAAAGTACCGCTGAAGAAACGGCGGAGGCACGACAAACTCGACGACCACCACAAAAAGTCCAAGCCCGAAGCTGCCAAGCGAACGCATTTGGGCTGATGTCCGAAACCAAAAAGCTTCATTAGAGCCAGGACCCATCCTGATGGCCCAAGCAGACCGAACCCGCTGCTCGGATCAAAGTCCCTTTCGTTTGGCTGGGGGGGAGTATACCACGGGACCTGTCTCCTCCCCGTCATTTCTTATTTCATATCTATTGTTTCTGGTCTACAAAGCAGAACAGAACGCCTTGTGGCAGGGTAGAAGGGAATCGAGCATCCTCTTTCGCTCAAGGGCCGCTGGCTGTCGGTCAAGCAGCCAACTGATCTGCTATGAACGTCCGCACCCCAGGACCAAAGCTCCTTCTTGCTCGATCTGGAGGTGTCCCTCGTCAGAGTCCCTGTTGCTCTCGGTGAAGTTTATGCTTTCGACCTCCGTTTCCGTTTCCGTTCCGATTGAGAAGGAGGGGATGAAGCCCCCTGTGCCGAGGGAGTTGTGCTGTAATTGCTGTAGTTGTTGCTGTTGTTGCTATTTGCCGCTAGCACTGTCATTAGTTACCATTGTTATCGTTGCTATTGTTGTTATTAGTTACTCTTTCCGTTCTCTTTGTTTTTGATTTTTTGGGTTGTTGCTTTCGTACTCGTCGATATCAGTTCCACTCTTGACTCATGCTGGGTCATGGGCATGCCTTGGCTCCCATCTTGCTCCCCCCCCCACCTTCACCTTCTAACTAAACTACTGTCTGCTTTGATATAGAGGGATCGCACGTTTCCCACTTTTCTTCTTTTCGCCCGCTCGCCCGCTCGCTCCTCAGGCATGGTCTGGCTATATATCAACCTGTCTGTCGGCCTCCACTTGACTTTCTGTACAGGACTCCCTCTCACCCCCCCCCAAGGAGCCTTCTCGGGGGTACGCTGTTGCTGGAGCTGAATACACATCTGTTCATCACAGCGGCGTGATCATTGCTATGGCCATCTCTGTCGGTCAGCATCAATTGGAAACAGCATCAATTGGAAACAGGCAGGCTGGCACTTTGAGGGAACCGGCATCAATAGATACTTGTATTCAACCGTCATCGTGTCCCGCCCCGTCACCATCCTTGACGAGAAGCGCTTACTTTTTCAACAGGGCGGACTGACCCTCGACGCCGGTCTTGCGCACCCGCTGCAGATGCTGCAGACGCAGCTGCACCTGGTTCATGAACGTTTTGTCGAGCCCTCGTCCGATCACCTGGCACCACTTGAGATCGGGGCAGCGACTGACCAGCCTGAGCATGTCCGCCGGGGCGAGGCTGTTGCAGTACTTGATCTCCAGATGCTCGAGATGAGGCAAATACACCCTCTCGAGAAGCTCGTTGCAGCCGGTGACGGCATTGGGGGTCGGCGCACAGCTGCGATGGGGGGTTCCGTCGGCTGGTGCTGCTTGGGATACGAGAGCATCTGTTGCTGGGCTGGTGTCTTCCTCAACAAGCCGCAGCGACCGGCACCAGGACAGTCGCAGAGCAGTAAGGTTCGTCAAAGAGAGGCTCTGGTCTGCCCAGAGCGAGGCAATGTTGAAGAGGACGTTGCATTCGTAAAACTCGAGTGTTTCCAGGTGGTGACCATGGGCTGCAATCGCCCGCAGAGAGCTGTCGCCGATGGGAAGGAAGCCCAGCGACAGATGACGAAGCGATCCAGACGACTTCAAGAGCGAGGCGACAGCCGGCTCGGTGATGTTGGGGAAATCATAGAGTCGTAGACTGACGAGGTTTGGGGATGTGTGTGGGATGGCGGCGATAACTTGGTCGGTCAACTGGGGGACGAATTGGATGTTGAGAGTTTGCAGACGGCCTCCCAGCTTCGAAAGCAGCAGCCGCAGCGATGTGTCCGTGAGCAGCGTGCAGTGCGAGAGAGTCAGAATCGAGAGGTTTGGGCATCGCTCGGGAAGGCGAGCGGCGAACTCGAGGCTGGGTAGAGCGGGTCGTTTTCGAGGTGTGGAGATGGATTGTCCGTAAAACACATGCCATTGAAATGCGCATGTTGGAAGAAAGGTGGATAGCACAGTCTCAGTTGTGAATCGAAGCCGGTGACAAGCTGGTGACAAGCTGGTGACAAGCTGGTGACAAGCTGGTGACAAGCTGGTGACAAGCTGGTGACAAGCTGACACCGACGGTGGTAGATGATGAAACAAAACAGAGGCAGCGGCTGTCTGTGGGCTATCATCGAGGACACGACTGCATGCCCCGCCCGGTCCGGCCAGAGCCAAGCGCTGCCGCTCGCCGGATACTTGCCTGCCGATTGGATTCATCCACAAGTCGCCGCCCATTGACAGCTCTTCAAGAGAGGAGCCGCAGCTCTCGAGCACGCGCAAAAAATGGTGCTCGATCAGCTTTGGGGCGGTGAAGGTGAGCTTCCTAAGTCGCGGCGTATTTTTGAGGAAGCTGATGAGGTGTTCGATCATGGTCGACCACCAGACCCGAACCTCCAGCTCGGTGATGCGTAGTGGCGACGAGAGAACGGGCGGGAGTGACTCGAAGCACTCGTCAAAGTAATCCTCCAATACGAGTTTCTGCAGCCTGTGGAGTTTGTAGAACATGATCTCGAGACTTCCGCGTTGTGAAGCAATGCCTCCACGGAATCCTGAGGGGAGCGAGACGGGGAGATGTGGGGACAGCGGTCGCGAGAGGTCAGCAGGCAACGTGGATGAAGATAAGGAGCTGGTGTCTCCATTCACCATGAAACCTGGCAGGGGACGATGACACGGGGATCACCGGCACCTCGAAGGGGATCACCGACATCAAGGTTGCGGACAGCCGTGGCTCGAGCCCCGACACTGGACATACCCTGCAAGGAGAGACTGCGAACCATCGCCAGCCGCGAATGAAATCCGTTTGGCTCCAGCAAGACCGGTGTCAGAACAGACAGGAGTGCCTTCTCGTTCCGGATGCTTTCGGGAGCGGCGGTGGTGGGGTGTTGGAGCCGGTTGTGCAGTGATAATATGAGAGATTTCAGATAGAAGAAAGCCGGCGTCAGGAAAGGAGTGTCGCAGATGTTGGATGTTTGCGAAAGGAACCAGCAGTCGCGCCAGACCTTGGACCAGCGATACTCCCCGCAGCGCGGACTAGGACACCATCGCAGCATCAGCACACATGGGTGGGCAAGCATACGGGTCATACCTGCGATACAGCATGGGCGTTGCGCATGCATTCCAGGAGCGACTGACGAGACAGCATGATGAAATGTCTTTGTTGCAAAGCCGGGCAAAGTGCAGGATGGTCATGACGATTTCAGAAGGCAGTCTCACGACAGGGCGGCGAATCGGCAGGCCGACTGCGGCTGTTTGGTCGGGCGAGGACGCAAAGTCGGCTGTCGGCGAGAGTGTGTCGGTGGTATCGGGCATGTCTGCCGGAGCGTGCTGGGCAGGGTCAGCCATTCGGCGAGCAAGCGAGCAAGCGAGCAAGCGACAGAGACAGGCAAGGATGCGGCCTGCAGGGTGATTGAGGGTGGATCGAGAGCAGCGGCTCGGGTTCGGGCTTGATCGATCCGGGTATGGATATGGGCCTGGAGGGCGGTGTCTTGATGAGGCCGAAGGACGGGCGGACGGGAAGCAACGGGAGGGAGATGCGATAAGAGCATGTGTGGACAAGGCCAGGGCGATAGAGCGACGGAAATCAGCCGGACAAGACCGGTCATGAACCTGAGTCATGCGGTCACGCGACTGGGCGGCGGCCACGTGGGGCACGTCCACGTGGGGCACATGTGCCTTGCGGCTTGCGCTCTTGCGCCTTGCGCCTTGCGCCTTGCGCCGTCCCTGCCCGCATCGGAGTTCGATCCCGACGCGCCAAGCCACAGCGCGTCGGCGCTTCCGTCGCCCTCGGGCCTGCTCGAAGCCGACACCGACGGGGCCGATCATCCGGCGGCCATCCGGCGGCCTTCCCGGCCTTCTTAAAGCTGGCTGGTACCGCCGCTGTCCTTTCGCTCTTTTGCTTCCTCTGCTTCCTCTGCTTCGTCTGCCTTTGCCCCGGAGCAGCGTGCATCTGCCTTGGTCTGTGCCCCACCCCCTCCTCCCAGCCTCGTCTCCCGGTTTCTCCAGCTCCGGACTCTGCTGAATCTCTGTTGCCATGCTCGCCCTGCGCCGCTCCACCCATCTCCTGACCAAGGGCTTTTGCTCGGTAAGGCTCGAGCCCCTTCCACCACGCTCTCCTGCTCGATCGTGTTCCAATCGACTGCACAGCACGAGAGCAGGACAGAGGGCTACATCGCGGCCCAGACAGCAGAGGAGGGATCATCAACCGATCGCTCTCACGGCTCCTTCTGAAGGGCGGCGATCAACGCCACTGCTCGAGGGTCCTGCCATTCAACTCGTGATCGACGCTCCGATGTCTCTGGCTGCATTCCATGCTGACATCCTTCGATGCAATCCTCCCAGCCCGTCTCCGTTCGCACATTTGCATCGCCGTCCGGCAACCCTCCTCCCGCTGAGGGATTCATGCCCGGTGTGTCGTCGTCCAAATTCATCAAGAACACCTCCGAGCAGGTCTTTGCCAACTCGGAGCTCAAGCACCTCAAGAATGGTCTGCATCTCTTGCACTATCAGCGCCTGTGCATATTCGTTGCCTGTGCATATCCGCTGCCTGTCTATATTCGTTGCCTGTCCATGTTTCCAAACTGAATCGCTACCTACCTCGGTCGCGCATGGGTCTGACTTGCCGTGTCTCGATCCGGCTTTTGTACTGCTGCGCTGTTCTCACATTGCATGCTGCTTCCATCGATATCAAACGGCTCGATTTCCTCCACTTGCTTCGCGCCTGCAGGCGAGACCAAGAAGTTGAACCTGTTCCAGGCCATCAACGAGGCCCTCCATACCGCCCTGGTCACCGACAACAAAGCGAGTGAGTGCACTTCCTATGTCGCCGCCCATACGCACCACTACTACGACGCTTGAGCACACTCGATCTGTCGGCCATGGACGACACACCAACTCAACGATCGTTGCTCTGCTTCCGCAGTTATTTTTGGCGAAGACGTCGCTTTCGGCGGTGTGTTCCGATGCACCATGGGTCTCGAAGCCAAGTTCGGTGAGTATGCTCATCTGGCCATGGTGCTGCCTGTGGATTGTTTGGCTCCTTACTGACACGAGAATGTCTGGCCCATCGCCCATCGCCCATCGCCCATCGCCCATCGCCCATCACCCTCGGCTCTGATATCGCCCATCCCCATCGCCCGCTTTCCAGGCAAGGCCCGTGTCTTCAACACCCCTCTCACCGAACAGGGTATTGCGGGCTTTGCAATCGGTGTTGCCGCTACCGGCTCCACGGCCATCGCCGAGATCCAGTTCGCCGACTATGTCTTCCCCGCCTTCGATCAGGTCCGGATCTGCACAGAGCCGTCCATGCGCAAAGTCCATTCGTTGCGTATCTCTATATCACCTGAGACCGTATCATCCTCCATCGTCGTTCACGAGCCTGTGTATTCACACATTGCGTCCATACTGCTCTCTGACAGCTGGTCAACGAGGCCGCCAAGTACCGCTACCGGTCGGGCGACCAGTTTGATGTCGGGGGCCTGACTGTTCGTATGCCCTGTATGGCTGTCGGCCACGGCGCCCTCTACCACTCGCAATCCCCCGAAGCTTACTTTGCCCACACCCCGGGCCTCAAGATCGTCGTTCCCCGCTCCCCCATCCAGGCCAAGGGTCTGCTCCTGGCCTCGATCCGCGATCGTAACCCCGTGATCTTCCAGGAGCCCAAAATCCTCTACCGAGCTGCTGGTGAGTCGTGAAGGTGTGCTTTCTTTCGGGAATTGTGGATCCCTTGAAGAACTCTCTGGAGTACGTGAGCCGCCCTTGACGGTATTCGAAGCAACGCGGCTCTGACCCGTCTGCCGTTCTCCAGTTGAGCAAGTCCCTGTCGATGATTACGTGCTCCCCCTGGGCAAGGCTGAGGTTCTGAAAGAAGGTACGCTCCATATCGTGTTGATCTCGCACATCTGCCACTCGGCGCTTCGCAGATATCAGTTCGGCTTGTTGTAAACATCATGCGGCTGCTGTGCACGCCACATATATTGGCCTTACCCGAATGGCTTGCTTGCTCATTCGCACTCCCCTCGTATCTCTCCTCAGGCAAGGACGTCACCATTGTCGGCTGGGGATCCCAGCTCTATGTCCTGGAGAACGCAATCGCCCTTGCCGAGAAGCAAATGCCTGGGCTGAGCTGTGAGCTGATTGATCTGCGAACCATCCTCCCCTGGGACGTCGAGACCATCGCCAAGGTGTGTTTTGTGCACAGCTATCTTCGATACCCGCTTTGCGGCCCTTGTGTGCATACTGGTTTCGTCGTCGATTTGATCAGTCTGGTGCTGCGTGTCTGCTCGCCCTGGATGCCTGGACTTTGATCCCGTATGGATGTACCTCGCTTCCATGACTTCGTCTCTAATCCCGACTGCGACGCGGTCTTCGTCAATAGTCCGTCAACAAGACCGGCCGCTTGATCATCTCGCACGAGGCTCCCGTCACCATGGGCTTTGCCTCCGAGATCGCCTCCAAGATTCAGGAGCGATGCTTCCTCCGACTCGAGGCTCCCATCCAGCGCATCTGCGGATACGACACTCCCTTCTCCCTCGCCTTTGAGAAGTTCTACATGCCCAATGCCCACCGCTGCTTCGATGGCATCAAGCGAGTCATGGAGTACTAACAGCCGGGCGAGCGACTCTCATGCGAGGGCAGAGTCTTCTGGCAGGTCAGCCGTCCTCGCCTGCTGGGTTCGATAGACCGAGTGATCTAGACATCCTTTCCATCAACTCCGTATCCATTCCTCCCTCCATTCTCCCCTCCCCTCTCGCCATATCGCATCCTTTCTTCACTCGACCGCCAAATATCCAAGATGCAGGTCCGCCGTTATGACCCCTTTGGGCTTTGCTGCCTCTTCGTCGTACCGATTCTCCATGGCTTGGCCTTGCCCGTTCATTTGTCCGGTCTGTATTCTTGCCTCCTTTGAACAAGCACAAGGGTATCTTGGCTGCCACAACTCGGATTCGGCAGCTGCCCATTACAAATCACCATCGATCACGTAGCATCCAAAATATAGCCTATTATCTAAAACGACAGAGCTCTCGAGTTCTGTCAGCACCAAGCGATGCCTCCGACCCTGCTGATTCCTCGGCGGCTTCTTCTGTACGTCTGAATGCTGTTCTGTCGCGATGGAGCTCCCGGTCCACCGTTTCTCTGCCAGTGCTTGATCGGCTGCCGTTTGATGAGACGGCACGTTTCCTCAGGAGTCTGTCGAGAATACTGTCGGCGCCGACGAGTCAAATCCGCTGGGCGTGGATCCCTTGCCGACGGCTTTGCATGGCCAAGGGGAGCGATCAGAAGAGTTACTCAGGATGCTGCGCCACAATATCCTTGCCCCCTGATGCTCGCCGCTGTGATGGTCCGCTGTGCTGGGTTATATCCGATGGCAGCACCCACCATGCGGCCCTTTGATTCTGCTCCTGCCCTTCCGAGATGAGACACGCCCTCCATCTCCCACTTCCACACGCAGATGCCAAAGCAGAGGCAGAAGCAGAAGCAGAAGCAGAAGCAGAAGCAGAAGCAGAAGCAGAAGCAGAAGCAGAAGAAGAAGCAGAAGCAGAAGCAGAAGCAGAAGCAGAAGCATAAGCATAAGCAGCAACGCAAGCTGGTCTCACCATCTGGTCTCAGCGAGGCATCCGGACAGAGTCCACCACGTTCATCGGGGAGCCCTGGGTCTTTCATTCGACCGAGGGTGCTATCGGTGAATGGATTGACAGGTCCTGATGCCGACAAAGCGCCGGTGGAGCCGGCTATGTCGCCCGTCGGCTGTTTGGGTTTCACGGGATCGCTGGAAAGCGAGCTGCTCCCGGCCGACTTGTCCTTGGGTTTGGCTGTAGGACCCGGGCCGACCTGACCAGGACCGACGACAACAGCCGTGGGCGCGGTTTCCTTGCGCTCCGGGCTCGTGTGCACAATCAAGGGTTTGAGAGCGACGATCGGGAAGCAGAGCAGGTTGAAGATGTTCATGAAGATGCTGCTCCATTTCATGCCCTCGGTCGAAGTCAGGGTCGCCAGGGCCCAAGCGACGACGGCAAAGTAGACCACCAGCAAGAGCAGCGAGCTCTGGAAGACTTCGTCGACAGACTTGCGGATCTTGAAGGTGTTGGTGGCGCAGAGAAGGGCGATCGAGGGCAGCACAAGAGCAACAGAACGTACCGCGAGACACGATGTCAGCAAAGAGAATGGAGGACGAGGTTTACACTGCCAGACTGGATTCGCAAGCGATGCGGAGCCTGCCACGGCTTGATTCACCCCCTCCATAAATAGCCTTGCAATGTGATCACCAGATATGCCGGATTGGCTTGAGAGCCCGCGGGCAAAGACCATCAAATGCACCAACGAGTGGGTGTACTGGTAAGCGCGGCCCTGACTCGCTGCATCCCACCGATTACCTTTTGTGCGATCTTTGCAAGCCGGCTCGTGCCGCTGGCAAGCTCCTCGGGTGTAAAGTTGCTCAAGAACTTTTGGAAGAAATGCCGGACGGTAAAGACATGGAAGCAAAGATTGAGGTTGCTGACAATAAGGCCAGCGACAAACAGGGGAACCTGCAGCTCTCTTCTGTTGTAGTAACTGGCACTGTATGAAAGTGTCAAGAACGATAAGTGATTGCGCAAGGACCCGATGATACTGCGTCGCCGCCAGGATGGAGCCGTAGCCCAAGCGAGTCCTTCCCCAAGTCCTTCAAAGTACAAACCTCGCCGATACACCCGTTCTGAGGATACTACCTCCAATTTTGAATATTCTTCGTCTGCCCCGCCCGCCCCGACGCACACGCACATGCACTTCACCCGCTAGCATCAAAGTTACCTTGCTATGTACAAACTCATGTAGACGATTTGGGACAGGATGTCGGTGGCAAGGACGTTTCGGAACATGTTCTTGCCGAGCTCATCCATCATTTGAGCACGCGTCTCTGTTCGCTTTGGGCTGTCGACGCTGTTGCCGGTGCCCTCGGTCAGCTTGACGCTGTATTTGCCAAGCCCGATCCGATTGGTAAAGTCAGGTGAGTCATTTTGGAGTGAAGAAAGCAAGGGATTCGATACAGCAGAGTTTGATCCAATGTCCAAAGATGTCAAGGTCCAGTGGCTCCGTGTGTCTGCAAACACTCTTCACCCATGGATCCTGCCTCGCGAGCATCGCCTTCGTGGCCACAGCACTCACAGCATTATGAGACCTGCGAAGAGTGGACCGAGGGGCAGTCAGCAGGCAGTCTCAAAGGCGGCCAGCGAGCCCGAGCCGATGTGCTGAGACGGCACAGGGCACTGCAATACGGAACAGAAACACTTGCCAAGGCTTCCGATCATCTGTGCACAAACACATACGCATCCAAAGAGCACCGGGATCAAGAACAGGGCGGTTCCGGAGAGCAGAATCACATGGATCACAATCAAGACTTTGCCGTGAGGGTGATGGTGGTGGCGGTGGTGACGATGGTGATGATGGTGACGGTGGTGATGAGTAGAGTTGTCTTGCGGAGCAAAAACCTCCGCTTGAGAGTATCACACGCGCAAGGATTGAAGTGAGGATATCCACAAAGGCACGATTGCCGATAACAGATGCCGCTGCTGCATGTCTGACACAGGACAGGCAATTGGTGTTGAGCTGCTATTACTTACAAGCGCACGTCCCGAGACTCAGACATGTAATCGGAAACCCTGGCTGCTTGGCGAACCCGGGGGCCATTTGAAATCGCTTCCGGATCTTGTAGATGCCAAAGATGAATATCGCCAGAAAGACGAACAGACTCAAGAGATAGATGACAAACCGGACTGGCCGGGGTGGGAGGAAGGCAAACAGCATGGGGCAATGTGCTGATTATTAGGGTGTGGCAGGAGCTTCAGCAAGTCGGAGTCCCAGGCAATTGCTTTCCACAAGCACCCGGCAAGTGGTACTCGGTGGAGCAGCGCGCGAGTGTACATACGAGACGATGGAATGCAGCCAGAGGTGACAAAGAGCTCAAGCTCGAGAGAGTCTGCACCGAGATTGTAGACGCTGAAGTGACCGCAAGGCAGCGTGCCGCTGGCAGAGGAATCGGACGACATGAGCGATATCCGGGGCTGGAGATGGGAATCGAGCAACGGCCCTGGAAAGAGAAGCAGCCCCCCCCCGCACGGAGACGACTCTGAGCGGCCTAATATAGCAGAATGGCAAGGGCACCGATGCTGCTGGTCCGGACGGCCGTGCAGAGGACCGCATTGATCTGAGCGAACAATCGGAGCTGCGGTCCCGATTATTTTTTTTTTTTGGTCTCGTTATTCCACAATGCCTTCCGCGAGGGCCGACAACGGTGTCTGAACGGCAATGCTAACGGATGTGCGCTTGTTTCATCGTTGCCATTGGCTTGATTGGGTGAGGGTGCAATGGCCATGGTGCCAATGCTATCGCCGATCTCGTACGCTGTGGTGGTGTTGCCGGGAATCACAGCAACCCCCCCCCGATCGCACAATCGGCAGGGCGCCATCCCGTGCGCGAGCGGGCAGAGATGCTGCTAGGTGAGCGACACCCCGGCCCATGAGCGGCGTGTGCCCTCCCGCCATGCCCCGGCTTTGATATGCCGAGGGCGTGCCACGGCCCAGGACGCCGTATGCATCGTCCGGGAACACATGACCGCGCTGGCGACATCGGAGGCCCCAATGGCGCAATGCAGATCCGCTTTTGTGGAGCCGGTGCCCGCGATTTGAAACAAGCGCAGCCCGTTTGTCATCCCAAGATTGGGCAGGAAATCTCGGGGACCGGCCGGCGGCCATATCAGCTGCATCTGGTCCGCCTTCCCTCCCCGACGACATCGTCCTTTACTCCCCCCCCCAAACTCCATCCGTCAAGCCGCCCAAGCCATGGTCGCCACCATCGATTCCTACTCGCAATACCAAGACGTGGCCTCCCGGGCGACCCCGTCGATCGTCATGTTCAAGGCGCCCTGGTGCAGTGCCTGCAAAGCCATGGCCCCGAAATACGCACAGCTGTCGCAGCAGTTCACCGACATCCAATTCCACGTCGTCGACGGCGACGAGCAGCCCGAGGTCGCAATGGACGCCGAGATCCAGTCGCTACCGAGCTTCCTTATCTTCGTCGATGGCGCCAGGCACGATACCGTTGTCGGAGCAAACCTCAAACAGCTCGAGAAGGTCCTGCAGGAGACCCAGGCGCACTGGACTCGGCTCGTCCAGGAGGAGGCAGCCCGTCGGTCTCGCCCGAGACACACGGGCGTCCACCAGATCGGCTCGCATGAAGAGTATCTGGCCGTCGTTTCGGACCAATCCGGGCTCATCTCCATCATCGACTTCCAGACACCATGGTGCGAGCCGAGCCAGGCAATCAGCCCCGACTATCAAGCGTTTTCACAGCAGTATCCGCAGGTGGCCTTTTACTGCGTCGATGGAGACGAGGTACCCGAGGCGGCCATCCATGCCTCGATCGAGGCACTGCCAACCTTTGTGGTGTTCTCGAACGGCAAGCTCGTCAGCCAGACGGTTGGAGCACTGGCCAGCAACATCGAGGGTGCGATCGCACAGGCAATCACCGTCCCGAGCAGCCGAGTCGTTGTGTGAGTCGATCGTGCAGTCCGAAACGCCAAGGTCGGCTTTGTGAGCTCTGAAGCGATTCCAACCCTCGTTTTTGGGAGTGGATATGAACGGATCTGCAGATATGTACTTTTGTGCAATACATCCAAGACGATCTCCGAATCAAGGTGGTGCGAAGCCCCTTTGCGGCACGACGGGCTGATCTACAAGGATCTCAATCGAGCCCCCTGATCCAGCGGCATTCCCTCGCCTGTTTGAGAGTGCGGTCGTGCAAAGGAGGTGGATCGCTGTCGCGATTGATCTACGCATCAGGACCATGTCTCAGCCTCGCGGATTGCATCTGGAGACGATCCATCATCATAGGGCCAGTCGCACGAGATGCGATCGGCAGAGATACAAGTGCTGGCGGATGAGATTGTAAGGGGCCAGGGATGCACAGGTAGTCGCAGGAAGCACAAGGTTGATCTCGGACCCCAAGCTCAAACCCGAGCCCAAGCGCAAGCCCAAGCTCAAGGCGCAGCAAATGCCGGGCTTCTCGCATCACGACAAGATAGAATTGGCCAGCTGTAGGACCGTAGCGGCGCTGGAGAGGTCTCATTTCTAGTCAGATTCATTGTGTTATACTTTCAATATTCGGCAATGGGTTGAAGATGGCGGCGAAGTAAGAAAATAAGAAAAAAAGAGGAGAGGGGCGATAGCGCTAGCCTTGATCCGCTGAAAATATGAGAGGGAGACAAAGCCGGCGATGGTGGTGGAGTTCTGTCGCTCAGGCAAGCGACAGGAATTCACATTCGATCGACAGGATGAGGAAGGGCGGTAAACAAGCAGAAGGGGGCGGGGAGGAGGAGGAGGAGGAGGAGGAGGAGGTGTGGGAAAGCGTTGGATCCGGTGGTGGAGGTGGATCACGGCCGACATGCGACCAAGTGGCGGCTTTACAAGATCCGGCACTTCTTCTTCCCGCCGGACTTTGATGGAGGCTCCAAAGCAGCAATGATGGCTTCGTCAAAGACATTCTTCAGTCCCTTCTGGGTCAGGGCACTGCACTCCAGGTACTTGACAGCATTCAGGTCCTTTGCTAGTCGCTCGCCGGCCTCGGGGGTGATGGGGCGCTGTCGGTTTTTGGCCAGCTTCTCGATTGTGGCCGAGTCATCGCGCAGATCAACTTGGGTACCAACGATGATGCAAGGAACACCGGGGCAGTGGTGCGTTACCTATTCAAGGAGCGCAGCATGTCAGCGAGCGACCAACAAGAATTGGCGCATTTGGACTTTTTGATGTCCATGCAGATTCACCGTATCGCGGGTGCGAGTCCGAGGACGAGACCCTCGGTCGCAGCACTCCGTATGAGGCGATACGGTCGATGCTCGTCGGTGCAAATATCCGCCGGTGCAAGTGCTCGCCGGATATGCTTGTGGCGGATGGACCAGTCCATGCGCATCCGTGCAGTATGAGCTTTGCAACCAGACGGCTGTCCGATCCTTAAAGTGCTTGCACAGCGCTCGATTGATTCGGACGGATGGCCTCTGTCCAGGCCCCGACCCGGCCGAGTCAAATGCTCCTCGCATCCGACTTGCGCCTCTCCCTCCCACTGATAGCACGCTGCCCTTGCAGCGACTGGCTTGGTCGACGTTTTACCTCGGGATGCCACTTTTCCTTGACGTTCTCGAAGGACGCGGGCGAGACGACGGAGAAGCAGATCAAAAACACATCCGTTTGAGGATATGAGAGCGGGCGAAGGCGGTCGTAATCTTCCTGGCCGGCAGTGTCGAACAAACCGAGGGTGTATGGCTCGTTGCCCTGTGGTTGCGCAGCGAGTGCGAGGGAGTGGCGAAGAAGGTGCGCGATGGATTAGCATCCGAGCCGACGTGGATTCGAGGTGCCGATCGACACAAGGCCAGAATAAAGAAACCCCCAAGATAATGGCTGTTGAAGCTGGGGCGGCAGAGGCAGGCAGACACGGAAACTGGTCGGCAGCACATCGCGCCATGCCCAAAGAGCGAGAGGCACCGCCATATCGGCCAGAGCCAGCCCTGCCGCAGCGCGAGTGTGATCGGCCTGTTGGAGTGGCGACCGGCGATGGGAAGCGGCAAGGGGCTGCTGCCGATGGGGGGTTATGGGGCCGGCAGAGCGTAGCCGTGGTCGAGGCGTTGGCAGGCCACAGGTCGATGGAACACGGGCAAGATGCGGAGCAGCCGCAGTTGCAAAGTTGAATGGAGGGAGGCAGGACTTGCACGGCTTTGAAGGAAAAAGTCGTCGGCGACCCTGGCCTTGCACTTTTACGCGTAAAAGTTGTGTCTGAAGAGAGCCTGCTCCCCCCCCCACTTGCAGCCGTCCAGGACACCGGCGACGGCAAATGCGGGCCCAGGGGCTGTCGAGGGTTCTGGATGAAGCCTGATCTGAATGCCACAGCCCCCCCCCCGAGCGAGACGAATTGGAGCAAGAAGCGAGGCTGCCGCAAAGATGGAGCCAGGAGATGCCAAGACAGCCACCTCGATCGGCCCAAAGGACGCGGAATGGCTGCGGCTCCCCCCCCGGCAAGCAAGCAAGCACAGGTCGTGGGTGGAATCAGCCCAATTGGGCGATGCCGCCGACGGAGAGGACGCCGAGAGGCTATCGAAGACGGCTACTCACAATCATGACGGTGACCGCATAGTTGTCAAAGACGGTCGGGACGTATTCCGAGGGGAACTTGTTGGTGGTGTAGGAAATCAGCAGACATGTCTTGCCGACGGCACCATCGCCGACGACGACGCACTTCATAGTTTGCATGGCGGAGGCGGCTCAGACGCAGGACGCAGACAGAGTCGGGAGACTGGAGGGGTGCGTGGGGCCGGCGGTGCGCGGAGAGTGCAAGGGCAGCAACGACGGTGCTCTGCGAGGAGAAGGGCGGCAGGAAGACGCAGAGGCGTCGAAAAAAGCGCTCGCTGGTCTGGTTGTTCGCGGCGTGTGTGTGTGTGCGGGCGTTCTGTTCTGTGCGCGTTCTGTGCGCGGATTGTGTGCGCGAGCGAGCGCTGCTGCTTGGCGACGGCGGACTGCAGCGGCAATGGCGACGCTGGCTCGCCAACTGGGCAACTCGCCAATGAGCAGCCCGACAATCGGACGGTGTGCTGATGCAGAGCCGATCTGGCATGATTGCTCGGGCTGATTGCGGCTGTTGGTGGGCGTGCCGTCGCACCGGGAGCAGCGGGCGCGGGGCGGCCAGTCTCTCTCGGTCTCGCCAGTGTTTCAGCTGCTCGCGCAGCCGGCGCGGGTGGCTCTGCAACTCGCACACAATTGGGCCTGGCCGCATTTCGCACAGCCCTGCCCCGATTTGCCTGCCAAGAACAGCCGCCTGCAACTCTGCACAAGCACGGACATGATGGGCAAGTTTGTGGTTCCAGGAAAATGAAAATGTATTCGCATTGCTCCCAGCCATCTCCCCCCGCGCCCAACCGATTGCAGCAAGCACCAGTCGTCACCTACAGACAGCAAATAGGCTGGTTAGACTCGGCGATAGCGCAGTTGCTCCCCCCGTCTGCACCCAGCAGCCCCCCGCCCCGTCGTGCGTCGTCGCGGGTTCCTCAGACATCCAAGGAAGATTTTTCGCCAGCATCAGGACGAGGGTGGAACACCGTTCATGGACACAAGCTGACAAAGTTTGGCAAAATGCTCGACTTCATCGCGCCAGCTCATGGGTTCATCCACTACTAAGACCCCTCATGATATCCTTTTGGTGGAAACTGCGAAGTGGAAACATCGAGATTCATCGTCGGAGCCCGCGACGGCGCCATGTATCTGTCCCAGAGACGCTGCCGACAAATGAAACCCACCTTGTGTAAGCCGCATTGATGGATTCCGGCCATAAGAGAGTGCAGTTGTTTCTTCCGCGCCGGCAAAGCCTTATATGATGGACAGGAGCAGAAATGTTGTTAGCGCATCGCGCTTGAGGACAGGCGCTCGACAGGGCACCCACCACCAGCAAACCACCGGGCCACTCAGGAAGCAGGAGGAGGGGGGACAACACCGTCGGTCAGACAAGTATCTGGCTAAGGATGACCCTGCTCCGCAGAGCAGGGCGGCGGTTTCAGCATAGTCGATAAGTCGGGGAAAGAAATGTGGTCATCACTCGAGGGCGTCGCCGTTCCGCACCGTGAGTGGCCCAGGTGGATCCATCGCCCGCCGCCAACGCGGCTCCAGCGCCGGCCGTCGATAGCTTACCTGCTCGGATGTGTCGGTGTGCTGAGGCGTTCCGTTCGTGTTTGAAATTTATATCAGCGGCCAACCCAAAAACAAAATCGCGCCCCGCCGCCCAAGCCACACGGTGATCAGTATGAATCGATTCATTTCGTGCGCAGCTGATCTCCACGTGGCGGTAAACACGTGATGGAATGATAATCACGTGGGTGGCGTGGGAACTTTCCCACGAATGGACCAATGCATGAACCGACGAGCGAATGGACCAATGCATGAACCAACGAGCGAGCAGACGAATGCATGAACCGACGAGTGAGTGAGTGGCCACGACGGACAGGTATCCCTGGCGGATATTGATGTGTGTTGGGCATTCCCGCCGGCCACAAGCCCAGTCTCCCCCAATCACACCCACACCCACACCCACACCCACACCCACACCCACACCCACCAGCCAAACATGCGTAAACAGCACTCGCTCCCTATCTCAAGAGCCTTGGCCATCAAGCTCAACTGCCGCTCGGCAAAGAATCGTTGCTCAAAAGCCACCCCCATCGTGCACCATGTGCGATTCGGAATCCAACATGCTTCTGTCTTTGAACCCAGGGCCTCGCCGATCCGACTCGGCATGGTCTCCATCCACCCAGTCCACGCCAACATCAACATCAACATCAACCGCGACGTCGTGTCGGCTCCAGCCATCAGGCCTCCACCACCCCATGCCTGCATGCAATCCCGCAGAATCGCCTTCACCCCTTTCGAGCTCAGTCGAGCTCACAAACTACCGGATCCTTCCCGAAGAGATCCTGCGGATGACCGAGTCCGAGACGGCCTGCCAGTACTGCGGTGTCTCGTATCTGATTCTCAGCAAATACGAAAAGATGAAAGTCTTTGTTGATTCGCTCGAGCGAGAACTCCAAGATCTCAAGGTCCGCGACACATTCCACTCCTGCTCGTGTGTTCCCCGTTCCATCGAACACTGTTCGCCTGACGCTCTGGATTGCCTCGGATCCCACAGAGCTTTGCTGCCGAGCGACCAACCCTGATGGAGAAACTCGCTACCCTCGAGAAGAAAGTATCGGACCAAGCAGTCGAGAGCCTCGAGCGGAATATGGAGCTTGGGAGGGCCAATCGCTCTCTCGAACTCAGCAGGGCAGAGCTGGAGGAATACCGCTCGCAGTGCCACGATCTCTCGATGCAGTTGGTAAGCACCTATCCTTGCCCCAGGCTCGTTTCTCAAGTGTCAGTATTGATGGACGAGCCCATGCTGCTTCATCGTCTATATCGCCCTCCATCGACATCCGAGCCTGATCTAGACTCCTGTCTTACCACGAGCCGCGCTTCACGTAGGAATCGCTTCAGCGTCGTCAACGCGAGCTGGAGTCGGCGCAGAGCAGCAAGTCTGCTGTGATGCTCAAGTCGCTTGCGTCCTTCCATAAGGACATCATGGAACAGCGCCATGCCCTGGCCATGGCCAAGGACGAGATCGAAATGAGGTATCCAGCAATCCCGCCGTGCCCCTTTCGCTTTCACCACAGCACTCGCCATAGTTTGGAAGCACGATTCGTACTCAGCCAAGCGGCTTTCGTCAGCGTCGATGGCTCATATTGACTCGCGGCTGGGCTGCACTGTGGCTGGGCTGGCGTGCAGGCTATCAACGTTTATGAGATCAAGTCTCAAGAACCAACTCGACACAATCATTCAACGGGTATCCATGTACTGGAAGTCTCGAGCTGAAGAAAGCCTCAGGCGGCTCGAGGACGCCAAAAACGGCGAGATTGAGCATATCCAAAAGACAATCGGCAGTCTGAGAGACGAGGCACGCTACTGGTATTTGACTGTCGGAATCTTGCCAGGGGATCGAGGAGAGGACTGCAGCTGTATTCCCGAGGATGCTTGCAACCATCGCGTCTATTTGCAGCCGCACGTTCCCTGCCTCTGTAATAACTTCGTCGGGATCAGATACTCGATTGCTGTATTCACTAGCCCCTGCCTCATCATCAAAGGGACGACGAAAACAAGCGACTGTCCACCGAGCTGAGAGAGCTCAGCGACAAATACAACGAAAGCTTGGGCTCGCAAAAGTGTAGGTTGCTGGGCACGCATGTGGTCGTCGCTGCTGCTCTTGGTCCGGCCGCGCTATTTGTTCCGACATCGGATCTGATTCCTATATCCTCGGTGAATCTGGTGCACTAAATCTTTGGCAGCATACATCCAGGGACTCCAGACAAGCTGCCTGAAACTGGAGCAGCGCCTGGGCGTCGCTAATGGCCATATTGCGGTACGGCCCACTGTTCAGTCGAAGGACATATACCGCGATATGTTTCAGCGTCGTACCGCTGATGCGCAACCAAACCCTCGTGGCCAACGGCCAGCTCGCCTCTGTTGATTGTACATTCACCCCATTCGCTCTACCCCATTTACTCTACCTCGCCCATCGGTGTACTCTACTGACCGCAGTGCCTCTCCCAAGAGAGAGACAAGCTTTCAGACACCCACGCCACCCTCACGGAGCAGAACAAGTCTCTGAAAGAAGAACTGCTCCGCTCGACCCAAGTACTGGAGAAGCGTGTGGTGACGCTCGAGGGGCACTTGAAGGAGAAGGAGAATGAGCTATCTGACGTCATGGACAAGTGGAGATCCGAGCGCCGAAGCGCCGAGACAGGAACTTCGGCACTCTCCAAGGCTCAGCGGGCCTTGGACACCAAAGACGTGAGGATCTGCGTGCGCTGCATCCCCGCCCTTCGAATCGTTCGCGTTACGTTATCCGGGCTTGGACTTTGGTGCTTACAAGCCCGCTCAGCAACCACTCACTCATCCAGTCACAGCAGCAGCATCGCTCATTCGTGTCTGAACCGCCATTGCCCTTGAACAGGAAAAGATTGTCCAACTCGAGCAAAACATCCGAGAGCTCAACGCCATTATATCGAATGTGCGGGTTGACAGGCAAGTGCCCAAATCAAACGCGGCAACTACCTCGCTGCTGCTGGATGAACATCTGTCGTGTGATCTGAGCATCTGTCTCGGCTGGCTCTCTGGGGCCACCACTTCCGACCACTCTCTCGAACGGTCGTTCTGAGTATTTTGCACTTGATTTGGGGGGGGGTTAGACAAAAAACAATCGAGGCACATCAAAGCCGCGTGCAACACCTCCAAGAAAAGTTTCTCCAAGATATCCAAAAGGCCGGCAAGCTCGAGGTACGACGACACCCGCCCTGGCTTTGGCGGCTGATATATGATCAACATACCACCCACTTCCCATTGCCACTTTCGACTTCCAGTTACACTTGGACTCGCCGAGCTTTGAATGTGATCCGTAGCCTTGCTCGTTGCTCATCTAACTTGTCCTATCTTCCCGACCTGCTCTGATGCAAATGTCGCCACTTTCTTGCCATGGAACTCACCCACAACCCACACGATCGAGATCAGGGCGAAAGAGTCGAGGCGGAGCTGCGCCAGCGATTTGCTATCGACAGAGACGAAGCGCTTCGAGAGCTCAAGCAAAAGATGCATCAGGTGCCAAATACAACTGCGGGTGTTCCGAGCTGGTTTCTGGGCCAGTGACTTCCTGAGCCAGCAATCACAGTTGGCCCCCGATTGACTCTTGATTGTCACTCGATGCACCCACGCATTCCGCCCCCGGTCATTAACGCCTTGGCTACTGTCATCGGCTCGGTAGGAGGCCAGCCAGACCCAAGACCGCCTTGTCCATCAGATCGACTCGCTCAAGCTGAGCGTCGAGCGGAGCAACATCGAGCTACAGCGGAAATGCCAGAATATTGAAGAGGAGTGGGCTCGCAAGTACGGCTCGTTGGCTGAGCAGCTCCAGGCCCAGAGAGTAAGTCCGATCCAGGGAAGGTGCCCGACTTGACTGGTGCGGCTCGGGCCTTTGGCGTGGTCTTGCTTTGTCTTCACTTTCGCTCATACGGCTAATTTACCTGGCCATCCTTGCCATGCATATCCCGGTATCTTAGACCAGTCACGCAGCTGAAATGCAAGAGCTTCAGTACAAGCTTACAGAGGCCAGCGAACGTGTCCCCACTCTGTCCTCCGTCGCCGAGGACGAGTTTCGAACGCAGCTCGCCAAGAGAGACGCCGAGATTGCCTTCCTGAAGAACACTGTCCGAATCGAGTGCGAGGAGCGAATGGAGCTCATCGCCGCCGTCGACACGCTCAAGAAAAAGTTCAATGGCATCATCGTGCCTGGCACAGAGGGCCTCCAGGCCAATCTCCGGACGGGCCCACACCAGCGATTGCCGGCCATCGACGGCTCCAGTCCCAGACCAGATCCCGCCGAGACCATCGGACCATCCAGGAGCATGCCCGAGCTCGGTGCCGTTCATCCAGCGCTGTCGGCGTCATCACCATCACCACCAGCGTTCCCACGTCCCGAACTGCCGCTTCCGCCCCAACCGTCCCAACCGCCCCAGTCCAAGAGCGACAGCGAGCGACTGTTTGAACGGAAAGCGCACGTGGCATCTGTTAAAAAGCTGGCCAAGATGGCCAAGCTGCCAAAGAAATAGAATGGATCCAGATCCCAGAATAATGCAGCTGTCCTGGTTCAAAGCAGGATGTCCCATTTCGCTTCGGGAACGCACTGATCCTCAGCTCAGGCGCCTCTTCTTGTGAGCTCTGTCACCTCCGCCCAACGTATCAGTGTCGATTGCACTTGTTTGAGCAGCGCGGGCCTCTTCCCTCGTCGAGGTGAGAATGGTGCATCATGTTGAAGAAATAATGGGACATTGTCTCATTTGGACAACCACGGCGTAGTCGGATCATTTTCCTGTGTCAGAGAGATGCATGAAGTGAGTGGGCACGACGGGGACCAGCGAGTCGCTGTAGATGCAGTCACTGCAGGTCAGAGCAAGAAGACATAAGCATAATCGCTGCAAGGTTTCGGGTGCCAATCAAAGTCTGATTCATGCAAGCCGCGCAAGTCAAAATAAGAATGGCAATCGCATGGATGAAGATCCTCCACAGTGCTCCCATGATCAATTTACCTACACTATCGGAACGGTGGTTTGATCATTCACGAAATGGAAGATGACTTTGAGAAGCTTCTCGATGAGTTTGAGGAACTCAGCAAGACACCAGCGCAGAGCCCGCCGGTCAAGCACAGACCTCGGCCAGCAGCGCAGATACCCCTGGTGCAGCCCAATGTGCCGACAACATCAGCAAGAACTCAAGGCCACGCTCCGGGTGGGATGGACAGTGAGTATTTGTTCGCTCGAGCCAGCGCATTGCTCGATGCACACCGTCCCCTGGCACATGCCCCATTTCTCCGAGCTCTTCTGTGCTATACAGCATACCTCCTCCTCTGCTCTGATTGTTTCGCCACTCCCTTGCGTGGGAGGAGGGAGTCGATCTGGCAAAGTCTCGTTTCTCCGTTGCGCTGAAGCCGACGCGTCGATTATGATGCAATCCTCATGCATCCATAATATGCCTCCACTTCGACGGTTTGCTCGCGAATGACATTGTCGGATTCGCATCTCCTCCCTACCAAGGCGGCATCGACGACCTGCTCCTGGAACTCGACGCGGACATGGCAGGACGTGCAAGCCAGCCATCGGCCGTTCAAAGGAGCGATGAGGCTTATGTTCCCAGCCCTGGATCATACCCAACCTCGGCAGTGGCTACTCCCTCTCTGGCGCGGAGCTCGGCTGCTGCTGGGCATTCCGTAAAGCAAAAGTAAGCCGGCACGATGCGCATAATCCCGTGTCCAGGATATGCCCAATATTGCCAGTCAAACATGATCCCCTCCGACGCCGAATCGATGCCAGTTTCACCAATCGCTCTATGCACCTAGGAGAGCAGCGAGACGAATCGGCTCCGCTCTGATGGCGTCGATGGTGCATGCCGCTCACCCATCCTCCTCTTCCCAAAAGGTGCAATCCTGTCTGCATTGGCGGCACATCCATCGACACGGGCCTCACCGTCATGTCGGCAATGATGAAGTCCTGCGACCGCCTGCGATGTCTGTCGTGCGACTTCAAGTGCATTCGATTTGACGACGCCGTTTGGGACGACGGCTTGGTCAGCTACCTGTTCTTCCGCAACTTCATGCCAGATGTCGCAAAGCTTCGGAAAGGGATCAAGTTTCGAAAAGGTCTCCGAGCTCGCCAGGCGATAGACTGATTTGTGGATTGATCTGGATGTCGCTGTGTCCACCGATCTGGCTATTAGTTTGCCTGTCGATACGTCGAATTGTCTGGGTCACCATTGCAGTTTTGGCAGCGATGTCGAGTGTCTGCGAAGGAGTGGGGAGATGGGCCGACCAATAAGCCAGATCCATGCCGGAAACCGTTCCTTCCTTTGACTGACACAGCCACCACGCTTCTTCTCGACAACTGATGATCCAGGTCATGTCTGCTTCTGCTGCCAGTGTTCATGGTGCGGGATCGGCGACGAAGCCAAGGCCCTCTCATCGGTGGCACAGTTCGAGAAGGCGAAATGGGTTTGCGGTGGCCATTGAAAGATCACTACGCTCTTATATTTGGGCCGAACCGGAATAGAACACTGCTCTTCTTGATTGCCCATGACCCATTGTCATCCCGATGGAGAGCTGCGGCAACAGGACAGCAATGGGTCACAGCGGTAGCTGCTCAGAGCACCTCTATCTCCACTCACACATTACAGGCAATCCAATAAAAAACGGGACACCCGGGTTTTTGACCATTCATCGAATATTTTGTTACCCAATGTTATCGCGCGCTGGCCATGACCATTCGCCAGTGTGTCCAAGAGCACCATCCATCGATGGCACCGAGGATGCAAGCTGGATGACCCATCCCGGGTCCCAGCTCGCAGATCCACTTTCTTCGAGCAGGCATGTCCAGTCATTCGCACCCTGATTGAACAGGACCCGTTCCAGACTGGTCCTGTGCTGCGATGCAAGCTCGAGTCCATCCTCCAGAGGAAAGTATCACTCTCACTCTGCCACACTGCCATCCACCGAGCAGGTCTCTCACACAAGAGGGCAACACACCTCTACAAGTCCAAGCGACTGGATGAGCGAGTGGCACAGTTCAGGGACCAGGTCCGCTCCATCGACCCACGACGATTCGTTTCTGTCGATGAGACAGGGATCAGGAGATCCATTTTCCCTCTTTACGGATACTCACCGAGGGGTGCTTCTCAGACGACTCTGTGATTGTGATGGACAATGTCAGCATGCACAAGACAAGGGCTGTCCTGGACTGCATCGAGCGCCGAGGATGGTCAGTGATCTTCACCCCACCTGCCTCGCCCGACTTCAATCCCATCGAGAACTTCTTTGGGGTTGAGTCCCCACCGATTTGGGGTTGAGTTCCTCCAATTTGGGGTTGAGCTCCCCAATCACGCCGCCATTTTCGCGTTCACATCCCTGGCTTGAACCTCTCGGCGATTTTTGAACAGGGTCACTTCCCCAACCAGCCCGCAAAGACGGGTTCCTGCTCTCGGGTATAAATGCCACACCTTCGTCTCTGCTGCTTTCTTCCCTCATCTCGCCTTGATCTGATCATCGCGCTATTGTACGATAAAAAAAAGTCTCTGCTCTGACCAGTACCACTGGCAGGCATCCAGCATCCTCTGCCCCCATGCCTCCGAAGCGTAAGGGTACCGGTGATGGCCAGCCTCGGCCACCCAGGCCCAAGAAAGCCAAGTCACAGTCGGAGCCTGTCTCTGGTTCGTATTCTGACCCCACGCATGCTTGGTCGTCTGTTGCTCCGTCGCTCACCACCACTGCTTCTGCAGATCCAATGGATATCGATCCCACCGAGCCTGGTCCATCTACTTCCTCGAGTACCGGCAAGCGATGTCGCCAGTGCGATGGCACCGATCACGAACGTTGCAACACCAGCAAATGTCCAAATACCGGCCCCTCAAGAGTTCTGTCGTCCCTCTCGTGGATGGAAGGTCATCCGCCCCTCAGTTCAGCTGCTTCAAGCAGACGATGGATGGCTGTTGTCTCAATCCCGCTCTCCGCGACAAGATCCAGGCCACCGTCGAGGCCATGACCCAGATCCAGTTCGAGGCATCCAGGCTGCTCAACCTGCACATCCTGAGGTGCATCGAGCAGGATCTTCCCGTCCCCGTCATCTCCAAGTCCACCCCTGCTTTCGTTCGCCAATGCTTCAAGATCGTCCAGGCCGATGCCCTCTCGACGGCCAGGGAGACCAAGAAATACAACGAGCATCTGGTCGCTTCCTTTCGCGACTACCAGACCACTCGGCACGCAGACCTGCCTCCGGCCCCTCGTCTGCCTGATGGTGCTCACAGTCAGCTTCTCACCCTGGCTGTCAATGCCTATGCCACCAACTGCACCACCCACCTCAACCTGGCCTACTGGCGACTCCTTCGCCGCTTCTGCGCTGCCGTCTTCCCAGCCAACAAGCATAAGCACGAAGCCATCGAGGCCTGTCTCGAGCTCTTCGAGAAACCAGGGCAGACTCCACCCAAGGCCGATCTCGAGTTCCTCTATCCAGACTTTGGCCACGTCCTGGACGAGTTTCGGTACAGCAACGACCAGGACCGCTTCCGGGCCCTCCATCGCCTCTCACACCATGTGGGAATCCTCGCCCGAGACAAGATGGTCGACAATGTCCACAAGTGGATCGACTGTGACATGCCCGCCCTCCGAGTCACCGAGCTGCAGCGCCAGGCCAAGCTGGACAAGCTCACTGCCAGAGGCATTCCCTCCGACGACAAGAGGTTCACCAAGGCCAAGTCTGAGCTCGGCACCACCAAGGCCAAGATCAACAAGCTGGCATCCAGACTCAAGTGGTGCCTCAAGCAGCTCGCTCTCGACACTCCTCCGGCCGTGTGCACGATAGTTCCTCTATGCACAGCCAAGGTCAAGTATGTCAAGATCGACACGGTCACTCTCTGGCAACTCCTTGACACCGAACATCGTCTTGGACTCACCCGGGACAAGCTCAAGGATGAAGGTGAGGACGGTGTCAACAACCAGGATCGTCTCTGGCGCAGTTGCTTCAAGCTGCGTAGTTCCCTCTTCCAAGAGCGAGACGTGAACAAGAAGCTGTTCAACTACGAGATCAGCACCGATGGCATTGGATGCACCATCGGTCTCGTCAAGTTTCTGCCTCGAACCGATCGCATCGAGACCATCGAGCCTCCTCCGACTGCCGAGCAGCGCATCCAGACCCACATCGGCGACCCAGACCCCGATCGCACCACTTGGATTGGCATCGATCCTGGAGTCGGCTCCATCTTCACGGCGGTCATCCAAGCACCGGGCCACCAAGACGAGGTGGTCTCGTTCTCCAATGGCCACTACCAGCACATGTGTGGCCACAGGTCCAATACTGAGTGGCACAACACCATGAAGTATCGACTCAGCATCGAGACCTGGATGTCGACCACCCCCTCGCCCAAGGTGTCGTCCTCGGAGGCCTTCAAGGTCCATCTCACCCATGTCCTGCGACCGGAGCTGCGAGTGCAGCTCGGCTTCCGCCTTGGCAAGAAGGCCCGTCACCATCGCTTCACGGGCCACAGGAGACGCCAAGTGGCCGTCGACAGGATGTGCAAGGCCGTCCTGAAGCACGCCCCGATACGGACCGATGTGGTCATCGCCTTTGGCAATGCGTCATGGCGACAAGGCAAGGGCTATGCATCCAGCCCTCGGAGGCAGCGGTTTGCTCAGTACTTTGAGCAGTTCGAGCACCACCGACGCCGTCCCAATCACCATCATGGAAGCGTCAAGGTAGTCTCGACGAACGAGTTCAACACCTCGCAAGTGTGCTCCAAGTGCCTGGAGCCAGTTCGGTTGGAAGGACTCGATGCGCCCAGTGTTGCGAATTCCCACTTTGTCAGGAGCTGCAAGAATCCCAGCTGCCGGACAGTGTGGAATCGCGACGTCAATGCGGCGCGCAACATGATCACAGTGTGCAAGTCGATTGTGGAGATCGGAGAGCGACCGGCGGTCTTCACTCGGAGGCTGCCAAAGTGATCTGTTTTATTTCCTGTGGCTTTGCTTGACGCAAGCACAGCACATACTACATGTTCATGGAAACGGCTATATTGTCCCGTTTTTTTCTGAATAAAGTGTACTTTCAAAACTGGGTTTATTGGCGCGACGCTGATCGGACAAGGGCGACGGCACTGGTGGATCTAGGCGTGGGTGGAGGGGTCGGGGCGAGTGGATCGATAATGGGATGGAGGAGAGGATGAGGGGGGATTCCATCGTCCAGCCACGACTACGGAATCAAGCAGAGCTGAGGGCGAGCGTATTCGCTCAACGCTCGCATTCCACTTCGTGGGTTAGGGGTGGGCAGGCGGCCGGGGCGGTCGGATCGAAAGAGATGATATCGGATGACAGAGGGCGAGGGCACTTTTCATCGACACAGGGACTCGTATCGCTCTCGGATAGCATCCCGTTCCGGATAGGGCAAATTGGCCCACAGAAGCGGCTTTGAGCCCGTACCGTCGAGCCGCTCCTTGGAGACCACTTCGCCCATGTGAAACATCCAAAAGTGTCCGTTGTTGCAGGCGTCCAAGCAGGCCTCGCATGGTTGGCTCACTACGAGCGGCACATCAGTCCAGTGATCGAGTTCCAGTACAGTGACATGATGTGGTGCCGAAACGAGTGCGATGTAAGTGGACAGTGATGTTTACATGCCCGTTCCGGAATCCGCGGCGATGGTGCGTGCGTGCCATGTTGGAATGCCATGTAATAGCGTCAGTATCGTCCTGGAGCTCAGGCCTCTGCTCGCCATGTCCTCTTTCTTGGCCACGACAGAGTCTCTGCAGGACACCATGCCTCGGACTATGAAGCAGTTACACCGGCACAGACACATACCGTGATAGCCAACGACATTACCACTGATGAGAAAATCGATAAGCAAAACGACAGTGATGAGTCTCCGGTCATGAGTGTCGAGTGGCGAGCAGCAAGTGCGAGCGAGTTGGCATCAATACTGCCCGCTCATAATGTCAGCCTCGAGCAGTACTTACCAACCAAGACACGCTGCGTCCTTGATCCGACACTGGCAGTTTCGAGTCACATAGTCGTCATTGACGAGTTGCACACCTAGATGATACCGCCATGAATGGGTTTCCGGAATCAGAGAGGTCTCGATCGACGACAAGCGGTCAACATCCGACACCGGCCAGCCCATGTCCTCGGCTCTCCGCACATACCGTATGGAGGAGTATCCGTTGAGAACAGCTCGATGTTCGTATCAGCCAGGAGTATCGCCTTCATCCCCCGCCGACAGACACCGACGTTGCAGTGAGTGCAATGGAGCTGGCAGACAACCTTGCTCCGAAACTGGGGCCGGACGGAGGCATGCCGAGCCGAGCTTCGCTGTGAGCTCGAGGTTGGTACTCGGCCCGAGATGGACGAGGCAATGTTCATGTTGGTAGGCGCAAACGGCGGTGTATTTGTGCTGGCCGTCGCCGAAGTGCCGGTGTGCTGGTTAAAGTACGGAACCATCAGCCCCGGCGGCTGGCGGTGCTGAGAGATGCCCAGGAAAGACTGTGGGATGCTTGGATTGACGTTGAGGGAGCGGTTGGACGACATCTGTGAGGTACCAAGTATTTGGGCGTATGACATGGCCAGGACTGGAGGGTAGACTACTGGAAGGGGCCAAGGAGGCGGACTGGCGAGGGCTGGGAGACGAAACCAGACTTGGAGGAGAGCAGGGCCGAGACAAGCTGGGAGTCGGAAGCCGGGCGTGGACTTGGATTGCAAACTGGGTGCCGAGGCCGAGATACAACAGCCGAGATTCAGCAGTCGAGATACAGAAGCCGAGAGAGTAGCCAAACGGACACCGGATGCAGCGATGCGAGCGCTGGTGGATGGCAAAGTCTCGTCGTTTGCCCGGAACAGGGTCGCTTGCAGGTGGTCGAGATGGAGATGCCGCCCCCCGGCTTATATGGGGCCCAGACAATCAGCAGAGACTCTTTGTGTGAATCAAATATGTGTTAGGGCGGCCTTCACTATATGGCGCTTGATTCAAGGAACTTCCAGTCTGGCCTTGGGCTTGACGGATGAGGTGACCTGTGTATTGTTGCGGACAGCCTCGCTCCAGCCCCTGGACGATCACCCAGAATGCTCAGATCGGCAGCCCCAAGGATGGCCTCACCATCAAGCAAGATATGTGCATTCTTCCTGAGGGATGCTGCCCCACACGACCCGCATATATCTCTCTGTGTCGATCCTGCACACGCCGCCGGTGCATATGTGGGATAATGAGCCTTGCTCGGACATTCAGAGTGGAGAAACGGGCCGGTGCATCTCTGCGCCGAGGAACGGATAGGCTGGTCACTTGGCAGTAGCAGCGCCCGCATTTCGCTGCAGTCCTATGGCGTGAGCAGCCGTGCTGTTGGGCTGGCTTGGGCAAGAGCTACCCCTGAATGATACCCTGAATGATACCAGTGGGGCGTCGACAAGGGCCTGTGCAGTCCAGGTGCTCTACACCGAAGGTTCTTTGGGGTCACTTGCAGCAGGGTGCTCGAGGTTGAGCCTGGAGCGGCGCTGGAAAGTTCCATGGACCATTGTTGCTCTGCCACTCGTCCGATTGCAACGAGCGAGTCCCCTCCCCTCTTGCGGAAGGCATCGTGCGAGTCCTGGTTGTCCAGTGCGATTGAAAGTCCTCTGGTACCATCAACCCGAGGACACGCATCTCCGACATACGAAGCACTCTTTGCATCAACCAGCCCGCGCTCGGAACGACTATCGCCAGTGTCTTCTCCCTAAATGACTTTCACCACTGCCCAAAGCCCAGGGTCTCACTCGGTCCTCAAGATCGCAAGGGCGTTTCTCACGGTCGTTATTATCGCCCAGGTCGCCGTAACAATCTATTTGCTGATGACACCAAGCTTGATCATTCTGTCGTTCACGGCCAAAGCACAGACCCCGTCGTCGGCGACCGCCTCGAGTCATGTTCAGGTCGGGTTCCTGAGTCGATGCGAAAACAATGTATGCTCAGCCCTGGGGTCGTCGTGCGCCTCCACTGGCTCAGACTCTTTCGGAAACAACAAGCAGACCGTCTGCAACGGCATTCACCAGTCCGTGGCCCTCCTCATCGCTGCCATTTCATTTTGCATGCTGGAATGTGCACTCGTCAACGTTATCGTAGCCCTGCCAGGGATGAGCCCAAGCAAACTTCGGGGCATGACCATCGCCATGTTGGGGGTGGCCCTCCTTCCAGGCAGGTGATTGACGAGCGTCCACTTATTTGCATAGCTCAATATGGCGGTGGTCTGAATCCACAACGGAATATGAATGTCGTCGTCGTTGGCACCCAGCGCTGTTCATATCCGGTAGCCAGCGCCGCCCGCATCAGCATGCAATGCTTCAGCTTACACATTGCCGTTCGTATGCGCTACGGAACACCGCTCAGGCATACTGATCAGTGCCACACTGGCCATCGTGCTCAGCGTCATGTCGGTTCTGCGGAGCATGGCCGATGTGGTCAACAAGTCTGATCCCACCACAGTCTCAACGTACAGCTGGGGCAGCAGCTTTGCGCTGCTCTGCGCCGTCTTTGCCTTTGCCATCGTCGAGTTTCTGGCCGTATCTGCGTATGCATGGGTACGAAGCATGCCGCTCTGCATGTCTCTGCATGTCTCTGCATGTCTCGGCTTGGCTCTGGAGATTGATGAATACGCAGTTGCTGATCTCCATCCTCTGGCTCGTCTCTGTGTACTTCTCAGGGACTGGTGAAGCTTTCCAGACCCTTGACCCGCCCGCTCTCGGCCACCCCAGACAATGTTCCGGTGCTCGTGTATTCCAAGGATAGCGGCCTTGACAAACACACATCCCAGATCCATCCTCCTCGCTGGCCAGGCTCAGAGCCCGTCACCTCCAACCGTCAGCCCACCGCATGGGCTTTGCCTGTCACCACCTACCGCCACCACGACGCAGTTCACATTCACCAGAACCAGAACCAGACCCCGTTCCAGCATCGGTTCTCAGAAGACTCATCGCGAAAGTCCACCGATAATCTGCTCCCTCAGACCACCGCATCGAGAGGCACGTCGCCCCTCTCGGCGACCGGATATCGACCTCCAGCCCTGCGTAACTCCGGTCATTCCAAACAGACCTCGATTATCTCTCAGTACGCTTCGCTCGACACCACCAGTCCGCTCGAGCCAGCCCCGAGCACGCAGATACAAGCACCGCAGGTCTCACCGGAGACCCAGCTTCAGCATCCGCCTCCTCCCGGCGCCGGATCGAAGTTCGAACCCGAGAGTCTGTCCCATGCCGAGTCTCTGGCGAGGGCCTTTGTCGCTCGACACATGAGCCAGTTCACTGTCGATCTGTCCAGAGCCGACTCGGACTCTTCCTTGAGATCCGGGGACGAGTCGCAAGACAAATGGACTGAACCAGGCACGGCTCCTAAGAGTGCTTGGAAGCGCTCGGGGCACTATGGTTCTGTCGCCGTGCCGGGTCTCGAAAGCAGCCCGACTCAAATAACGTACCCGCAAGGAGGAGCCCAGCCGCAGAGAGAGAGCTCAGTGCGCTCCCGACACTCCCCCAACAGGGACAAGCTCATGGATGAGTTTGTAGAGGCATATGGATTTGTTCCTGGATCGTAGTCGCCACACTGAACAAGGAACATTGCTATACCCTGCTTGTCTGAGCAAACTGCATGTGTTTGGGTGGCTTATCAGCAGGTTGGCTCATCGCTGCGGCTGCTGATTGCAGCGGATAGTCATTGTGGATAGTGAATAGGGTTGTATTCACATTTTGGGCGAAAAATGAACAGCAAAGGCAAAAAACGATGCCCCCGTTGCACTATGGGGAGAGGTAATGTAAATATATGCTATGTCTCAAAACTCTTGAATCCAGCTGCTCTCATCAGAAAGCCAGATTTGTTTCGCTTCGCGTCTCGCACTTGCAGAGAGCGTCGACTGGGCAACGACACACATCATCAACTACAGCTTTTTCATGTCGCTAGGAGGTGCCTTGAGATCGGTGCCTTGGAGAGACTCGTATGGAGGAGGACCGCCGGGTGGCGGCGCATAGCCGGAATTGAACCCACTGGTGCCGCGGGCATAGACGGCATAAGAATATCCACTGGAGGAAGATGGCATGGGCTGCATAGGTTGCATAGGCTGCATAGGCTGCATGGGTTGCATGGGCGGCATAGGCTGCATAGGCTGCATAGGCTGCATGGGTCGCATAGGAGCCATCGGGGCCATAGGAGCCATAGGAGCCATCGGGGCCATCGGGGCCATGGGTGGCATCGGTGGCATCGGCGGCATCGGCGGTCCGGGGACAACCATCGGCACGATCGGTGCCGACCCCGACGAGGTAAAGGTAAAGATTCCCCGGCGAATGGAGTGGAGCATCTGTCGACGGAGGTTGATTTGCTGCCGGTACTCGCGGATTTGTTGCTGGAGGATCTGGACACTCCGGATATGGTTATCTATCGAATCGACAGGCGTTCCAGGGGGTAGCGGCGGGAAAGTCTGGACGGGGAGATGGATGGCAGGGTGAGAACGACAGGCATCAGATCGATTATGACGGCAATAGCATGGTGCCGAGATCGGCCGAACAGCGAGACCAAAGTATGTGGGCCTGGTGCGGGTGCGGGAGGAGCAGCGGTACCTGAGTGGGAAAGGGAGGCGGAATCTGATAGCTCATCGAGGGCAGACCGCGCTTGCGACATCGGCGGTCGATCTTGCGGTTGAGCTTGTCGATCCTTCGCTGGAGGCGGCCAAGGCGACGCTGGAGTCGGGATTCGATGTGCCGAATCCGGTGGACGGCGACGCTGCTGCCGATGGCAACCACGACGCCTTCACAAGACGATTCCGAGAGAACCGAGTCGGAGTCGGAGTCAGAGTCTGATTTGCGGCCCATGGTGGTGTCGATACGGGAGTGCCGAAAGCTGCAGGGGTACTGATGAGATGCTGTGGTGGGCAAAAGAACGCGGGGCTGGATGGAAGCGGGCGATGCTGGGTGGACGGCGATGGCCAGGAGGGGAGAACGGTGGCCTTTTTCAAGTCACGCCAAGGCCGCGGATGCCAAGGAACCGCGCCAAGACCGGGGCTGGGCGCACGCGAGCCCGGGAATGTGGCATGGGTCTTGGGACCGATGCTCTCGGCGCATGAAACGATGCAGGAATAGCAACGATTCTATTGCCCGGCGGACACATGGACACATGGACACTTGGACACATGGACACTTGGACACTTGGACACATGGATACATGGATACATGGACACGTCTCTCGTGTGGTATTCTGCCATCGGCCGGGGCGGCGATCACTCAAAGAGACCAAACTCGGAAAACAGATGGTCGTATTCGGACGGCGTCTCGGCACTGCTTTCGTGGGTCTCCGTCGCAGACGTCATGGCGGATTTGGTGCCTTCCTGGAAATGATCAATGGCTTCTCCTGCAGGGAACAGAGAGCGTCAGATTGGAGTTGATGTTCAATGCAACTGCAAGCCGACGCCGATTCTGACCAAATCGCCAAGCAACCACAGGCCACCAAGAAAGACCCCGACCGTACTTAGTCTCTGCTTGGTATCTTCGCTGGGGTGCAAGTCGTCGACATCAAGGTCGTTGCGCTCGTCCTCATCTTCATCTTCGTCCTCATCTTCGTCTTCGTCCTCATCTTCATCTTCGCCCTCATCTTCATTCTCATCGTCATCAGAAGCACTGTGGTCGTTGGCCGAAGGGGACAGGTTGCTTGCCTGGCTTCTAATGCGGCTATGGGACTCTTCGTTGCGCTGCTCCGGCCGGCTGCTGTCTGGCCCATTCGACAGTGCTTCGCCCGGCTCATCAGACGACTGGTCCTGTTTGATCCGCTTGCGCCGAGTCCTGCGTTCTCTTCTCCGCCGCTTCCTCTGCTCCCGTTCCTCGGCCTTGCGGGCTTTGATTTTTCGGTAGTTCAAGCGATACGAGCACGGAAGGCAGAGTCGCAGCTTGACCAGAGCATTCTTCTTCTCGCCGGTCTCGATGTAGCCAAAGTTGACCTCCCACGAGCGCAGATCTGTCTGCTCGTTGCAGTGCATGTTGCCGCAGACAAATTGTCCTGCAGATGATCGGCATTAGCCGGCCATACGAACTGCGTCGGCCCTCGCTGCACGCCTCGCCATCCGACGCTGGATGATCATCACGGACATACCCTTGCCGACGACGACTTCCTTCTCCGTCCGCCATCGCATGGCTATACGACCTTCCTTGTACTTGGTCAGGTTGGCGATGCAATACTCCTTGAAGAGCTTGTCGTAGTATTTCTTGGCGACTCTGGACTCCCAAGTGCCCTCTGCATCGTCATTCTCGGATCGGAGGAACCTACTCTCCGGTCAAGAGCGGCGCCATGGTCAATAGCTAGTCCTGGATGGCTCTCGCTGGCAGAGCTCGAGCGCTGTCCCTCAAAGATCGCTGCCGGCCCTCGATAGGCTGGTTCTGGTGAGGGTCTCGACAGATAATCTCCGCAAGCAAAACCTCGGCGATCTCGGTCCGGCTCGCTTGGCGACCCCAACGATTCTGCTTCGATTGACGCCGATCTCTCCAGGCGCTCGAGCATTACCGGTGGTGGGCTTTCAGCACATCGAGCTCGGTGATTCCCCGGGACTGCATCGCCTTGGCTTCATTCAGCACTTTGGCTCCGCGATCGCCGTAAAACAGTAGGTAGTCCGACATCAGCTTCTTGTGTCGCTAGCGACATGAGTGCAGCCAAGACAGACCGGAGCGAGTGTGAATAGTCTGACATAAACCTGGGTTGTTGCTGCGATCGACAATCCGCCCGTGCCCAAGCCTTGGAACGACATGCTGCTCTGTTACCGAGTATGCATCCATGCCGGCCAACTGCGAGCGATATGCGCCGAGAGTGCCCGAGGCCGTGCCTGACGGCGTCTTGAATGACCCGCTTGATCCAGCCATGGGAGGGGGACACAGGATATCGGTCGGGTTGGAGAGGGAAGGCCAAGCGCAGAGATGAAGGCCAAGTGCAGAGATGATGGCCAAGCGCAGAGATGAAGGCCAAGCGCAGAGACGAGCGAAAAACACGACACCATGGTTTTGAACGGGCATGCCGCTTCTCTCTGGGTCCCGAATCCACCCATCCACCCATGGCCAAACAATGTCCCAGAGCACCATGTGTGGGACGATCAGTGTTCATTGCAAACGAATGCAGACTATCACTGGCGACATCTTCGATTGAAATGGGATAGCGTCCGAAATGCCGGAATAAGGTATGTCTCGGATGAAACGCAGCATAGAGAACCCCGCGGCAAACATCTCTCATCACCGCCTGTCGGCAGCTCCGGCAGAACGTTGCTTTTTTGCACTCTTGGTTGTGGTAAACCTGCTCGGCAGCCCCCGTTCAATGAGCCGAGTCACTGTCGCTGCGATAAACTCGGAGTAGTCGAATCGCCGGAGGGCGTTCTGCTCCTGCAATCGCGAGCGACGGCATCAGCAACAGGGGCCATGGCATGGCCATGGGCTCAACAGCATCGCCAGGATCCATACCCTGGTCAAGGTGCCCGATGGTGCAAAATGCGGGAGCCTTTCCCATGGCCGAGAGCCGATCAAGGCGGAATCTGCAGCGAGCCGACGATCGCGAACCAGCAGCAAGCCGTACCTGGTGGCATCGACGCTTTTCTTTCTCTTGAGCGAGCTTGGACTCGAGCTCTCGAATACTCTCCCTGATGTGTCCCGCCTGGTGCTCCTCGGTCCCGAGCTTGTGGTCGTCGCTGGGCTGATTTGGATGCGTCTCCGACCTTGCATCATCATATGCACTTCTCCTCTAGATGTATCGTCATGGGCATTTGCAAATTAGACCAGATCGCAAAGGCCATGGATCTCGCATCTATCGGGGCAATCCTCGATTGTACCCACCGAATGACGAGCCCTATTTTGTATCGTCGGCTTGGTGGAGGCCAAGGCGGAGCGGATACTCCGGTACTGACGCTTAGATTCTTGCACCTGCTCCTCAAGCATCGCTATCTGATCCTGGACGACCGCGAGCAGACTGAAGCCCATCCCAAAAGACCCTTGACTGGGAGGAAGTCAATCCGGACAAGCGGGGACAAAGTGTGAGCGAATCGATGCGATCAACGACCGATAGCGCCCGTCACGAAACTGTGTCGTCGGTACATCAACACGACCTTATCCTACCGCCAGCGTATTTCGCCATACCTGCTATCCCTGAGCATCTTCTGGATAAACTCGAGGGCAGTCCGAACCCAGTCCGGCTCTACAGGTCCGATCACTGTCGGCGCCGTCTGCAGACCATCCATGCAATAGACGCTTCCTTTCAGCGGCACAAAGCTCACGAAGTGGTAGTCGGGTTCGGCTTCCGAGTCCTTTTCCTGCGACTCGCCATCTTCCTCTGTCCAGTCGCAGTCGTCGAACCGTGCGATTTGCCTGAAACATGGCGCAGATGGTCCCGTATCAGTGATCGCAGCACAAAGCGCAAGGCAAGCTCCGTGGACGATGCGAGAGGCTGACGCCGGTGGTCTATACGGACGAGTGGAAGCTGTTGTGGATATCCCGGATGAAATGCAGATTGCTGAGAGCCGCTCCTTTTTGCTGGAAGCCAACCGACCGGAGGATAGTCAGCACGGCCTCGAGTGCGCAAGGCAGAGTAAAGGATCCGGGAACATTGCCGCAAGACGCTGAGCACTCTTGATAGACAGCCTCATGAAGCTGGACGAGCACAACGTACCGCTGGAGTAAAGTCCTGTGCAAACTCTCGATATGCCTCCAGCGTCGGGCCGATTCGTATTGCGCCAGCTGCGTTGCAGACAATGTTGATCAGGGCCAGGGTACCGCACGCATTGTCGATAAGCTGGGGGTGGTAGAAGGCGGCAAGTCGTTACAAGCAGGCAGGACACTGCGGGCTATCCGGGGGGCTCAACGGCTGTGGTTCGGGCGATAGCCACCGCTTGGTCGGTCTGGCACTTCCCAACGCTCGTCAACGTCCTCATGGTCTCAGCATTTCGTGCGAGACCGATCAGGTCGATCGATATCGCCTGGACACTGCATCAAATCCGCACCTGTCTTGCAAAGAACAGATTCGCTGTTGGCTCTGGCTCCGGCTCCGACTGTGGTTTTGGCTCTGGCTCCGACTCTGGCTCCGACTCGGTCTCGGTCAAATCCATATCTGATTCCACAGCTGATTGCTCGTCGTGGTCCGAGGCATCGCTCTCCTCGGAAAGAGAGTAGCATAGGATCAATCCATAGATAGTCCTGAGGGCAAGTCGGCAAAGATTCAGCGATACGGCTGGGTTTGGTCGGCACAGGGCCACTCTTGGCTTGGCTTGGCTCGGCTTGGCTTGGCTTGGATATGCGGTTTTCGCTGCATTCCATTCTCCTCAGCTTCACGCCGACTTACCCAAAAGCCGCCAGATCGTCGGCTTCAAGCGTGAAAACCTCCTCGACCTGTATTCCCTCGATGCCCATCTTGGCTGCCATCTCCGTGAACAGGCCTGGGAGATCCAGTGCATCGAAACCGGGCACATTCGCATCCACACGAATCCCAAATCGAATGCCACCAATATTAGCTACGGATCGTCATGTTCTTCGGCGCCGATCCCTGTTCGGTGGCAATCCGAGTCCTCTGCCGCACCACCGCTCGTGCCCGGCTCAGCTTCGGCACCTGGGTCGTTCTCGATTCTGGACCATGGGGTCGCCTCCAAGACCCATTCGCCGGGCCCGGGATCCTGCGGGTTGGGGCCGGGCGATGTGTGCAGAGCCGCTCGGGACATGGAGCTCTCAGCGAGATGAAAGCGAACGCTGATGCCCAGCAGACGAGCGCGCGGCAGTGACTTTGTCCAGGGCCCTTGCAAGAAGCCGGCGATGCGATCGGCGATGTGACCTGGATTGCCTTGGGCCTGCACGCCTGCCCATGCCTGCGATTGCTTGGATATGCATGCCTATTCATTCTCCATGTATCTATAACATGGCTCTTGTCTACAACATGCTCGTTCAGCGGCAGCGGGCATCGCCATCAGGCCGACTCGAGTCATTCCCCCAGACCACAGATATCCGGCAGTGGATGGGAGGGGGAATCGGCAAGGGCCCGGTTTGTCTGCTGGCATCAACGGCAAATGGCCAGTATTTTCGAGGCAGAGCCGTGCTGGCTCATAGAGGCGTAATCATGATCTGCAGCACACTCCCCTCCCTCATGGGCACATCGCCAATCTTGACTTCGTCGCTGAGCTGCTTGCCCATGTAAAAGACCCGGGTGCGCTGCTTGTTGGGATCGAGATGCTCTTGTGCCTGGACCAGTTTCCGGATACCCATTACCGTCTCTTCCTCCGGCAGCTCTAGCTTCAGGTCTTTGGCTGTGCTCAGACGGGCTGTGATCTTGGTTCGTGGTGTGAATCGCTCGTCGGTGCTCTTGGCCACGTCCCCGTCCTGGGTGGTATACTGCGAGTCGTCTCCGGCGGCCTCCTTCCGGGATGCCAGGTGCGAGGCTTGGAGAATTGATACAGGCGGATTCTCAGAGCCGGTGTTCGAGCTGTCCGCAGGGCCATCCTGGGCCAGGTTCGTGGGATTGACAATGCAGAAGAGCGGGATGACATACTGGTTGCCCAGCTCGTCATAGCATCCGTCGGCGAGATTGCCGGTCGGCACCTTGACGTTGGCCGAATCGATGATGATTTGTGCAAGCTGATCATCCGAGGTTTCGCATGCTGCCTTGAGAGCCTGCCATATTTCGATCCGGCCCTGGCGGAGGCGAAAGATACCCAACAACGCAATCGAACGCGGTGAGAAAGTACCGCAGTTGCCGCCATCGTATTAGGAACCGCACCTGGCGAATCTGTCGTCGCAGTTCTCTACGACAGCACAAACTCGGGCTCGACATCTCATTGGTAGCAAAGGGAATGCGAGACGTTCGCTGCAGAGTCTGCACGCCAGAAACGAACCGAATATGTCGGCTGGGTGTCCCAGAATTCCTCGCGCTGTCGTTTGAGTTCCTTTTGGGTGGTTGGTTTTGGTGATGCCCAGGTCAGGAGGGCCTTCTTTCTGAGAGGCTGAGATCCCGATTGCATCAGCACCGCAGGACCTTGGAGCGGCGGCGGCGACGGCGGCGGCAATCCAGCGCGAGGCTCTGTATCTGTGTGGACGTGAGAATGGCGATTTCCCATCGAATCCAGCCGCAAAAACTCTCCAGGGAAGGGATCAAAGGGTAATGCAAGAGCGTGCGAAAGCGATAGAGAAAGCAAGAGCGACGCTGTGGTCTGGGAGAAATAAAATACAGAAGGAAACCGGACAGTCACTTTCCGGCATCGGCGACACAAGCCTGCTGATCCGTTGGCCCCAGTGAGCAAGCCGTGTGATTGTTTCCCGCCATGGTTGGCAATCCTTGGCTGGTCTTGAGTACACTTGGTCGATCTCCTGTGTCGATGTGGGAGTGTGGTGCATTCACTCGACCCTCTGGACAACGCAATGGTGAATCGACATCAAGATACTCGGCCTTCTCGAGTCGCTTGGCTTCCTGGCACTGTGAGCACACCTGGAGATCGAGTCGCTTGAATCGCCGTCTCCTGGGTGGTGCCTTTCGCTTGCAGGGAGCCATCTGAGCGAGAAAGCGTCCTTGATTCAGATCCAGAAACACATCACAGAATGACCATGGCCAGCACGCGATGTTTTGAGTGATAACATTCACCAACGATCAAAATCCGGGTGTCCGTTTTTATTGGATTGGCCGTCTCACTGCCGAGAGAGGAGGTGTGCTGGGACATTGCCAACTTCGACCTAAAAGTCCGTTGATTTGGCGCGGGACTCTTTGGCAAATCGAAAGAGAGGGTGACCAGTCGCCTGAATGTGCCCGCCTGATATGCTGAGCAACATGAGCCATCTCATTAGAGGAAGCAATGCATTACTGAGGCCGCTGCAGTCAACGAACCGCTTCCCACACACGCATTCGACGAGGGTCTGATCAAATGCGCCCCAGTTGAGCGACACTAAGGCACCCTGATTCCAAACGAGTTATATTTCTATTCCCAAAGCAGCCCGGGTAGAGTATTGCTACATGAAAATGGTGGCATGGACAAAGCGGTGGCCCGGCATCGGCCTGCAGCACCAGCGAGGCTCGGGTGCTCACTTCCTTGGCGATTACAGCACGATCTGGCCGCTGACCTGTGCAGCGAAACAAATGCATGGGGCAGCATCATCAGAATCGTCAGTATCGTCAGCATCGTCAGCATCGTCAGCATCGTCAGCATCGTCAGCAGCCGCTGCAGGGAGATACGAACCTCAAGCGTGTCGTTAGGTGGGAGGTTGAAGTACTCGATCTTGCCTTCTGTATTGCGTGAGATGGCATCGTAGGCCGTCCGGCGAATCCGAGAGAAGACGGTTGCTTCCTTGCATGATGCAATGATCTCGCGACCAACCACAAAGACAAGCGGGTCACCAGGCTTCATCCTCAGTCCTCGCTTCTTGGCTCTCTCCAGAGCTGTGACTGAGTCGATGCTACGTTCAGCATAACCTGTGAAAGATAGCAATGTGAGCACTCGGGGCTATTCACAAACGGGCTATTCACACACGGCGTTCGCGACGACTGACTAACGTGCGACACCCATTCACTGCATTTACCATAAGAAATGACCAGGCGGTAGATTCCTGCGGCAGCGTCCACCGTCCGGAATACCATTCTCTCTTCGTCGGCAATGAAAGGCGCAGCGGACGAGATCGCACTCATGCACACTATGTTGGTCGGAAGAGTATTGAGGCGTTTCGCACAAATGTTGAGCACATTCGGAACGTCCTCGTCGGTGTTGGAGATGTATACGATGGTTCCGTTGGTTCGCATGATGCTCTTGACGTGCTGACGCAGCTCGGACATGGTGAGGAGCTTGTCACGCAGGTAGTCGTTCACCTCCATCGTTGTCGTGTACCACACATACATGAACAGGAACATGAAGAGACTGATCAAGAGCGAGACCCATCCAAAGGGGGCAATCTTCTTCCAAGTGGCCACGAGAAAGAGGATATCCAAGGGAAATATGAAGCAACTGAAGAGCGCCACTTTCCATCTGGGGTACTTCCATGTGTAGATCATGACGAGAACGTAGAGAATGGAAGTGACCAGCATCGTCATGGTCACGCAGATGCCTGTTTGGAAGTGGAGGGTCAGAAAGTCCAGTGGCCATGGAGACGGCGAGGCGATTGGGCGTGCAGATGGCGAGCCAATCTTCCTCGCGCTCCTTCGGATTGTGGTGGCGTACTACAACGAGCCAGCGTTACCGTATATATTCGAAAGGTCCTCGCTTGTTCGGAAAATGGCCAGAAGAGAGAGTGATACGATCGCCAAGAGGATGTTGAAGAATGGGATATAGACAGCGCCTGCGCTTTGCGTGCTGGTGTGGATCGACTTGACGTTCGGGAAAACACTGAGAGAGATCTGGCAAAGTGCACATCATAGAGGCGATTAGCACCACTCGATGTATGCTTTCAATCACCAGCCGATCAAGATATCGATGCCGGAAATACAGAGCAATTTCTGATGCAGGGCGTGTAATACTGACTGCTTGATCAATCAGGGTGAAGCATCCGCTGATCGTGGCCTGGGATGCAATGATCGCTGGCGAGAGGAAAGAGCCATCAGATACCATGCTGGAGGCCGGTTTGGACGTTCTTGAGCACCGAACTTACCGGCAAGTGTGGCAAGGATGAGCACCGGCCATTTGACGGGCCTGAGCATGAAGGGCAGTCGATCAGCTCTGCAGTCCGGGAGAATCAGGCGCCAGTCGAGCAAGCACACTCACTCAGGCACGCTTGCAAAGAATGGAGCGCTGGCGATGTTGGTCCAATTGGCCGCATTCGAAGCGTCGTCGACTCCGTCCAATAGACACACTGCTTGACTTTAATATTTAGGGTAAATTTAGTCAAGTCCATCGCCGGAGAGTCTCAGACAGCATGATGTGAAAGATAATGTATCTGTGGCTTCCCATGCATGATCCGCTGCAGAGACTGCGCCATAGGCGACAGCGACTCAAGGCATATCGACGTACCCTAGATAGTTCAGCAAGAGCGAGGGGAAGACGAGGCCCAGAAACGAAGCACGGATCGGCACAGTCTTGAAGTGGCCGAGGTCGGAATACATGGCTTCGACACCAGTGACCGCAAGCACCCTGCAGTCAATCGGAAACCAGTCCATGAAATGAGTTCAATCAGCGTGCGTTGCGGCAATACAGGCTCGTGTCCACCCAAATGTTGCTCTGACGAAGGGTACTGGGCCACGACACCGCAAATGCGTACTGGACATACACCCACACCACTTACACTTTGCCGAACACCCAGTATCCGTCGAGTCCGTGCCGGATCAGAAATATGACGATCCAGTGTGGACTCAAGGCCACAAAGATACCAGGCCGGAACGAGATGTGGTACAGCCCAATGGCGGCAATCGAGAGAAACCACAGCACCATGATGGGGCCGTAGAACGTGATGACCTTGGAGGTTCCAAACCGCTGGATGCACAGGAGAACAAACAATATCCCGATGGCGATCCCCACGACATAGTCGCTCTTGAGATTGTCCGCACTGCGAGATAATTGGTAGTCATTAGCATTCTCAGGTCACGGCAAACGGTGGTTCTGGGCAATCACACAGACTACAGGAGTCTGATGAAGTCGAGCCTGGCAATCTGAATTACACTCTCGATCAGCTCCACATGATGCTTACCCGATGTACGACTGAACACCCTCAAACGCCGAGACAACAGTGATGGCTGGGGCGATAAACTGCAATCGACGGTGGAAGACGCCGTCAGTGAGCCACTGGAGAGAATGCTGCATAACAGTCAACTGACTTCACGGGAGAAAGCAGACAGGAGAGGCCGGGTACTTACACCGTCGCTGAGAAGACACGCAGCAGCGACCATGCCGATGGTGACCAAGAGGTGCTTGTGTTCCCAGAGCGTCATATCGCCGCTGTCTGTCGGCAAGAGCGAAACCAAAGCCCACGTGCCTCCTTCGCCGTTCTTGTCGGCTGGGTTGGGATCGGAGAGCCGTTTCGCAAACGAGTATAGGCACGACGGCAAAGCAGAGTCAGCAGGACGGCGGGACCCAGAATACAGTTCACGCGAGCATCTCTCGGGTGGGACCCAAGGCAAGCAATTCGGAGTACAGTCATGCCAGTGAGTGCACAAACAGAGCGAGCGACGGGACAGCTTCGTATTCGATCCACACGCCCCATGGCATTCCGTGGCCTTGGTCTTGTTGATGAAGCGACTCCTCAGTGTGCAACGATGGCCTCACCTTTCAAAATGCATATGATGTACTTGACAAAGCACACCAGCGAGATGGTCCATAGTAGCAGCGACACGATTCCCAAGACATCTTCGTATGATTGGTAGAGGCTGGGCTGACCTTCGAGGATCGATGTGCCGAGGATACTCTTGAGAACGAACAGAGGAGACACGCCAATGTCTCCGTAGACAATCCCGATGGCCCCGAGCGACAGCGTGATGAATTTACGTGGATTCATGCTGTCGTCGATACGTGGCGGCGGCGGGATGCACAAAGCTGCTCCAAGCGACATTCTCTTTGCACCTTGGTGAGACTTGCGGCCTTGGGACTTTGCTGCGGGCTTTGTCGGCATTGCCGACGCAGGATTGGTCCCCATTGCCGACGCGGCTGCTGCAAACGGCGATGACGTGGGCAACGACTGTGCGGAAGCTGCGTTCGCCGATATCACTGTTTCCGACGCATCGTGCTTCAGCAGGGTATTTGATAGCGGAGTGGAAACGAATGGGTCTTGGTTGTTCTGTGGAGTCGCGTCGGATGCAGCCTCGGTCTTCTCGGGATTGGCGATGGCAGGGGGAACATCCGCGACCGCCGTTTCGGCCGAGTTGATGTCGGGCAAAACCAGAACGGGGGTGTCAAGCAGCGCAGTTGTCTCGGAAGTAGGCGCAACTGCAGTCGCGAGGCCGGGTGGCCGGATGGTGACGGACAGTCGGTTTGTGGGGTTCCGATTTGCAGGTTTGTCTCGTGCGTTCACCAGGATGCTTTCGGAGGCGACAGAGCCGGATGCATTGAGGTGGGCCTGGAGGCCAACGCTGGACTGCTGGGAGAGCGACTTTGGAATACCCTCAGGGGCATCGCCTCCACTTGTGCCGCCTGCAGTAGGCAGTAGCAACTGTAACGAGCCTCGCCGCTTCACTTCCAGGCGAACTGTGAGTGATTCTTCCCGTCTGATGCCTGCGGAGAGCTCCTGCACCACAGGCGACACGATGCCCTTTTCGATGTCGACCGGGGGCTTGTTTGGGTCGCTCATGCCGTGCAGTACTTGGGGAGGGTATGGGAATCAGTGCAGATATGCCCGCAAAGGATGCCAGTGAAGTACGCGGCGGCTCGAGTTGCCCTATGAGGCCAAGAGGAAGCAGCACTGTCGGCGTATCGAAGGCAGCGGCTCAGCAAGGGATGGAAAAGTCAGCGTACAATCAACGAATGCCGGCCGAGCCTGAAGGGTTCTAGTGCTGGTGGCGAAGGGGTAAGGCAAGGTAGCCGTAAGAGAGGCACAAGAGAGAGGCGGCCTGGAATCGTCGCAGCTCTGGGTTTTGGTCCGATGCGGTTTGAATGATCAGCACACATCCGCTGCACCTTGTGTAAAATACTGCACCGCCCAAGACAGCAGGTACAGAAACTGACGCCTCGCGGCGGCCTCTGGGGGTCGAATCATGTCAGGTCATCGCCCGGTCAATCAGAGAGGACGACGTAACGACAAGGTCGGGCATTAGATCACCTCCCCAATCGCGAATATGACCCACCCAACGAAGCAAGTCGCTATGGATTTCCGTCGACGACCACTTACTCCGATGATTGATTACGAGTCTTACCTCTCTCTCAGCTCTTGCATCTGCTCCCCACACCATCCATGGGGCTGTTTACGTCGCAAGATATGATCAACCCTCTGAGCCAAGCAGGATTACTCTCCAGAAACTCGATCGCCATCAACGCCACTTACTCCAAGCACACCCTCGTCGATACTCGTCGATCCTCGCGAGACCGTTGATGTTGCCTGATCGACTGACGAGCAAAGCCCCCTTCCAGCACAGCGATCCGCTGACTGCGTGAGTCTGTCTTCAAGAGAGAGCTGCTGATTGGGACTCTGACGTCAGTTTGGACTGGGTTTCATGGCGCTGCCTGTGGCTGCGTTGGTGAGCTCTGGTCAAAGACACTGTCTCCATTCTCCCAAGTGCACAAGCTGCTCACTGGACATTCTCGATAGATTGCATAGGACCGAGCACAGATAGCCTGCGGCTGCGCCGATGACTTGCGATCCTCAGGACCCTCCCAACCAAGCGACCGGCGTTCTAGAACACCGACGTTGGTAAAATCGGCAACACCATGCGATCTGGAGAGTGACTCTGACAGAGTATGCTGTGAACACACTTGAAGATGAACGCCCAAACACCACCCTCGACGCCGACGATCATTTTGTTATGGCGACCAGTCTCGATCCCACCGTTGACAACAATCGTTGATATTGTGATGCGGGGGGGGGTGGCCGATGGTATTCCCACACAAAATAGCAACAGCAGGGTGTGTCTCGTCTCATCTTGCGACAGCTGAAAACACAGACGGACTCAGCATCTCGCTGATGGCGTGAGTTGATTGCAGCGATAGGAGCGACGCCGCCATTCCAGCGCGGCAGCCTTCGAGGAGGACGTCCACGCCACCGCCTGGGTGGCGATGGAGATGGGTAATTAGAGTGCCAACCATGCTGGTGGGGGTGAAGAGACGCATAGTATCAGAAACAAGCCTGCAGCAAGACAGGCGACATCTATATCACTGAGTTGACCGGCATCTTGCTCGCGCCATTCGCATTGGTTGTGCTGTTCCTTCCAACAGAGTAAGGCGTTGGCATCCGCAGTATCATGCACTTGTCTCCAACGAAACGTACCTGTCGCCGGCGCCCGTGACGCTCACACACTTGGTCAGCCGTTTTGTAACCGGTATATGGACAACCTGCACACGCTCGCTACCGACATGGACCTCGAGCTCGTGGGTTGAGCTGGCGACGATCTTGGATTGCGTAGATGGCTCGGAGCTTTGGTGGGTGTCCCGGACGGCAACCACCACGCCACCGGCGCCCATCTTGATAGCCAGCTTGGGAATGTGTCGAGTGACGTTCAGAATGGCAGGGAGAAGCTTGGGGTGGGCTAGAATCAAGAAAACATGTGATTCAGTAGCGCGAAAGGCGTCCCGATGTTGGTAAGAGTGCAGATCGGCAGGCGCATCAAGAGAGGCAGCGTGTCGCTGTAGCCTCGTACCCTTCAATATCTCCATGCCTGATCGTGCCAGCTGCTTCAACTTCAAGGGAGCTGCCAAGGACGTGCCGGGTCTTCTTGAGAGGAACTCTCCCATGGCCAGAACCTCGCCCAGATTGGGTGTCGCATACTCAACGCCGCCTATACTCAATTCAAGGACTTTTGTGGATTTTGGAATCGATGTGGGCTCAAAGAGCACAGGGATCGAGTGGTCGTGGCACCGCGATACAACTGCTTCCATTGAACGAACCGATAGGTTGCCATCAAAGGCAACGACACCAGGCTTGAATCTTTGGATTAGAGAATCGATCTGCGAATAAACTGGCGTTAGCGACGGTATCCGAGGGAACAGACACATGATGTCGCCTGTTGAGCAGGCCCCTAGCAGAGACGTACATGGTGTGTTGGGATGGAGTCGTGGATCTTCATGTCTGCAACGGCGGTAAGCATCTCCCCGGCAGGATCAAGAAACGCGCTATAGACGGCGGTTTGCTGGGTGGCTTCGGTCGAGATGTTGTCTACATCCTGCGGACGAAATCAAAAGCAACAGCTCATCAGCGGAGACCACGATTCCAACACAGGCCGTCCAGTCAGTTTACTGTGTTTGGCCGTGTCGATAGACTGCATCAAGCGACGCCGCCCTTGGTGCTTCTTCTCGGATTTCATTGGCAGGCCAGACGATCCATCCAACAAAGCTCGTGTCGGTCGATGCAAAATGAACACAGCGATCGATCGGTGGGTGCTTACCATACCCCAGTCGTGCATCTGGCGGATGATGGACTGGCCCGCGAGATCGCCGCCAACCACACTAACAAATACCGGATGGCCTCCTGTCCTGAAGCAGGCCTCAGCCATGTTGCGCCCCACCCCGCCGAGGGACTGCTTGACGCTCCCAGGAGATGATGTGCCCATCAAGACGCCATTCTCGCTGCTCCGTCTCCTGGAAGCCTTGTCGAACTTTGACGAGATGTCCATCACCGAGCCACCAAAAATCAAAGGTCGCTGAGTCGAGCACACTGCAAGATTGGGGGTGCTGTTCCCGGCTGAGGCTAGAGCGGACTGAGGATCCATGATTGCGGCAGTCAGTGACATGATTCCGGTGCCATGACCCAAGCTCAGATAAAACAACGTTACCAGTTCGCGCGCAATCTGGCTACCAATGTGGGCATTGTTCTTGACTAGGGCAATATCTGGAATCCAATCGATGTATCAGCCACTGCACTGCGCATCCTAGATAGCAGCATAACCAGCAGCGATACTCACTCGACTCAAGGGAAGCGCCCGCGGTGAGCTTTTTCACCCGGTCGAGCAGAAAGGGTGTGACATCCTTGCCCTGGACACTGCTGTCGCTGTTGGTACGTGACGAATTGAGTTCCTCAAAGTCAGTCAACACCGAGAGATATCTCAGTGAGTGCAAATGTGCTGACTGTGTGCGCACCGGGCCTGCTGCAGAGCTTGCTGAATGGCTTGTTCGATGGCGGCACCATCCATGTCGTGTTCCTCTGGAATGGGGCAGGCAAATACCATGCCGCTTTGGAGCCCCAGTCGTTGATTGTTGACTGAAAGGTGCGTCCAAGTTAATGGCGCTGCCCATATATGTTTTGGGTGATAAACGAGCCATCCATTGCAAGATGACTCACATATTAACGAAGCGCATTCGGATGTCGTCTGTAGTACTGCTGGACTCTGAAACGATGACGCCTGTGTCAGTACCGAGCCAGGAGCCGCGGACAAGTGTGCTGCGAATATCACAAACCTTGAAGCCGCTGCTTCTGGAGTAGAAAGACGGGAACTCTGCCGAGCGGTAGGTAGCTACGGTGACTCCTTGAGTTTCCTTGATGGATGAACGACAATGTGAATCGGTAGAGCTGAATATCGCGTCTTCCTCGCCAAAGGCCACAGTATCACATCTAAAACCCAGCGTCCGCAATCACAGGGACGGCCGACACGCTGTCTTGCTATCTCTGTTGGCCCATCTCATTCTGCTTCGTTGCCTCGAATGCTCCTCTGCTGCGGGAGCACACCACTTAACCCTACCAGATACTCCAGAGTCTTCCCGATATCCAGAATGGACTTGACTCCGGCGCAGATCACAGCGACTGGCGTGCGCCCGAGCTCGGTCAAATCGGCACTGATATCCATTGCTGGGCAGCACAGCCCACGATCGGATGAAGCATGCATGAGATCGATAGTCTGTCGGGAGATCCATGGCCGGATCAACAGCGCTCCGAGCAGCACTCTCGATCAATGAGTCGACAAGCACTCGAGTATTCCAGTTCGGCTTACATTCTTCTGCCCCACGATGCACTCCGCCGATGCCGCCGGTTACAAACACCTTGATGCCGGCCATGTGCGCGATGAGCATGGTGCCCGAGACCGTTGTTGCGCCAGTCTTTTTCTGAGGACGCCAATCGGGTCAACGAGCACAGACAAGGCCAAAGAATATGGAATCTGAATTAGTGATCCGGAAGAAGGTCGAACCGGCGGCTTGGGAGCCTGCGACAACCTCCATCTCAACAGTCGTTCGGCTCGGGACCCAGAGAGAGCGCACCTGCGACAGAACCAGGGCAAGGTCCTTCCGCGATGTCTTCTCGGCCTTCAGGCCAGTCCTAGCCAGCGTCTCCAAGTCGTCTTCCGACAGCCCCACTTTGATCTGCCCGTCGATGATGGCGATTGTGGCTGGAGTGCACCCTTGGCTGCGAACAATGTCCTCGACAGCAACGGCGGTCTTGAGGTTCTCGGGATAGGGCATTCCTGTCGATGGAAAGGGCATATTGTATCAGCGACATGACCCAGCGCGCTGTGTTTAGCCCAGCTGCATTATCCTCCTCGCAGTGCGGCTCGTCTGCCCGGGATGCTTGTTGCCGAAGCCCACCGTGGCTGATGATGGTCGACTCGAGGGCAACCACAGGCCGTCCGAGACGAAGGGCCTCCTGAACCTCCTTCTTGATCTCAAGCAAATCGCGAGCGGGCCTGCTTGAAGATGTCGATGATCTGACATAGCTATGCAGTCTTGTCTACGTATCCGAGCAGAGCAGCAGAAACCAGGAACCAGGTGAGCGGACGTTGGATGGCGAAGATGCATCTGAGCGGAGCGACGGACACGACATTGCTGCGGGCCAGCGTTGAACGGTCGACACTACCAGCAGCACGCATTGGGCTTGACGATTTCCTGTCTGCACCAGCGGTCTCGGCCAGGCCACTCGATATGCAGCCACAAGCCGGCGCATCATGAGCAGAGCAGCCCTGCGTGATCAACGGAGCTCTGGGACGGGGAGGCGAGAGACAACCCAAACCAGCTCGGCTGATCGATCAAGGCCGCGCTCCCTCGATGTCGGTCACGTGGATCAAACAGGGACAATCAAGCCCGCTTGTTGGGGACGGACGGAATCGGATCTCGAGCGACGAAAGAAGGCAATGTCTGCTGGATGCCGTCATCAAAGGAGAGAATCGGGCAGCGCTGCATATGCGCTCGATATCCGTGGTGGTCTGGCAACGGTGCTCTGGCTCCTGCACCGCGCTGCGCTGGACAGGACGAGGCTGCGCTGCACTAACCGGCGAGAGTGGCCCGTTCGGATCCTGTGGGATCATGCTCGTTTCTTGTGTCGTCCTTGCCCGAGGGAGGGGGACATCAGGCTTGCTCTTGCGCACAGTGGCTGCAGCTCGTCGGCCGGCGCCTGCCTGGCACTCGTTGGGTCGATCGACGGCGATCTCGCAGCCCATTCCGGTAACGACCCTTGTTCCCACGCCACCGATCTTCCCCAACCCCACCACCGCATCCCCACCACCACGTTTCATCCCACTGCCGAGCCGGTTGGTCAATGCGACGCTTTGTGCGCTGGGCTCGGCGCTCCCTGAGTTACAGCGGCTTGCATCCTCCTCAGCAGCCAGCTGCCAGTTGGCTTGCCCCACTTTCTCCCCACACTCGCCCACTTTCGCCCACTTTCGCCCACTTTCGCCCACTTTCGCCCCATACTCGCCGCACCCTTGCTTCCTTTTTTTTTTCCTTTCATCTGCCCACTCCATGCTGATATCAAAGATGTCTTTGCAAAGTCAGCTACGCCAGTTTTCCGCCCGCACGCGGCCTGTCGCATCGAGTGGCTGCGTGTGACTCTGATCCGTTTTGTCGGCTTGGTCGACCAGCACCTTCACATCCGCCACTTGAGAGCGTGCGCCAAGGGCGACCCACGCCGGCATCTAGGTAGACACAGTGTCCATGCCACCAACACTGACCAACCATGTGCTTGCCAGCCTCCTCCTCCTCCGTCAGCGGCGCCCGTTGGCCACCCAAACGGCAGGACATGGCCTTGCTCGCGCCGGCTGCCTGCTCTTGATTGGCATTCAGTAAGGTTGCGTCTCGTTGTTGCAGAGCCTCTGTGCTTGCCACTGGACAACAAACACAGCTTGCCCCGTTCCAGGCAGTGTTCGCCTTTCGCGGCGCGTGGGGAAAGCCTCGACACATATTGACAGAGGCTCGCTTGCGTCGGACAACAGAGGCACAAGCCTGGGCTTGCAGCAAACAGAACGTTCCCACCAGGCTGACTATTTGGCGGCCTGCCCCAGTCTCCAATGAAATCGGCCTCCAGTATATAGACCCATACCTCCATCGCGCCGCTCCGAACGCATTAGCCCATCCATTCGTGTCTCTTCAGGAACCGCAGGTGTCCTCCAACATTCTCCGGTCTTGAAGCCCCCCGTCTTACTCGTTCTTTCCCCTCCCCTTCGAACAAATGCACTATATATTTGCAATGGATCCATCCACCGACCAAAGTAAACCGCTCTCGCAAGTCAACACCATCTCGAGCGCCGCCTGGAACGCCCCCTCTGCCCTCGTGGACTGCCCCATGCCGACGACCCCGCATCAGGACGATCTCCACATCCTCATCCTCGACGATACAACCGAGCCTCCCTGTGACAAGATTGTGACCTACTCCAAGTTCGTCAGGCCCGAGGATCGCATCAAACTCTTTATCATCAGCTCGCTTGGGGCTCTGACTGACGAAGACAAGCAAAACAGTGCCGACTACGTCGAAATGGAGTCGCCCGAGCGCAATGCCTGTCTTGAGATCGAGGCCATGCGACTCCACCAAAAGCACCGCATCGACCTGATCTACACCAAACAGGAGGAGCTCATCATCCGTGCCGCAACCTTGCGAAAAATGTTCAATCTTCCAAGAGCCAAAGGCTTTGTCAGCCCCGACGATGCCCTGTTTTTCCGCGACAAGGTCCTGATGAAAGACATTGCCCAGAAGGGTGGTTTCCCCGTGCCCAAGTTCCGCCGGCTGCGATATCCCCTGGACCTGGTCGAATTCGCCCAGCAATGCGGCTATCCCGTCATTGTCAAGCCCGCAATGGGCTGTGCCTCTGCTGGCGTCCAGGTGATCCGATCCTGGGACGACCTTGTGTCGTTTCTGTCGTCCAATTTCTTTCCCACGCGCGAGGACTCTCACGACTGGCGCATCACCTACGGGACCGACATGATCGTCGAGCAGTTCGTCGACGCTGAAATGTACCACGTCAACGGTTGCCTGATCGACGGACAGCTCCAAGTGATGTGGCCATTCAAGTACATCTCCACCAACTTTGGCTTCACTCAGGGTGTCGCCTATGGCAACGTTCTGATACCAAAGTCGGACGCTCGCTGGACGCAGTTGCGTGATGCTGCCATCCGCCTGCTCCAGTGCTTCCCGACCCCACGCAGGCTGATGTTCCACCTAGAGCTCTTTGGTCGGCCTACGGCCACGGGCGGCCTTGAGTTTCTCCTCTGTGAGATCGCAGCCAGGCGCCCTGGAGGCAGTATCGGCCATCTCATCGACCTGGCCGAGGGCGGCGGCATCTGGGGCGAGCTCGAATTCCGTCTCAGCGTCGGGCTGCCGTTCCGTCACAACCGAAGCGAGCGCTCGTGTTATGAAAACGACCCATCCTTCGTCGTTGGCGATCTGATTGTTCCGCGCAAGAAGGGCCACCGGTTAAAGTACATCCCCGATGCCGGCAGCTGCACCATCCCAGGGATCACCTATCTCCCAATCGAGAAGGCCGGGAGCGAATATCTCTGCTACGACTGCACAACCGTCAACACATGTGCCCGAATGGTCGCTGTCTCCAGCGGCGTGCCCTCGAATACCGACAGCATCGAGCGCACACTCGACCAAGCCCTGCGATGGTTCCAGAAACATGTTGTGCACGAGAAGCTCGGGCCCGAGTCCCCGACGTGCTCCATGGCTTCCACCGACGAATCAAGTAGTTGCGAACGCACCCCGTGCAGCGATCTGTGGAGTGCTTGAATGTACAGCGCCCCACAGCAATGGATCTTGGCATCCTGGTGCGAGTCCAAGCGGGACTCGATCGGGATTCTGAATACACACATGCATTTCTCACTTCCATGGCCATTGACGAGACCCTTGCTTGTCACTTGTCGCAATCCAATGCTCTGGGCTGATCCAGAAAGGCCGCCAAAGGCACTCAACCCGAGACGTCATGTTTATTATGTGCACTGTCAGGAACAACAACCCTGGTACTCGCCAGTGTCTGCTTTAGATGCTGCACCTCATGCAGACATCAAAGACGGAACATTGTTGGTTGGGATCAATCGGCGAGTCCCGTCTGGGACTTCCAGTCGCTCAGGAGTTCCAGGTTCACACCGCTCCCGCCGCAAACCTCGACAACGACGACGGATTCGTGGCCCAGGGTCGGGAACGACTGTTTGAACAGGGCGGCGTCGTCCAGCAGCGCCAAGGAAGCACCGCAGGCCGGCTCGACCAAGAATCGGTATTCGTCCGCAAAGATCAGACAGGACTGGACGGCAGCCCGGTCGCTGACAAGCACCGAGACAACGCCGGCAGGATGGGCTCGGGCCAGCTTGAGGACACCGGCCGAGACCGCACGGGCACCCAGTGTCTTGGCGATCGTAGAGATCTCGCTGATGGCGACGGGCTCGACCAGGCCTTGATCTTGGGCTGCTCTCCAAGACGCTGCTCCGTCCGTTTCGACGGCCGCAACAAGAGTTTGGGGCAGCTGGTGCTTGGCCAGCCCCTGGAGGATACCACCCAGCAGTCCTCCGCCGCCGACGGAGCAGACGACAAGATCGGGCAGCACCCCATCCTCGACAATCTCGTCAACCAGAGTCGAGTGGCCCTCCCACAGATCCGGGTGATCGAACGGGTGGACGTAGAGGGTCTGGGCCGCTCCAAGCTCGTTGCAGTAGGCCACGGCGGCCTGGTGGGCCTCGTCCCAGACGGAGCCAACGACACGGACTTGGGCACCGAGCTCTTCAAGCTTGTGGATGATCGACCCAGCGGTTGTTTTCGGGACAAAGATGATGGTCGGCAGCGAGTACGCCTTGCCGACGTATGCGACTGCCATTCCGGCGTTGCCACCCGAGGACGAAATCAGGGCCAGGGGGCCGGTGTCGGATCGGCCGGCGAGGGTTCGGCGGACATGGTGGCTGATTCCTCGGATCTTGATCGGACAGTGTCGAGGGGGTCGCAGCCAGAGAGGGATTGAGCGCATGCGTTGGCGAATTGGACAAGTGTGAGTGGACATGGTCGCAAAGGACATGCATACAGCAAGGGCATCGGCGTCCGGGGCGGCATCCGAACCTTGAAGCTTCCGGAGGGCTGGAGATTGTCCAGCTTTAGATAGACCGCCCTGACTCCGAGGCGAGCGGCGGCCGAGTCAGACGCCTTGATCAGAGGTGTGCGCTGGTAGAGCAGGCTCATCGTCGAGATTGCCGCAGCGGATCAGAGCCAAGAGGAACCCCGGCATGGGCACCCGACACCGGGCCCAAGTCCTGGCTCCAGAGACATTGGCGCTTGCCACGGCAAGTCTCGCTTGGAACAACAGGGCCTTACTCCGCCTGCAGCAGGACGCACAGCTGCCGAGCCCACTCAAGTGCGCATCCCATTCGCTCGGGGCTCAGTGCGCAGGATGATGCCGTGGATAACCGTGCTGATGAGTATGTGTATTGAGATGTTGAGCCAAGACAGCGGCGACGACAGATATCCAGGGCGACGCATTTCATCTTGGAGGGACTGCATCCCTCGGGACATGCCTGCTTCAGCGACACATGGACTCGTACGGAGTATCAGTGCTGAGATCCAAGTCCTTGTCTGCCCGCGGGAGACTCGCCCAGACCAGCGGCTTTGTTCCTGTAGCATTTGATGCAATCCGATGCGATGCAATGAGATATAATGCGATCCGATGCAATGCAATGCAATGCGATGCAATGCGATGCAATGCGATGCAATGCAATGGAAGATGGCGGTGCCGGATCGAGGCAAAGATGCCCAATCGCCGGGCGTGCACCTAAAGTCAAGCTGGGCATGACGATTCACTGCCAGGGCTAGTGGCCAGACTCACCGGTTGCGTTCAGGCGGTCTGTAGTCGATACCTCATGGACATGGAACATCCAAAAGTGGCCATTGTTGCAGGCCTCCATGCACTGCTCGCACGGTTGGGTAACGTGGTATCCGATGACGTTCCCGCTGAAGAACACCGCAAAAACACAGTTAGGCCAAGCGGCACCTCGCAGCGGGGCAGCAAGCTGCTCCAACAACTAGATGACGGTTGCTGTGGTCTTACCATCCCAGGCAGGCGACATCCCGGATGCGGCACATGCAGTTGCGTGTCTGGTAATCGTCATTGACAAGCTGGACGCCTGGATATTTGCGCACGCAGTGGAATCAGTGCATTATCGTGAGCCCTCAATGAACCGACCATCGCCGCATCGGATGAGAGGCCGTCAGAGCTGGATACCCGGGTTACTCACCGACAGGCGGCGCATCAGTGGAAAACAGCTCAACCTGGATGAAGCAGCGCCAGCGACATTCGCCATCGAGCCAGATTACAATATGCCATCGTGGTTAGTACTGGCGGCGGTTTCGATCGCAGTGAGAGCTTTGGCCGTGCTGGTAATCCACCGTCATTGCAGCGTGTCTATCCGGGCTGTAGGCCGAGCCAGCAACAGTACCAATCGCACCAATCCTGTGACTGGCAACAACACCAGAAGATGCACTTTCTGTAGCACTCAGCCGCCCTGATTTCCAGAAAGCAATCAGTGGCCGGGGCCGGTCTCGCCCCCCCCCGATCGGATATTCGCGCCTTCATTCGCACACGGGCCAACATACGTTCATGTCGGCCAGCAGAATGGCCTTCATTCCGCGCTTGCAGACAACCCGGCTGCAGTGTTTGCAGCCTAACAGACAGACGACCTTGCTTCGGAACTGCGGCCGAATGGCAAAGTGCTCGGTCTCCTCCCGGGTCATCATCTGTCGCGGAAGGTGGACGTTGGCAGACCGACGGTGGAAGATGTATGGGTTCTCGGAAACGACGGGCTGGCCCGTGGCTGCGCTGACGTTCGCGGTGCCAGCCGATACAGCAAACGCCGAATTGGTGCTGGTGACGTTGATTCTCATTGGAACGCCGCTCGAGCCGATGCTGGGACCGGAGCCAGAGGCACTGATGGAGCCGGGTACGGTGGAGTAATAGTATGCTGTCGGTGACGAGCCGTTCGCGGATACACCACTGATCGAGTATGGCGAGGGATACATCTGCCGGCCGTATGTTGGTGAGGTGCCGGAGGATGTGCTTGAAGTCGGTGGCTGGTATGGAGGCATGGTGAGGACGGAGGGGCGGCGGCGGTCTGGATCTGGGTCTGGGTCTGGGTCTGGGAACTGGAGCAACCCAGGACATATGGCGTGAGAATGCGAGCCATGCAGCAAGAAGATATCACCGCTGTTCCTAGCCTCTTCCCAAGCAGACATTAGCTGCTGACATTACTAATGCAGCGAGTCGACGAGCAGCGGCAGTGACGGTGGCGACCAACCCAGTTGGCTGCAGCGAGACAGTCATCGGCCGCCATGCTCTCGAAACTGAGCTGCGACAACGATCCTTACAGTGAAGTGACAGGCAGGGCGGACAGACACGATCGAGTCGCCGAGATGTTATAGTCAGGGGCCAGCAAAGTGTGTCTCTCGACCGGAGGGCGGCCGGCTGGCTCCAGGGTGAGGCTTTATTAGACCCTGGGAACCGATCACTGCTCAGAGACAAGATCGGCGTTGCCTTCTGGGTGGACGAATCGAAAGAATCTCAGTATTGCCGCAAGCGCACCCGCCACCACAACAGTGCCTTCCTTCCGTCAGACAACAAAAGAAGCCGTGATGCTCTGGCCGAAGCCTAGCACCGCCGACGGATGTGTCAACACCTGCCGGCTGCGGACTGCCTCCGTAAACAAACTGAAGCAAAACAGAGCATCGGCCGAAACGAACGCGATCGCAGGAAGCGGCGATGGGGGAAGCGGACGAGGGTGTGTTTCCGGCAGGATGTGCCCACATGGGTACGAATCCCGTTGAAGCCACACCCAAAGATAGACGAGCGCCAATAGTCTGTTTCTCTGTCTTCGCATGCACTATGCCCGCACCCAGTCCATATTTCAATGCAGTGGCCATCAAGCATTTTTGCAGCATGGTTGGAGCGGGGGGGGATCGTAGAAAACTCTCGTCATTATTGTCGATCCTTGCCCAGCTTCGGTTCGGGCGATTGCCTCTGCCCCAACTACGTTCGGTCTCTAGGCCGTGGTATCCATCGGGTCTGACGGACCCAGGTCGCGCACACTCGGGGAGAACACCGACGCATCCTCTGCTTTGGTTACAGTGCTCGCAACAGCGACAGCTGCATCAGGCAAGGTCTGATCTTGAGGGACGGCTTCATCTTTGATCATGGCCATGTCCTCATTGCGATACAGCTGCGCGATCGTATCGTTGATGTCGAAGGCCGGGTCGTCAATGTGTCGGAGCTGCAGCTCCAGGACATCATACTGCCGAACGTACTTTTCAACTTCCCAGTCAGCAAGATACAGATCGAACCGCTGCTTGCGCAGGTCTCGGAGGTGCTGGTCCTCGTCGACCAGGAATCGTTCGATCTCCTGTTGGAACCGCTCGACCTGATGGGAAAGGCGGGCAAAAACAAGGTGAGCGGGAGTGTTCGAAGCGGGTGGTTGGGCCCGAAAGCAGAGCATAGGGGGCCAACAGAACCCCTTCCATGAGCACCGGATGGAGGGTTGGTTGCCAAGCAAGCTTCTCACGAGTGTCCGCTGCAATCCATCGGTCGCCAGCGCTATTCATGCGTAGCAAGCAACACGACCGAGAGCGGTACGATACTCTACATCTTTCTCGTCCTTGCCCTCCATCCAGGCAAATCGCAGGCTCTCGGGCATCTTGTCCCAGTTCATCTTGATGTAGTTTGGCTGCAGTGGTGGGCCAGACACAGAGAACGACCCGGAGCCCTGCGGCTGCGAAGTGCTGGTCTGGGACGACACGGGTTGCTGCGGCCCTCCAGGACCGTACGGCGTGCCAGAGTGATACGATCCAGACCCAGATCGGCCCGGAGTGGGGCCAAGGGCTGCTGCTTGGGAGGAGTACCCGTCGGGACGCGGCGAGGCGGTGCGGTGAATGTCGTAGGTGCCGGGGCTTTGGTGGCGCATGGACTGGGAGCGAGGCAAGGGCGAGTCGTGGCTGCCTGGTCGGAGGGGGTAGGAGGAGGGGGACTGGTACGGGCCATATCCAGAGGAGCCTCCGTGATGGCCGCTCATGTGCGGAGCAGATGCTGATGTTGTCGGTGAAAGCGGCGAGTTGGAAGATTGCAAGTGGCGTGGGATCGCATGGGCCGCGACTGGCGATGGCTGTCCTGGAAGGAACGGGCCACTGTGGATCTTGCGGTCGTCATACGGAGCATACTGGCCCCGTGGAGTCGAAGGCCCACGATGCAGCGGTTGATGCGGCGGCCGCCGGCCATATCCCCATTGATCATCGGAGCGCGACGGACCGCGGGAGAACGAGTCGTCCGACCGCGGATAGTACCCGCCTCGATCGCGGCCGTCGCGAGCGGGAAACGGGCTGCCGCGCAAGTCTCGTGCAGGCGGATAGTCTCGCGACGAGCTGTAGTCGCGGCCGCTGCCTTCGTATCTGCCGCGGTACTCGGGAAAGCGGTCGTAGCTACTGTCGCTTTGGCGACCAAAGCCAGAGGACTCGCCCTGAGGACCGGCAGCGCCATCCCCGTACTGAGATGCTTGGGCGCTGTCTTGTCGACGACCGGATGTGTCCGCTGGGTGCGAAGATTGCGCGCCCGCGGTGCTGGGCTCGCCAGAGGCCCATTTTGCTGAGGAAGAGGCAGCACCAGAGGCATCCCTGTTGCCCGGCTCGTCCGCGAGCATGTCTGTCTGGCTGCCCTCCGACATGTCCATGTCGACGCTTTGATCCGGTGCCGACTCTCGGTTGCGCTCGTCAGCCAGGGGGCGGGCGAATGTGTCGGTCGAAGCTGTGCTCGACGGGTCTCCAGGTCGGGCAGGCGTCGGTACTTCCGAAGAGCCAGGCAGTGCACTCAAGGAATCTTGGGGAGGCTTACTTGCAGCAGGGTCTCTCGGATCCATTTCGCGCAGTCGTTCGTGGGGACCAACAGACTCTCGCCGGTCAGCGGCCTCGCGACCACGCGACCACTCGCGCTGACCAGGATGATACGGGTCGCTACGCTCATAGAAGTCTCGCCGCAGGTCGTCCGGATCGCGGAGGCCGCGCGGGTCTCGCCGAAAGTCCATCTTGTCATCGGGGCGGCCGAGTCGGTCTCGGCGGCGGAGTCGGTCGGCGTCGGAATACCAGTCTCGTTCGTAAGGAGGATAGCGTTCGTGCTCGCGGTCTCGGAAACGGCCCTGGGGATCGCTGGGACCTTCGCGGTCGTCCCCGCTGTACTCGCCTTCGCTGGTGGCCCGGGGCGGAGCCTCCGCTGGCCGTTCGGGACCAAGGGGCTTCTCTCGGCGATCCCGTTCCTTGTCCCAAGGTCGCTCGCGGCGATCCAGAGTGCGATCCTGGTCGCGGTCCCAGAGGCCTTCTGCATCTCGATCCCAGTCTCGGTCGCGGCTGCGGAGGTCTCGATCTCGATCCCAGTCTGGCTCGCGCGGCTTCTCTCGGTAGCGGTCTCGGTCCCAGGTCCGATCGCGGTCCCGGTCCCGGTCCCAGTCTCGAGGTCGATCTCGATCCCAGTCCCGGTCCCATTCACGATCCCGGTCTCGTTCGCGCTCCCGATCTCGATCCCAGTCTCGTTCTCGATCTCGTTCTCGATCCCAGAGTCGATCTCGCTCTTGGCTGCGATCCCACTCCCGTTCGCGGTCCCGGTCTCGATCGCGTTCATAATCTCGGCCTCGGTCTCGATCTCGATCGTCCCAATCGCGTTCGCGTTCGCGGTCCCAGGAGCGGTTCCAGACACCGGGCGAGATGTTGGGATTGCCGAGCGTGGTAGGCGGGGCACCAGGCGTCGAAGGGTTGGGACCGATGCTTCCAGCGTTGGTCAGAGTCGAGGTGGGAGCCGGTCCGCTCGGAGATGGGGCGGTAGTTGCACCAGCGACAGTAGCTGCGATCGGGGTCGGGGCAGTCGGGCTTGATATCGGGGCTGGGCCAGTGCCGGACAGTGCCGGCCCAACACCGGCCGTAGCTGGGGCCGGCAGAGTCGATGTCGAGGCCGAGGCCGAGGCCGAGGGAGCCCGCTCGCGGCCAAATGCTTGTCCTCTACTTCGATCCCGCTCGCGGTCCCAGTAGCCCCAGTCTCTGTCTCGACGGTCCCTGGAGTCGCGGTCCCAGTCCCGGCCACGATCCCAGTCCCGCTCTCGGTCTCGGTCCCGGTCGCGGTCCCAGTCTCGGTCGCGGCGGCGGCCGTAATCTCGATCCCAGTCCCTCCATGCCGGGCCAGGAGTTCCTGGGCCGGGATTTGCTCCCGCAGCGGCTGTCACAGGCCCGGTTCCGCTGCTGGCTCCAGCGCCTTCTCTGTCGCGATAGCGGATGCTCCAGTCCCAGCTTCGTCGGTCGCGATCCCGGTCGCGATCCCAGTCCCAAGAGGCTCGGGGATCTCTTGAGTCTCGCGAGTCTCTTGCATCGGTTCTTGGATCGGCTCTTGCATCGGGTCGTGGGTCGGGTCGTGGGTCGGGTCGTGGGTCGGGTCGCGGGTCTCTCTGGTCCCGGATGTCACTGCGCAAGTCGCGCGGGTCGCCCCGTAGGTCTCTTGGGTCTCTTGGATCTCTTGGGTCTCTTGGATCTCGAACAAACCGGTCTCGCTCGTAATCACGGTATCGATCGCGGTCTCGATCTCTATCCCTGTCTCTGTCCCTGTCCCAGCTTCGATCGGGTTCGGCGCCGTCGCGGTCCCGCTCACGGTCTCGATCTCGATCAACGGGCGGCGGGCGTCCGTCGTAGGATGGATCTGGATACGAGAAGCGGCCGCCGGCGGGGCCAGGGTGGGCTGGATGGGAAGACGGCGATGGCGACGGCGATGGTGGCCGTCCAGGTCTCGTGTAGTCCGACAACTCGCTTCGCTGCCCGGGCTCGAGCTCCATCTCGGAGGATTTGAACGGAACCGATCCCGGGAAACCAGCAGCCCCACGGCCAGCGTAGTCGTCTTGTGTGGGGCGGGGAGGGTTTGCAGGGCTGGAGAGACCAGCAGCTAGCTGGTTTGTAGCTGGCTGGTTTGTAGTTGGTGCAGACGACGGAGAGGGTGCTGATGGATCGTCGCCCATGTTGGTCTGAAGAGATGATGGCGAGTCCGGAGTAGCGTCAATGTATACAGAGTTAAAATGAGCAGAGGATCATGATCCCCGCCCGTGTGTCTGCTGCCCAGCGAGACATCGCAGGCATCGATATCGGAGAGGAAGGGAGGGAGCAGTCAGCACGAGCCCTGAGATCCACAAGGTGCCAAAGCTCGACTTACAAGAGGGTGCTGGACAAGCACAGAGAGGTCGGGCGTGATCTGGGTGTTGAGAGGGCCAGAGTCCAAATGTCAAGTCGGCCAGCGAAACAGATCGAGATCGCTGTCGAGGATTTCCTTCCTTGGGGAGTCAAAGGCAAGATGGGCTTGCAGTTTGACGCCGAATCGAGTCGGCGGCGGGATCGGTCTCGATGGGGCGGTCCAGACCGTCGCTGATGAAAGCCAGTGCTGGGCGTGGCGAGGACGGCGGTGATGGTGGTGATGGTGGTGATGGTGGTGATGGTGGTGATGGTGGTGATGGCGGTGACCCAGTCGAGAAAGCAAAAAGGACAGAACAAGCAACGGATCGAATCAGAGAAGAGAGCAAATCGGAACCGAGAGCGCCCGTCGTCGTGATCGGCGGTCTCGCGAGACGATGTTGCTGCCCGCCGACCACACTGCTGCACAGGCAACACCGACCAACAGCCTCCACCCACATGGGGCATGTGAGGAATCCAAGTCCAGATCCAGCAAAACAGCGCATTGGACCCAGTCCCTCGTTCCCAGCCCTTCCTGGCAATGGCAGAAGGCTCATGTCGCTGCACGTTTAGTTTGCAAACGCTGTATAAGGCTCGATATGCGGAGCAGGGAAGTGAGGGGGAAGACAAGGCCGCCAAACAGGGCTGCACCATCCACATCTACAACACATCCACATCGTCCCTTGTATCAGTTCATGATGGCAACAGTCAGAGAAAGCTGTTGGAAGCTGAGACACTCGCTCATCAAACGACCGCTTTATTCGTTAGCGACCTCTCCAGGCTGGATGACATCATCGATCTTGAGAATCATCTTCACCAGCTGGGTGGCGAGGAGGAACTGCGAGCGCTTGGAGATGAGGGGATCAAAGACGTTCTGCTCCTTCATGTCTGGAGAGAGCACCATGTGGGTCCGGGGAGGGGAGGAGGAATCCGGGCAAGGATTACGATTGTTGAAGGAAGCAAAATCAAAGTGTCAGGACTGTGCAGCGACAGACTGGATGCACTGGTGGTCGAGACAAATGTGCCCCCTCCCTCGACCGACCGACCGACCGACCGACCGACCGACACAGGATCGCCGCTCTCGGCTGCCCACAACAGTAAAGCGCAACAGAGCACAGAGCAAACCGAGGGTGGGGGCGAGGCGAGCCGAGGCGAGGCAGGGAGCATCATGATAGAAAAGTCATCACTCGGCACAGACGCGTACCGTTGGTTCCATTGAGGTTGCAGTCGATGCCAAGTCTGGGGTTGCTCTCGGCGATTTGTCGCGACTTGACATCAGCAAGGGTCTCAATCGGAGACAAACCCGAGTTCTGGGCCAGAGCCAGAGGGATGGCGTCCAGTGCAGCGGCGAAACCGCGCATGGCATACTGCTCGATGGTGGAAGTCTGCCCAGCGCAAGATTAGAGAGAATGAGGAGGCTTTAGCACGCTGAAGCATGGCCAAGCGGCCTATGGTGACTCTGGTAGCTGCAGGTCAAAGTCGGACACAGGAGCGGAAACAAAAGATGGAGCTTACAAAGTCAGCAGCCTTGGCGACAGCCAAGGAGGCGGCGATTTCAGCCGAGCCACCGCCGTAGATGATACGGTTGTCGCGGATCAGGTTGCGGACGACGCAAATGGCGTCGTGTAAGCTTCTCTTGGCCTCATCGATGATCTGTGGTGAGGCACAGGGAAAACGGGAAATGTGAGTCGATCGATGCAGGGCTCGATCTCGGTTGTGTCTCCGAGGCGACGGCTGTTGCAAGCGGCGTGATCGTGGGCATTTCGGGAATGCGAGATCCAAGTGCAGCACGACAAACAACGCATGCTGGGCGACGGATACGACCGGTACGCCGAGCCGGCAGGTCGTAACCAAAAGTTCCGCCCTCCTTCCCATACTCCTCCAGGAACCCGTTTCGGGAAAGTGCATCGACACAGCCTGCGAGTCAGCAGTAGCAGCAGCACTCACCATCTTGTTGCCACCACGGCAGAACAGCGTGACGGCGCGGGTGTTGGCGCACTCCTCGATGATGAGCATGCGGTCCTTGGTGGTGCCAAAGGAGACTTCGCGGACAATACCGGCACGGCCGAGCTTGTCGGCCGAGAGCTCCTCGAAGCGAGGGACGATGCGGCCGTTGGTGGCGATGGCAATGAGCTCGATTTCAGGGCCGCCAACCCATCGGACGGCAGGCAGCTTGTTTTGCAGAAGCAGGTGGTTGGCTTCGTCGTCGAATCCCCACTGGCAGACGACGAGGTTGGCACCCGAGTCCTTGACCAGTTTGACCATCTCCTGGAATTTGTCCTTCTCATACTGCTGCAGCTTCTTGTACTCCTCGGCCGAGGTAATGTCGAGCTTGTGCTTAGTCTTGGGCTTCGGGGGCTCAAAGGGGCAGGTCAGGATGGCGATCTTGGCGTCGCGGATCTCTTTGCTCATCTGGGGATGGGAAATGTCCTTGTCGACGACGACACCATAGACAAGCTGGGAGTCCTGGAGCGAGCCGCCCATCTTGCCGTCAATCTTGATCAGCTCAAAGTCGACGTCCTTGCGATCCAGATCCGCAACCGACAGAACGGCATCGACGGCCATCTGGGCAAACTTATCGTGGTACTTGGACACACTGCCAGCCAGAACCAGCAGACGGAGAGAGTGGACCAGGTATCCAGCGATCCCAATGGCATGAAAAGAGGAAAGTATGGGACTGAATCAGCCACGAGCCGAGGCCATGCGGCCGGAAATGTGGTCGCGTGTGTGCTAGTGTGTCGTTGCATGTGTTGGGCCATAGATCCCTCCTCCCCTCTTGCCGCAACCAAAAATCAGGCCTATACAGACATCTTAGAGCCCAAGGAGGTCTTGGCTGTCTTGAGGAGGATGCTGGTGTCTTGCTTGCTGAACTCGATCGTGTCGGCAATGCCCTCGAGGTGGGAAACGGCAATGTTGCAAGCGCGCTCGAAGCCGTCCGAGATGCGGATGGGATGGATACCCTTGTCGAGCAAAAGCTCGGCTTGCTCCAGCAGAGCACCGGCCAAAACTAATGAATAGAGAGATGGGGGGGGAGATGGATCAGGATACATAGATCAGTTTAGGCTCGCTGATTTGCTTGCATACACTGCTGGACGAGCAACCTGCGCTCCGAGCATATGAGCCAACGAGGGTCCACACGCTTCCGCTGGCAAAGCTACGCACGAGCACAGAGGCTGGCTCCGGATGCCACAGACAACAAGCCCACTAGACTCTCGAGGCATTCAGGAACACCGTTCACAACACCCACCAACGACACCGGTGGTTCCGTCGCCGATCTCGTCATCCTGGCTTCTCGAGAGCTGGACAAGGAGCTTGGCGATCTGATGCTCGACCTCCATCTGGCTCAGGATAGTGGCTCCGTCGTTGGTGACAGTGATGTCGCCATCGGGGGAGATGAGGATCTTGTCGAGGCCTTTGGCACAGGGATGAGCGTTAGCATGGGTGTTGCGGGAGCGAGATGGCGGCAGTGACCGATGATGACAGTGGGAACGGAAGCGATCGCTTCCGAGGAGACAGCAGCCGGATGGGTGTGCAGAGAGGCCAGATCCAAGGATGGGAGCAGACCACCACCCTGGACAGAGCCTCGTTTCCCGGATGGATTGCAGATCCCGATGAACCAGATCGCCACGGCGGTGGAGATCAGGATGGGCTGGCGCCATACCTCGGGGACCCAGCGAGGTCTTGACGATATCAGCCACGGTCCGGGCAGCCAGGATATGGGTCTATCAATGATAATGAGACAGATGGGGAGTCAGTAACGGCGGTCCGCAGACGAGGGCCGATCAGGAGCGCTTGGATCTGCCTGAGCCCAAGCAGCCCGATCTGTCCAGGCGGGTGGTGCGGTGTTTTGAGGAGGGAGGCATGCGACCTTCGGCGCTGCCGACGATCATTGAGGGGGCATCGGGCCCGGGAGAGCCCAAATACATGCAGCCAGCCCGTCAGACAGTGGCATGGAGCAACGAATTGGGGCCCTGCCACCATCCGAGGACCCGTGGCTTCGCCAGATCGCCAAGATCAGTCGGGAGAGCAGGCCCCAGCGATCGCCAGGCCACGCGGCGGGACAGATCGGTGCAGCCAGGCCTCTCACTGCGCCAAATGCCGCAAAAAGATTGATGCAGATGCAGCAAGTGGCATATGCGATCGTGGTGGTGGGCGATCCAGTAGATCTGCAGGCGGATCGCAGCTTCCTGGTGCAGGGAGGAGGGAGGGAGAGGGACGGAACCCTGGCTGCATTGGCTGACCTTCTGGGCCTCAATACCGGTCAGTCGAGTCTTCTTGCCCTGCTCCCTCATGATGATGTAGGGACGGCCATACTCGTCCGTCATATAAGCTGCGTTCATGGTGGATCGGTTGGCGTCGGCGGGGAGGCTCTGGGGGAGAACGACGGGGTGCTGGGACAACGATCGATGGCGAACGGATCTAGCGGAATGGCAGGGATGCGAAAGCGCTTTTTCGGGGACAGGGCTGGGATTGCGAGACGCCAGCGAGGAGCAGCGGGGAGGAAGCGAGGACACAACACACAGCATTGAGCAGCACTGGGCCGCAGCACGGCGGCGCTCTCGCTGCCGTGGCAGCCCTCGCCCGTGCACGGCAGCTGCCACAGAACACGATCCAGCCAGCGGCAGCCGGATCGAGCCGGCTCCAGGTCCCAGAATGGCAACCCGACCTGAGTCAGCAGCACGTGGACACAGCGCCACACGTGTTCTGTGGAGCTGGGTCTGGGACACGGAACGGCGGATTGCGTTCCGTGGATGCGGATGTTCGATACTGTGACGATGCTGTGATGATCACGATGGCGATGGCGATGGCAATGGCGATCAAGATGGCAATGGCGGTGTTGCTGATGGTGACGATGGGCATGCCGATATCGATAACGATAACGATGCCGACGGTGCTGAAGATGGCACAGCAATCCGACAAGCCCCGAGTCGGGTCGGCGCATCGGGCGATTGGAAGCCGGTCCGGACGGTGATGACGAGGACGAGATGGTGCTGGGCGAGGAGGCACAGGGGTCTCTGCGGCCCGAGGGATCAGCCCAGATAAGACAGTATCTCCAGCGACGGCAGCGCAAGATTTGGGTCGTGGATGACAACAAGAGCCCTGTCATGATGAGCGGCGATATTGCCAAGGGAGGGGGGCGCTGGCACGAGCGGCAATCGGGATGACCATGATGATGCTGGCAGATGGGATAGCGCGCATGGCCGCGGCGATGAAGATGAATGCGGTGGTGCAGATGGCTGAGAAATGATGATAACTGAGTGACGATGGCTGCAACGATGCTGATGATGCCGCGGCGATCATTGTAGCCGCCACCCTCGGCGCCGCGACGACCGGTATCGCCGGAGCCATCCTCGGCTCAGTCGGCGCCTGTGGCTTGCAGCTTCAGATATCGCACCATAGGAGCCAGGACCGTGAACGCGGGAGCTCTCCTGTGGTGTTGACACGGCATGTCTCATCCCAACGTGCTCGTGTGGTGCTGATCCTGTGGAGGGGGGTTCGCTATGGCCGGGCATGCGTCGGATCGAGCTCGTTGAGCGGCTGGCGCTGGGGGCATGAGGCTGCGGACACAAATGACAGCACCCGAGTGCTCTACGGACGGGCGGATGTTGGAACCATGAACCATTAACCACGCATGCAACGGAAGATAGCGGGGGATAGCAGGAGAAACCCGTCGCTGGGGATCGACTTGCGATCGACTTGCGATGATGCCGCTATGTGTTACATTGACTCCGCGATGCGATTCAAGCTCTCCGCAAGCTACGATCCTGGGCGATGTGGGTTTCATGCCAACCCCCCTATCGCATATGGCGTTGTCGTTGGGGGCCCTCGAGCCGGCGAGTCGTCGGCGGGTGACGCTGCTGAACACAGTTCCGACGAATGCGGCTCGTCGCAGGGATCGTGGATGACACTGCTGCAGCACAGAACAGCCACTCTGAAACTGAAACCGGCTGTCGCAGCGGCGACGACGAGGCTGTGGCCAAGGACGAAGAAACGGGTGTCATTTGCAGGGTGGATTCATGGATGCCAAAGTTATGCGCGTTGGGTGGTGGGGCCCACTGCGGCAGAAACGGTCACCGCCGGTGTGGCTGGGTGGTGGGGAGGGGCTGGGCCTTGTGCCGCCCGATGTGGCAAGCAGGGGGGGAAGGAGAAGCCGAAGGGCAGGAAGCCGGTGGGAAAGGATGGACTTGCGGGTGACGGAGAATGAGGGACCGGCTCTGGACTGGTTGGCTGGTTGGGCAGACAGGCACATGGACCGGTTGGGCAGCGAGCGCATGGGCTTGCGGCATCGATGACGCCGGCGGGAGTGGCATGACTTGGATGACGACGAAGGCGGGGCGATGGCGAAGGCGGGGCGATGGCGAAGACGGGGCAGACGGAGAAGGACAGATCCAAACGCCGGAACGGGACACATGACATGACATGGCATGGTTATCGGCGGCCTGGCAAGAGGGATACTGAGCGCCGAGATGAGTGCCGGTGCAGCCAGCGCAACGGCGGACGCTATCGACGATGCCGGCGATGCCGGCGATGGCCAATGCGGCGTGTGGGAAAGACAGCGAGCGGGATCTGCTGTCGATCATGCGGGTCGCCCAGGGCCATGGGAGCCGACCAGGGCCAGCGCAGATGCGAGATGATAGTGCAAGTCGAGGAAATGCAATGCGAGATGATAGTGCAGTCGAGGAAATGCAATGCGAGATGATAGTGCAGTCGAGGAACTACAAATGCATAACAACATCATCCCAGGGGATGCAAAACATGCACGGCAACATTCGACACACCCGCAGAGTACTTGGGCGACTGCCAGAGTACTTGGTCATGGGTGCATTGGCGAGGGGGACGGGAGCGCCGAACCCGTATCTGCCGCGCGGAATGGCGGCCTTGTCGATCAGCAGTCAGAGAATGGTCGGTCATCTGACACGGTGGCATCGATGTGGCCAAACCAAAAGCCGCTTCCGTCCGGGCATATGACCGGCGCTGATCCTCCCGTAAGTTCCCCCCTTGAGCAATCAGTTGCTGGGCAGTCCCGCCTTCTCCCCCCCCCAAAAAAAAGGTTGCAGCCGATCACGGCGCGATCTGAAGCCGCTGTGGAGCCGCTATGGGAGCCGCTGTGGGAGCCGCTGTGGGAGCAAGAAGAGTACATCCATGACCGACTGGGTGCCATGGCCGACTGGTCAGTTCGTCCGTCCATCCTGGTCCTTGGCCAGCGCTCTCTCCCATGGCCCTCGCTCGCCTTCTCGCCTGCCTCTCGCCAGCACGAGCCCCGCCTCCGTCCCTCTGACTCGCCCGGTCTCGCCCGGCCTTTGATGGCAGCGCCCAGCGCCCAGCCAGCCGACTTTGTCCGGGACAAGCGGCGGGTCGCCTGCCCCCCGGCGTGTAACGAGGGTGATTGGGCGGCCTTGATTGGTGAGGCCCGCAGGCGGCGTTGGGCGAGCACAGCGACGCTCGCTTGCACAAGGCCTGCACACCAGACACACGGCCGCGAGGCGGGCGTTGGCAGGAGTGTCGAATGTGCTTGCAGGAGTGTCGAATGCGTTGGAAGCCATGAATGCATGTGCTGCATCGATGGCATCAATCGCACCGACGGCACCGACGGCACCAGTGCAATGCCGATGCAACGCCAATGCAACGCCAATGCAATGCCAATGCAATGCAATGCCAATGCAATGCCAATGCAATGCCAGGGGCACTCGGCCGACACAACCCCCCAACACTCTCCCCTCCATCGCACCGTCTCGCACCGTCGCAGCGGCATCGCGCCGTGTGGGCTCTGTGGGACGGCGTGACGGGCCCGTGAGCGGCCACCGTCTGCCTGCTGGCCAGCGGCTGCTGTCCACGCGCTGTGCTGTGGGTGCACCGGGTTGCGGGCGACGCCGCCCTGCCACGAGTCTTCGCAATCGTCAACAAAAAAAAAATCTTGTGCTCGCATCCTCTCAGGTGGACTGCCCCCCTCGCCAGCCCCACCCTCTGGATACAGCATCGGCTGTCGTGCTTGGCTGTCGTGCTTGGCTGTCTGTTCCCCGCCCCAAATCGCATCCGCCCTCGGCCCTGCTGATCGCCATCCATCCACTCTCTCGCCCTCGCTCCTGCTAAATCCCGGCCTGCTCCCGCCGACGATCAGCCCGTTCTTTCGTCGGTTCCTTTCGCAGCCTTTCAAGCCAGCCCCAACCCCCCCCCGGCTGTCCTTCACTGTGCCCTCTTCCCTCGCTCCCCTCCCCTGCGACCAACTCTTGTTTCTCTGATCCAATGCCTGCTGTCTTGGGTCAGCCCGTCTTGACCTTGGCCACCGATGCCGTCCAGCAGCTGCGTGCCATTGATGAGTCGGATCTCTCGACCTTTTGGGGTGGTACGTCCTGCTGTCCTGGCTCTGAGGGCAGGAAAGAGTGTCGGTGGACCAAACCAGACCAAACCAGACCAGACTAGACCGGACTAGACTAGACCAGACTAGACTAGACCAAATCTCTGGGTCGGATGGGTCTACCAGAACCGGCTGTCGCCTCCATGCCGTGACTCACTCCGCGCTAACTCGGACTGGCTTTCTTTCCTCATCCTCTCCATCGAATGCTGCTGCTGCTGCTGCTCGCATCGGCCCAAACCCCATCCTCGCTCCCACTGCTTCATCTTACGTGGACCGCATCCGTCGTCTGAACCACGTCCATCACTCGCTTCCAATTGCCGGAATCACCCTCGCCCCTTCTTCAGTCATCACCAAATGCAAGGATAACCTGGAAAAGGGCCACCGCCTCGAGAACCTGAGTTGGAGGCTGTGGTACTGTTCCGTGCATCAAAAGGGCCGCAAGGAAAACGACTTGGCCCAGGCTGTGGCCTCGCTGCCCGAGTACTTCCCCCCCAGAAAGACTCCCACTGCCTCGCCGCAGTCCCTGCCCTGTCGCGGCGACTCGCTTGCCATCACCAGCCTCGAGTTGCCGTCTTCGAGTCGCTCCCAGCCCGAAACAGCGCCCCAGCCTCGTCCCCATCTTCAAGTCCATGCTCATGATCGTCCTCCACCGCAGTCCCAGTTGCAGCCGCAGCCGCAGCTCCTGCCTCAGCTTGACACCGCTCCTGCTCATACCTCCGAGCCCGCTCGGATGATCATAGACGTGCGGCCCGAGGTGCTGCCCCTTCCACGCATGCCTCACTCGGCCGACTCCAACACCACCGTTGTCGAACCCTTCGCCCCTCCGGCTCAGCCGCAGGCTCACCAACAGACTCTCGCCCCTTCCGTGCGGGTAGCCTCCCCTCCAGCTGCTGCCCCCGCTCCTGGTGGTGCCTCGGACGGCAAAGTCAAGTTCTTCTTCTCGGAAACCAACTCGGAGCGATCGGACGAAGGCGAACCTTCGGACCACCTCGTGGCTGGTCCTGCTACCGCTGCTGCTGCCCGTGCCACCCTGCTATCTGCTCCACCGGCTGCTCCTCGCATTCGCCCCACGGTCTTCTCGCCACCACCCAAGCCCAAGCCTGCGGCCTCAGCCAGCCGTCCTCCTGTCCTGGCTCACCGGCCCGCTGGCCCCTCTGCTGCGCTCCAGGACGAGGCCGGTCCCGAGTCGGACTACAGCACCGACACCTATGCCGACGACGACGATGACGACTATGACGACGACGACGACTTTGACGACGACTATGACGACTACGACGACGAGGATGACCCGCTTGCATCCGGCAGCGGTTCGATCATGTTCGAAAAGGTTGACATCACCGACAGCCCCCAGCAGTCGCCCGAAAAGCGGCGGTCGCTGCTCTCGGATGCGCTGCTGCGAACCTCGGCAGGCACCTCGCTGAAGCGAATCAGGACACACTCGCGGCTGAATGTAGCCTCGCACGACCACACAGGCGACCCGGCTCCGGTCCAAGACAATCTTCACGCGGACCCACATCTCACTGAGCTGACCGAGAGTCTCCGGCAGAACCTGATGCACGAGCGCCGCCAGCCCTTCCTGATGTCTCGAAACCCGAGCGCCGCATCAGAGCAGCAAAACTACGAGGACCCCGAGTACTGGTAGAGCGGACGATCGTGTCTATCCCGAGGATTCCTCCTCACCCCGATCGAACGGCTTCGTCAGCGACCTCGTCAACGATCCCGTGATCGATCTCACCAAGCGGCTCTGTGGAGATCCGACGGCCAGTCCGATCAGACCGGCGTCCCAGGGCCCGTTGGCAATGTTTAGGGCTCGTTAATCACTCGCTGCCCGGTGGCGCGGCGAGCCGAGTTCCCTCAAGCCAATACGCCTCCCGCCCAACCTCTTTCATGTTTACCCCCGTACGCAGTTCGCTTCCAAGCCCTGTCATCGGTAACGCCTCCCCCTCCCTCATTTATCGTATTATGCGCTTGCCGCACGCGAATGTTTCTTTGTGCTCTTGCTTGCCCTGTCACCAACCAGAACGTTAGAACTCAGATACAATGATCACTTTTGTCTTGGCCCTTCCTCCCCCCGCACATTCCATCCGCTTTTCCCCTCTTTATCTTGTTGGCTGTTGCCTTCTTCCCACACTCCCCACCGCTTGCCTCTCCGTTCCGTGCCCATCTGCTCCCTATTTTCCTCCAGCCCATCTCTCACCCTGGGGCCACTAGCGTTTCCTTTATATAACTACCCGTGGTCCACTTCAGTTCCTTGGCGCGGCTTGAGTCCTGCCATGACCACTCGTATGCATGCTCTATCCTTTTTTTTTTTCCTTTCCTTTCTGTTCTTTTCTTATTCCGGCATTATTTATTGTGTACAAAAACGAAAAACGGAACACTTTGATTTTGAGGCCGATGGCCGCAATGTTTTCTGGATCTGTAACTTATGTTGTGAAGGATCCCGAGATAGTCTTCCCCACCGGTCCGCCAAAAAAATATATATATATCTATATATGCACATATTCATGCATATCTGCACCGTCCACAAGATGGGACGAGACACGGTCTGCTGTTGCTGCTTTGGAGTGGGAATACTATCGTCCACACTCTCGCGATGATGACCAGCCGGGCGGGCCAAGACCCATGATGGCTGTGGCGGGAACATCTTGCCCCATCGTCATCTGTGGGAATCGCCTGTGGGAATCGCCTGTGGGAATCGCCTGTGGGAATCGCCTGGTGGAAGTGGCCGAGTCGCTGGCGCTGCTCTCTCGGTCTCCGTCTGCCTTGATTCTCGGCTTCGTCTCACCCAACGATCTCGTCGTTCCCCAAGTCAAGACTGGCTTTCTCTCTGTCCGGTTCAGGCTCAGGCTCCAGCTCAAGCTCGGGCTCGGGCTCGGCGTATTCCCTTGGCCTGTCGCTCGGTCTTGCTTGGCTTGTTCCTGCCTTGGCGCCGATCCGGTCCACCCGGGTGAGTATCTGGGCCCGGAGCTGTCGCCCTGGTCGCTCTCGGATTCCTCTCTCCTGTCCTTCTCTCTCGGGACCGCTGCTCTTCCATCCGTCGTCTCCTGGATTCATCGCTCGCATCCCGCTCACTTCCCTGTCCGTCTCGTCCAACCCTGCAGCACCCACAGTCCATTCTCCCCTCCCCTTCTTCCTCCCTCACCCTCTCTCGAGTCGCACTCGGGTCAACTGACGTTGTGCCGGCTTGCCCCAGCTTGCCCCAGCTTGCTGGCGGCTCCTTCCTCCACATCCGCCTTCCAGGTTCGTCGACTCATCCTCGCTCGCAGCCCGACCAGACCCATGACCGGGATCAGGGACCATGCACACCATGCGGCCCCCAGGCAGTATCGTAGCAGCGACATGGCATCGCACTCATCCATCTGACTGATCTCTGACCTTGTCCCTGTGCCTGTAGAATCCAGGCCCTCTATCCAGCTCCAGCTCCAGCTCCAGCCCCGGCCTCGACTTCCCCGTCGCTCTCAATTCTCTCGGCGCTGACTCAACCTCCCGATCCCAGTCCCAATCCCGATCGGCCTATTCCACCTCCCCCCTGAAACCATCCCGCCATGGCCGTCACCACCTGGGCTCTCTTGCTGGACTCTCCGCCGACACAGGGACATGCCCGTGAGGCTTCGGCTGCGTCCCCGACGACCCAGACCCCGCTCGCTGACGAGCCCAGCGCCGAGCATCGAGCCGTCGGCCTAGCTCCTGCCTCGACCATCACCACCACCACGACCATCGCCGCGAGCGCCCTTGCCTCCGAAGCCGTCTCGGCGCCGACACCCGATTCCGACTCGACCTCCCGGCACTCTTCCACGGTCTCGTCGACCCCTCCGACTTTGCCTCATCTCGATACCTCGACCTCCTTCTTCCCTGGCGAGACCGCCGCTGCGGCCCACCACACCTCCGCCCAATCGCCTCGCCTTTCACGGTCCGGCCACGGTCACAGCACCGGCCATAACCATAGCCACAGCCGCAAGACTTCGGAGCAGCTCCAGAAGCACAACAGCTGGGACGTCATCAACGAGTCGCTGGCCCAGACCTCGATCATGAACACGGTCAAAAACATCCGATGGTTTGCGCTGAAGCAAGGTGTGCATCCCCGAGACAGGCTCGCATGGGTGCCCGCATGGCTGCCCGAATCGAGTCTGGCCAGCGGGATTTGGGTCGCTGGCAGGACGTGGGTCGGATTCCTGCCTTTGCAGCTGTGCCAAGAACCGGTGGTGCTCCATCGAATCAAGCGTGTGTCCTACTGAGTGTTCATATCCCTGTTCTCTGACACATCCTCCGACATTCCTCGACCCTTGTCGACACCGTCGTCTCTCTCTGACACCCATGAATCACACACCCACCGGAACTCCCTGATGCAGATCTACTAGAAGCTAGAATGGCCAGTACACTTCACATTGTTGGTGAGTCAGCGCCTGCCAGCATCCTGTCGCAACGCTGAAGCCACTATCTGCTTTCCCACTTTGCTAACGAATCGGTCCATCGTCTCCGCTTCACTTTGCCCGTCGTTTGCTGCTTCTCTTTCGGCGACGCTTGCTGCTGGTCACGACGCAGGTCTGAGCTCTTATTCGATTCTGACGTATCCATTCTCTCTGCTGCGTCGGCATTATGTGGTGAGTCGCACTGTACCTGCTCTATCACTTCCCATACTCGCTGCTGGTGGTACATGCATACGTATCGGCATGTGCGATTGCCCTTGTCAGACTGCTCGATGGATGGCCATCACTAGCACCGTATCTGACAGTGTATCGGCTGCCTCCGAACATGACTACCAAACTCACCATACAATCAACGAACTCTGCCCTTCCCCGCTTCTCGCTCCACTACCACTGCCACTACTACGATCGATTGTGTTCTTTTTCTTTGGTGGACCCCCCCCCCAACTCCTGACGCCAGACGATCGGCTACAAGATTCCTCCCGTCGACGCTTCCTTGTCCGCCCGGCTCTTGCTCAGGCCCCACGAAGGCGTCCTGTCCCTGTGGAACGGATTTGGCTTCAAGATGATCGCACACGTAGCCCGCTTCCTCGGCGAGATCTTTGTTGCTCGCACGCTTCTGCCGCTCGACGGATGGATCATTGCACGGCAGCGGCCATCCAGCTGGATCAAGAGCAGTGCCGTTGGACGAGTACTTCGAGTGGGTTTTTGGAAGTACACGATCAAATGGTAAGCCTTGGAGCGGGCGAGTAATGAGGAGGGAAGATAGGCCGCATGAGCATGCATCAAGATGCGGCAATGGATGGGATGTGACCGAGCCGCTGAGGTTTGCGTCTCGACATGTTGATGTGCTGGATATGTGAACGTGCTGGATTTGTGAACGTGCTCGATATGTTGGCAGATTGCGTAAACTTATCGACGCTGTCGCTCAACCGATCGCATCCACAATGGCCCGGCTCTACACTGCAATCTAATGGCTCCTGCTCTCCTCTCACTGTCGCTGGTGCACGGATGACGTGCCACAGCGTTGGGCTTGTCGCCTCGTACCCGCTCTTCAAGGCTCACCTCATCCATAGTCTTCAGCACGCCACCGCAATCTCGGGCGTCGTCTATTCAGTCCCGATGCTCCTCAAGTCGTACGCCCTCAGCATTGGTCCGGCGCTGCAGCCGCGACTGCCGACAGCGCTGCCCTGGACATCGACGCTGGTTCCGTTCGTGCTGATTTCGATTGGCTCCGAGTACGTCTACTACCGCATCCTCGCCCTGGCGCGCGGGTACCTGCTCTCGCCCGAGGTTCTCCGGAGCATCAAGACCAAGCAAAAGGCACGCCGGGCACTGCGAGAGACCGCCAAGAAGAACACCTCGCAGTCCCGGAGGCTGCTGTCATTCGGATACTCGACCCAGGACTCGGACCGACGCCCATCCCAGTCTGCGGATGATCCCACGGGCGAGGCACCACAGTCGAGCGACTCGCGCGCCCTTGGCGATGACGAAGACCCCGACGAAGGCGACGAGGGCGACGAGGGCGACGAGGGCAACGACGACTATGCCTATGGATACACCGACAGCCTGGACGACATGATCCTGGACGACTACGATGAATATGACGAGCGCGATCGGGGTGCCGCACAGCGGTCGCCGACGTCGCGATCGCCGCTGCCGTCGATCTCGTCACTCGCCAGCTCCAGCAACGAGGACGAGGACGCCGACCTGGGCTCCGAATACTCGGACGACAGCGTCTGGCGGCAGCACATTGCACGGCTCCGACAGCAGCAGCGCGAACGGCGGCGCCGGCAGCGACAGCGGCAGAAGCAGCGGCCCCAGCAGCTCTCGGATTTTTACACCTTCTACCCAGACATGATCTGCCGACTGGGCAGCCAGATCGTGCTGAACGTCGTCGCCTTCCCCTTTCAGGTGGCGCTCACCCGGGTCATGATCCAAGGCACGGGCCTGGTCCTGCTGCCGGAACTGGACGACCACTACGAGGGCTACGTTCAATGCCTGACTGCAGTCTTTCGCGAATTCGTGTCGACTGGCTGGACGAGGACGAGCACGAGCACGGCGGGTGCTCTGCTGGATGTGGACTCGATGACGACGATGGCGATGACGATGACGGCGAAGACCACTGCGCCTGCGATTGGGGCGGCCCTGCTCTTGAACGTGGTCTCGGACCTGGTCGTAGCCTGGGCAGTGTTCGAGACGGTCGGGATGGTGCGCAACTGGGTGCGACAGAAGCCCGTGAAGATCTTCTTGGATCGGGACATGTCGAAATGAGACCCGTTCGAGGTGCGGCGGTCACTTGTTTCGGAAAAGAGATAATGGATTCCGCTGCTGCCTTCGACGACAAGCTGCTGGCTCGCCTGGGACAGCAGCGCCTTGAATACATCGAGTCGAATCTCCACGAGCAAATGGTGGATCCGCGCGAAAATTGGTACAGCAACCTCAGACCGCAACAAAGCGGTGGGAGGCAAGCAAGGGCGGTTCCAGATCTCGCGAGGGGGCGATGCAGCCTACAGAGAGAATCGATATCCATATTCACCACCAGCGACGAGCACCGCCGCGTGGAGGGAACTGGAATGGAGAAGGCAAGGTCTTTGGACGACGAAGCGTGCCCAGCCGGCGTCCTTGATGCTCGTAGTGCCTTTGACACCCTGGGAACACCGGAACACCGGAACCGGCGAAACCACAGACATATCCGAGGCCTTGCGTTCGTATTCAGGTGGTCTGATACAGGCGGGATGCATCCGGCGCAAAGGACAGCCAAATCACCCGGCGGCGAGCCAGGGCGGTGTTGCCGGATACACGCAACAGTCGCACAGTGGTGTGAGCGTGCCTTGTCGGTGGTTGGCTGTGTTATTGGCTGCGACGGCTGTGATGTTGGCTGTGTTGTGCAGCTCTGTTGATATGCAAGTTTGCATCTGTTTGCGACCCCATGTCAGTCATGTCTATTCACAGCCATCCTCGTCTATTCCCGCCTCCGTTGCTGTCGCCATTCCAGCCGCCTGCCATGCACCCCATGGCCGTGCCCCCATGGCAGCCCCGCCGTTGGCTTGTGCCCTGGCGTGCTGCTCCTTGTCGCCATCACCTATCGCCAAGCACAGCCGCCGTCATGCCTTTTTTTTTTTTCGGGCTGCTGATTTGCAATTCCCAGTAAGCCAGTGCTCGACAAATGCTCGACAAATGCTCGACAAGTGCTCGGCTTGCTTGCCATGAGCGCGGCGTTGTCGGCTTGCAAATCCCACCCAACTCACCCGCCCTCACACTTGATCCCATTCATCCCGTCGACTTTATCCCATCCGCACGGCTGACTTGCTCCATTCCCTTCATCCTCGGCCCCCATTCAAGACACTTCCTCCGGCTCATCGCCCCGTCCTCCGCCTCCCCCCGCCTCCGTCTTCATCAACCCTCCTCTTGCTCCCTTCCGCTCCAAGCCCGTCCAAGCTCCCTGTCGTCTGCATCCATTGTCCGGGTGCATCTGTGTCGCAGCATTAGCAGCACCCGCACGTCATTTGCTCTGGCCCTTATATTGCGGCTTCGCCTTGGCTTGTATCTCCCACCCCAGCCACGACCGGAACCCAAGCCCTCGCAGCCACCGCCGCACCCAGCCGCCATCTTTCCCACCATCTTTGCCACCGGCTTTGCCCCCTCTTGTATTTGCTCCAAGCACCTTTGTCCCGTCGTCGCTCGATCCGTTTCTCGATCGCTGCATCTGTCTCGCCACTTGGTCCGTCCATCCATTCATCTCCTGCTCAGTCCATCCAACCCGGGCCCGATTTGCCCCCTCTTAATTCCAACGCGAGCACATTTGCCCTCGCTCCGGCACCTACTTGTAACTCGTCGCCGCTGCCGTCGCCATGCCCGAAGTCCAAGTGACTCAGTCGCCCGAATACCAGGAGGTGTTCGGCTCGCCGCAGCCGCTCCGGCTGCCACCCCGATCATCCTGGGTTCCTCTCCATGGCAAGCGGTCGGGTCTGCAGAAGCAGCTCGACAAGCTCGTCGATTTCATTCGCTCCATGAAGGAGTCAAAGCCAAAGCAGCGGCGCTCCAAGACGCCGTCGTCGAAACCCTCCTCGAGACCGTCGTCGAGACCGTCATCGAGACCGGCGTCGGTGTGCATTCCCGAAACCAGCAGCTCGGCCAAGCCCAACAAGCCCTGGGTCTTCAACGAAAAGAAGACCGCCGTCGAGAAGCAGGTCAACACCAACCGGTACAGCTCGCCGCCGTGCGTGCAGTCCAGCGCCGTGACGGTCGTTGCTCCAGCGTCGCCGCTGTCGTCAACGTCGTTCCCGCCGGTGCTCCCGCGCGACCTTGGCGACCTGGAAGCGCCGCCCCGAGGCATCCCCTCGAGCCAGCATCATCGCCTTGCAGCCTCGGCCTCGGCGCCGTCGCTGCTGCCTGGGCCTCGTCTGGTCCTGGCCATGCCGACCTTCTCGGACTCGGACAACTACTCTCAGAGCGACCAGGCTTCGCTCTCCGAGGCTCCCCGCTCGCCGCCGCCCATGACCCCGGACTCGACCGCCCGCGTCATCGATCTCTACAGCTTCCAGAACCAGTCGTCGTCGGCCTTCTCGATCCAGTCGGCAGCCAGCACGACCCGCAGCCGCGGCAGCCACCGATTCTCCAACTACTACGAGATGGCGCCCAGCGGCAAGTGGCACTTTATCCAGCGCGATCAAGACGGCAACTGCCTCGGCGCCTTTGAGATCGACTCAAACTACATCTGATTCGCCTCTTGCTGTGCCTACGCCTGCGCCTGCGCCTGGCTGACTCGTTGCCATCGACATTCATCCCCGTCCGTCCTCCTCGCCTCGCCCTGCCGCCTCGCCCTGCCGTCATCGTGCCTCCAAAGTGCTCCTGCGCACTTCCTTTCTTCCCCCCACATCCGGTCGAGCCACCGCTGCCCTGATCCCCCCGATGGCGGCTCCCCCTCCTCCCATGTTGCACACCGACTCATCAACATGCTCCACTGAGCAGATTTCGATATCTTGCGCTTGGCTGGCAGCTGGTCCTCCCTTCGTCAGTTGCCACTCTCCCGACCCGCCGCCACCTCTTGCCCGCAATTTTGATCTGCAGCGCGACGGTTTTCTCTGCCTTCGGCCGCCTCTCTCCCTTCCCCTTCTCTCTCTCCACCACTTACTCTCTCGGACCCAATGCGCCCAGTGCGTATGATCCATTTCAGCAGCTTCTTTCCACATGTGCACGATGCACAGATATCTACATGTACTTTTTACTGCCCTATGGCTCTGCGGGCCGAGGGAGGCAGTCTCAATCGGTTTGGCCAGGCACATCTTGGCCAGCGGTATTGTATCTTGACAAGCACTGCTTGGCAAAGGATATCCCTCATGGCGAGCCCCAGTTTACTGTGTATGTTTTGCTTCCGTACATGGCTTTCGCTTTCTTTCTTTTTTGGAATCAGTAAACACGATCGATGCTCTCACGACACTCTGCGCATCCATCGGTCTGTGCCAGCTCAGTGTCGTCCGTGGGCTGAGATGGCCGCTGTTTCGACTCGGTGGCGAGGAGGGCCACCGCACCCACAGACACCAAAAGTGCCAGAGATGGAACGGCCAGCAGCCCAAGCAGCTCAAAGATGTAGCGGTTATAGAGGCCGAAGAAGTAGTAGGCCAGATAGTCTTCGCATGCGGGCAGATAGGCTTCGAAGGAGCTGCTGTTGCGCTGGCAAAAGGCATTCTGGGATGGCAGGATGCGGCCTGTCCGGACACAGCAGCGATAGCAGGCCTCGACCGAGTCAAAGAGATCAGGCCCGACGAGAGTCCAGTCGATGGCGAGGGGCCGGCCCGTTGTGCTGGTTGATGCCGGCGAGAGCAACGCTGTGGTGTTGGTGGCGCTCGACAAGACCACAGAGACTTGCTCGGCGAGGGTGGTGCGGAACACGAGTGCAAGCCAGGTTTCGATGGCAACGGCAATGACCAACCACGGCAGGTGCATGCAGATCGAAGCCACGGAGAAGCGGTATCCGCCATGGCAGCCGGTGATCGAGATGATGAGGAAAGCCACGGCCAGGACAACGAGACCTGTGCATGCAAGCGAACACAAGCCGGGGTGCAATAGTGATGATGATGATGATGTTGATGGTGGTAGTGATAGTGACGGTGATGGTATATCCGCCAAATACACAGACGAATCGATTGGTGGAATGGACAGCTCGGCAGATCAGTGTCCGCATCGTCCCCATTCACACTGCCGACATCACGTCGCAGACAGCATCGACGGTGGACTTGCCGTACCAATGGAGAGTGGGAACCTCGGAAAATAGATATGGAAGACGGGCGACTGCAGATCCTCGGCCCAGGTGACATACACCACGTTGAACCAGTAGAATCCCAGCACGATGCAGCCAATTTGCACGGCAAAGAAGACAGCTCGCAAGATCCGCTTGGAGACGGTTGGCTGGAGGCGGTTGGAGAGACGCATGCTTGCCTGCTGGGTTTGATCGATCTGATGCGTGTGCCGGGGAGCTGCGATCGCCGTTGGGGGAAAGCCTCGAGGGGAGCGTCTGGACGAATCGCTCGGCAGCAGCCAAGAGCCGATACAGTGCGGATGATCACAGCCTGCCCATCTCTTTGATCCGAATACCCTCTGCTCAAGCCGCCCAATGCGCGGGCGGGGAGGGGGAAGCATGGGTCCAGTTTGGAGCTACTCTCTGCCCCCATGCATTTGCCTGCCCACGCATCGGTCTATGTGCATCCGTATGCCCAAGACATGCACTCCGCCGCGACGCCAATACACCAACGTGGCTGCTGCTCCCACGCTGGCCGTGAGCAGGCCCAGCAGGCCCAGCAGGCCAAACCAAGACCGGTGCACATCCCCGCCGGTGCCGAGCGGAACGGACATGAACTTGTCGGAGTTTGCCGAGCCAAACCCCGCACCGCCACTCGGCTCGAGCCGTGATCGGCGGCTCCATCCGGCTCGAGCCACGGATCATGCGCAGCTGATCACTTCATCCGTGGCGCAGCGCCGATCACACTTTTCTTCCTCCCGCATCCCACGTGACGCAGGCGAGGGCCGACGCCGTGGGTATAAATTGCGGGCCTCGGCCGCATCCCTCTCTTTTTCCCCATCGACCAACTCTAAAGGATCATATTTATAGTTAGTCGTCTAGTCTTCGTTTTCCAAACGAGACACACACATCACCGTAGAAGATGAGCCGTTACGCCACCATCATAGCGGGAAGTGCGAAGTTTCAGTGTCTGGTCTCTTCTCTGAAGGACCCCTGCTTCGGTTGAAGACTGCTCTCGTTCCTGCATCCACAGGACGAGAACGATGGTTGGCGTGGTCTGATACGGTCGACTGTGTGTGTTCTCGGCTGTTGCTGGGATGCTTGTGGCCTTGCGGTCCTTTTTGTCTCAGTCGCACTCGCGGTTGAGGCAGATTTTGCTGCATGGCCTGCTCTCAGTATCTGCCTGCATTTTTGTCCGGGAGCATTTCCCGCTGGCACACCCACCCCAGCGGGAAGCAAATGATGTTTCGGGTTCGAATCCCACTCCATCGGAATTCAGCTTGCCGTTGTCCGACCTTTTAGCCTTGAGTGTGGTCGGCTCGTTTTTTCTACCCTCCTGATTCCTCCTACCACCACGGCGACGACGGGGCTGCGAACAAATCCTGCAAATGATGATTTGCATTTATTTCTGACACCTCTTGTTTGAGCTTGGCTTCACACCCAAGCGATGTACGGAACCCTGCAATGATCTGACACGCATGGATTGTTCTGTTCTCCCGTCGTCCCTGTGCTATCTCGTTGTCTCAGTCGGGGGAGGGGAGGTATAGGGGTGTTTGTGGTTTATTGGTGGGCGAGTGCTGCAATCTGCAGCATTCAGAGCTTGCTCTGGATATCGTCGAGGTCGACAACGACCTTGCCGTATGTTTTACGCGCAAGCAGGTCGCTGAGCCCCTCCGTCACGGACGAGAGCCCCTTGTATACCTTCGGGAAGGTGACGGGACGCAACGGCTGTCCGGTGTATGCACTGGCGAGCGAGAACATCACAGACAGATCCTGGGCGGTGCGGGGGATAGAAAGCACAGGCATGGTTATGCCCTCGTTCATGACGGAGTAACTGCCTGGGCTGCCGCCCCGTTTTGCCGCTGGCATCATCTGCTTGTCTTCGATTCACATGCCCGCATGCAATGGATGTCGGAAAAGCCGGCTGCTTCCAGTTTCTCCTGGGTCTGCCAGTGGCTGCTGCCCCAAGCCGAATACTGCTTGCGCCTTACCTTCCAGGCCTCGACCATCTTGTGCGGCTGGTGGACAGCGTACGCACCCCAGTAGACCCCCATCACCGATGCGCCCTGCGAGACGGATGGTCGTTGTCAGTATGTCCAAATGCCCCCCCCCTGCGGCCCCGTCGCTCGGGTGCGCTGGCTCCGAGGTCGCTGCGGCCCACCTTGAGAAGCAGCCTGTTGGTCGGGACGCTCTCGATGTTCCCGCCGGCAAATCCAATCACCAGAATGCGTCCGTTCCAGGCCACGCATTTGGTCGAGTCGTTGACGAGGCCGACCGGGTCGTAGATCACATCGGCGCCTTCGTGCTTGCGGCCCGGAATCGCGCGGGTGAGATCGCGGACCGTCTGCGACCAGTTCGCATTGGTCTTGTAGTTGATCTGAGTTGCGGGGGGGGGGGAAGCCATTGGCAGGTTCCAGAAGTGCATCAGAGCGAATGCTTGAACAATGACATTGAGCTGCCATCAGCCAGCGAGTCGACTGCGAAATCCCCCCTCCCTTGGTGCCATCGACTCACCACATGGTCTGCACCGTTGGACCGGCAGATCTCAAGCTTGTCGTCCGAGCCAGCCGTTGCAATCACAGTCGCGCCGAGATACTTGGCGATCTGGATGGCTGTGGAGGCAAGTGCATGAGTGTCTCAAACATCGGTGCATTGCCGTGAGAACAGTCTCGGGTCATGAGCCCCAGCGATCGTTCCCTGCTTCAGCGCAGACACACCCGCCAGTCGCTCTGCCCCATGCCCTAATGTACCTGCGAGACCGACACCTCCGGCGCCGGCATGAACCAGGCAGACCTCGCCTGTGTCAGCGTTCAAATGATCGTGGGGCCGACGGTTAGTTTCGTGGACAGCCATGCGAGTGTGGGCCGCTCAGCTCGATTGCAAGTACAGTCGGTGTCCTCATTGCACATACCAGGCTGGAGATTGGCTCGGAAAACCTGCGGGGGATAAAATTGACGAGACTGCGATGAGCTGCAGGCCAGAGGAGATGCGCCCACCCTGAATTGCCTGTCGTTCTGCCCAGACAGGTCTTGGACAGGTCTCGGACAATTCCCACGCCATGAACCAGGAACCTTACCAGGGCAGCGTATGAGGTCGGATATGTCAAGAAGATGCCAGCGGCGTCGCGGAGACTCATGCCCGTGGGCACCTTGTGGATGTGCTCGACGCCGCTGAGGACGTACTCTGCATAGCAACCGGTCTTGCCGTTTCCAAAGACTCGATCGCCGGGCTGGAATCCCTGGACCTTGGGACCCACGGCCACGACGACCCCGGCAAACTTGGATCCGGGTGAGCAAATAACAACATGAGTCCACAGCTCGGCAGGTTCGACGTGTCTCAGGGCGGCGCCGAAACCTGCTTCCATGACCTTGGGCCACTGCTTCGTCGACTCGCTACGGCTCTCGCATTCGCGAAGATGGAATATCGGTCCTGGTCGCGCTCTCGATCAGCACGGCTCAATCCAGCCAGGGCACTGCTCGTTGGTCGCCCAGCCCTCACCTCGGCTCCGGGGATGAATGGACGCTTTGGCTTGGTCTGGTGCTTGCCCGTGACGACAAGGGCATCGAAGAAATTGAGCCCGATGGCTGCGACCCGGACGAGCACCTCGGTTTCGCCCAGCGGTTTGCCAGGCGCGAGGCCGGGCAGCTCTGGAAACGAGGTCGAGACGGCAAGCTCCGAGTGCGACTGGAGCCACTGCGACACGACGATGGCCTTCATGGAGAAACCAAACAAGCAAACGAGCAAACGAGCGAGCGAGCGAGCGGGTGCAGCAGATCAAAGGCACGGCGAGGGATGTGTTGCTGGGCTCGCCTGGATGTGGAATGGAAACCGAAGGCGATGTCACATGTCGGCGGGCCATTCGTCCCGGCAGTGCCGTTGTCGATGTTTGTGCGAATCGCAACAGGGCGAACGCTCATTCGCTCTTTGTCTGCATCTGTCCTCGGCCTCGAGGTGTCTGCTGCTGGCCCTCGGTGCCGACCCTTGATATCGACCTTCGAGTCACCACCAACACCAACACCAACACCACCACCACCACTACGGCCTGTGCCCGGCATGCCCACGCTCCGGGTCGGCTTCCGGCGGGTCTTCTGGATCCTGGTTGCTCTCGTCGGCGTGATGTCGCTCATCGGCTTCATCAGCCTGCGAGACTCATCCAGCGACTGGTCAGCCTCGCCGTACCTGTTCCAGGCCCTCAAGCCTGCTGAGTCGCCCTTGCCAACAGAAGCCCCTGCGTCGTCGTCGCTGCTGCCTCCTCTGGATGAGGATCTGCCTGAAATCCTGCCTCCAGGCACCAAGATGACGATGGACATGCTCAAGTTGCGCTGGGCCGCCCTGCGAGAGGCGCCGCTCCACTTTACTATCGAGCACTGGTGAGACTTTGCCGCCGTTTGTCCAAATCTACATGCAGTTGTGTGAGGCCCTACGCGCATCTGCACGAAAGCTCCTCTGCCAGGACGTATGGCGGTGCCGATTTGCAGCCATACCTCTCCCGACGCACTCATTTGGGCATCCACCGGTCCGTCTCCATCTTCACTGCAGCACATCCTGAGGCATGTTCAAGGCTGCCTCCGACGCCTTCAGCCAGGTATGCGGCGATGGTTGCCTTGCTCTCGATGGGCTGTGTTCTGTGCTGGCGTCGCCGAGGCCGTTGACGCTGACCTCCGATCGGCACTCTGTAATCCTGCAGATTCTGAGAGAAGCTTTCCCCAAGGCCATTATTTCCGTCAACCCCGTCCCGCCTCGCAAGGGTGCCTTTGAGGTCACCCTCAACGTCGGCAGCGAGGAGGATGGTACGTGGATACTCTCACGATACAGCTCCTGTGCTCGAGCGATTTGCCAATGTGACTTGGCTGGGCTTGGCTTTGACAGTGCTCTCTCGCTCTCTCGCTCTCCAGACATAGTGGTCTACTCTGGCCTCAACCAGAGAATGGGAAAGTTCCCCAGCAGCGAAGCGACGTTTGCGGCAGTCGATCAAGGGCTCATGAAGGCTTACAGATCAAAGGCAGACCAATAAGGGCGACCTCTAGTGTCGCCCCGACGGCGGCCTGATTCTATTTGCCATCGTTGGGCTCTCCCTCGGCGAGCCGAGCCCTTTCTCTTGCTCGGCTCCTCTGCTTGCCCTTGGTCGGGGACTGAGCGGCGGCACTCTCGCCTTCCCAGGTCCCGGACCAACTCATTCTGGAGATGATGGTGTGCTCACTGGAAAACCCTTTGTGGATCTGACGGACCCAAGGACGAGGAATGCTGGTTCCAGGCCATTTGCTTTGGCCGTTTGGACCAGCAATTGTCTCTGTGTCGGAGACACCTCATTCTTGTTCTGCAGCGGTGGGGCGCCGGAAAATATGCGTTATTGACTGCTGGCCTGCTCTTGGTCCTCGTTGGGATCGTGCCAGACCAGCGCAATAAAAGAATGGGCGTTTGGCAATGCATCTCAACGACGAGCAAGTGTGTTCGTGTGCTGGGGGGTGTGGTTCGTCATTTCCACAGCGTCGTGATCACGGCGCATTTTTCTGTCGTCGTTGCCATTGATCTCTTGCTCTCCGATCTTCCACCGCATCATCCCATTGCACGTCCGCCCGTCTCCGGTGCCGATCTGTGATTCCGGCTCTCGCTCGCCATCGACAAGTCGCCGTCCCGCATCCGCCATGAGCTACATTCCACCCGAAGGATTCAAGCCTCCACAGGCTCTCTCGCTGCCCCGGCAGCCCAAGCGCAAAGACCACGCTCGGAGCAAACCCTCATCGAAACCTGATCCATCGCCATCGCCGCAACAACATCAATCTAGCTCGACATCGACATCGTCCTCGGCCGTGCCAACGCCCAATTGGTCTCAGGCGCCTTCCTTTGTGCCTTACGGCTCGGCCGGCGCCGGTTATCCGTTCCAGACGACTGGCTATCCGTTCCAGACCCACAGCAGCTTTGCAAGCATGCATCTCCAGCCCCAGCTGAGCTATGGACTGCCGATACAGACCTATCCGACATATGCCCTGGGATCGCCCGCGACTGGATCTCTGCACCCGTACTATGGAGCCATGTTCCCGGGCGCCCAGGCTGCTTCGTTCGTGCCTGGCATGGCTGGGACTCCCGCTGGCCATGGAATGACTCTGCCAACAGCGTATCCCGGGTTCTCTCCCGACCCAGTTCCGCACCCATCCGAGCCAGAGTCTTCGTGAGTGCTTTCGCTCGTCGCCGCCGCTACCGCTCGCTTTGCAGCCCAAGGCATTTTGCTGGCTTGGATCGTCATGGTGATCTGCCCGAGCACCCCGACTCCAATGTCCGATCATTGATCGCCTATTGGGCCTCGTATTCTCATCCACGACGGCGACACCTCGGCAGGTTCGACTGCGAGCCCTGCGACAAATCATTCAAGACCGAGGCGCAGTACAAAAGCCATATCAAAGGACACGTCAAGTGCAAAGCATGCAATTATGAGGCCCTGGCCAAGATCCTGCTGCTCCATGAAGAGGGCGAGCACGGCCTGGTTAACGGCGTCAAGTAAGCTGCATCCCTCCCTCCCTCCCCTTCATCATCATGCCAACCATGGACAGAGAGTCGAGCCGGTCGTCCATTGTCGAGATTCGATCGTCAATGGCGGCTTGCTGGTCGCCTATCACTAATTGCCGGGGACCGATCCCGGACTGCCTCCAGGAAAGCGCCGTTTGTGCCCACCAATACTCCGGAGGAGATTGCATCATGGATCCAAGCCCGCAAGAAGCGATACCCGACCGACGAGAACGTCCGACTGAAAGTAGGAATCGCTGGCATGGAATGTCGTCCCTTCGCTCATCTCGCCGTTCGCTGGATCGTGTGCTCGTTGCAGAAGCAGTCCGTATCAGCTCATGTGGAGCATGTGCGCACTACGGTGCCGTTTCGGGTTGCCAGCACGGCTATTCGATCGAGCGTGTCTCTGGCAACAGCGATGGATCGTGTACTTGTTGTGGGTGAGCTCACGTCGACTTCTTCTCTCGCAGCAACGGCACGAGGAAGAAGAGATCAAGAAGGGCAAGGTCCTCTCGGTTTCCAAACGGAAGATTGTCCAGAAGCACAGCTGCGAGGCTGATTCCAAGCGATCCAAGACCGAGCCTGAGGTGGGCCATCCAGTTGTGAGACTATCGGGGATATGTTTTGTGCGCTGAGCAAGCATCAAGGACAGTCCCGGTCGTGCAGTTCTTGGTACCAAGTCGCGGCTCTCGCTGGCCTCCTGGATGGCACCTTTGAATCCGACACTTGCCCCGCCATCGTTGAAAGCGATCGAGCAACGTCGTGGCTATGAATGCGAACTAATATGCCGCTATCCCATGTCTCGACAGAGCTCAAAGCCAAGCGACAATCCGCTTTCGATGCTCTCGAGCTACGATTCAAACGATGAATCGGACGGCAAGAGTAGTTCCAACAGCAGCGACAGCGATGCAGACAGCGATGATGGCGGCAGTGACAAGGCGGAGATCGACCAAGGCGACAATGAAGATGACAACAGCGACCGCGACCAGTCTTCCAAACGCAAGTCCTCGGACCAGCGCAAGGACTCTCGTCCAAAGATCAACCGACCCTGTCGCTACTTTCTGCGTGGCCACTGCCATAACGGCGACAACTGCCGTTTCCTGCACGATCCCAGCCGACTCCGGCGCCCACAAAGCCGTGCTGCTGCTGGATCGCAGGGCGCTTCATCAACTTCATCCCCGCACGACAAGCTGAATGCCAAGCCGGGATTGGGAGACGATTCGGTTGCCGCCGCCGCTGCTGCTGCTGCTGCTGCTGCTGCAGCCGCTGAGCAGAAGCGACGGCCAGGTTTGCTCCGCATGGTAAGTTTTGTGCATGGCGGCAAAGCTTCGGCCCGCTCTGTTCAACCAGCATTGCTGCCATGGAGATCGAACCGGATGCGCTCAAGATGTGACTCTCGGAGGGCGATGGCTTCGCTCTCGAGACATGCTGCTGGTTGCTTCTAATACTGCATCCATACACTCGATTCAGCTGTTGGAGCAGCAGATTGTGCAAGAAAAGAACACTCTCTTGCAGTGCATCCGATACATTGTCGAGCACGACTTTTTCGGATGCGAGTGAGGATCACGGGTGATCTGCACAAGCTGGACAAGTTGGACAAGCTGCACAAGCTGGACGAGCCGGATTGCTATCGCTGCAGATGAATACGGGCTGCCCTTCGTCCCGATTCCGATTCCGATTCCGACTCCTCTGCCTTCATTCTCGGGGCCATGAATACACGCGCCCAATAGTCAGTCGTAATGATCAAACACAATCGACTCCATACCAAGTGACTGTCATGGACGAGCCATGATCAAAGCCACAAGTGTGGTCCAATGGCACCGTGGCTGCTCGGAGCCCAGAACGCTGCGCAAGGAAGGCAATTTCTTGTAGGAGCTGTATTCCTCGGCAGTTTAGTTTCCCATCAAACACTTTGGTTGTCAGACCAACACATTGCAGGGCCCTCGATGCTGCCCCAAACGGGGTATCCGACCCCGATAGGCGGGGGGGGGCTTCGCTCCCAGGACGGGGTGAAGCTGCTCCCTGACTGAGCCTGGCTTGGGTACTATTTGCTCAGAAGGTAGTTCCTTCAGCGGGCTGGGGCAGCTTCTTGTTGGCGGGGTTGGCCATCTCTCTGCACACGGCGGGTCGTCCGGGCAAATGATGGAAACGGTGAGTGCAATGTTGCCGGGTCCTCGCTCCGATCAGGTCGGCCGGGCTCGAGCCCGCGACCAGATGCAAACGCCGCACTGCATCACAGCCCAGTTTGTGCTCTACTTACTTGCGGAGCTCGGTGAGGATGGTCTCCATTGAGTAGGTTCGCTTCCAGCTGTCGAGGCAGGGCAGGCGCTCGACCTGTGAATCAACAAAGTTCGTTGATGGAAAGCCAGATATGCCACAGAGAAAGCAAGACACATCAGATGGTGCGCGGATGATCAGTTGGCGCTGGGCTGCAACAATGCTCTGTCGACTCTGAGAGGACACTGTCCCAGCCATTGCCGTCGAGTGTTCACTGCTCGCCGTCCAGGCTGCTGATGGCCGAGGAGACACTACCTTTCCGTTCTGCGCATTGACGTTGGGCAAGTTGATGCGCGAGACAAAGGCAACCAGCGGGGGTCTGTCAGGGTACTGCTCGCCGCATTCAATTTTCAGGCTGTAGATTCGGTTTTCGTGGACAGTCTGAGGGAGTGAAGAGCGGAAAGGGCAGATCATGGTTAGAGGAGACCCGGCCGAGGCAGAGGCAGAGGCAGCGATGCTATCGGGGGCAAGTGTCTGGCCATATCAACAACAACGACGACCACACAGCACTCCATCGACACAATAGGCGAATGCGATCCTGTCGCTGCTCAAGCGATCCAATAGTGACCGGTGGCGGCCATTGCTACAGCATCGGTACATACGTGGCCGGGTCCGATGATGGTTCCGTGCCAGTGGGTCATGAGCAGATCGTCTCCGTCGGCGAGGCCGTAGCTGATGTTTCCATCGCCAATGCCCTTCTCGCCCTTCTCCAATTCTTCCAGAAGACGGAAATTGCGGGGAACTGCGGGTCCAGAGAGCCAAAGCGGAGCCGGCAGGCAGGCAGGCGAAAGCAGCCCCGCCGAGATCGACCCAGGCGAAGCGAGAAGCAAGCAAGAGCGATAAGGTCAGACGACAGTAAAACGAGGCTCGATTTGAAGCCCACGCGAGAGCCATCCAGATCATGGACGGGGATTGCGGATGCATTTGCTATTGGGCTGCAGAGATTCCAGCGTCGCTCGTCGATGCCCCTCCTTTGGCATATTGCATTTCGGACAGCGATCTCTGTTCCCGCCGCCGCCGCTCGGTGCTCGGTGCTTGCCGTTGGATAGTGCCCGGCACCTGCGACCCGGATCGATCTGAATCAGATCGCCCCAGAAGCGCATCGGACATCCCCAATTGCTGTGGCGTCGACGTTCAGCGAGCTACAGAGGGATCCGACAGGATCGGCGGACGGCGACCAGAGACGCTTCTGATGGCCGCCAAGGAGGCCGCATAGCGCGGAGCGGTCCGCTTTTCCGGCTCGCTAGAGCAGCGCCGACTAGAATCGCACAAAGGCAGCAGTCACAACCACAGCAGCCGCGGGTATCCTGTACCTGTAGCCATGGCGGGATCGGTGTCGCTGGTGATGGTTTGCAGGGGTGGATGAAGACGAAGCCGACCGCCACTATGAAAAAATTTCTTGTTAATAAAATGAGCGAGAACGAAAAAACGCGCTCTCGGAGCCACCTCGGTCGGCGAGAAGAGCAGTCTCTGGCGAGAGACCCCCGAGGGAAGGCGAGAAGCCTCTCGCCGTCACACACACACACTTTGCACAAGGGAGTCAAACACCTCCCATCGACCATCCCAAGAGGGATGGCAACCCCGAAGTGGACTGCCCAGAATATGGGCGACCCGGCATCCACTGTCGAAATGCACAAGGAACAAGATGCTTACAGTCTATCCAGAAAGAAACGGGACAGTCACTTTCTGGCTTCTGAAGCCCGCTGACTGACTTGTAGGCCCAGCGGGCAGGCCGTGAGATTGTTTCCCGTCCTGGTTGGCAATCTCTTTGTTTTGGTTGGTTTCGGGAGCACAGTCTTGAATACACTCGGTCGATCTCCTGTGGCGATGATCGACTGGCATACCGAGATCATGTTCCTTGAGGCATTGATGTCTCGATCCCACAGCGTATGGCAGCTTGCACAGCTCCGGACAAAGTGTGGTTTCTCGATATCAAGATGCTCGACCTTCTCGAGTCGCTTGGCTTCGCGACAATGTGAGCACACCTGAGATGTGTTGAACTCGTTCACCGAGCACACATGGATCTTGGAGACGGATCGGTCTGGTGGTCGTCTCTGGTGGTGGTGGAACTGCTCGAAATACTTGGCAAACCTGAGTCTTCTGGGACTGGATGCATATCCCTTCCCTTGCTTCCAGGATGCATTCCCAAAGGCAATCACCACTTCGGTCTCCGGTGGTGCCTGGTCGATGACTTGCTTGCACATCTCGTGGACAGTGCGCTGTCGCTTGCCGTAGAGATCGAGTCGCTTGAATCGCCGTCGCCGGGTCAGGCTGAAGTACAGCTGTTTCTCCAGCATGTCTCCATCGAACACATGGTAGATGTATCGCAGGAAGGAAGACACCCCGGGGATCTTGGGGCTCGGTGTGGTGCTCATCCATTCCTGCAGACCAAGGATCTTGTGGGTGCTCTGGATCCACTTGGTCGCCTGGCTGGTGCCAGTTCGATGCTGGTACTCCTTGTTGGAGAACGACACAATCTTCTCGTTGGCACGCTGTGCCTTGGTCACCTTGACACCGTCTCGCTCCTGGATGGATGGTTGACCGGGTGCCCGAATGACAGCGGTGAAGATCGATCCCACTCCAGGGTCGATCCCGATCCATGTGATCCGAGAGTCGTCAATGGGACCGACCCTGGCCTGGATCTTCTTCTCGGGAGTGAGCTTGAGTGTCATGTCGTCCTTGTCTGTGGTTTCTGGTTTGGCATCAGGGTCCTTCTTCTCCAGGATCTTGTATCTGAGCGTGGTGATTGAGCACCCGACCCCATCGGTGGTGATCTCGCAGCCAAAGAGCTGCTTTCCCTCCTTCCTGGCACCAAAGAGTCTCGGATCCAGCTTGAAGTTGGTCTGCCAGAAGGTCTCTTGCTTTGTGGTGCCATTGACCTTGGTCTTCAGGTCGTCCCACTTGAGTCCAGTGCCAGTCTGGTATCCAAGGATTTCCCACAGTGCTTTGGTGTCGAGCTTGACATACTTGGCTCGGGCATCGCAGAGCGGGACCAAGGTGCACTGTGCTCGAGGGACATTGTGTCGCTTCTTGGTCTGGGCAAGCCGGTCGGTGAGGCGCTTAATCCGCTTCGTGTTGATGGTGATCTGCTTGCACACCTCCTCGTGCTGGGTCTGGAGTGCTTCGAGTCTGTCAGCCCCGATGTGGTGGATGGGTTGACACATCTCCTCGTTCAGTCGCCCACGCTCTCCTTTCAGATCTTCGGTATCCCTCGCGAGCCTGGGAATGATCATCTTCTGGATGGCCGCCATGAAGAGGGCCTCCTTCAGGTGGGTCAGTCGAGAGACTTCACTGGCCAGTTTCGATACAACTCGATACAGGTCCTGGTGGCTTTCGTACCGAAGCTCATACAACTGGTCGGCATGGTGGGCGAAGGATTTCCTCAGATCACCGAGGAGTGTCTTGGAGAGGGGATTCTCCATCAGCTTCATACACTCATCGACGTGTGTGTGCCGTTTCACATCCTTGGGAGCAACCAGGACCAGATTGCAGTATCGGCGTAGAAGGGACCAATACCGATCGAGAACGTGGGTCTCACAGTTGACTGCATAGGTCTTGACAGCCAAACCAAGGACCTGTGACCCAGTACCCTTTGGGAGGGACACAGGAGGCAGGATACACGACTTTCCCCATGTACTTCGGTACATCTCATATGTGTCGAGGATGTGCCTGTCATCTTCTGGGGTGTTTGTCCTGACACCCACTGTTCCTGTCTGCACCATATTGAAGCATTTTCGAACGAACGTGGGTTCACTCGACGACACAGTGGGGAGAGTGATGCCCTCGTCCAAGCACCGCCTGAGATGCAGCTCCAGGAGACGAGATGCTTCGTACTGCACATGTGTCATGGCCCAGACAGTCTCCTCGATCTTGTCGTGCAAGGTGTCGTTCTTGATGATGGCATCGAGGGTGCACTTGATGATCGAGTAGTCGGCCTTGACTTGCTCGTTTGGGCCACAGCCAGGCAAGGTAGAGCTCCAGAGTGGGTTATAGAAACGGCACTTTGGGGTGTTGCTTCTGGCATGACCCACTTGCTTGCACGTGGCACATACAGGGACCTTGGGTGCTTGGCTGACCATTTCAGCGACCGAGGCAGAGCCAGAGGCAGGGCTGCTGTCGATTCTGGCTGTGCACTTCTTGGTGAAGGGCCTAACATGGTTGGCCAGGCCACAGGAGGGACACGATTTGATAGTGGGCTTCTTGGCCACAGGAGAGTCATTGGGTGATCCCGGGTCGGGATCGGGGGGTGTCTTTCACTTGCGGTGAACCATCTGGCGAGAAAATAGCGACGATGGCTGGTTCTGCCCTTGGGGAAGAAAAATTTTCCTCAAATCCAGCGCATTTTGGGCTGGCAGAGATGCTCACAGTGGCGTCCTTGATCCAGATCCAGAAACGCATCGCTCGCTCAATCAGTGGGAAGACATCTTGTCAAGGTGAGTCTTGCCTGATAGCCAAACGATCATGTCATCTCGCTGACACACAGCCGCGCTTGACTAGGTTTCCAACCAGAGAGATTCAGATGGTGGTGGTTCTTGTCCGCAATCGGAGTGGAGCTTCCAACAATGATCCAATTGATCATTCTTCCACACCAATTGCCCACCACCACCGTCAATCGGCTCAAGACGATACCAAATGCCGTCAACCGACCATGGCCGGATTCCAACTTTTGCTGCTCCACATTCGACGTGACTTTCAGGTGACCGAGATGAGCAGCCGCGAGGGAGTCGGAAAAAATTGATAGTGGTCGTTGCCGAGAAGAAGGGAAAAGGAGCGGCTGCAGCCACCGGCCGGATCGATCCGCCGGTTGCAGCCACGCACTCATGGAAGGCAGCTCACAACAGCTCACTCGAAACGAAACGGGACATCGATGCATCATGAAAGAGCGAGATGCGGGGGACTACGGTGTCCTGATGACTGGTGCGCCGCCACAGCACGATGCAGCCGATCCGGAAAGAAATACGGGACGGGATATGGACACATGCATGGCCACTGTTGATGGCATCGTATTCTCAACATCGTGTTGATAGCGCGGCGTCGTGCGCACTTGGGCCATCCGCTGCTCCGGGTCCGACACATCGCCCTCCGCAGTCCCACATCAACCTTCGACAGGCCGATCGGGAAAGAGCGATGCGACAAAGGTGTAGCAGATAAAGTAGATCTCTTGCAGCAGCGTCCTGCGCGGGACTGCTTGAGCCTGTGCTTGGTGGCCGGCCTCTCCGTTGGGCTCTCTGGCGTCGTCTCCGGCGCCTGGCAGGCCCTCTTGGGCCGCGACTGGGCCCTGGATTCCTTCTGCACCGGCGTTGGCGTTGGGGTTCGGGTTGGGCTGCTGCCAACGGCGCTCCTCGCCAGCTCCAGCAGCCGGGATTGGATTGGGGTTTGGGTTGATGATGCGCAGAAAGATACGCAGCTGCCCCGTCTCTGCCAAGAAAAATACTATGGCGCCCAGGATGACGAGGACAATCCGCCAGGTTGATGCGTTCTGCGTTAACAGATATACCATGAGGACGAGTCTGCTCAGAAGGCCAATCATGTTGACGGGTTGGTTCTCGTTTTCGGGGCCAGCCAATGCTGCGGCTGCGGGAGGGGCGGCGGCGGCCGGAGCTGCGGCTTGAGCCGGTTGCTGCTGCTGATGCTGCTGCTGCTGCTGCTGCTGCTGATGCTGATGCTGTGGAGCCTGGCCGGGATGTGCGTCTTGTTCGTAGCGCGCTGGGATCGCCTCCGCAACATATTGGCTGCTTGGAAACTGTACTTTCGGTGCGGCGACAACCTTGCAGTCGCTGAGCGTGATAGTTTCGCCGAGTCCGAGCTCAGGCAGCTCTATGCTAGAAGCCACCGACTGAATCACATAGGGAACGCCGCTGCAGACCAAGTTTCCGTCACGGAGTAGTGGAGTGAGGTGGAGTGGAGTAGAGTGGAGTGGGGTTAGTACCATACGCAACGGTCGGCTTCGGGATATGCGATGAATGCAGCCATCGAATATCGCAGAAACAGAATCACTCGGAGACAACCGATGCATTGCTGACACTCGCATCAATGGCGACGTAGTCGAGCACGGATACTCCCCCATGGGCACTGCCCTCCAAATACGATTATCCAATGCTTACCCCAGCATAATGACTTGGAATGCACGCTTGGCCGTCTGAGCGATAGAGGACTCTGATCTGAGTCCGAATCGGCGATCAAACAACTCAAACTCAGACACGCAGTCGTCGGTGTCGGCCAGGCTACTGTCGTCGCCCACCACCCGCTCCGAAGGGATTGAGGAATCCTCAGTCTGCGCTCGATCGCCGTGGAGTTCTGACGACACCAGAGGCTGCTGTTTTGGATAAGAGGTGATTGCCGTCTGGGCCACATCTTCAGGCGATTGTGCATGCAGCGTACTTGTTTCAGCAGATGCAGCTTCGGCCTCAGCCTCGGCCTGCTCGATAAGGCTGTCGAGCGACGAGAGCGAACGTGAGTCCTGGACGGGCTTCCCGGCGCCAAAGAGCATCTCCGCTTGGGGTTGAGGGACAGTTTGCGGCGACATTTCGGCCACGGAGCTGGAGTGCGACCCGATCAAAGTGGATTCGCGGGAGAGCTGATGCGGCTGGGCAGAAGACAGAGCCGGGAACGGCGACTGAGGGGCGTCGCTGGCGGGCCGGACTGTCAGCGGCTGTGCAAGAGGCTGCGACACCCCGGGCTTGAGGACAATGTGAATGGTTTGAACCTCGAGCGGGTCACTCTGTTTGCAGGGAGAGGATGTGGTTGTTGTCAGGACATATCCAAGAGTGCCGGAGAAATCGCAGACAAAGTCAGAGCAGGAAGCACATCGGAGGACGAGGCTGGCACAGAAAGTACAAGCAGGCACAGATAGTCCCACTCGATGCGGGTGGAAGTGCTTGACAGCGCTTCACGATGCATCGTGCGCAAGCCAAAGCGGCACTGACCGACTTGAAGAGCGACTCGACCACAACGCCGTCGACAAGCAGAGCGCCAGAGTGGATCAATCGCTGGCTGTTGGCGGAAGGCTGGCCGGGATAGTGGTGATGCAGGAGGTTCTTGAGCTCCTGGACCGTCGACTGGCCCGGAATCAGAAAGGAAAAGTAAACGTGGGGGTGCAGAGGCGACTTGACGGTGAACTTGCGGTGGGCGGGGACGGCGAGCCGCAGGAACTCGGCTTCGTTCTGCTGAGCAGCAAAGACGACAGGATGCTGGTCACTCATGGCGGGGGTTGCACGGCGGGAGGTGGATCGAGGAGGTGGATCGAGGGATGTGATGATCGAAGAGTGCGCCGCAGTCGAAGAGTGTGGATCGAGGCAGAGCAGGAGTGCATCGGGGGTGGGCAAAGGTCAAAGGGGAGCACGAGGATAGCCACGCCGATGCAACGTCGCCGCTGTCGATTGGCCAGCCCTTTGTCGCGGCCATGGCTTTCGGGCCCGTTGCTGCCGACGAAGCGCAAGGAAGGGGCAGGACGGATGTGTCGACGTGGAAGGCGGATGCATCGACTTGGAGAGGGGAGTTAACGACTTGGAGAGGGGATTTAACGACTTGGAGGGTGCATTTAACGACCCGGCTTGCCAAGAGGGCCATAGACATTCGCTCGCCGCGCCAGCCATCGCTCCGGATCTGCACTGGCACCGCCCTGCATCTCCTCTGGCTTGATCTTCCTCCTCGGCTTTGATCTTCCTCTCCTCCGTCTCCATCGGCTCCCCCTTCGTCGGCTCCCCCTTCGTCGGCTCCCCCTTCGTCGGCTCCCCCTTCGTCGGCTCCCCTGCCCACCCAAGACATGGCCATGAGTTCAGCAGCCACCCCAGTGGAGATCTACATCCTGAGCGCCTTCGTGGCTTTCCTCATCGTCGCGGTCTCGTCGCTGGTCCGCTTCCGATCCTCCATCCAGCAGTCCATCCTGTCCTCGCGCTCACGCTTCCTGGCCTCGCTGCCGAGCCACCATGGCTCCAGCACATCCTTCATCATCGGCTTCTTCCACCCGTACGCCGATATGGGCGGCGGAGGCGAGCGAGTCCTGTGGTCCGCCATCCAGGCCATCCAAGCCAAGTACCCGACTGCCATCGTCGTAGTCTACGCCTGGGACCGCATCGGCGAAAAGGACCAGGTCCTCGTGAAGGTCAAGAGCCACTTCAACCTCGCCATCGACTCGGACCGGCTGCACTTTATCAAACTGAAGGATTGGATTTGGCTCGAGGCGAGAAAGTACGATGTCGCTCTCTGGCGTTTGCATCGAGACTCGATACCCTCATTCTCTGCTGTCTGTCTCCCTCCACACACGCATCGACGGACGTCCAAGGATCGCTAACACATCCGTGGCTCCTCAACCAGATATAAGCGATTGACGATGGTGGGCCAGTCGCTCGGCTCGATCTGGGTGGTCTGGGAGGCCCTGGGTGCCCTTGCCCCCGACATCTTTGTCGGTAAGCCACGCCGCCGCTGCTAAGATGAATGTCTGCTCGCTCTGCTGTGCCGCGGCCGTTGCTGCAGCTGCAGCATGTGGTTCAGTCGTCATCTCCAGCCGTTCTCGGTACTGCATTTGCATCGCAGATGTACTCATCTCGGACCCCGTCGTCTGGCCAGATTCCATCGGATGCGCATTCACGTTTCCGATCGTCAAGCTCTTTGGTGCCTCTGTCGTTGCCTACGTGCATTATCCCACCGTGAGGTACGTCGCCCCGCCACGGAGATGAGCTGCCGTCTCGATTCCGGTTGCAATCATGCCGAGCGAGCGCTCCCGATGTGCCTGTGATGTCCCAAGACACGGCAACTTCATGCCGAGACAGACTTCAATCGTGCCGACATGCTCGTTGGCTTCCTCAAACAGTGCAGTACCCGATGGATTATTGCTTGCCCCCTCCCAGAAGTCAACAGAGCTCTCCGACACCACTCACTCACCAAATACGATCCTCTCGTGCTCGATTTCCCTAGTTCGGATATGCTCCAGAAGGTTGCCAGCAGGGTTGCTGACTACAACAACAAAGGATCCATTTCATCCAACCCCATCAAGAGTTTTGCCAAGCTGTGGTGGGTGGCCTTGCGACGGTCGACTCCCGCTTCATGAGGACCCACAGCCAAGAAATCGCGATTTGAATCGAAGCCGAGCTGATCTTGTCTTGTCCTGTCTATCTCTCTGTCCAGGTATTACCGTGTGTTTGCTGTTGTCTATGCCGGCATGGGTCTCTTTGCCGACGTCATCATGGTCAATTCCACCTGGACCTACAACCACATTGTCTCAATCTGGCGCCGCCCAAAGTCCACGACGATCGTCTATCCTCCCTGCAACACCGAACGGCTCCTCGCCATTCCACTGAGCCGTCCCAGACAGCGCACCATCCTCTCTGTTGCCCAGTTTCGACCCGAGAAGGCCCACATGCTCCAGCTCGAGGCCTTCAAGCTCTTCCTGACGGAGAACCCCGAATATCGCGAGGGCGTGAACTCTGCCCAGCTGGTTCTGTTGGGCGGCAGCCGCAACGACGAAGACCAGAAGCGAGTCCAGGAGCTTGAGTCTGCCATCAAAGTCCTTGGGCTCCAGGTAGGGACGCTGATCCACCACTAAATTGAGTATACAGGCGCTTTGCTTTGTTGATATCCATGCCCGTGTTGCAGTTCGGCACTTGCTATCGCCAGCAACCCAGTCACCGCGGAGTGCACTGAATCGCGGCACTTATCCAACCCGTTGTGATTCCCACAGGGCAATGCCCAGATCATCGTGAACGCCTCGCATGAAGTCCTTGGCCAGTACCTCTCCCAGTCCATGATCGGCTTGCACACTATGTACAACGAGCACTTTGGAATCGGTGTTGTGGAATACATGGTGAGTCCTCGTCGGGATCGCAGGACGAGGCACGGCTGCTGTGGCTCTGGAGCCATGATGTCGTCGCTGTCGTATACTCACGACAGGCTGTGTTTTGAAAGGCTGCTGGCCTGATTCCCCTTGTCCACAAGTCCGGCGGACCGATGATGGACATTGTCGTTCCGTTTGAGAACGGCCCGACCGGTAAGCATTTGCTGTCCCGCTGCTGTGCCTCTGGGCCGCCGCTGGCTGCCATCTGCCTTGCCCCGGCCCCGACGCACTCACCCTGGCTGTCCATCGCCTCTGCTCGCCAGGATTTCTTGCCGAGACCGAGGAGGAGTTTGCAGCCGGATTCAAGGCCATCTTTGCCATGTCCACGGCCGAGCAGAGCCAGATGCGCGAGCGGGCCCGCAAGTCAGTCTCGCGCTTCTCGGACCAGATCTTCAAGGACTCGTTCATTCAGCAGATCTCGCCTGTCTGCCAAAAGTACTGTGCCAAGCCATAGATCAATACAGCCGATCGACTCTGGCCGTCGTGCTGCCGTCGTACTGCCGTCGTGCTGCCGGCATGCCCGAGCTGTTGATTGGGATATCCCTGCCCGACGCCATTGTCGAGTGAGGGTGGCTCAATGGAAGCTTCGACTGCCGCTGCCATTGCCGCCGCCGCTTGCGAACCAGTTGCGCACCCATTGCATCTGTGGCCCGCAATCACCTGCAGCGATCCGGTGTCGTCGCTCGCTGCTGCTGCTGATGATGATGCTGCTGCAGGCCGTTGCGGGCGGGATGCAGATGGCCGTTCGGGTTGGGCAAGACGAGATGCACATCTGTCTTGGGCTCGGTGATGGGCCCGCGATCGCATGATGCCCAGCAATAGGCGACTCTGCCCCTCATAGAACATCGCTCAAAGCCCTGCTTACTCGTTGCCGAATCCTCCCGCATCCCAAAGCCCGTTCGGCCACCGTCTGTCCGTTCGTCCGTCCGTTTGCTCGGTTGTCCATCCGTCTGTCCATCCCGTCTCCACAAGCACAAGGCTCGGGTCTCGCCCGCCACGCCTCCTCCTGGACCTGCGTCGCCCAGGCCGGCTTTGCCCCGATCTCCTCGCCATCGGCCCTCGTCTGCAAGCGCATCTCCGGGATTTGGGCCGCCGCCTGCCCGCAATCGCTCCGGGAAGGCATAGGCCGCACCCCTCCGTCGCTAGCGGCGCTGTCCCTGACGACATCCTCCTCGACCGGCAAGCCCGACAGCAACCGCCCACTGTCTCTCGGGCCTCTCCGCGCAAGCGCTGCTCCGGTTGCGGATTGCATCCTCGGCTTCTTCGAGGGGAACTGCATCCCCGTTCCCTTCCGGGTCGCATCCCCGCTCCGTCCTGGACTGCATTCCCGTCTCGTCCCTGGACCGCACCTCTGTCTCATTCGGCCCGTCCGTTTCGTCTGTTGCTCGACCCCACTTGTGTATAGCAGCTTACCAGTCGCTTTCGCAGTCAACCGGCTTGCTCAACCCAGCTACCTCCCGCCCAACATCCCTGCGCCATGGTCTCCTACAACTACCCCAGCGACATCAGCCAGGCCATCTGGTACTATGCCACCACCTTCTGTCGGCACTTTCACGGCATCCCCTTTGACGAAGCCGTTGCTCGCATCCAAGCAGACTCGTTCTTTCTGTATTTCATTAAGGTGAGGCACTCCCCTTTCTCCTCTTCGCTCTTCCTCTTTTGCATGGCTGGTACCCGCCGTGACCTTTCTTTGTCATGGGTGTCGGTGCCGTTGGTTTTGGAAACGGGGTTGGCCCTTTCAGCCCGGTTTTGTGGGTGGTTGCCACAACCTTGGTTCGATCGAGAGCTTTTGCTTGGCACATGGCCGTGAGCCCCCCAGAACCGGTGCCCGATGGCCCCTCTCTTGCCCAGCCGGAAGGAATGCGGTGCTGACGCTGATGCCGAGATCCATGGCTCCCCTGATGTCTCCGATGGCGTCTCCAAACGACACCTGCGCTGATGCCTCCAACCATACATCCAATGCCGATTGCTGCTCCCGTGTTCTGATGAGCCCATGTGCTGATGAGCCCATGTGCTGATGTTCTCATGCTTCTCGCCTACTTCTTCCTCTTCTTGTCCTGCCATCCCTCCAGAACTTTATCGAGAACTGCAACAGTCTGCAAAACGAGAACCGCCTGCCCCTGGGAATCACCACCGAGGTCCAGATGACCTCCTTGATCCTCGTGCAGCGAGCCGCCAGAGCCCGCGGCGCCATGCTCCAGCATGCCCACCGCCACGAAGTCGACCAGATCCAGCAGATGGCCGTCCAAGACATCTACGCCTGCTTTGTCGTCTCCTTTATGCTGGCCCAGAAGTGGAACATCGATGTGCCCTGGGACATCAAGGCGTGGGTGCTGATCGCCAACGAAGGGCAAGAACTGCTCCAAACTCCCGGCAGCGGGCAGCTCCATCCACTCCAGGCCCGAGTCCTGGTCCAAGCCGAGCGAGAGTTTCTATCCCTGTGCTCCTACGATCTCTTCATTCAGCCGGAGGAGTACCGCCAGTTTGTCGACACTCTTGTCCATAGCGAAAAATGCTGGCAGCAGGTCAGTCGCATGATGGAGATGGACTGGGACACTCTCCGCTCGACCTCGGCGGCCCAGAGAGAGAAGCGCTTGGGCAGGCGGCCCAAACCAACCGAGCAAGTCCCTCCGCTGCTGCAGGAAATGGCTGCGTCGTTCCCAGCAATGTATCGCCAGACAAGTGGTCCCGCTGCCGTGGTTGGGAATCCGGTGCCCAGCCTCAGCCGGTTCGATGCTGCCCAAATTGCCGCCCACCGAAGCGACGCTGCCCGATCCGGCGAAGCAGAACTCGATGAGCCCAAGTTTGATGCCTTTCGACTTGCTGCCCCAAGACTGGAGGCCGCGCGGGTCGACATGTCTGGGCTCGGCCAGTTCAAGCGCGACCACTATAGATCTAGTGGACTGCAGCCAGGCCAGCTCCGACCAGAGACGACGGCGAGTTTCGGCGCTTCAATTGTGCCCAAATCGCATATCCATCACTTGCACAGCTCGCAAGGCACTGCTCCTCACACTGCTGGCACAAGCTTGCAAGGCGACGGCACATACTATGGCTTCAAGGACCTTTTTGACCTGCCCGGGATTCCCCTCGGGCTCGGCTCGCCGCTGCACGTACCCTCTGCCGCCCTCGATTCCACCACCTCAAAGTTTGCATCGGCTCAGGCGAACACCGGCCCAAAGGACAAGACAACCGGCTTGGACGACATTCCCCTCAACACACACCACCCGGTTTCGAGTCGCAATCCTGGCTCGCTTCATTCCGCATCAACCGCCCACGAGGGAACTGGTCAAGGCAGCGTCCCCATCACTGGGTTCGGTATTGGCGGCATGAGCATTGGTGCTGGCACCCAGCACCGGGTTCCGTCCGCCTCCCCGCGACGACGATACCATTCTCGGTCCCGCTCTCTCGCCGACCTCCCAAACAGCTCGTCCAGCCTACTCCTATCCCCGCATGTGTCTATCCGCGACGGCATCAGCCCGGAGGATTGGTCTGTGTTCGACATCATCCCCAGTACCCTGAGAGAGATTCTTCATCCCCCCATGAAACCCATTCACTGCCACAAGCAGGGCCAGCTCAACGACCATGTCCCCTCCGTTGCCCACAGTGCCCCGAACGGCCACTTCTGGGGCACCTACCCATACGCTTCGCTCTCCACCAGCGCTGTCGTTCCCGATCTGGGCTCGGTACCTTCGCACCTACAAAAGCCTCCCTCACCCGCGCTGCTGCCGCCCTTACCGCCGCCATCGGCATTGTCGCGCCTGTCTCCCGGGCCAAGGCCAGCTGTAGAGTCGATTTCGATGCTCACCGAGAAGCCCCCGATGCTGCTCGGATTTGCGGACACGGATAGTGCTCGTCCCTCGATCCCGCGCCCGGATCAAGGTATGTGGATGGCTGCCTCCAAGCCATGGACGCACGGGCTTGCCGCTGCGTCGAGACCACAATGGGACAGCCACACGACCCTTCTCGATCTCGATGTTTGAGCTCGATTCGAGGAGCAGCCGAGTTGGGCCACAAGCTCCTCTCGCCTCCTTGAGCCGAAAAAAAAAAAGATCAAAAGTTCACACCCCTTCAAAAGGAAGCGTTTAATCATCGGGAATCTGTCAAATAAAAAAAAGAAGCAAAATCAAGGCAAAAAAAAAAAGTCAAAAGATAATGTCTCAAAAAAAAAAAAGATCAAGGGGAATATGCAGGAACGTCCAGCTTCTCAAAACCTTCAAGAAACCGAAGAGAAACAAGGGACAGCAGGCAAGGACCAAGGCCAAGATCGAAACGGTGGTCCCGCCTGTCCCTCGTCATTCATTCACCCCTCGACGACGCGAAAATGCCAGTCCAAGGGAACATTGCGTCTGGATAGGATGGCATTGTCGAGAGGGGGTCAGTCATGTCAGTCATGTCAGTCCGAGTCGGTAGCTATCTTCAGTACAGCCCGTTCCGAGCGCAACGGGATGGTGGCTTCCCCCAGTGTCATTCACGCCGACCACTTCACGTTGTTGGCTTGGGAGCACGGTCTTGAATACATCTGGTCGATCCCTTGTGGCGATGATCGACTGGCACACCGAGACCATGCTCCGCGAGGTATTGGTGTCGCGATGCGAGAGTGTGGTGCATGCATTTGATCGTCTGGACACCTCCGTACACAGTGTGTCTTGTTTCGTTCTGGGCACGCCGCAAGCCAGTATCCGATGAATCGGCAATATCGTCGAAAACGCTCCCTCATCTCCTTAAAGAATGAGACCAAGGATATGCAGCAACAATGGCATGACGGCCCAACGTGGCTAGATCTCAATAAGGCCCTATCAATGCACTTGTTGACTAGTCACAGCTCTTCTCCTTTCCCGTGATGTCCGGGTGTCCCGTTTGCATTTGGAGTGGTCATGGATCGATCCAGCGACACATGTCCGCAAACAACGGCGCCGTCAGCCGATTATGGCGGGCAGCTTGTTTCTGAGGCAAGCGGCCGTTCTTTCCCGGATCTCAAAGACAAGATCCCCTGACTCAACGAATGCCGCATCTTTGTTTTCTTGTAATGGCTGCTGATAGCAAGAGGACAAAAGAGACAGTTGTTGGGCGCAAGCCCAGACATGAATCGCAGTACATGAACCAGTTCGGCTGCCTTGTCTCGACCGAGCCAGCCAGGCCCTCCTGGATGGACGCGGTCCGAATCGGCCGGCTGTCCTCATCGAATCGAAACAGAGTACCGCAGCTCGTTGACAAAAAACGCAGAGACACATCCGATCAGCGCTGTCAGCAGCTTCCACCGCAGACGCACAAAGGCCTTGATGCCCAGAGACCATTCGAGATCCGTGATATCGAGCATGACGAGAGTGTAATCCTCGAATAGGACAGCTGGAGTTGCAGTTTTCGGAAAGGCGGCAAGACAATGTGCACAGAGAGTGGATCAATGGGGGAACAAGCCAGGGGTGAGTCAATGGTTCTGCGGTGGCCCCAAGGCTGTGCGTGCGCACTGAGTGGCCATTAACACAGCATCCAGTCCAACATAGATGACAAGCCGCTGTCTGCAGGGCTGTGCTCACCAATGTACTTGGGGGGCTTGTTGTACGGATCCTGCGGGTACTGCGCATCCAGTATTTTCTGTCCCGGCCCATCCTCGATCATGGCGATGCCGATGATTTTCTGCGAAGCATAGTATGTGTAAATCCGAGGGACGATGTGTCATGTCCGCCCCATCCCTCCTGTCACTCGTTTCTTCAAAAGATCGCTCGCGGCTTGATCCGGGCCCGTCTCCGCTGCGACTGCGACTCGATCCAAACTCACCAAACCAACGAGTTCGGAGATGGCGTTGCCGGGCCAGATGCTGACGATGGTCCAGGGTCGATTGTCAAGCTGCTCGCTCGTCCAGCTGTCTGGATCGTCGGTGGGCATTGCGGAATCGCCGTCCGTAGATTGCATTGTTGGTATGTAGATGTCACCCGGCAAGCCCATGTCGACGTGGACGAGGGCATTGTGCGGTCGTTTCTTGTGCCGTTTGGAGCCCCGCGGAGCGATGGGCTGGTGTGTCATAACGAGCAAATCGGATCTCTGCGCCAATGCGTAGAGGGTACTCTGTAAGCCATGTGTGGATAGAGACAGGTAGCTAAAGAGCATGTCACTCCCAAGCGCAAGATCGGGCGTGTGGAAACCAGCCTTATGTCGGATCATGTTATCTGTGTCGACTCACAGAGTGGTAAGGCGTCGCAAGGCCGTCGATCATCATCACCGCGACACTGCCCTCGGTGTTCAGCAGCGAGCCTTGGACCTGCAGATCCAGCGGATCAACTCGGGATATCCAGTGACTTGTGACATAGAAGCCGCCCGGGGTGTTGTGCTTGCCAACATACTCCAGCGTATGAATGTGGCCAAAGAAGACAAACGCAAAGACGTTGCCCTGCCGCGAGCGACCTACGGATGTCATTCAATAAGCAAACCAGGCATACAGCATCAGTATAGCCGAGCAAAATCACAACTTTTCCTCCTGCCATGGACTGCGGCCTGCACAAGCCGTCGATTGAGGCCAGGCCCCACCGACACCGAGACGCTGCAAGCGGAAGGCAGGTCGGTTTTGCAGTTGATACTACATCGATAGACAGCTCACCAACGACGGGATGCTTGATAAAGTAGAGTTCTGGGTCGTTCCGTCGGTGGATTTGAGAAAAGTCATAGCCCGTATGTGCTCGCAGCTGATACAGCCGAGTCGAAGGCACGCATTAAACCGGGTGCCAAGCGGAATGCAGGCAAGGCCGTGCAGAGCACCGGAATTCTTCACTGTTCCTCAGCGCTCACCATTTTGTTGGACAGCTTTTTCCACGAGCTAGTGTCTGTGCAAATTGCCGTTTGCAGGCAGATGAGGTCAGTAACGCCTACCAAGAAGACGGAGGCAAAGCAGCCAAGGCACGCAGACAACTCACTGTGGGAGTACTCAAAGATAGTCAGACGAAAGTTGATTGAGGTTTCGTCCAGGGGGGAGGCACTGATGACCAAAAAGGTGTTGTTGTCCTTGCTGATCAGAGACGAGAGGGGAGTGATGAGTGAGCGAGGCGGACGCAGTTCAAGGTGTACCGCCAGGACGACCGCCACGCAGATGGCTTGTTTGCCTGTCCAAGATGAAGTCGGGTGGCCCAGAGACTCACATTGGGGAATAGATCTCCGAGACAGCAATGATATCTATCGGAGCTTTGAAGGTGCCTGAGCATGAGGTGAGATGGCCGTCAGCATTACCGTTAAGGTAAGCGCGACGATGTCGATATTCATCCGCTGCTGGGACGTCCGCCCCCCCCCAAAAAAAAAAGTGCCAAGATTCGATCATACCTATCGAGGGACCGGCAATCGTTGTTTCATTCCAATAGACAGGAAGGAGATCGTCCAGGACGCAATCTGAATCACGAGGAAGGAATCGAAAAACTTTGGAATCCAGCTGCCTGCGATACAATCGGGGAAGCAAATGCGTAGCAGAGGAATGTGAGTCGCCTTGCGCCATCACAAACCAACACACACCAGCTCGGCGGACCCTGTCCGACAAGAACGGCATCGCACCACGGCAATTGGGGGGGGGTGTTGATGGGACTGCGAGATGCTGGGCATGGTTGGCCTTGGCTGTCCCTGGTAGGGGAATGGCCCCGGGCTGTCCGCTCCGTCTTGGCCCACCTTTCGTAAATCAGCTTGCCATCGAGGCCGATGGAAAGTGCCTCGACCGGCGTATTGCCCTTGTAGTTGTAGTTGTGAACATGCACCCCGGTGCCAGGTTCAGGAGCCTTGTCGCTCCAGCAGTCTGAAAGGATCCACCAGGGATGTCAGAAGCCCTGATCCAGGACCAGGTCAGCGACACTGCCCCCCAGCAACCGAAGAGCCTATCCATTCAGAGCCGTCATACGGCGGCGGCATAGATGTACTTGCCGACACAACTGGGCAAAGGATCCTGTCCTGAGCAGAACTGCAAGGTCTTGCCATGGTATCTGTGGCGTGGAGTGTCCCCAAGCAAAGTGTCAAATCGGCTGCCAAAGCAGTGGGCTGGCGGACCCACGGGCTGTCCTGCACAATCTCCTGGATAATCCATGCCACAGCGCCTTCTGTCCGATACCGTACTCGATCGTTTCACCATCCGGATAGGTGTGATAGGATATGGAGATGATTGGGCGGAACGAGGCATCGACCGACGACGAGACCTGGTCGACAATGCCGTGAATGGTGTGCTGATCGACCAGCTTGGGCACTACTTCCGATATATGGTCAAAGGCATCATTGGATGTGCTCTCCGCGGTTGGAGCCAGGGCAGAGAGCGGGACCATGAAAGTTTGGAGCGAGGCTGCGGGATGGACAAGCACCACAGGAGGCAGAACGAGCAAGGCAAAATCGAGCCGAACGCAGGTCAATACAGGCGAGTGAATCGAGACAGATGGGAATACAGTGCAGGGAGCAAGCGCTGCTCCAGAGTGCCGAAGGATGCAGAGATTCTGTCGGCGTTGTCTGCTTCCTCTTCCGCTCCCATGCAACACTGGGTCGAAGGGGACACACCGTTCGCTTGGCGGATGTGCTTTCTGTCCGAGGTCGGCTGTGTGAGCCACGAGAGCTGGAGATGGCTTTGGTCGGCAGAGAGGCCAAAGTACTGCAGCCGGGTGTCGGGATGGCTCCGGGAAGCGATATCGGTGGCCGAGTAACCTTCCAGGTCATAGGGCCTCAGGATGTGGGCCGATTTGACCCGGGGCAGCGGAAAGGGAGGGGCGTTGATCAAGAAAATTGTTCCAAGGAAGAGAATGCCAAGGACGCCCACGATGGCGGCGTTGGTGAATGCCATGGCTCCCGGCGGCGTAGAGCGCTCGTCCAGCCGGCAGGGGTTTGGCGGGTCGGCAAGTGTCAGGCAGATCGAGTCCAAGCGAGGAGGAGGAGACAGGCAGCACGACAACGAGGATGCCTTGGGGAGGGCGTTGTGCGACCAGGCTGTCCAGGAGGTTGTTGCACGCCACCGCGCCCAGTTGCAGGAATGGATGAGCACCACACCAAGTCCCAAGATCCCCGGGATGGCTTCCTTCCCGCAATACATTCGCCATGTGTTCGATGGAGACATGCTGGACAAACAGCTGTACTTCAGCCTGACCCGGCGACGGCGATTCAAGCGACTCGATCTCTACGGCAAGCGACAGCGCACTGTCCACGAGATGTGCAAGCAAGTCATCAACCAGGCACCAAAGGAGACCGAAGTGGTGATTGCCTTTGGGAATGCATCCTGGAAGCAAGGGAAGGGATATGCATCCAGTCCCAGGAGGCTCAGGTTTGCCAAGTACTTCGAGCAGTTCCACCACCACCAGAGACGACCACCAGACCGATCCGTCTCCAAGATCCATGTGTGCTCGGTGAACGAGTTCAACACATCTCAGGTGTGCTCACATTGTCGCGAAGCCAAGCGACTCGAGTCACCCGAGTATCTTGATATCGAGAAACCACACTTTGTACGGAGCTGTACAAGCTGCCATACGCTGTGGGATCGAGACATCAATGCAGCCAGGAATATGATCTCGGTATGCCAGTCGATCATCGCCACAGGAGATCGACCGAGTGTATTCAAGACTGTGCTCCCGAAACCAACCAAAACAAAGAGATTGCCAACCAGGACGGGAAACAATCGCACGGCTTGCTCGCTGGGGCCTACAGTCAGTTAGCGGGCTTCTGAAGCCAGAAAGTGACTGTCCCGTTTCTTTCTGGATTGACTGTAGATCCACCTGACCAGGTGTGCGATATGATCCGACTACGCCGTGTTTGTCCGGATGAGACGATGTGTCCCACTTTTTCTTCAACACGCTCTATGCTGGTCCTGTCATGGAGCCCGGAGTGGGGACTCATCCTGGCAGCCTGGTCGATCCCACCGGCCCCTCGACAGCATCCCTACCGAAGGTCACTCTGTTCATGAATCTACATGCGTGTTGGAAGCCACCGACAGCTGCCACCCTCTCCGGCAACCAAGTTCATCGACCACCACGGTCCCTACAGCCGACAAGAGGATGCGAGCATGAGTCACGGACTGGAAGCAACTCCCAAGATGCTCAACACAATTGACAGTCGACAGCAGGCATCCTCCAAACAGTTGTCTCGATTGATCAAAGTTTGGCAGACTCTGCTTCAGAATACTCCTCCCGCCTCCTCCTCTCGGCACCGAAAATAAATCTACTGGCCGCGCACCAGATTACAAACCTGTACTCGTCTTGGATGTATGCCGATCGTATCGAGTCGTAGAGGACGAACTGCAGGGCTCCGCCAAGAGAGGTTTTCAGGGCGTTGGCCGCGAGTCCGCGGTAGAATGACTTCCAGCCCTCCTGCAAGATCATGGTTTTGATGCTGCCAAATCCGATTGAGAGGGTCCCGGTGAGTATCGAAACCAAGGCCGAGATCGGCCGCGATTGACAGGTCGGACTCTGTCACTACCCCGTCGCTCCAGAGACTGGCTAACAAGATCGCAAGCCTCCGCAGCCCATATCCGATCTTGATGCACGTTCGCGACAGCAACGGCGACACTAGCGAGAGATAGAGGGGCGAGAGTCGTTCTGCCGCGCTGCCATCGCCTCGGACCACATACGGCTGCACTGCCTGATGCTCTTACCAGTCGGCGGTGCCGCTGTAGAGCTGCTTCTGGCCGAGGCCGCCATTGAGTTGCATTCTTCGGCGAATCGTGTCGACTGGATAGGTCAGGCTCTGGGCTACCACGACCGAAACCATGCCCAGCGAGAGCTTGAGCCACGGATAGAGCCACTCGGAGCGCATAGGGCGGGACTCGGGTAGGAAAACATCGACGAGCGAGTCGTAGGTGGCATAGGACACCCCTGTATAGAGCATCACGCCGAGGTTGCTGATGCCCAAGCCCTTGTATGCGGCCAGGACACCCTCGCGCTGGGCTGTCTTGAAGAGACAATCAAACAGCCCCCGGTAGAGACGGTGCGGGCTGGACTTTGGGGTGGTGTCGGCCGTGAGTAGCGTCCGTGCATAGTCCAGCGGATACGTCAGCGACAGTAAGATGCTGCCGCTCAGGGCGCCGGTTACCAGCTTGGTTTGGAAGAGTGTCGTTGCATCGCCCTGGGTCGGCGCCAGCAGGACATTGAGTCGGTCAAAGAGAGCGAACCGGATCAAGTTGGTCGGGAAGATCCTGTTAGGCCGGCAACTGCGATTAGGGCCCCCGTATGTGCGTCCACCACGAGAAGCTCCAGCCTGCCAGCGGCTTCGTCTGGCAAGAGATCCGGTTCAAAGCGAGCGACAGCACGGGCGCACCTCAACACATTGACACCTGCGGGGACAGGGATGGCGAGATCGTTAGAATCGACTGCATCGATGGCCCGGCGCTGCAGAAGCAGAGGACGCTTGGGAACTTGACGCTGATCCGATGCCAGGACGAAGATCATGCTCTCCGAAGAGTGGGCAGGGCGAGCCGTTGCGGTATCAATGTCCCATGACACATACCATTGCCTCGATACAGCGCAAGCCATCCTTCCCGCTCGGGGATTCTCTTGAGGCCATCGATCATGTTCTTGTAGGGTGTGTGGAGCTGCGGGACGATGCCAAGCGGAAAGTGGGGCATGATCGTCATGCGCTGAACCTGGAGCACGATCTTGACCCGTTCGATCGGGGCGATGAGCGTCCGGGCCACCTGGGCAGCAGAAACGAAAGTTGAGTGGCTGGGCTTTGGACCTGCGGCTGCACTTGACCCCGAGGAGGGGACAGGGGCCACACTAAAGGCAGGCCGATCGAGGCGAACGAACAGCTTGTCGATGACAAACCCCGGCTGCTGTTCCATCGATGAGAAGCTGCTTGCCAAATCGAATCCTGATGGAGGGTTTGATTGCAGGCGCAGTAAGCTGCCGATCGAAGAGGCGATCGTGCTTGGAATCGCAGTGTGCGGCAGGCAGGCAGGACCTGGCGCTGCAGCCTACCAAAACTCGGTGCGCTTTTTCTGCCTCAGCGACGGGTGTGCCCGGTCGGATGCAGAGCGGTGGGCGATCAGCTGTGTTGGGTCCGACATGGGTGTGGCCAGCGAAGGACAGAGATGCCAGGAAGATGGCGGCCGAGATGAGCAGCGAGCAGGCCAGCGACGGGAGCCAGGGAAAGATCGCCCTTGGCCCTTGCGCCGATTGTGCCGATTGGCATGCGCGCGTGGGTGCTGTCGGCTCCGGCTCGCTTGGACTGGAAATGGACACCCGGTATGGGTCGGGCATGGGGCTTTTCTCTGGGTCATGTCGACAAACGAGACCCACTAGCCCGCCCACCCACGCTCACAGCATTGTCAGTGGCAGCAGAGGACGCAATCGTCTATTATGGGCTATAGAGCCAGGCTCTGGACCTGTTTCTCGGTAGCATAGACCTTGGCCTGGCGATACCACGGCAGGCAGATGACAGCAACAGGGCCAAGAGCGACGGCATTAGCAGATGAGAGATTCCGACCGGAGATGCGATCGAGGATGCAAACGACTCACCTTGAGATTGCTCAGGTCGGTCGACATTTTCGCAGCTCTGCTTCCTGTCTCTCGGGCTGGTGACGGACAGAAAGAAGCTCCATTCAGAGCACGCCAGCTTCGAGCCAGATGACCCAGCCACAACCCAACTCCACGGCCGTTTCTCCGTCGGCGTTCGATCGCATGCGGCTACAGGCCGGACGCAGTGAAACGACAAGCCTACCGATGTTGAGTAGCAGCAACTCCTTGTCTTCCAGCGGGCCGTACTTGAGGATGTGCTTCTCGAGAGTCTTGAGTTGCTTCCGCAGAGCCAGAATATCGTTTGTGAATCCCTCGATCTCGTGATTCCGCCGTCGCTTCAGTGATGAATAGCTGCAGGAGGGAGCAACATGGAGATAAGCGCGCGTCCGAGCAGTGCGGCAGCTTGCCGACATATCGATGCAAATGCACTGGCCCAGAAACATGGAGGCCATTTCCTGCCGCAGCCGGTGATTCCCAGAGAGCGGCAAATACCGAGCCTATGGATAGTGCATTATAGGACCGCATCCGCGGACGATCAAAGGCAAAGCCACTCACTCGGCTGTGATTGCTTCAAGTCGGTTCTTCAGCGCCTCTGTTTTCTTGCGCATCGTCTGCTCGGCTTGTTCTGCCCGGGTCTGCATCGGATTCGAATCAGAATCGGAGAGGCAAAGCAAAGTCCATTTCCAAGACAGATGCCACGCACCTTGTATATCCGCAGATTCTCTTCCTGCTTTGCGATATGGGTTTGTAGTTCCGCCACGAGAGACTCTTGGCGGCGGGTGAGTTTCTCCTCGATTTTCTGCGCAAAAGGGGATGATGTCGAGATGCAGAATATGTCAGCACGATCCGAGGGCCTCGGCAAGGCTGCTCAGGGACAGGGACATGAATCATGCTCGCTCTCCAATCGGCCTACCTTCTCCACAGAGTCTACCCTCTCCTTCTCGACAGTGAGCTGTTGATCGACCTCCTGCAGTTTCTTGACCAGGACGGCTTTGTCTTCAATCAGCTGTCGCTCGTGCACATGGGAGACCTTCTTTGTGTGCAGAAGCTCTGGTCGAGCGACAGCCGTCCGTTGGCACAGAGTCAGCATATGAAGTAGCAAGAACGGCGCTGGCAATGGATACTCGAAAGCCACCGCCGGAGCATGGGCCTGCTCTGTGCTCAGAATGCTGGATCGACATGATCGTCAACAAGCACGGCGGTCCAGACCTCGGGTGTTCTCTCGACACAAAGCCTGTAGACGCTGGGCTTTCCTCATGTACTCTTCGATTTTCTTTGCCTCATATTGCCGACGCACGGCTTCTTCGTCCAAATGTGCCTTGCGATCCTTCATCAGTCCAGTTATCGTGGCTTCATAGTGTCGTTTCTGAGTACGGTGGCACAAGTCAGATACGATCCGTAGGATACGAGCCAAGATGGAAAGGGTGAGCGAGATAGCATATTCTCTTGAACGAGCCGCAGCCCAGCCAACGCACAGGATATTCCAAACAACCCCACCTGTTCATCGAGCTGGGTACGTAGCGACGTGACGGTCAGCTTGAGCGACTCGATCTCATCCTCAAGAATCACAATGTCTCGGTCCTGAGGCTCGCCCTTCTGTGGGTTGTGCGGAATGTCAGAGTCGATCCGATCATTGAGGTGGCAGAAGAAGTTGGGATTGCGGTGGGTGCCAGGGTTCCATGCGAGGATCGAGAGATCATATAATCAGCCATGAAATCGTCCGATTCGCCGAAGGGCCTGAGATCTAACAGCACGGCGACTGCACCTGATGCTTCGGCAGCGGCTGGACTTTGACCAGCCTCTTGTCGAGAGTGTCTCGAAAATAGGTTGTTTCTTCGTCCACCGAGCCTTGCATCGAAAGCAGATAGCGGATTTTTTTCCTGTCCTTGAGCTCCTGGACTGCATCAGCCCAATCGGCAAAGAGACGAGGGAGCCACATGGAAAAATAAAGGATCAGCGTTTAAGGCGCTGATGCGGGGAACGGCATCCGCCTAATCAATGCGTCGTGGTTGGGGTGCTGGGGCTCAAAGCGGCCTGGACAGAGAGGCAGCGGATAGCGACGATACCGACGGCGAAGCTCGTCATTTTCGGCGACGACCTTGAGGAGCTGTTTTCTCTCGTCAAAGACGGACGTCTGAGCATCGCTCAGGGCCTGCTGAAGCTCTGCGACCTCGCTGGACCGCTTGTGAAGCTCCCAGACCAGCTTGTGGTGCTCCTCGTGCGAGATCTTGAACTGCTCGACTCGATCCAGGGCCTCCTCGAACTCGGTCTCGGATTGCTCTGTCCAGTCAAGACATCAGTATGAGTGGCGGCATTGACGAGCGGGGATGGGGCACATGCTGAGGCTTGATGCTGCAGAGGGTTGTGCGGCGAGGCGCCATTCGAGCCCGACACAGCGATGCGGCGATATTGGAAGGCGAGCGTACTGATGCGGTGCCGATAATAGGCAAGCAGATCCTCCGAGAGCGGCAGGCTGCGGACAAAGTCATCCGTTTCGAATGCGGGCATCGTGCAGACAGGCGCTCTGGCTGTGGCGGCGAGCAGATGTGGGGCAGAGATGCCGAAGGCGATGGCCTGTTTCCCCGGGTTGTTGGCGACCAAGCATCCAGGCAACCAGAACCTGGCGAAAAGGCGCGTCAGATCCTCCCAGATCGGCCTGCCATGAAACCCCTTGCACCAGCGGTGTCCTGATTTGCCCAGGCCGCCATGATACGCCCAGGCTGCCCTGATTTGTCCTGGACTGCCTGCAGAGCTCGCCCTCGCGTGGGGACGACCGACTCTGCCTGGCGGGGTGGATAAGCACCGACTGGGGTGCCTGGCAAGACCGAACAGGCCGTGGGCCGATGATCAGCCGGGATGCCGCCGACCAGTGAAAAAATGGGTGCGGCAGGACAGGAGCAGCGCGGGGCCAAGAACCCATGCACGCAGCATGCCCGCAGCATGCCCGCAGCATGCTTGCAGTGTGCCCGCAGTGTGCTCGCAGTATGTCCAGCAACCGAGGGTGCATCCGGAGGCTGTCTTGGATCGATGGGGTTTGGTCGTGGGAACGAAGCAGCAGGTCGCCCCCAGCGAGAAGAGAGCGCGCGAGAGGCGGGCGAGACGCGGGCGAGAGAGCGTGCCATGTCCGTGTCCAGTGCCGGCCAATGGTTTTTTGGTGCCAGGATGGAGAATATGCCCGATTTGGGCATGGGTGCCGCGCGTCGCAGCACACCCGCGCTGTCTGTGTGGCAGCCATAGCCTGGCCAGCCACACTCAGCCACACGCAGCCACACACGCACACGCACTCATCCGTGCTCATTCGGACAACGCAGACGCGCAATCGACCCCTGCACACACACACGTCGCCAAGCACTCTCGCTGGCTCCTCGCTGGCTCCTCGCTGGCTCCTCGCTGTGCCGCGCCTCGCTCGATCGTGCTGCAGATGCTGCACTCTGTGTGGCTGCGCATCCCCCTCGCTCCTCGCCGTGCCCTCGCCAGTCGCGCTGTCCTGTCCTCAGTCCTGTCCTGTTCTGTCCTTTTCTCACCGACCTTGACTTTCATCTGCACCATCGTCATCCATCGCCGTCCATCGCCATCCGTCGGCATCATCCGTCGCCGCACATTGCCATCTGCCAGCGTCACTGCCCTTGCTCGCCCCGTTGCCGAGCCCTGTCTTCCTGATCCCCGCCCCACAGCCTCGGCAGAGCTCTAGTCAGAGTCCTCGCCGGGCCGACCCACACCCCGCCTCGCCATGCTCGCCAGCCCTTTCCCAAATCCGTCGTCCGGCTCTCCGGAGAGCGACCCTGGCTCGCTCGATGTCTTTGGCTTGTCCGCAGCAGCACTGGACCAGCAGCACCGCGACCTCCTCGCCCGCTTCCAGGCCCATACCTCTGGCCTCCAGCTCGAAGACGATTTGTGTGCGTTCGCTGACGACTTTATCGACACCTCCTTCTGTGAGCCAGACAGCTCCCTCATTACCGCAACGATTACCCTGCCGACCACTTCCGCTCCCGGGCCGATTGGCATGTTCCCCAACGAGGCTAGCATCGCCCAGGGACTTTTGAATGTAGCCATGTCCCGGACAGGCGCAGATCCCGTCGTCGACACCAAGGACACGTTTCTTCCGATCACAATGCCAATTCAAATGCCGCAAATGCTGTCACAATCGCCGACGCCTTCGCTCGTCTTGACCTCCCCGCTGCCCACCGTCGCCGCCCAGGCTCTGCCGGTCAACTGGACTGCGGGTGAGCCACTTCCGTCCATGGCTGCACCCGCCGTCCATTCGATTGCGCTCCATTCACCACAAACGCCAGACCCGTCCTCGAATCAGCAGCCCCAGAAGAGCGCCGCGCAAAATCAGCAGTTTCTGTTCCGCCAGCATCAGCAAGCTGGCCAGAAAAAGAAGCGCGGACGGCCTCCAAAGTCCGGCTTTTCTATCAACGACCACACTCTGACCTTTAAGCTCTCGGATCCCGTTCCGCTATCGACCCCAAGCATGCTCTTTTCGCCCCATTCGGCGTCATTTGCGGCCCAGATGGTACTGAGTCCCGCCGTTCCATCTGGCGACCATATCGGCATGTCCTTGAGCCCGTCGCCGGTTGGGCCCCCGTCGCTTCCAGGACTGAACATCATGTCCACAGGGCCCCCGATTGCGCCCGCAACAACCTCGGCAGCGCAGCCCATCATCCCGTCCGCCCTCCAAGCCGTCCTCCAACCTGCCGTTCAAGTGGACCCATTTGGGTATCGCCAGTCTCTCAGCAGCCCGTCGCAGCTCGAGTCGCATTCCGCCCCAGCATCGCTTGAGTCTCTTGTAGCGTTTCCCGATGTCGCAATGGCCAGCCTCGATATGCCGTCGATCAGCGCAACCTTGAGCGACCCTGCAATGGCCCAGTTGCTGAACTCGCTGTGTTCCTCGGCAAACCTCGCATCGATCGATGGCCAGGGTCTCCCGGCAGTCGTCCCCAACGTTGCTTTGGATGCCGTCCCGCCTTTCCTTGGACTGCAGCGATTTGGGACAGTGGTGAATCCGGCTGCGGGTCTTCCTGTCGTCAAGAGAAAGCGCGGACGCCCTGTCGGAAAACGAGACCCCGAGAAGGAAAGGGCCAAAGAGGCTGCAAAGGCCAATGCAGTTGCCAGTGCCGCTGCTGCTGTAGCTGCAGGCAAGAAAGCCGCCGCCGCAACTCTTGCTGCGTGTACCTCTGCACAGCGCTCCACACCATCGGCCCCGTCGATACCGACCGGTGCCGCAACCTCCCATGTTTGGCAAGCCGGAACCCGCCCTGCTGGATCCGCTGTCGAGGCCGCAAAGCTTCCCATCATGCCCCTCGTCAAGCCAAGCAGCACAAAGGCGCCCGCCAAGACCATGCCGCACCAACTCAAGGAGCAGCGCAAGGTAGCCCATAGCGCGATCGAACGCCGATACCGCAACAACATCAATGACCGCATCGCCGAGCTGAAGGCTGTGATCCCAGCTCTCAACGCTTCGGCAGCGTGCCCCTCGAGCGACAAGTTTGCACGCGGCGCATCCCATTTTGGAAACGAGCACGAATGCGAATCAGACGACGACTGCGAGGCCGAGGACTCGAGCGTCGTCATCGACGGAGTCGCCGTGGCCCAAAAGATCAACAAGGCTACGATCCTGCGCAAGGCAGCCGAGTATATTGCCCATCTCCGACGAGCCAACCAGGTGCTGAAGGATCAAGTCGACTCGAGCCGCAAATGTGTACAGGACCATGGGAGTCCGGAGCTGCTCCTGCTGCTGGAAGATAACCTCCGGGCCGTCAAGGAACGGCACCAGACTGAGACCGTCCAGAGGCAGGTCAAACTGGAAGACAGCCCGCTGTCACCGGTCCTGTCGGGTGTGCCGTCCATGTCTTCTCCGTCGACATCGTGCAGCCACGACTCCCCGCCATCGTCTGGATTTACTTCAGCCCAGCTGCACACCGATTCGCCGCCGCCGCTGGTGCTTGAGAGCCCAACGACGTCCTCCGAGGACGAGTCGGATGGATATCCGTCTCCCAAGCGCGCCAGGCACACAGGCAATCCAGCCGCGCATGTTGCCCCGGCTCGCATGATGATGCTTGTGTTTGTATGCGCATGCATGCTCTATGCCCCGAATCCGTTTGGCTCTGCGCTTGTATCTCTGAACGGACCTGCAAGCCCCGACCACCACCACTCGCCTGCAAGGGTCTTCGACGCCGGTCTGAGCTCCGCGATGCCTGGACAGCCCCAGACGGCGGTGTGGTCTCCCGAGATCATGTGGTATGCTTTCGACATCTCTCCTCCGCTGCTTATCAGGAGACCCTGAACGCCACCAGCATATGCCTTTCGCTAACAAACACGATGATGTTGCGGCTGTCCTTCCCCTTTGGTGACTCGCACACAGGCCCATCCTGCGGATCGTTCTCACGCTCTTGGTCCTTTGGAAGTGTCTGAATCCGTCAATGTCCACTCACACCGCGACATTCAAGCCTGTCAAGAAGCCCACTGATCAGTACCACTCGAGCCAGCTCAGCTTTGAAGCCGAGCCCTCGGATGTCAGCCAGCACTGCACCAGTCAGCTGGAGTCTCCTGCGAACAAGAGCCGACTGTGGATGCTGCGCCTGGCCCAGGAGGCCGGTGCCTATCTCATTGGCCCAAGGCTGTGCCTGGGCCGTGCCGCAGTTACAAATGCAGGCGAACTGCACGAGTACATACTGTTGGTGCGACGTCTGGAGTCTGACCTACGTAAGTTTGCCCCTGCCTGCGTTGCCGCACTCGAGTATGGAGCCAGTGTGCGGGTCAAGCACGGCTTTTGAGAATCCGCGGCACTTGGAATGCAAGCATCGATGCGCTGCTATGTTCTGGGCCAGCCCACCGAAACACCTTTGTTGATGGGTCATCTCTTTGTATCTCGCTGCTCTGGATGCCGCCGCTGCGCTGTTCTGTGCCTCTGAAAACGCTTCGCTCGGGACGTCGGCCAGTCCTCAAAGACAACTACCAGCCTCTCCAACTCTCTCAAATCCTTCGCTTGGCCAATGTGGCCAATGCGTCGCCAGAGATTCTGGGAGCAGAGCTCTGTGGACGCGCTCTCCTTCTCTGTGCCCTTCGGATTCAGCGGGCGATCGTTGCTCGGCACCCACCCAGGAAGAGTGGCAAGGCCATCAAGCGCCCTGCTGTCTCCGCCACTGGATCTGGGCACATCATGCTCTTGCTTTGGCAGCAGCTTAGCATGAGTCTACTTGCCAAGGGCATCGAGATGCTCCAGTCTGCCGGGGCCAGCCTCACCGACCCACACCTCAACTGGTTCTTGCGTGTTACGCGGGAGGAGAAGGTCAACCCAATGTCTCTGCTGGACGAGTCGGTTCACACTTCCAGCAGCGAGTCGGCTGGAGCGGCACAGCCTGCGCAAGAAGCGGCCCGAAGCAATCTGTTTGCCCACGCCATGGCGTCCTACCGCCGCAGTCGCTTGCACGAACTACTCGGCGAGGCCCACGTCATCCGCCATCTGTCGCTGCTCCCGCTGCATGAAGAGCCGGCTGCGGATCCCTCGGGGTCTGTGTCGCCTGGCATCGATGGCATCCTGGCAGAAATCAAGCGGCTTGGACAGGCGTCCATGGACTGCCAGGATTTCCTCGGCTATGCTATTTGCGAGCTGGTTCAGGTGGGCGACATGATGCGGTCGGGCCAGACCTCCGAGGCGGTCGAAAGGTACCTGGCTCTCGAGCAAGCAATCCCGCCCGAGTGTCTGCGCCAGCGATACGAGGTCTTTTCGACCCTGAGTCTGTCGGTCTTCCTCGTGGCTTGTCACTACCGGCAACTCAATCACGCTCAGCAAGAACAACACATCTCCAACTCTGCTGGTGTCCTGACCACCCTGTCAAAACAAACCGACTGGGTTGTCTGTGGCTGGCAGGAGCTCGACCGATACACCAAAGAACAGCTCTTGCATCCATCTCCAAACGACCGCGATGGGTCCAGTCTCGTGCTGCTCCAAGCCATGTTCCTCAACTGGGCCCTCCTCACAGTCCCAACGGGCGAGGGCCACCACGAGTGCGGCATCACTTCCTGCGCCGCCGGTGACTCGTCTCGGCGCTGCTGCCTTCGCACCCATGCGGACAAGGTTCGATTCTGCATGAACGATCTGATCATGGGCCGACTCAAGGCGTCCAAGGGAGCCGCGCGCGAGACCCTCTTGGAGATTCTCAAGTACTGGCGACAGAAGACGATGCTGTCCGAGTGAAAGCACTTTCTTGTGCACGACCGCTCTGTCTTGTTTTTGTTTCGGAGTTTTGCCCCCCCCCCTCGTCATTCATACATTCACCCCTTTCTCTCGCATCATCGCTTGCCACGCCTCTCCTTTCGTGTTGTCACCATCAGCGTCGCTTGGACTCACTCCGCTACCTTCCCTTTGGAAGTGCGACTACATTCTTCACAGCCGTACCCACATGCCCCTTCCTGCGGCTCAGCCACGACAAACATCCGCACCCATCCGTTTGCCCGACTTTGTCTCCATTGAACCCATGTATTTATTTCTTTTCAACCACCCGCGAGCACGGCAGATACACCAGCGAATCTATACAACTCGCATGTGCGCAGACGCCTTGTGGCTCTTATCGTGATTGCTCTTTGCACCCTGTCTTATAACTAGTTTTGAATACAGTTCTTCCCCGAAAGCAAAACAGAACCAGGGAAATGAGGCACGGAGACCCAATATGCACGGCGCGGCTGCTATCCGTAGAGCTTGATGTGGCATGGCAGGCAGTATGGCTTCGAGTCGTGGACCTTGAATGCCTTGCCGTTGCTGCCGGGCACATCGGACTGGAGCGTTTGCTGGCAGAAGGTGCACTTGAAGTGGTCCAGGTGGTATCGGCGACCAGCGACATTGAGACACTTGCCAATGATGGGCTTGGAGCACGTCGAGCAAGTCGCCTCGTTGCGTGCGTAAAAGTGCGTCTGGCAGTACGGATGGCCCTCGTGCTCATAGTAGCCCACGTCAACGAGGGATAAGTTGCAGTCCTGGAATCGCATTGTATGTGGTGGACAGTGCGAAACTCATGAGCAACAAAGCCGGTCCAACGCAAACCAAGGGCTGCCCAAGAAGCACATCGACGACCGATTTCGCTGGTCTGCTCCTTCCCACATTCTCTACGACAATACCACTCATTTGTCCGCACCCGTATCGGCCACCGGACGAGCCTCCTCCTCACTCACTCCTATCACTTACCGCACAAGTGAAGCATTCCTTGTGCCACTTTTGATTCAGGGCCACGAAATGATCGCCCACAAGAGGCTTCTCGCAGCGACCACAGACATCGGCAAACAGGTGGCGGTAGTCGTTCTCGCAGTAAGCACGGCCATCGGGGCCTTCCAGGAAGCCGTCGCCCTGCGAGAAGACTTTGCCGCACTGGCAGCAAAAAAAGTGGTCCGGGTGGAAGGCCTTGCCGAGGGCGTTGATACAGCGGCTGGTGATGGGTGTGTGGCCTGGTTGTGGTTGTGGTTGTTTAGTTCCCAGCAGTCAAGAGAGTGTATCTGCTCCTCAGCCTCCAACTGGGCGAGAGGCCACTCACCCCATGATACTCGATCAGACAACTTCCAATCCTCCTCCTCCTACCAGCAACCCCTCAGGCACTTACAGAACTCGCACTTTGGCGAAAATAGCTCGTGGAAGCAGCCTTCGCAGTACGGCCTGCCCTCCATCTCGTAGTACTGGATATTCGCCAGCACCCGGCGGTTGCACGTCGGCCCGGGGCAGACAAAGTGGTTTGGATGGTAAAACTTGCCAAAGGCCTCGACGAGCTGGCGCAGGATGGGCTCCTGGCAATAGTCGCATTTGGGTTTGTTCTGGAGGTCTTGCTGGTCGTCTGGCTGAGCGTTTGGCTGCAACTCGGGCTGCGGGACTGGGTCCTGCGTCGGGTCATAGTCCCACCAGCCCCCGCCTCGCTTGATCTTTTGGAGCTGTGCCCCGGGGAAGTTGGGCTTGGCTGCCTGGATCTCAAAGAGTAGCTTGTCTTTGGGAAACCGAGTTGCCGACAGAGTCAAGGAAGGCAGGCAGTCGATATCAACAGCAATCAGCACTCGAAGCTCGGGAACGCGTACTTTGTTGGTGGCGAACTGGATCGCCCACGGTCCGAGCCCAGACAGTCATGGAACCAAGTGGGACTCCTGACCTTCATCGAGTCGAAGCGCTAGACTATGAGCATATACCTAGCGCATCCATGACAGCGATGATCTGTGTTCCTGAAGCGACTGCGGTAGTGCGAGGCTTGCTATGCAATTCGGCGATGGCGTATGCCAAGGATTGCCTGTCGAACGATCAGGTGCGGAGGAATCTCAGATGCGCCTGCTCAGAGCAGTGCACTCGATCACCAACAGAGCGACAAGTCGGAGAGGTGATTGACAAGCCCTTGTGTGATTGAAATAGCCTCCTCCCCGATGGGAGGCCGAACCCAGCAACGTCATCCAACGACCGTATCCGACATATGCTTCAAAGGCCAGATGCAACCCAGTCTGCAGGATATATCTCATCCAGACCGTCGGAGGACTGTGTCTCGTTGTCTTACGGCAGATAGGAAATATATGTGACGGTCATAGTATACGTGGGGGATGATGATTGGAACTGCACAGCTACCAACGGTCGGAGGGTACCATTTGGTTGGACATAGAGATCGACAGAATGTCAAAGAAAGACAAGAAAGTACAGAGACAGGCAACCGAGGGTGCTTTCCCCGCCAAGGCCGACCAACGCTCGGGCAGGCGCTTCTCTATCCAGCGTCTTCCATGGTCCTCCCGCGAGTTTCGGCCTTGGACGTCTTCCAGCCAGAGCAGTGGCAGCAACAGCAACAGAAACAGAAACAGCAACAGCGATAGAGACTACGACAGCAGTACAAAGACAAACGAGATCGACATGCTGATGGGGGCGACAGACCAAGGGGGGTTGAGGCCGATCAAAAGATGAACTCGCCCTCGGTGGTGTCGGGCACAAAGAGCTCGTATTCCGAGTGCTTGCAGCGGAACGAGAACATGGGCGCGGCCTCCTTGCTTTGGATGAAGTTGGGGGTATCTGGAGGAAGAGGAGCAGCCAAGTGGAATGTTAGTAACCGTAGATCGTATTCGAAATCGAGCCCATCGATCAACTTTCGAGTGACGGCAGGAGCTTACAGTGTCCAGGCCCAGGCATGGGCGACTGGCCATGTCCGTTGGCCGTGTGGTACTCGTACGCATCTACAGAAGGGTCAGGAAGCCCCGATAGTCAGCCAACACGTCTCGCACCGCTATCAGCGAGCTTGTGCAAGTGTCCATCAGATCCAGGCGCCGGCCAAGCCATGCAAGCATTCAGATGATGCTGTATCGACGGACACAACACTGACCCTTTGATCCAGAGAATGGACTCTCGCTCGACTCGTGGTGCCATCGGCTACCAAGCGAGTATGCTGGCGCCGATTTCTTGATTTTGGAGGGATCGAGGGCCGAATAGGCGGCTGGTCCAGGAGAAAATGACTCCACTGTAGGAATGCCGTGGGAAGAAACGATAGAGCAGCGGGGATACGGAGATGGTGTGCACACAAGAAGGCAGTTGGAGGAGCGCTGTTAGCGAAGGAGTGTACGCTCATTCGATTGAACATATGCCCGACATAAACAGGTTGATCTGTTTGCTGGCGCATCTCGGCATTGGCTTACGTTTCATCGGTCGCGGGGGCTTGATGGTGTATGCAGCAGCAGCAGGCATGGTGATGGCCGGACGCAGTCCCAAAGTTGACGCAATCGAATCTGTTGTCGACAAGGGTAGGCGTAGGCAGGCGTGAGTATCAAGTCATCGTCAAGAGCCACCCGATCGATCGGCTCGGGTTTCCTTCGAGCGGGATGTGGACGGCTTACATTCAGCAGGACCCGGATTGATGTTGGCTGGAAGGAGAGGCCACTGGTGAGACGTACGATCGTGCTCATGCCGATGCTCATGCTGATGCTCATGCTGATGCTGATCTGATGCTCATGCTGATGCTGATCTGATGCTCACGCTCGTATTTGTGGCATTTGATCAAGCACGATTGCAGGTGCAAACACACCGCCCAAGCGTGCCCGTCTAGACAAATTGCCATCAAAGAAGCCCATGTCGGCACAGTCGCAGCGCATACCTTTCTCGTTGTTTCGGCGTCCGCCCATACTGTACGCTGGTGCTTTGGCCTCCTTTGTCGGAATGTAGGTCGGATTGTACTTCCCTGGACCAGGGGTGTCCAGATCAACTGCACGAACGTATCCGATAGAATCAGCCGTGGTTGGGTGAGCATCAACGAGCGATATATCGAGTCTCCGATGCGAGTGCCAGAGACGCAGACTCCGTACCATCTCTTCTCTCTTTCTTGTATCCACCCTGGAGCGAGAAGGCCGGTCCTTTCGATGTGCCGGTTCTCGTTGTTTGAGGGAAGAAGGCGTTCGGGCCTGGGGTTTCGCTGGCAACTGGTTGCAGGATGGAATATAGGGTCAGTACTGGTGCCAAGAGAGCTACCAAGAGAACCACAGAGCGAGCAAGCCGTGGCACGAATCGGTACGTTTCCCGTAGAGCTTGATTCCAAAAGAATATGCCGGGGCCCGAACTCCGGTTTTAGCATTCAAGCCAATTGTCCTAAGGGCATTTTTGAGGGTTAGTGGACGGGAATCTTTGGTGCCTGGCCCCGGATGTTGGGCTGCCAGCCGCCCAGCTGTACTTGACAGCCAGCGATGCAAGTGCAGGGCTCAAACAAGACCACAGACACACAGGCCATAAGGAGAGACGTGCTTACGATGGTAGGGTATAGGCAGCTGGTCCAGGACCTGGTCGAGTGGATGCAGCGACTGTGCGTGAGAACCGGCCCGACGACCGACACATATCCAGGCTGTATGTTCTTGCAATAAATGCCCGCTGCAGATGCTGCCCCGCAGACTGCCTCGCAATGTATAAGCAGCCAGGGTCTGCACACACTGTCGGCCACACCGCCTAGCCCCTGCCGTTTGATCATCGTGTGTGGTGCTGTACCTTTCGATCTGGCTGCAATGGGGATCTCGGCGGCACTGGCGACTTCGTTCTCGCTGCCGCCCTCGGCAGGAGCGGTGACGTTTTGGCCGGCCGGGACCTTTGGGAACCGGCTGGCACTACCTCGCTTCGAGTCAGTGGTATTTTCTGGCGGCATGAAGACGCTTGGGATGCAGATGCACTCTATGGACTGTGGGAAGGCGAGTCTGCGGGATTGGTGGTACACCGGAAGCGGTGGGCGGTTACTGGCGACCGAATGGCAAATAGAACCAACGGCAACAGTTGGTGAGGGTAGATAGAGGCCGCGGGCTTATCGGAGCCGACCGTTTCAACAAAGTATGGCCAGGAGAATTAGAGGCGGGCTAGAGGGCCTTGGCGAGACCGCCGAACGGATGGAAAGCGGAGGTTTTGAGGGATGATGTAAGGGGCGATTAAGGTATGACTTGCAGGGCCGCAAAGGCCGGGGATGCGGCCACAGATGGCGAGTAAAGAGCGAGGGTGGAGGGTCGCAGAGAAGGGAATTCGCAGAAACTATATCGCGGAGCACCCCCTTGGCTAGGGGTCGAGACGAGCGAGAGGGGAAGGCACTTGCCCGGCCCCGTATTCGACAGTGGTGTGTGCGAACGGGAGAACAATGGGCCGGTGCGTGTGTCACAAGCAATCAGACTCTCGATGCAGACTCGCCCATCCAACTGTGTTTGACTTTGCGCTGTGGCCAGCCGAGGGCAAAAGCAGGCGGGTAGTGCGGCGGCACTGAGCGAGGATGCGACAAATATGTTTGCGTCGCAATCGCAGACAATGCCGCGAGGAAGCGATGCGAATAGCCCCACTGCGAGCTGTGTGATTGAACATGCGGAAATGTGGTTGGCGATGATGCTGGCCGGCGGCGGCTGTGATTGGGGACGAGGATGTGAGAGCGGTTGTTCACTCGGGTTGTTTCGCACTGTCTGCAGTCGGGTTGTTTTGCACCGTCCACGCTCGGGCTGCTGGTTCACTCCGATGTTGGTGTCTGCATCCGCGGCACAGAAGCTTCCAGCATCATCCGCTGCAATGCGACCCGAGGCATGCAGCACGGAATCGCGGTATCGATGCGATATCCAAGATGATCGCCGAAGCCTGGCATGTCGGGGGTTCACCCAGACACCCAGGCGATAGCGCGTGGGACTTGGTTCCGCTCTCTCCAGGATCCGTGCGCATCTGGCTGCCTTATTCGCTGCAGACGACCATTCCGCAGGACAGGCGCAGAGCAGGGGATCAAACGCGGGTGTCTGTTGTTGCCTTGGTCGGTGCGCCTGGCAGTCTCCTCATGGACCCGCATTCTGCTTGTGGCAGCCCGGGGTTGGACAACTGCATCTACTTGGACAACTGCATCCATCGACTTGGGCGACTGCATCCACCCACTCGGGCGACTGCGTCCATCCCAAACTGCCAGCCCAGACTGCCTTTCCTGGTCGGACGGCTGCAACTCGGTCGCCCAGCCCCAGCAATCCGCCTCGGCCACAGCAAACGTGCGTGCGCAGCACTGGCTGCCACCTGATCCGATAAGCAAACCTCGCGAGTCCCCCCCAGCCCATCATCATCGTCCAGCCCGCCCCCCGGCCTCCCCGGCTTGTCTTCTCCAGCTCGCTGCCTACTCGCTGCCTGCATCGGCCCACGCCCGTCCCTGTCGAACCCACCGCCATGGCATCCTCGCAGTCGCGACTCATCGTCGTCTCCAACCGCCTGCCTGTCACCATCACCAAGAACGAAAATGGCTGGAAGTTTGTCATGTCCTCGGGCGGACTCGTCTCTGGCCTCTCGGGTCTGAAGTCCGAGCAGGATTTTACCTGGATCGGATGGCCAGGTAAATGTAGAATTGCTGCCGTCGCCAGGCGCTCCTCCCCGCTCTCCGCATGCCGGCTGGCGAGGACGGCGGGCGCCTCTACGCCTCTGTCTCCACCTCTTTCTGTCGTCACCGGACCTCGGCTGCCCTCTCGACCCGTATCAGCAGCGTCCAGACCTGGCTACTGACGCCTCTGTGGTCAATCGTCGCTGTGACGACTGTCGGTCGGCTTCTCTTTCAGGTCTGGAGATCCCTGAGGACGAGCGTGAGACCGTTACCTCCCAGCTGGCCGAGCAGTATCACTGCGTCCCCGTCTTCATCTCGGACGACATTGCCGACAAGCACTACAACGGCTTCTCCAACAGGTAATATGGCGGCTGTGTCTTTGCCGATCCGCTCCATGCCTGTCCGCTGCGACTTGCAGTACGATTCAGCAGCTCAATGGTGTAGAGATGTCCACAGCATCAGATACATGACTGGCGGCACTTTCCATGAGTGCCGTTTGTCAACGTGATCGCCCTGGGCCCTGAATCATGCCGCCGCTCTCGATCTGTGGGGAGGGGTGCGGGCTGTCGCATGCACAGCCCGACGGCGGGACAGCACAGGGTTCATGATGCCCAGGACCCAATCTGACAGCGCTTTTCTTTCTGCGCCGCCAGCATCCTGTGGCCGCTCTTCCATTATCACCCCGGAGAGATCACCTTCAACGAGGAACACTGGGAGGCCTACCAGGCGGCGAACGAGGCCTTTGCCGAGTCCATCAGCAAGATTGTCCAGGACGGCGACCTGGTCTGGGTCCAAGACTACCATCTGATGCTGCTTCCTGCCATGCTGCGCTCCCGTCTGTCCCAGTCTGTCAATGTCAAGATCGGCTGGTTCCTGCACACCCCGTTCCCCTCCTCGGAGATTTACAGGTATGTCCCGTCCCTGCCAGCCACTTGCTGTGTCCAGTTCTCCGCTGGCCAGTGGTGTGTCTCGCACTCTACCGGCCGGCCGTCTGTGTGTCCGCTTCCCTGACTTGTTCCTGGTTCCTCGCATCCGTTCCCTGCGCTTGCTCTGCGTGTTTCGGCAATGCCTCCTGTCCTCTGTGCACTAGAATCCTCCCTGTGCGCAAGCAGATCCTCCTCGGCGTCTTGCAGAGCGATCTCTTGGGCTTCCATACGTACGACTATGCCCGCCACTTCCTGAGCTCCTGCACGCGCATCCTGGGTCTCCCGACCATGCCCAACGGTGTCGAGTTCGAGGGCAGGCCCGTCCACATCGGCACCTTCCCCATCGGCATTGAGCCCAACAAGTGGCTGGAGGTATGTGCCCTGCTGCCAAACTTCGGGAGCCTGAACTTGATGGACAAACGCTAGTCCTCGCTTTAAGGCTCGTCCTGTGTGCGAGACACTGCTGGCAACCGAGCTGTGCTTAACCCCCTGTGACCTTGCCGGGCTTCCATAGGGATTGAAGCGCCCCTCTGTTCAGGAGCGCATGCAGAGGCTCAAGGAGAAGTTTGGCAACACCAAGCTGCTCGTCGGCGTCGACCGCCTGGACTACATCAAGGGTGTCCCCCAGAAACTGCATGCCTTGGAGCTCTTCCTGGCCAAGCATCCCGAATGGCAAGAGAAGGTAGTAGCCGTGCATATACCTGTGCCCTGGTACAGAGTCTGTGGAATGGTTGCTCGGTTTGTGACAGCCACGAAACCATCACAGCAACTAACCCAGATTCGGATGACATCCACAGGTCGTCTTGATCCAGGTTGCCGTGCCTTCACGTCAAGATGTCGAGGAGTACCAGCATCTGCAAACCGTTGTCAACGAGCTTGTCGGTCGCATCAACGGCCGTTTCGGTGAGTGCCAGACCAAATGCCAGGTTTGATCCTTTGCCAAACCCTCCGCACCAGAGGTTGGTGCCATCCCCGGTGTGCACACTCGCCGCCCTGATCTGCACACCAGCAATCACTAACTGCTTCCTTTCTTCTGCACAGGCACGGTCGAGTTCACTCCCATCCACTTTATTCACAAGTCGGTCAACTTTGAGGAGCTGGTTGCACTCTATGCTGTTGCCGACGCCTGCATTGTCTCCTCGACTCGCGATGGAATGAACCTCGTTTCGTACGAATACGCTGCCTGCCAGCAGGAGAAGCACGGCGTCCTGATCCTTTCTGAGTTTGCTGGCGCCGCCCAGAGTCTCAACGGATCCATTATCGTCAACCCTTGGAACACCGAGGAGCTCGCCCAAGCCTACTTTGATGCGGTCACGATGCCGGACGATGTGAGGGAGGCCAACCACAACAAGGTGTTCAAGTACATCTCCAAATACACCGCCGGATACTGGGGTCTTACCTTTGTCAACGAGCTCACTGTATGTCTTTGTTGTGGGCGGGGGAGGGGCTGGCACTTGCTGCATCTGGCAATGAATGCATTCTCACCTGCGCTGCTGCTGTTGTCTGTGGCTGTCATAGCGCATCAAGCAAACCCAGGAACTCAAGAAGCTGATACATCTGGACGTCGATGACGTTGTCAACCGATGCGCCAGCGCCACCAAGAAGCGGGTGAGTCTCATTCGGACACAGCGTCGCTGTGATACAGCACCAATCCGTGAGGGTCCCGGACATGGCTGCGGTACCGTCGCCACTGTCTATCGAGTCGATACCGACGCTCGTGCGCTTACCCGACCTTTCTCTGCCTCTCGCAGCTCGTGCTCTTTGACTACGACGGCACCTTGACGCCCACCCACAAGCTGCCCGAGTTTGCGAGACCCTCGGTCGCCACGCTCGAGAACCTCCAGAAGCTGGTTGCCAACCCCAACGTTTATCTCTACATCCTCTCGGGCCGCTCGCGTGTCCACCTCGACCAATGGTTTGGCGAACTGCCCGTGGGTCTGTCGGCCGAGCACGGCTGCTTTGTCAAGCACCCACCCCGTGTCCGCTCCGAGCTCGATGAGATTGACTCGAGCAAGACCATTGCAGCGGTGGAGTCACTCTTGGCCTCAGGGGCGAACGAGGACACTCGCATCCAGTATCCCGATGGCTGGATCAGCCTTGTGGATCAGACCTTTGAGATGACCCAGACTTGGAGAGACACGGTCCGCCCTCTCTTCCAGTACTTTACCGAGCGTACTCCGGGCAGCTTCATCGAGGAGAAGGAGCTGAATCTGACCTGGCACTACCACGGAGCCGATCTTGAGTTTGGCAACTGGCAGGCCTCGGAGCTCCAGGCCAACCTCGAGAAGGTCCTGACGCACAATCCTGTCACGGTAAGGCAGTGTTGGGTTCGGTGGACCCGCCTCCTCTCTGAATGGCAATCTCTTGTCGATGAGCGATCTGGTCGGTGCCTGGCTAGGTTCGACGTGGCATCGACATGCACTTGCGTCCCCCAGCTACTCCACCTCATCCAGTGCGATTGATTCTCGATGCATCCGGCTTTGATGGACTAAACATCATGCAACCATCTTTGCCCATCCATACGACAGATCGTCAAGGGTAACAAGACCCTCGAGATTCGCCCCTCTGCCGTTGACAAAGCGAGCGCCTGCAGGCTGATCATGCGCGACCTCGGCGTCGCCCAAGGCGAAGTGGACTATGTCTTGGTCGTCGGCGACGGCAAGACGGATGAGGTTGTCTTTGAGCTGATCAACAAGACCCAGGCCACCTTTGACGCCCAGGAGCCTGCCAGCGAGGATGTCCCCGCCCCCGCCATCACCACCTTCACCACGACCGTCGGCAAGAAGCAGACCGTTGCCAACCACTTCCTCGAGAACGTCCGCGAGGTCGACTGGCTGCTCTACTCGCTCGCCGAGAAGAGGTTTTAAAGCGCAACGGACCAGCAGCAAGCGCTGTGATCGCCTCCCTCTCCCTCGTCCTCCGAGTGAACAGGATTAGGCACACGAGCTCCTGGCATTTCGACTTGATATGCTCTTTGTCCTCCCCTCCCCCTCCATTTTATATCCCGTTCTCTCCTTTATCTCTTGTCTTTTTTTTTGCTCCGTAACGAACCTTTAAACTCCCACTTTGTGTCTTGTTAGATTCCGGTACCGTGCGCGCTTTGACTGGATGGATCCTGCCGTGAGTCTCTTGCTTTACAGGCAATCCAATAAAAAACGGGACACCCGGGATTTTGACCATTCATCGAATATTTTGTTACCCAATGTTATCGCGCGCTGGCCATGACCATTCGCCACACATCCCGGGTCCCAGCTCGCAGATCCACTTTCTTCGAGCAGGCATGTCCAGTCATTCGCACCCTGATTGAACAGGACCCGTTCCAGACTGGTCCTGTGTTGCAATGCAAGCTCGAGTCCATCCTCCAGAGGAAAGTATCACTCTCACTCTGCCACACTGCCATCCAGCGAGCAGGTCTCTCACACAAGAGGGCAACACACCTCTACAAGTCCAAGCGACTGGATGAGCGAGTGGCACAGTTCAGGGACCAGGTCCGCTCCATCGACCCGCGGCGATTCGTTTTTGTCGACGAGACGGGGATCAGGAAATCCATTTTCCCTCTTTACGGATACTCGCCGAAGGGTGCTCCGCTTCGCCAGTGCAATCACATGAAACACAAGTCTGTCTCGGCTGCATTTGCCATCAACCACTCTGGTGTGCTGCATCGCATGTACATCCCCACATCATTCAAGACACACTCGATGGTCGAGTTCTTTGAGCGAGCGACCTTCCCAGACGACTCTGTGGTTGTGATGGACAATGTCAGCATGCACAAGACAAGGGCTGTCCTGGACTGCATCGAGCGCCGAGGATGGTCAGTGATCTTCACCCCACCTGCTTCACCCGACTTCAATCCCATCGAGAACTTCTTTGGGGTTGTGAAGCATCAGTACAGGAAGGCAGCAGCGCTGAATGCGTCCGAGGGGTTCAAGGTCGGGATGGTGACCCTGTTTGAGTCTGCCGTTCGGAGGGTGCTTCCAGATGTCTTCCCACGGCTGATTGAGCGAGCGATGCGCTTCTGGGGTTGAGTTCCCTCCAATCAAGCCGCCGTTCTCACGTTCACATCCCTGTCTTGAACCTCTCGGCGATTTTTGAACAGGGTCACTTCCCCAACCAGCCCGCAACGACGGGCTCCTGCTCTTGGGTATAAATGTCCCACCTTCGTCCTGCTGCTTTCTTCCCTCATCTCGCCTTGATCTGATCATTCGCGCCATTGTACGATAAAAAAGTCTCTGCTCTGACCAGTACCACTGGCAGGCATCCAGCATTCTCTGGCCCCATGCCTCCGAAGCGTAAGGGTACCGGTGATGGCCAGCCTCGGCCACCCAGGCCCAAGAAAGCCAAGTCACAGTCGGAGCCTGTCTCTGGTTCGTATTCTGACCCCACGCATGCTTGTTTCTCTGTTGCTCCGTCGCTCACCACCACTGCTTCTGCAGATCCAATGGATGTCGATCCCACCGAGCCTGGTCCATCTACTTCCTCGAGTACCGGCAAGCGATGTCGCCAGTGCGATGGCACCGATCACGAACGTTGCAACACCAGCAAATGTCCCAAATACCGGCCCCTCAAGAGTTCTGTCGTCCCACTCGTGGATGGAAGGTCATCCGCCCCTCAGTTCAGCTGCTTCAAGCAGACGATGGATGGCTGTTGTCTCAATCCCGCTCTCCGCGACAAGATCCAGGCCACCGTCGAGGCCATGACCCAGATCCAGTTCGAGGCATCCAGGCTGCTCAACCTGCACATCCTCCGGTGCATCGAGCAGGATCTTCCCGTCCCCGTCATCTCCAAGGCCACCCCTGCTTTCATCCGCCAGTGCTTCACGATTGTCGAGGCCGGTGCCCTCTCCCCGACCGGGGACAATGAGAAATACAACGAGCATCTGGTCGCTTCCTTTCGCGACTACCAGACCACTCGGCACGCAGACCTGCCTCCGGCCCCTCGTCTGCCTGATGGCGCTCACAGTCAGCTTCTCACCCTGGCTGTCAATGCCTATGCCACCAACTGCACCACCCACCTCAACCTGGCCTACTGGCGACTCCTTCGCCGCTTCTGCGCTGCCGTCTTCCCAGCCAACAAGCACAAGCACGAAGCCATCGAGGCCTGTCTCGAGCTCTTCGAGAAACCAGGGCAGACTCCACCCAAGGCCGATCTCGAGTTCCTCTATCCAGACTTTGGCCACGTCCTGGACGAGTTTCGGTACAGCAACGACCAGGACCGCTTCCGGGCCCTCCATCGCCTCTCACACCATGTGAGAATCCTCGCCCGAGACAAGATGGTCGACGATGTCCACAAGTGGATCGACTGCGACATGCCCGCCCTCCGAGTCACCGAACTGCAGCGCCAGGCCAAGCTGGACGAGCTCACTACCCAAGGCATTCCCTCCGACGACAAGAGGTTCACCACGGCCAAGTCTGAGCTCGGCACCACCAAGGCCAAGATCAACAAGCTGGCATCCAGGATCAACTGGGCACTCAAGCAGCTCGCTCTCGACACTCCTCCGGCCGTGTGCACGATAGTTCCTCTATGCACAGCCAAGGTCAAGTATGTCAAGATTGACACGGTCACTCTCTGGCAACTCCTTGACACCGAACAGCACCTTGGCCTCACCTGGGACATGCTCAAGGAAGAAGGTGAGGACGGCATCAACAACCAGGATCGTCTCTGGCGCAGCTGCTTCAAGCTGCGTAGTTCCCTCTTCCAAGAGCGAGACGTGAACAAGAAGCTGTTCAACTACGAGATCAGCACCGATGGCATTGGATGCACCATCGGCCTCGTCAAGTTTGTGCGTCGAACCGATCACACCGAGACCACCACACCCGTCAAGACTGCCGAGCAGCGTATCCAGGCCCACATCGGCAGCCCAGACCCCGACAAGACCACTTGGATTGGCATCGATCCTGGAGTCGGCTCCATCTTCACGGCGGTCATCCAAGCACCGGGCCACCAAGACGAGGTGGTCTCGTTCTCCAATGGCCACTACCAGCACATGTGTGGCCACAAGTCCAACACCGACTGGCACAACACCATGAAGTATCGACTCAGCATCGAGACCTGGATGTCGACCACCCCCTCGCCCAAGGTGTCGTCCTCGGAGGCCTTCAAGGTCCATCTCACCCATGTCCTGCGACCGGAGCTGCGAGTGCAGCTCGACTTCCACCTTGGCAAGAAGGCCCGTCACCATCGCTTCACGGGCCACAAGAGGCGCCAAGTGGCCGTCGACAGGATGTGCAAGGCCGTCCTGAAGCACGCCCCGATACGGACCGATGTGGTGATCGCCTTTGGCAATGCGTCATGGCGTCAAGGCAAGGGCTATGCATCCAGCCCTCGGAGGCAGCGGTTTGCTCGGTACTTTGAGCAGTTCGAGCACCACCGACGCCGTCCCAATCACCCTCATGGAAGCGTCAAGGTGGCCTCAACGAACGAGTTCAACACCTCGCAGGTGTGCTCCAAGTGCCTGGAGCCAGTTCGGTTGGAAGGACTCGATGCGCCCAGTGTTGCGAATTCCCACTTTGTCAGGAGCTGCAAGAATCCCAGCTGCCGGACAGTGTGGAATCGCGACGTCAATGCGGCGCGCAACATGATCACAGTATGCAAGTCGATTGTGGAGACCGGAGGGCGACCGGCGGTCTTCACTCGGAGGCTGCCAAAGTGATCTGTTTTATTTCTTGTGGCTTTGCTTGACGCAAGCACAGCACATACTACATGTTCATGGAAACGGCTATATTGTCCCGTTTTTTTCTGAATAAAGTGTACACATGAGTAAACGGGGCGCCCTCACGATCCCATTTGTCAGCGTAGTATGCGATGGCATGCGTCAAGCTAAGCCATAAGAAATAAAACGGATCACTTTGGCAGACTCTGAGTGAACACCACCAGTCGCTCTCCGGTCCCCACAATCGATCCGCACACTGGCCTCGGAGTGCCAGCGGTGAATGGTGCCCTTGGACACACTGGCGAATGACCATGGTCAGCACGCGATGGTATTGAGTAACAAAATATTTGATCAATCGTCAAAATGACGGATGTCCCGTTTTTTATTGGATTGGCTGTAACCGTTTGATTGGACGAGCGCTGGAGACGCCGCGCTGTGGAGGGTCTCATCCCACAGATTCACCGACGAATGACGTCGACAGAGCCAACCATGATTGGGCAGCATTGTATTCTGATCTAGAGTGACGGATCGGATGAGACAACAGTCCGCCGCAGGGCGGGCCATCAGCGTTGGAGCGGACAGGGTGCAGCGACGACTCCATACTTACCAGTGCTTTGTACGAATACTCGCTGTTGGGACCGGCCAGGTATCCCTGGGTCTTCCGGGACATCTTGTCTTGACCAAGCATCGACTTGACTCCCTGCAACAGGTAATCGCCGACCTGTCTGTGGCGACCACTTCCTGGAAATGGACTATGTCGCAGAGTCTACTTCGCGGGAACTGGCTCAGACAACCAGCCCATCGAACGGCCGCTCCAGTCCACACGAATCCGGTCCGTCAAGGGCCAGCTCAGGATTCGGCTCAAAGACTACATCACCAAGCAGACCAAAGTCGGCCGGCGACGTTGATGGCCTCGACAGGATCGTTGCGAGTCCTCAACCGGGCTCGAGAGGCTCTCGTCCAACATCCGCACACACCCCGGCACAGATATCCAATGCCGGTAGCAAAGATACCACCGCAGCATCGTCACAGGCTTCGCTACAACGCTCGGCTGCAGCAGCTCGTGCTGCCATAGCCAATAGCGGCCCGCTCTCACGAAGGTCATCTAGTGCAAGGTCCCGGCGGAGCAATAGCCCCACAGCAAGCCGAGCACCATCGTCGCTGCGACAGGAGATCGTGCCGTTGTCCAAGGAGGCTTCAGAACGGGCAAAGAGGTTCTGGGAAATCGTGAGAAAGGCCTTTCTCCGCAAGGACATTGACGCCTTTGCGCTTCTGGCGGGCACAAAGGCGCCAGTGCCCTATCCCATCACCATCCGCCAGGGGTTCCAGTTCAAGTACCGCCTGAGGTCCAAGCATGCGATCGTGTGTGCCATCCAGCATCCTCGGGTGCCGATCCGCTTCGAGGGCGGCTGTCTCGGAACCGAAGCCGACGCTGGCTACGAGGAAAGCGAGGACGAAAGCAGCCTCGAGGACGACCACGACCACCCGGACGGGAAGGAGAGCACCAAAGTCAAAAAATCGAGGCCGTACACGATCGCCTGTGTCGACCGCGCTCGCGGGATCATTGTCTGGGATGTTACCCGGGTGTCCTTCAGCACCAAGCCGCGGATCATGCTCAAGCTCAAGACCGACCTGACCAACTTTGTGTTTTTGTCAAAGTTTGGCATGTACTGCGGGTGCTCGTATGACAAGTCGATCAAGGTTGGTCAGGCGGTTGGTGAATGGCACTGCGGATTTGCGGGGCGATTCCATTCGGAGGTGACGCCGGGCTGACCAAAGTACAGTTTTTCAACGCCAGATTCGAGCTTGCTAATATCTATTATACCATGAAGGCCGTTCAGTTGTGAGTTGATCAGCCGGACGCATCCACATCCGCATCTGTCCGCATGGGCACTTGTCGGACGACGAGTACAGCTGGATGATTGCACATGCCTTTGCTATCCCGACTACATCACCGTTGTCGCGATCGAGCAAGCGCGCGGCTGCAGCAGCACTGCTCGCGCCTCGACCCGAAAGCTTATGGATTGTACTTTTCTCACCATTCTTGGTTCTAGTGTGCGCTACAACTCCATCAGCCATGAGCTGGTGACAGCCGGATCGCATAACATCTGCGTAGGTGCTCCCGACTATCCGCGGGATGATCGTGCTACCGCGCGGGGCCTCGACTGGGGGTCTAACGAGCCGTGATGAACCGATTGTAGGTCTGGACAATCCAAGGGCGAATGCACAAGTAAGTTGATGAGGGCACCAAGTAGTAGTATCACACTGTTCTCTTGAGAGAGTGGCTAGAATTCATTGTGAGGGTGGCACCTCTGGGTGGGAGTGGATGGAGTTTATTGAGTCCAAGTTCTCACGGTGCACCCCTTGGCTCCTGGTCAGAGGGGTTGTGCATCTGCAGCCGACTCTAAAGTACGAGATCGAGACCGATCTTTCGACAGACGAATGGATCACCAGCATCTATCTCGATGAAGCAAATCACAGGATGTACGCCATCATCGACACGCGGATTTTGGTACGTGACCAGCTCCTGGCCATATCAGCGACGATCATGGACTCACAACTATGTTTCATTCGGAGCAGGTATACGACCAGTTGTTTGGGGAAAGAGTGGAATGCATGTCGCAAGTCTCCAATCGGCAGATATGCTGCATTCTGCACTACAGCGAATATAATTACACCATCATCGCCTGCGCGGATGGGTCAAGTAAGTTCTGGACAGCCGAGCTCGTTGCGGGTATTTGCTACGTACTCACACCATGACACTTGGCTCCTTGTACATCACCTCCCCTCATCTCACCTCACCTCACACCTTGCCACCATAGTCAAGATCAAGAACCTCACCAATGCGGTTGTCCATGAGTTCACAAGCCACACAAAGCGTGTGACGGGGCTGGCGGTCTATCCCTTTGGGCCAATCATCATGTCTTGTGCGCTCGACATGACGGTCCGTATGTACAATCTCAAAAACTTCAAGGAGGTTTACTGGTGAGCACATCATCGTAGCGCCACTCACATAACCCATCCTCCGTACTGACTGCTGTAATTGGTGGCGGGCAAAGCTTCCATATTCGTGAACAGCCGATGGGAATCGAAATTGCCGACAAGGCCGTTTTGAACATCTATACAAGGGAGGGGATCCTGGCTTGGAATCTCAACCATATCAATACAAGCTTCTCGTCCATCAAGTGAGGCACTTTGTCGTGCGGGGTCATCTCGAGAGACCGTGCCTTGGCAATGTAACTAAGTGCATATACCGTATGCTCACTCTTGTTGAATATCGCAGTTCGCAGGCTAAGCGTCTTGTCAACTATCAAGGCACTAGAACTCCATGTCGTATCTTGGCGTGGAGCGATGATAGCGTCATTCGGCTCATATCGCCCGCGACCGGCAAGTCCATAACGACTGTGCTGCCGCTTGTCGAGTCCGAGTCCATCACGGCGCTCAGCTATTGTCCGTCGATAGGTACTTGAATCGAGTCGATATGCTTGCTGAGGCAGACGAGGTCTTCAAAATAAGGATGATGTCTGAAACGTCGGTTGGGCGGCCAACTGCCATTTCTTCTGACGCTGTGCCTCATCTTGGCTGCAACAGAGAAGCTGTTTATCATGCTCACCAACTCTGAGATCTGGGTTATCGCCACCAACGTGAATCCGTGTCTGGTCGTGGATATATGGCGACCCAACGGACCAAGTAAGCCTCCATCCCACATTGCTGCAGTGCGATATTCACAATCTAACATGGGCCTCGCTCCCAGTCCGCGAGGATTGCACATGTATATGCGTTTGCGATGGCGTGTTCCAGCATCATCAGCCATCGCCCAGTGGGTACGAGCGCAGCAAAGGATTTGCCTTCTTGTTCGGCGGAACGGGCAACGGTCAAGTTCTGGTGTATACACGGTTTGGGGTGGTATGCGATCGGTATCAGGTCAGTTTCCGGCTGATCCACCGCGGACACGATTCGACGACTTCATTGTAGCATTCGAATCTGCGAAGAAACGTGCAGGATACCAACGTTGATTCATCCAGAGCATCGCTCGTGCTGCTCACGCACACACATGTGTGTTCCTTTGATAGCTCCATAATGGTGAAGTCACGCAAATCATCTACATCTCCAAACAGCAGCTTTTGATTACGGGAGGTGCAGGTAGGACCCCGCATCCGCATCGGATCCTTAATTTACGCCTACACTCAGACGAGCTCCGATCTGGCGGTATCAGACGAATTGATCAAGATATGCACACTGGAGCCCATGAGCAGCGAGCTGATCCAAGTCAAAGTGAGCATCAAGGCTGGATTCATACCGCGGCTTATATCCATTAGCGACAATGCCGTGGCAGCAACGTCCGATGACTGGAGCATCCACATGTTTCAATTCAACCTGCATCGGAACGGTACGCACAGATTTGAAAGAGTACCAGCTCGATCAATGGCATGTCCGGTCGTTAATTGGTGGCTTGTTGAACTTCCCCCATTTGCTCACCATCCTCTACAATCCTGGGAGCAGAGAGCAGAAAAATGCCGACGCATCTGCGCTCCGACGACCACACGGATGCGGTCACAGCAATATGTCCAATCCCTATGCTTGGCCTGTTCATCTCCTCCTCGCGAGATGGCACGCTTCGTTTGTGGGATAGCTTCAACACTCTGATCAGGTTCGTTTTCACCCACCAAGACTGACTGCTGATCGATACAGTGTAACTGCATCATGGCGTCGTCGCCCTTTTCCGCGCGCCACGATCCCGGCTTATCAAACTCAACCAACCCAATGTAATGCAGAGAGGTGCAGTTCACGCAGCCGCTCGAAGCTGTCTGCGTCAACTCAGAGAGAGGAGACATTCTTGTTGGCATCCAGAACCGAGTCGACATCATTCAGTACTCTTTGTGTAAGTACCGTCGTGCCACAGAGCTGAATATGCGGCATCAAAGATGTCAGGCATATGCAATTTACTACATCTAGTCTTGAGCGCGGCTTGAGATACATGCGTTTGGGTTCTCAATGACCTCAGCGATCGCCGTGCAATCGAGGCAACACTTGCCAAGGCTCGTCTTCGTCAGCACTCATGACCCATCACATCGAATAGATCTGCCTCCCGGATACATTGCCACAGTGCAGTCCCTCGAATTTCCGGAGATGCCGGTGGAGCCTTCCTTGCCCTTTGACGACAATCAAGCGATTTGGAAGGCGGTGTACGAGAGGAAGATGGCTAGGTGGGTGTTGGTCGCAGTTTGCGGCATCCTGTGCACTCGAAGGCTGATTCATGAAGGGGATATAGTGATCGCACTGGCTGAAGTATTCACTTGCACCGACTGTGGGCTTGAATCAAGACCGCTGCAGAGCTATTCGACAAGACAAGACTTTTTTCACGCCATCAACCTTGTCAGCACGGGTGTGGAGGCTCTCAGCTCTCAAAGCCTCTCCTCCGCAACTACATTCGAACTGGAGACTCCGATGTTGTCAAAGGAGCATCAACTCAGCTCAACCGAAAACATTTATCGAATGTTGGATGTTTTGATGCTGCGCCGGCAAGAAGTTGTCGACCGTGCCAAGAAGCGTATCAGCGAGGAGCTGTCCAACGTCCGGCGCAAGGTAAATCGATATTTGCCGGCCGATGATGATGATGATGATGATGATGATGATGATGATGATGATGATGATGATGATGATGATGATGATGATGATGATGCAAAATGCTTCGTAAGCTGACACTGTGTATGGACAGGATCAAATCCTCCACGAAGAGTACGAAAAGTATATCAAATACAGGCCTCTGATGCAACGCGAGCTTGAAGAAGACAGTGAGAAAGCTGGCTACAGGAGCTACTCGTTGAGCTATCTGCAGTTCTCAGCACCAATAACCCCTAGAGGCGAGGTTGCCGAAGAGCTTACGGTGAGTTATTTAGCAGACACGAGAGGAGCATCAACGATGATGCTGCAATCGAGACTGAGCCACACGCAGCTTCTCAGAGAGGTCAAGGAGATTCAAATGAACGAGGCCGAGTCGATCGAGAGCGTAGCTGCTCTAGAGCAAGGTATGCAATGCCAATCGAGCTGGACTCGCACGATACGGACGAAGATATGCGAATGAAATCGACGCCGACTTCTGGCTTGGTGCGAGTTCATCAAGATTTACACCGTATCCTGCAATCTTCCCAGCTGCAGAATCAATTCAGTCAGTGACGCTAGAAGAACCAAGTGTCCCTATCATTCAAGAAGTTCCTCAGGAAAGCATTTCACAAATCATCGCCAAAATGCCAGTAACACCAAAGCACAGACTGAAAGTTGCCCCGGATGGAGAGATTCCAAACTCGGTGCTTTCTCACAACGTCGAGTCGTGGCGATCAAAGCACACGGGATATCAACGTGCTGGGGCAATCAGAGGCATTCGACGAAAGAAAAAGGAAGCACCCAAGCCTGCTGACACTGTCGAGCGCAAGAAGAAGAGCGACGAGTACAAGGAGAGACTCAAAAATCTACTCGAGAACATGGCCAAGAAAGAGGAGGAAGAGAAAGCACAGGCAAACGAGGCTAATATCGTCGTTATAGAGGATGAAGATGAGAATGAAGCGGAGGAGGAAGAGGAGGTCTACAGATCGAGGCTGCCTGCGAATACTGGGCTCCGAAACGTCCAGATGTACGATCCTATCGTGCAAGTTGTGGCAGAGAAGGTCCCGATGATCGTGCAGAAAGCTCTGGCGTTCTCATGGTTTCCGGACGACGAGGTGAGTTTCTCTTCAAGTTCTTGGCAGTCGCTTGGTGGATACAGTTGTAGCGGATCTTGTACCGCTCCAGTTCAATGGAGACAGATCCCCATCTCTTGGGCGGATCGGTGCGGGCGACTCACAACCGAGCAGCTCTATCACACACAACAAGCCGTGAACGATCCGTATGGTGTCGTGCGTCCATCGAGCCGAAAACTGGTATGTACTCCGAGAATATCGAAATGAATGCCATACAGTGTCTCTAACGACCAACACCGATGCAGAAAATCAATCCGACGCCAGAAGCCATCGCCGAGATCATAGTGGGCAAACTGTGGGAGTACTCCAAGCCGGAAATCAAGCTGGAGATGCTGGACTTTATCAATTGGATCTATGAGGAGCTCGGCATCCGAGACACAACTATGATTATGCGAACACTCTGCAGGTATCTGCAGTCGAGGCTCACCGAGTCGATGGATGACACCGATGTCAAGGTAAGCACGTTTGCTACAGGCTATTGTGGGCGACCCGGTGATTGCCCGTGCTCTCATATCCTTCTGGCATCATACCTTTGTGTCAATCTGGACTTCAAATGCTCCCACGCACTCGATAGCTGACGGCAGACATGCTTTGGATACTCTCGTCTTGACACCCAGCTTCGAGAAAAGATCATAGGTGTTTTGACAAAGTTCTCGGTTCCATATACCGAAGTGATATCGACGTTGATCATGCAGCTGATCTTGCCTTACGAGCCGATTGTCGCGCCATCAAAGCACTTGATGTCAGCACTCGGAATTGCTTGTGCCGAAAGTCAGTTCCTCAAGATGCAGATTGAAGAGATCTACAATGAGGTAGGCCAGTACTATCCACGGGCCTTACTCCTGCTCCTGCTCTACCAACATCTCGATCATGTCGCACGATGGTGCCAGCAGCGATAATGTCGCCGACTGAGCCGACAATCACCAATGCCGCGCATACAGGCGCAGGGCTTGCTTTGACCAACATACAACTTGGATGTGTTTGTGGCGCAGTCTCAAAACCAACTCATGGCATTTAATGCCGCAAGGGGTGAGAGTGGATCTCGGCCACAAACGCTCACGAAACCAAAAGACTTCCGGGAGCTAGCGACGCTGTGGATCCGGACGTGCTTGAAAAACTACTTGATGAAGACGCTGAAGGATAAGGACGCAATTGCGCTTCTAAAGAAGCTCACTCCCTTCGGAATCGAAGACCGCGGCAGCACCAGCAACTCGTCGGCACCAAGCACCCCTGCTCAAGCATCCTCAACGGGCACGGCAAAAACTTCAAACCCAAGTACCCCCTCCAATCAAATCGACAAATCTCGGCGCTCGTCCGTCAAGGGTCGCCGCGAGTCCACAGCCACACAAAGCAGGAGACCAACGAGCCCGCAGAAGACCCGCTCACGCCAGACCTCGATCGCTACTGGAGCAAACCAAGGCAGGTCCACGCCTGGAAGCAGGCCGAGGGCAAACAGCGTGACCGGCCATTCAGATCTTGATGCAGCAGACCCAAAGTTCCCATCTGGCTCACACAAGGCTGGCTCACGTCGAGGCTCGTTGGCTGTCGGTTCAACACAGGATCGGGCAACACCGACGGGCAGGCCAAGGGCAAGTAGCGTCAGCTTCCATCCGGATGTCGGCGAATCCGGTCCGGAGGATCCAAAAGACCAGCTCAGGCGCCTTGCCGTCACGCTTGAAAGCTCAAACGAGAAGCTGGATGAAGAGACCAACGAGGCCATTGTCTCACGCCCGGTGACAGCCATCGGTGACTCGACCATAGAAGGAGTTGTCATCGAGACCCGGGATCCAGGCTCACGCGATCCGGTGAGCATCTTGCGGAATCCTTCCGGCCAAGACTTTGTGGATGCAGTGAACTACTTCATTGTCACATTGGAAAAGAAGGCGGCGAAGGAGGAGCAAGAACGGCTTGCCAAACTGCGCGAGCAGTCCGCGCAGGCCCAGAGACAGCGTCTCGAAGCTGAAAAGAAAGCACAGCTCGAGGAGTACCTCAGACAGAAAGAAGAGGAGCGACAGGCCCGATCGGCCGCACGACGAGAGAGAATAGCCAGTCTCAGGGCGCAAGAGAAGGCCAAGGCCGACGAGTCCCAGAAGAGGCGACGCGGAGTCAACTGGAAGACAGTCGGACAGACGCACCAAAGCAAATGCCATCCGTCACGGGAAACACTCAACGTTGCCTTGGGTGAGTTTCGTCGCCCACTTTCCATGTTTGGCTGCAGACCGTCAGTCCGAGCCACAGTCCGGCTGGCTGCACATTCAGACATCCGGGCTGACACGGGCTCCTGATCCTTGACTTCCTCACGCAGACAAATTTCCGTCCATGTGTGGATCCTTCTTGCGATCGTTCACCAATGAAATCACCCTCAACATGGCATCGCTGGCCAAGACCATGCCGATGGAACACGTCGTCTTGAGCCCGTTTGGCGAGCCTCCACTCTCCCAGAGGATTCTGTCCGCCGCAGCCCGAGAAAAGGTTCATGGGCGAGACTATCCGTACTCGCCGTTTGTGAACTCGCAACACACCTTGGTCCCGGAGTGGAAAGAATATCACGCCGATGAACGACGTTCTTCGACGACTCGTTCGGATGTGTCGTATATCCGGGCGCCGTTGACTTTCCGTGAAAACAACGTAAGGATCGTCAAGGATCTCTACCTCCAAGAATTCGACCCGGAGGGCGACGAGTCAGCAAAGTTCAAGACCCAGAAGAAGTACTTTATTCCATCGCTTGCCGTTCCTGACATTGACGATGAGTTGAATGACGAGCTCCAGAACATGGACGAGAGCGAGCGCCCTTCCCAGGCACACTCGCACCGACACTCGCACTCACACTCGCACTCGCAGTCCTTCCATCGGCTTTCGGAAACAGACCAGCAGCTTCAAAGAATGAAAAACAGGCGCTACATATAGCCGATCTGTTGAGCCAACTGTGCCAGCAAAGCTGCTCTCCAGAGATATGGGTGCCGATGCAAGGACCGCACTGTTGCGGCGTTAGCAGGGTCTATCGGCCCCCTCCCGGTTTGGGACCGTATTCCCTGGTATCTGAATACACACGTGTTCGCAGTGCCTACAATCTCCGGACTGGAAGAGTCGACCGCTTTATTCTCTCCGTGGCTTTTTTCGAGGGCGGCTCTGAGCCGCCTCGATAACTGTGACGGCAGCACAGGCATGGGTGATCCAGGACGAAACATGACATGTTGTAAGCCAGATGCCAAAGGACACACGGGAGGCATATCGATTGGCCATTCGCAGCGCAACAACCACCATAACAGGTTATAGCGAGCGGAAAACGGGAATGACGATTCAATAGAAAAACGTTGCCGTATCAGAATGAGGATGTGATCGACGGTGAGAGGGGATCATCAGAGAGGGAAACGGAATGAAATCGAGCGAAGGGAAGGCGGCGAGCCAATAAGGAATGACAACAAAGAGGCGAGAGAATGTCAGGACAGACAGCCGCAATGGCGATCGGGGTTGCCCAGACGGCAGCAAGCACATCTACGGTCTTGAGCCAGACTTTCCTTCAGCAAACTCAACCTTGATCCAGCTCTCGCACTCGGGCTTGGTCCCGTGGGGGTGCTCCAACTGCCACTCCATGACGCGGTATAGGTATTCTCCGACCTGCGGTCCAGGCCGGATGCAGAGAATCCGAGCAATGTCCTTGCCCTACCGTATACGTCGATATCGCCAACCAAGACCACAATTAATGAGTGCCGCGAGGCTCGCCGTGCGAGGAGCTTTAGCAACATGTGCGAGGAGCTCGGAGCACCAGGACAGCCACGCTACACTCGCCGCTTCCACACTCCCGCAATCATTAAACTATGCTTACATCCAGAAGAGGCTTGAGGTCGTGCAAGTGCTCCATGTCATACCGAGCCACATTCTGCATGAATAGCGCGTAGTTTCCGATGGTCTTGGACACCTCAGGATCTGATCAAGGTATGAGCCGTTTAGGATGCGCTCCATCGCCCAGCAGCGCTGCACCAAGGACAGAATCACCAAATAATACGCAGGAAAGCTGATACTAACTGTCAAGATGAGCGGAGTCGGCTGGATCGCCGAGCTGGCTGATTTCTAGTGCCAGGGAATAGATAAGTGCGAGGGGCCACTTGGGCCCAAGTGGTTTGAAGACCTCCCTCGCACCCAAGGGCTTGCTGGCGATATTGCGGATGAGCTGGCCGATCGTTTTGCGGTCGGTAATGGGGGTGATATCCCGGCACAGCTTCGTGATGAGAGGCTGGAATCCTTGCAGAGCGTGGCAGACATCGCCGTCGTGCACATTGAGCTGAACGTTGACAAGGGTTTGTTTGAGTGGGATCGGGTCCATCCAATGAGCCAGCTCCATCGATGTCGTGTGCATACTTTCTGTTGCCGCAATGGTCAACGCTCCTCCACTTACTTTGAGGGAAACGACCGCCATGTACTTGCTGACAGGGTACTCGCGAGCTTTCTCCGTATACGTTTGGTCAGCAAACGGACACATGGAGGCGCAGAGGTAGAGTATTCGGTGGTCATCTTCGGAGAGTGGCAGGGCATGTTCTGGTACAATCCGCGATAAGACTTGCGCGTTGCTCAAGAGACTGGTCGATTACAGCGAATCAAACATGTTAGCACGGGCCATCAGCAGCCTCGATATCATACGAACAAGAACCACGGTCCATGCAAAGAGTCCAGCGCGAATGTGATAGAACGAACCGTTTAAGAGCCTTCGCAACAGAGAGCGCAGTGTCGCCGTTGAGCACTGGCTCGACCGACTCTGGCGGCATAAAAACGAGCGAATAATATCCAAAGTCGCAGACAAGCTGAAGCGAGCGCAGGGGATCTGGCCCCCTCATCATCTTATCCACCTCGGTTCCTATACGCTCTCGGCTTAATTTTGAGCCAAAGGCACTCTAGGGTCGGGGTGTTGCCGCCAGACTGTCAGAAGTGGATGATATCCTTCGTGCCAATCTCGATGCTGCCGCCAAAGTGGGCATCAAGTGTGGGTCGATGATGCACATGTCCGCTCAACATACTCTGACATCGGAATTTGCGGCTGCGGGGGCAATCGCTGTGTCGATCTGGTAGCCAAAGCGGCTTGCAAACCGGATCACGCGGAGGATCCTAAGCGGATCATCGAGGAACGTTTGAATGGGATCCAGAGGCGTGCGGACGAGCCCACTGCGAAGATCCGAGAGGCCCTGGGTCAAAAAAAGGCAGCATATCCAGTGATGAGCACCTCCTGCAGGTTGAGACTGCTGTGATAAGCGCGAGAGTATGCCGAGCCAAGCGACAGCCCACAAACCGAACCTGGCCAGTATAATCCTCGACTTGTTTGCTCTGGATGTTGTAAAAGAGCGCGTTGATGGTAATGTCACGCCGCTGAGCGTCTTCGAGAGGAGTGCCGAATCGCTGGGGGGGGGATTCATCCAAAAGCATGATTTAATGAGCGACCGCAAGGAAGCTGGCTGCACTCAACATGGGGACTCATCGATGCAGAGGCGAACCGATGGCCCTGTAACCGAGGCGGAACCATGGCCTCAACGCACATTCGAAGCCATCCGCTGCCGGCGAGTCCAACAGCACTATCCAAAGGACCTAGATTTCTCACCACAATGGGGATACGGCTATCCTCCCGATAAGATTCGGTTCGTAGATTGACAAAGTCGATAAAGTTGCCCATGACTTTGGTTGTCGCTGTTTCAAGATGCTTGGACTTTTCGGGATTCGAGTCAATCTTGCCAAGGGTGTGGGTTTCGAAGCCGTTCTCGGCCAGGTAGCGATTGACCTGGAGCGCAAAGTCGTACCCCATCATGGTATCGAGGGCAATATCGATGTCATGGGACTCCATTCCGAGAAGCTGAAACAGCCACGAGAAACATCCAAAGGACTCGTCAGCCCTGGGTAGCGGCAGCTGCGGCCGAAATAGCAATCTGACAGATGCACAGATCATCGAGCGACAGGCTCATCTGTGTCCGTGTGAGCTGCATGGTGCCAGCGGTCGCCTGGTTCATTACGCTCATTTCCTCCACGGCTTCTGCTACCGTGTTCTTCGAGTAGCCACTTTTGTTGTGGCTCTATCCGCATCCTCTGCCACCGCATGCATTCGACGGCATCCATCAACCGTGGTCGCCCGCGACCGGAGGCTGGAGCCCAAGGCCAACACCAACCAGCCCATCGTCCTGGAACTTGATTGTGCCGACTCACCTTATCGCGGACCCAACCCCCCGCAACACGCAGGGTGACGTCCTTTGGCGGTTGTTGATGGTGCAGGTGTTCGGCGCATTTGGAGAGAATATCGAAAATCTTGCTCTCTTGCTCCGTCAGGGTTATGCAGCCGATCTGCGTCAATGGGGGAGTGTCGGGCGACATGGCTGGGCTTGGTGTTGAGCTGGCGGACAGATGGTTATGGAAACGTCGAAGGCTGGGCCGAAAGCGCCAGATTGGCCGAGTATGGGCTGCAAGTCGTAACCAAAGGCAGTTGGATGCACCACCATGCATTTATTGGGCAGGCGGGTCTGCAATGATCAAGAGCAGAGTGAGAGATCGTTGGGTAGACGCAGCCAGACCATTCCGGTCGAATGCGGCGCGGCTGTGGCCGAGTCACTTGGCAGCGGTGAGTGGGATGAGTATACCTTGGTTTCCAGCGACGGCACTGGTGGATTTATCACTACCAATCCGTTCAAACGTTCCAGATGGCTGGTTTGGCTGGCCGAGGCAGTTGCAGTCGGTCGCAGTCGATGTTGAGTGCCCGACACAAACCCGAACAACAGCCGATCTGGCCAGAGAGCAATATCACGTGCCTTCATCGTGATGCCGACGTGACTGTCGACGGCCCGCGTTGATCTGGTTGTCGGTTCGCTGCCGCCGGATCAACCCAGATCAACCCAGATCAACCCAGATCAGCCCAGATCAACCCAGATGCGCCCAAATCTGCTCGCCGTTCTTCAAAGGACACAACCACGGGCGATGCTCCGCTTCGTCCGCCCGGCCATTTCGATCAGCAGGCTGTTGTCAACGCGGCCAGGCGGAGCAAGGCCTCCAACGATCGTCCAGGGCTCGAGCCCAGCATCCCCAGGCGTCGCCGAAATGGCCAGATACCGTCATCGCGAGGTGATCTACACAGGGCCGCAGCTCTCGATGATCAAGTCGCTGGTGTGGCCGACGCTGGCCATCACTCTCTCCTCGCCGGTCATTGCGCTTTACAAGTTTGACGGCATCCTTGATAGCCCATGGACGCTTGCAAAACGTACGGCCGTGCAGAGCTGAGTTTGCCCTCTGCTCCGTCTCGCCTCCAACTGCGGGTGGACATCGCAGCCTTGTTGCAGATTCGCTAATATCTCGCTCGGCATGCGGCTCGAGCAGTTGGCATCGCCATGACGCTCCCACCTCTGGCCATCTGGGCTGTGACCCGGAACTATGTCCGGCACATCTTCCAGTACGCCGTTTCCCCCAAACACCTGGTGGTTCCGCCTCCTTCGTCACCCGAACAGCTGTCAATCGGATCGGCCCCGGTCGCCGATATGGTCTTGGCCTTTGAAAAGTCGCAGCATCTGTTTGGCAAGAAGGAATACCTCGTTCGAGTCTCGGATCTGCGGCACCACCGCACCAAGCTGGTTCCGTTGGGTGTTTTGGCCTCGCAATCGACCCGGGAGAAGTTTCGAGTTGACCCGGACCTATTCCAAGCACACCCGACCTTGAATCTCGTCTGGCACCAGATTTCGCTCCAAACGCCAGGGCATACCGATGCCGAGGCAACGACCGACAGCAAGCCCAAGACGCAATAAAGCAATCCGCTACGCTTGCCAGGCACCTGGGCAGCCGGCCAAGCCATTTGTTGTCGATCAGCAGCTTCAGTGACCCAGTTCTGGATCCAGTTCTGGATCCTGGTCTGGATCATGGTCTGGATCTTGACCCGGCCCACACGGTCTCTGTGAGCGTTGTTGTAGTGATCAGCCCTGACCCAAAGCGACGTTGGCAAGTGTGTCTACATTCCGACAAGCTGTCTCCCGGCTGTGTATTGCCCTGCGCAATATTGTTTTGCACTGGGGTTAAATTCTGGGAGGACATCGACTCTCTCTGGCCGAGCAGGCTTGGTTGCCAGTTTGCCGCAATGCCAGCGCCTGGGTCGGCCGACTCCTCGGCTGCTCCTGTCGAGTCGACTCGGCCACTCGGGCGACGCTTATCGGCAAGCTGTTCACACAAGCCGCTACGAGTCCAAGGAGAACCGATACCATTAGAGCGCCACCAGACTCAGAACTGCTGGTGGTGTTAGATGCATCGGACAGGCGACAGATTAGAGGAAGGCTTCGAGGGAGGAAGCGGCGCCTGCTGCTGGCGATCGACCTGAGAGCGGGTTTCGGGATTAGTGCACCCCGGCTGGGCACTGGGGGCGAGTGAGTCGAAATCGATAGGCAAGAGTGGGCAGAGATATTGGCTGCATCCTCCCTCATCCTTTGTCGAATGGCGATGGCGCCGTTCTCTCCAGACCAAGAATGGCTGTGGGATGGTCTGGGGTCGCATGGATCGCTCGGCTGCTCCGCCGCGCCATCAAGGGTGCTCTTGGCTGCCCGATCGCTCAACCTGCCCAGCAACCCGTCTCCTCCTCCATCTGCGCATCACCCGCCATCCAAGCGATGGAGGCCCCGCTTTCGCCTGAACGTCCGCCCGGCGGCTATTACTTTACGGACGACGGCCCTGTCTATCACGAGCGGCCACGGGACATCCACGACCTCCCCGACGACGTCCTCCTGAAGATCTTCAAGCTGCTACAGCCCGACATCATCGACAGGCTGAACTATGCCGACCGTCTGCCGAAGCTACCGCCCAGCCAGCGGGCAAATCGGGTTGCCTGGAGCCCCCACGCCTCTCTCCCGTGCGAGCTCGTCCTGTCCGCCGTATGTCGGCGATGGAGAAAGACTGCTCTGCGGCTGTTCTTTGCATCGTCGCTCAACCTGGCTGGATATCTGAGTCCCTATCGGCTCGTACGCTTGGCAAGAATGGAGTATGGGTTCGAAAAGCCCCTGGCCCTCTATTCATCCGACCGAACCCGACTAGAGAACCTGCGATCGCTGATGGTCCTTGTGCCGGGTATCTCGGAGACGGCCTTTGTGAATCTCCTGAACCTGATCCACTCGCTCGAGTCGGTTCCGCTCTTGGAAAGGCTCGACATTTGCATCCGCAAGGGCGAATGGGGGGCAACCACGACCTCCTCCGACAACTTCATGGTAGATTGCACTGGCCTTGCCCGGAGCATACTTGGGGCCCTCACGTCGTTTCTGGAAGCCAACCGAGGATCAGAAAAGTATGGACCGAGGACATGCATGCGCTGCTGATGATCATGGTGGCTCGCTGCGTTTTCCTGGAGATGACCAAGAGCTTAGGCCGAGATTACATGACACTGCTGTTGCTTCAATTTCCTCGTTGCACCTGTCTCGATCTCCCTGTTCGCACCCCCGCTTGGCTCGGCCCTTGCGCCCGTACCTCCCTGGGCCGTCGGGCATAATGTCGAGATCCATGGCTTTGAGTTGGCTGCTGATTGATTTCGTCTGCGTCTTCCTGGCCTTCTCTAGGAACCCATTCCGACAGCTCACGACCTTCTCGCTTTCAATATCGACAAACGAGCCCATGGCGATTCCATCGCAGTTCTTTACAGCCTTGAAGGCCTCTTGTCCTGCGATCCACACCTTCAGCCTTCGAGGATGCCACGAGCTTGACGAAGAACCCAGTGCTCTCATCGGAAAAAGTCATCTGGTCGAGACGATCGCTCTACTGAGCCCGACAACCCTGTGGCTCGAAAATATGATGGTCCAGCTGGATGAGTTTGCCGCCGAACCGCAGGTCGCCAGCCGCATCCAAAGCCTGACGCTCACCAACTTGATGTTCATCTCCGGCGATCTGGAGAAGTTTACTGGACTGACGGAGCTCTTTTTGGGACCTGTGATGGATCGGTGTATACTCGGGGCTCGCCGAATCCGCCCACTCAGCAAGCCGACGATTCGTGCAGCCAAGCAGCAACTCCAGGTGTGGTTGGATGAGCCATGGTTGATGCCAACGACTCTACTTTTGGAGGTGAGTCACGAGCAGCAGACAGCTTCCTGGATAGCCCGAACATGTCCAGCTGTCGTTTGATAGAGCGCAGCGGCCGTCCTTCGGCAGAGCAGCTTGCCCGCGGCCGAGCCGGGCCATGATGCCTAACATATGAACTCTGTCGGACTAATCCACGAACCGTCCTATCAACTTGCATCTACCGTCTATTCACTCGCCGCTTGCAATACTGGCTTGACTCTCACGCCGTGTTCGGCGTGGCATATGGCACTGGTCCCGTTCCAATCCAACTCGTTTTCGTGGAGCAGCAAAACGACGAGCATGTTTCGGGCAAGCTTTTGAACTCGCTTAATCGGGCAACAGTCGCGAATCTTCAAATCCTCACCGTCGGCGCAATCCTGCCCCTCGACATTTATGCATTTTTTTCGCGCTGTGTCCCGATGGACTCCCTCTCGATATTGTCGCTACGACCGACGCCGCTACTGGAGTTTCCCGAGTTTGAGATCATTATGGGCAAGTGCCCCAACTTGAAGGTCGTCGACATTGGCATCGGCGGCCGCTTTCCGATATCGAGACTGGGGAAGATTCTCAAGGGAGCCGCGTGGCGCGGCCTCCGGTGGGCTATTTTCTGGGTGGAAGTCGACGTTTGGAAGGAATGCATCATTAATCAGGACAAGATTGCTCTGCAGAGCATGATGCCCACCGAGCAGGAAATCAGCGCGCAGTCAGCTGGTCCGTCCGCAGCCCTGCTGCCCAGCAACTCCAATGTGCCGCTCGCCCCCAAGGATGCAAGGGCCGCTGATGTCGTCCCCGTGGACAAGTATGGGATGGCGCTTCCTCCATCGCCGACACCGCGTTCAGCTGGTGTCGGGTCCCCTGCAAGGAGTAGCTCTGCGCGCTCTCCGAGCATTCAGTCAGCATCCCTGTCACCGCTCTCGTCTCGAGCTGGCTCAATCGCGCGGCTGATGAACCCCGACAATGCGCAAGCACGACCAAGCTGCATCATCGACTTTTTGTGTTTGTTCCGCGGCCCATGAGCCGCCATGGTCGCCAGGTGCTGCAGTTTTTCTGCTGGGCTGTGGCTATGGGCAGAGGTTTTATGGATCCTTAATACAAGAGGAGATCCCTCCCCCGAACGAGCACTGTGGGCATCCAGAATCCAAGAACGGCCGCCACTCTCTGAGGCACACCGCTCCCTGCTTCACTGCGGGATCTCAGCCGCCCGCACTCGTTTCATGATCGGGAGGCACAAGAGGACAAGGCGCCGCCAAATCAGTATGTGGCGCAGCCATTTCCAATTCGGGGCACTCCATCGCCGTTTTTGTTCCAGACCCTCAGCCTGCTCTGCTCTCTCCCACTCGACTCGCCCCTGCTCTGCCCTCCCTCCGTTTCGACCCATCTGATCCAGTTCCGCCGTCTCTTGCCTTCCCCAAGCCCGTCCAATGCCCACCGCTCCCACAGCAACGGTCGGCGACGACCCCGCTGCCAACAGGCCGTCGTGGTACGTCTCGCCAAAGGACATCACCGATCGCTCAGCCAACCCCATCGGCCGTGGTGGGTTTGGTGAGGTGTACACTGGATCGTACTACGGCTCCAAAGTCGCCATCAAGCAGCTTATGGGCACATACAACAAGAGAGAGCTTGTCGAGTACCATCATGAAATCAACATCTGGCACAAGCTCAGCCATCCCCATATTCTCCCCCTGCTTGGTGCCTGCGACAAGGACGAAAGCGGCAACCAAATTTCGCCGTTTATGATCTCGCCGTTCATGCCCAACGGCACTCTCCGCGATTTTGTCTCCGACCCCGACAAACCCTGCTCGCTCGGCGGCAAACTGGCGCTGTTGTATCAAGTGGCCTCTGGCATATCCTATCTCCACGCCAGACGAATCATCCACGGCGACCTCAAGGCAGCAAACGTTCTTCTGGACCAGTCTCTCCGTGCTGTGGTATCCGATTTCGGTCTCTCTCGCACTAAGCACACGTCGGCCTCGTTGGAGCGGAACAGGTCTAGCCTGCTCATCGGCGGCACCCAGGGCTATTTAGCACCTGAGATGCTACACGAAGAGAATCCCAGTGGCAATAGCATGAAAACCGATGTGTATGCCTTTGCTATCACCATGTACGAGGTACTGAACGATGCAAAGCCCGTCTGGGTCACCACCGATGGGCAGCCGATGCGTGATCGAGTTATCGAGACGCAGGTTTGTAAAGGAAATCGCCCGAAGCGCATCGACAACATCCCCGACGACATATGGACCATGGTGGAGCGATGCTGGCATCAAGTGCCCGATCAGCGCCCCACCTTTGTCGAGATCCTTGGCTGGCTAGAGCCATTCAAGGCGCTGCACTCGCCCCCTGAACCGAAACCTCGATCGACGCAAGGAGCCGACTCTCACCCGTCGGCGAGTTCGCAAGATGCCCGCACTCCAACGCCTCGACAGAGGGAATCAGAGTCCTATCCTGGTGTCTCGCGCCTCATGCTGCAGCGCGCTCGGAAAGGCGACCCAGACGCCTGTTTACTGGTGGCCAAGACCATAACGAGCAGCAAGGACACCACCAGCACCGGTTGGGCCGAAGCCGCAACGTTCCTCCAGACCGCCGCGGACCACGAGTCTCTTGATGCCTATTTCTACCTCGGATGGATGTACTTTCTCGGCCTCGGTGTGCAGCAAAGCGACCTCGACGCACTCGAATACTGGCGAGAGGTTAGCACAAGGAGTACCGACCCTATTTCGAAGCCGATTGCCACCCATATGCTCGGGTGGCTCCTCTACCTTGGCCGAGGAACAGCTCCCGACATCGGCAAGGGAATCATGCTGATCCGGCAGAGCAAGACCAGCGAATTTGGGCTCGGAGAAGATGAATTGATGTCCTCTGACACACTGATTTCATCCGACTCGGCCACTGCTGCTCATTTCTTCCATCTGTGCCAGTTGGGCCTGGAGCATCAGTGGCTCTGCAAGCATCTCGTTGGTGTGTGTTATGTCCACGGATTCGGCTCTGCGCAAGACCAACAGAGAGCTGCGGATCTGTTCGAGGAGCTCGCAGGTCAAGGACATGATACCAGCCAGTACTGGCTCGGAAAGTGCCTCGACCGAGGATGGGGGCGACCAATCGATGTGCCCGCCAAGTACAAGTGGTACCTGGCGGCGGCCGAAGGCGGCAACTCGTACGCCCAGAACATGATCGGGCGGATGCATGAGGTCGGAAGCCACGTTTCCAAAGACGACTCCTGTGCAGCAAAGTGGTACCGCAAATCGGCCGAGCAGGGCAACAAGTTTGGCCAAAACAACCTCGGCTGGTGCTACCAGGCTGGATGCGGGGTCGGGCAGGATCCATCCGTCGCCATAGAGTGGTACCGCAAGTCGGCCGAGCAAGGGCATTCGTCCGGCCAAAACAACCTCGGCGCCTGTTTCTTCAACGGATGCGGGGTCGCCTCCGACCTCCCCAAGGCAATCGAGTGGTATCAAAAATCGGCTGAGCAAGGGAATGTGTACGCCCAGTGGAACCTCGCTCTCAACTACGAGTATGGAAACGGCATTGAGAAGGATATGGCGACTGCTCTGTCGTGGTACCGCAAAGCCGCGGAGAACGGACACAGTTCTGCGAGTGACAGGCTCCAGGTTCTTTCTCCGTAGCCATCGGCGCTCTCCAAGCAGCGATCTCAGTGTTGCTGTGCTTGAATGCTCTCTGCTGTGCTGGCGTGTTTTGAGTGGGTACCTTTCTGTTCATCCGCACCTTGCCACTCGGAGCATATCTTGAAGACGATCGCACGTAATCACAATCGCAGCAGCCCCCGGGCTGGTCATGCATCTGCTCCGACGACACACATGCAAACAGCATTTTCCACGATATTGGACGGTTGTGGTATGCTGTTTCTAGACCGGCTTGTTGGACGGGCGGTGGCGCCGGCCCAGTGGAATGGTCCACGGAGTGCATCATCCACCGGCGCGATCGGCACCAGCCCGCTATATCCGTTGCTCGTGGATGGACGCATCCTGGCTGTGGCCTCGTGTCCGCACCAGCCCTGGCGACTGAGCCGCGATGACAACACCGTGCCACCAAGTCTAGCGATCGCCAGGGCGACGCGTTTCCTTGGCTCTCACGGTGATTGGCGCAAGGGGAGGCAGAATCCTGCCATCCGTTCCACAAACAATCCCATCCGTTCCACAAACCATCAAGCCCAAGTCAAGCCCATGTCAAGCCCAAGTCAAGCCCAAGCACCGCGCATCGTGCTCGACGCATGTCGAAGCATGCCGAGATCGCCAGGGCGAACCGGCCACCACGTTCGGCAGCTCGCGTCGTTGTCGACCAAGCGTGTTCGAATACATGAGATATGTTCTGGTTACATTTGAATCATAGCCGGCAGTAATTTGGACAATCAAGGGAGTAATAGCAAAGAGTTTTCAAAAGAAAAGAAAGGCAAAGCGGGCGTTCTGGCTATGAGCGATTGATGCAAGATGTGTCGCAAGTGGGAGGGGGTTTCATTCAAGCCTCGGAGTGAAAGACATTGTCTTCGCCAGAGAGCTCCTCGAGAGTCTTGCCCTTGGTCTCGGGAATGAGGAAGGTGGCGGCAGCACCGACAATCATCACGCCAGCAAAGATGAAAATGATGACGGTGGGGCTGCTGGCCCAGAGGGTAGTGAGGGTCTGGGTGCCGACGATGGCACCGAGCTTGCCGAGGCCGGCAGAGATGCCGTGGGCAGTGGAACGGAAGCGAGTGGGGAAGACCTCACCGGGAACAATGAAGGTGGTGGTGTTGGGGCCAAACTGGAAGAAGAACTGGGCAATGGTGTAGACGATGGCGAAGAAGACGGTGTTGTTCTTGATGGTGTCCCAGGCCGCACCGATGATGATCAGGCAGATGGCAATAACAATGAAACCGACGAGCTGGATGGGCTTGCGACCGATCTTGTCAATCAGGGCAATGGCGACAATGAAACCGGGGAGAGTGCCCATGCAAACAATGATGATCTGTCCGATGGTTTTTTTCCAGTAGTTGTCGTACGGAGGGAGCGAGTTGGAGCCGTTCCAGTTGATCAGCGTCAGGATCGTGCTGGCGTTGAGCGAGAGGCCGTACCAGGCGACATCGAGACAGAACCAGGCAACGGAGGTACCGAGGAGGACCTTGCCGTGCTTCCACTGGCCAAAGTGGGCCCAGAAGCCACCCTTCTTGACGTTGGCGCGGGTCTCGGCGACCTCCTCACCCTTCCAGTTGGAGGAGACATCGGCGGTGGAGTTGAGGGCGAGGACCTTCTCGACATCGGCGGCGGCCTGGTCGACAGCACCAATGACATCAACGGTGTAGCGGGGAGTCTCGGGGATGGTGAGACGGAAGTACACGGCAGAGATAGCGGGGATGACACCGAAACCGATCATGATACGCCAGACAAGGTCGAGGTAGGCGGGGTCGGCAACAATGTAGGACTGGAGGGCGGCGAGGGTGGCGAGGGTGACGAGGGCACCGACGAGGATACCAACACCTTGCATGGAGAAGACGGCGGCCATGAGCATACCACGCCACTTGACGTTGGCGAACTCGGAGGTGATGATGGCAGAGAGAGGATAATCACCACCGATACCGATACCGAGGAAGAAACGCCAGACGGCAAGGACCTGGAGGATGTTGGCACCGCGAATAGCGCTGGCAGAGAAGGCGGAACCGATGGTCGAGACGATGATGACGATCAGCTCGATACCGTACATGTTCTTGCGGCCGAGCTTGTCACCGAGGTAACCGAAGCCAATCTGGCCGACAAAGTTGCCCCAGGAGGTGGCAGCCTTCATCCAGGCATCGTAGTTGGGGAACTGCGAAGTGAAGCTGGACTTGGTCATGGTACTGTCGGTGGGGTAGTAGACCTGGTAGACCATGGGCAGGGCCAAGCTGATGATGAAGTTGTCATACTGGTCGGTGAAGAAACCGGCACCAGAGACGAGGACGGCTCTCAAGTGGAACCAGCCGAGCTTGGCCTCATCGAGATGGGCGTAGGCCTTGGCACGCTTTTGCTTGACGGCTTCGACGGCAGACATTTCCGGACAGTGTGCGGGAAGCTGGAGTGAGGTGGTGAAGAAGCGGGAAGGGGAGGCGGGAGCGAGAGCGATTTATATGGAAAATTCTATCGACGGAACCCGCCAGGATCATGCCGGTGAGGTGGGTCATGACGACCGGGATAGCACGCAGCGAAGATAGGAAGGAGAACTCGTGCGAGGCAGGGCTGATGGAATGGACGATTTGGATTCGCCGGGGTGGAAAGCACGCGCCGTCAAAGGCCAGGGGGAACCGAATATCCAGCCCCACCGCCGGAGGACAACAGCACCAGCCCAGGAGGATCTATGATCCGCACGGCCGATTAACGAGAGAGGCGGCGGGCTGGTGTTGCGCATGCTCGATGCTCAAAGCGATGCCATGCTCGTCGGCGGAAAGCAAGGAAGAGCGCTCGCAGCCTGGGTCCCGAGTCTGCTTGGCAGCGAGTCGCAGCACGGCGACGTTGGTCCAGCGGCGATATCAAAGCACTGAGATAAGCCTCGAGTCTACCCATAGGCTTCATCGAGCAGTTCTGTAGCTGTCCGCAAGCGTCGAGCGAGCGCCAGGGGATGGCATCCATAGCATCGCCTTCCTTCCCTCGCTCCCTCTTGGCGATTGTGTCTGGGACGCATGGATAGACAGCAGCGCTGCCGAGGAAGGAGCATCGACTTTGAAGGATGGGCGGGGACACTCTGTTGTGCAGTCGGTCCAGAAAGAAACGGGACAATCACTTCCTGGTTTCAGATGTCTGAAGCCCGCTGACTGACTGTAGGCCCCAGTGAGCAAGCCATGGCACTGCACTCCTGTCTTCGTTGGTAATCGAGTGGTTTTGGTTGGTTTGGGAAGCACAGCCTTGAATACACATGGCCGATCTCCTGTGGCGATGATCGACTGGCATACCGAGATCATGTTCCTTGAGGCATTGATGTCTCGATGTGGGAGTGTGGTGGATGCATTCGACCCTCTGCACAGCTTCATGGTTTCTCGATATCAAGATGCTCGACCTTCTCGAGTCGCTTGGCTTCCCGACAATGCGAGCACACCTGGGATGTGTTGAACTCGTTCACCGAGCACACATGGATCTTGGAGACGGATCGGTCTGGTGGTCGTCTCTGGTGGTGGATGAATTGCTCGAAATACCGAGCGAACCAGAGTCTCCTGGGACTGGAAGCATATCTCTTCCCTTGCTTCCAGGAGGCATTCCCAAAGGCAATCACCACTTCGGTCTCCCTTGGACACACTTGCTTGGCCATGAATGCGATGAGTGGGTGTGTATTCAGGATCCAGAAAACAACACAGTCAAAGCTCAAAACGGGGGTGTCCCATTTCATTTTGGAAACGCTGTAAGTTGTCATTGATGTCCGGGTTTTGAACAGACTCCGACCCATTGCTACCGTGCCGAAACGGTGTGTTCAGTGTGTCTGCGAGCCGAGCGACCTGAGATGGTCGAGTATCTTGATACCGAGAAACTGTGGGGCTGTCCGGGGGATCGAATGCATCCGCCACACCCCCGTAAAGCCTGGGTGTGGCAGTCCGCTTGCTTTCCCCTGGGCGTCCGCAGCGGCCGCTCTGCCGCACACCTGTTCCTCCAGAGCGGCGTGCGGCGCATGGCGACGGGTTTGTTGGTGCGGCAGAGCAGGGCAGGGCGAGGCAGGGCAGCGCACATCCAAACTCGCCAGTGTTGTTTTGAATCCAAACTTGCTGGCGTTGTTTCAGAGTCAAAAATACCGGTGTTGTTTAGGATCCGAGTCTGCTGGTGTTGTTCTGCATCCGAGGCAAAAAGCACCGTTGTTTCGCCAACACAACCAGCACAGCCAACACAACCAGCACAACCAACACAACCAGCACAACCAACACAACCATCGCACATCAAATGGCCACCGCCGCATGCACAATCGCAACTCTGGCTTGCCCTGCATCGGACTGTTGCCCAACACCGGACGGCGGCCCACTCATCATCACGCTGTTCTCGAGTGTCGCCCCCACACATCGTGCTCGTCAAATGTCCAGGCTGTGCAGGATGGACATTGTTCCCGAGCCGTCGAAACGCAGCGATTTCAGCCGGGCAGGCTCGGGTCCGCTCGCCCTCTTCCTCTCTCCCTTACTTTCCTCGACCGGTCGACTTTGGTCGCCTCGACGTCTGGCCCATCGAGCTCGGTCCAGAGTGCATCTGTCTCTGTCTCTGCTCGCTCGCTCGCAGATTCGCACCCTCCACGCCGCACCGGCACGCTGCAGCATCTCGGTGATCCTTCGCCATGTCAAGCTGGTTCGTCATCTACAGCTCCAAGCTCAACTCGACGCTGCCCCAGTGTCTGAGCAGCGCCATTGCGCCCTCGACCCTCGTTGCCCAGCTCGGCGACCTTATCCAGCCTCTGCAGCGATGCGGCTCGATCGACGGCGACACCACGTACCATTCCTACTCGCTCGATCCCTCGCAGACCACCGTGACCGACAGGGCCTGCTCGGACCCGGGCTGCAGCAAGTCCTGCCAGACCTCGTCGTTCACGCTGTCGCCCACGGCATCCAGATGTTCCAGCGACCAGTTGACCTTGGCTCCTGCTGGCTTCAGCTTCCAGAGCTCAGGGTACGTCCTCTCCTCGCTCGGCGTGTGATCGTATGCAACTCGCCGAAGGTGTCGGAGCATCCAGCCATCCTGGAGCACTGGAATCGTCCGGCAGGATCACTCGCTCGCTTGCATTTCCAGCCATGTCCGATCCGCTCCATCGCCCTGCATCCGTGCTCACCCGCCGCACCATGTCCCTGTCCTCTGTTACAGGTCCATGGATCCGTCCTTCAACACCGATAGCTTCATGTACCAGCCCAACTACCTCGACGCCACCTGCACCACCGTCAGCTCGGTGTGTCGCAGTCCCGTCTACACCGCCTGCACTATGATCAACTCCGGCTTCTATGCGTACTCGATCCTGCTCCAGAACGGCAACAGCAAGTTCATCCAGCCCTTTGGCTGTCTCGATGCCAACTGCAACCAGTGCCAGCTCGATGCCAGCATTCTGCCCAATGCCTTGGCCAAGAGCCCAACCGACTGCTTCTCCGATACAGGCTCGACCTCCTACCAGCTCTATTTCCTTGCCAACAAGACCGCCATCCCAACCGTCTTCCCGAACGGCAGTGCCCCGTTTGCCTCGAACCAGGTGGTCACCCGCAAGCCCTCCGCAACTGTAGCGCCAATGGACCCATCCGCTTCGCCCCCAGCGGGCCCTGTCAGCACAAGCAGCTCCTCCAGCAACACCGTCATCATCGGGGCAGTCGTTGGCGCTGGTAAGTCAGCTTTCTGCCTGGCCTTTGTTTCTCGCCCATCGGGCTCAACATGTTGTTGTTCCATGTCACATCCTCCGAACCCCGTTGCGCCGCATTCTTTGCGAGCCGTTTTCGGTGCCGTGCACTCACGATTGCTCTGTTCGTCTGCCAGTGGCTCTCTGTCTCTGTGTCGTCGGCTTTCTCACATACCGCAGATACAAGAACAAGCCCGTCGCTACTCCCGCCGATCTCGATCGCAGTCTTGCTCCAGGCGAACAGCCCTCTTCGACATCCAACACGAACCCGTCCTCGGCCACCACGACTACCTACGTGCCTGTCCAGCGGACTCCAAACTCGTTCGTTCCCCCGATGAGCCCATCGGCGCCTCTGTACAAGCCCGTGTCCGCGGTCTCGCCTGAGCTGATGCCAGCACCGTTTGTCGATCCGAGATCCATGCCCATGCCCATGCCCATGGCGACACCGTATACAGCCTTTCCGGACAACACTTCGTACTATGTCCACCCGGGCATGCAAACGACCGCCACGTTGCCGTCGTATGTTCCCAGCGGTAGTCCTAACGCAGCATCGTTCACGCCTCCCACTGGCGAGATCGGTGTCTATTCAGCGATTCCACCATATGTTCCCACGACTGCTGTCCCATCCCACAGCGCCGAGATGCGCTCCGCCTTTACCAACAGCAGCAGCAACACTCACAGCAGCGGCAAGGATAGTAGCTATCGCAACAGCATCATGTCTTCGCGTGCCGGCCAGATCATCGGTGTCTCCATGTCCCAGGCTTCCGGGCCCGTCGCTCATTACGTCGCCATCCAAGACCACAACGGCGACCGTGACCAAGCCGAGCTGTCGTTCTTGGCTGGCCAGACGATCGCAGTCTCGCAGGTTTTCCCAAACGGATGGGCCATGGTGAGCGTGCGCATTCCTTGCTGCTGGTGCCATCCAATCGAAGCGACGATTCGCTTGTGGTATACTCACTCTAACCCTTTGTTTCCGTTTGCGCCTCCATCGCCTGCATCATTGTCGCGGGGGCTATATGGGTTCAGTCGCAAAACAACGCAACGCTGGCCATTGGCTTCGCTCCTATGGACAAGCTGCGTGTGATTGAGCCTGCCCCCAGCAGCTTTGAGCGCACCCAGCCCCCAGCAAGCTACCCTCCCAAATACTCCGTGTAACTCGCCCAGCACGATCGGACGGGCGGCCAGTGCTGTTGTTGCCAAGAGTCGTAGTTCACAATCATGGTCCACAACCGCGGCGACGACCATCGTCATTATCATTATCATTATCACTATCATTTCTAAAACTCTCCAAACCCGTGAATGTGCACATTGCTATGATGTCTGCCGGTGACCCTCAGACCCGTGCTGGGTTCTCAAGAGGTACCTTGAGACGCCTTCCTTCCTCTTGCGTGTTCACAGCCCCACGCCCTTTCAGCTCCTCCGTTCCTTCACTCCCTTTTCTTTCTCATCTTGCGATTTTGGAAACTGAGCCAGGTGGTTGAAAATATACAACTGTTGCTGGGCCAAAGCCGCGATAGACCACAGGCTCCATGATGCGACTCGACGACAGATGCAACTCTGGCTCGGCTTGAGCAGCAAGGGATGGGGGAATTCGATGTTTCCGCTCACCATTTATAGCCAATCCAATACAAACGGGACACCCCGGATTTTGGTCGTTGGTGAATGGTATCACTCAACACATCGTGTGCTGGGTATGACCATCCAGTGATGTGTTTCTGGATCTGAATCAAGGACGCTTTCTCGCCCAGATGGTTCACCGCAAGCGAAAGGCACTACCCTCTGATGCCAGAAAGTGACTGTCTCGTTTCTCTCTGGATCGACTACGCAGTGCTCCATATTCACTTGGATTGTGGCTGCTGGGTGGGGCTGGTACCGTGCGATTCATTCGAGCAGCATGGGTTTTGGCTTTCGTAAATGGGGCTATATTGCAAAATGCTGTATCAAAATCAAAAATTTGAACTATGGGCACATGGGGGGGGGGCCAGGAAGTGCAAATCCGCAACATGGCAGACAAAGACAACAGACACGAGGCTTGAGGGCAGACTTGTTTGGACGCCAAAGCAGGAGAGACAGACTGGTAATGCAGGCAAGACAAGCAAGCGACGATCTGGCGGCACACACTTGGTGGTTGATGCCATCTATGGGGCGAGTGGGGGTGGGGGAATCATCGAGCGGGCGGGGCGGCGACAGAGCTCGAGCCTCGGGCAAGCGGATCGTATGTGTGGCCAGAGGCGAAGGGCAAGGGAGAAGGCACAGTGGTGGGAGAATGGATGGGGAGGAGAGGGATGGCTACAGGGCAGGCTGATTAGGGGCTATGTGGCGTCGAGCCGTCGGACGGGTCGTCGTTATGAAGCTGCGACATCGTTGCCGTTGACGGTGGTGAAGACCACACCGATACCATAGGTGCCGATCATTGCAATCTGCATGGAGCGACGAGCGACCGAGTCAGTTCATGGCTGCAAATTTGGTCGGGGCAATCCCCCATTGTACCGTGCGGCGAAACGAGCCAGGAGCAGAGCATGGCGGGCGAAAAGAGGACACTCACCAAACCACCGATCATAACTCGGATGGCAGCGGGAAGCTGCGGGGCACCGCCAACCTTGGCACCAATCATGCCGAACGCGCCGAGGCTGATGGTGGCAATGGCGACGACATAGACGATTCGGGTCTTGGGGTCTTGTGCAATCAAGGCGCCTGCGAGATCGGATACGGAAACGGAGTGAGTGTGGTGTCGCCGAGCCTGCCAGACAAGAATGGTGCCTCTGCCGATTGAGGGAGCCATCACGGCGATGGATGGCTGGGACATCGTACCAAGGAGCGGTAGCAGAGCACCCATCGAGAAGGAAAGCGCCGAGACAATCGCCGCCAGCCAGGGGTTGGACAGATCGTCGGTGTCGATGGCGAGCTCGTCTCGCATGTGGATTTTGACGATTCCATCGAGGTCGTTCTTCTCGTGGAGCTCCTTGGCGACCTCCATGGCCAGCCGCGAGGACAAGCCTCGTGCTTCGTAGATTCCTGTTGGTCGGATGGACACGGAAGGCGACGGAAGGCGATGGGCGTGCCGAGGAAACGATGGACAAGTAGAGATGAGCGGATGGACGAAGCATAAAACGACAGAGATGCGGCTGGGATCCTGCAGTCGGACCAGTCGAGCACGACACGACAGGATACGACAGGAAACGACAGGACACGACACATACCTGCAAGCTCCTCAAGCTCCCGTTGGGCATACTCTTCGCCCTTGAGGAATTCGGCCTTCTCTCGTCGCATATCGGCTACTTCAGCGTCGCGTTGACCCGCAATCGACACAAACTCGCCACATGCCATCGAGAGGGCGCCGGCAACGAGACCAGCCAGGCCGGTCAGCAAGATGACGTTGCGTGTGCTATCGGCTCCGGCAGCGCCTGGAAGAAGCAGTTTGGGAGGAAGCAGTGGGCCACGGATGTTAGCAGAATGCCAGAGTTCAAGACAACCCCCGCAGGTCAAGGAAGGCCTGTAGCCCAAGACAGGCACCGGGGTCTGATGAGCAACGAGGGTGCGGCGCTGTGCTTGCCGAGCCAGAGCAAAGAATAGCAGGAGCTCGCATTACCCATGATAAGGGAGGCTGTCGAGATGAGGCCGTCGTTGGCGCCCAAGAGAGCCGCCCGGAGCCACGGACCACGCTGGGAGTAGTGCTCATGGCCAAACTCGGGCTTGTCGCTGCGATCGTCGTCTGCCTCGAGGAATACGACCTGGTCGTCTTTGTCGTCGACGCTCGACTTGAGCGGGAGAAACTGCTGCTGGCTGCCAAACAACGACGGGGACATGGCTGAGGGCGAGCTGCTGTCGAAGTAGAAGGACAAGAACCCGGCGATGCCGCGGCGGACGGGGGTTTTATGGGGGATGGGCATGTCGCAGGAACCAGGGAGCCGCTTTGCGAGTGGGGAGGGCAAGAGAAAAAGCGCAGATCGAATGGAAGGCCGTCGGACAGAGGAGCAGAGCAAGAGGACACCTTGAGCAGCAGCCCGCCACAACGTGCGCGGACACAAGCCGCGCAAACAGTGCGACGCACGCTGCTGGGCACTGATCGGGAGGCTGCGGGTGTGCTATTGCGGGTGCTATTGCGGGTGCTATTGCGGGTGTGCTATTGGGATGTGATGTTCAGGTGTGATGTTCAGGTGTGATGTTCAGGTGTGATGTTCAGGTGTGATGTTCAGGTGTGATGTTGAGAGTACTATTGCAGGCATCGTTGTGGGTGCGTCGGATCCGAGTTACTTTCAGCGCCTCTGTGTCGATCGCAGTGTGGCCAGAGTACTCGCACGCCGAGCTGTTGCTCGTTGCTGCTGTTCATTGCTGTTCATTGCTGTTCATTGCTGTTCATTGCTGTTCGTTGCTGCTGTTGCTCGTTGCTCCTTGCCAACTGCCCCACACTCGTCGGCATTTTCAGCAGCATCAGCACCAGCGTCAGCACTAGCGGCCCGCGTGCGAATGCGCTCTCGCCAGCGAGGCCGAGAGCGGCTGAAACGCAGTGGCCAACGTGGCCGAGAGCGCGCCGAGGACCCGCCGAGAGCACCAGCCAATGCACGCACTCCCAGCCACCCGGCGTGCTGCGTGGGAAACCTCTCTTCTTCGGCGCATGCACTTGCCTTGTGCCCATGTACAGCCAGCCGCAGGTGGATCCAAGACAAGCGCCTCCTCGTCCTTCGCCGGCCTGTTCTGGAACGGCCCTTGGACGCACGCGCTGGCCGTGGTCCTGCTGCGAGGCCGTCGCATGCAGTCGCGCATGCTGATGCTCCCACGACCCCCGCTCGTCTGCGATTCGATCGGAAGCGCTGCCAATCGCCGCAGGTGGTTCTTCTTCCATGGATCGAGCAGCCCCCCTGGCGCGTGCGCTTGGGGTTCGTGTATGGCTCGCTGCAAGCCGCCAGAACAGCCACGGCCGGTCGACGAAAAGCTTCCACCATCCCCGAAGGAGCACCGGTCGTGCACCAAGTGATGCATTCTTGCGTCAGAGAAACTGGTTCGGAAGCTGGCTCCGGGATTCTGCCGATCGCTTGGGAACAAGCCCGCCGATCTCAAAGCCGCCAGCGAATCTGGGAACGTGTGGGGTCGATCTCGCCGATCACGGACTGCTCGCCCCGGCTGCGTGGCCTGCATCATCGACTCGGCTTGGCTCGGCTCGGCTCGGTTCGGTTCGGTTCGGTTCGGTTCGGATGACTGTATTCAGATCCGCTCTTGGCGCTTCATCGCTTTTGCCGTTTCATCGCCAGCAGCATCTCCCACCCTGTCCAGGCGCAAGCGAGAATGCCCACCGTTCGCACGCTCCATCGCACTTGTCGCTGCACCGAGGATGGGCCAAACACGACCCAGAGACCGGCCAATGACACCAGAGACCAGTATCCGACTCCCATCGGCGTTGCCAGCACCGCAAGCGACCCCGACGATCGCAAGAGCGAGCGCCGGCTCTCAACGTCTTGCAATGGCTCGGACTGGGTCGGGACCTCTGTGCTTTGGGATCCGAGACTCAGCTCAGCTCCGTCGATGGCGCTGTCGTCCGCTTGCTCGTCGCCATAGTCTTCGCCGCTTCGACCGGGATCGAGCCGGACCATCTTGCGAGTCATCCGCACCAACTTGGGTGTCTTTTTCTTGTTGACAATCGCCACTCGGCCCGAGCTGTCCAGCTTCTGAAGCTCTGCATCTTCTTGCTCAAGCCGCTCGTATTCGCCTTCGCACACTTGCCCGATCATGTAGAACTTGCCCACCTGGGTGATGCGCACCTCGAACGACCGACCCATCAGCCGTGGATCGTTGGGCACCAGGATCTGTGCATAGGACTTGTCGTGACTGACAAAGTGGACGCCGTCGGCACTCAGTTCCGTCGCAAGAACCTTGCGAATGCTGCCGAGCTTGTCGCCGTAGTTGGGATACGAGTTGAAGTATGCCGTGGCCTCTCGGCTGCGAGCCTTGACAATGTCGGTCCGGATGCGTGTCATGCGGGCTGCAGGGGTACCCGGACGAGGGTAGAACTGGGAGCAATCCCAGCGCATCCGATCCAAGCGCATCCGATTCAGATCCCACGCAGGCGGATCCGGCACGACAGGAACGGGCAATTGGTTAGCCCTGGCCTCATTTGCAAGTGCGATTCGGATGGATTCGCAGCCAGGAACAACGTTGCCGAGGGGCACCGGCCGTGACTCACCTGGGATATGTGCAGAACCGAAAAGTTGTACTCGCGCAACAAGTCCATCGTCTGCTGCCAATCCTGCTCGGACTCTGTCGGAAACCCGCAGATAATGTCTGTGGCAATGGTGACGTCGGGCACTCGCTCCCGCAGAATATGGCAGACCTGTCGAAAGTCGTGGACGGTGTAGAGCCGTCTCATGTCGTCCAGGACCTTGTCAGACCCCGACTGAACGGGAACATGCAGGAACGAGTAAACTCGCGGGTGGCTGAGAACCTTGGCGACCTCGGGCAGATGCTCCAGGATGTACGGCGGGTTGGTCATGCCGACGCGCAGCATTGCCGTCTGGTTCGGATGTTCCTCCATCGCATCGACGATGCCCCAGAGCAGCTCGACAATGTCGGTGCCAATGTCGCGGCCGTAGGCACCAGTGTCCTCCGAAGTCAGCCAGATCTCCATGACGCCCTCGGACAGCACGGTCTTGACTCGCTCGACAATCTCCTCGGGTGCATAGGATCCGAGGTCGCCGCGGGCATGCTTGGTTTTGCAGTATGTGCATTGGTTCAGGCATCTGGAGACGGTGTCGGGAGCCAGAAGTAACCCGGAGAGACAGCGTCAGCAATCCAGAGTGCATGCGGCGCTTGACTGGTCCAGCCCGCTCGACATGGTCGGGATAGCCTACCCCGTGTTGATCGGGATGATCTCGATGTATGGGTTCTTGCGAACCTTGGGCAAGTCCAGCTTCGCTCCGCCGGCTTTCCGCTTGGATGTCTCGTCCTTCTTCTCCTTGAGCAGCCGCACGCTGCCGCCCTTGAGCGTTTCTTCGACGACTTCAACGACCCGATCGATCTGCTGGACCTGTCGGCCGAGATCCATGCAAGCACAGTTGTAGACGAGGGAAAGAGGCATTCGCAGGCCGAAAGATGCACCCACTGCCGCACAGCCTGTGGCTGCGAGCGGGTTCGATCATAGAAGAACAGTGTCGCTGACCAAGATGCTGCCGGCTCAGGCATCGGCAATACTTACTCCAATGACGCTCAGTCCCTCCCAAGCGGCGCCGCTCGGGTTGCCCTGAGGCACGCAGCCTGCGACGACAACCTTCTTGCCGCTGTCCTTCCCGCGGTTGATTTCGTTGACAAAGGTCTGCTCGGACGGGCCCTTGACGGTGCAAGAGTTCAGAAGCCACAGGTCGGCCTCGCCGCGCTTTGAGTCTTCGAGCACGATCCGGTATCCTTGGGCAGCCAGCATGCCAGCCATGTATTCGCCATCCGAGTTGTTGTGGCCGCAACCCCAGGTTTTGACCCAGACCGTGGCCGTCCCCGGCAGAAACGGGGTGCACGAGTCTCGAGAGCCAGCACCAGATCCGACGATAGGCTCGGGCTGGGGCTCTGCTGGGGCGGAACTGTGGTTTGTGGCCGAGCGCCGGGTGAACGACCTGACGGCGACCTGGTGGACGGATTTGCGGTTTGCGGCCGACGTCGGGTCGTCGGATGGAAGGGTGAGCTCTTCGATGTCTTCGATATCGGCCATGTGGGGAGACGCTGCTGGAGACAAACAGGCAGAGACAGCTCGATGGGAGCGAGCCGATGGAGACGGGTCGATGGAGCAAGATGATCGAGACTGGTCGATGGAGCTGCAGATCAGCCCGTCGCACAAGCGTTTGTGGAACACATTTTTTCTGAGCGAGAGCCGAGCGAGAGCGCGCTATGGGCGAGAGCCGCCGAGAGCCGCCGAGAGCCCCTTGCGGGACCCCGGCGAGACCGGCCACACACACACACAGCACCCCGAAAAAAAGTCCAGTCCCGAGACACAACCTGATCGCCGAGACGCAGAAGGCAGCAGCACCGTCCATCCGTCTGTCTGCCCACCTCCATCGCAGCGAACGCATCCGATCCGATCCGATCCGATCCCCACCAGCCATGTCTCTGGAAGCCAGCACGGGCCCCGCCAAGCGACGACTCAGCAGCGAGCAGCACGAGGACGAGCCCAAGAAGCTCAAGCACGACGATGGCCACGCCGAGTCCGACGACCAGCCCAGGCCCGGCGACACCGACCGCGACGGCGACGGCAATCGCAGAGAACCCTACCCTCGTCTCCGGGTCTCCGAGCTGCCACAGCACACCAACGCCGAAACCCTCGCAAAGTATCTGGTCGAGTGGGGGTAAGCCAGAGCATTGGTGCCGTCGCACCGGCTTGGGTACCCGGACAGAATCAGTCCCTTTAATCCGCCCCCCGAATCGAATCGGACGGACGCCGTTTTGCATTACGGGAGCCTCACGTCCGCCAGCCCCCTGGGTCTCCTCCAAGTGCCGATGGCATCGGTCCAGGAGCCACCCCTCTCTTCACAGAGAGCAGCGCTGGGACAGAGAATGCAAGAGCGAGTGCGCACGACACTGTCATGCAACTGAACACGCCATCTATCCTCTGCCATCCCAGGGTCAAGCACCACAAAATCAAAAAGGCCCCCGGATGGAGCTACGCCTTCGTGAGCTTTGAGGTATATACACCGGCCGTCTGGCTGATGCCAGTGCCAATGCAGTTGTCGCTGTTGCTTTGGTGTCAGCGATATGCCCAGTCCGCTGCAGGCCAGGACAGCTTCGGCCCAACCCAGGCAGCTGCATACAAACGGACACACACCGTCCTCCGGATTCTCATACCCCAAACGTGTACCTGCCTGATCCTCTCGACAGAGTACTGCGCTCAGGGATGCCTCCATCAAGCTGATCGACGGCCAGGAGATCAAGGGCAACATCGTCAGGGCTACCGAGACGGTTTTGCGCGATGACCGGGTGGGTTCTCATTCCCGGCATGCACTTCCACAGCAGCAGATACGGTCGAGTCCCGCCACATCCATGCGAACGGCGTCTCTCTCCCGCCCCGCCCCCTCGCTGCTATCGCATGCCTGAGCTAACGTTCGCGAGGGCGGAAATCGTTTGTTGATAGCGGCCCGCAAGAGAGAGCAACATTCAAGACGACAGAACTCCCGCAGAGGTCCTGGCCGACCAGGTCACACCGCTTTGGCGAAAGAGCTACCCGGTCCAGCTGGACGAGAAGGCTCAAGAGATGGGTCGGGCCCTGGGCAAGTTCAAGCGCAAGATGCAGGACTATGTCTATGCCAAGGACAGCTCGCCGCGCGCCCAGAACAGCATTGCCTGGGTCAAGTCGGCGTGAGTATCGCGGAGCCGCATCGTCGCTTTCGCATCAGGATGCAGTGCTCAAAGGTCCCCGATTCCAGCACCACTCGCCACGCGCAGTGCTCAAAGGTCCTCGATTCCAGCACCACTCGCCACGCTGCGGGGCGACTCGATGCTTCTTTTTCTGACTGACTGGCCGACACAACGCAAACCGTGTTATGCAGCATCCAGACACACAAGAACCTCTGCCCGATCCTGCCGATCATCCCGTCGCCAGTCGAGCGCGACTACAGAACCAAGTGCGAGTTCTCCATGGGCAGAAACCAGGAGGGCGAAGCCGTCGTTGGTTTCCTGACTGGTCTCTTCAAGAAGGGCTGCACTACCGTCCTGGTGCGTAACGATGTCATCGACTAAATGCAGCCGCACAGTGCCATCGGGCCTCATCGCTTGACTGTCCCCGTCGTATCTTGCCTCTCTGCATTCGCCGCGCCACGTCATCTTTCCTCATCCATGCTCGCTTCCCCGACGGGCTCTCTCGGCACTGGCTTGCATCTCACAGGAGCCCGCCGAGAGCCTGCACATTTCGCTGCCCGCCAAGCACATCGCCAGCGAGACTCAAGCATACATCCGCAAGTCGCAGCTCCCGATTTACGATCGCGTGGAGCACACCGGGTTCTGGCGAGCCCTCTTGGTCAGAACGCACTCTACCGGAGAGAGTATGTATTGCCACAATGGACGGGCTGGACGAGCTTCTCTCAACGTGGCAGCATGCATGAGAGAGCCTGGGCTGGACAAGAATGGCTCGTGCTCGTGCTCGCCTCTCCAAACGATAAGGTGGCTCAGATCAACCCCATCACTAACCAAACGTCTCCCAGACATGGTTGTCGTCCAGGTGAACCCTGTCGGAGTCACCCCCGATAACATCCAAAAGGAACTTGAGGCCTACAAGCAACATCTACTTGGAAGCGCAGCAACCGGTGACGTTGAGATTACTACAATCTTGGCTCAGGTGCGAGCCCAAGCTCTTCGTGAAAGTGGTCGTCTCGCCTCCCGCCCCGCCCCTCCAGAATGAAATGCGATTCCCCGGAATCCTTGACCACGCAGATTGCGAAGCTGACCCGCCAGCCTTGCTTTTGCTTCCACGCTTGCCCACACAGCAATCGGCCGAGTCCTTCAACGGCTTCCATGAAAAGACTCCTTATGAAGTGCTCCATGGTCCTGGTGTTGTGCACGAGAAGCTCCTCGGAACGAGGTATGTCGTCTCGCCATCGAGTCGTTGAACTCGTCTCCCCCCCCCCGACAACGCAAGCTTACATTCCCTGCCCCCTCCCCCTGGTCGTCGCGGCTGCAGCTTCCGCATTTCCCCCACGGCTTTCTTCCAGATCAACACTCTGGCAACCGAGCAGCTCTTCAGCCTCGTTCGAAAATGGTGCAGGCTCGAGGGGACCGGCACCTCGGCCCAGAACAACAATACCGTCTTGCTCGATCTGTGCTGCGGAACCGGAACGATCGGACTGACCATGGCCCGCCAGGTCAAGAAGGTCATTGGTGTCGAGATTGTCCAGCAAGCTGTGGAGGATGCCAAGGCGAATGCCGCCGAGAACGGTAAGAGCGCCGCCGGGACGCAAGGGAACGATACGATAGCCCTGCGAGATGCGGGGGTTGCTGTGTCGACGAAAGCGAGCGGGATCTGCGGAATACCGCTGCATTGTCTCAACGCATCGCCGAGTGTCATGGATTATATCGAGTGGCCGCTGACGAGTACGTGTCATTTGTGCAGGAATCGAGAATGTCGTTTACATCGCCAAACCCGCCGAGGAAGCCATGAGCGAGGTGTTTGCCGAGCACGTCAGCCCCGGCGACAATGTCGTTGCCGTCTTGGACCCGCCTCGTGCTGGCATGCACGCCAAGGTCATCAAGGCGATCCGTGAGTGCAAAGCGCTCAAGCGACTGATCTATATTTCGTGCGATGCCAACGCCGTCACCCAGAACTTTGCAGAGTGAGTACTCGAGTAGCCCGCGCATCAACGGAGGCGGGATCGATGTCATCGATGTCGTCGATGCCGCCACTCCTGCTGCGATGGCTATGGCTGTCCCTGTTCCGATCCCCTCAGTTGGGATGGCGGCGATAGTGGAGACCTGGCTTTCGGATGCTTGGGCAGGGAGTGGCATGGTAGGTCAGCCTCGACACAATGCCTCTGACCCTGTGGACGTGAACCTGCATCTTCCTCCTTCCTCCGCCCGAGCAGCCTGTGCCGCCCTATCTCGAACAAGTTCCCCGATGCGCCCTTCCGTCCCGTGCGAGCCCAGCCAGTGGATCTCTTCCCCCACACCAAGCACTGCGAGCTCGTTGTTGAGTTTGAGCGCGTCGATTTGGCTGCAGGAGGCGTGGCTACCGACGAAGGCGCCGCAGAGGAGTCGCACAGCAACCCCAAGCGCTCCAACAACGAGGACGCCGAAGAGGCAAGCAAGAACGATGGCGATGCCGAGGCTGAGGTCGAGGGCGATGAACTTGTCAAGGAAGAAGCCAAGGATGAGACGGGAAACGGCGATGGAAATGAAGCAAATGGCGATAACGAGGGCGGGGACAACGATGATGTGGAAGATGAGGAGGATGGAGATGAGGAGCAAAACGAGAAGGTGGTCAAGGCTCGTTCATCCCGCACATCGTGTGTTGCCCAGTGAACGAGGCGATGTCGAGGCATTCAAACGCCGCGCCATGTCAGCCAGCAACCGGGGGACTCGTCGGTGTTTGCTGAACAGGCATCTCTCCTGCATCGACCGGCGACCTTGCGTTCTGCTTGTCTCTTTCTTGAGATTGTCCGCTCTCGTCCTTCCGCTATCCCCTCTCCCCTCTCCCTACCCTCATTCCCTCCGATGATTTGTTGTTGTGCAATATAGAGATGTGTCTTGTCTGGCCGCGTCCGTGCTGCATCCGCACTCGCTCTCCTCCCGCTCTGGTGAAGGCAAGGATTGGGTGACATTCATGTCAACGAGCGGGGGTGTATTTTTGGCGGAAGGGTCCAGAAGCGTGGGAGAAGGTGCAAGGGGCAGGAAAGAGATCGATCGCTGTGTTCAGCGCACACTGCTGCACAGCAACCGAGTCTCGGGGTGTGAACCAAGTACGGCCCCTCTCTATCCGACATTCTCCCCCGCGAAATGGGTTCACTCGCTGCTTGGCATGAGTCAATATGAGGAATGGTTGGGTCTAGAGCCAAGAAGAGGTCAAAACGAAGCCGGCACGGCGGCAACTGGAGTAAACAGGACTGAAAGAATCGAGAAGGAATCGAGAAGGAATCGAGAAGGAGGAGGAGGAGTTGGAGGAGAGGCCCGTCGGTCCAAGGCAAGCCAAGAGACACGCAAAACAAAGACATGATCAAGGGGATGAGCATTGATGTATGCGTGCGCATGCGCATGTGCATGTGCGTGGTGTGTGACTGCATTGTGGTAATTTCGTTTTGGGTTTTGGTTTTTTCAAAAATGAAAGGGGCGCGAGGGGGGGGGAGATGAACATCGAAGGCGGTCGAAGGATCACGCCAAAGGACAATGACGACGACGATGGCAACCTGCAAGAGATAGGAAAAAGTCGCATTCGATGGTTCAAAATACCGCACCAAATCCGATCGGGTCTGATGAATATTTCTCAAAAGTGGGAAAATGTTCATTTTGTTTGCCTGTCCAGAATACGAAGTATATGAAGAAGAGAGAAAAAAAAGCAAAGCCAAACAACTACATCAGGACATTGGAGAGAAGGAAAACAAAAAGTAGAGAGAGAGAGAGAGAGAGAGAGAGAGAAAAGGGAAGCTGAAACGGGTTGAGAAAGGGCGGCAAAACAAACACGATGACACAAGGGCAGAAAAGAGACACTGGAATGACAGCATCCAGGAGAGGATGGAGGAGGAGGAGGAGGAGGGGGGGGACAAAAGTGAATCGAAGGTTGTTCTTACACTCGCACACACACCTCGACACACGAACGGCAGACCAATTGAACAGAGCTGATGGGGTGGTGGTGGTGGTTTGGAAGAGGGAAAAGGAGGGGGGGAGGGAAAGCAAAAATGGATCGGTGAAAGCATGACCACTCTCTCCCAAAAGCCAGGGTTTCATTTGCAGGACGACCCCCCACCTGATCTCTGTCGACACAAGAGGGGCCGTGAATCGCTGTGGTCGTTCGTCGTTCGTCGTGGTCGCGCCAAAGTGCCTCTTTTTTTTTTTCGGTCAGGCGAAGCTTCCAATTGATGGTGGTGATGGGCGACGGTCATGGAAGGGTCACCCGACAGCGGAACGGATACGAGATCTCCCTCACGAGATGAGTGGAGATTAGGATTCATTGAAGGAGGAGGGGATGCACATGAACCCTGGCAGGGCAGGGCAAGGCAAGGCAAAGCTGACACGGAGAATATTATGCAGAGAGGGCGGGCGGAGCAAAAAGCACAGGGCCGGAAGAAAGAAAGAAAGAAAAAAGGGGATGGGCGGAGGAAGAGATGAAAGAAAAAGGATGGACAACGACAGATGTGAGATAAATAATGGAAGAGAGCGAGAAAACTGAGAGGGTGACGGGTGCGACTTAGGAGAAGAGAGAGCGAAGAGGCCGAGTGAAGGGATGAGATAGAGGTGTGGCTACGCCAGAGAAGATAAAAGCAAGGACGACCTCGAGGAGGGAGGGTGTGTGGTGGAGTGAAAGAGTCGGATGACGATGATGATGATGATGATGATGGGCGATGGGGGGGGGCCAAAACTTCAGTTGGGAATTTTTAGACCTGGGCGCCATCAACGACCTCGACAACGGTGCCGTCGGACCTCTTGATGAGCTTCTTGACCTGGGTGTTGTACTTGACGTCGTTGCCAACGCCCTCGCTAGTGACCTCGTTTTCAGTGATGGTCTGGGTGCCATCAGGGTTGGTGACGATGGTCTTGCGGACAGCCTTGCCGTTGGCGCCGTTGCGGATCAGGTCGCGGAACTTGGCATCGTCAGCATCAACCACGTCCTGGGTGACGGTCTGGGTGCCGTCGGCGTTGGTGACGATCCTGGGGGCGGGTAATGGCACGGGTTTATAACGTTAGTGCGACGCAGACGTCGATGGCTCGCTTATGGGAGGGGGTGCACATGATTGTTTGAAATAATGCGCCGACGGCGAACGGCACTTACTTCTTGCGGATGACCTGAGTGGTGCCAACCTTCTGGGTGGTGTTGGTCGTGGTCGTGGTGACGGTCTGGGGCGGAAGGCGGGGATAGAGCCGCAGGCGAATTAGAAACGGACTCGGTCTAGGCTCGGACACAGCTGCAGTGTACGCGGGCCAAAGGATATTCGCGCAGGTAGATTGCTGCCGAAGGAGCGAGCCCTTCCCCGGCGATGAATGAAAGATAGCCAAGCCCTCCTAGTCGCAACACACACTCACCTCCTCCTCCTCGGGGGTGTTCTGGGTGGTGACATAGCTCTTCCACTCGTCGTCGTGGAGGATGTCACGGCCATCGGTCGAGATGGTCTCCTCGGTGGTGGTCTCCGAGCCGTCGGCCTTCTTGACGATACGCTTCTTGATGACATTGCTGACCGAGGCGACAGCCGACTGTTGCTCGTGCTCGGGCACCTCTTCCTCCTCAACGGTCTGGGTACCATCGGGGTTGGTGATGATACGCTTTCGAATGACCTTGCGAAGAAGGGAAGAGTTGGTGACGGTGGTGGGCTGGCGGGAGCTTTCGTCGTCCTCGACAACCTCGACACCGTTGACAAGGCGGCGCACGGTAGTGACACTGCCGGCGGGAGGCTCGGCGCCCTCAGGGAGCTCCTCTTCAACGACAACCTCGGTGCCGTCGGGCTGGCGGATCACACGACTGCGAGGTAGATGAGCGTAATATGCATTGTTAGCGGAAGGCTCAAGAGCGACAGTGGGCACGTCTCTCCCATGGCCACGGTTATCAAAAAAGCGTACCGAACAATGCGCTTGGTCTTCTGGAGGATGGACTCGTTGGTAGTGGGGACGGCGACGACGTTGGTCTTGCGGGTAGTGGTGGTGGTGGTGCTGTTGCCGTTGGTCTCGGGGAGTTCGACGCCCTCAGGGAGCTCCTCCTCGACAACAACTTCAGTACCATCGGGCTGGCGGATCACACGACTGGAAGGGGTTGAAAATGAGCAAGTCACGTTTGATAAGTGTCGGGCCCATAATTGCACAGTGATCCCGATGCCTCATTCGCTGCAGTGGGCACGTCCCTCCCATGGTCACGGTTATCAAAAAAGCGTACCGAACAATGCGCTTGGTCTTCTGGAGGATGGACTCGTTGGTAGTGGGGACGGCGACGACGTTGGTCTTGCGGGTAGTGGTGGTGGTGGTGCTGTTGCCGTTGGTCTCGGGGAGTTCGACGCCCTCAGGGAGCTCCTCCTCGACAACAACTTCAGTGCCATCGGGCTGGCGGATCACGCGTCTGTTCGGGTTCACCCCGCAAAGCGATGTGGCGTTAGACAACGTCGATTAAAGTGGCGCCGGTGGAACGCAATCCCGTGTCCGTGGCCTGCGCCCCCTCCGATTCCACCAGTAGATTCCAGAAGGCCAAGCATAGGAGCTTACCTGACAATGCGCTTAGACTTTTGGATGGTCTGGGACTGCGAAGGCTGCGGAGAACGAAACAGACGCGAATCGAATAAGTTAGTTTGATCTTATGCAACCACAGATGGGGGAGGCCTAGGGAAAGGCTGCCACCCAAGAGAAGGGCCTGTCGCCGACAGCTTACCTGAACAGTGGTGGTCTGGTCCTTGGATTTGCCGGTGACGAGGGTGGTGGCGGAGGCAACGGCGCCGGTAACGACGTTGGTGAAGCGCTGGGTCCAGCTGGACTCGGTGGTGGTGGGGGCGGGGGCAGGGCCTTCGGCAATCTCAACGGTGGGGATTTCGGGGAGATCTTGCTCTTCGTCGACGGGGGCAGCGGGGATCTCTTCCTCAACCTCGACACCGTTGCGGACGACTCGGCGACGAGTGACAACCTTAGAGGTCTGGGTGGTGGTCTGAGGACCGGGAACGGGAACGGGAACAGGGACAATGGTGTCGTCCTGGACGACTTGGACGACTTCGGTGGCGGTGTGCTCATGAGGATGATCGTGGTCGTGGTCGTGGCCGGTGCAGGTGCCAAGGTGGTCGTAGGTGTGCTCGGGAATGACCTCGTGGATGGGGTGGGGGACGTGGTGCTCCTCGACAACCTCCTCGACAATCTCCTCCTCGGTCGTGGGAACAAAGGTGATCTCGGACTCCTCGGTCTTAGTCTTGGGGTGTCTGATGCGCTTGATGGTCTTGGAGACGGCCGTGGTGGTCGCGGCGGCGGCACCGGCAACACCGAGGAGAACCTTCTCGGACCACTTCTTGCCGGACGACTCGGTGCCGACGGGGGACACGGGGACATCGAGGGTCTCATCGGCGCCGGGGACGGGGACAGAGTTGTATTCGGTGGTGGTGGTTTCGGTGGGGCCCTTGGCGGGGACTTCGGGAGGAATCTCATCGGTACCATAGATGGGCTGAGAGGGGATCTCGGGCAGGATCTTGTCTTCTTCGGTGGGAGCGGCAGGAACCGCCTCCTCTTCGACATCGTGGTGCTTGCGGCGACGGGTCTTGGTGACGACAGCAGCGACGGTAGCGGCGGCAGCGGCGGTGACACCGGCCAGGATGCCCAGCTTTTCGCCAGTGTGAGGTGCAGGGGCGGGGGTCTCGTAGCCAGAACCCGAGGCAACAGGGGGCACATTGGCAAGGGTGGTGTCCTCAACAGGGGCGCCGGGCAGGGGCTTTTCTTCCTCGACAACGGCGCCGACTTCGCTGAACGACAAGCGAGAGCCAACGGTGGCGACAGCGGGCAGGATAGGGGCTTCCGAGGGCTGGGTCTCGACAGGGACAGCGACGTCGGTGTCTTCGCCACCACCAAGGACAACGGGGGCAATGTAGGGAATCTCCTCGACGTTGGTGCCGACAGGGACCTCCGCAGCGTAGCCGCCAGTCTCGAGGTCGTCGACGATTCTGGCAGCGCCGGCCGTCTTGGGCTTGCGCTTGACCAGACCGGCGATGAGGAGGAGAGCCTGGAAGGTGAGGTAGCATGTTAGGTGATATATACAACGATGGCATGTACAGAGCGGCATGAGTGTTGCTGCACATGCGCATGGCCTCCTCTCGATTCATCACCACATGCGGCATCACGGAATTACCAGGAAGAGGAGGGTGAGACCGCCACCGACACCGATCGCAACGTTGTTGGTAGAGTTGGGCGGGTAGATCAGGCCACCGCCGGGGATGCCAGGGACAATAGGTCCGTTGGGGCCGAAGGGAGCTGGGGAGTGGAAATGCAATGGGAAAGAACGAGCAGCGGCAGGGAGGATCGTCAGTTACCAGGGTCGCCAGGGATCATCCGTCGCTATGGGTAACGCGCGAGGCTTTGGGCCAGCACCTCCGACTGCTCATGCATGGAGACGACGGCCATACTTTCGGGGACGTTGCCACCGGGGATAACGGTTCCGGGGGTGGGGGTGATTGAGGCTGGTTGGAGGAGCAAGAGAGAGCAAAAATTAGTTGGGTGTTAAGCCCACCAAGTGGGTGAGAGACACGACACGGCGGCGTTTAAAGGGAGATCCAAGAAGCAGCGATTGACAGGGCATGGCTCTATCGAACGGTTATAGGGCTATGATATAGCCGGAGGGAATACGTACTGCCGCCGGAAACCGAGCCAGAGACAGCGCCTGAGAAAGATGGGGGGGGAATCGATCGTCAGAAACAGAAAGGCCAGAAACACGACCATTGGTCGAGACACACGGCTGGACAGCAGACATTACCACTCGGGACGGGGCCGCCAGGAACAGTGGCGCTCACGACGCTGCCACCAGAGGCTCCGCTGGGAGAGCCAGGGACGTTAGTGGCACCTGGAAGCAATACGGAGGGATGGTCAGGAAAGTGCCAGGGCCAGGGCCAGGGCCAGGGTCAGGAAAGGGACATGGACATGGACGCGACCATTCGTGGCTGGGACGAGTTTCGCGAGGACCATGCGCCGCTGCAAACGTACCACTAACAGCGGGGCCGGCAGGGACGGTACCGCTGACAACGCTGCCGCCAGAGGCTCCACTGGGACCGTTCGGACCGTTCGGGCCGCCACTGGGGCCGTTGGGGCCGATCGATCCACCGCTGGGACCGTTGGGACCATTGGGTCCGCCACTAGGGCCGTTGGGACCATTGGGTCCACCGCTGGGGCCGTTGGGGCCATTGGGGCCGTTGGTGGGGCCTGGACATGATCGAGGAAGGATGTAAGGTCAGAAAATGTCCGGTTGGGTGGCAAAGGAGGCTCAGCTCAATTGGGCAGGATTTGCAGCTGGATCGAGGCTTGGATCTGCTGTCTGGCGATGCAGGCACAGAGTCGGCAAGGGCTTACCTCCAGGAACGCTACCGGTCAGGGTGACAACGACTGATAAAACAGCACAGAGCGAGCAAGGGAGGGAGAGAGGTGTCAGCGAGGACCATGCACACTTGGATCGCGTCGGGGAGATCGTGCCCGGGCCTGGTCGGGGGATCTGCCGGCCTGAACCCAGCCAGACAGCGCTGCAGAAGAACAACAGGACACCAAGCCAAGCCACATATCTCTGGTCTCATCAGCAAGAGCAGTCAAAGAACGCACCACCGCCAGAGCTGCCACCGCCGGGGGCGGTGGTCTGAGTGCCGATGTAGGTGGTGTAGCCATTGATGACGGTCGGGGTGCCGACGTAGACAGGGGTGCCGGTGGGGGTGTAGTTCGGGACGGCGGTGGGAGTGCCGGTGCTGGTCAGGCAGTCGATGTTGACGGAAGGAGCGCGAGCATAGACGGGAGCGGCGGTAATGGTGGTAGTCGGGGTGGGAGTGAGAGAACGCTTCTCAAGATGGGGTGGCATGGCGACCATGGTGGGAAGGAACTGAGGGGGAAGGAGCACAGCAGCAGAAACGGCAGCCAGCAGAGATGGTTGCAAAGACAAGCGCTTTCAGATTAAGGCTTGGACGAGCGAGAAGACCAGGGCCAGCAGATGGCGATATTCTCGAGGCAGAGACAGGGCAAGGGCTGAAGACTCGTTCGATTCGGCAGCCGTCCAGAGAGGCGGGAAGCGCGAGGAGCGAGATAGATAAATAAATAAGCGTCGCGGGAGATGCGGGCCGGGAAAGCAGAAGGCGACCAAGGGCAAGGCCGAGCGACCAGCAGGATGATATATCGGCCACGAGCCGGACGGATGGAGAGCCGGCAAGAGGCGCCAGGGTGGATGCGGCGAGAAGAGAAGCGCGGCGCGGCGAGACGGTCCCCGAGCAGCGCAAGAGAGAGCAACAAAGAGCGGCGACAGTCTTATTATTTTTCTGATTTTTTTTTTCTCTCTGGCGGACGAGAGCGGCGAGAGCGGCCGCGCAGTGGGGCTTGCTGTTGCGGATGTGGTTGTGGCGGTTGTGGTGGTTGCTGTGTGGTGGTGGTTACTGTGTGGTGGCGGTTACTGTGTGGTGGTGGTTGCTATGGTGATCGCAGACCGTGGCAGAAGCATCGATAGCAGCATCGATAGCAGCATCGATCGCTCTATCGATCGCTCTATCGATATCGACAGCAGCCGCTGGTGTGTCCGCGGCCGGAATTGTCGCAATCGCCCGCGGTGTCGGCGCTGCTGGTGGCGAGATGCCCGAGTGGAGCAATCGACTCTCATCCACCACCACGTCTCCCGCAAGCGCCCTCTCTGTCCCTTGCAGGCGGGGGAGCTACACCCTTGCCTGACGCAAGCCTCGCGCTGCACAGGTCGATGGTGCGGGGGGGGAGGGCAAATGGAGCTGCACAGCAGAGCAGACACCCGGCGGCATGCACCAGGCAGGACAAGCCAGAACATGCCAGGACCACCCAGGTCAAGACGACCCAGGTCAAGACAAGACGCATAGAGCCTGGTGGGACGCACCGCACCATGATGGGCATATCGCGCCGGAAGAGCTCTCCCGCGACAGACATGGGCTGCGGCAAAGTGTCCTGCCGGCTGGCACAAAGGCCGGGAGACAGCCAGCGGCGCGGCCCTGCCGTGCGACGGAGGCGTGTGTACACCACGCGTCGCGCGTCTGTGGCGGTGCGCTGTGCGCGCCGGTGCAGTGTCTGTTGGCGTTCCAGGAATCAACAGGAAACAATAGGAATCAATAGGAAGCAATAGGAATCAATAGGAAGCAATGGGAAGCAATGGGAATCAATGACCGGCTGCGACTGTTTCTCCAGCAACATCCACCAGCAACATCCACCAGCAACATCCACCACCACTCGGGCTGCACCCGCCCATGTGCCGATCCATGACTCAGTCCAAATGCGTCGCACGCCATTCCCGCACGCCGCTGAGTCAATCCCGTTCGCCGCCGTCCTCTGCTGTGCGTGCCACCGACCTCGCACAGGCCTGACCCTTCCTCAGCACCATCCGTCGCCGTCGCCGTCGTCGCATGACGGAGGGTCCTTGCGCGTCTCGCTGCCGCCATGCCCCGTCCTCCACCACCGCGAGCTCATGCAGCCGGTCCCATGGTCATCTCTGTCAATGGATCCGCCAGCGCTTCCTTTCCGTCACATCCCAGTCGCCATCCGGCTTGCTACCTTCTCGGGCTGCGCCTCGCATGGCTTTCGAACCATCGGCCAGAATCAAAGGAGCCTCCCCCCTCGCCGGTGCCCCCTGCTCCTGAGATGGCGCATTCGGACAGCGGCAAGGGCGCTCGAAGAACGGTCGACCGAGAACGGCAGCGTCGCACCACAGCATCACCAAGAATGGAGCTGGCTGCAAGTTCAAAATACTCCAGCGCATTCTTGGACGAGGTCTGCAATTTCTTCACGTGTTGCTGCAGGGGTGGCAGGCCAAACAACATGGGTGGTTTCTGCATCGGCCACCGCGTCTCTATACAACCAAAGTATTCCACTCCTCATCGCTGAACTCGTCATCGACCCGCTCATCGTCGTCATCACGTCCGTCGTTGTGGCTGTCCAGGTCGGCGTCTGTAAACGACCTGGCCTTCTTGGAGGATGCACCGCCGTCGCTCATCGCCCCGGACTCGGTCTCGCTTTCCGAGGAACCTTGGCGGCTCGAGGCTTGGGCTTCGGCTCCGCTGGACACACCCGCCTGTTGCGGATCCAGATCCGCAAACGGATCCACCGCCGCCATGGCAGGAGCTGCGAGGTCCAGGCTTTGTTCCATCTCGAGCAGATTGAACGGATTGTCGCTCACCGTTTTCTTGTGCCGACCTTGCATCTGCTTGTACAGCGCGACGCCCGGCAACTCCGAGCTGCCGGTGTGCTGAGCCGTCCTGGGATCATTCAGAGCCTCGTCGCCGTGGAGCCCGCCGAGCCGGATCTCGCCTTCAAGCGTGACCCAACAGCACTTGACGTCGCGCACCCAGTTGTTCTCGACAAACTTTTGCTTGACGGCGACGAGTCGATCGATGAGGATCTCTTCCACCGCCTCGGAGGTCAGCCGCGTCGTCTGCGACCCCAGCATCAGAACGCAGTCGTCGTCCGAGATCCACTTGATCGACAGCACAATGTCGGACCCAAATATGGGCTCCAGCAGGATCTTGACGTCGCGCGAGTCCATGCCAAACTGCAGCCCTTCGAGGTACAGCGCGTTCATGCTGACCTGTCGGGTGTTCACGACCTCCAACGGCTTCAGCGCATTCGTCGACGCCGCCGCTGCTTGGGCGCCAACAGTACCAGGTCGGTAGCTCACCGCCGCCGTCGAGAGCAGCGGGGCTGGGACCGCCGGCATGCGGTTGGCCTGCTTGCGGACAATCACCGAGCCGACTCCGCGCTCCGCATCGACAATCTCGGGCGACAGGGAGTAGAATGACGCCAGCTCGTAGAGAAAGTTCATGGCCGTGCGTTTGCCGTGAGGAAAGTGCAGCATGCGTTTGGATTCGTCGCGGACAAAGGCCTCGAGCTGCGACTCGATGCCCTTGACCCACGTCATGTTGCCCTTGGCAAACTTGAGCAGCGTCTCCGTAAACTCGGTACCGGTGTCGTGTCCTTCGATCGTGATCCGCGAGGTGGGCGTGATCTCCAGGGCCGCCGCCAGGCGACGGTTGCGCTCCAGCAGCGCACATGAATCGTCGCAGAGCAGCGTTTGTGGCGCCTGGCCGAGAGTGTGCTTGCTGCCCCCGCACACAACCTGGGAAATCCGGTTGCCGCACTTGCACGACTGTGCAATCTTGAACAGACAAGGTCGGTCCTCGAGACACTCCTTAGAGCCATGGCAGTTGAATCCGCATCTGCATATACAGCGAGCCGCGATGGTGAGCACGGAGTGTCAGAGTTGAGACGCAAAACAAAAGCCCATCGAGTCGCAGAGAACACAGGTCACGGCATAAATGGCGGCACCACACCATGGGCTGCACAACGACACTCTCTCCCACCCGGAAGCAGCCGCAAGGAGCTCTTCAGCGTCATCCGCGACGACTATTCGCCGCCGCCACCCACCAGCACGCCCATACACCCACCAAGCCCGCTACAGCCTCGCAGCTCTCCCAGCAGTCATTTGCTCGTCGTACGCACCTGTGCCCACACGACGGGCGGATCTTGCCGCACTTGTCGAGACACTTGAAGGCTTCGCCGTCGACGCACGCGCCGCTGTGGCAGAAGCGCCGGCACGTATGACCGCAGGGCGAAATCACCTTGCCGCATACCTGGCCACACGACGGCACCACTTTACTGGAGCATCGGACGTTGTTCATTTTCTTCTTTCCGCAGGCGCTGGTGGAATGCAAAGACACGGGATGAGGAATACTGCGCGGCAGGGATGCAGGCCGAAAGCAGCACAGCGCAGGCCGAAGTATACTAAGGTGTGATACACTAGGATGGGCTATACTGGGTGCAAACCCCTGCGGGCCATAAAGTGGCGCTGGCAGGCTACCTCAACCAGCGACATCGCCTCAATCGGCTTACATACCAGTCTCGCTCCACAAACAGGACGCACGGCGGACAAGTCTCCGTATCGGGGTGGCAGTTGTGTCGGCTCATGGTCGGATGGCCGCAGGGAAGCGGACGGATGCAAGGATGCGAGCATTTTGGAGGAGGAGTGTTGCACGGTATCGGCGGGAAGACGACCGTGCGTCCGCAGTGGCATGATAGCTCATCAAACGAGACGCCTTCGAAGCAGTCGTGGCAGCGGCCGTTGTGTCCACAGGTAAAGGTGCACTGGTGGAGTCCGCACTGAGGGCATAACAGCCGAGCGTGATGGATTCGAAAACAAGACCACGAAGATAAACGGCGGGTGAATACAGCAGCATTTGGCTTGCACCGACCCAGTCCAGGATGAGAGCCGGCCAGCAGCCGATCTGCTGTATCCATCACCCGAAAGACACAAAATGCATCGACCACCAGACCCCCACAAGCGATCGACGGCGATGGACCCTGCCGCCTGCTCCTCCCGACACCCACTGTATCTTTCCGCACGTCTCAGAGTCACGGCTTTGGACCACGAAGCCCTACCTTGAGGGTCTTGCCGCAGACCTCTTCACAGATATGATGTTCGAGTGGACAGCACCGTGACCCGCACTGATGTCGCTTGCAGTGCTTCTTTGCCGTGCAGACACGGCTACAGACCGGGAGCTCAATGTCGCCGTTTGGCAGCTTCTTCAGAGTATTGCACTCAATCACGAACTCGGTCCGGCCGCAACGGCATGGCAACGACACGCTCTGACCACAGGGCTCACTGAGTGAAGAATGGCCGTGCAAGAATCGAGGGACACATTGGTTAGTATTGAGTATCTGCGACAGGATCTGAAAGAGTGGCAACGCTCCCCCCCCCCCGAGCTCGCTGATTCTCCCCGTGGGAGAGGGAGCCCAGATCGAAGCAGGATCGGGCTGCGCTTTGCATCGGAGAGGCATCGAGGACTCACCACTCGCCAGCGTGGCATCGGAACCGACAACGGTGCCCGCACGGCAAGACCTTGCCACATGTGTTATCGCAGGTTACGACGGGGTCGGCACAGCTGGTGCGGACGACTCCGGTTCGCTTGCAGATCGCCTCGACCGTTTCCGACCCGCACGGGCACCTGAACAGCACCGACGGATCGAGCGGGCAAACGGAGGAATGTCCGCCGCCATGACAAGGGCGAGGGCAGGTGTGAATCCCGCATGGATACTCGTGATCGCACTTGGTGTCGCAGCTCCAAGACACGCACGGCGTTCCGCATTTGAGCTGCTTGGTCGATCGGCCGCACAGACACGGGTGGTCGATATTGACGGTGCAGGGGGGACACTGGCCCTGGTGGCACTTCCATTCGCAGGTATGTAGGCCACAATTCAGCTCCTTGCCACAGACCTGGAAAGGACACATCGACAGAAGTAGTGGGGAGAGCAGCGATCAGCGGACAAAATCAGCAGCGAGGACAACTCAATAACAGGATGAGTGCAGGAACGTAGCCACCCAGACGGCGGGTACAAGTACACTCGGCAGAAAGAACGCTACGAACCTCGCCACAGCTCTTCTCAAATGTCATGTTCAAGATTTCGGTGCATCGAACCACAAAGGAGCTGCGTCCGCAGTAGCAGGACACGGGTGGCGCCATGAGTTCGCACGGTTTGCATGGGCCAGGATGGCACGGGAGACTGGACGATGCAGCAAATGAGGGGTCGTGTCGCATGGCCGAGTTGACGTTTGCAGCGCAAGAACCATGTGTCCAGATTGAGTTTCATGACGGACATTGGATTGCAGGGTAAAGATGCATCGAGAAATCAGCAAACCGGAGCGAGGGGAGAATGCTCATGGGTCCGCCGAGCCAGCGGGGCCACGGAACAAATCCAATGGACCGAACCGGACCAGGCGAAACCATACGGACCCGCACAGTCACCAGCCCACCAGAGCTGCCAGCCACCTACGTGCACTTGTGCGGACATCCTCGCTCGCGGGAGCATGTCTGTCCGCATGAATGCGGTGTGATAAATCGATTGAAGGGCGGATCCTCGATCTTGCCACAGAAGCACCGATACTCGGAGGGAACCTCGGCAACGACAGACTGGCAGCCGGGACACCGCCAGCCTGGATTGGACGCCGATGACGACGACGATGGAGCGGGCTGTTGGGCCGCCTCGTTGCTGGCCGAGGAACGGCTCCATTTTCCGATACACTAAGACGCCAAGCATGTGTGCATGTTAGTGGAACGAAGTTGGGTTGGGGAGCTGCACACACTTTCAGCATCGTTGTCGATCGAGGAGGGTACAGGATTTGCTCGGCAGGCTCTCGAACCCACTTTCAGATGGAAGACGTGGCTGCAGGTGCTGCAAGACCACACTGCGTCCCTCGGTCGGACGTTCTCGTAGCAGATCATGCACTCGTCTGAAATAGAAAAAGGAATCGAGTAGGCGGGGGAGGGGAAACGACATCAATAGAGTGGCTCGGGAGGCAGTGGGCCGCACGACATGGGAGCGCTTCACACACAGATAGAAAGCACATTGCCGATCACGATTTGATTCGGAGGAGACTTGACTTACAGTCGCCGTTGGTCAGTCCTCTGGCCAAGCTGCCGAGCTGGTCATCCTCATCGACGATATCGCCGAGGTTGTGGTGGATCTTTCGCCGTGGGCCACTCGACCGGGCGGATGCGTTGGCCAAGGTCTCTGGGTCGCTGGTCGACGAGACCGCATCTGGCCCATGGAAGGTGCTTCGTGAAGCAAGCATGGAAGAGCGGGCCGCGGCCACTTGTGGCTGCGGCTGATGCTGATGCTGATGGGGATGAGGATGGTGGTGTGGATGGTGGTGATGTTGGTGGTCTCGCTGAGGAGTACCAGGAGCAGCCGGTCGGCCCTTTCCCTTTCCACGCGATTGCGGTTTTCGGGATCCTTCCGAGACAGGGGTGCTCGGGGCCGAGGCTGAGGCTGAGGCCGAGGCCGATGAAGCTGGTTGGGATGCTGAGATACCCTGCGACGATGACGGGGGCTCCGCTCGAGACGGGTTTGAAGGCCGCGATCGCCGGCTTTGCTTGGAAGGGGTCGATGAAGGGGCATCGCCTGGACGAGGGAACGCCCGCGGCTTGGAGCGAGTGCCGCTCACAGAGGTATCAACGGCGATATGGCCTTGCTGCGGAGACTCGGATGCGGGTGCGAGTGCGGGTGCGGGTGCGGGTGCGGGTGCGCTCTCTTGACGGGGGGGATTCGAGGATGAGGGTTTTGGGTTGGATCGATGTCGGCGTCGCCTGGACGACGAGGCAGAAGGCTCGGCACTGCCGGAGGACGCAGCGGGAGCGACAGAGCCCGGGACGAACGGCGAGCTGTTCGGCGAGAGCGTCGACTGCATGACGACAGCAGCAACGGCGGGTGCAGCAGATGCAGGCAAGAGCGCAGTGGAATCAAGCATGGTTGTCGGTGGGGATCTTTTGGGTAGTCGCCGGCAGTCAAATACCCCCGTGCGTGAGTGGCCAAGCCGCGATTTGCGACTGCGGCGTGCGGCTTTTGCCATCGTCATCGGCTGCTGGGCCATCGGCGGATCCAGACAAGGCAGAGAGCGGCCTGCGGCTCCAGCGGGAACATGGCAGGCCTTGATTGCAGCGGCATTGCGGCGTCTGCCGAGAGCGATATCAAGCGACAGCGTCCTCCAGCTCCTGCCGATAAGCTGGAGAGAAACGATGTGCGGAGCACCACGCAGGAGCCCACGATTGGTACTGAGCCGTGCGAGTGGCAGAACACACCGCACCACACTCCCGCATCGCAGTGTCAATGTCAGAGGATCGTCGCCACAGGCGACCGACAGGGTGTATTCGAGATACTGTTCTCTAGGAAACTGGGATTGCCAACCAAGACGGGGAGCAATCACACGGGTGGAAATCATGCGGCCAACGAATGACCGGACTTGAGGTCAGGAATCGCTGCAGCATCCGTTCCTTCTGCTTTAGCTGCGCTTTCGGGGCTGTGCGGCCTGCGACGAAGCTTTGATGCGCTTGGCAGCCTCGATGTTCTTTTGCTGGGCCTTGGCCGACTGGAGGAGCTTTACAGAGCCGAGGGTGCTCAGACTCCCCGAGGTTGTGGTTGAGGAACTTGCCGGGCGGGTGATGGGAGGAATGTTGAGCACGGCACGGATAGCATTGTTCTGAAGCACCAGGGTCTGGATGATCGTGAGGACGCTGGAGGTGACCCAGTAAATGAAGATGCCCTGAGTAGACGGAGAGTGGCGTTGGTTGGTGAACGAGGTACAGAGCAGCAGCAGTGGGCAGTGCGCCAGACGGCAAACATCGCATCGCAAAGACTGCCGGACAGGCATAGTAATAGAGCATATTCGCAGCGGCTTGCAAAGAGAACGCAGTGCTCGGGCAGGTGTGCAACCACATACCATGGGAAAGCTCTTGGTGACGCCATAGGCCAGCAGCGACACGACAGAGATACCGATGATGAGCGGGGTCGAGACGGGCGTGGCGCCGGTCGCCGAGGCAGCCTGTGGATAGCGATCGCAGATCATAGATGGTCAGCACAGCGAGCCAAAGCGCCATGGCAGATACGACCCGCGAACATCAGAGCCAGCGCCATCGACAGACAAGACTTACGCCAAAGCTAGTGATGATACCCGCAGTAGCCAGCATGGGCAGTATCTGAGTCGGATCCTCAACAGTCAGATCGGTAAACCAGTAGGCGCCGCCGGTGCGGAAGCTGGGGACCGGCAGATTGCACATGTCGCGAATGCCAAGGAAAAACGAGATGAAGACGGGCACTTGGGCAAGACCCAGGAGCGACGTCAGCGGGTTGATGCCGTGGTCCTTGTAGATCTTTTGCAGCCTGCGAGTGGCCTCCATCTGCTTGGCCATGTTCTTGTCGGCGCGGGCCTCTGTGATCTCGGCGTTGACTGGGTCGGTCAGATGCTTGATGTTTTGCATGCGTGCCGCGAAGCGCTGGGTTTTGACGACCAGCGGGAAGAAGGCTACTCGGATAGCGACCGTGGCGCAGATGATCGAGGCATACCAGGGCATACCCGTTGTGACAGCGATGGCCTCGATGCCGGACTGGACGAGGCCGGGGGGAAACAGGCTACTGAGGCCTAGCTCCTTGAGATACCCAATGTAGATGGGTGCGTTCTCGGCCACGGCTGCGACAGTCTCGGAAGCAGTAGCAGCAGAGGTCACCTCGGACGTAGCAGGTGCTTCGCCGGCGAGCAAGTCGAGATCCACCGGCGGCGGCGGCGCCGCATCGGCAATGATGCCCTCGAACTTGGGTGTTGATGTGAGTTCCTCGACATCTACCGGTGCAGCGGCCTTGGCTGGCGCGGGGCTGGAGCCGAATCCGAAAAACGTCCGGTGTTGTTGAAATGTGAACGTCGCCGGGCCAGCGAAGGCAAACTGGCGAGGACGGACGACAGCGGCAATCGTGCGCGAGGGGGTGTGCGCAAATCTGGATATGCCCAGTCAAGGACAGTCCGATGAGCAGCCGCATCGGATCAAAAGCACATCAGCCGCGTCGCATTTCATGGGTACGATTCATGGGTTGCAATTCATGGGTTGCAATTCATGGGTTCCAGGAAGAGACATGTGTCGGAAGCGTCGAGTCGGCCGTATTGGATCGATTGGACGGAAACGGGACGCCAGTGGTTGACGTCAAACCACAGCATCGCGCCATGAATCCAACAGATGCGACAGATCGACAGGTGGAGAGTGATGTTGACGAAGAATGTGCCGTCGCATTGAAAGAAATTTGGCAGAGTCGAGCGATCGGTGGTCGAGACGAAGATCGCCCCCCCCCATTGAGCCGACCGGTTGGAGACGGAATAGCAAACGAGAAGACATGATGGAATCATGGGGGTGAGGAACATGCAGCGAGCACAGCCAGCACAGATACCGTGGGATACACCAATCTGGCCATGGCTCCCTGTGTGTGCCGCTGGCAAGCTTGAGCGCATACATGCGTCAGATGCTTTGGTCGCCATCGAGATCGCCGACGAAAGAGCGGGCTGCATCGACGACCAGGGCTCTGTCGGCGGCTGAGCGATGCAAGTGCCATGGCTGCCTGTGGCCTCTCAAAGTCATTGCCAAGATCGCTCGGTCGCGGCAGCGGTACATACCCGGTGACGATCCGCGGGGATAGCCGCAGGCCCAAGGGCCGAGCAGCAGCAGCAGCAGCAGCAGCAGCCATGGGTGGTTGTTCAGGGGCACTTGCTGCACGGCGACGGCGATCGCAGGTCTTGGGCGTGCGCAACATGGCCCGCATATCCCTCCCGACGACGCAAACGCAAAACCGCTGCGCAATGCTGCGCGCGGCTGCTCTGGCTGCGCACTTCATTAGCCGCGCCCAATCAGCCGCAGCGGCCGAGCTAATTCGCCCATTGGCCGCGGCAGCGCGCACGTGTGTGCAACAAGCCCCTGTGCGACCGCCTCCGATCACACTTTTCTTCCTCCCACATCCCACGTGATGCTGGCGAGGGCCGACGCCGTGGGTATAAATTGCGGGCCTCGGCCGCATCCCTCTCTTTTTCCCCATCGACCAACTCTAAAGGATCATATTTATAGTTAGTCGTCTAGTCTTCGTTTTCCAAACGAGACACACACATCACCGTAGAAGATGAGCCGTTACGCCACCATCATAGCGGGAAGTGCGAAGTTTCAGTGTCTGGTCTCTTCTCTGAAGGACCCCTGCTTCGGTTGAAGACTGCTCTCGTTCCTGCATCCACAGGACGAGAACGATGGTTGGCGTGGTCTGATACGGTCGACTGTGTGTGTTCTCGGCTGCTGCCTGGTCGCTGTGGATTGAGTACGAGCAGGTTGTCCTCGTCCAACCAGCATCGCTGATGCGCTCGCATGATGCACAAAATGGGGATGGGTGTATTCGCCATGACAGGAAACAAATTGCATGTGGACAGACAATAAGGCGGGTGTGAAGGGTCAGAAGTAGTAGGGGCGTTACTGCGAGAAGTGCATGCTGGTCTTGGACCGCAGCGGCTGCGCCGATCGGGTTCTCCTGGGCGGCGACTGCGAGCGGCTCTCCGGTAGCGACACCCCGGCTTCGTCGCCAACATCGATGAAGACGAGTTGTGCTGATTTCTTCCGCAGCCGCTGGGCGAGGATGCTGTCGCGGACATCGAGGATGTCGGAGCCGATCTGGCATGGAGAATCGCAGAGCGGTGTGTGAGAGATGAGTGCGCATCGACTGCGAACGGCCATGGCAGGCATGATGTGTATGTAATCGCTGCGACGGCCCTACCATCCTGATGCGCCCCAGTATCCCACCCGTCGGTAGACTGCCCGGCCCAGACAGCACATCTTCTTGCATCGCCTCAACTTGCTCGTTCTGGAGCTCAAAAGCCCGTCTCGTGGATCTTGTGTGGTACACTGAACTTGGGGGACTCGTTGCCACCCATTCACTATTGCTTTCGTATCGGCCCGAGCGGCCGCGGCCATCCGGCGAGGCTGTCCGGCAACGATCAATGGGGCCGCTGACAATCGCGGTGTTAGAGAAGGCAGTCGGTGGGGGCATGAATGGCGGGGGCATGAATGGCGAGGGCACGACGTCTGTCGCAGCATCGGCAAAGGAACACACCTGCTCCGGCTTCTGTCCGCCGAGGTGCTCCATGTCCGAGCCCGCCAAGGACCATGGGGGCGACATGGTCCGGGTGCCTGCAGCGCGACCTGGATCGGAAGCAGCTGGGTGCTCGGGGTCGGTGTCAGGAGAGAGTGCCCGGAACGGTCGCTGGTGAGCCGGGTCGGAGTGGCCCGCATGCGGGGCAGCGGAGCGGCCGGCACCGGATTCAGCCAGACTCTGCTCCCGGCGCTTCAGAGCCCTCTGCAGAGTCTCCAGGTCGGTGTCATAGCCCGTTTTCTGCTTGAAGGCCAGCAAAAGCGACACCACGAGGTTCGTGTACTGCTCGCGCTTGGCCTCGATATCCTCGGCTGGGGCATTGCCGCGCTTCATCACCGCTGTCTCGGACTTGAGAATCTTCATCTTGCGGAGCTTGTCGCTCACCTCGGGAAGGGCCAGGAACAGGGTATACAGCTCCGATGCCGCAGGAGGGGGAGGATGGCTGGGAGCCGGGGTCGGAGCTGGCCTGGTGGTGGACCTGCTGCTTGGCTGGCTCTCGGATGCGCCCGCTGGGTGTGGTGGGCGAATGGTCCTACTGACGATCCGGAGCACCTCGCGGATGCTGTAGAGCGCCCGCTCGATAATGGCAATGCCCGTCGATGCATGGATTCGAATCTCGTCCGCAGTGAGGGTGTCCTGGAGATGCACCGATATCCGGGTTTGCTGGATAGCAGAGAGGTCCCGGTAGCTCGGCTCAGAACCAAAGTTTGGTACGGCTGCCTCGAAAGTCCGCTGCACCAGATCGAGAATGCTGGTTCCGGTGGGTCGGGCTGATGCCTCGGCAGTGTCGCCCGGAGACTCGAACGTCACTCCCGACGTGATGAGGTTGGCACACTGGAAGATGGACCGGATTTCCTTGCGAGCAAACTCGTAAGCGCGATTGATGTCGCTCTCAGCCTGGCGCGCCCGTCGCTGGGAGCGAGTGAGGTCGTTGCGCAGGGAGTCGTTCTCTGCCTCCAGAGCACGAATACGCTGCTCGAGCTGCCGGCGGGTCTCTTCGTCGATTCTAGCCGAGCGCTGCGGTGAAAGTTCCGAGGAGGCGTCCGGGATAGAGAGCCGAGCAATGGCAGCTTGCGGGGGCTGAGGCGAGAGTTTAGCGTCCGAGTAGTTGGCGCTGGTGCGGGCTGCGGCGGAAGCGTCAAGCGAGCCAGAGTCGTCGGCGTTGCCGTCGTCGATGTCGACACCGGTGGCGCCGAGGATGTACTGCCGGATCTCCCTGGTTGCCGCGACGCCCGCAGGCGACTTGCGCTTGTTGTTCATGGCCGTCATATCAACTTGGCCCTCCGTCACCAGGAGTTTGACCAAGCCGAGATCACCGCTGCGAGCGGCAAAGTGGGCAGGCGTGTTGCCATCAAAATCGGCAACGTTGGGATCAAATCCCTGTTCGATGAAGAAGGCCACCAAGTCGTATAGGGCCTCTCGTGCCGAAGCCGGGGCTCCCGAGTCGCTTCGCTTTGCTGTGTCTTCTTCCAGTACCGAGGCCTCGGCAGCAGTATCGGTGTCAGCCTTGGACTTGTAGGGCTCCTGGAAAAGGCACAAACAGTTAACAATCCGCACACCAGCGCCTGCGCGATCGGCTCTACAGGCAGTAGGGAGACACTTGCCCGAAGGAGGTAGTGCAGGCAAGTCTTGCCGCTTTTGATGTTGCGAACGCTGATGTCGACGCCCTTCTCGACCAGCTTGCGGATGACCGCCGGGCTGGCGGGGCTCTGCAGGGGACGGACTCGGCAGGCAACATGAATTGGGGCCAGGCCGGTACTTGGGTCGATGTGGTTGAGGTTGGCGCTGGAGATGACATGGAGCAGCGACTCTAGATTGTGGAGATCCTGGCGCTTGATGGCGCTGATGAGCGTGATGTGGTTCTGCGAGAAATCTGGGGGGCCAAAGGGCGAGAGCTCAAGCTCGTTTGATGAGCCCGCCAGGGATGGAGCCGATTGGTCAGGCCGGGACCCACCCTGGTTGGCAATCATAAAGACATAGTTCTTGAGCAGCAGCTTGAAGTTTTTGAAGAACGTTGGATGCTGGTTGCCGATCTCGACAAGGGCGCTTTCAGGGAAGAGCGCCTAATGAAAATGAAAGCAAGTGCGATCAGCATAGGGACAGATCGCGGCAGCGAAGGAGCTGCCAGGATGACACATGGCAAGAAAAGCAGTTCAACCCAAAGGACACCGACGAGCCCATGCAGCTCAGATGAGAACTTGGACTGGACATAAGGAGCTGCACAGAGAGTGGCCGAAGCAGGAAAGACCACAGGCAAAACCGCAACAAACCAAGCAACAGCTACAGCTTCGTTCATTCTAAGGAGACACAGCAACGCAGATCGCCGCCCGAGCTGGAGAGCCGCGGTCGATGCTGTCGCTGATGGTCCGTGAGCAGTCGTACTGGATACACACCTGGATGCCGCTCTGGGCGAGTGTCACTTCTTCAAAGGCTTGGAGGACGTCAGGGTGCGTCTGTCCGTACTGCAAGGCAGTCCAGCCGTGGTTGTCCGTGAGCATGTAGTTGGCATTGAACTGGAGGAGAGTGCGGACGACCTGGGCATGCCCATCGCGCGCTGGCGAAGGGAAGGACGAGGGACGCATATTCATGTTAGCGCCAGCAACATGGCCGCTGTCCAGGATGCTGCGGGGACAGTCGACAGGAACTTCCCCCCCCCGGACAACCGTCGAAGCATCCAGACAACCGTCGAAGCATCCAGACAAGCGCCGAACCATCCAGACAAGTGTCGGACAACCGGCGATATTGACAAAATGCAAGAGTCAGAGGGGGTGTTGGCTGCTTACCGGCATACATCAGCGCCGTCGCTCCGTTCTTGTCCTGTCGGTCCGGATCCAGGCCCGCCTCCATCAGAATGCGGACGAGGATTTCCTTGCCCAGATAGGACACCAAGCAGAGCGGCGTGATGCCCCGGAGGAACGGTCCGTCCTGGGGCTTGTTCCAGATGTCTTCGAAACTGATGCGCTGCTTCGATGTGTGGTTGAGAAGGAGACGGATGCAGTCGATGTGGACCGGCTGGCATTCGGTGATCTCGTTGTAGTTGGTGCGGGTGATCAGCATTACATCGCTGGAGCCGTATATGGCGCAGACGACTGCCGTTCTGGAGTTGCAGGCAGGAAAGTGGCCCCGAGCAGGGCAAATGTCAACGGCCGGTTAGTTGGATGCCAGTCGGGGGAGTCGCTGCGGCCTCTGGAGCCGCATTGCAGCGAGCGCAAATTCTCAAGGCTGGCTCGGGTTTGCAGAGGGATATCTGCCTGATCGCTTGGCTGATGAAGCAAGAAACGGGCCACTCGACGATCCACTGCTGCAGTCAGCCGATCGCAAGTAGCCGAGTCCAACCCTGCCCCAGCTTACCTGCCCTTGGAGTCTCGGCGGTTGACCTGGGCGCCGTTTTCCAGCAGCAGCTGGACCATCTCCAGATGGCCCCGCATCACAGCGATGTTGAGGGGAAGGGCTCCGTAGACCTCGGGCTCGGCCAAGGACTGCGTGGGAGTGGAAGTTGCGGATGGAGAGAGCTGGGCGATCGAGCACCGTTGAACGGACGACCAGGGAACTCTTGAATTCGGATGCAGTCCCGACTGGAGCAGCTCGGAGGCTGCTGCCACGTCGTTGCGGAAGGCTGCATCGCAGAGGGTAGTGCATGGGGCGTCTGCGAGCATGACTGGAGCCTGGGCTGCGACTGACGCTGAAGCAAGAGTAGTGGAGGCGATGGGGGACAAGCACCGGATGGAAGCAGAGCCTCGGAGACAGGACGGTTCAGGACGTCGGGGCCGCGAGAGCAGGATGTCTGGCCAAGGCGAGACGGCGAGACGGCGGCGCTTTCGGGGCCAAGGGAGCGATGGCAGAAAAAGAAAACCTCGGGCAGCGGCATCGCTGGTGGAGCGAGTTGTGTTCAGGCCCGAGATGGACAAAGCGCTGGGCCCACCGCTGCGAGACAGCAGTGCCGGACAGCGGCCGAGACCACCGACACAGTCCGCACAGCAGGACGCCGTCAACGGAGCCGGTGCGATAGTCAGAGGAGCCCGGCGATCGTTGCCGAGCAGGACTTCGGCGGACCGCATATGTTAAGCGAGGGGTGCGCCTGGGTTGATGGGCGGTCCCATCCCGCTGCAACGGCCCTTGCCAAACAAGGTTGGTTGCTGCTGCACTGGGATGCAGGGTCCTGGCTGTGGGTGGGGCGAGTACCGTGGGGCGAAGCTGCTGGTGCAACTGCCCTCCCACACACCCGCCTGCCGGCCTGAATCGCAGCCTCGCGGGCGGATGAGCATGTTGAATATGTTTTGCCAGCCCAGGTGTTCGCACTGAAACGGGCTGGATGAATGCGTGTGTATTCCCCCATCAAAATGACGCTGCGGCGCCCTGTTTCATCTGGGCCCCAGCCTGCACATCAGCACCTAGCCAAAGTAAAGCCGAATGCACTGCTTCTGCTTGAAGGCCGAGCGACAGCAGGGGCAGAATCGCGTGCTCCCGCTTCCGACAGTGAAGAGGTAGTCGACGCACTCGACGCAGAGAACATGTCCACAAGGCAGTGCCTTGTTCATGCCGAGCTGCTTCTCGCCAAAGCAGATGGGGCAAAATATGTGGGGGGTCTGTCTGTCCGAGCAGTCGACGATACTCCTGCGCGGCGATTCGGGGGCAGGCAAACCCTCGCCCTCAACGACCGGGATTTGAGATTCGTTCAGTACTTGGGCAATATCAGTCTCGGCGAGGCTGTGGTGAACCGACGGCGGTGTGTGATCGTCGGAATCATCCGTCAACTCCGTCGCACGCTGGCCAGAGGGGCTCAAGGAGTCTGAGGATTCAGAGGGATCGGAAACGTTAGGAAGGCCCGATGGATTGCGGGCAAAGCTCGCGTGGTGGGGGCTTGAGAGCGACTCTCCATTCGCATTGGTCCACGCCGCCGAGACGTTCGACAGCGTCCGAGAGAACGAGAGAGCGACGGTATCGAGGGCCAGCGAGAATCCCAGAGCGATCGAGCGAAGTGTCGACTCGGCGGGTGGCTCGGCATCGCCAGCATTCTCACGGAGGTGTTGAGGGAGGGAGGATACGCGCGGCGGGATGTACGGCGGACGCTGTGACATTCGGATGGACGGTCTCTGCGAGCCCGGATCCGCTTGCGGAGCGGCGTGCGATACGGTTCTCACGGACAGGGGCGGTGCCGATTTCGTGCCGGAGGAGCAGCGATGGGTTTGGGCCGTGCTTTCATGAACATGGGATTCCGACATACTTGACTGGCGCCGCTCGGGGCAGGGGCTGGACAAACGACGCTCGGCAGGCCAGCTGGATCGACAGCGAGACGGCCCGGGCTGTAGAGAAGGGCTTTCGGTATTACCGCGTTCGTGCGGATGTTGCTCTAGCTGCCCCGGCTTGACCAAGGCCTGATCATGATGGGCAGTGGTCCTGCGATCCAGAGGCGGCCCTGCTGTTTCGGTGAGCCGGTGCTCATGTTGGCCCCGGCCAGAGGTGCTGCAGCTGGAACTGTGATCAGCAAAAGCCGATTCGACCACGGACGGAATGGCCATATCCTCGACGATCGCCAAGTTTGAACCGCGGTCACAGTGCAGGGCTTGATCCATTTTGCTGTTCCGGGCGAGCCATATGCCAGAGGGCGAACCAATGTCAGACGACCACAACCACATAATCGAGATCCGAATGGGATCACGCACCCCTCAAAGCCACGCATCAAGCGATCGGGCATGGCACGAGATCAATAGTCGACTGCTTCAAATGCAGAGTCGTCACCTGCGGTATATGGGTATGCACTTCGGACAGCCCGATCAAACGAAGCACACCGGAGGAGTCGACAGCCGGGCTAGCTAGAAGTTGTGGGTCAGTCCCAAGAGTTGCGGTCTCGACGCATCCAGCCGAGCCTGGGTTTTATGTCGATCTGGCCGAGCCATGAGGGCAGTCTCCGACCATGGCCCCGGAGCAGCGCTTCCCTTCGTCCCCGAGCCGTGAGAAAGGGGCAAGGCGGAGTGCCTTCCGACCCACGCAAACGAGCTGGCTGCGACGGATACCGCGGATGAGGTGTGCGAGTCGTATGGTCGTCTGTCACTGCGACATGAAGCCAACGGCGGCTTGGCGACGGCAGTGGCATAGATGTAGGCGGTGTGGAGGTGTGGTCCCTCAAAACCATGATCCGATCGCAGTGATGCGATCCTGCGAGCTGCAAGCTGTGACCGGGTGCAAGCTGCGTCTGATCATGTCAGCTGGGGTCCCAGCCGGCCCAAGTGTGATCCGATGAAGCGGGGGAGGGCGGCATGATGCCACCTCAGCACCTGTCGACAATACAGTTTTGGCGATTTCGCCATTGATGCAGTTGTTTGGAAGCCGAGCGACACCAGTTCACACCAGTCGATACAGCCTGACTGCTCTTGCGTAGCGATAGCCGTTGCCGCCGGTGTAATATTCTATTGCCCATTGCAAGGATGCAGCCGGCAGTACGGATATCCGGCATGGCATACCACACAGATCTCACACTTGCAAAGCTGACGAGCTGTCTTGCTTTCGCTTTGATAGACGATATCTTGAACACCCGAGCGAAGGATCGCCATGGGAGCTGGAGTGCGACTACCCTCCACACACAATTCTGCAACAAAGGTGCTCTATCACTTGTCCTTTCCAATGCCGAGCCATTCGTAGGCGTTCGACAGGGATTGTGAGAACTGCTCCGTTGTCTTGGATAGAGAAATGTTGGGAAGCTGGATGCCGCCCTTGGCGAAAATGTTGCGTGTCGTCAAGGGATACCAGTAGACGAACGATCCGGCTGCCAAAGCAAGGGGCGCGGCGATGCGAACGCCGAGAGATCCTAGAGAGGAGAAACAAGCGCACAATACGACGGGATAGCCGCCCGCCCCACAATAAGAAGATAGAGCAGGCAGAAGGTGAACGCAGATCGATGTGAGAAATCAGGACCGTGTGAGGATTTGGACAACGGGGATGGCGCTGACTGGCTTGAGCCTGTCGAAGCGACGGCAATCCTTGTCCCAGACAGTGCAGAAAGGGAAGGGGCTTACTCTTGTTGGCGATGATCGATCCCGCGAATGTCGATATAGTCACGTAGAGAGCACCAGGAAGAAACTTTTCGTCCGGATGCACAAAGGTGGCCAGATTGTCTGGGGGTGGGCAAGGTCGGTGGATCGGGAGAAGGTCGTCAGCCATGCCAACACGAATAGGGACCAGCGGCACTATGAATCGATGGGAAGCTGAAATATGCAGCAAGATGCACCATAGGAATACAGGGCTTGGTGAGGGCACAGAGACAACGAGGGGGTCGTGCTTACTTCTCACAGATCGCTCAACCTGGATCCACTCATCAACGCCCGTCTGGATAGCTGCGCGGGATGTCTTGAATTGGTCCGTGACAAAGAAGCGAGCCTGGGGGGCGAAAAGAACGAAAGGATCTCAGATTAGGCTCGGAAAACGAACCAGGGGATGGAATATCGGTGGAGGGATACGCAGTCCTCGCATGTTCCGGGTTGTAAGTGGATCTTGATGAGGGACCAGGAGACCGAAGGCGGACACAGCAAGAGAATCCTCACCCACCTCGCGAATGGAGAGCTCGATCGACGTGGGTTCATCCACGATTTCGTATCGAGCCTCAGGCTCATCGTATATGGAGAGCACCTGGGAGACGGAGCGATTGCAGAGAGGGTTGGAAAGCCATCCACGAAGGACTCTGCAGTCTGATCTGAGGGGAGCGAGACGCCAAGCACGGGAGCAGCAATACAGCCCGTCGAAGGACATGTGTCGCCGGTCCGATAGATGACTTCTTTGCCCGCAGTCATGAAGGGGGCCCAGCCTACTTTTTTCGCAGGAACAAACGAGGCACTCGAAGGAGAATCGGCGGGGGCCGAGGTGGCGGAGGACTCGGCATAGATTCCTGCGGAGGGGTACAGGGCGTAGAGGGATGCCGATCCGACGAGCAGAGCCGAGACAGGGATGGCGACCGAGCGCGAGGCAAGCTGATTGTTAGGAAAAGAGAGCGTGAGAGAGGAGTAAGTGCATGCGCAGATCATGCCAGAAGGCAGACCCAGAGCCTGGTTTGGCTGTGAATGGATACGCAGCCACAGATTGCACCGAGAGAATATGAGGGCAGAACGACATTGTGATGAAATGCAGCGAGCAAAGCCCTACTCTAGCGGCCGACGATGCCATGACGATCGGTGGACGGGAGATGGGCTTGGTCTGGATGTTCGACAGCGACAGCTTGATGCAGCGACAGAGGCCAAAAGACGAGCCGGCTGTTTTGCGCTCTGCTGGACGCGAAACGTGACTGGCTCGGTGTGGCTTGTGCGGGCGAGTTGCTGGTGTGATGCTGGAACTGATGGGATGCGGGGACGATCCTGCCGGAAGTGCTGGGATGGTGCTGGGATGGTGCTGGGATGCCCAATGTCGTCACTGGGATGCGGCAGATCCATGCCCGAACTCGCCTCCTCCATGTTCATCGAGGATGAGGGATGCAACGATGAGCTAAACGACCCCCCAATGTCCGCCCATACCCAGCATCCCGCAGACAGCCCCCGCACGGAAGGGGCTGCAAACTGCCCAAAGGCAGAGAAAGTATTTGATGTATCTGGCGATCATGGTCGATCGAGCCTCTTTATTCTTCACACATGGATACACCAAGTAGCACGCACGCACGGAGCGCGGGATCGATTTACTCGTCGTCCTCGGCAGAGGCAAGCTTGCGGTGGAAGGCAGCCAGCTTCTGCTTGACGGTGTCGCGGCGCTGCTTGAGGTTGCGGCGGTGGGACTTGAAGGACTTGGAGCGCTTCTTCTCCTGCTCGCTGAGAACGTAGTCGGACTTCTTGGGGGTGGGATCCTCACGGATCTTCTCGTGGGCCTCGGTGTACATGTCCTCGATGTCCTCGGCGGTGACACCCTTCTCGATGAAGCGAGAGAACTGCTTGTTGTAGGCCTCCTCATCTTCCTCAAGGAGGTACTCCATGTACTCCGAGACGTGGATACCGAAGATGTAGTTGCGGAGAACCTCGGCATCGAGGGACTTGGCGTCCTTGTCGTAGCCGGGGAAGCGCTGCTCGGAGTGGGGAATGGCGAGGCCACCATCGACAGCACCCTTCAGAGCACCAAAGATACGAGAGCCGGTGGTGGTGGGGCGGAGACCGACATCGAGGAAGGCCCTGAAGGGCTTGGGTCCGTCGTCGACGGGCTCAACCTCGTACTTCTCACCGTTGATCTCCTCGTTACCGGGGTAGTGCTTGTCAAGACCAAGCTTCTGCAGGACACGGCGAGCCAGGAGCAGGCCAGTGGCGTAGGCAGCAGCGTAGTTGGTCAGACCGACCTCGACGCCGTAGTTGGGGAGCTCGTGGGAGTAAGCGGCAGCAAGGACGACATCGCCGGTGATCTTGGCGTAGACGATCTGGGTGATGATGTCCTTGTTGGTGAGACGGACAACCATGCGGTACTTGGGCGAGTTGTACTTGTTCTTGGCCTGGGTCACGAGGCGCTTGCGGGCATAGTAGTCAGTCTTGCCCTCTGTTCCGGCGGATGGATCGCGTTAGATTTGATTGCGCCATGACGGGCCGCCGCCAGCACCCGCACACGCTCAACGATCAGATAGGGGCGAAATGTAGTCTACACGATGTTTCAGATGAACTAAGACTAATAAATTGGTAGCATCATGTTGTGAGCTCGGGGCCAGGATCGGCGCCAGACGAAGCAACGTACCACGGCGTCTGCGGTACTTGGTCTGGTAACGCTTGTAGTAAGCCTTGTTCTTGACAACCTTGACGAAGGGCTGTGGACATCGGCACGAAACATTAGGAGGGACGCGAGAGAATCGGGCTGCACGTCTCTGGGTCGCTGATGCATCCGCCCATCCGTCCATCCGTCCATGGCTATTGGCGGGGATTCAGTGGAATTGATGTGTGTTCATCACAAGAATCAGGTGAACTAAGCTTTGTTTCCGCATCATCATCGCTGCCTGTGTCGACCGAGCCATGTCCGCAGATCGAAATAGCTTCGACTGGCGTGCTTGGCTCGCACGAGCCAAGCCAGACGCGCGCTGTCCAGTTGCGAGGAATCGAGTCCAAGTTCTGCAGCCATTGGGACGGGCGGATGGATGGATGGGATGGACGCATCGATGCACGGAAAGATAGATAGATAGATGGATGGATGGATGCACGGATAGATGGATGGATGGATGGATGGATGCGCATCCGATCATGTCGCGGCTTCACCTACCATGGCGGCGGCTTAAACCCTGAAGAGGATTTGTGTGAAAGTGGAGAGAGGAAGAGGAGGATCCGACATGGCGCATTCCTGGGGCTGCCGATATCGAGCGAGAGCAGGTCAGCAGCGCTGCTGGGGGAAGGGTTGCGTGCGACGCGCTTGCGCCACGCGCCCTGTCGCGGCGCCTTGCCCGCCTGGGGGCATACGGGGCGTGCGAGTCGGCAGCACATGTCGAATTCCCTCCTCTCACTATTCGGGTCATATCTGTAATCTACGGGTCCCAACACACCACCAAGCCATAATGGTCAGTACCGCGATGCACACTGCGGCATCCATCCATCCATTCATCCATCCATCCATCCATTCATCCATCCATCCATCTATCCGTGCATCCATCTATCCATCCGTGCATCCATCTATCCATCGGTCCGCCCGCCGGTCCATCCAAGCTGCCGCCGTCCCAAGCACCACCTGCCTATCAGCTTTCAACCCAGTTCGCCAACGGCGACTTCAGGATCGACCGACTCGGCAAATGCGGCCCTCTCCGGCTGTGGCTGCATCCGGAACAGGACTTTGTAGCGGCACCCGATCTGTCTCAACCTCTAGACTGCAGCCGTCGTGCGTTCGAATCTTGCCGGTCGGCTTGTCATGCAGCGCCGTGAATTGAGGAAATAAGCGCACCGAGCGCGCTCGCATCACTGTCGGTTGCTGGATCATCCGAATGGCATGGACTCTTGCGGGTTGGAATCGATGGCAGGGACCTATCGGATGGACCGAGGCGCTTGGACACGAGAATCGGATTCCCGTCCAAGGGCCGAACGGATGGACAGGAAAGGACAGGAAAGGACAGGACTGGACTGGCTGGCGACCTTCCAACTCGACACTCTTGCTCTCTGGCTGCGTCCAGCGTATCGGATGCTAATCGGTGTGCCTGGTTCTGCATCCACAGTCTCGCAGATACGTTGAAGTCGGCCGTGTCCTCCTGGTCAACACCGGCAAGGAGGCCGGCAACCTCGCCGTTATTGTCGACATCATCGACCACGGCCGTGTAAGTAGCTCGGCATCGCATCGCATCTGGATATCAATTACGGCCCGAAGCCTGTCGCCGTCAAGCATATGACAAGCCTGTGCTGATTCCCAACTCGCCTGTGCATCGGATCTCGGACAGGTCCTCGTCGAAGGCCCCACCGTCAGCCGCCGCGCCCTCGCCCTCAAGCGTGCCAACCTCACCGACATTGTCGTCGCTGACCTGGCCCGTGGTGCCAGCTCTGGTGTCCTCGCCGCTGCCTTGGAGGCTCAGGATATCGAGTCCAAGTGGAAGGAGACTGCTTGGGCCAAGAAGATCGCCAAGCGCGAGGTCCGCGCCAACCTGTCTGACTTTGATCGCTTCAAGCTCCAGCTCGCCCGCAAGGAGGTAAGGCCATCCCAATGCACCTATGCGACGCTGGCCCCGGTCGGCTGAATTGGGTATTCGATCGATATTGACCCCTTTCCTCGTTCCGCCGCAATGCAGAGACGCACCATCGTCAACAAGGAGTTTGCCAAGCTCAAGAAGGCCCAGGCCAAGCAATAAATGCTCTCTTGGTTGATATCTTGTACATTGTGGACGACCCGTGAATACGACTCAATTTAGCGTCATGGACGTTTGGTGTCATCCCCGCTTGCCCGGCTCTGTCCCGCGGAACTCCAATCGTGGTGCGATTTTGGAAAGTGGGCGATTCAGGCAGGCAGGCGTCTGGACTGGTCATTGTCCAGTGCTCATCGTGATCGTTCCTGCGCCAGGATTGGTCTCGGCTCTGGACCCTGTGTGGATGGGGTTGCTGGGCATTTTTCGGGTTGGCAACTGGCCACGATCGAGCCAGTGGCCGTTCAGACATTTGGCGGCTCTTGCATCCATCCCACATTGCGATGTATTGGGGCAATCCGATATGTTGTGGGATGTGGGCTGCTGCCTCCACGGTCCATCTACTCATCTACACATCCACACCCAAGCTCTTCTTGTACTGGCGCACGATGCCATCCTGCACGCCCTCCTTGCCCTCGAATCGGGACAGGGTGCCTCCCTGGCACACCCACACCTCGTTGCAAACGGCGTCCAGGAATCGCTCGTCGTGGGAGACAACGGCAACACCGCCGTTGAAGGCGCGCAGGGCCGAGGCCAGGGCATCGATCGAGTCCATATCCAAATGGTCTGCGGCGATCACAACGACAAATCAAACCGGTGAATCTCACGGAAGCGCCATTTGGGCCATCAACGCAGTCCATGCAATCAACGCAGCCCATGCAGTCAACAACCGCTGTCCGGTTGGGAGCGATACTTACTCGTAGGTTCATCCAGGATCAAAACATGAGGGTTCTGCATCGACATCCAGGCGAATACAACACGGCTCTTTTGGCCGCCAGACAACGTGCCGATTGGCTGCAGCGCAGTCGTGCCCGTCAGCCCATATCGGCCCAGGATGCGCCGGTACTCTTCTTCCGTGAAACCGGGGAACTTTTTCTGCAGGAACTGCACCGAGGAGGCACCGAGCTCGAGCTGATCGACGTGGTGCTGGGAGAACAGAGCGATTCTCAAGCGTCCGTGGCGATGGCAGCGTCCCGATGTGGGCTGAGTCTGGTTGGTCAAGAGGTAAATCATGGTCGATTTACCTACAGCCGATGGTTGACAGAGCAAGCCGGTGAGTTACAAGCTGAGCAAAAACGTGTCCAGACTTGCCAAATGAACATGGAGCCGAGCAGCCGATTGCTCAAGTGCTCGGTAGCAGGTGGCACACCAAACAAATACTGTTGGATCTCTCCGCCCTCCTGGGGTGCGACAGACCTGCGCCGTTGGGGCCGACAATCGCAATCTTCGAGTCCATGCGCAAGTCGAATGAAATGCCCTTGAGAATCGTGCGCGACGAGTTGTATCCAAAGGTGACGTTGTCCATCTGCAGGATGGGCGGAGAAAGCTTCTCGGCCTCGTTGAAGCGGAAGTAGACACTTCCTTCTTCGCCAAGACCCTCCATCTCGTCCTTGGGCGGAGGCTCGAGCGGAGGCAGCTTCTCCAGAATCTTGATTTTGCTCTGCGCCTGGGCTGTGTCGAGCATCCGGCAACGAGTATGATCAGTCAAAATGCCTTTGCAAACTGCAATAGTTGCGGCACCGAGGCGGCGTGCTTGGGATGATTCCACAATCAGCCCAGGCCACCGAGCAGGAGCCAAAACACATTCATCGATCAAACAGGCCACATTCATCGGTCGAACCGGAGCACGTTGATTGGTCAAGCAGGACCATCGCACCGACCTGCTCTCTTGGCATTGTACCGCCAGCGATCGATAAAGTCTTGCAGATGCTTGCGGTACTGAACCTGGGCCTCGTATTCGCGGAGCTGGTTCTTGACACGCTCGGCTCGAGTCGAGACAAACGACGAGAAATTACCGCGGTAAGGCTCCAGGATGCAGCTTGTCAGGTGAATGACGTCCGTAGCCACTGCATCCAGGAACGATCGATCGTGCGAGACCACCAGGAGCGTGGCGTTCCAGTTCTGGAAATAGTTCTCGAGCCACACAACGGCAGGGAAACTGATACGACGCAGCCGTCAGTCAACTCGGTCTCTCCACACGATGAGCAATCGCCCCTGCCCTGCTGCAATTCATCGGTCACGGGCAGTGTGCACGCGAAAGCGACTGACTTACTCCAAAAAGTTGGTGACTTCATCGGCAAGCAGCAAGTCCGGGCGACAGAAGAGCGCGCGGGCGAGGGCAAGTCGCTGTATTCAAACAATATAGTGTTAAATAACGTCGGCCCGCATCGTTCCAGTTGCGAGCGAATATGGGCGGCGACAATCTCCTCGGGAACAGCAGCGGCGCGTCTATTTCGCCCTGTCCTCACCATTCTCCAGCCACCACTAAAGGTTTTGGTGGCTGCTTTCTGTTGATCTGGGCTGAACCCTAATCCGTTCAAGATCGCCGCGGCCCTGTGAGCGCGACATGGTTCCAGTATGAGTCAATCAGCTGGTGGCGATGGGGCAGCATTTAGCCATTCCCCGGTCCTCGCCGGCAGTCGGGATGCTAAGGGCCCGTGACTGCTAAGAAACAATCTGCCGGCTGTCCGAGCAGAGAGAAAGCACGGCTTGGAAGTGTTCAGCGACAGTGCGTACTTTGACTCGGCCTTGTCGGACTCAATCTCCTCGAGCTTGGCATAGACCGACTTGAGGCGCGACGAGATGAGGGACGATTCCTCTGCAGACAATCCGGGTTTGTTGATCGCCGCCGAGAGCTCCCTCTCCTCCTCCAGAAGCGATTCGCGCTCGACATCAGCCTGCAAGACGGAAAGCAGCGCAGGAGTGCCGTCGCCGTGGATCTAGGATACCGAGGCGGGTACGGTGATTGCGGATGAGCAGAGAGCCGTTAGCGATAGACTGTGTCTGGCAATGCCGTTGTATCTGGTGTCGCCGGACTATCCAGATGCAAGCCGCAACTGCAGCCGCACTCCCGGTAGCTTGCTGTCGCTGCAGCTTTGTCCTTGGTGGCAGACGCAGCGCCGAACACAACCTGTGCCAGCATCATCAACGACCCGATGGCCCAGCATGAAGCGACTACCCACGCGGGAGCCTTGCTCAGCCTACCTCCTGCTCGACGTGCAGCACTCGGATGTGCGACGGAATGAGGAGCTCCTTGTGGGCAATCGCTCGTAGCAGTGTGGATTTACCGGCACCGTTCTTGCCAACGAGGCCGTAGCGCTTGCCACTGGACATGGTCAAGGTGGCATTCAGCAAGATCTTTCGGCCGGCGTAGCTGATGTCAAAGTTCTCGATCTTGATGTCCTTGCTCTTGCTCTCGGACGAGAGCTTCTGCTGGTTGACGATGATCTGCGGCTTGACATCCGGGTTCCACTCGGGAATGGCATCGGGATCATACTGGCCCTTGGCGGCCTTCTTTTTGGCCAGCTTGGCCTCGGCTTTGTTGAGCTTGTCCTGGTCGACGGTGCTCTTGGTCGGGCCCTTGCTGCTCATGGTGTGGCGAATGTCCCCGACTCTGGCCCCGCCCGCGAGTCCAAGTGTGGCCGAGTGCTCGACATTCATGTGGAGGGGAGCATCGCGATCAAGCTTCTGGGGGCCGTGGCTGCTGGTGTCGAGCGAGTGCACCGCCAGGGAGGCGCACAGCTCCTGGATGTCTTCGTCGGAGGCACCCATCTCGGACAGGAGGGGCTCCAGAAAGTCGAGGAGTCCGTCTTCGCCAAGGTCGTTCGTGGGCTCCTGGAAGTAGCCCAGGACGAATTCCAGCAGATCCGACTCGATGCCGGGGGCGGCCTTCTTGATCCGCTTGGAGATGGTGTCAATGTCGGTCATCGTTGTCGCGGGCCACTCTGTGCAGCGCAGGCTGGAGGGGAGGGATTCGGGGACCAGAGCGATGCAGATCGATCCGGAGCCAGAGGCTGCGCCTGTCGCCAGCGAGAAAAAAAGACACGGCTCGCGACGAATGGCGATTGGCCCATTTGTCGCCGCACCCACACCAATGCAGCCATGAGCAAGGGTTGAGTGCACAGGGACCACTCCGGGTCAGTGGGAATCGCATTTCTTGGTCGCATTACTTGGTCGCTGCCCTGGGACTACATCAAGAACAAAAAATCGGTGGGCCGGCTGGGCTCGTTGCCGCCGGCCGGACTGAGGCATGTGCCTGGTGTGAGTGGAGCAGCATCCCACACAGCACCATCGTCTGTCTGCCAAAGCCACGGCCGAGGAGTTACATAGCCAGAGGACAGAGAGTCGTCTGGCCATAGCGCTTGATGCGGTGAGCACTCCGAAGCTCCTCGCAGGTAGGCAAAGTCAGATCGGGCAGTCGTCGGAACCCAGCGGTCTACATTCAACGGACCGCGCGAGCGATCCAACAGTCGCTTCGGGTGCTCGCTCCTTGCCAGATCAAGATCGGCGACATGACGACCAATGCGAATCGCCGTTGTATCAGGCGTCCAGGCCTGAGCCGGGCTGACGGGGCGTTGGCTGTTGTCTCTGGGCCAGCATTGGCGGTCTTGCGTGTCAGCCCAAGTTCCCATGCCATCGCCGAGGGCCGAGGCTGGCGTCGACTGAGCAATGTAGTGGACCAACGCTGGCTGTACCAACATTTGCTGATCAAGGACGGCTGAAACATGCTCGTCAGCGGCCGTAGATGCGCCGGTCATGAGCAAGTGGTTCATTTGACACTGAAAGCAAATATGGAATCGTCAGGGAAGCTAGCCTGGGTATGGGCCGTGTCAGAAACAATCCCACACTTTCTCCCGTGCCAGTATCTACCGCCGACAAGCCGTACATGCATCTCGGTCATTTTCGCCCCGATGCGACCTCTTGAACGTCCAATGTGCTTCTCCGTTCTCCATATCGATTTGTCCGAACGACGAATTCTGGATCGTCTCTGTGGTACCGTCTGAGCTTGATATTCGTCCGAAGGACAGCCTATTGTCTCGATCGTCGCTGACGATCTGTCGACCTCATGTGCAATGAGTCACTTGCCGCTGACACGGGCGCAGCATGGACCGAAGAACTCGCCTGGAATGCGGGATGTGTCTCAGCTCGTGTGCAATATGGCCGTCGCGAGAGTAACCGTGAATGTCCGTGAGCGGCGCAACCCATGAGCTGCGGGCCGATGCCCGGAATGGTGGTTGGATATGGCGATCGTCTGTCATTGAGCGGAATAGATCATGCACAAGCCCGTTTCATGAGCGCCATCGATTAGGGTCATGAAGTACTTGGCACACATCGCCCTTGGCTCGCACCCTGCCACCTGATCGACCACGGGCTCAAACCGTACTCGAGGCCTCGAGGCGACGAGAGGAAGTGGATATCCGCACGCCCAAGTACATCGGGGGTGCATCCTGACACATCACAATGGAGATACTACCGTTGCTCTTCTAGTCTCAGAGCGGACCAAACAAAGATGGCCCTGGACAAACCCATCGCTCACCAGGGGCGAGACGCTGGAATCTCCACTCAGTCTCATGCGCATCACCGCTCCCGATGAGCCTTTCCCGCAGCAACCCTCTGATCCTGCTATGGGTCGGTAGCGGTCTCAGCACTGAAAGACCCTGAACCAAGACAAGCACCGCATAGATGTACTCAAATATGCTGCAACTTGTAGTTCATAGGCGAGGCAGCGCCGTTCGGCTCCTAGTCTGTTGCCAGATCATCGGGGACAGATGTAGGAACTGGCTCCATCGGGTTGAAGCAGCGAAACGGAGCAAAGGCAGATAGCACGAACAGAGATACAAATTCGCGCACACTCAACGCCGCGGGCTGTGATGGTGGGTGCAAGATTGAGCACGTTGTATTCGGTCTACTCCGAGGATGTCCCAGCCTCCTGGGAGCGTCGCAGGGCAGATGCCAGTTTGCGCCCAAGCGCAGCTTCTTGGTAGGCAGCAGCTTCATCGAGATCGGCCTGCAGCTTCTGCTGCTGCTGTCGGACGGCATCCTCCTCGAGTTTCTCGCTCAGGGCCTTTGCACTTTCTTCCTCGGCCACGCGGCCAGCTTGCCACTGTCGTTCCGAATGAAGAAAGTTGTTGAGGATACTCCGAAAGTAGGTCAGCTTTCTCTCCAAATGCCGAATCTCGGACGCCGTCAGATCCTCCCTGGGCGTCAGCTTGGCAAACTCGGTCGGCTCGCCCGTGACAGGATCTCGGATCGAAACCACGGTGCGGTTGTAGCGCTTCAGCTCCAGTTCGCTGATTTGTTCCTGAATCTTCTCCTTGTGCTCTAGCGAGAGCTTGTACACGATGTCGTTGTAGTGCCCAGGGAGCTCCAAGACGGCCAATGGCGCTACGTCGGAGCCCTTGCTTCGGTGCCCGCTTCGCAGGATGCGGCAGTAGTCTCCATCTTGGCTCTGGAAACGGAAAGCGATCGATCCCATCACCTTGGAGACAGTTTGGTCGGGGTCCTGATCGTCGTGTGATGGTTAGCAGGAGCGGAGAGGATGGGGACCGCCAGAGGTCACGATCACTTCGCCCGTGCGAGTGCCGGATGCCGAAGCCGAGAGCGCGGGAACTTACAAACAGAAACTCGCGCAGCTTGGTCTCTTCGCCCTGCTTGGCCCAATCTATACACTAAGAGGCAACAGGCAAGTAGGGTCAGGGTCAGATCGAGGAGCAATGTAAGGTCATGGCTGGGGCAGCCAGTGCCATACGAGATCACTGAATGGGTGCTCTTTTCTTTGAGGGGGGGGGGAGATGGTGATGACGATGGCCATGGCGATGGCGATGAAGATGGCGATGGCAATGAAGATGGCGATGGCAGTGAAGTTGGCGATGGCGATGATGGATTGCAGCGTATACTCACTTGGTCGGCATAGTGTTTGATGAACTTGGCCTTGGCGACGGTGGTCTGGATGCGCTCGTTCAGGAACAGCTGGCTCGTCATGTTGCGGGCGAGACTGGCCCGATGCGAGGGCGTCCGATTCAGCTTCTTTTGCCAGCTCCGGATTCCGTGCTTCATTTCGGCGGCTGCTTGCTGCGATTGCTCGTGTGGTGAGGTGAGGTGTGGTGCTGTCGGCGGGCCGCGATCTGATCCGGCCAGCAAGAAAAAAAGGCACTGCGACCGGGCACGGGTCCTGGCGGCGGCCATGGCACGCAGATGAAAAGCTCATATGCCCTAATGAATTCATATGCGCTGCGGCCCGTTCTGTGCACGCTGTGCCAATGTCACACAGCGATATCGCCACTGCACCGCCACATGGATACCGTCCTGCAAAAGCAGGCGTGGCCAGCGGCAAAGGCGGGCTGGGTATCTCGCTTGCTGCAGATTAGCGCTGCAGATCTGCGCTTCAGATTGCAATTCACATTAATATCAGACTCGCACTTGGCTTGCGTTGCAGTTGCGTTGCAGTTGCGTCGCCTCGATTCACATCGCATTGTACCGCTGCAGCCCTCTGACCGCACAGACAGCCAGGCTGGTGGCGGCAGCAGCAGCCGATTCTGATACCCCGCACGCCCAGTTCCTCTTTTGGACGGCCGTGTCGCTCTAACACGCCCGGCGTTTCAGCTCGCTCTCCCCCAGGCCCAACGCTTTTTTTTCTGCCCCTTCAAAGCGGACGCTTCGCCCCGACATCGCCGTGGAGGTGCTGCTCCTGGACTTGGTTCTGCAAACGCACCAGGCTACATCGTCCTCTGTCGCTCAGGCCCGCTGCCTCTCCTCCATCGCCTCGCCTGCTCCTCGGCTCAGGTTATTTCAACTCATCGGCCGTCCGGCAGCCTCTGCATTGCCCGGCCGCTTCAACCTCGGTTCCGCTTCGAGAATATGACCACCCCAATGTCGCGCGAGAAGCAGCAGTTGCTCCTCCAGAGGATCATCGCCAATTCCGAGTCGCTGTCGTCGGCTCCGTTGGCGTACTGCATCAGCACTCTGTGGTACGGGCCTGACCTGGCTGCATCGGTTGTAGACCTCTGCCTTCTGAGCCTGCTGCCTCGTTGATACGACACAATCGAGCATGAGTCCGCTAACGCCATCCCCTATGCTATTTGGCTGTGTCCTTGCCGACCCCCGTGGTGCCTGTGTGCGGCACAAGGATCGATGAATGGAGAGCCCATCTCGAAGATCCATCCAGCTCCGATTTCGCCTCCTTGGACAACTCGGATCTGCTTGGCGATGAGCCCAACACTGTCCTGCCCAATCTCCAAGAAGTGCAGAACTACTACGTCGTCTCGCTCAGGGACTATGCCCGTTTGATTGAATGGTCAGTGGGCTTGGCTGTGCATATCGCCAGTTTCCGCCCGCCTTCTCCCGAGCTGCACCGACTGACCCTGCTGCTGTCTTCCCAGCTACAAACCCGTGAAACGCAGCCACCACGTCTCCCGAACCACCAACGGCACCGATTACGTCTTTTCCATAAACCCACCCAGCGCCCAAGCCTTAGCCGACGAACTGGAGCAAGCTGGATCGCTTGACAAGTAAGCAACTCGGTGCTGCTCGACCTGCTGCGTCCCCAGAGCGTGTGCAGTGCGGCCCTGCCTTGGGCCCTGCCTTGGGCCGCAGACTCTGTCCCGTCGTTTCTTGGTGGTTTCTTGGTGGTTTCTTGGGCGTTGGCCATATTCCCCTTGCCGCAGCTTGAGGAGAGGCAGCAGCGGCTGTGCCACATGCATACGGGTTGCAATCGTGCGCTTGTTCAGACAGCTGGCGTTTAATCCGACGACCTTCGCCACCCTTGCTCTGTTGATCGCTGCCGTATCTGACACAACTCTGGATATATTGATAGCGACCTCGATAGCCCTGAATCAGCGCTGAAAGAAAGCAGGCGTGAGCGTATCATGCGAATCCAGCGAGACGGCTACGACAAGAACGAAAAGCCCCAGACTGACAGCTCTTCCCAGCCCATCTGTATTGATTACCCCTCATCTACCACATCCACCACATCATCTTTCCCCCCGACTACCTCGCTGCCGCCGCCGCCGCCACCTTACAGCGCGGGCAGCACGAGCATCGCTTCAGCCGGGAGTTCGTACAAGTTTACTCCTCCTCGCGTCAAGTCGACGCAGGTGATTGGCGCCGTTGGACTCTCCAACCTCGGCAACACCTGCTTCATGAACTCTGCCCTGCAATGCCTTTCCAACACGCCACTGCTCACGTCCTACTTTATCTCTGGAAAATGGACGGGCGAGCTGAATCGCGATAACCCCCTGGGTATGAAAGGCGAGGTTGCCGACGCCTATGCAAACCTCATTTCTCAGCTTTGGAGTCCCGACCCCTATCGTCCGACCAGCGTGCCCCCGCGCGACTTCAAAAGCACCATCGGTCGCTTCAACTCCATGTTTGTGGGTTACTCCCAGCAAGATTCGCAAGAGCTCCTGCAGTTTCTGCTCGATGGGTTGCACGAAGACCTGAATCGCATCCGAGAGAAACCCTACGTGGAATTGCCGGATATGGACGGTCAGCCCGATCAAGTCATTGCTGACAAGAGCTGGGAATGCTATCGGCTTCGCAACAACTCGGAGATTGTCGATCTCTTCCAGGGCGAATACAAGAGTCTCCTGCAGTGCACCGTGTGTCACAAAACTGCCACCAAATTCGATCCGTACATGTTCCTCTCCCTGCCTGTGCCAGATCGTCGTGAAGTTGTCGTCAGAGCGATTGTACTGGCCCGCAACCCCAAGGAGCAGACGCCTTTTGGTCGTCCCCAGCGACACGTCTTTACTCTTCCGCGCGACAGCACAATCGTGCGGCTCAAGAAGGCGGCGGCCGACTTTTACGGATGGGGGGATTCCGTGAACCAGATACAAGTCGTCGAGCTCTTCGGAAACAAGATCTGGGGCATCTTTTTGGACACGGACCCGATCAGCCAGCTGGTCCACAACGATACCGTCTGTGTTGTCTGTACGGGCAGCCCTGACTACAAGCGCTTCGAACTGGAGCCCGATGCAGACGCCGATGGCCACAGTACCCTGCCTGTTTACTTTCACGAACTCATGCCCAAGTATATGTATGGATCGAGTCTGGGCGACGTCTTTGGCATTCCAAGCTTCGTTACCCTTCCATCCAATATCAAAGTCCAAATCCGCGACGATGGTGCCTCCAAGGCTCTGGACGAAGCCAAGCACAACGAGGAGGTTACCAAGGCAGCGGGTGCGCTGATCTACACCGAGGTCGTTGAAACCATTGCCATCTACTCCGCTCTTCCGCTCTTCCGTCGCATTGGAAGTGATATCACCCTGGACATGGTTTATGAAGCCTACTCCGCCACAGACGCAGCTGATGACACAGAAGCCGAGGACAACGACCATCCTGTCCGTCGCGATTGCAGTCGTACTCTGCAAGAGGGCTTTGAGCCCCTACCGAATCTCTTTAGCCTGACCCTTTCGCATGAAAAGCAAAACAGGTACAGTCGACCCGGCTCGCACTATGACTCGTTCTACCGATCGGACTACTCGAGTACACATAGTTCTGTCAAAATCAAGCTTTATGAATGCGAGAAACCAGCCCCTGTTACCCCTGCAATCCATGCGAACCACGCAACCCCTGTGGGCCCTGTTAGCCCAGTAAGCCCTGTTGCGGACGATGAGTATACACCCGCGGCAGCCGAATCCAGCCCCAAGGAGCCGCGCACGGACGACGCCGTCGAGGACGGTGATGCCAACATGTCAATCGATCCGTCAAGTCAAGTCGAGCCCGACGAGCCCATCGATGCTACCACCGATGCTGTCGCCGAGGTACCTGCGGAGACTTCCGTGCCTGATGTCGAGATGGGCACCGTTGGCTCCACCGAACCGCGGTTCATCAAAGGCATATATGTCCTCCCCAAGCTTCCGTCCGTGCTTGTGATGGAGTGGCCCAAGAACCACATCCGCATGGTTTTCAAGGACGAGCGCCCTCGCAAAATGGAGGGCGCCTTCAAGGTAATGGTCCCGGCCTTGTGTCAGAGCGGGTATATGCGATCCAAGCTCCGTGCTGTGTACCCCTCCTGTCCACGAGTGTGCGTGCTCCTCTCGTCTCGTCCGGACTGCTGTAGCTCATGTGGCCGAGTCTCGCTGTTGCATTCTGATCGAGTTCGTTCGTTTTTATTGCTTTGGTCGCTCTCTACATCCGGCAGCCGAACGAGACGCAGGAGTACACTGATTATGTCGAGGAGGAGCGTGCCTACAAGAAGAAGCGCCAGCAAAGCAGCCTTACGCTTCAAGAGTGCCTCAACGAGTTCTCCAAGGAGGAGCTTCTTAGCGAAGACGATACGTGGTACTGCCCTAACTGCAAGCAGCACCAGCATAGCAAGAAGAAGCTCGACATCTGGAGTGTACCTGAGGTAAGTGCCACATTATGTATTGGACCACGGCCGAGTATTGCGCTGACGATTCCCCTCCTCTCCGGAATTCGTCCTATTCAGGTTCTAGTTTTCCATCTCAAGCGATTCTCGAACTCTGCGCGCTCGACCTACCGGTCCATGAGCGATAAAATCGATGCCCACGTCGAGTTCCCAGTTCATGGTCTGGACCTCACGAATTACGTCATCGGTCGTCAGCGTGAGGCCAACGGAAGTCTCTTGGAGAAGGGCCACATTCTCTACGACCTGTATGCGGTCTCTAATCACTTTGGCGGCCTTGGCGGTGGACATTGTAAGTGATTCCTTCCTGCTCGATTGGTCTGTGTGAATGCCCGGTTCCAAAAATCGACTGTGGGGACCAGCACAGTGTCCTTTGGTTCATCGATACATATCTACACACGGCCCCGGCTTTGGCCAGCTCAGCTGCCAATACTAGCTGTGCACCTGGGGTGTTGCAGCCTGATTGCGTCTGGGCAGTGATTGACCCTTATTGGGGTCACAAGTGCTTGGCGAAATGCACGACTGGATGACTTACGATACCCAACCGCACTCTTTAGATACCGCCTATGCGAAGAATATCATCGACGGCGAGTGGTACAACTTTGACGACTCTCGAGTCTCCAGGGCCTCCGAAAGCGAGGTGGTGGTGAGTGCGAAATGGTTTGCTGCAATGCGGATCTGCACACTAACTACATGAATATCCCCCCCCCGATCTGCTGCCGCCTTGTAACACTGTCCGTTCTCGATCTCGTTCGAATCTTCCAGTCCAGCGCCGCCTATCTGTTGTTTTATGTGCGAAGAGAATCCCGTAGCAAATCGGCCAGGGAGCATATCATCGAGCGTCTCAAGGACATCGAAGCCAAGTTGGCTGAACAGCCTCCTCCGGCTGCGTCATCATACAGGCCATACGAGAACAACGCCCATATTTCCTACCGCACCCCTGGAATCATTAGTCTCAAATCTGATCGCCTGGCAGACTCCCGCTCTGGCCATCCGTCGCCCCTGGCGACGCTCAACAACACCCCGGCTCGTCTCTCGCCTGCCTCCAGTGTCAACGATGTTCGTGAGCACGATACCACCGAGGTGGGCAGCACGACCAGCATGGTCCACCAGGTACCAACGGGTGGCGTCGGCTACGACTTTGGATCGGGCTATTTGAGGGCCGAAACGGACGACAAAATGGATACCGATCTGGATGCGACTTCCGATACAAATGCCGACGTCGATGCAGACCACGACACACAGGCAGACTCAGATGCAGTTGCAGACGAGCAGCTGGAACATATCTTCCAAGCCGAACGGGCGACGAAGGAAGCCCGCCTCTCGGAGAAGGACCGTCTATCGGGATTGGACCATTTGGATGGTGATTCTGACCAGGATGCTGATGACATTGGCCGCGAGTGTTGAATGCCCCGAGCGAGTCCGTATCTGCCTGTGCGATCAATGGCCTTGCGGCCGATGCTCTTGGAGCAGCAGCAACGTGCTGTGCCTTGCCATGTTGTAGACCGGTGTGTCTGGGTGCGGGTTCGTATGTATGCACTACTATCCCGTAGGTGCCTCCTCCCACCCGTGGCAAGCTCAATACAGCGACACCCGAACTGTCGGAGCCGATGCTGGTCTGTGTCAACCGCCCCGTCCCGTCCCGTCCCGTTCCCACGACCAGTCGCCCGTGGCGCTTCCGTGGCGCTTCCGTGGCGCTTCCGTGCTCCCGCAGGCTCACACAGAACAGCGCTGGTGCGCGCCAATGAATTAAATTAATATGCCGTGGTCTCACGCACAGCAGCGCCCTGTCGGCTTCGTGCCTCGCAGGGCTTCTCGGCCCTCGCCGACGAAAATTTTCGTTTTTTTCGTTCTCGTTTTTCTTGCTGTTGGAAGCGCAAGCGCCGTCGTCCCCTCCGTTCTCCCGACATATTCGCCTGCAGGTGGGCGCCCGCGGCGACTGCAGCTGCCGCTGCATGTGCCCGTATCGATGCCGGCTGGCGATGTCGATCCATGCCGCTGACGCTGTCCTCTGTCCACAGGAAAATGTTCCTCCTCAAGTCTGCTAGATTGGGCATGGCCTCGAAGGCCCTGGTACCGACCTGTTCCATTCTCTCGCTCATGAGCATCGGCTTTCCCGAAACATCATGGCTCGTCCGCTGATGGCAGAGCGAATGCGGCGGGCCTGGACATACCGATATCGCAATGTCCGCGTGCTATCCTCGCGATCGCATCAGCTCTTTGCTGGACCAACGATTCGATGGGGAGCCAACCAGCCAGCGCGCCCTGCGATTATCTCCATCCTATCTCGCTGACCAGTCCGGAGAATTCGGGCGGTCGAGACGAACGATACGGTGGCCCTGAATTGGTGCAATCCCCCCCCTCTAACGCCCCATCCCTTTCCTTCCATGCTCGATGATTGTCTGACTCGGCCTGCCGTTTCGATCACTCGTAACGCCCCTCCGATGCGTTACCGACCGCAGACCCGATCCTTCTTGACCAACGTTGCCCCTCGTCCTGCGGCCAATACCCTCGCCCACACCTACGCCAAATCCCTCAACAACGTCCCCGAGACCAAGGTCACTCGCCTTCCCAACGGCTTCACCGTTGCGACCGAGAGCAACCCCAACTTCCAGACTGCCACCGTTGGTGTCTGGATTGATGCCGGCTCCCGCTTCGAGAACGAGAAGAACAACGGCACTGCTCACTTTTTGGAACACATGGCCTTCAAGGTAATGCCCCCGCACCGAGTCTGCGTCAGCCATTCGCGATTGTGGCTCGAGCAGCCCCGTATTTCAGGCGAAACGCATCCGCGATAGGACACCGGCACAAGCCTGCGCTGCGCTTTGAAAGCAGAGGTGCCGAACACTGTGGCGTGTCGCTCATTGGGCTTTATCTTTATTCACTCCCACGTCATCAGGGTACCAAGTCCCGCACCCAGCTCCAGCTGGAGACCCAGATCGAGAACATGGGCGGCCACCTGAATGCCTACACCTCGCGCGAGCAGACCGTCTACTACGCCAAGTGTCTCTCCAGCGATGTTGGCTCCTCGGTCGAGATTCTCTCGGACATTCTCCAGCGATCCAACTACAGCGAGGACGCCATCGAGCGCGAGCGCGACGTTATTCTCCGCGAGTCTGACGAGGTCGAGAAGCAGAAGGAGGAGGTTGTCTTTGACCATCTCCACGGCACTGCCTTCCAGGGCAACTCCCTCGGCTACACCATTCTGGGATCCCGCGAGAACATCAAGAGCATCACCCGTGCCGACCTCGTCGAGTACGTCGAGAAGAACTACACCCCCGACCGCATGGTTCTTGTCGGTGCCGGCGGCGTCGACCACGATGCCCTTGTCAAGCTGGCTGAGAGCCACTTTGGCGGCCTGAAGGCCAGCTCCACCGGCCGATCGCAGATCCTCAAGCCCCGCTTCGTCGGCTCGGATGTCCGTGCCCGCTACGATGACCACCCCTACGCCCACGTTGCCCTTGCCGTCGAGGGTGCTTCTTGGACCAGCTCGGACTACTGGGCCCTGCTTGTCGCTCAGGCCATCGTTGGATCCTGGGACCGCTCGCTCGGCGCCGCCGGCCACGTCTCCTCCAAGCTGGCCCAGAAGGTCCACGAGTTCAGCCTTGCCAACTCGTTCATGTCCTTCAACACCTCTTACTCGGACACTGGTCTCTTTGGCATCTACGCTGTTAGCGAGAACTTTTTGGCTCTGGACGACCTTGTTCACCACATCCAGCAGGAATGGCACCGCCTCGCCATGAGTGTCTCTGAGGCCGAGGTCTTCCGCGCCAAGAACCAGCTCAAGACCTCGCTCCTCCTCTCTCTCGATGGCACCACTGCCGTTGCTGAGGAGATTGGCCGCCAGCTGCTCGTCTACGGCAGACGCCTCACCCCCTGGGAGGTCGATGGCCTGATCGAGAAGGTCACCGCCCAGGACGTCATGAAGGTTGCCTCGGAGTACATCTACGACAAGGAGGTTGCTGTCGTTGGCTACGGCCAGGTCGACGGTCTCCAGGACTACAACCGCCTCCGCGCTGCCATGTCGCCGATCTACTACTAGATTCTCATTTTGTGTTCACTTCCATCATTACTGTCCTCTCCCCTCTCGCTCTGTTCTTATATGCTCCACTGCCGGAGATGCGGAATACAATATTGTGAATATGCCCAACATAGGCACAATTTCCCCTCCTCCTCCTTCCCTTTTGCGATTCTCGAGTTTCCGACACCCGAAGCGCCCTCACCCTAATATAGCTCAGTCAATGCCGCTGATGCACCTCGGTTTTCGGCCTGTCGGATACGCTGAGCGACATTGCCATGTCGTGTGCTCGAGATCGAGCCAGCGCCGAACCGGTGTGCGAGTCACCGAATCGCACCGCCGAATCGCACCCGACAATGGCATGCTGGTCGATGGCGTCACGTGGCGCGTCACGTGGCGCGTCCTTCCCGTGTCGGCCGAAAGTGATGTTGCTCGCCGAGCCCGCCTCCTTTCGCCTGGATCGCACACCAGCAGATCCACCTGCTCTTCGACCTCCAGCGAGCTGAGCCGCTGCGCCTCAGTCTAGGTACGGGCTGTTCTCGCCGTGGCACGATCGGGTATCCCTTCACGCCCACCCGCCCACTCTTGGTCTCGGGCGCATTCCCAGAAGATCTTGTCTGTCTGCTTTCCCTGGCGGCTGGCTGCATCGTCAACCAGCGATTGTTCTTGCGACCACAAGCAACACCCGTCGACTTTGCTGCGCGAGCTGCCTCCTCCCCTCGGGCTGGGACACATCCCTTCTTCCGCTCGACGACTGCCCTCGCACACTGATCAAGCTCTCTGACCAGGCGTGTCATATTTCTCCCGCAGACAACTGCCGCGAGCCCCGACCTGAACTCTGTCATACACCCTTGGCGACATTGCACACCATGCATCTCTCTCGTCGGCAGATGCTGGCCGCACTCCTTCTGGCCATACTTGGCCTTGCTGTGTCGTCCGTTATGGCCGTCAAGCAGCACGACTTCAAACTATGCCACCAGAGTGGCTTCTGTTCGCGTCAGCGGGCCGTTGCCGAGCTCGTCGAAAAGTTTCCGACCCTCGGCCCCAACTACAAGTTTATAGAGTCCAGTCTCAAGCTGGGCAAGGCCGGCGTCGAGTTCAAGATTGTTGAGCAAAGTCACATTGGGGGATCTGTCCAGCCTGGCGGCGACGAGCTCTTGGTGACCCTTGATATTCTCAAGGCCGCTGGCACTGTGCGAGTGCGCGCCGATCCTGTCGTCGCCAAGGACCAGAAGCCCCGATACAAGAGCGACGAGTTTGTTCTGACTAGTGTGCCAGAAAAGTCCAACCTGAAGGTCGCCTCAGCCAATGACAAGGATGTCCACTACGAGTGGACCCACGACAGCGCCAAGTATGCGTTTGTCGTCGAAAAGTCGCCCTTCACCATTCGCTTCTATGTCAACGGGGACGAGGCCATCAGTATGAACGACCACGATCTCTTCTTCTATGAGAACCAGATCGTGAAGGAAGAGCCCGCCCCCGCTCCCCCCGCGGATCAGAATGCCGCTGCTGAGGACAAGAAGGTCGACGAGCGATCCGATGATGAGAAGGAGTTTGATCGTTTGAAAGAGGCAGTGCGCAAGGACCAGTGGGCAGAGCAGTTTGGCAGCCATCACGACAGCAAGCCCCATGGTACGTTCGCCGATCCTGTATCGCTGTCCCTTCTGACCGAAGCACGGCATACACCGAACCAACCCTGCTTGTGTATCCATGTACTGGAAGTTCTGATGTCGCTAACAGTAATTTCTCTTCAAATGTGTGTGCTCGCCCTGCAACATCGTCGCTGTGTTAGGCCCGACTTCTATCGGGCTCGATATCAGTTTTCCCGGATCCAAGCACGTCTACGGCATTCCCGAGCACGCGACGAGCTTTGCCTTGAAACCTACCCGGTAACTTGCTCAAAGCAAATCTGACCTATACCACACCACAACAGTTTGCTGCACAGATCCTTGGAGCCGAGATCGTTGTGCCGGGACTCGTCTGAGATCGCTCACACATGCTACAGAGGGATGCTGACGGCGTCTCTGCTCTTTCTGCAGGGGCGAGATCTCCGGGGAGCCCTATCGCCTATACAACTTTGACGTTTTCGAGTACGAGCTCAACAGCCCAATGGCTCTCTATGGCTCGATCCCGTTCATGCTCTCCCACAAGAAGGGCCAGACCGTCGGAGTGTTTTGGCAGAACCCCTCTGAAATGTGGATTGACGTTGAGCATAAGAGTGCCGACTCAACCACAAGCCACTGGATGGTCGAGTCTGGATCCTTTGATATTTTCGTGTTCCTTGGTCCCCACGCTGCCGCCGTTCTGGACTCATACACGTCTCTGACAGGGCGCGCAGCCATGCCCCAGAGCTTTGCTATCGCCTACCATCAGTGTCGATGGAACTACCTTGACGAAGCCGATGTGCAAGGAGTCGACGGTAACTTTGAGAAGCATGACATACCATACGATGTTCTCTGGCTCGATATCGAGCACACTGATGGAAAGCGCTACTTCACTTGGGACAATGCCAAGTTCCCCAACCCGGCGAACATGCAGAGCGATCTCGCCGTTAAGGGCCGAAAGGTATGTCCCCGGAGCCGTCGGCTCACAATGCTCTGCTTCTCTGGACACTAGGGACTAGGCTTGGTCCGTGACATCCACTGTTCATCCGTGCTGAACAGAGCGGTATGGCCCCCGTCCTTCATTTTCACTTTGTTGACTCGACAACCTCTTCAAACAACACTTTCCGTGCGGCTGCCACCCCGCCTGCGCCATCGGCCCCTTTGCACCCACTCTGTTTGTAGATGGTGACCATCATCGATCCTCACATTAAGAAGGACGATAACTACCATGTCTCGAGCGAAGCTAAGAGTGCTGGCATTTTCGTCAAGAACAAGGATGGCAGCGACTACGAGGGATGGTGCTGGCCGGGCAGCTCGAACTGGATCGACTACACCAACGCCGCTGCTCGATCCTTCTGGTCCAAAAAGTTCCTCTATAACCAATACGAAGTACGGCATCCGACTCAAACTTGTCTACTGCGATTGCGCCAGGGACATATGCTGGTCGTCCGATTGCTGTACTTTGGTGATCCACGTTTTGACCATACTGGCGTGCACTAACGACAACCACCCACAATTTACTCTGGTTACTGTACAGGGCTCTACTCCGACTCTGTACACGTGGAACGATATGAACGAGGTGGTTATTTGCGACTATGTCACCGAATGACCTGTCGAGAGTCATTCGTGCGTGATTGTATGCTTGTCTAATATGCAGCGCGCTTACCCCCTGCTGGCCACTTTGTCTCTCGATCGCCCCTGTACCCCATCTTCCACGACGACGCAGCCCTCCGTCTTCAACGGACCAGAGATCACCATGCCCAAGGATCTTGTCCATCACGACAATGTCGAGCACCGCGACGTCCACAACATCTATGGAATGCTTCAGGTGTGTTTTGAATCTAGGATCGCAGAGTAACTCTTGAAGCACTTCCTCCAAACAGCCAACGCACTTGCTCACGCCCCACTTCCCACCCCGTTCGTATACATCGCAGCACCGCTCAACCTATGAAGGCCATTTGCTCCGCAGCATCGACAACGATCGCCCCTTCATCCTCTCTCGTGCCTTCTTTGCTGGATCGCAGCGCTACGGTGCTATCTGGACTGGCGACAACTTTGCTCGATGGGATCACTTGGAAGCATCGGTGCCCATGCTCTTGTCCATCGGCATTGCCGGCCAATCCTTCTCTGGAGGTAGCTGATTCGCAGCCGCCATAATCAAGTGGCCAAAACCCAATTGCGCGGATGCGGCTGTGACCACAGGGTTACTGACTCTTGGCGCTGCCTCGTTCCTTTCTAGCCGATGTCGGTGGCTTCTTTGGCGATCCCGAACCCGAACTCATGGTCCGCTGGTTCCAGACTGCGGCCTTCCAGCCCTTCTATCGTGGTCATGCCCACATCGACACGAAGCGACGCGAACCCTGGATATATGGCGAGCCCTTTACCGGCCACATCCGCTCCGCCATTCGCACTCGCTATCAGCTCCTGCCCTACATTTACACGCTCTTCCGTGAGTCCACGGTTTCGGGCACCCCCGTGATGAGGTAAATTGGACCGCGGCCCGCATCACAGCCCATAGCGTTCGTTTCTGGATCCCCTGACCGCGAAAACAATATCCGAGGCACAGCCACCCCATCCGTAGTAAGCAAAGGTCTCACACTCACTCCATCACCCTCGAATCTTCCTGAACCTGAAAGACCTCTCTGGTACGCCTTCCCCGATGACGAGGCCACCTTTGCCGTCGACGATGAGTTCATGCTGGGAAGCGCCTTCTTGATCAAGCCTGTTGTGCAGAAGGATACGGCTGAAACGGAGGTTTTGCTCCCTGCTGGATCGGTATGTTTTCTCCCGACTTGTCTTGGACGGGTGACTCCTGACCTGCTTCTGGACATGCTCTGCTCCTGCCAGGCACGTCTAAAAACTGTGCGCTCGTCGCCTGGAAGACAGAAGCAGTGTCTCTTGGGATTGCAGCTCCAACTAACCCGGGGTAACACTCCGCGAAAATCGTTGCCTAGAACTGGTATGACTACGAAACCCTCGTCAAGGTCGATCCCAGTGCCAGCGGAAAGCTCAATGTAAAGACTCCGCTGGACAAGCTCCCCGTGTTCCTTCGTGGTGGCTCCATTGTGCCTCGCCGTGATCGCATTCGGAGATCTTCTGCGCTGACCATCAAGGATCCGTACACTCTGGTGATTGCACTGGACGAGAAGGTATGTCCGTCCCGAGCTTGCCCTGCATGGCATGTCGTCCATCTCCCATCATTACTTGCCAACTAACGAGTCTTCCTGCTCCAGGGCGAGGCTCTGGGCGAGTTTTATAACGATGACGGACGCTCCTTTGACTACAAGAAGGGTGACTATGTCTATGCCCAACTCGAATTCCGCGACAACACCCTTCGCTGTACCTCTCCTGTAGCCAAGTATACCGACGTCTCGGCCAAGATCTCAAAGCCCAAATTTACCGGGCATGATAGCCGTGTCGAGCGACTGATCATCGTCGGTGTGCACTCCAAGCCCAAGCGCGTTGTCAGCTCCTCGGGAGCAAACCTCGAGTTCACTTTTGCGCGCGAGGGAGGTGTCGTCGTCGTCAAGGAACCCCAGGGTGTCTTTGGAAAGGAATGGCATGTCGCCTTTGAGTTCTAGAGCCTGTCAAATTGAATGGGCTTGGAGCTACGAACAAGTTGGACTCCCCCACCATGTTCCCCACTCCCGTGTCATATACGATGGCAGCGAAGCTTGTATGAAATGGTTTCCGCGGATAAACATACAACAGGACAGCTCATAATCGGCAGCATGTATCTTGTGTCATTTGGACCTGGATGTGTGGGTCTGGCCTTTGCGCCCGATCGCGGTGTTGCGAGTGGTAGTAGGCTCATATCACCCCAATGTTGGTCGACCTCGGAGATTCAGGGAGGGAGGTGCCCCTTGTCATGAGCACAAGGAGTAATACACCCCTGACTGCCGTTCCCCCGCGACTGCAAATTCACAAACGGCCAAAGGCGCCTGCGACTCTGTATTTTATGCGGGCCGGAAGGAACTGTCTATACTTCTGACGCACCATATCCGCCCTCGAGCTGTCCTTACATCTTGGCACGTATCGGTGCTGTTGCGTGCACGTCCAACCTCTCCACTCGATCTGCCGCCAGAATCCATCCATCGGCGAGCTTGAGCACTGCGCTGCATAAGAACAAAGCCAGAAGCTGTGGCAGGCATCCAGCCGGACCGTTGACGGATGATGGCTGGTCGACTTGCCACGCAGACGCAGCGATTCGTTGGGGACCTCGCCCACGATTTCGTTGTCGAGGTCTGCACGCCGTCACGAGTCACGAGTCACATACGATCTTGGTCTTTGTGTGCCATATTCTTATTCTTGTCCGCTGCTTCTTCATGAGCTCGACCGACGCTTGTCCCTGGCCGTGAGCGGCATCCCTCCAAATAGTGGAGAAGTGCTACCACCGGGCTCAGTCAAGGCTCATGTGTCATTTGGCGGCATGACTACTCGGCCAGATCGGGTGCGAATACCTGGGCTCGATTCAGGGCTGCTACTGCTGCTGTCATTGACGGGATCGGACTCTGCTGCAGGTCCTGCGGTCTCGTCGCCTTCGGGCTCGAGCATCATCCACCAGACTCGACGCTGGCGCTTGCGCCGAGAAGCAGGCGTGACGGGCTCGGAGGAGCTCGATCCAGCAGCCGCACCGGACATACAGTCATCTGGCCCGACATAGCTCGAGGACGACCCCGGACCCTCAGGAGAGGGCTGGGAGAGCGGAGCATCTTCGGTTGGATCTTCGATCATTCGTCCCTTGCCCTTGGCACTGGAGCTGCTCGCCTTTGGAGTCGAGCATCGCTTTGTGTGCGCCTTGTCGCGGCTCTTCAGACGATTCTTCTCGACGCACGTTTGCAGATAGCGTTGGTATTCGACAAGGACATCGTAAAATAGTGGGTCGTCCTTTCCTGAGATCATGCGTCTCTCGGCGAAGCGTAGGACCGAGCCAAATCCAGTAATGAGTCTGCCGGTCTCTCGTGCTGTCTTCTTGAGCTCCCGCAACAGAAGCGGCATAATCTCATATCGCTGGGAGACAACCGTACGCCGCAAGACCTTTTCGTTGATCGCGAACCGAACCTTTTGACGGCTGTTGAGGAGCACGCGCACGGCCGACATTACGTTCCCTGGGAACATGGGCACGATGATCAGGACACAAGCACGCCTGTACACACGAGATTCGCACCGCGAGAATTGGAGGATGTGGCGATCAAACAGCCAATGCCTTACCTTCGATGGCTTTGAGCGCCCACATTGTGAATGTGTCAAGAATGTGTTCGCAGAGCGGTCAGCAGCGTTCTCATGTAATGTGTCCACGATAATCAATTGCGAATGCGTTGTCAGCAGTGCGATTCGAGGCACCTTACCAAGCACCAGCATTTGGCGCAGCGAAGCCTCATTAAACATATATCTCTGCATCAAAAACGACAGCAGTCGCGTATTCTCGCTTGTGATGATCATTTTCTGCGACGGATAGGCGTCGAATCAGCATGTGAAGCTCCGACTCCGGTTTTGACTATGGCTGCAACAACAGTGAGCCGGACACGAATCCAGACACCTACGAGTGGATCGAGATAGCCGGCAAACCCATATATTTGTCGCCGGTCGTCGATTTCGAAGCGGGCACCCTCGTCAATTAGAGTCGCGACGCTTTCCAAATTCGATGATATGCATGCCTCGATGAGGGCACGGCGCAGGGCAAACGGCGATCTCTGCATGTGGCCGATTTTCTTCGTGGTGATGTAGTTCTGAAGAAGCTGAATGCCGTCATTGTACCCATCATCGATGCAAAATTGCAGCACACTCTGAGGCGAGCCCGAGACGCCGAGGAACATGAGCATAGTCGAGCACAGCCAAGGAAATTCGAGTCGATTAGACATATGCCTGGGTTATGGAGTAGAGGAGCTGCTCGAGCCCAACAAGCCGCTCGGGAACGACCCAGCATCGCGGATTCCAGGACCAGAAGCCGACCCGAGCTGATCCTGTGCCATCGAATCAGCCATACTGTGTCTGTTTGCGACTGCCATATTTCACCCACCTTGAGCACCTGCACTCCGTGGCTTGTTTCCCAGCGATCCAAGTCATGATCGAGAAGCATTCGCATGATCTCTTGATTGTGGGTCTTGGCTGCAATCAGAACGGCATCAGCCGAACAGGTAAGATAGTGGCGTAGATCGACAGGGAAGAATCCTTTGGCCCATTCGGATTGGCTCAGCTGGAGGGGGCTATTATCGATCACGCGGTCGGTCCAGTTCCAGAGACCGAGGCTAATGGTCTGGTGAAGCTGGCTCAAAATCATCTCGGAAGCCGTGCGGTTGTGGACTTTCAGCGCGCCGAGCGCCAGAGGCACATGAGTCATGGCATTGCATTCCAGGAGCGTCTTCACCAAGGGCGTATTCTTGGAGGAAACGGCACACAGAAGCGCCCGGTAGCCTGGAAAGACACAGAGATACGAGTTCATATGCAACAGAATTGAATGAGTCTGCCAACGAATGGACCGGGCGGACAAAGGTATCAAGTAGCGGCTCAAGGTAATGTCGAGGTCGTCGTCACTCCACTCCTCGCGCTGGTGTACTGTTTAGCAGGCTCCTGGGATATTAGTGGCAGAAGTTGCCTCAAGCCTAGCCGCCTGATTTCACAAACCATGCCGCATATCCTCAGCGCATCGGCGCATACACCCCGGGCCCCGAGGTATTAAAATATCGTGCGTCGATATGGCGGGACGGTGCCAAGTACCTTCTTTGATTTGGGGGACCGGTATGGGCGACTGTCCCAAAGTCCACTTCATAAAGTTCACATCAAAGCCATAGTCACTAACGAGGCTCTTGATGGCCTCGAGCTTTCGAGCCGAATGAGACATCGTTCCGAGGATATGCGCATGTGGCTCGCATGCAGCCAGTTCCATGAAGGTCTGAACGTCGGACTTATCGAGGGACTGCGGACGGAGGCGGAGCGTATTCCAGCGAGACATCAGAGGCAGCCCTCTGCGAAGCCGAGTGCTCAGGACGCAATGAACGTGGCAATAGGCGGCAGACGAGTGACACACCCCACATCATGTCCAACCACCACCCATAGGACCAGCAACGCTCAAGCCAATGACTCAGCCGCCTCGATCGCACACACCATATCTGGCTCCAAACATGCTATGTGCTCGGGGGAAAGCAGACAGACTCATCGCATGCTGCAACAAAGGGCCTACCAAGTCGCTGTAGAGCCGCAAGCCATGGACAAGCAGATGGGCAATCAGCCAGGGGCAATTCTTCTTCTGGAACCGAGTAAAAGCCCGCTGGATGACATATCTAGAGAAAAGCGTGCGAGACAACCGCATCGTGCGAGCTCATATCAGTACGGAGACGGCATGCTTCTCCCATACAGACGCACATAAAACCCCAAATTTGCACTCTTTCTCCCCGACTCGAAGCCCTGGGTAACGACGGGGTTGTAGCGAGCAATAGAGCGAACAAGAGGAAACGAGGGCGAACAAAGCGAGCGAGAGAGCAGGCAACACACGGCGACAAACCGAACCGCATAACTGCCGCACTGCCATATTCAAACCCAAGCAGTGCCAACCTGGGGAGTTTTGGTGTGTTTTGGAATAGGTATTCCATGAGCTCGATGCTCCAGAGTCCCATCCAACGGCAGCCGGCCTCGAAGGCGGCCCTGGCACCGTATTTGCGGATGAGCCACTTTGCACGGACGATAGCTGATTTGGAAATGCGCTGGAGGCTCCAGCAGGACCGCGAGAGAGCCAAGGGATTGTCGGTATAGACAAAGATAAGCTCCAGGACCTCGGGCGGAAGGTCGACGAGCCATGTCCGCCATGGCGACGAGGCAAGCAGCGGAAAAGAGACAAGGGCAGCTGGCTGGGCTTCGGGAGGAGCCAGAGGCAGGGCCGAAGGGGGCGTCTCGGGCGCTGACGACACAGAGGCCTCTGGGACGGCCAGACGAGGGGCTTTTCTGGGTCGCAGGATATACATTGCTGGCGAGCGGTGGGATGCGGCTGGATGCGGTGGGAATGCAGCGACGGGATGGAGACGAGGGCAGAGGCAGCGGGCGCGGATCGCCGACGTCAGCGGACGAGGGCGGACGACTCCGCCCACACGTGACGGCCGCTGTGGCTGTGTGGCTGGCTGTGTGGCGGGATGGCTGGATCCATCGCTGGTGGGCCAGTGCAGCCCGGATCCAGCCAGGACCGTGGGAAGTGCCTGGTGCTCCAGGCAAAAGCACTCAGCACCATGAGCACACACTGGTGTATTCAGGCGGCCCAAATGCGCTGCCCAGGGTCATGGCAGACTTTTCTGCAGCCAACCAGCCAACCAGCCAACAAACCAACCAACAAACCAACAAACCAACTGCAAAGGGTCCCTGTCCCTGTGTGCCCAAAACCTAATTCTGCCGGCCGCGGCCACGGGCGGCTTTTCTTTCCTCTGTCCAGCGCCGTCCTCTCTTCCCTCGTCCAGTCCTGCAGCTACCCTCTCATCTTTTCCAAAACAAGCCATGTCATTCTTTAACAACTTCGCAGGCCAGCTTGAGCAGGTTTCTATCTATCATAGATCGCCCGCTCTGTATTCCGCTTGTTCGTGGCGTTCGCAGGTGCCAGCCTAACGAAAGCGACAATGTTTGATCTTTGCAGAAACTCGGCCAGCAGCTCCAGGGGCAGGGACTGGTACGTTTGACGCATAGCACATCGCAGGGAGTGTCAGAATGGTCCTCTTGGTGCTGATCCCATCAGCAGGGTGCACTTTCTGGATTGATGGGCCAGGGACAACCCCAACAGGGACAGCCCCAACAGGGACAACCTCAGCAAGGCTATCAGCAGCAAGGCTATCAGCAACAGGGATATCAACAGCAAGGCTACCAACAGCAGGGCTATCAGCAACAGGGATATCAGCAGCAGGGATATCAGCAACAGGGATATCAGCAACAGGGATATCAACAACCTCACCAGCAGCAGCCCCACCAACAGCAGGGTGGCTACCAGAGCTACTCGTCAGCATCCTCGACCCACTACCAGCAGACCACAACCACAACCCACCAGCAGCAGGGTGGATACCAGCAAACCACCACCACCCAGCAGTACTCCTACCAGCAGTCGGGAGGCCGATACAAGGTACTGCCATCGTCATGCGCCGCCGATCCCAGCACATGCTTTCCTCGATGATGTCCCGATCGATCTGTTGAATCAGCGTTGCTCGCTAAGGGTCCATTCTTGAACTGCCTGCCGTTGTCCGGACGATCAATGACCCACCCATTGATATGTCAACTCACTGACTCCCAAACCATCCGCTTGTGCCAGGCTCTGTTGATCGGAATCAACTACATTGGTGGCAAGAGTCCTCTCAATGGATGCATCAATGATGTCCAGAATGTCCGAAACTGGCTTCTCCATCGCAACCCAGCCTATGGTCAGAACATGCTTGTTCTCACCGACGATCAGCAGGACCCATCCAAGATCCCAACACGCGCCAACATGCTGAACGCATTCCGATGGCTCGCAGCCGATGCTCGCCCTGGAGATCACTTGTTCTTCCACTATTCGGGACACGGTGCCACTCAGAAGAATACGAACGGAACTGAAGCCGATGGTACCGACGAAACCCTTGTTCCTGTCGACTATGAGAGGGCCGGACAGATTGTGGATGACGACGTCCACGCTATTCTCTGCAAGCCACTGCCTCAAGGCTGCAATCTTGTTGCGTTCATGGACTGCTGCCACTCTGGCACGGTGTTTGATCTGCCGTACACATACGGTGTTGATGGCAATCTTGACATCACGATCCGAGACAACAAGGCCGAGGCAGTCAAGCATGGAACCAAGGTAGGCCAGTATCAACTGCCGCCTATCTGATTGCCCTGGTCGCCGTTCGCTCCGTTTGACTCCTCCACCTCTTATATTCACTTGGCAACTCTTCGACATAGGCCGTATTCGCCTTGCTTCAGAAGAATCACGGAGTGGCCTTCCAGGAAGCCACCCAGGCTCTGAAGCTCTTCCTCTCTCCAGAGCAAGGCAGTACCGACTCTGCCGCGCTGGATGCTGCGCGGCAGCAGTGCACCACCCGAGCGACCATCGTCCAATTCTCTGGATGCCGAGATGACCAGACCTCGGCTGACGCCCAAATTCAAGGACAGGCCACCGGAGCCCTGTCGTGGGCCCTCATGACTGTTCTCCAACGCAACCCAAACCCGACCTATGCTGAACTGCTTCGCGAAACTCGCGGGCTGCTCCAGGGCAAATACAGCCAAGTTCCGCAGATGTCGACGGGATTCCAGGTGCGTGTTTCAGAGCGCCTGGACCGCATTTGTGTCATGACAAACATGGCGCCAGACTAACAGTCCGCATTCGCAGATGGATGTCGCCAACGGACGATTCCAAGTTTGAATGATCTATGGCTGCCATCCCAGCGCTCAAAATCAAATGGATCACTCAGCGCCCTTCGCCTTGGTTTTTGGATGGGAATACACACAACAATCATTCACAACGGCCTTCCACATCGTGCAGACAGGGTAAGGGATACACCCGATTCCCATCGTTGAGGCTGCTCGGGAACCCTGAGCAGCTCCACCACCAGGGGAAGTGTGGCCTGCATATGCCCATGTCGCAGTGGATGTTGGCGGTGAGTCGGAATCGATCGATTCGATTGGCCCGATCCACCGCCGCAACATGTCCAAGGTGCGCAAGCCGACGATCGCTCATGGAGATCGCTTCACACCATGTTGGCGCGGGCACCTGCTGGATGAACTCGCTGGGTATGATTCTGCCTTGGATGGACTGGATTGCGCTGTCTGGGATGGATTGCAGCCGTCTTGGCTGGGACATGTGACCCGCCAGCCACCCACCCGCGACCCGCCACCGCGGTGGTGGCGTGCTCGGGGCAGGCGTTGTTTGGCCGCGCACCTGATTGGCTGGATGAATGCGTTGCCCCGAGCCCGTCCATCCACTGGCCGCCCCCATATAGAGCCGCCGTCTCCCGCACACCCCCGTCGCCCGCATCGTTTCGCCCACCTCCAAAGCCAAAGCCAAAGCCAAGTCAAAGCCAGCACCCCCATCAGCACCAGGCCGCAGAGACACAATGTCCTTCTTTGAAAATATCCTCCAAAAAGTTGAGCAGGTGAGCTGCTGTCGAAAGCTCGTTGACACCGCCAAGGACCAGGATCGATCCTCGGGGATAGCCATATCGATTTTGCATCTTACTGACGGGCTCTGGATCTGGACTCCATCGCCTTTCTGTTTCCGTGCTGTTAGAGCCTTGAGGGCCAGGCACAAGGCGGGAACCAACAGGGTTACCCTCATCAGCAGCAGGGCTACCAACAGCAAGGCTACCAGCAGCAAGGCTATCAGCAGCAGGGATATCAGCAACAGGGATATCAACAGCAAGGCTACCAACAGCAGGGCTATCAGCAACAGGGATATCAGCAGCAGGGATATCAGCAACAGGGATATCAGCAACAGGGATATCAACAACCTCACCAGCAGCAGCCCCACCAACAGCAGGGTGGCTACCAGAGCTACTCGTCAGCATCCTCGACCCACTACCAGCAGACCACAACCACAACCCACCAGCAGCAGGGTGGATACCAGCAAACCACCACCACCCAGCAGTACTCCTACCAGCAGTCGGGAGGCCGATACAAGGTACTGCCATCGTCATGCGCCGCCAATCCCAGCACATACTTTCCTCGATGATGTCCCGATCGATCTGTTGAATCAGCGTTGCTCGCTGAGGGTCCATTCTTGAACTGCCCGCCGTTGTCCGGACGATCAATGACCCACTCATTGATATGTCAACTCACTGACTCCCAAACCATCCGCTTGTGCCAGGCTCTGTTGATCGGAATCAACTACATTGGTGGCAAGAGTCCTCTCAATGGATGCATCAATGATGTCCAGAATGTCCGAAACTGGCTTCTCCATCGCAACCCAGCCTATGGTCAGAACATGCTTGTTCTCACCGACGATCAGCAGGACCCATCCAAGATCCCAACACGCGCCAACATGCTGAACGCATTCCGATGGCTCGCAGCCGATGCTCGTCCTGGAGATCACTTGTTCTTCCACTATTCGGGACACGGTGCCACTCAGAAGAACCTGGACGGAACTGAAGCTTCTGGCTTCGACGAAACCCTTGTTCCTGTCGACTATGAGAGGGCCGGACAGATTGTGGATGACGACGTCCACGCTATTCTCTGCAAGCCACTGCCTCAAGGCTGCAATCTTGTTGCGTTCATGGACTGCTGCCACTCTGGCACGGTGTTTGATCTGCCGTACACATACGGTGTTGATGGCAATCTTGACATCACGATCCGAGACAACAAGGCCGAGGCAGTCAAGCATGGAACCAAGGTAGGTCAATACTATATCGCTCAAACACGACTTTGATATAGGTTTGGGCGGTTGAGATGGAGTACTGACCAGGCTCAACTCGTACGCCAGGCTTTCTTTGCGTTGCTACAAAAGGACAACACCACCGCCCTGCGGGAGGTCGAGTCGGCAATCAAGCTATTTATCACGCCGGACCAGCAGCAGCAGAGTGCGCCGAACGAAGAAATGGCTCGGCAGCGCGACACCACCCGAGCGACCATCGTCCAATTCTCTGGATGCCGAGATGACCAGACCTCGGCCGATGCTCAGATTCAAGGCCGTGCGTCTGGAGCTCTGTCGTGGGCCCTCATGACTGTTCTCCAACGCAACCCAAACCCGACCTACACCGAGCTGCTTCGCGAAACTCGCGGGCTGCTCCAGGGCAAATACAGCCAAGTTCCGCAGATGTCGACCGGATTCCAGGTAATGTTGCAATGGTCAAGTGGGGACAATGTAGGACCGATGACTGGCGCTCATTGTTGACCAAATTTCCGGGTTGCTAACGTTGCATGCTACTGTTGGGGGGTCTGCTACAGATGGACGTTCACAGCGCGCGTTTCCAGGTGTGAGCACGGATCATAGTTGCTCTCCATGGAGTTCCCGGACATGCCGTGTCGCAGTGAAGTGAGGCGTTCCGTTTAGGAACGCTGGTCATGTTTAGCCTCTTCATCGATCCCGAATACACTCCCCTCTACATAATCAGCTTCGAATCTCGGCGCTGCACTGGCAGGCCCTAATCAATAGCGACGTGTACGCACAAGCAGGCCATCCATTCACCCAACTCGCTTAGCTTCGCTCTATATGTATTGTATTTCGTCTGCACGCAGTGCTCGCCAAGTTCCGATGGGCACATGGCAATAGGCTTGCTGGCTTAAGTTCTTGGACAGCCCTGTGCACTCGCTGGACATAGAATCGGCGTCACAAACGCACCGCCGACAACACCCCCGACCTTCAGACCAGCTGTGAATATTGCTGCTATGCCCTCGCCGAAGATGAGGCCGGTGGCCAAGGCCCAGCCCCACAGCAGCCATGAATTGACGTTGACCCGCTCCCACAACAGGGCCGTCAGGACACCGAGAGACATCACCACCGAGTACTGGCCGCCACCGAGCAGCATCGCGATGCCGACGGCGGGTGGACTCGGCAGATACCGCCGGTACCGCCAAGGTACCCGGCGTTTGTAGTACTCCAAGGCCGGGTAGATCAAGACAAGGACGAGCGAAAGGATGGCAGAGCTGAGTTGGATGGGCTGGGCAGAGTCGGATGTGAGTGACTTTGTGATCGCCGACCACGCGCCGATCCCGAGCAGATCAAAGGCACAGCCCTCATCCAGGTTCAAATCCAACAGGCACGGATAGGCGTTGGCCATGAGGATAAGCAGGCATCCAGCCAAGATCATGCCGATAATGGATCCGAGCAGGGTCGAACAGCACTGGGCTCGGATTGTCGGTCGCATGGCAGCAGGCGGCTTGGGCTGATCCATGGATGTCTTGGAGCCCAGGGTTGCATCCTCCGAATCCTTTGGACCGCTTGGATCACTCGGATAATCGGGCTCGGCTGAATCTGTGAGTTCCGGGGTAGAGAAGAATATATACGTTGGCGCTGTGCAGACAAGATACATGGTGTTGTGTGCAGGCAAACGTCTCGATAGTTCAACTCCGTGGCACATATCAGTCTGTAATCGTGCTGTGCCGGTAGAGAAATCCAGTCGACGGCCGCCAAACAATCAACCAACTGGGCGCCTCAGCGATGTCGTGGTGGTCGAACTTACTCAAAATGTCGCCTTCGGCTGCGTTGGCATTTTCGATCCCGACAAAGGCGAAGATGAATGCGCACAGAAATCCAAAGATGATATCGCCCGCCGGGATCGGGAACTGTGCATTCAGCGTGACAACGACCATGAAAAACGAGATGGTCAGCCCAAAGAGCCACTGCCATGCTGGCATCATATCTTCGGCAGCCACTCCGAGCTGATGTCGCTTCTCGTCGACATAGAGACGGATTCGAAGGAGCGAGGCCATGTTCATGGAGATGATTTCTAAGCTGTGCTTGAAATGTGTCCAGATCGGGTGGATGTTGAGGACAATTTCGGTGAGAGCGGCGCACAGCAGTATCGTGGCCCCGGGCCAGAGCATCCAGTTTCGGGGCGATGGTGGGCTTGGAGTGAAATACTGGATGACGTTTGGATCGCTGCTGGAGGGAACACCCGCGCATAGGCCGACGCCGACCAGGACCGGGCCGACCAATCCCCACGAAAGCACAGACCCGAGCATCATGGAGCCCGTCAGACGAGGGCCGAATATCATCCCGGCTCCAAAGAAGGCCGGCGACCAGCTGATGAACCAGCCCCAGTTTTCGGGCCGTTGTGCATCGGTCCATCCGAGGCCGTACAGCCATGCTATGCCGAGCATTATTGAGAAACAAACAGGTGAGTCTCTTACCGAGGACATGATGATGATGATGATGATGGTGATGATGAGAAGGCATCGCAGAGAGCAGCCACAAGAAGGATCCTCGCCGCCGGAGCACCCGATCAACCTTTCGTATTCTGCACCGTCCGTCTCCAAACCAGTAACCATTCATGGCGAAACCATCCGTGCCTGCTCAATGGTTTGTAATTCTCACCAAAGACATGCCAGGAGCCGAACAGTCCAGGGGCAAAGTGTGCCAAGATGCACCAAATAACCGACAGCATCATGCCGACAGATACAATGATGATGTTGGCCCGGGTTTTGTTCATGACCACCGTTGTGCTTTTTCCTTCGTACGAGTGGATCGTCCAGACTTCGCTATGCTGGGCGGTTAGATGGGCCGCTTGGACTCTGTTGGCTGCCGCGCTCGCATCGACCGGACCGTTCTCATGGGAGCTGAGAGCCGGAAACTCGCTGCCAGCTGGGACTTGGTCGGTGGGCAAGGGCGAGACTTGCCATGGCCGACACGACGATCCAGACCAGGCCTGGTACTGGATTCGATTGCGCAAGACAAAGAAGAGCCTGAAGGGAATCGAGAAGAAGACACCGAAGAGGGCGCTGGCGAAGCCGAGCGCATAGGTTCGCTTGGAGGCGGAAATGTCGCTCCCAAAGAGACGAATGTTGTAGCTCATCGGAATAGCTGTCAGGTTGATGGGACATATCCAGTGTGAGTCGGAGGAATGTCTTTGGTAGGTGGAGGTGAGAGAGTGGGTGGGTTGGGGTCCTGTGTAAGGACTATGTGGGAAATGGAAGCACAGCGGTTGGGGAGTGGTGGGAAACGCAGCGTCGTTGCAATCGGCTGTCTGGCCATCGAACGAATCATACCAGAGAGGAACAACGCCAGACTGCCGATTAAGGTCGCCGCCGTCTGGACGGCAAGGCTCTCTCGGAAGGTCGTTCCATACCACCGCTTGAAGTGGCCGGCGAGTTCGTGTGTTTGCATGGTTGTCGAGGGAGGCAGCTTCAGCAACGTTGGGCCAGATCGATCAACTTGAAACTGGAGTGGGAGCAAGGGCCGAAGCAGAAGAAGGACCAGGCAAATCAAACAACCAGGAACAAGATGCTGCAGCAAGTATCGCAGCTAGTCCACCGAGGAGAAGGACTGCGGGCGGTAGAAATAGGGCGACAGCATCTGGGCGATCTATCGAGACGATCCATCCGGCAGTCATCGGGCAGGAAAATGAGACATTGAACCAGGCGGCCATTGTATACCGAAATGGCCTGGCAACATGTCACAATCGCCAATCATGGGGCATAATGCACAGACACTCAGTGGTGACGACAGTATTCACAAGCAGAGCCATTCCGCCTGAGTCCCCGGCGGGTTGGATCCTGAATCGGAACGAGTCCATTCACCTCCACAACAATCGCAAAGCTGAACCGATGGGCACTGCCTGCCTGCACTACGACACCACTGGCAATAATCGCGGGTTGTGTGGGTCCAATGACTTTGATCGGTACCCAAACTCCATGAAATCCGCTCGCTGAGGTCCACCGGCGATTTTTTATCTTTGGTTTGTGTCTTCCTCCCTCACACAGGGAAATGATAATATCCATTTGAACGGGTGTGCGATCTGATCCGACGACGCCGCGTTTGTCCGCATGAGATGATGGATCCCATTTTTTCCAACACGTTATAACTTCGAGCGTCATGTTTTTCTTGGAGGGGCCGTACAAACGAAGAGGTCGGTATTCAAAAGCACTGGCACCAAGCGACTACAGCACAGGCTTCAACTATCGTCCGCCAAGACCACACACACGATCAATTCACCGAGATTCCAGGGCCGACTCGGACCAGCGGAGGAAGCTGACGAGTCGGCCGTGCAGGGTCTCTCGAAGGGCAAGGAAACCGAATCAAACCGAATCAAAGTCAAAATCACAATCAAATCAAAATCACAATCAAGTCAAAATCACAATCAAATCAAATATACAAGGGCAAACACTGCACACACTCCTATTTGATGCGCACAGCCGGCTTGTTTCCAAAAAGACGATCCTCCTGGATAAGGGCATCAATCTCACGCAAAAAATCCGAGATGGCCATGGTCGATTCTTCGTTCGTGGTGCTGCTTCGAGCGGTCGAGGGGTTGCTCTTGAAGGAATCTTGGCCAAGGCGAGGGGACGAGCGACGCTGGGGCGGAACGGGGGCTTCTTCGATGATGGAAAAGCGGTCGGCTTCGGGCGAGATACCCATGGTTTGCAGCCAGCCATTGACCGTCTCGGCAGTGACGGCCTTGGGAAGACGGACGTGCAGTTCATAGGCGCCGTTGGACTTGGCACGCGACTGCACCCGAATGCTCTCAGGGTAGAAGCGGTGCAGCGTAGAGAGGACATGAGCAACACGGTCCAAACGATAGTAATGAGCCCGGGCGGCACTCTTGAATTCCTGAATGGCCGTGGGCGACAAGGGGGCTGGTTGAGGGGAGGTGATCGTGCCAAGCTTGGATGCGGGAGAGTCAGAGAGGCTGCTTGGCCCATCCAAGGATATTGCACATGCCAATCGATGGAATATGGTCAATAACGAGCCGGTGGCGTATTACTTGTTCTCACTCCAACCGCTGAGCCACCTCGATGGCTGCTATGCAGAATAGAACGACGCCGCCAGTGCCGTTTGGGCCGGAGGTCAGGCAGTGCAGTGCTTACCTGAAGGACAGACCAACAGTCGGACGAAAAGCCGACCCTGCAATCGGAGACGTGAAGGCTTTGGGCTTGACTCTGGACTCGGAAAGCTCTCGGACATGGGTGGAGACCTCGGTCGTGTATTGCTTCGGCTGAGGGAGGCCCCAAAAGGTGAGCGTGTATCCATGCTGTTTGGAGAAAGAACGGATGGCAGTCAGCCGTCAATAGGCTGGAATCAGCGTGCATGCAGCTGGGAACTGGGCTTTGGATCGACACCGGGGTGGCAGCAGGAGCGAACTGGAGCCAGCAGGAGCCAGCAGGAGCCAACTGGAGCCAACTGGAGCCATGCGCTGTCGTGACGGAGACGATAGAGTCGCTGCGTGCACTCACCTTGTGGCTTGGAGTGAGAGTCGAGAGGTTGGGTGAGACGCCGGCAGGAGCGAAATTGCGGTGGTTGTCGTTCGGGGAGAACGGGCTGGTGAGCCAAACATTGGTGTGCAGAGAAGAAGCAGGGACGATCCGGGGTCCAAAGGCAGCCAGAGGACGCCGGAGGCCGTGGATGGCGAGTGCAGACGCCCGGCCCAGGATGGGCGGCGGGTGAAGTGGAGGCCTCGTCCACAGACGGAGGAACCTCCACGCCAGTGATCGCAACGTCGACATGGAGCTCTCTGCTGGGGAGGAAAGAGGGAAGGCCTCGGCCGCGGCCGGCTTTATATTCGAGTATCGAATGACAGGTATATCAGGAGCGAGGGCGCATGACCGCGACGTGGACGAATCGCCGCGGGCTTGATCACGTGTGCGCCACATGCCTGTTGTTCGCCATCCAACCGCCACCCATCCAGCAACCGCCGTCCATCAATCGCCATCCAGCAACCGTCACCCGACGATCACCCGACGATCACCCGACGATCACCAGCCAGTAGCCGGTATCCGCCAACCGGTATACGCCAACCGGTATACGCCAGCCGGTATCGAGCAGTCGCACAATCATTCAACATTCGCCATTCCCTTTGACCATGAACCCAACCCTCCAGTCCCAGTCCCAGTCCCAGTCCCAGTCCCAACAGCCCAGCGGCCAGATACCGATGACAGTCCATCCGTCCATCGCATCTGCAGCCGCAGCCGCATCCACGCCATCGGCGAGTCTGGGGCAGCTGGCCTCTCCCACCGCTCGATCGCAAGCTGCACAGATCACTTCTTCCTCAATATCCACCTCACAGTTCTCGATGTCCTCGCAGCCCCTTGCCGGCGCTGCATCGCAAGCCGCCTCTCGATCAGGGCGGATCCCAAATCCTGCTGCCTTCCGCTCAACAGTGGCACAACCAGCATCGACCATGCTCTCCATCAGCCCATCGACCCTCGCGATTAACCCAGCGGCCGCGACAGTCAATCCGGCCGCGATGCAGTCGGCAATGGGGGCCTTTCCCGTTGTGGGAGTGCCTCCGGGCCGCCCGCCTATCCTCTCGACTCCCATCAAGAATGTTCTCAAGCCCGATATCCAGATCAATGCCAACAGGGTGCCCTATACCAGCACGCCCGTGTCTTCGACGAAGCGGACCTATACCAAGAGAATCAAGACAGCGCCAGGTAAGGGAGCGATGAAGAGGAAGGATGGCTGCCGATCGATGCCGGTGCTCCACCGCTCCAGCCCTGGAAACTGACTTTGACCCAACGGCCACTCCCTCCAACCGCGGGCAAAACACACGAAAGTCGTCAGGCCCCACGAGATCGCCATTCCTCCGCCTGACCGGGCACCAGAGGATATCGCCCACAACGAAGAGATCAAGCGGAGGTGTGTATCTTGACGAAGAACCGTCCGATGTGCTGTCGCCTCCCACCACCAACCCGCTGCTGGAGCTCAACAATGTCCATCTGCGCATCCATGTCGCCAGGTTCTCGGAGACTCTCAAGCGCGACCAAGAGGTCGTTCAAGTGCCTCATCCGAGCCGGCCGTTTGCTTCCCTCCATGATGCCGTCGAGACTCTTTTCAGCTACCATATTCTGCAGGGCTCACGCGAAGCCCAAAAGTTCTCTGAGCACGAGCAGGCCACCCACAGTAAGCACCGCTCATGAACCCGTTGGGCAGATGTTCTGCAAAGTCTATATAGACGGTGACATCCCCAAGGGACGAGCAGGACAACATCGGCGCTGATTACCGTTGCTCATTCCTCACATCGTGTCCTGTCCGCGCTTTGCTTCGGCATTGAATGGCGTCTGTAGAGCGGAAGGCAGAAGCACTGCTTCACGAAAGCCAGCAGCTTGTCCGCCGATTCCGTCGGATCCAGGAGAAGGACGAAAAGGTATGCACCGCCGTGTCGATGTTGTGTCCAGCCGTCTTCGCACGGCGACTGGATACTCCATGCTTGGCAGGCAAGCGGGAGCGACCCCGGGCTGACGAGTGACCCGCTCTGTCCTTCCTCGAGCAGGCCGCTGTTCCAAGATACATCCAAAAGTTTGGCGAACACCTCGTCGACAACAACTTTCCGAGCGGGGATATCAGCGGCCTGTAGCATGCATGAGCAGAGAGACGCTGGGCCCGTATCCATCCCTGCCTTTGCAGCCCATAAAAACAACAAGCGCAACGTCGTCTTGGGCCGTGTGCACGAATCCCGTGTGCACGAATCCCGTTTGCATGAATACCGTTTGCTAATCTCCGCGAGTGACTGTCGATTGATGGGCCATAACCATGATTGCCCATCGATACACTGGAAACGGAGTCAACGCGCACAGGTTGCGGATCAAAGACACTCTGTTTCATTGGGAGCGCTTAGCGGCTTTACATAGCTGGTGTGGATAAGGGGCGTCATGGCACACAGCACCGTCAAGGATCACAACGGACTCGCCTTCGACGGGGGAGGTAAGCCCACCGGCGGATCTGAGTCGGAGCAGAGGCTTGACAGCAACGGTGGGACAAAGCCTACCGATGCCACAGGTGCGTCCCACTATAGCTCCTGTCGGATGGTCTCCCAGCGCTTGAAGGTATAGCCGACAAATGCCAAGTCCTTGTCGCCCTCAACTTTGGAGACCATGGGGTCGTTGACGGTCTGGCCGGACGTGAGTTGCTCAGGCACGTCTACCAGCTCGTCAGTCGGGAAGTAGGATGTATCGGTGATGGATCGCAGGGCGGGGACAAAGGGGCTTCGCTGGTGTCGCAAGGTTGCCCAATCGATCGATCGGAAGAATGGATGCGCCTGAATCTGGGAGATGTTCAAGCGATAGGGGGCGTCGCAGAGGAGGCTATTGAGGAAAAGAGCAAAGTGGTTGTTGGAGAGAGAGATGCAGCACATGTGAGCAAACGATCAGCACCGCACCGAATGCGAACAAATGATGGGCGGATGGGGCGTGCGCAAGGTGGCGGTCGTCAGGCGCGCTGCCAATGGCACCGACGCTTGCTCCACCGCCAGTGCGTCGTCGCATCGCCATGAAAGATCGGCAAACACCAATACACAGCCTTCGAACAGGCGACAGGATGGCAGGATTGCTTACCCTCGGATGAGATCCTCGGCCTCCGGGGACAGATGAACATCGTTGGGGATGTAAAAGTACTCCCGCCAGCCGATGATCTTGCGGTACGTCTCGTGAGGGTTCTCGCTGCAAAAAGGAGGATAGCCAACCAGGCACTCGAACATAATGGCGCCCAGAGACCACCAGTCACACTCCTTGCCGTAGCCCTGTTGTTGGAACACCTCGGGGGCAATGTAGTCCGGCGTGCCGACAGTAGAGTAGGCGACTGCTCGGCGGTTCTTCTTCCAGGTGGCGATTCGGTCCTTTCGCGAGAAGGTCAGATCAATGTTCTTGGCCGTTCCAATGCCATCGAACTTGGAGGAAGCGTTGGTGCTGTCGAACATGCGCTGGTAATATGAGGAGTCGTGGGTCTTGTGGAAGCCGGTGCTGAGACCAAAGTCCGAGAGCTTGATGTGACCGTCCTTGTCGATGAGCACTGCGATATCGAAAAGAAACAGATCAGCATGAGGACCAGATGCGGTCGCTGCCGTGTGGCTGCTGACGTGCGGGCAGCAGAAGCACAGCGGGATGGCATTGACATACAGTTATCGGGCTTGATGTCGCTGGTGTTGATCGGGGATACAGGGGAGGAACACAAGCAAGGGAGCATCAGCCAGACTGCCGCCATCGCATGGGGTTCACAATGACGCCCGACGTTGAGTCAGAAGACCTGTCAGCACGATGGCGGATCAAAGAGGTCGCTGCGATGCTTACCGGTGAATAAAGCCCAGCTCGTGGACGGCGCTGATGGCGGAAACACACTCGGCCATATAGAACCGCGTGACATCTTCCGAAAAGGTGTCGTATTTGATCAGCATGGTCATCAAATCTCCTCCGGGCAGGAATTCCATGATCAGATACAGGAACGAAGGGTCTTGGAATGAGTAGTACAGTTGGACAACCCAAGGGGAGTAGACAGATTCGGCAAGGACGTCGCGCTCGGCGCGGACGTGTGCAAGCTGCAGCATCGGCGTTCGAGTGAGACAATGACCGAGGGAGAGGTGGGCGGATGAGGAAAAGTGTGGGGTGGTGGATGCCGGGAGCAGAACCAGCCCGACCAGATTAGTGACCAAATTCCTGCGATAGGGCATCGCTCTCCTTGCCCAGTATCCAGTGCCGATGAAATCGCGCGAGGCCAGCGGTCGAGAGCATCGGAATGCTCCCTGGAATTGTGACAGCATCGACATGTGGCGATCGGCCTGACGACGTGCACTCTGGCGATGTGTCATGGGGACATCCAGAACAGCAGGCCTCCTCTTCCTCCCCTTCCCCAGGCGGTGTGGCTGCTTGCAGTACGGAGCCTGGCGCACCTGATCCTTCTTGACCATCTCGGACTTGCGCAGGGTCTTCATGGCATAAACCTTGCCGCTATCGGCTTTCTGGACCAGACGAACCTGGCGCCATTTCGATGCAAGCACACCGAATGTGTCAACTCGACAAACAGCACAAATTGTGGCTTTGGGCCAGACTGCCAACGAACCGAGCCGAGCCGAACCGAGCCGAGACATGCTGATCCCGGCCCCGTACACCATGTTGCGCGACAGCACTACCAACCTCACCAAAGGCGCCCCGTCCGATAACTTTGATGGTGAAAAAATCGTTGACACTCAGCCGGACCCGACGCAGCCGAAGGAAGTCGGACTCTTTTCGGCCGAGGGCGGTGAAGTTGCGGTTTTTCTTCTCCTCAGACCAGTTTTCTGCCTGCATTCGCTGCTCGACATCGAGGCGTCTGGGGAGGCGGCAGTGATGGCAGATGCTGAGCGACTAGGAAACGAGATACACACGTGTACAGCTGGTCGTCTCCATGCGCATCTGTCGCAGGAACACGACTGAGCGCATCCAATGCTGAAGTACCGACGGCAATGTTTCCACGCCTCCCGGTAATGGTCGCAGCGACAGCGACGACAGGACACAGGACGGAGGTGGCCGTACCTGTGCTCGCGCTCCGAGCATTCCGAGACAACCTGCTTGTAAAAGTTCTCTAGCCGGTACTTTGCCGCTGTGGCCCGATCGAGGGCGGCCGTGGAGAGGGAGTCCGGGCACCGTTCAAAGATGTATGATTCGTCGAAGGCATCCGACATGGAGACATCGGAAGACATGGCTGCGGGGTGGCGTTCGGTCGACGGGAGCGGATCGATGACAGCAAGAGAGATGGATCAGGCGAGGATCGACAAGCAGAGACCAACGGGCGGCTGGTGGGATGAGGTGTGGGGGGAGGGATCAGGACCAGCCAGGAGCAGGCAAGATGGATGGGTGGGCGGATGGAGCATCGGCCGAGGCGAAAGGAGGCCGAGGCAGGCGGCGACAAGCGAGCATAGGCGAGAGCGGGCGAGAGCGGGCGAGAGCAGGCGAGAGCGCCAGCGAGGAGCGGCTGCAGCCAAGATCGCGTGTTGCACTTGGACAACGGCGCGCCGCACAGGGCGGGTGGCCAGGCACTGGCTGTGCAGACACTGTGCAGACACTGTGCGCTGCGCACGCCGCCCCCGCTGGCGCGCACAGCCGCCGCCGCGAAAGGAAAGCAGCGCACGTCTGTGCAACGTGCGGCTGCGCGGGCGCGGCCACTGCCACCACCGAGCAGCAGTGTGGCTGAAACGGCGAGTGTCTCGACCACACGAGCATGAACAGCATGTCTCGTTCCGCTTTGGGCGCCGTTCGAGTCAGGGCGGTCGCTGTTCTGGGTGCCCAAACGCACGCACACCCATCACCAGAGGCGTCCCGGCCCTCTCAAAGTCGAGAAACCAGCAAACAGACGGTGGCTCATGCGAAGGGCGCTCACGATATGCTGTCCCGTCTCGTTCTGAAAATGCTGTATTGTGAGCCCGGTCACCGGAGAGCTGCATCGCCAGCCCGGCTGTCGTATGTACATTGGCATCAGCAATAGGTCTAACCGGAAATGTGCTCGGCGTAAGCAGCCTCGTCCAGGAGAGAGTCGAGCTCCTCGGGGTTGCTGAGCTTGACCTTGGCGATCCAGCCTGGGTTGACAGTGTCCGCCCAACAGAGTGAGCATCACGCACATGGTCGATCACAATCGGTCACAATCGGCCACAATCGGTCACAATCGGCCACAATCGGTCACAATCGGCCACAATCGGTCGTGGGCACATCAGGACGGAATGGGCGAGAGTCAGGAGGGTCGTCGCATTGGGTAAAGATTCGAGGCACACGGACAGAGGAAGGAATCGGGGAAATCGGCGGAGCGGTAGGGTCAGTGCGTGGCTCATCAAGATCACTTTCGTTTTGGACCGTCAGCGCTGTCAATATACTCGATACATCTACGCAGCAGCTCAGGCGCAAGAGCGACGCAGATACTAACCGTTCCCGAAGGGGCTGGAGTTGATCAGAGAGGGCTCGTCGTTGAGGGCCTCGTTGGCCTCGACGACCTCACCGCTAACAGGGCTGTAAACATCGCTGGCGGCCTTGACAGACTCGATGGCGCCGATTTGGTCTTGGTTTTACGTCGTAGCACATTGGAGGGCCGTTCAAAGTCATCGATCGAGGAGATTTGTGATGCCGCGTTTCATTTGATTCCATTACATTTAGTTACATTTCCAAAGCACCAGCCGCGAATGAATGTTTGGAATTGCCATGATCGTCAGTTACAGGGCCGGGCATCGCATAGGCGGCGAGTCAGCCTACTGCTCGTTCGCTTGCTTGAGGCCAGTTGGTTCTGGCTCCGACCAAGCACTTGCTGGAGATCGACAAACACTCACCCTTGATCGAGAGAGCCTTGCCAACCTCGGGGGTTTCGACAAAGACAACATCACCGAGAGCCTCCTGCGCATAGTTGGTGACGCCGATGGTGCCAACGCCGTTCTCAACAGAGATCCACTCGTGGTCCTTGGTATACTTGCGGGCTTATTGTTGGTCACGGTCGTGGGAGGCCGGCGTTGGGAGTGCGAGGCAATCGCCGCAGATCAATAGGGCACACGTTTGAAAGAGTGGCAGCGGGGAACGCAAAGCCGATTAGAAGATCATCCAAGAGACGGAGGACGATCGCAACAGCGCAACCTCGGGCTGGACATGCCGCCTCGCTGAGTGGCATGAGCGTATCGTGGGCTGGAGCGAGGGCCGACGGCCGTAAGCGCCGCGGCGGTCGGGGCTGCCTCGCGGCTGGTCTCGGTAGGACTGTTTCGGGGAAGCGACACTTACTGGCATAGGTGCGGACAGCCATGCTCATGGAAGGGAAGGCACGGAAGGCACGGGGCGCAAAGGCAGAGGCCCGGAGGGCTGAGCGAGCAAAGACACGGGCCAGCATTGTTCGGTGTGGTGCAGAAGGCAGGCGAGCAACGGCAGATCGGGGTGAAGAAAAGAAAAGGGCGAGGCGGGAAAGCAGGGCGAATAAATAGCGGTCAGGGCGGGTTGGGCTGCACATGCATCGTCTGTCGCCGCCCAGGAGCGCCGGCGGCACTGTGAATGCAGGATCCCTCTTGCCGGCCCCGTCTGCATCACACCCCCCAAAAAAAACACTAGCACTCAAAAGGAATGCGATGATCTCTAATGGTTATATGAGCGCATCTTGCCGGCTTGATCCCGGCATCTGCGCCCCCAACGGGCTGCGCACGGCTTCCTGCCACACAGCACATGTGTTGGGCAGGGTGGGCCCATTGCGATCGAGCGGGAGCCGCGCATGTTGGATGTCGGATGCTGGGTGCCGGGCGCTGAGTGCCCGGGGTTGGGTGTTGGACACACCGGCTGGTGATTCTATTCAGGATCCAGTCAATCGTCGCTGCTGGCCTCGCCCGCATACCAGTCCTGCTCCCGGCTCACTGGTCGAGCGTGGCCAGAAAGCCCTGCACCCTGGCCCGCAGCGACGGGCGGCCATCGTCCCCGATGCCATCGGGGTTATTGCAGGTCTCCAACAGCATCGCTGCCGCCGCTGCTTCGGCCGTTCGGCCCTCCAGGATGCCGCCGGGCACCACGGCCTCCATCAAGCATCCCGCAATCGCCGCTATCACGATCGGGCACACGGCGTTGCCAAGATGGTGGTATGCCCGGCTTCCGTTGCCGCAGGATCGGTACCGCGATGCATCGATGATAAAGCTTTCTGGGAATCCTTGCAGCCGGGCGACTTCCCGAGGAGTAAAGAACCGAGGCGGATCGGTCGTCTCACCCGTGACAGTAGCCTCGGGGTCAGGCATCCCGTTCTTCATCGGCACAAACTCCGAATAGAGCCCGAACCCCGTCCGGTAGTTGGATATCACTGTCCGAGCCGAGCCATCCAGGTGCACCAGTCGCCGAGCCGGGTCCTCCTGGAAGCTGGCCAGGCTGCGGATCTTGCTCCACTGCGAGGTGGTCAGGACATATGGAAGCGTTGTGGCCGAGTCGAGCTCCAGGATATCTCGCACTCGCCGGTCAAATCCTCCCACGGTTGAGAGCCGGCCTTGGCGTGGAGTTACTTCAGGCATTCTCGGCCACCGGAACCGCTGCTGGGCTTGGACGAGGTCGCTTCGGATGCCGGCAAAGTAGACTCGCTGGCGCTGCTGCGGGACCCACGATCGGGCATCCACAACCCGCCAGTCGACCCAGTACCCCTCGAGCCGCAGCTTTTGGAGGACAATCGCCAGCGTCTCGCCGCCGTCGTGCTGAATGAGGTGCGCCACGTTCTCGAGCAGAAATGCCTTGGGCTGTCTTGCCCGCAGGACTCGGATGATCTCAAAGAACAGGTTGCCGCGGTCTTCTCGAAATCCCTGGAGCTTACCGGCTTTGGAGAACGGCTGGCAGGGAAAGCCGGCCGTCAACAGGTCGTGCTCGGGAACGACGTGGGCGTCCCACTCGGTAACGTCGCCTATGCCGAGCGGCAGTCCCTCGTACTGCTCCGCAACGGCCCCGGTGGGTTCGGGAAGGACAGTGGGGCCGTGGTTGGCATGATAGGCATCGAGTGCGGTCGAGTCCATTTCCGACATGAGCACACATCGGCCGCCCAGGTAGTCTAGAGCCAGGCGAAACCCACCGACACCAGCAAATAGCTCGACAAAGGTGAATTTGGGAGCGGCGGCAGTTTCCTGAGCCGATGAATCGCCCAGAGCAGCTTGGCTGTGATGGCGTAGGTCGACGGCGGTATTGATATCGGAGGTGTCGACGACGGTGCCGATCTTGGGCAAGATGTCGATCGTATCGATTTGCTCGGTCGCATTGTCGATGGCTGCGGCATTCGTTGGTCTGCTCGAGCTTGCTGATCGGCTGGAGCTGGCCGAGTTGGATCGACTTCGTCCCCGGGGCGGCTCTGGCAGCGGCGAGCGATAGTTGGCCACGATGTGATATCGATCTTCCTCTCGCAGGGGAGGGCACTGGATCGACCGCGAACGGAGACCGGCGATCCAGACAGCCCGCTTGGCCGAGAGCAGCCTCAAGATCTCGGCAATCGAGCTGCCACTGTCGGACTGCAGCTTGGCTCGTTTGGACGGGCGATCGTCAGCTGCAGGGTTACAGCCAGCGCCAGTGGCCTGGGTCTCGGCATCGTTCGGAGTGCTGGCCTGCGACACCGATTTTGCATGCTCACAGCAGTTGGATGGCGTCGCTGTGTCGGTCTGCTCTGCTTGGTCCAAGGTATTCAGATAGAGCGCCGCAGAGTGCGAGAGATGGATGGCCATGAGCTGCTCCTGTCCCGTTTTAAACCCGACGAGCTGCCCGGTCCATTCCTGCCTCTGGACGGGAGACGGTAGGAACAGTGTCGGCTTGATCCAGCCGCCCTTGATCCAGCTGCTGGCTCGGAGATGCGGGTAGATATCCTGGGCCCGGGCCTGCGGAATGACGATGGCACCGACATGGTACTGGTCCAGCACAGCAGGCAGGACCCGATCGAAGACGGTCGAGGCGATCGTTGTGGAAGTGCTTGGGTCTCCCGCCGACCCTGGGTACGATGGCGACGACAGGCGGCGCATGACGGACAGGGAAAAGAACAAATTCAGTGGAGTAGACGAAGCTGGATCGATGAAGCAACGGACGAGGGTCGGCTCGGTGCGAGGTGGTCCAGGGGCAATCTCGTCGAGACGATTCGGCGATGGTCCGAGTGGGTCAGATCGGGGCAAAGTCGGCCGAAATCGCGTTGCGGCGAACAACAGCAGATTCTGCCCGATCCATATTCTCCCGATCAGAGAGGCGGCCATCCGCCCGTCAACCTACAAGCAGTCAGCGGCCAGGGTGCGATCCAATCGGCCGTTGAGGTGGACCTCTGTCGGGAACTGGTCGCTCGAATCAGTCGCTGGGGTACTGGCGGCCTCGCCAGCACGAGCCCTCCAGACAGCCACCGAGCCAGTCCGGGGTGCATTCCAAGCCTGCACACTCGCCCGGATGCCTGGGACAGCAGATGCCGCAGCAGAGTGTCGGCGAACATGTCTTGAAGCCGGCGTGGGCAGAACCGGGCGCCGGGATTCAGATCGAGAGGACGTACATCAGGCGTCGGTGGTGAAGGCCGCTTGTCTGTCGCCCGGAGCGATTGCGGAGGTTGTCGGGGCGGCTGTGGAGGTAACCGAGGCAGCCAGCTCGGCCAGCCTGTTAGTGTAAGTGACCTTATCGGACGTAGGCTGCCACAGACTACATGTTCGATTGGAATGGACGGATCTCGGTTGCCTCTTCATATTGCACGGGCATGGGGTTTCTTTTGGAGGCCTTGGGTTTGTGGCGCGCATCTACACTTTATTCAGAAAAAAACGGGACAATATAGCCGTTTCCATGAACAGGTAGTATGTGCTGTGCTTGCGTCAAGCAAAGCCACAAGAAATAAAACAGATCACTTTGGCAGCCTCCGAGTGAAGACCGCCGGTCGCTCTCCGATCTCCACAATCGACCTGCACACTATGATCATGTTGCGCGCCGCATTGACGTCGCGATTCCACACTGTCCGGCAGCTGGGATTCTTGCAGCTCCTGACAAAGTGGGAATTCGCAACACTGGGCGCATCGAGTCCTTCCAACCGAACTGGCTCCAGGCAGTTGGAGCACACCTGCGAGGTGTTGAACTCGTTCGTCGAGGCCACCTTGATGCTTCCATGAGGGCGATGTGGGTGGCGACGGTGGTGCTCGAATTGCTCAAAGTACCGAGCAAATCGCTGCCTCCGAGGGCTGGATGCATAGCCCTTGCCTTGACGCCATGACGCATTGCCAAAGGCGATCACCACATCGGTCCGTATCGCGGCGTGCTTCAGGACGGCCTTGCACATCCTGTCGACGGCCACTTGGCGCCTCTTGTGGCCCGTGAAGCGATGGTGACGGGCCTTCTTGCCAAGGTGGAAGTCGAGCTGCACTCGCAGCTCCGGTCGCAGGACATGGGTGAGATGGACCTTGAAGGCCTCCGAGGACGACACCTTGGGCGAGGGGGTGGTCGACATCCAGGTCTCGATGCTGAGTCGATACTTCATGATATTGTGCCACTTGGTGTTGGACGTATGGCCACACATTTGCTGGTAGTGGCCATTGGAGAATGAGACCACCTCGTCTTGGTGGCCCGGTGCTTGGATGACCGCCGTGAAGATGGAGCCGACGCCTGGGTCGATTCCAATCCAAGTGGTGCGGTTGGGGTCTGGGTTGCCGATGTGGGCCTGGATACGCTGCTCGGCGGTCGGAGGAGGCTCGATGGTCTCGGTGCGATCGGTTCGACGCACAAACTTGACGAGACCGATGGTGCATCCAATGCCATCGGTGCTGATCTCGTAGTTGAACAGCTTCTTGTTCACGTCTCGCTCTTGGAAGAGGGAACTACGCAGCTTGAAGCAACTGCGCCAGAGACGATCCTGGTTGTTGACACCGTCCTCACCTTCTTCCTTGAGCATGTCCCGGGTGAGTCCAAGGCGCTTCTTTGGACCCAGGAGTTCCCAGAGAGTGACGGTGTCGATCTTGACATACTTGGCCTTGGCTGTGCACAGAGGGACCATCGTGCACACGGCCGGAGGAGTGTCGAGAGCGAGCTGCTTGAGGGCCCAGTTGATCCTGGCGGCCAGCTTGTTGATCTTGGCCTTGGTGGTGCCGAGCTCAGACTTGGCCGTGGTGAACCTCTTGTCGTCGGAGGGAATGCCTTGGGTAGTGAGCTCGTCCAGCTTGGCCTGGCGCTGCAGCTCGGTGACTCGGAGGGCGGGCATGTCACAGTCGATCCACTTGTGGACATTGTCGACCATCTTGTCTCGGGCGAGGATTCTCACATGGTGTGAGAGGCGATGAAGGGCCCGGAAGCGGTCCTGGTCGCTGCTGTACCGAAACTCGTCCAGGACGTGGCCAAAGTCCGGGTAGAGGAACTCGAGATCGGCCTTGGGTGGAGTCTGCCCTGGTTTCTCGAAGAGCTCGAGACAGACCTCGATGGCTTCGTGCTTATGCTTGTTGGCTGGGAAGACGGCAGCACAGAAGCGGCGAAGGAGTCGTCAGTAGGCCAGGTCGAGGTGGGTGGTGCAGTTGGTAGCATAGGCATTGGCAGCCAGGGTGAGAAGCTGACTGTGAGCACCATCAGGCAGACGAGGGGCCGGAGGCAGGTCTGCGTGCCGAGTGGTCTGGTAGTCGCGAAAGGAAGCGACCAGATGCTCGTTGTACTGCTCGATGTCCCCGGTCGGGGAGAGGGCACCGTCCTGGACGATCTTGAAGCATAGGCGGATGAATGCAGGGGTGGCCCTGGAGATGACAGGGACGGGAAGATCCTGCTCGATGCACCGGAGGATGTGCAGGTTGAGCAGCCTGGATGCCTCGAATTGGATCTGGGTCATGGCCTCGACGGTGGCCTGGATCTTGTCGCGGAGAGCGGGATTGAGACAACAGCCATCCATCGTCTGCTTGAAGCAGCTGAACTGAGGGGCGGATGACCTTCCATCCACGAGTGGGACGACAGAACTCTTGAGGGGCCGGTATTTGGGACATTTGCTGGTGTTGCAGCGTTCGTGATCGGTGCCATCGCATTTGGGACATCGCTTGCCAGTACTCGAGGAAGTAGATGGACCAGGCTCGGTGGGATCGACATCCATTGGATCTGCAGAAGCAGTGGTGGTGAGCGACGGAGCAACAGACGACCAAGCATGCGTGGGATCAGAATACGAACCAGAGACAGGCTCCGACTGTGACTTGGCTTTCTTGGGCCTGGGTGGCCGAGGCTGGCCATCACCGGCACCCTTGCGCTTCGGAGGCATGGGGGCAGAGGATGGTGAATGCCTGCCAGTGGTACTGGTCAGAGCAGAGACTTTTTTATCGTACAATAGCGCGATGATCAGATCAAGGCGAGATGAGGGAAGAAAGCAGCAGGACGAAGGTGTGGCATTTATACCCGAGAGCAGGAGCCTGTTGGTGCGGACTGGTTGGGGAAGTGACCCTGTTCAAAAATCGCCGAGAGGTTCAAGCCAGGGATGTGAACGCGAAAATGGCGGAGTGATTGGAGGGAACTCAACCCCAAAATTGATGGGGACTAAACCCCAAAATGATGGGGACTCAACCCCAAAGAAGTTCTCGATGGGATTGAAGTCGGGCGATGCAGGTGGGGTGAAGATCACTGACCATCCTCGGCGCTCGATGCAGTCCAGGACAGCCCTTGTCTTGTGCATGCTGACATTGTCCATCACAATCACAGAGTCGTCTGGGAAGCTCGCTCGCTCAAAGAACTCGACCATCGAGTGTGTCTTGAATGATGTGGGGATGTACATGCGATGCAGCACACCAGAGTGGTTGATGGCAAATGCAGCCGAGACAGACTTGTGTTTCATGTGATTGCGCTGGCGAAGCGGAGCACCCTTCGGTGAGTATCCGTAAAGAGGGAAAGGTGGTTCGTCTGATCCCTGTCTCATCGACAAAAACGAATCGTCGTGGGTCGATGGAGCGGACCTGGTCGCTGAACTGTGCCACTCGCTCATCCAGTCGCTTGGACTTGTAGAGGTGTGTTGCCCTCTTGTGTGAGAGACCTGCTCGGTGGATGGCAGTGTGGCAGAGTGAGAGTGATACTTTCCTCTGGAGGATGGACTCGAGCTTGCATCGCAACACAGGACCAGTCTGGAACGGGTCCTGTTCAATCAGGGTGCGAATGACTGGACATGCCTGCTCGAAGAAAGTGGATCTGCGAGCTGGGACCCGGGATGGGTCATCCAGCTTGCATCCTCGGTGCCATCGATGGATGGTGCTCTTGGATACACTGAATATGGAGGCGACCTTACGCAGGCTATGGATGAGGGCGTAGCATCGCAATGCGGCGGTGCGAAAGTCGGATGTGTGGCGAATGGTCATGGCCAGCGCGCGATAACATTGGGTAACAAAATATTCGATGAATGGTCAAAATCCCGGGTGTCCCGTTTTTTATTGGATTGCCTGTAATACCACGATCGGGCAGTGATCCTGCCCAGCACGAACATCCCACCCGTCGTCCATCATCTCTCCAGGCCCAGGATCCGACCGCTGCTGCTGCCGAATCGCCGAATCGCCGCGCTCGACCAAGAACACCCCATGAACCCAACCTCCACCGAAAGCATCACCTCCACCAACGGCCCGGAATCTGCCGCGCTCGAGACAGCCCCGGCATCACAACAGGCTACGATCGCCGTCCCTGTGCCCAACCGACCGGCCTCGGGCGTCCATGTCAGCTCCGTTCGAGGGGCCTACGAGACCTTTGGAGTCGAGGGATTCTACAACAACTATGGCCACGAATACACCAACCCACACACCCGACCGATCATCAAGTGCATCGAGTCGGTGATGGCCTGGCTGGCAGCCGAGCAGGCTCCTGGGGTCGTCGCAGACACACCCGAGTACGTCGTCGAGATGCCCAGTCCTCCGCTCTGCATCCCGCCAGCACCAAGCCAGTCTTCGATCGCTGCTCTTCCCAAGCTGCGTGTTCTGGATCTGGCCTGCGGCAGCGGCGAGGCAGCACTGGCGCTGTCCTCTTGGTTTCAGCGGTCGGCCACGGCCCGATCCACCTACAGCCATCTCGAAGTCTATGCCACCGATCCCTTCACCCACGAGGCCTTCCTGAAGCGATTCCAGCACCAGCCCGACCGATATGCCTTCGAGGACATTGCCCAAGGCTGTTATCCGACCCGGTCGTTCGATGTCTGTATCTGCAGCTTTGCGCTGCATCTCCTGGACGAACAAAAGCTCTTCTCGACACTGTATGCACTCGCCCGGATGTCGCAGTGGCTCATCATCGTCTCGCCGCACAAGCGGCCGCACATCAAGGATACCTTTGGATGGGGGCCGTTGATGCGGGAACTGACGATCGACCGGGTCCACATCCGGTGCTATCGCTCGAACGAATACGACTATGCCTTTGACTAACAGGCCAGAAAGATTGCATGGACTTGCTCTTGGCGATCATCTCGTTCAGCTCGCTGGGGGAGATCCATGTGGCATTGGTGTTTCTTGGACTGCACTCACGCCACCTCTCGGTGATCGAGGTATCTCGCTTTCGAGCATGGACTCGCCACACCAAACTAAAGCAATCCAAAGGAATCGAACAACTTCATCCTGCCCCGCAATACAGCCACAGTCAGAGACACAGCCCCCAGGTTTATCCCTCGTCCCCTCGACATGCACACGCGGAGGCTGGCTATTACAATGGGCTGATGTATTCGGTATTCAGAGTCGACACCATCACCAAAAGTTCAGAGACGTCTGTTTCATTCTTTAGAATGGAGACGCCGTCGTAATTTGGGTGAGAAAGGGAGAAGAGGGTGCAGCGCCAGCGGCGATGGCTGGCAGGCAGTAGTGGGTGACAAGAAAGGGGGGAGGAGGAGGAAGAGGAGGAAGAGGAGGAAGAGGAGGAAGAGGAGGAAGAGGAAGGATATTCAAAACTGTCCGATGGATAGCACTATCCACTTGCGAAGCTGGATCGCCTCTGGGATCGAGATGGATTTGAGTCGAGCAAGGGTCTGTCGCAGCTCGGCCACGTACTTGGCCCGCTCGCTCGTTCGGGCCGTCCCTGTGGGTCCGGCAGGGGTCGTGGGCTGGACTTGGATCGGGTCGCTCGCCAGTCGCCCCGATGTATCAGAGAGCCGCTCGAGCAGGGACCGGTAGCAATCTAGGCACTCCCGCGTGACCTTGAGGAGATCCGAGAGTGAGGGCGTTCTAAGGGTATTTCCCGGGGTGGTGGAAGTGGCAGTGGTGGTAGTGGTGGTGGCAGCGGCTACCCGGTCCAGATCGGATTCCAGAGCGGCGAGCACAGCAAAGGCCTGCTTCAGATCGAGCTGCATGGCATGTGCTTGGCAGGCGTAGAGCCGAGAGATGGATCTGTGGATGCGGTCGTGACCCGCGAGTATGCGATTGGAAGAGGATCAGCGACGAAGCCAGGATCCGAGCCGACGCATGCGGATCGTGTCGATAAAGTGCCCTCCAGCCGCTCAGCAGCAGCAGCAGCAGCAGCACTCAGCAGCACCGTGCCTTGCACCGACTTGCGGCCCATAAGCGCACTCGCTTTCCAGCCTTACCTGATAATCCGAAGAAACTCGAAATGGGCCGAGGCCGACTCAACATCTTCTGGATCGAGATGGCTCGAGTTGCGGGCCAGGATCGCATCTTCTCGGCCCGTTGTTGCGATCTGTTCGGCGATCCGGAGCACTCCCGCATAATCCTCGAGCTCCAGCAGCGCGTAGCACGCAGAGGTCAACACGACGATCCAGAGTGTCCGCACATCCTGGAGCGAGGAGCGTCGCTCACGGCCGGAGTCGACTGGTCCCTCTCCCATCGACCGCACAATCGAGCCGTAGCTTGGCAGATGCGATACAGCTTTCTGGAAGCAGTAAGAGGCATAAGGAAGGGAGAGCTTGGGATCTTGGTGACTTGAAGCAGAAACAGGGATCGTATTAGCCGATTCCATTGCACAAATACGATGCGACCCTGCGGCGAACCATGCCGGATCCAATTGAGCCGCCCAAGTCACGGCGTAGAGTCGCCAGTTACCTCCATGGGGCCCTTGAGCCCTTGGGAATCATCCGTCGGATCTTGAAGCTCCCAAGAGAGATCTCTCGCTCGACATGCGGCTTCTATACACAGCGTTGGATGCGAACAAAAGTAGTGTTGGCAGCAGTTGCGGACAGGGACCCTGCTCCGGCTACAGGTTGTCAATGCAGTCTCATCCGGGCTGCGACAGGGCCAGGAGACGGTCCCACAAAACCAGGCAGGGTTCTGTCGAGCGTTTGCGGCATGCAACTCTCGACAATACGCAGGACTCAAGGACACGCGAGCCCAGAGCCATGACTGGTCGACAGTCAGTACGATGTCGATGTGGCTCACCTTGCGGGCATGGATGTGGATGATGCATTCTCCAAGACGATACCATGCCGACGCGAGTCGCAGGTCCACCCAGCCTTCATCGCCGTTGGATGCAGACGCCTCAGGGTCAACCGAGGGGCCGGCTTCGTCGGGTGCTGTAGGCTTGCGAGTCGCCTCGAGTGTCGACACAACCACCTCAAAGCATTGCCGCGCCTTGAGCGGTTCGTTTGCAAACAGACGCTGAATCCCGAGGTTGTAGACAATCTCGAGTCGCTCGTGGTGGCAGGAATGCCAGAGGTCCTCCGAAACAGGTTCGGGATTCGGTGGGTCGTCTGTGGGGGTGAGTGGGACTGCGACAGAGCACAGCCGTACCATCGAACAACCGCGTCAATATGAGAGAGCCTTTGAATCGTTGTGGTGCAGGGGGGTGATGGCGATGGCTGTGGCTTCAGACGGGGTGGTAGTATCCATCGCGGCGCACTCCCATTGGGCGGATCATCGGCGAAGCCCATCCACCACAGGCAGAAGCATCGGCATGGCGTGGTCGTGAAACTTGTAGGCCAACAACGAAGCATACCTGTGAGATCCTGCGTCAGAGAGGCGGTCTCGAGGGTCTGTACCGAGGAGCTCATGGGATCGCTCATCGTCGAAGACTCTTGGCCAGTCTGTTCGCGGCGCTCGCGCTCCTGCTCCTCATCGAATTGAATCTCCCATTCTTCGCGGTCGTCGACAGCAGGGCCAGGGCTCGGGCGATATCTTGTAGCAAGCCGTGCACGCTGAAGCGCCGCACACTGCTGGTTTTCGTGAAGTGCTTTGGAAAACATGAGCGAGGCGAGAGCATATTGGCTCGATTTGAAGCTCAGGCAGCCCAGGTTGTTGTAGAAGACTCGCAACTCGGCCGGGGAGCCGTATCCGTTTTCGCGAGCACGGACCAGGAGCTCGCGACTCGCCCGATGGTTGTTGTGTCGGTACTCGAGCTGGGCCCTCAGCAACAGCCCTGAGACGTGGGCCCGATGAACGAGCTCGCTGTGTCGCTGCAACACATTGGATGGGACGGCGCTGGAGCCATCGGTCGTGTCGGTTTCAAGCTGCTGCGAATCCGCAAACTGGGTCAACCTGTCGATGGCTTCGTCGGCCTGGCTGGCATCGCCGGTCAAGTATACTTGCGCCTGCAGCTCGAGAAAAGCAAGTTGGGCAGACAGGGCCGATAGCGGTGCGGAGGGATCGGTAAGCTGGTCGCTCGAAGCCGGAGCTGAGGCCGGGGTCGAGGCCGAGGCGAGGCCGTATCGAGATTCCGGGGCGGGCGCAGAACCTGACTCCAGCGCAAGCCCGTCGTCCAAGCGGCGGTGATCTTCGATGGGCAAAGGCGATGAAGGGGCCCCTGAGCCGGAGAGGAGCAGCCCGTGCACCCTACTATCCCATCCCGCATACGCCCGGAGCTGCCCGAGGGCCTCGGTCTTCATCCCAAGCTTGAGCAGAACCCGAATGGCGAGCGTGCGGATGTGGGCGGATATATCCGAGTCGAGAACCGGAATAACTTGGTGCAGCGAGTCGAGCAATCGGTAGCTCTGCGCGTACCGCCCGAGCCGATAGAGAACACACGCCTGGTTGTAGAGGAGATAGCCCTGATCTTGGAGCAGCGGCGTCAGGGCCGGCAGCTGCGTTAGATGGTCGTCGTCGGCATCTGTATCGGCATCGTGGTCACTGGTATCGAAATGCGCCGAGAGCGGATCGCGCTCGGCAAGGAGATCGACTGGCGATGGGATGCTGGCCGTGCTGGGCTGCCGGCTGTGTCTCTGGCTGAGGCTCTCGAGCGAGTCGACGGATGCATGCGATCGGGTCAGCGGAATCCTGTCGAGGCTCAGCTCTATAGCATGCGTCGGCTTGCAGGCCAAGAGACGCAGCTGGCCGAGCACAGAGACGAGCTCGGCCATCTCATCGCAGGACGGCTTGGCAGTTGTGCTGTGTGGCAGGTCTCGCTCGGGATTCCGGAAGGGAATGCCAAACTCGGTATTCTGGCTGTAGAACTCGAGGACTGCCAAGTTGTGCAGGACGCGGTGGTCGGGAGGATCCTTGGAGGATAGAAGCTGTTGCAGACCGGCAAATGCCGAGTGGAAATCATGGCGCCGGAATGCGTCTGTGGCCTCCCGGGCAGTATCTGAGGACATGGAGGGTAAGAACCGCCGTCGGGAACACGGCAGGAAGGGCCGATTTAGGGGTGGTGCAGACGAGCGCAGACAGGATGCGAGTCAGTTTGAGTGAGCGGGTCAGCGGGTGCTGGGATGGTGCAGGCGGATGCGGAGGATGAGGTGGGCGGGGAGACGATGAGGGCCAAAGGGAACGAGGCCGGGCTTTCCCGTTTGAGACAGGGCCGTGGCGGGACGTGGGTGGACGGTTTCACGCCGACAGGGGCACGCGGCTCTGGTTTGGCGGCGGTGCGAATGGCGATGCGAATGGCGGTGTGAATGGCGATGCGAATGGTGATGCGAATGGCGATGCGAATGGCGATGCGAATGGCGATGCGAATGGTGATGCACATAGAAATGTAGATGGCGCCAGCTTAATCGAATAGCGCGAGTCCATGAAATGTATCCAGGGCACGGCACGGGCTTTTGTCGTGGTCAAAATGTATTGTGTGAAATGGGGTCCTGGCGATCCCAGACTATCCAAGGCTATCCCAGAATATCCCAGACTATCCCAGCCAGTCCCACAGCCATGATCCGCGCTTGGGCCCGCTTTCGCCAAAGGCATCGATGCTGGTGTCGCCGTCCTGCTTTGCCCGCTGTTGGCCCGGCTCCTGCCAGGTCATTGCGTGGAGGCGACCGCCAGGCACATGGACCAGGATCCCGAGGTACTCGCAGCTGTCGGTGTCGGCAAAGGACACCCGAGACGTCGGCAGCTTCTCGAGCCAGGGGATCGTCGGGATGCGCTTGCCTGTCCTCATGTAGATGAGTTCTTTGGGGAGAGCCACGATCGAGCCGTAGCGGCCCACAAAGACCTCCTCGAGCAGCGAGCGCACCACCACGGTGGAGATGGTGTTGCAGTGGGTGCCGAGCTGGCGCATGCAATCGCACGAGCAGGAGAGCGACAGCTTGTGGAGCAGTTTTGGGCGGTACTTTTTCAGCAGCAGCAGATGCGGATCGCCGAGGCCACAGGGAAGCACCAGCTCACTGAGATCGGGGCACGATCGCAGCAGCAGCTCAAAGAGGGCAATGTCGATGCCCTTTCTGTGGTTGGAGACGTTGAGGATGGACAGGTTTGGGCACTGCTCCACGACGGCCAGCAGACCGGCTTGGTAGACGTTGGGGTTGAATGTGTCCTGGGTACCGTGGGCCGGGGGAACAACCAAGGTCTTGAGGAGCGGGCCGCGCTCGGCGATCCACCACCACATGGTTGAGCTCAGCTCGGGCAGGCAGTATGGCAGATGCAGGTTCTCGAGATTGGGGGCCTTGCGCAGCAGGTCCAGTATGAAGGATTCGGAAAACTTGATGCACTTGGCCGAGACTTGGAAAGTCCGGAGCTTGGGGAAGACCAGAGACGACTCCAAGCCGGCGTCGGACATGCTCTGGAAGCTGTCGTCGACGGCGGAAAGCAGCAGGAACTCGAGCGAGTTGGAGCAGTGCGACAGGAGCTGCTTGACCAGTGTCCAGGAATTGAATCGGGACTTGAGCGGCTCTTCGTCGGCGATCTGGTTGATGTGGAGTACCTTGATGAAGCGGGCATAGCCGCTGTTGGAGACGGACCCAGGGACAGAGAAGTTGGAGAGGGTGCGCAGGACGCTTTCGAGGCAGACGTGCGAGAGGTAGCCGATAAAGCGCAGATCCCGGTAGAGTTCCTGCGACGCAGCCATATGCCACTGGCGGGAAACCACCATGCAGGTCACAAGCATCTGGTTGCGCTCGTGCCTCGATCCCGAGAGATAGGACAGGATGTGGGCAAGAACGGCGGTGGGAAACTTGTAGGACTTGAACGGAATCGAGGAGCGGTCGATGGGCTGGACCAGGCCCACAGGGACGGCGGATTTCCTTGCATTTGGCCTGGACGAAGGCTGCTGTGGCTCATGCGGGGCGCTGTGCTTGGGAAGCAAATGCTGGTTGTGGTAGAGAGTGTGGGGGTCGGTATACTTCCAGGGGAAGCGGACCTCGGGCTTTGTCGAGACGAGACTCATGGCGAGCAGGACCGGGATGCTGGAGCTGGGCTGGGGGATGGCAATGCCGATGGAACGCAGAACGAAGTGCAGGAGGAAGCGCCGAGCGAAGGCCGGGGCGGAGGAGACGCTGCAATTTCAGGGCTGCTGGAGACGACCATGAGAATCGGGCCTGGCGCGGTGGGGAAGGACAGACGCGAACTCTGGGCGCCACGACACGCCCCAGCCCACACGGGCGCAGCCCGCCCAACTGCCCAACTGCCTGAGTGGAGAGAGGCGATGGACATTCGCAGTCGGTATCGAGGGCCGATGGCCTGGGTCGCTGGTCTGGGCCGATGGTCCGGGACGATGGTCTGGTTGATGAACGACGGGGAGTCGGTGCAGCCATGGCACAGTAATGGCAACAGTAATGGCAACAGTAATGGCAACAGTAATGGCAACAGTAATGGCACAACTACAACAACTACAACAACTACAACAACTACAACAACTACAACAGCAGCACAACCGCCCCACACATGCAGTGGCATCCGCCCCGGCTGCGTGCGCCTGCTGCGCCTTGCGCGGCGCGCCCGGCGTGGCTTGTCCCGCCGAGGCTTGTCCCGCCGAGGCTTGGCCGCTGCCGTCATCCCGCGCGTGCCGCCGCCGCCCAGATCTGCTTTTCTCTCGCAGCGCCATGTCGTCCCCCTCCCGACTCATCTCCCCGTTTCGTCGTGCCTTCCACTCCTCGATCAAGAACATGGTAAGCCGCCGAGGAGCGCATGAGCGGCCGTCGTGCTCGCCCCAAGGCTGCTCGTGCTGCATCCCGCTGACCTCTCCACCTCGCTAACAGGGTGTCACCAAGACCGTTATCAAGCCTGGAGATGGCAAGACCTTCCCCGTCCCGGTACCCGTCGTCTCCACAGTCCCGCGTCGCTTTGCAGATCTGGCTTGACTGCAGATCCGAGTGCTGCAGATCCGAGTGCTGCAGATCCAAGGGCTGCAGATCCGAGTGCTGTGACGGCCCCCCTGTCTTGCTGCGGCGGTATGATCCTCCCTTTCTGCCCAAGAGCTCGGTCCCGCGGCCAATAACACGTTCGTCTGACGATTCCAGGGCAGCCGAGTCAGCATGCACTACAAGGGTACTCTGAGAGACGGCTCCGTCTTTGACTCCTCCATCGACCGCGGCAAGCCCTGTAAGTGTAGCATACAGAACCAGGGACAACACACGTTATGGGCCCGTCAGCCAGTCCGGTCGGCCTGCCAGGAGAGCTGGGCTGACTTGCGTGTCCTGATCTCGCCCTATCACAGTCGCCTGCCAGATCGGTGTCGGCCAGGTCATCCGTGGCTGGGATGAGGGTGTTCCCCAGATGAGCCTCGGCGAGACTGCCAAGCTCGAGATCACCTTCGACTATGCCTACGGCGAGAGAGGCTACCCTCCTGTAAGTACTCGCTCCCTTGTGCCACAGGGCTACAGGGTGATCCCCGAATAGCCGAGGCGGCCAAGCAACCTGCATCGTTCGGGGAAGCTTTCGTCCTCGCTGACACTCCGTTCGTCCTCGCTGACACTCCGTTCGTCCTCGCTGACCCACTCCTTCCGGTCACGCCTCCTTCCCCAGATCCCCCCTCGCAGCGACCTGATCTTTGAGGTTACTCTTCTCTCTATCAATTAAATGTGCTGTCTGTCTGGACCTGGTCAGACCTTGAATATACAGTGACTGGAGCAGCATCGGTTGATCGACTGCCTTCCTCCACACGCAGCCTTCGGACCCTAACTGATTCCGCCGCTACGGAGCGTCTTGATGGTGACGACCCCTTTCTGGGTCTTGAGAGCAGCGCCTTTGTAGACCGCCACTCCATCCTCCCGGATCGAAAAGTGTGGCTGGCACTGCTCAAACACCTGCTTCTTGGGGTTCAGGACGGTCTCGGGCTTGACATCTGGCGAGCATGGATGAGTGACATCAGTTTCGAGCCCTCGAGACCCACGGCCTCTCGAGGATCTTGGCTCCTCTATGCACACTCCACGCAACTTTGCACTCTTGATGCGGCAGCTGCTACTGGCGTCTGTCTGTCGCTGGCTACTCACTTGGATCGCAGCTCTCCGCCCAGACTTGATCGCCTGGCTGGCTTCCGGCCGGTGGGTCGAGAACCTCGACCATGTCGTCCTTGAATCCGCACAGCAACATGCCCTCGGACTTGATGCCCTTGAACTTGCGCGGCTTGAGGTTGCAGACAACAACCACATGCCGATCCTGGAGACAGCGAGCCATACCAATCAGTGTGCGGTATCACCCGAGCGAGATCGAACAGATTCGCTCGTAGTCTCGTGCAGCCAAGAAGCGGGATGAGCGCAATGCGATCAGCCATCCAGCCGCGGGACATTCGGCACCCCTCCGTAAATCAAATCTGATTTCTTGCCTTGAGTTCCTGAGCACCGTAGAACTTGGTCAAGCCGCTGACGATGGTCCTGAGCCGCCTTTGAGGGCTGCTGGACGCATCTCCGTTGGAGACGGATCCATCGGGAGTCGTCGCAGCCGGTGCCGCAGTCGGTGCCGCATCTCCAACGTCAACTTGCTCCACAAACAAACCATCGGCCTCGGGATGGACTTGGATGTCTTGAATTCGGCCGACCCGCAGCTCGATTTTGTGGATCAGATCGAGATCGCGGTCGAGATTGGCGGCGGTGGCTGCAGACGACGTGGATTGGTATCGAGTCAGCAGATCACGGCCATGGCAAGCTGGCCATCTCGTTTCAAGATAGCTTGGTGCTTTCTGGCCAAGAGATCGGCCGGGGCGCAGCGCATGCAGCTTTAGCAGTCCGAGCAGACGTCGCATTGTGTGTCTGGTGATGATGAAACGCGGCGATCTGGAGCAAGAGCAGCACAGGCAACGACGCAGCGGAAATGCTTGCTCTTGACGAAGTGCTCGCGTGGTTCCTCGGTACCTAGAGGGACACTGATGAGACTATCGACTATAATCGCAAGGCCGCTGCCGGCCGCGGTAAACTCGAAGCATCGTCCGAGCTGGCCTGGCATCACGATGGACCAACATATCGTTCAATTCGCCCTCAGCCTGCAAGTTCTTCGAGCTGTGTCAGAAAAAATCTGTTGAGGTGGCCAGGCTGTGTCAAACAAAGAGAACACTCGGCGGTGTGAACGATATTGCTTGATAGCAACCTCAACGTCCCGTCCTTTGAGCTCTTGGCGATAAGCGGCCATATAATCGCGAGATTTTCTAGCGAATCTTCTGATCATCGCCAGCTTTACCGATTCCAGCGCTTCGGGCACTGTTTTGAGATCCTGAAAGGAATACGTGCAATTGGTTCTGGCATATCGCTTTGCTACTCCCCAGAATCTCTCAATAAAGTTGAGCTCGCAATGGAACCTTGGAACGAAAATGATGAGATGATTGTTCCTGATAATTTCCTCCTCAATGCGTGGTCGCTGGGATATGAAATCTGGCTGCGAAGCAAGCAAATGCAATGCACAACACGGCTGGTCATCGTCTGGGACACTTTCGTCTGATGTGGGGCACTTTCGCCTCAAACCACGATGGGGCCACAGTCCCCGTTCTTCCAGTACGACCTGCATTCCTTTTGGCTCTCCCAATTCTACATGGCGACCAATCACCTGATATTTGGTTAGAGTCATTTTATAAGATACGCCCAAGCCGAGGGAGGAATCGATAGCTCACCTGCCGTCCAGCGTCAACGTCCCCCTGGGTGAACTGCATGCTTTGGAAGGCATTGTCCGGACCAAACACAGTCGATCGTAGCGGGGGCTGCTTACCACCAGGCGTCATATTCATCTTCTCGGCTCGAAGGGCGTCAATTGCCCATGCTCGATGATTGGCGGAGTTGTCGAATTGGAACAGAGCAACACAATCGGGATGAAGGGACTCAAATACTGGAATCGCCCGCTGCACTTGCTCGAGCATGTCATCGCTCTTCCAGGAAGTTTGATAATCTGGATCAATGATCGCAGTGGCGTCGGACGACTCATTCTTGAGGATTCCGTGACATTCACATAAAAACGCACTGACCATGACAGTTCGGCCTGCCCCTTTGGGTTTTGGCTGGCCATAGTCGCCCTCTTCGAACCATCCCCAACCAATATCGTCATTTGCGTAAAAAATACTTTCATCGTGCGAAACCAGAACAATTCTTTTCTCATCTTGGTTTCTGGGCTCTATCCCGATCTCCATGCTTGATCCTTCAAAGAACTTCATTCGCTCTTCGTAGACTTTCATCTGAGCAATATACTGGGTGCGATCCTTGACAACATCCTCTCGCTCATGCCCATCTACGTATTGACCCTTTTGATAGCGCCTGAATTTGAAGCCAAAGAGACGCAAAGCACGTCGTGTTGTAGATATGGTAATGGATTTTGGAGTCTGGCGACGAGATGACTCGTTATCGGACCGAAGCTTGGGAATCAAGTGGTCGTCGATAAATTTCTTGAAGGATCTTGGGGTTCGATTTGGATTTCGGCGAAGAAAACGGACACACTCTTCCATGACATCTTCGTCACGCAGAATCGAGAGTGTCTTTCGATGCTTGCCAGTGTTTGTCAAGGGAAGGCTCCCATGAAGGAGGAAGTGCCTTGCCATTTTGGGCTCAAGACACTGAAGTGTCTCAAGCTGCGTTTCATAAGCACGGTTTTGGCAAGTTGTTGGCAAAACTTTGAGTCGCTCAAGGATTCTCCATCCAACTTTTTCTGGAGATAGAGGAGAACAGCCTCGTAACGGCGGGCATTGAACCTTGTCAGGGTTTCTCTTTGGACTCTGTCAGTGCGTGACTCACGAAGAATCCCTCAGAGCCTCAATACAGCTCGCTCCATGCTGTTTCTTGCGAAAAGATCAACATCAGATACATGGCCAGCCGGGATATCGACAGCGTGTTGGACAGCGGAGCTCGCAGTCGAGTTGGTCTTGGGGATGACTGGGAAGTAGCTCTTGATTCCAGGTGAGGCATGCGACGCCATTGCCTCGCGACTCTCAGCACGCTTGCGTCGCTTGTTGCGCTCGGAATCTCCGATGTAAACTCGCTTCTTGATTTTTGGAGGAGTAAGGCTCATCGAGGAGGGGAGAACTGGGTCGAATGGGACCTGAGCGACGGGTGCTACTGTCTGAGGAGGTTCGCAAAGGGCTTGTGGGTGAGAAGCACATGGGAATGGCTGTTGGGATATAGCCAGATGCCGACCCTCGGGCAGCGAGTGAGTCGCCTGGGTGCTCAATACGCCGGCCACATCGGTCGAGTCGGGGTGGAGAGAATCTGGGTCGTCAGCAACCCTATCGTCTGGGCCGGGGTTGGCAGTTGTCCCAGGGCAGTCTGGGCTGCTGGCAACTCGTGCGAGGCGAGCAAGATTCGCAAGCTCAGCCCTCCTCTGGGTTGCCTTGGCCGTTTTGAGTTGATATAACTCAAACAAAAATGAATTTAACCCAACCAAACTCCGTGAGCAAATAGCGAGACCAATTTCCGACAGATTTACGGAGTTTGAGGTTCACATGAGAAAAATTGAAGAAGTTATTGGAGATGGGCCAAGGGCACAAACTGTCAACGTGTCAGTGCTAGGCTCCATATTTCACATGAAAATCGTATGAATGATCATTCAATTGGCCTCGATTTTCAGTCCTCCTTACGTGGCTTGAAGCTTGTCATTAACAGAGGCAGAAGGCCACTTCCTTGCCTCACACGACCTATCGCATAGTAGTGTCCTCCTATTTATGCACGAGCCCTCTTGACATTTGTTTTAGCCCCCTTTGTTCTTTCTTCCCTTGTCTCTGAAAGAGGGGACACGAATGTATTTGGTAAACTGAGGCTTGCACAGCTACTAAAATAGGACGTAATCTCTCTTCGACGGGCAAGCCCACAATCGAATTATGCTTGAAACAAAGGAATAACACTGCCCCTGTCTCCGTGTCTGTCTCGTCACGGTCCCTTACGCCAGGCAAGCCCAGCCAGATTTAGTATTGGCTTCATTGGGGAGTCGCACATCTGAAGAGCGCCACCTTTTTTACTCCGAGTGGCGTTGTTCAGGTACCTCCCTATGCTATATATTCCAGTTTTACCTCACCTGATTCCTCTCCCTCGCTGTCACTCGTCCTTGGCCAGCACCCTCCCACGTTCCTCCTGTCCCTCTGCCTCCCACATTTGATATGACCAGCAACGGCTCCATCCCTTTCACCAAACTCGCTGCCAGTGATTGGCAATCTTGGTTTATCCCGGCTGAAGCCATCACACACAAGGCCCAGAACCGCCTTGACGGTGGTGGTTTCGCTGATGTATTTGCCGCCAGGCTTGGTAATATGGATGTTGCCGTCAAGCAACTCAGAATCCATTTGAATAACTACGGTATCGACGTTTTCGAGAGAGAAATTAGAGTCTGGCATCGCTTGAAACACGTAAACATCCTCCCTCTACTCGGTGCCTGTGATCGTGACGCCCAAGGCACCCCCATTCCTCCTTTTATGGTGTCACCCTTGATGGAAAACGGCTCCATGCTCGAATACATCAAGAAAAACCAGTGTTATCTCAATCAAAAGCTCTCCTTCCTTGCACAATCCGCAGCCGGCATGAACTACCTCCATAGTGAAAGAATTATTCACGGAGACTTCAAAACCGCAAATGTCCTTCTAGATGGCCGACTGAACGCAGTCGTCGCCGACTTTGGAATGTCACGCACAAAGCGCACATCTGCATCCGCTGTCTGGGTCAGGGCAAGCCCCTTTGAAGGTGGAACCCCGGGCTTCATTGCGCCAGAGATGCTTGATCCCAATGATCCAGCCGGCGCTTCCAAGAAGACTGATGTCTATGCCTTCGCCATCACCATGTACGAAGTACTGAACGACGGCAAAGAGATATGGGTTACACGAGATGGACAAATCATGCAGATCTTCCAAATTGGACTCATGGTCTGCAATGGAAGGCGCCCAAAACGCATCCCTGGAATCCCCGACGACGTCTGGGCCCTCATCGAACGCTGCTGGGCACACGATCCCGCCGATCGTCCCTCGTTCCCTGAGATTCTTGCCGTCCTCCAGCCATATAACCGTGTCTCCACCGCTGCCATCAAGTCCCCATCCGTCAGCCTGTTGGCCAGCCATCTCAACGCACTCAGTCTGAAAAAGCGCCCGATCCAGTCCCAGCCCAGTCGTTCCGCCGAGCTCAAGTTTGATGACATCGAGTTGGTTTTCCACCTCCCTGACTCACTCGTCTCCCGCGCCAAGCAAGGCGATCCTGATGCTTGTCTCGAAGCCGCCAAGTTGGTATCGGAGGGGCTTCCTGCTCACCACCAAGATTGGAAGCCCGCCACACAACTCTACAAGGCCGCTGCCGACCGCGGTAAACTCGAAGCCTCCTTCCAGCTGGCCAGGCTTGCGTTCCTAGGCGAAGGAATGATGCAGAGCGATCGTAGTGCCTTTTGGTTCTGGCAGGAAGTCAGCACCAAGTCCACCGACGCTGTTCTCAAGCCCATCGCCACCCACATAGTCGGTTGGATGCATTACCTTGGACGAGGAACCCAGCTGGACAAACAAAAGGGCATCAAGATCATACGAGAAAACAGCACGAACGAGTTCAAGCTCGGAGAAGACGAGTGTCTAGCCGGTGGAACTGGATGTAGCTCCAATTCGCCCGCAGCCTGCAAGTTCTTCGATCTCTGCCAGCAGGGATCGGACCGAGACTGGCTCTGCCGACATCTCATGGCCGTGTGTTTGTTTCTTGGATTTGGAACGACTCAGGACCGGAAGAAAGCAGTGAGCATATTTGAGCAACTCGCCAACAAAGGCCATAGCGACAGCCGATTATGGATCGGAAAGTGCTTCATGGGTATCGAGGAAGTACCGGAAGATCTCAGGAAGGCATTCGAGTGGTTCTTCAAGTCGGCCACCGAAGGCAACCCGTACGGCCAGTGGATGGTCGGTGAATGCTTCTCCAATGGATGGGGGGTCACCAAGGACATCGCCAAGGCATTCGAGTGGTATGGAAAGTCGGCTGAGAATGGCAATCGATCGGGACAATTCTATGTCGGCTGTTGTTATGAATTTGAGACTGGTGTCTCCAAAAACCTCGACACTGCTATCTTCTGGTACCGCAAGTCCGCTAAACAAGGTTACCAAGTTGCCATCAACAGTCTCAAATATCTCGGAAAGTGGCCCTGATCCCGGAACTCTGCCGAGTACCAACTCCAAAACGATCAAGCCACAACCAATCCCGCAAGCAGAGCAGCCAAGCAATCCCATCAGCAACCATCCCAGACGCCACGACTACCAAACTCTGGACTTGTAAAGTGGCTCCGATAAAGCAGCAATCGCTGAGTGGCGTTGGATTTGGCATTTAATACATCCAGTATTCAAATCAGTGCTGTCCCATAACAACCGTTGATCGATTGCCACCCATGGTTCGGATCATCAAATCAACAGCAGTGTTCGACAGCACCTCTCCCCCAACCCATCAGCATTCAGGGACCACCCCCGTCCCCCGCTCGGACTCTGCCAGACCTCTGTTCACTAACCAGCACAACCGACACAATCTCTCCAACTCTATCGGCTCATGAAGACGCAAGGCTGTAAACGCTAGAGATAAAGCTTCATATCGGCAGTAGCAGCGGATATGGCCACGACTGTCGATCGGCTGTATTTGCATAGTCTCTAGCGGCTCCTCGGCTTGCCCTTCCCATCCTTCTCCCACTCATAGCTCTCGACAAACACTCTGTCGACCGGTAGTTCGTATTCAGTGTGATAGACATAGCTGCGGATTCCCCGTGGATCGTGATTCTTGAGTGACCCGAGCTTCGGAAACAGCTCCTCGTCGCCGCTAGAAAGATCAGCCTCGGCTTCGGGCTGCTCATCGCCTAGCTCCTTGCGGGTGTAGCGCCATTCCCAGAAGCATTTTTTCGAGCGCGTCAGCACGTCGCCGTTTTCCATCATCTCTTCCTCGACCCAGCGAATAACTGCATCGCCGAGCTGTGTCTGGATCTCGGGTGAACGCAGCGCTGCGGTGTTGATGAATCGGATCTTGGACACGGTTGTTTCTCGCAGAAGTGGATTGACGATCGCCCAAAGTTCTGGAAGTGGGATTGGGGTGGTAGAGTGCAGAGGAGGGAACGAACGCCAAAGCGGCACCGTTTTCCATCGGACAAGAGTGTGCCCCAGACGAGAGGCAAGTTCAGTGAGAAGGACGGTCAGCCTTGGCGATGCAGCACACACCTGCGACAGCTGGATTGAGCAACAGCAGCAGGACTCGGAAACATACTCGAAAAGCTATACGGCGTATTCAGCAGAACGGCAAGTCCCAACCGCTCTGGATAGAGTGTCGTGAGCTGAAAGACATCGTGGACAAGTTCGGGGTTGCAATCCCTGGGAAGAGCCAATAGTGCAAGTTTGAGACCGCGATGAGACCGTGTGCCAATGCGGCAAAGAGTACTTACGAGGGCTGGAATCCGTCGAAATCAAAGATCCATACTACCTGGCCTCTGTCAGAGACATCGCGGCCGACCACCAGAGCGCCGTGCACCGAGACCGGAATCGAGTCGGCTGGCGGATTGACCTTTTGCGACGCCTCCGAGACACGCGCATTGAGGTTGGTCTTTCGCTCCTCGCGTCTGATGAGCCGCAGACTCGACTCCATGATGCTGCGGATGTGCTCGACGATGGCGCTGGTGTTGGATCGGTTGGCCGAGTGGACAAAGTTGGTGTAGACGACGGGCCGGGCATGGCAATCGAGGCCGATGATCCGCTGTGCAAGGCAGAATCGTCCATGGTTGACCCCAACAGAGCGATTTTTGTGAATCCGGGAGTCGACGTGCGATAAAACCAATGAAATCCAAGTTCATGACGGTTCACGACGGGCTGGCGCATCCGCTGTGGATGCCTGATGGCAGGTGCCGAGACATGACAACCAGGGCCTCGATCCAGCAGGCAACCGTACAGCCGACAACAAGATGCTGGTCAGGGCCCAGAGACGGCCGATGCAACTCACCATGCTATGAGACAGTGGATCCGCTCTGCAATCTGGGCACGGCACAGCGTCGTGCTCGGCCGGGAGCTGCTTCCTGAACTTCAGGGTTCCCTTCAGGGCGGCTGAGGCACTGACAACGGGGTCGGGGTATTCGGCATAGGCGGCCAGATATCGCGAGAGCCTGAGCGTTCCAGCCGGCGACCGTCCAGTTCAGACCAATGCATCCCCGCATCGGTCGCCAGCAGGAGAGAAGACAAAGCGTCGGCGTTGGCTCGGTGGAATGGGGCGGGCGACCTTCCTGCATCTGTTCCGAGCGGAGCCACCTCCGAGCCATGGAACTGGCATGGGCAGCATCGTCCCCACGGCTCTCACTACGGATGGTGCTTTCATCCGCCACGCCTCGTCGTCCTGGTGCGTCGCATATCTGCCATATCCACTCACTCGTCTTTGTCGCAGTGCTCCGCGAGCCGGGGGTCGCTGTCGATCATGCTCCTGACCGAGGCCAGCAGCGCGGCGAGCTGCGTTGGCGATGCCATCGAGGGCTATGTGGTTAGTGACGACGGCGGCTGGTGCAGTTGCGCTTTGAGTCCGTGGCTGCAGAGCGGAGGCTGGCCTGGATGCTGGTCCTTGGTCGTGAGGAGGGCTGCTGCAAAGCGAGAGAGGTTCCCCTCCTGTTTGCCACCGTTTCTGGCTGCTGAGTGCTCGGAATTTTTTTTTTTCCCTCTTTGGGTGTGCTGGGGCGGCACCGTCCTGGCTCCACAACGACCATCACCCCGAGCCCCGGCGGTTCGCCCCTCGCTCGATATCCATGAGACACGTAAGCACCAAGAAATGATGCATCAGCAGAGACAGGTGTGCAGCCAAGTGGCCGTTCCGTTGAGGCCATCCTTCGATACGGCTCGCCGACCCACATCTGTCGGTCTCGCACACAGCCCTCACGGCAGCTGTGATGAAATTCGATGTATTGTGCAGTGTTCTCCTGGACAACGCTGGTGAAGGAAGCAATGATCGAGCACACTTCGAGCGCCACCGCCTCAGAGAACAGAGCAATGGAGAGAGAAAAGAATGAAAGAGAAGAAATGTAGTCATCCAGAGCCGCGCCAGCTGTCGATCCTCACTGCCTGCCAGGATGGCCGTCAATTATTTGCTTGTTGCTGGCTGCTGGTGATCTGATATCCAGGCCGAATTAATGGCCCAATGGCCGCCGATCGAGTTGCATGTCTCGGACCATCGCTTGGCTCTGCGCTCGCCTGGCTGCGTCCGTCCTTTCGTGCGCCTGGATTGACTCTGGCCTATTTAAACTCTGGGACCTTGCCAGTCATCAAGAGTCCGACGATGAGGCCAAACAGCCCAATGATCGATCCAAAGATTTCGATAATCAGAACCTTGACAAACAGCACGGGATCCGCGGCGTCGGCAAGGGCGCAGCTGGAGCCCGTGATGCCGACACATATTCCACAAAACAGATTCGAGATTCCGACAGTGAGACCCGACCAGAACATGGCGTAACCTGCGCATTGAGAGTCGCCCGAGGAAATAATGTGACAGCAGCGGCAACAGTGAGGGTGAGCGCACGTTGAGCGGGGTGAAGCACATCGAGCCGAGGGTCAATGAGGAACGGCTGGCCATGCGCTGATTCAGATGACGACCTTACCGGCAAAGTAGGCGTCGCTGCTGAAGCCACGAGTGACATCTTCGCTGTTCGACAGCTTGGCGGTGAACACGATGCCAATGATCAGGCCGTAAATGGCGACGACCTCACAGAAGATGATACTGATGGGGGAAGCAAGCGTTAACATATGACCATACGCCGCAGAGCACACACGATGATGACCTGAGCGACAGCACGGCCGCTGCCCGCTAATGTATGCATCGGTGGCGACGGCGGTACTATGTCTTGCTTATCGTACCCAACCTCCACTTTCCACCCATCACCTGGGCTCTGTATGTGCTCGTCTCACACATATCCGTGCTTGCCTCGCGCTCCCTCAACGACCCTTGCTCATTTTGCTTGTGCTGCACGTACCTGATCAGATTCTTTGTCCGGATGCGAGGGACCTTGACGGCAGCGCCGAGGATGCTGGAGCCGGTGATGAAGATGCCCCTGTATCAAAGCAAGTGAGCAGAGAGGGTAAGAAATCACCAATGTTTGCCGTATCCAGTCCAGCCAGCCAGCCTTGGCGAGTTGCGCGTTTGGCCAGGCAGGCTTGGATGCAGCGCTCGCAGCAGCAGCCGCAACACCAACAGCGTCAAAGGACAGATCGCCAGATGGCCGATAGTAGCTATCAGCACCAGCGACACGCACGCCGGTCGCGAAATAGCCAGCCACATCGCCGAGCGCCCGTGGCTCTCTGGGGGGCATCACGAGTCGTTACCATGCCGCTCCGATGACGCTGAGGCCACAGGTGAGTGCCGTTCCAAGGGTCGCCCACATAAAGGGCGAAGTGCTGGTGAGGTAATATCCGACGTCGAACTGATACGCGTTCTTGGTGAACAGGAGCTCGAGAGTCACGGCGACTCCAAAGGCGACGGCGATGAAGCCCAGGATGGCGGGTTTGGAGTACAGAATCGACATGGCGCTGATGCGGTGCCGGCACAGAAAGAGGAGGCGGAGGGAGGCTGGGGACGGGTGCGCCTGCAGATAGGGGGGGGGCCGGTGCCGAGAGAGCGCTGCTGGGTCGGAAGCGGGATCAAGGACAGAGAGTCGACCAAGGCGAGCTTGGGCTGGCCCTGGTGGAAAGCGGCAGGGCAAAACCGGGACGGCGGGTTCGAGTGCGGCTGGAGCCAAGCGCTCCCGGGTTTGGCCGGCGCTGTCGCCCTGGACCCGCCACTCGTCCTGGAATCCGGCGGCCTTCCTGGGCGCAACTCCCCTCCTGGACTCATCTGCACCGGCGCGGATCTGCCCCTGCGTGCATCGGCCTGCGTCTCTGCCCTGCATTGAGCCGCGTCTGTGTGCATCGTCTCTAGCGGCATCCGCCTGCATCACCCGTGTTGTCTTTTGTCCCTCCCTTGCTGCCCGGCATCTGCCATGGAGCAGCCCTCGTCGCCCCCCGTCAAGCTCTCGGTCAGCCAGCTGGCTCAGCAGTTTGAGCAGTCCATCCGCCAAAATACCACCCAAGAAACCGACCACGGCTCGGCTGTCTCGGAGGTGGAACATGCACCCAGCAAGCGGTTGTCCATCGTCAGGCTCGCCCGGCCCGAGTCTATTCTGGTGCGGCCTACACATGGTCCGTCAATCTCGACTTTGGCTGCAACCACAGCCTCGTCGCCGGTTCTTGTCATTCCGCCATCACCGAGTCGACCCGAGTCGGCGCTATCCCTCAACAGGGCCTCGTCGACAGGCTCGCTACATATGCGATTCAGCATGCCTCCTCCCAGGCCCGCCAAGCCCCCGTCGCTGGCCGCCCCATCGCTGTTCACCGCCAACGGCACTTCGCCCACCCCACGGAGCCCTTATTTGCCCGAAGAAGAGCGCCACACGTCCAATTCATCGCCCCTTCCTCAGTCCATCCCGCTCTCTCAGCGGATAGCAGCCCTCAACGCAGCATCGCAGAGGCCGCTTTTTCCAAGCTCGAACCAAGTCCATCCGACGTCCTCCTCGGCACACGATGTGTACGCATATGCACCGTCAAGCGTCGATCCGTGGGGCGATACCGAGTCTCAAAGAAGCTACACGGGCACTTACAATTCGTACGAGCGGCCTTCCAGCGTGCTGTCCAATTATTCGTCGTCAGGGGCGCTCCCGCCCAAACCTATCAAGAAGATAGCACCGCCGCCGCCACCTTCTCTGCGGTCCAAGCGGTCCTCGGTCCTTTCGCTTCCAAAGCGTCCGTCCATCTCTGGATTCTCCGAGGCTTCGTTGCATCAGGAACGGCATCAAGCAACGCCCACGGACCACTGGAGTCATCGCGTGGATCGGCTAGTCCTCGGCTCCGACAGCCCAGACTTGCCTGTCGAAGGGGCTGAGCGAACAGCGACGGCCTCGACAAGCTCGAACGTCTACACCGAGTCCGGGGGTGAAGATAAGGTGGAGCGGATGAAACGCAAGCGGAGCCAGATCGTGGCGGAGATTGTCGACACCGAGCGACAGTATCTGGACGATTTGCGGATTCTCCGCGAGGTGTTTGTCGTCCCGGCAATCGAAGCCAAGGCGCTGCCGCCCGGCGACATCAAGGTTCTGTTTGGCAACCTCGATGCAGTCATCGAGACGGCCGAGCTGGTTGTCTCGGCACTCGAGGACGCCATCGCCAAGTCCCCCGACCCGGAGGGCCAGCCCCTGGGCAGCACCTTTTTGTCGGTGCTCACTCCTATCGAGCGGGCATATTGTGAGTACTGCAAGCACAACGAGGCGTGCGTTGCCAAGCTCGGTGAGTACGTCTCGCCCGAGTGCCCCGAAGAAATCAAGGCATTTTTGAAAGAGCGCCAGGCGCAGCTCGTGGGCCGGACACTTGCCTGGGATCTGGCCTCGCTGGTGATCAAGCCGGTCCAGCGCGTGCTCAAATATCCGCTTCTACTGCGGGAGCTGATCAAGGAGACTCAGTCCGCGCACCCAGACTATGCCACTCTGGTCGAGGTTCAGCTGCGGTTTGAGCGGATCGCAACCAACATCAACGAGGTCAAGAAGCGCAAGGACATTGTCGACAAGTACATCGAGAAGAAGGGCAACGTCAACGTCATTCATGGCATCAACAAGAAGTTTGTGCGCGGCACCGAGATGCTCAAGCAAAAGACCGGCCTCAGCGGCGACATCACGCTCGACTCCGACTACGATCGCATCTCGACGCAGTTCGGCGATAAGGCAACGCTTGTTGCAGTGCTCAAGCGCGACATTGCCGCCTGGAACGATGCCGTCAGCAAGTACGTCAAGGCGCAAGAGTCTGTCTACCTGGGACTAGAGGATATCTACAAGATGAACCTCGATTCAGCCGATACGCGCGATCTTGCGCTCTATCCCAGCTTCCAGCTGCTGTTGGACTATCGTCGAGAAGCCACTCGGGTCAGCTCTGAGGTCATCCGCGATGCCGAAAAGCTGTCGGACCGGCTGGTGGACATGCTGGACCAGCTGTCTGCAGTCTTTAGGGAGCCGCTGCTGCTGATGAAGAAGCGGAACGAGAAATTGCTTGACTTTGACCGAGTGCGCGCCATTCGGGCCAAAGGCGAGACGGTGAGTCCAAGCGCCGCGTGCATGTTCGAGGCTTCATGTTCGAGCTCTTGCTGAGACGCGCGGCTATGAACGATCTACTTGGCCGGCTACGGATGGCGCCAGACGGCCGGCAGTTGGAATGGACTGGTGCAGATCCGAGTCTGTTGCCTTGGATCAAGGGCGAGGCTGTTTGGGACTGAGCTGTGGCCGACGATTATTCCGATGTCGGAGACATGGTGCATCTTGGTGTAGGGAGTAGCCCGTCGATGTCCGGCTTGAGCAAACCCATTGCTGACATGGCTTCTATCTGCCCTGCACCACTGCCGAATCACCGATCGACACAACCACCGATCGACACAACCACCGATCGACAGCCGGACAGCTTTCTCGAGCAGTCTGCGGCAGAGTATCCGTCCATCAACGCCCAGCTGATAGAGGAGCTCCCGCTATTGACGCACCATGCGCAGAAATATGTCGGCCGAATCTTTGATATGCTCATGGTCTCCCAGGCCCGGATCTATGTGCAGCTGACGGAGACCTTGGCTCCGATTTGGGAGAACGCGAGCGTAGGCACTGGAGCACACTGGCGCAGCGACGATATTGTCCTTGAGTTCCAGGAGGCATTCCGCATTGGATGTGAGGCGGAGCAGCTGGCCTCCCAGATCGACTTGCTGAGCTCGTGGTGGAAGGTGACATGGCGTAAGTAGCAACATGTGGGCTCGAATCGTGTCGAGTCGATCACCGCTAACCAAGTCGGATGTTCTCTTGACCAGCCGAGGACCGACATCCGCTGGAGGGCCGACAGCTCGAAAGAACGGGATCAGTCCACGAAAGCCCGTTTTTGAAAAAGTCGCTGACGTCTGCTCGCGGTAGGTCGTGATCATGTCCTCTGGCCCCGCTACAGCTGCTGCTACTGCTGCTGCTTGACTAACAGTCACTGCGATACCCGTCCCCAACCCCCGCTCTCTGGACTTTGCAGAATCCGCCTTCCAGTTCCTGAAAGGAGGATCGGGAAATAACCCGCGACACAGCATCATTCGCGTACCCAAGTTTGGTCGCAAGGCAAGCACCAACGGCTCTGATCCCGGGGAGCCACGAAGCCGATCGACGTCGCTGGACGGCCCGTATCCATCCCCCGGCCCGAGCAGCGATCGTGGGACTGTCCACGGTAAGGCTTTGCTGCGATACAGGCATCCATGGAGATTGTGTCATCGTAGCTACTCCGAGCACGGCCAATATGGATGATGATGGCAGCAGGTCTATCTCCAACCCTCGACTTGGTCCAGTGTGACCCGGCCAGACTCTGGCAGCCTGTGCGGCAGCCCGTGCGGCTCGCTCGGTGAACCATAACTGAAACTGGATGTATCTGCACTCCGCCACGACAGAGCTGCCCAAGCCCGAAGGCATGCGAGTGTCGTTCTATGTCCGGGCGCTCTACGACCACGAGCCCCAGAACAGCGACGAGCTCGAACTGGCCGAGAGCCAGATCGTTCATGTCGAGTTCATTGCCGACGACAACGCTGGATGGTGGCTGGGCCGCCATACCGACGAAAGCGGCCCCGTTGGACCCGAGGGATGGTTCCCACGCGACTACGTCGAGTGCATCGACACTACCAGCTGAAGCACACCGGTCCGTTGTCTGCTCAATTCAAAGTCCGGAGATGCCCGCACTTGGGGTAATGCAACCATCGCACTGGCAGCCGAGCACCACAAGCCTCCTCTGGCCTACGAGTCTTTTCATCTTGCTGAGCCTTGGCCAGCCAACCACCCCCCCCCACATACCGCTTGACTGGCTCTCGTTTCTTTCCGGCTCTCGATTTCGTCAGGCCACTCTGGACCACTACTCCATTTCATCTTGCTCGCCCATTTTTTTTTTGTATGTTATCGAGTCCCTTGCTCTGCTCTGCCTGTCTTGCTTTCATAGACCGTCGACACCCGCTCCGCTACCGGCACAGCCATTCTATGCCTCACTCCTGCTCAATACAGTGCTTTTGTCGTGAGCGAGACAGCCGGCCATGCCTTTGCAGCTGGCGGAGCAAACCCTGGCTTTTCGGACACTTGCCCTGGCCCTGTTGCAGCGCACTCGTTGTCCTGTCTGTCCACCCTCCGATGGCGATGCTGTTTCTGATGCTGTTTGCGTTGATGTGAATGCAGCCCACGCCGATGCCGTTGGTTCCGTAGCTCATATCATTGATACTTCGTTGGTGCCCCCCGCTGGCGACACCCCAAAGCTCCCAACGACCCCAATTGCGCTTTCCCACCAAGCCGGATCACAACGCTTTCCGGTAGTCTCAAGCATCAGCCCCAGAGAGCGTCCTCCGCCAATGATCTCGGTGACGATCGCTCTTTCCCGCCAACAGCACCCCATCAATCCCATCGATATGACTTCCCCGGCCGCTCACAACTTGCACGAACAAATGCACACTGCCGCCGCATCTGCTGATTGTTCCCATCCCCGCCTTCTGCCTGAGCCCCCCCCCGCCGGGATCCCTTCCGCCGTCTGCTGGCGACATTGCCAGAACCCGCTCGAGCGACCCAGCGGGGCCCAGAGGTCGCTCGTGCTGCCCGTCCCTATGCTCCCCTCTTTCCTCACACCCGCAACGGCGTCGACACATTCGTGTGGACGTCATCCGGAATATTTCAAGCGGCCGTCTCGCTGCCGCCAGTGCTTTGGCCGCTTTTGTGCTTGAATCATCTCTCGCTCTATCCATCTCTCGCTCTATCCATCTCTCGCTCGGTCATCCTCGCTTGCCTATCATGTCCCTCGATTCATGGACCGTGTCGGACATCAAATCGGCAATGTGGCAGATCGTCACGACGGTATGTGCTCCGACCGCTTCCCTTTCGGTTTCCATGTTGCGACTCTCAGTGATCCTCTGCTTGCCCGTATCGCCCGTATCGCCTTGCTGGTTCCTGTCTACTCGATGCAGAGCGGCCGAGATCGATGGCTGCTTTCTGCTCTTGGAGTTTCTCCCACGACAGGGCTCATCAACTCGACTTGATCGGCCTGCACTCCCCTTCTTCCCACTTCTCTATCGCCGAGTTGACGAGCGGGAAGCACCATCAACTTCCACCGCCTTTCGAATCGGCCAGACATGAGGCCTTGGTGGACCGCCTTCACACCCATGTCTGCGCTGCCGAAGAGCGAGATTGAGCCTCATTTACAGCCTCTACCAGTCGATCCCGGCGTCGTGCCTATCGCATCGCTCGCTCTCGCTCTCGTCCGGCGCAGAATCCTCCCATCGGCGTTTTTTTTGGGGGAGGGGAGCGGCCCTGTTCTCGGAATGTCTCTGCCTGTTCGTCCGGGGTGCTTGGGTCGTCCAGGACATCCCATTCCGTGATCTCTCTTCCCGCGCTAACGCTTTCAATCGCTGCTTGCCTCCAAATCACCACACTCTGTTCCTCCCACCGCCCCATCCCTCCATTCGTATAGCTCGAGGGCCATTCCAAAAGCATCCAGCTCATCAATGACATGGCCGAGAATGCCAACATGCACATGATCAACTTCCTCGGCGTCGTCACCATTGGGCTGGTCGGAGGCGTCCTGATCTTCCTGAACGTCAAGGGAGACCTGCTTTCGGACGTGTTCTGTTATATCGGGCCAGCATACTGCTGCATTCTCGGCGCCGACAAGAGCGACGCAATCTTCCACAAGAAATGGTGAGGATGTACAGCCGATGGACTGGCGTGGGAAGGCAAAGCGCAGAGGGGAGGGGACGGCTCTGCATTGGCGAGGCGGGGGAATCTGGGCCAACGTTGGGTCTCCAAAATTGCCCCGTGGATGCTTGACTGTGGGATCGTATCCTGATCTTGGACAGTGTGTCTACCATTGAAAGCTGACCACGAGGGGCTGTCAGTGCGAGGTGATCATGAGTGGCGGTGGGCTCAAACCACCTTCATAGCCGTATACTCACCACTCGCTTCGCTGCCGATACACTCTGTTGTGGCGTGGATCGCCCACTCGCTCCTGTAGGCATGTCTACTGGTAGGGCAATCAAGCCTCGTGGCAAGCGCGAAGCTGGGGATCTGCCAACTCTCGACGCTAAATCAATCATGGATCCACGAAGCTGACACAAATCTCTGGTGTCGCTCCTCGTCTTCTAAACGGCCTGCAGGGTGGTGCTCGGATTCCTTCATCTGATCGAGTACGGCAGCGGTCTGGTGCTCAAGGCCCTTCCGCTCTACTACTTTTTCAAGACGCTGCTGCTGCTCTATATCGCCATGACCCCCGAGGTGCGTATCTTGCGGCTTCTTGGCGGAGATTGACTTGACGGCCAGGAATGCCTTGTGAACGGATGATCAACTCGGAGCCAATGGCAGGGGATTGTTTGGAACGGGGGTGTGTCGCTGCTATCGGATCAAAACCTGCTCCATGCATGCGTCTCCGGACTAGGTATGCTGACGTTCCTGTGGTACACATGCCGCACATGTCGGCTTTGCACTGGCTTGTGCTTGCAGGGTGCGGCAGGGGTCTACGAATGGCTATTGAAGCCCATCGCTCCCGCCATCGAGGGTGCTCTCGGCATCGGCCAGGTTGTGCCTCCCATCGCACCGGCAGCAGAAAAGTCGGACGGCACAGAAGCTCCACCGGTATCTGCTCCTTCGCCGGCTGCCAAAGCTGCCGAGGGTGATTCCAAATCGATCAAGGGTGCTTTCAAAAAGTGGATATCCCAGTGAGAATATAGAATGGAGGATGCAGATGGAGAATGCAGGATGCAGGATGGAGGGTGTGGTATCCCGCCGTTTGTTCGCGGCGTGGAGCAGAGGTGGGAGCAGCGGATATCCTGAGCTCTTTGGAGTCAAAGGACACCTTTGTGCTTGGATACTGAATACAGTCAATCCAGAAGAAACGGGACAGTCACTTCCTGGCATCAGAGGCTGAAGCCTACTGAACTTCCGTAGGCTCCGGTGAGCAAGCCATTCGATTACTTCCAGTCCTGGTTGGTAATCTCTTTGTCTCTGGTGGTGGATGAACTGCTCAAAGTACTTGGCGAACCTGAGTCTCTGTGGGCTGGATGCATAGACCCTCCCCTGTTTCTAGGAGGCACTCCCAAAGGCAGTCACCACCTCAGTCTCCTTGGACATACTTGCTTGAGCATGATTGCAATGAGTGGGTGGGTGTATTCAAGTTCCAGAAAAATCAACTGTCCAGGCTCAGAACAGGGTGCTCATTGTGCATTGGAAACGCTGTAGAAGACATGCGCATTCAATCAGAGGATGCATGGCGCTCCCATGGTTTGCATTATCACATGCTCGGATAGCTGGTCAGGTCAGCGATCCGCACTCTGCAGTCTGGGCGGCGGGTTGGTAGAGACTCCAGGGTCACCAACAGCGCGAGGTACTCCTGGACCGCCACGGGGTCGTCCCAGACATTCAGGTCCGGGAAGAAGGCACTGAAGGTCGTTTCAAAGCCAAAGTAGCGCAGTCGGGGCAGACGCGAGAGGATCCTGGCGATGCCGGTGGTGCTGAGCATCGATGTGACGGAGAGGGTTTTGACGATCCGGAGGGACTCGAGGAGCTGCCAGCTGCCCGAGCCCGCAGCCATTTTGGAGGAATCGGTTGCCGGCGCCGAAGAAACCGATATCGACGATGCGGACGACGTTGGCGCCATGAACAACGTCGACGACGATGACGGCACTGACGGCACCGCAGTAGTTACAGACAGTGTTGCTGGAGTCATCGCAGCAGTGGTCGATGTTGCTTGCGTTGCAGTCGATGTCGAGGAAGTGTCGGCTCCCAGCCACGCCTTAACCACCAAGTCATCCAGGCCCTCGAACTCGACCAGTGCCAGCGATTCGAGATTTGGGCAGTATTGGGCCAGCAGGAGCAGGCTCTGGTGCGAGTGCGCTTTCGACATTCCGCTGCCACTGAGCTCGAGCGAGGTCAGCGAGGCACCCCAGCCCCGGCAGACAAAGTAGATGCCGTGGTGGGAAAGCTCATCCAGGGACGAGAACCGGGACAGGATTGGCAGCGATGCCGTGAGGCCCCAAATGACCTCGTCCGTCATGGCCCGCTCGTTGTATGAGTGATCTGAGGAAGGGATATTGCGGGACAGCGGTGGTGTGTTAGGTCGAATATGACAGGCAGTCAGGCTGGAGCAAGCCGGGTCGGGTGCAGTTCCAGAATGCGAGCTGGAATGATGCATAGCGGTGGCTGCAGGACTCGACACGAGCGACCCAGGAAACGATTGCCACTGCTGCTAAATCCATGCCACATCCCCCCCCCGCAATACTTACACTCCAGTGCCCGTAGCGACTTGCAGTGTTTCATGACCAGCCAGAACAGCGGACTGGCGACTCGGTCGATCTCGGGGCAGGCGGCGATTGTGAGAGAGTCGAGGAGCGCTCCCCACTCGGGCAGAATCTGGGACAAGGTTGAGATGAACATTCGTTGGTGCGAGGAGAAGTTGGCCCTGGCAGGCTCCGCCAATGCCAGGTTGATGGGAGCTTCCGCCGCGGCTGCTGCTGTTCCTAATGCCGGGACGTGCGTCAGGGCCGGGTCCAGGAAGGGCAGGGCGTTTCCGATATGGGTTTCAAACTCTGCCGAAGACGAGGCCCGATAAGGCGTGCAGTTTGAGATGGAGAGAGACCACTGCACAGGGCTTGCGGGTTGGGGTGTTCCTTCGAGACCGACTTTGGCGTGGCTCGGTGGGAGATCTGCATCATCGATAGACCCAGCGCAAGAGCCGTGGCAGATCCGAAAGGCAAACTCGAGGAGCTTTGTGACGGCGTAGAGGTCGAGGTGCTTCAGCTCCAGCTTGGACCACACGGCTGGAAGGCATACAAGACTGTTGAACCGCCTTGAGATTCTACAGAGTGATCGTCGGGAAGGGGAGGGGAATTAGGGTGGTCAGATGGGTTTGTCGGTCTCATCGAGCGATGGACTGGGGGCCAAAAACCCGAGATTGCACTGGCGTACCTGCGACATCGGAGGCGATCGACAGGAGGAAGGAGAGCGAGGATGGCGAGGAGCAAATCCGAGTGGCCCTGTGGAAGGCAAGCTGCATCGGATCTTGGAGCAGACGGTGGATACATGGTCGGGAATGGCTGTGGTTTCGATAGCATCGGGGAGCGTGCCCATGAGCAACGGCGATCGAGAAAGATCCACGGCGAACGAAGGCGATCCGGAGCGAGGAAGAGCAGACAGCTGAGGTTTTGTGAGGACGCCAGGCCATGGCTCGGACGCACGATGATTGGACAGCGCGTGCGCAGTATGTGTGGCCAATGGAAACGGGTGCTGGCCAGAAACACACGACCATGAACATGGCGATGAGCAAGGTGGTGAGCACGGCGATGAGCATGGTGGTGAGCATGGCGATGAGCAAGGTGGTGAGCACGGCGATGAGCATGGTGGTGAGCATGGCGATGAGCAAGGTGGTGAGCACGTTGATGAGCACGGTGATGAGCACGGTGATGAGCAGCGAGCGCACTGCATTGGAGCGACCTCGATGGCCCTCTTGGGATCTCGACGCAGAATTATTGTCATTTATTCCAGGATCGATCATGGGTGGCTGGGCGCTGCCCAGATCACATCGACGGGACGCAAGCCCGAGGCCCACGACACAACAGCTGCAGGCAAAGGCGACCCAGGGCGTTCGCTTCGCGAGTACGGTTGAGTCGCACGGAAGCTTCTTCCTGATTCGGGACCGGATGGCACGGGCAAAGCGACAGTCGAGCGAGGCTTCTCAGCGACGCCAGAGGTTTCAGCGACGATATCGCCGTGCAGCAACCCAGATTCAAGTCGCAGAGGAGATGCAGTTCCAAGAGCGGATCGAGCGAGCGAACGGACGAAAGGCCGGCCAGATCGAGCACGTTGAGCACGCGAAGAGCAGCAAGGGGCCGCAGATCTGAGATGCGGCTGCACCCATCGAGGTAGAGCGCCTTGAGCTGCGACAGAGCCGAGAGGGGCTGGATCGAGGAGACCGAGGTGCATTCGGTCAGTTTGAGCCACTCCAGCGATCCCAGACCAGCAAGAGGGCCCAGTGACTCGATTCGGCAACATTCTTGGAGATTGAGTTGATACAGGGCGCTCAGTGATGCGATCGGCTTGATGCTGGTGAGGAGCGTACAGCCGCCCAGGTCCAGAGACTGGAGTCCGGTCAGCTCTCGCAGAGGTTCGATGGAGACGATTCCCTCGCACTGCAGCAGATCGAGGTTTCGGAGCATCGACAGGCGTGCGACAGGCTCTATGGAAGCGATGCGGACGCATCCTGCGGCGTTCAGGATCCGAAGTTGTGCGAGGCTTTCGAGGCCGGCCAAGGACGCAAGCTTCGGGCATTCGCTACAGTTGAGATCTTGCAGCGAAGTAACGGATCGGAGAGGCCAGAGGGTGGTGATCAAGGAGCAGCCGGCGACACTGAGGGCGACAAGCTCTCGCAGGTCCGACAGAGGGTCAAGGGACGGAAGAAGCGTGCAGTAGTCGAGATTGAGTTTCGTGAGGCGACGCAGGTTCCTCAGTGGTTCGATGCAGGAGATGGACCGGCATCTCTGGAGGTGCAGCTCTCGAAGGCCGGCGAGAGACCGCAGAGGTTCGAGTGACTCGATCTGGGGAGACTGGCTCAGATCCAGATCGCTCAGACTTTGAAGCGCCGCCAGCGGAGAGAGTGAGACGATGCCGATGCACTTGGAGAGGGTCAGATGCTCCAGTGAAGAGAGGGAGCGCACTGGCTCGATCGAGCGGAGTGAGGGGCAGTTTGCGAGGTGCAGGGTCTTGAGGGACGAGAAACCAGCAATGGGTGCGATGCATTCGAGGTTGGCACAGCCGACCAGACGAAGCTCGGTGAGCGGAGGCGCGGCATATGTCGTCAAAGAACTGAAAGCCAGCGACGGCGGCGGGATCGAGACGATCGAGCAGTCTTCCATCGAGGAGGGAGTGTCGGCCTCCAACGGCAACGGATCGGAGGACAGTGGCGAGCCAATGCATGAGGAGGCTGTTGCTGATGGCGACATCGGGTCCGAGATCCCAGATGATATCGGAGAGAGGGGCCAAGCGACATCCATGGGTGACGGAGGGTCAACGGGCGACCGGCAAGGCGTTGCCGAGGGAGTGTCGGCAGCCAGGCTCACCGGCGAAGGCGGGCACGGTGCGCCTGCGACCACGACCCGATGCGAAGACCCAGAGAGCGAGTCCGGGAGTCGATACAGCGGCGAATCCTGTATCCACAGCGTGACCAAGGATTTTGCGAGGCACCCAAACGAAGCGGGCAGCTCGGCGAGCGAGCGAGACTGGATGACCATGGCCGTGGGCCGCCAGAAACAGGTGGTTTCGGGCAGCTGCTTGCAGCCATAGCCGCTGTAGAGACCGTAGTCGCGGAAGTCGTGCAGACCGACGGTGTCGGGAAAGGAGCCGTCAGCCATCCAGTCCCAGAGGAAGGACGAGCCTGACTGAGATCGAGAAGAGGCATGTGGCCAGCGAGCCCAGAGGATACTGCGATGCTCTTGGGCAAGGGCCCTGACGCTGTCCAGCAGCTGTGGATACAGGTGGACATTCTGCCACAGGATCAGCTCGCAAGGGTGCGGGTCAGGACGGGTGCGGTTGAGAAACGAATCGGCGGCAACGATGAGGTGGGCAATCTGATGCGAGGGAATCGATCGAGCAGGAAAGCCAAAGTACTCGCGGAAGAGGATCTTCCAATACATTGGCTGGGAGAGGAGAGCACGGGCATGCCGGGACAGCGAGCACAACTTGGTCCACTCCACCGGGCCAACGTGGTCGATCAGCAGACTGGCCACCACCAGGACCGAGCGGCACTCGACCGACAGAGGCGGGGAAGCAGCGGGTGGGAGCTGGGGGTGCTGGGAGAGCCGCGGGGAGGCCATGGCCGAAGCAGGGAGATGGGGATGGAGCGCTGGCGATGCGCTTTCAGCGGGAATGCCCGTCCAGAAGCAAGACGGAGGTGTGGCCGAGGACGCGGAAAGGGACGAGGGGGTGTGGGCATGATCAGGCTCGAGACCATGGAATGGGCGACGGGGGATGGGCGACGACATTGGGGTGTTTGATCGAGAGAGACATGCAGAGCATGAGAGGGAGGGCCGGATGTCGAATTAAGCTGGCTGGAACTCAGGCGGACTCAGTTGGATGCAGTTGGATGCAGTTTGATGCAGTTGGACGCAGTTGGATGCAGTTTGATGCAGTTTGATGCAGTTGGATGCAGTTGGATGCAGTTGGATGCAGTTGGATGCAGTTGGAGCTCGCTGCCCCGAGTTGCTGCCCCGGCTGCTGCCCCGGGCGAACCAAGCATCAACAGCAACAGCAACAGCAACAGCAACAGCAACAGCAACAGCAACAGCAACAGCAACAGCAACAGCAACAGCAAGGGAAAAGCCCGGCCCCGATTGGCACGATAAGGTCGCTGCGCACAGCAATCTTGGTCACCGGAGCCAATGGGCTGGCGCGAAGGAGCCACGTGACAGCACCAAGAGCGAGGAGCGAGGGCATCTCGGCGGGCATCTCGGCGGGCGACACAGAGCTGCAGCGCCACAGGGCAGCTGGATGCGTGGCGCGGCGCCGGTGCGTCGCACAGCTTGCGCAGCCGGCGGTGGTGGAACACTGGTGGAACACTGGTGGCAGGGCGGTGGCGCAGGAACAGTGGAGCGCGCGGGCGGCGCGGGCAGCGATTGGCTGGCGACGGACCACTGAGAAACCGCGCAGGCCATGGGCGCACAAGCGACGCGCGGCAGTCAGAGTGGGGGCGAAAAGCGAGCGTGGCTCCGGTCACGAGGATTGGGCTGTGCGCAGAGCGAGTGCTGACGGCGACAGTGCCGTTGGCAGCGCTGTTTGCTTGGCGGTGCTGGTGATAGTGGTAACGACAGTGCTGTTGGCGGTGCTGTTGGCAGTGCTCAGTCGGTATCGACTTGGTATCGACTTGATATCGACTTGGTATTGACTTGGTGTCGACTTGGTATCGGCTTAGTGCCAACTTGGTATCGGCTGCTCGTCTTGGCTCTGCCTGCTTGGCTCGCCTCGCGATACCCTTGCTATCACTCGCTACTTGCTGTCACTTGCTATGTGCTAATTGCTGTCACTTGCTATGTGCTAATTGCTATCACTTGCTATGTGCTAACCATCGCTTTCATCGATTCATCTCCTGTCGATGCCGCACTTTATCGATTCATCGCTTGTCGATGCCGCTCTGTCCCTCGCATCGCAGTCCTTGCCCCCCGCGGACAATCCCCAGGCCCGTCCCCCAGTGGTGCTGAGCGCCGCCCGCTCAAAGTCGCTCAGCGGCCCTCGCGGCTCTGGCCTTGCCACGCCCGGCCCTGCTCGGCCTGCTTGTGCGTGTCGCCGCGCCCGGCTTTTGGGGGGGGGGCCATCATCGTATATATACCGAGTCGGCAGATACCCGCCTGGCGCTCCCGTTCGTCCAAAGCTGATCCGCAACCGACCTTCCTCATCCCGACCCATCCCAACTCAACCCAGCCCAGCCGGCCCCGTCTCTGGCCCCATCTCTGGCTCCGTCTCCGGCATCCTCATCCCCTCCGATCTCATTGCTTGTCCGCCTTTGCTGCTGTCCCTCTCCCTCTGTCGCTGTCGCATCCTCCATCGCCTCCCGCTGTCCGTCGCCTCCCGCAATACACTGCGCAACCCAACTTCATCCTGCATCGTCTTCTGTCTGCGGATCATTCCTGCCAGCCTGTCGTTGCCGGTCTATCGTCGCCACAGACCTTTGCCGCACTCTCCTTCTCTCGGTCTGCCCTGGTCCCAGCCCGTCTTGTCCGTCCCTGCCATCCGCCCTCGTCCCGGCTCCAGGATCCCGCCCCACTCTTTCTCGTTTTTTCTGTCCTGGTGCCGCCTCTCTCCCCCCCACCAGCTCGTTGCCGTTTTTCGCCGCCATACTTCAAAGGTAAATCTGCTTGCTGGCTGCGACACCACAATTTTCTGCTCCTGCTCAACTGTTTCCTGGCTTTTGCTGGCTGCGGTTGCCTCCCTCGTCGCCATCCTGTCGAACCGCTCTCCCGCCATGGCTGCTCGAGACAGTGATTGCAAAGAGCAAGAGCAAGAGCAAGAGCACTGACATTCAACAACCCCTGGCGTCAACAAACCCAGTCTTCTCGTCCAGATCCCAGTGACATTGTCCGCGCACTCGCCTGTCCAATCTCTCCACTCGCATCAGTGCCATGTCGACTTCCAGCGTTGATTTGCTCACCGACACCGCTTCCATCCAGTCCATGATGGCTTCGGATCTGCATAGCCCTCGGAGGCGCCTGCAGGCCAAGCCCAAGTTCGAGCGTCGTCCCTCCGATATCGGGCTCATCCGGACGGCCGTCCTCATGAGTCCCATTAAGCCGCTGGTGCACTACGACTACCACGCCGATTCGACCCCCGCCTCTGGCGTCCCCGACGACGACTCGAGCTTGAGCGACAACTCTTCCGACAGCGACTCGGACGACGTCCCCGAGGATGCCAACTCGAGCAACAGCAGCCTGCCTATTGACGACGACGAGGTCGAAGCGTACCTGTCGGTGCTCGCTCTCAAAACCAAGGCATGGAAAGAGGGCTATCGCACCCTCGACCGTAAGGACTCTGCCGTCTCGCAGCTTGCATCGCCATCCTCGATAGAGTGCCCCAAGGTCGTGGTTGTCTCGCCCTCGGAGCCGGCTGCTACTGCCGAAACTGGCTGCTCGCCTTCGCTCTCGTCCCTTTCAAGCCCGGTGCTGACTCCCCTGTCGCGCAAGGTCACCCGTATCGGCGACGACGGCTCGATGCACATCAACTCGCCCTCGCTGTCCAAGGAGTGCTCGTGTCCGCTCTCGCTGCCCTCGGCTACCCTGGACGCTGCCGACCTGCTGGTATCGCCCTCTCTGGCCACGCTGCGGCTCGCCAGCGCCGGTGTGTTTGCCCAGACAAACCCCATGTGCCCAGTCCATGGCCTGGACGAGGCCTCTTCGGATACGGCCGTGCTCTCGATCCTCGAGGAAATGGACCTGATTTTGGCCTCGAGAGAGTTCAAGGTCCGCTTTGCTGCCGATGCCGACCTCGAGACATGCTACTCGTACGAGGACTATGTCGAACGCATGGCCCACATCAAGAAAAAGTCCAAGATTGCATCCATGATCCCGCGCATCTTCACACGCTCGTCGTAGCGCCACAACGGGGAGGAAAGAAATCCCCATCCCCAGCCCCCCTGCTCTCCATGGTCGGCCATGTCAGTCCACATAATCTCCTCCCGCAATCCCACAAACACACACTCATTCCCTTCGCATTATGCTATTTTTTACTTTATTTTACCCAGTCAACCCTGCTTCAGCAGCCAATCCGCGGTCGTCTGCTGAGCAAGTATTGTTTTGATCTCTCGACTCTTGTCTCCCACTCTCTCTCTCTCTCTGATTCCAAGATCAAGCTGGCCAGCTTGAATCCACAGGATCCTCCCCCCTCCGTTCTTTCCACACACTTATTCTCGTGTATATCTTTAACGCCCATCAGCGCTGCTGGTCCAGAACAACGCCGATATCCTGCCTTTCCCTCCTCCTCCGCCCCCAGCCCCAACTGTCCCCCGCGCCGCAAAACACTCGTCCGTCGACCCATTGCACATCCATCCCACTTGCTCGCACAGCCCCGTCACGAATCAACACTCGAACTCCTCCTTCCAACATCCACACCCACCCCCCCTCGTTTCACGCTCACTTCACGCCCACTCACTCACCATGCGGCCCATGCGAGAAATTGCCTCGCTATTGACTGGACATGGCGCTGGCGGGAACATGCCTCCTCTGCCATGATGGATGGCCCACCGAATTGTCTGGATCAACAACAGAAACGAATACCAAGTAACGCCCCTCGGAAAATACAATCAGGACCACCGAGACATCCCCCCCCCTCCCAAGACCCCCCCCTCAGCACTCTTGAAAAAAATAGTCACAATATTCAAACCCCAGAAAACTGTTCCCCAGCTTCGTTTTATGCACAGGATCCACATCGTCGTCGCTGATACCACGGTCACTGTTTAGCGTTCCAAGTTGCCTGAATCCCGAGCCAAAAGCCTCTCACAACAGCGACGGCTTCTCTGGTGGATCTTGGTGAGTCAATGAGCAGGGGGGGGAAGTAGCGGCAACGGCGTGCCAAGACAGGGGGGTTGCCATTGTCGTTGATGTGTTCCTAACCTTAATCGCCTGCTTTGCTCCCCCTCCCCCGATTAACATTCAGCACGCCAACTGAATGACTCGCCCAAGTTTTGACGTCCTAGACCGAGCCCATCGGCCGATCCCGCATTTGCCGTTATTTATTTGATTTTCCTCACCATATTCATTTTATTCTTTTTCTTTTTTTCTTTCCTTTCTTGATTATTATTTTATCTTGTTTGGTGCCTGGATTGTATGGATCGTGGGCGGTGGATTGTTTGGCTTTGGCACAAACTCCATACCCCTCCTTTCATGCTCCTCTTGACTTGGCGTTGTGGAAGGGCTCGCTCAGAGTACCTGACGAATGTTTGACCCCTTGGGCTCGATGCATCATTCATTCTCCGTCGGACACACACTGAATAAGGAGGCAACTTTTCTCAGGCTACGAATGGCAGTGTAGCACCGCATCACAGAATGGTCATGAGCCAGCACACGATGTTTTGAGGCAACACAAAGTATTTGATCAACGACCAAAAATTCGGGGTGTCCCGTTTCTTTCTGGATATTGGAATAACAAGCAGGCCTTCCAAAAAGTGGGAGAGAGAGAAAAGAGTGAAAATAGCAGCAAGAGAGCGTGAGTAAAAAAAAAAAAGTACAGTAACATACACAATATAGAGACGAAGGGGTCCGACGAGGATCGGATGGGTCGGATTTGCGACGGAGGAAAGGGAGGGAGAGAGAGAGAGAGCTCACGAGGCACCCGAGCCGACTGCATTTGCAGATGGGCGACGGTGCTTGAAAAGCATTGGCGCCATACACAGGGATAGAAGGATGGGCGGCCAGCTGAAAGCCGGTCAAATTGGAGCAGGCGAGCATGCGGTAAACGAGGGGAGGGGCTCGACCGAAGCGAGACAGGTGACAGAGCCAGGGCGGCAGCGATAATGACGACGGCAGCGCCGTTGGAGCAGGAGCGGACCGTGGATACGCAGCATGTACACACGCTGCGACTTCCTGCCGCATGTGTCTGTTCTCTGACCGACCTGCGGACGACGAGCGCGGGCCCTGGAGCCAGTCCCTCTCGCAGCGCTCACATCGGCTGGTCAAGGGAGCCAGTGAGCCAGGCCAGATGTTGGCAGCGACTGCTCTACTTCATGAGCAGAGATTGCTGGGGCTTGGTGGGCTCGGCGTGGGGCGGATGGCCCATCGACATTGCACTGCTCTTGGGCTGCATATGCCCTGTCGACAGGGTTTGTCCATTGAGAACGGCTGCCATGGAAGGCAGCGACGCTGTGCTTGCCGAAGCGGATTTGGGCGGAACGCTCGAGAGGCTGGTGCCGAGAGTGCTGGCGTTGGACGCGGGGGTCGTGGGCCGCGAGCCAATGGCCTGGCCCGGCGTCGAGGGCATCGAGCCGAGTGGAGAGGCGCTTGGGCCAGCAAGGCCCAGCCGCGATGTCAGGTTGCTGAAAACCGAAGCCGCCTGTCCATTCATGGGCACGCTTCCGGGGGGAGCACCGCCCGGCATGGCAATGGCCCCCGGCGGGAATCCGCCAAACGGAGCAAGGGCACTCAGCCCGCCGAGCCGCGGAGCAAAGCCAACGTTGTTTGGGCCAAGGATCGGGGGCTTGCCCAGGGCCATGTTGGGCTGGCCGGGGATGCCACCAGAGTTGCTGGTCTGCAGGCCGTTGATGAGTCCGTTTGAGTGGGCGAGGAGGCCGGACAGATCAAGGCGCCCAGGCGGCTGTGGGGCCATGGCAGCCTGGGCGTTGGCCGCCGAGGGAGGACCAAGGAGCGAGATGTGGGCGTGCTCAATGTGGTACTTGAGGCCGTTGAGGTTCTTGTAGCGCTTGCCGCAGTCGGCGATGCTGCTGTAAACGTGGACGGAGCCACAGTTGCCATTGTTAGCGAGTGAAAACGACGCGAGCATAAAGCGGAGCCAGGCAGCGCGACGAGACGCTGGCAAGCGGGCGGTACAGCCAGATAGCAGCAATCGGGCAACGGGGAAATGTGCCGAAAGCAGTCGGGACGCACGCACCATTGGTAAGGCTTGGAGATGATGTGGTTCATCTCCGGATCACCCGTGTCCTCGCAGTGGCCGTGCTGCATGTGGTACTTGAGACCGCCCGGGTTCTTGTATGCCTTGGTGCAGCCAGCAATCTTGCACTTGTGCGGGCGGTCGTCCTTGCTCACCTCCTCATTCTCGATGTCGCTCGAGACGGGCGAGGTCGGGGCTGGGGCAGGAGCAGGAGCAGGGGTCTCGATCGACGGCGCATACTCGGGCATGGGCGCCGTCGTCTGGAAGGGCATGGTTTGGATGGACGAGGAGTCCCCGCCCATCGACGACGACGAGTCCATGCCGGACCCAGGGTTGTGATCATGGAGCTTGACCTCGTAGTGGACCATGGACAGATGCGAGGCATCCGAGAGACCCGAAACGGTTGTCGGTGGCGCCGTTGATGTGGTCGGGGAGGTGCCGGACATTTCAATGTCCTCGACATCGGGGTCGGCAATGTAGGCCGTGGGCCCGTCAAAGGTCGGCGGCAGGAGGGTGGGAGCATCGTCGCAGACCATGTCATCGAAGCGGTTCTTCTTCTGCATCCGCGGGGTGGCCTTGTAGCTCGAGGCCAACCGCTTGCGGTCCGATGGATTAGACTGGCTCGACTGGGTGCTGGAGTCGGCATAGATGGCTGTGGGGTTGATCGATGTCGGGTGGTTCCGATGGGCATGGCGGTTGGACTGTGGCGAGAGCGGATGGCGGTGGTGCCGCGAGAGCGAGGTCGCGAGCGGGTTGGTATGCGTGTGGGTGCTGCTGCTGCTGGCCATGTCCATATCGGCATCATCATCGATCACAAAGGGCAGCTCGTCGTCGTCGGGGTGATATTCCTCTGGCCGCAGGTGGCAGTCCTCGTAGTGCTGTACAAGATCGTGAAGATTCTCCAGATTGAGTCCACAACAGGTGTAGTCTTTACAGTACTTGTCGTGATCGAGGGCAGAGTAGAATGCATCGACGCCGGGCGACTTTGGCGCAAACTGGAAGATCCTGGAAACCAGGCCAGGCCGTTCGTGATGACAAATCCGATCAGGCCATGGGAACGCCACCGGTATGCAGGTGAGTCATGGGTAGCAGCCGCGATGATGCGGCAAGATATCACAAGACGACCAAGAAGAAGCGCAGCGGCAGACAAATGCGAGAAAAGGACGGTCGTGCGCAGCGGATCAACGTGGATGGCACATTGCGAAATGGTGCACGGAGAGACCGCAGGCGACCGAGGGAGACGAGTCAAGCATCAAGCGGACAGTCGGCAGGCAAATGAAGGACGCCGAAATCGGAGTCGAGAACACAAGTGACGCCAAGAAACAAGCAACGGCAACGATACCAGAGCGACAGCCACGACATCGAAGCGACGTCAGAGCGACCGATGGTGGAACCGAGGGGCGATCGATGCGGTGGAACAGCAGGGATGATGATCGGGCGGGGGTGCGGGGAGGCGCAGGAAATCGGCGGGAAACAGGGCAAGAGACAAACGACTCGGTTAGAAAATGTCCGGTTGCAGCGGTCATTGGACCCGCCTGTGGGGCGGCCAGCAGCCAGCAGCCGAGACGAGCAGCCGGCGTCGGGGGATAGTGGCAGGGCGCTTTCCCAGAAGCAACGAGAAGGGCAGCGTCCTGGCGGAGGAGGCCCGTATCCGAACATCGAGCTCAAAGCTCAGACACCGTGGGGGATGCTGGCAGCCCAAAATAGGCGTCTCCTCGCAAGGTCCGACAACCATGCACGTTCTTTCTGGGGACCGAGGAAGCTGGAAAGCATGGAGCGGCGGCGACCGACGAGCCCAAGGCCCAGACTGCACGACAGCTAATCCAGGCCCACTCGTTGGCTGATGGCGAAGGGTATACATGCCAACGGTGGTGGCGACAACGACAACAGCGACGCTACTCACTCTGAAAGAGACCGGGCCGAGTAGCTGCCGTAGAGCGGACGGCCCCAACTTGTGCTCAGCGATTTGCCCAGGGATCCAAAGATGGACATCTTCCGCCGATAGGAAGCGGGTGAGTTGATGGCTGGCGAGTCGCTGCCGTGGCCGGGGCGGGGCGAGACAGAGTACTCATTCTCGGAAGTGTTTAGGATCCTCGGGTGCTGCGAGACGGACGTATGGAAGGCCATTGGGGGAAAGGGGCAGCTGGCTGTCTGGGAACGAGGGAAAGACGGCCGCTGGGAAAGGGCGTGGTGGCTGGAAAATGTGCAATTACAGAGCAGAGGCAAAGGTAGACCAGGTCAAGGATGGCTGCAAGAGGAGACAAGGCGGCAGGCAAGACGAAGGCCAGATAGGCCGACGGCAGGAATCGTTGGCGGGACACGGGTTGGAGGTTGAGACGGGCGGGTGGTGGTCGGAGTCGAAGTTGAGCCGATGGGAAAGTCGAGGTGGGTGCGAGCGAGGAAAGGCAAGAGGAGCAGGACAATGCAATGAGTACAGCGGCAATGGCGACGAGCTGGGCCACCGGGCACATGGGCGGGGGGCAGCAGGGACAGTAGGCGGCGAGGCTGAAGCAGCCAAGAGTTGATTTCAAATGGAATGCAGTGAAGTTGTAGCAGGCGATGCAGCAGGAGAGATGCAGCGAGCAGGTTGGCCTGCCGACCGGGCCGAGACGGGGCCGACAGTAGCACCTACATGGACAGCAGAGCGGGACAGCAGGCGAACAGCAAGAGGACAGGCGGAGGCGCGCACGATCTCGCCGGCAGGGCAATATGTACAGGATCTCGAGCGAGCAAGATGGAGGCAGAGGCGGCCCAGTGCTCCGGAAAGCAGGCAGGCAAACGGCGGGCCGAGAAATCCATCCAAGACTTGACGAAAGAAGCCGCCCGGTTGGTCGTCTCGCGGCGAGCAGCGAGGCCGGCAGCGAGAGCACAGAGCGCAGCACGCGACAGTGGCGCTGGCGAGAAGCGACGCGGAGCGAGGGCGAGGATGCGGCTCGAGCCAACACTTGGCCGGCCGCGTCGTGGCTGGGCTCGCCGGCCTGGGTCCTCTGCGCACGCTTTGTGATGGCTGGGGCAAGGGCGGCCAGCAAAGGGCAGCGCGGCGATTGCCCCAGCGGCAGCGGGGGCGCCTTGGGGGCGGACAAGAGGGCGGGGCAAGGGTGTACAGGGCCGGCTTGTTACGCATGGCTGGGAGAACGGACGGCGGCGCTGTGCCGGACGCAGTCATATGCCGGCTGTGTGCGCGGGGGCGGGGGGCGGCTGTGCGCGAGTGGGATCTGTGCCAGGGGAAGGCAAGGACGGCTGCCTGTATGTGCGCGGAACAGCCGGGCTGTGCTGTAGCTGTTGCTGCAGTGCGGTGGCTGTTGCTGTTGCTGTTGCTGTTGCTGTTGCTGTTGCTGTTGCTGTTGCTGTGCATTGGCGCTGCCACTGCTGTTTCTGTGGCAGCGAGTCGGCTGGATTGAAGCTTGGCTGCCCAAAGAGCCGCCCTCGCTCCAGGGCGACAAGTTCATCCGCCAGCTGATGACGCGGCGTCGTCCCGTGAACGTTCGATGCTGCACTGTTTGCTGTTGGACCCACGCAACTCTGCTCTGCTTCCACAACAGCATCCACCCGACAGACACAACTCTGTTGTCTGTGGCCAACCTTGCCCGGAACCGTGCCGCCGCGCTGGCGCTCTCTCGCTCCCCTCTGGCACCTCAACGGCACAGCCGCTGTGATCTCGCCTCCATCTCGCTGCGCTCTCGCCGTTCAGCCACCGCTGAGGGCACCCTGTCCGTCCAACCCTGTTCTGTGTTGTCCAACCGTTGCCGGCCGCGCCAGCATTCTCCCTTGTCGCGTCGGCTGCTGTGGCTTCCGTTCGGCTCCCGGCGCCTTGTCGCAAGCTCGCACAGAGAGGCATGGGTCTGTCGCTGCCGCAGCGGCGCCTTGGCTCTGGCCGGCTTGTCGCCCACGTTGCTGGCGCGTTGTCAGCTGGCCCGCTTGCCGGGGAAGCCCTTGCGCTGTTCCAATGCGCGGCTTTTGCGGGCGCTGCGCGCGGTGCTGCCCTTTGCTGTGCCGCGCTCTTGCCTCTTTGCACCACGGCGGGCTTGTCTGTCTGCCAGCTGCAGCGCAGGGCTGGTTGCCATGTCGCTCGAGGACGCCCTTCATGGGGGCGGGCCTGGCAGGGCGGACATGCCAGGGCAAGGGTCGCAAGAGGGCTTGTCGGCAGCCCCAAAGGCATTGGAAACATCATTGATATCAGTCATCAGTGATATCAGCGGCATCATCGGCATTGATATCGGTCATCAGCGGCATCATTCTCCCGATCCTTGTCGCTGACCGACTCCATCGATATCGACGAGCGCTCTCAAGTGAGCGGACTGCGTTGTGGGTTTCGAATCGGGCATGGCGAGGGCAACGGCCTGGATGAAGCGACTGCGATCTCCACCATGAATCAACCCAGCCGACAACCAACCAGTTGACTCAACCAACCATTGACACAACTTATCAACAACCCAGCCAACCAACAGCAACCACCACGGCCGAGCCAGAGAAGCGCCCGAGAGAACGATCCGATTCGATTCGACGCGCAGCACTGTTTGCCCCCCACCACCACCAACAGAGCCGCCCACACATGGCCGCCTGCTGATTGGCGGATCGGCAACGGGCGCCCCAAATCAGGCCCCCGATGTTGCACCGCCACGGTCCCGCGCGGCTGTTTGCGCGTCGCGCGTGTGCGGCCAGGGCTTCGTGCGCCACTGGCTGCTGCAGTTTGTGTGGGCTGTGTCCCACGTGGACCGCAGATCCGCCGCTGATGCAGTCGCACAGTGCAACTTTGGCACCAGCAGCAGCACCAGCAGCACCAGCAGCACCAGCAGCACCAGCAGCACCAGCAGCAGTCACAGTCGACTGGGCTCTGCTGGCAAACAGTCCAATGGGGAGCTGCTGTGCAATCCAGCCGGCTTGCCAATCACGCTCCCCGCTCGCAGCCGCCACAGAGACTGTGGCAACTCTCTTGCCTGCCCCGCGTCCGCGCTTCTCCATTGCCTCTTTCGGATCGCGCGCCACATCGCGCTCGCGTTCTGCAGAACCCTCTGTTTGTCCTTCCCTTCCTTCCTGTGCTGCCCTGCCGTTACTCCCCACCTCGTCTTTAAACCCAAGACCCAACCCCGCTCTTGCCTCTTGCCCTGTTCCTTCTCGTCCAAACCGCCTCTTGTCTCGCCCTCTGGCAGCGCCAAACACTTTCCCTCTGTCTCTCCTGTCTCCTCCTGCTATCGCCTCTCCAGACATCATGAAGTTCGCTGCCACCACTGCCGTCGTTCTGGCCGCTGCCTCCGCCTCCGTCCTCGCCCAGACCACCTGCGATATGGTCAGCTTCAACGGCTGCCTCACCAGCGTCCAGCAGTTCGAGACCAGCACATGCGAGCCTCTTGCTCCCAAGAACCAGACCCTGTACAAGGATTGCCTCTGCTACTACCAGTCCAACCTCAAGTGAGTATGCTGGACGATCTCGTCCGGACGAGCGTCTGCAGGCCGCCTTTGCATGCCACTTTCCCTGAGCCTTGCCTCGCTCGCTGTGGGAAGATAGCCTGTGCTTTTGCGACCAACACGACGGCGCTGGGCTCTTCTGGCTCCCACGGCCGCTTTTGCTGCGGCTGTGGATACCACGTCTATCGTCTTGGCTTGCTCCACATCGAAGCCGTCCTGGATATCAGCCAACATCAGCCGCTTCGCCTGGACACCCGAGGCCCTGTGTACTCATTCGGGCAGCCAGAATCTCCGGCGCTCTGTTGTGTCTCTGTTTCATCTGGCACCGTTGTGGCATGCCCTTGACGCTGGAATAGCTGTCGGCATATCGAGATCTCGCAACTGATCCGCATCGCTCATCCACCGTATCAACCGCTTTTCGGCTCGGCTCTGTAGGAACTGCTATCTCCTCTGCCCCAACGACGCCAACCTCACCGCTACTCTCCAGGGCAGCGTCAACCCCGCAATCATCAGCGCTTGCACCGCTGCCGGTCTCCCCACTGACGGAAAGCTCCCCAACCCCGCTCCCTGGGTCACCGTCACTTCTTCCTCGGCTGCTCCCTCCTCGACCGGTGCTCCCGCCTCCAGCTCGAGCGCTGCTGCCTCCCCCGCTGCCTCCACCAAGTCCAGCGCCGGATCGATGCTCTCGGGCTCTGTCTTTGGCGCCGTCATTGCCTCGTTGGCCGCCATTGCTGCCATGTAAACGCCCACTCCTTCCCCATCCTCTCTCACCCTCAGCCCACGATCCTCCTATCCGTCGGTCTCGGCATTTTCCTCCACTCGACCATCCATCGATACACACAGCTCCCCCTCCCTCTGAGATACAAGAACCATAGAAGCCACCCGATCATTAGCCTGGAGTTTTCGCCCTTTTTTTTTATTTTATTCTATCTTTTTTTCCATTCGTTACCTAAATATAGCTCGCTCCTCCATTCACGGCATTTGCGAAAACGGCGATCGGTCTACCCATCGCTTGGTGTACCACGGGAGACGATCCTCTGTCGGTGCACTGCATCCGATCGAGTCCATGCCCATGCATGCATTGTCGTGTTCTTGCACACATTCTCCTCTCCACGATTCCGGATGATGCCTGTGCCCGACCGCCCTCGACCTCTGCATCGCTCTGGGATCAGCTGCGGCCCGCCGCCCGTCGTCCATGGCACCCCGATACGGCATACGTTGACCCATATCTGTTGATCTGATGCTGCTGCTGCCCCGGCATCACCGTTCGGCTGTTGGATCGCGCTCCCAAAACCTGCAGCCAGCCATCCCACAGCCATGCTTTGGCCAGCCATCCCGCAGCCAGCCACATCCGGGGCAGCGTCACGTGTGCACGGCCGTTTTTTTTCACTTTTTGCATGGAGCAGACATCCCCGATCGCCGTGGATGCGTTCAGAGCCGATCGTGATCGCTGGGCTTGGACGACTGCTCATCGCAAGCTTTCCTTCTCAACGAGGCCATCCTCGAATTCGCCACTCTTCGCCGCGATCTCCTTTCCCCCTCGCCTTCAAACCACTGCAATGAGTCTGCACGCCCTCCGAACGAAGCTCTCAGCTCTGGGTAATAGATTCGCGCATCCTCTCCCCTCCCCCAAATTTCGTTGGATAGATGCGCTGCTTGCGTATCCTGGATTCAAGTCCCGCTGTTTGTCTCTGTTATTGACGATCCAAGCGGATAGTGGGGCGCTGTGTCTCGACGGCCGACGGCCGACGGATCGCCGGTCCATGGTTGCGCCGATGCGACGACCTGGGCTCTGATCGGATTCTGTGTGCTCACGCTTTTGCTCATTTGCTCCTGCTGCACCAGCACCCCGAGTCTCTGGATCAAGGTAGTTAGTGCCGAAAAAGAAACCCTCGCAGCGAATGGATGGAGTCTCGTGTCGAGTGGCCATTCGATCCGCAGCAATCTTTCGGGCATTTCGCAAACTCGGTGACCTTGAGTCCCATCGTGGTCAATGCATCAGACGTGGAGGATCGAGAGCGCAGGCACTCGAGTCATACACCTATCGCTTCTTGAACCGTTCCCCCCATATGGCTCCGTCAGGGTCGGCATTGGGAGCGCTCTCAGGTTCCTTCATCACTCCAGACACCTGGGTTAACGATTTGACTTGCTCTCATCCTTGCCATCGCCACCACTGCCCTCGGTCTTCTCCAGTGCCGCTGTGGGATATTCGTCGCGATTCAGCTCCACGACCGCAACAAAGGATTTCTCCGTCGACGACGTTCGGTTCGTCCCGCCGTTCGAGGGCGAGCGAGTCGAGCCCGTCAAGCCCGACTCCTCCCGTCCGCAGGTCTACAGCCGGATAAAGAAGGAGCTGGCTACTCTGGATCTCAACAGCACCGTCTACGAACGAAGCAAGGACCACATCGAGTCGCTCTGGAGGGCCAAGGAGGCTTTGAACGAGCCCAGCCTTCCTCGGGTCCGTGGACGTGCCGAAGAGGTCTACGGTGACTTCCTGGAGCGCCTGAAAGCCGATGGAGGTGATAAGGTGGGTCCGAGTCCACATTGCTGGCCAGACTCTGCCGGGCAAGGGTGTGCAATCAAAATGCCTCCCCCCCCCGCGCCAGAACCACCGGGATGCGACGGATCGTTTGCTGCAAGCTGGATGGCCTCGATACAGCTACAGTCGCGATGTGTTCCGGATGCAGTGACGCCGCCCTTCCTTCCAGTATTTCCAATCATCGCGCAATTCTGATATGGTATCCTCTCGTCGCTTCAATGCAATCATGCGTTTCCCACGATGTCATTCTGTGTTCAGGTGTTCACCTTCCGACGAAACTATCTCCATGTCGAGTACACTCGCTTCATTCCTCTCTGCGACGACGTCAAAGGCCTTACACTCAACCAGGCCCTCCTCCAGATCGAGTGGTACCGCAAACCGATCACCCGCAAGATGAAGGAGTGCATCACCGAAGCCATTGTCCTCGCCAAAGAACAGGGATATGATCTGAACAAAACCTACATCGGTGAGTCTGCAAATACACACCCTCAACTCCCGCTAGCTTGCCCCATCCTAGTCGTTGTCGTTATCATTTGTGACTTGCTGGCCATCTGCACTCGATTCGGGCATATCCCCATGCCTGAGCCCTGTTTCTAACGACGATATGGACGGGTGACGTCATGCCCTCATTCTTCTTGTCCCCCCTCCCAGCCGAGGCCTACGTCAAGCCCGAGGCCGTTCTCTCTGAGAAACTGACCAAGAACTTTATCCGAGGCCGCGGTCGCTATGGCTCTACGCCGCACATTGTCAGCTCGATTCTGCAGCTGACCCTTCAGGAGCGCGAAAAGCCCTTCAAGAAGCGACTGGACGATCCGCTCGAGTTCATCCGTGAGCGACTGCGTGAGCGACAGCAGGCCTACATTGTCGATGCCGAACAGGTCTATCAAACTGTCCGTGCCAAGCGGCCTATCAAGCCCGTGTACTGCTGAGCTTTCCCTGTCCTTCCACTCCCAACTACCACTCCCCACCCCTTCATCTTTCGTCCGCATCGATTCTTTCTGCAGGGACCACTTGACAATGGCTGTGTAATAGGAAGAAAGAAAAGCCATATGTGCTGTGTCAACGTTCCTGACCTCCGAGCTGGCTCTCCGTGGGACTGTGCCTCGACACGGTCATTTCGGACTGTGCAGCCCGGGTACTAAATATTGGACATGCTGATCGGAGAGCAGTACCGCCGTGCAGCAGTGTGGAAATCAAGGGTGCTGTGTTTGGTTTCATGATGTGCGATAGATAGGCGTCGGTTCAATATCCAGAAACAAGCAGCACTCCCATCGCGAAACAGAGTCCCATTTCGCTGTAGTTACACAGCAAACGACCATGAGCGGTGTGTCTGTGCCGCCGGTGTATCCCCCGTCTCTGCGGATGCATGTCCAATACGTTCCTTGGGCTTCGCGAGCGGCTCCAACGCACGACTCGCGCCGATAATGCCGCTTGAGTTCGCTCTACTATGCTGCTGTACGTTTATATTCAATCGACCGGGGATCAGGACCATATGCCAATGTTCTTGAGATTGGAGACGGCCCAGTGTAGACGCTGGTCAGTGGCTTTACTGTAACAGTCGATCGCAGCGTCAACGTCCTTGACGTAGTTGAGGGCAACCCCGCTCTCATTGCAGCGGTAAACACCAACTATCCGCCGTGCATGCGAGCCGTCCAAGTCGGCCGACTTGCTGTACCAGCGGAAAGCCTTTGAGTGATCGAGTTTGACCCCATGCCAAAGCGATGACATTGCCCAAGCTAATACTGGCTGACGCTGTGGCCATCGTTGGCGAGTCGCTCGAAGGTATCGACCGCCCTCGCCTGGTCCTGGGCGATCCCGAAACTACTGAAAAGTCACGGCCATGAGCAACTTGCACAATGCTTTGTGCTCCGATCCCGGCTGGCACAGTTTGGAGAGCACGGAGAGTGCGGAGAGTGGATATTGATGGATACCGTTTTGATTCGGCTCTCCCACGGGAAGCACTTGCCTTGACGGGAAGCACTTGCCTTGACGGGATTTGCTTGTCTTGACGGGATGCGCCTGCCCCGTGTCCCCCACCACCAGCCGATCCTTTGCCATTGTCATTGCCATCGCGCATGTCTCTGAATGTGCCTCATATCAACCGGTCTGAGCAGCCGCCACCGGGAGTCACTTGATAACGTCCGCGAGTTTCGCATTCCCACAGGGATGTCGCGCCATCGCACTGCAGATAGGAACGATGGAGCTGCCACACCTCGGGCCCACTCGGCTCTGATTGTTCGTCCAGCCCGATGGAAGGATAAATAGTGCGATTTCGCTCGACAGGAATGCTCGGGGACGTCTGGTGCGTATTTCCCAAGTTCCAGGTCAAGTCAAGCCAAGCCAAGCCTGGTTGCGTTCTCTCCTGGCGTCGCCGCTCCGTTCTTTAGGTGAACGGGATGAGGATAAGTATTCTTGTCAAAACCGTGGGTTCTTTGCCAAATCCAAAATGTCTAGCCCAGAGCTTCCCACAGCTTGCTTCTCGGAGGTCAGTTCGTTGGAGGTACTTTGGTTGGTATTGTGTTTGCTGACCGTTCTGATCCGCGGCCAGTCTCATGTCGGCGAGAGAGCAAGGCATGTCAGTAAGTATTCCATGCTCGCGCTCTGCCGGGAGTCGACAATGTGTGGAGCCGTGACCCGGCAGGAAAAGAACCTGCTTTGGCTTTGGCATGCCAAGTGGTGCCTTCTGGACTGGTGGTTGGAGCAGAAAGAGCCTCGATCTCGGGGCAGCCACCACACCATCACTGTGACTGAGCAGGCAGAGTTCCCCCCCCTGTCTCGGGGTGCGCGAGACATCGTCGGGCTTGACCTTGACCTTGACCAGGGGAGCGGTCCATCTTGTCAGTTGCTCCTTCCTTATTCTCACATGTCCCCGGCTGTGCTTCAGTGCGAATATTCTCTCCGGGTCAGCGACTCCCCCCCCCGCGAAGGGGTTGATCTTGGGCTGATCCCGCGCCTCCTCGGAAGCCAAGCCGCCTCCCCCGCTGATCCGATCGAGGGACACCAACCTCCCTTGCGGAAGCGCCAGCCGCCGCAAGCAACACCAACCTCCTTTGCGATCTGCGGGGATGCTGCTGCTTCTGCAAGCGCGACGCACCGGCTGACACCGGCGACTGGCCGCCTGACCGGTCTTGGTCTGGTGCAAGCCGGGTTTGCGCGGGATCACAACAGCGACCACAGCGGAACGGCTTGTTGCACGATCCGGAGTGCGCTTGGCCGCGAGGTGGCACTTTGCGCGCAGATCTGTACTCGGCGCTGGTGCCGTGCAAGCGCCTTTCCGCCGGGCGAGCCATCGTTGCACAGGCCGCGTTGGCGTGGAAGGTGACACAGGCCCAGCCCGACAGCCCACCCGGGAGGTGCCACCGCAGGGCGACACAAAGACGGTGGGGGCGCTGGCTGCTCCTGGTGCGGTCGTGCTTGGCCTTGCCGGGCCCTTGCTGGGCGAGGCACGCTCATTGGACAGCAAGAGATGGTGCGACCGGGCTGGCAAACAATGCGATCGGCTCGGAGCGCCACCCTTCTTGGGAGGGGTCAGATGGCTGCGCAGAAGCAAGGTCGCGCCACCCGAGGCTTGTCGCCGAAGCTGCGTGGCCCGCGGACACAGCGCATCAGGGCGGCTCGACTGGTGACACGCCCCCGGGATGGGCCGCGCAACGCGCTTGGGCTGTGGGTCGGACGGCGCATCCTTCAGGTCAACAGGGGCACCCCCGCGACAAGCCTCCGCGCTTCTGACAAGAGGGAGAAGAAGGGGGGCAAATTTGCAGACAACCAGGCAAACCACAGCAAGCCGGCGACGATCATATGCTGGGCAGAAACAAGAGCAGTGTCCCACAGCCGGACCACTCTGGTCAGTCAACAGCAAACATGTGTCCTGGATTGCGTCGCAAATCGCGACTTGAATTGCGTCTTGGCCTTGCCGGCGATGCAATCAACCAGCCGAAATGAGCGTGTTGTTGGAGGGAAATGACCGAGTGCGGCGAAACCACTGCCGATGGCCAGACCGAGACGCAGTCACATGCAAACAGACGGAGGGCCTGGCTGGTGCTGTGGCCATATGAAAGGGCCGACCGACAGATTGGCCGACAGACAGACATGCAGACAGACAGGCAGAGAGATAGGCAGAGAGATAACGGTCGCTGTCGATCCAGCTCACCCTTGCTCCAGCTCAGAGCCCACTCCACAGTGCCCGCTCCACAGTGCCCACTCCACACTGTGCCCAGCGCAGACCCCGCCCGCGCCAGAGGGGGCGCTGCCGCGAGAGGCGCCGGCCTGACGCGCCACCCGAGTGTCGCACGGCGCGGCCGCGCCTGGGTGGATCGGCCCCGTGCGGTCCGCGCGTCGCCCCGCCTTGCTGCCCCGCCCCCCATGACAACCGGCGCCGTCAGCTGACAGCCTTCTCTCTTCCCGTCCAACACACAATCTCTGGCCCCTTGCCCCGCGCGCCTTGTCCGCCAGCCTTCCTTTCCGTTTCTCTCTGTTCCCGTTCCCCTCACACCCTTCGCCGTGCCCCCCGTGTGCCGCCTCCGTTGGCGTGCCCCCCTCTCGTTGGGCATCGCCAGGCGCCGTCTATAAGTACTCCCCCCCCCGCGGCCCCCCTCTTCTCTCGCCACCTCACCTCTTCCCATCCCCCGCGCTGGCAACCATGACTGAGGCCACCAAGAAGGAGCACCACCACACCACTCCCAAGCTCGACACCGAGGAGAAGGAGATCCTTGGTATCACTACCATCGACTCTGACGATGTCGAGCAGCTGGACGCCCACAGCGCCTATGCCCAGATCAGCGCCGTCGTCCCCACCACCGACGACCCGTCCGTGCCCTGCTTCACCGTCCGTGCCATGTTCCTGGCCATCCTCTTCTGTGTCATCACCTCGGCCGTCAACGTCATTCTGTCCTTCCGTACCAACGCCTTCACCGTCCCTGCCTACGTCGCTGTGGTAAGTATCCCTGTCGGTGCTGCGGGAGAAAGGGACTGTTTGTCCGCGCTCCACTCCTGCCCTCTCCCCACGATTCCATGGCCGGCTGTCCATGTGGCCGCCCTTCTGCCTCCTCCTGATTGAGCCCGTCGGACCCATCCTCGCTGTCGTCACACGAGCCCTAACACCCCCTTCCTTTCTGCCCTCCCACGCTCCAGATCATCTCGTACCCCATCGGTATCTTCTTTGCCAAGGTCCTCCCCGATGTCCGCTTCAAGCTCTTTGGCGTCGAGAACTCGCTCAACCCCGGCCCCTTCTCCATCAAGGAGCACGTCCTGATTTACATCATGTCCAACGCCGGTACTCCCTACGGTATTGACAACGTCGTCGGCCAGGTTTCTCCCCTCTACCTCAACGACACCTCCATCCAGATCTGGCAGTCGATGCTCTGGATTCTTGCCACCCAGTGCCTCGGTCTCGGCCTCGCTGGTATGGCCCGTGAGTTCCTGATCAAGCCCGCCGCCATGTACTGGCCCGGCAACATGGGTATCCTTGCCATGTTCGCCTCCTTCCACGACGAGACCCAGAAGTCCGCCGACTCCACCTCCAAGTACAAGACTTCCCGTTTCAAGTTCTTCTGGATCGCTTTCACTTGCGTTCTCGTCTGGTACTTTGTCCCTGGCTTCATCGCCCCCGCTCTCCAGGCCATCTCCCTCCTCTGCTTCTTCAACTCTGACCCCAACAGCCTCGTCGATATCTTCGGCTCGGCCACCAACGGCGTTGGTATCCTGGCCCTCACCCTCGACTGGTCCCAGTTCAACGGCTTCGTCTCGCCCATGACCGCTCCCTTCTGGGCCAACTGCGTCGTCATCATTGGCTTCATCATCTGGTCGTGGATCATTGTCCCTATCGCCTACGTCAACAACGTCTGGGACGGCAAGTACGTCGGCTGCAAGCACCCCGGACCCAACGGCTGTGGTTTCCTCAATGGCAACGGTCTCTTCAACGGCTCTGCTCTTGGCCAGCGCCTCAGCGGCCGCATCCTCCTTGACCCCACCACCTTTGACCTTGATCCCGTCAAGTATGCCACCGCCGCTCCCGTCCATCTCGGCATGTCCTTCATCTTTGTCTACGCCACTTCCTTCATCTCCATCACCTCCTCCATCACCCACGTCGCCCTCTGGTACGGCAAGGACATTGTCCGCCAGGCCCGTGTTGCCCTCAACCAGCTCAAGGAGGATGCCGAGCACCAGGACATCCACAACAAGCTCATGGCTGCCTACCCCGAAGTCAGCAACTGGGTCTACCTCGGCATCTTCCTGTCCTCCACCGTCCTGATGCTCCTCGTCGGTGCCTTCACTCCCTACAGAATCCAGTGGTGGGGTGTCCTCTTTGCCGTTGCCCTCGGTGTCGTCTTCGTTATTCCCCTCACCACCATCACTGCCCTCTCTGGCCAGTACATTGGCCTCAACGTCCTGACCGAGTTCATCATGGGTCTCCTCGTCCCCGGTGATATGATTCCCGTCATGTCCTTCAAGTCGCTCGGCTACAACACCATGATCCAGGCCCAGACCCTCCTCAACGATCTCAAGATCGGCCACTACATGAAGGTTCCTCCCCGCGCCATGGTTGCTGGTCAGGTCATCGGCGCCATCCTCTCTGCCCTGGTTTGCGTCCCCGTCGCCACCTCCTTCACTCTCTCGCCCCTCGTCGGTAAGGGTAACTGGCAGGCTGCCGGCTACGGTGTCTTCTACTCTGCCGGTACGATTTGGGGAGCCATCGCCCCTGCCCGCTTCTTCGGCAACGGCGCTCTCTACCACGACATCCTCTGGGCCTTCCCCGTTGGCCTCGTCGCCCCCATCCTCCCCTGGCTCGGAAACAAGATCTACAAGCACCCCTACTGGCACTTGGTCAACGTTCCCATCCTTGTCTCGTGGATCGGTCCCCAGAGTGGCAACCAGGTCCTCGTCGTCGTTCCCTTCATCGTTGCCTTCGTCTCCCAGTACTACCTCTTCCGCTACAAGAACGAGTGGTGGAAAAAGTACAACTTTGTCCTGTCCGTCGCTCTCGACTCTGGTGTCGGTATCGGTGCTACCCTCCTTGGTGTCCTCCAGCTGCTCTTCCTCCAGACCGATGAAGATGGCAACCCCATTGGTGGTTTCCTGATGCCCAACTGGCTCCTCAACCCCGCTGCCAACCTTGACTTCTACTGCTTCGGCACCGACTACATGGGTAACCCCCTCAGCAAGTAAAAGGTACCGACGAGAAAGTCATCGGTTGTGTGTGGAATCGAGCCCGCTCATTGTGCGGAGCAAAATACTCGTTCCCCTCTTTTTGCTCTTCTATGGATGGTCTCCTTTCCTGTCCCTGCTGATTCTCAATCCCCCCTCTCCTTCCCTGCTCTCGTTGATCTGTGTGCATCTCTATGCCGTTGCTCGCTGAAATGCTTAGTCCCTCCCCCCCCCTTCCTGAATGGGATTTCTATATTGTCTCTTGCTCAAGCTATGTCTGGTTCGGACCGCCGACACTAAAAAAAAAGGATCGGATCCCTCCGCTCAACAAATGCGGCTGTTTCGATACTGTCGTGGTGTTCTTGTGTCTCTGCCGAGCTTGTAAAAAAAACTACTCCTTTTCAAACATTCGTCTCTGCGTCCCTCGGTGTGTGTGGTTGAGTGTGTCGGCAACTTGGCTTCCTGCAGTGAGTCGGCTTTGCACCAGCGCACCATCAGCAGCGCATTCTGAAATGCAAGAGCGGACTCCAATCTCGGTAGCTCCACATCAACCACCGTCCGTTGTTAGCTTGCCAGGACAACAGCTTCGCCTCTGGTGGATGGCCCCAGAAAGAGCGACAACCTTGGTCCAGACAGAGCTCCCCGTTTCGTTTCGCACGATCCCACCCGCAACCAGCGAGCCGCCAGTCCACGAAACCAGGGTCGATGAAGATCACGTGCAGGATATTTGTCCATATTTGGAAATATGTCTCCCCAAGCCCCGCTCCCAGAACCGCCAGCGCAGATCGGCCCACAGCCAGAGCGAGCCTGCTTCGCCGCCCTCCCTCTGTCCCGCCAGCACACCGACACTCGATCGGTCAATCGATTCATCCGTTTCCAGGCCGATATCACCATGGACAGCCGCCGAGCAGGGCGTTCGTCCAACTCCCGGAAGCCGCTATCGGCGCTCAAGGAGCTCCGCGACGCCAAGGCCGGCATCCGCCGGACGGAGCAGTACAGCAGCGTATGTTGGACGGATCTGAGCGTTGCCCTGATCGATCTGCCGTGCGAGTCGATGCCTTCTCCTCAAGCGGCTTTCAATATTGTCCGCGCGTGCGAGCTGTATCTATTTGCCTTTCGCCGAGACTCGGCGGTTCAGGCCGCTCTGGTCGGAATGACAAAGCCACTAAATCAACGATCGTCTGTATCGATTCGGATCTCTGCTCCTCTTTCCCCCTCGCTCTTGCATCTGTTTCGTGACGTTTTGTTCTCCCGGCACAACTGGAATGAAATGAAATGAAATGGAATGGCAGACTGTGAGCCAACAAGACACCCAAATCTACGATATGGTGGAAGAGGAGGAGTTCACCGAAAAGTACCGCTTGGGCCTTGTCGATGATGACTTTGTCGTCGACGACGACGGCCGTGGCTACGTTGACGACGGACGAGACCACTGGGAGAACTCGAGCGAGGGAGATCCCGAGGACGATGAAGACGGTGAAGAGAAGGCTGACGAAGGTACCAGAGTGCTCACGTCTAGTTGTGACAACCCGGAGACAGCTTCGCCCTCGCTTTCGGCCTCATTCACCATCGAGTGTGTTGTCGCGAGGGGGATCTGTCCTGGCACCGGACCGGCATCCCAAACAGCATACAATCGAGCAGCTTTTGGCGTTTCTCTTTCCTAATCCACCACCACCGTCGCTATTACCGCCACCTCTGTTTCTCCCGTCAAGATCGCAAGAAACGAAAGCATACCCGGAAGGAAAAGTCCGCGCCGATCGTTCAAATGCTTGCCAAAATGGGCCAAGCTGCTGCCCCAAAGCCCAGAGCCCAGGCATGTCTCTATCATCTGTGGCAATGCTTGTTCAGAACCGTAGTCGTTCCTTCTCGTGCCGGCGAATCGTGTCGATTGTGCGTTGGTCGACATTTGGTCGACATTTGCAGGATCTGTCTCTGCCGATCAACCAAACTCACGACCTCAAATTCTACTCCACGGATGTAACCAGGACCCACACAAGCAAGAAAAAGACGCAGACTTCCTTTCCTCCCTCCTGGGAGACCTCGACAACGAGGTGCTTGAGTATCCGCAGAAGCGCTTCAAAGCAGAGCCCTCTGCATCGGCTCTCGCTGTCACTCCTGTGATCCCGGACTGCTACGTCTCCACCAAGTCAGCGTACACATCCGCGAGTTCGTCAAAGCTGGGCCGCTCGCACACATTGGCATCGCCATTGGTTAATGTCAAGAAGGAGGCAAGTGCCATCTCCACACACATATGGCAGAGTGTTTGGGCATCAAGGAGCTTGACACCCCCTCGTATTATCGAGACGAATGCTGGCACCTGACAACTGGCCAAGCCCTGACACTCGATCCGTCCCTCGCCCAGAGCTTTGCTCCAAGCTTGGACGATTCCAGCGCATTCGATTCGTATGACAATGACTCCATGGAGATTGATGTCAAGGCCGAGTCCTTTGATGATATTGCCGACGACGCTTTGGCCGCCGCCTCCGCAGCCGCTTTCGACCTCAATCCCTCCAGCACCGTCAAATCTGAGCCTGAGCCCGAGCCCGAACCCGAGCTCGAGCCCGAGTCCAACTCCGAACAAATGATTGTCAAGCCTGTCGCCCACGTCAAAGTCCAGGCTCTTGAGACCAAAACGGCCACCAAGCTCAACATCATCCCAAAGTTCGAAAAGCCGACTCCGACCGTGTCGGTGCCAACGTCCCCCACGCTTTCATCTTCTCCAGCCGCACCCAAAAAGCCCAGAAACCCTGATCTTACTGCCTGGCAGGATGTCAAAACGGCCATGGAGGCCACGATGAGCCTGCCCATGGGACAAATCGGCTCAACGGCCTCCAAGGTTGATATCCTTGAGCCCTCGGGCACCGTGCGAATGTATTGGTTTGATGCCTACGAGAAAAACGGACAGGTTTACCTCTTCGGCAAGGTACGGCTGCCCGCCCCGTGCATATCCTCGGCGGCTCTGCACAAAGCTTGCACTTTGGTCTTGTTTGTCCCGATTGATTCACCTATGTCTTGCATTCAAACTGGTGCTTGAAGGACCATGCTAATAACTCTGTTGGAATCTCGACTCTACATCATAGGCCCTCAACAAAAAGGACGGAAGATACATCAGCTGCACTCTCATCGTCAAGAATATGCAACGCAACGTGTTTATTCTGCCACGAAAATACTTCCATCGTATGTTTTCGGGTGGGGGCGAGTGTGGTTCTGCAGGAACAGGGGGGTGGCCTTATCGAGGCATTTGTCGATCGCAAAGTGCGATGGCATATTGCTCTGCCCAGGTCCTGTGCTGACTGACCATACTGACTATCCATGCTGAAACCTGATTCAGAAAATGGAAAGGACACCGACGTTGAGGTCGAGTTTGGCGACGTGTATAACGAAGTCGATGAGATGCGAAAAAGCCTCAAGATTGCCGAGTTCCGCGCCGCTGGCGTGTCTCGAAAGTACGCTTTCGAGGTCCCTGGAATCCCTGCCGAGGCTGACTACATGAAAGTGGTCTATCCTTACTCAGGTGCGGTGATCGACAGTCCTCGTGCCCTTTGCATACTCGGTCCATCTTTGGAATTGCCGTCACCATCGGACCAAGACCGGCATGCGGGCTGCTCTAACCGAGATCATCGGCGATGGTATTTCAACAGCACCGGCATTCACCTTCAAGTCAGGCGAGTCATTCAGCCACGTCTTTGGTTCCAACACCAACCCCCTAGAGCTCTTTATCCTGAAGCGAAAGTTGATGGGCCCCTGCTGGATCGAAATCACAAACCCGCAAATATCCACTCCAACGGTTCGTCAGCGGTCGACTTGGTCTTGTCTTCCTATCGAGTCGAGCATGGACGTCAATCGACGGCGAGGGTGAGTCGTGACTGACTTTGCTCCATCGTAACTACGATCGGCAGGTCTCGTGGTCCAAGGTGGAAGTCACGGTCGAGGACCAGAAACACGTCGCCGTTATGCGAGAGGGCGAGGGCGAAGACAAGGCCCCGCGCGAGATCCCGCCTCTGGTAGTCATGAGCATGAGCCTGCGCACCGTAATGAATCACCAAAAGCATGCCAATGAAATCGTGGCCCTGAGCTGTCTTGTCTATAATGAAGGTACGGGCATCCTCTGGTCGCCTGGCAAGCTCCTTTCCAGCCAACCTCGCTTCAATGGTCATACACGCTGTGACATGGCACTCGGCGTCGCTTGAGCACTTCTGTTTCAACGATATGCGCTGCTGGGACCCATCCCTCGCGCGTTTTCACTCACATGCTCTTTTATGCTCGCTTTATGGGACCGACTTTGCAACGTTGGTCCTGGTTCTCCAAACCGCGTGACCACGCAGTGAACATCGAGGATGCTTCAGGGACCAAGCCCCAGGCCACCAGCTTCACAGCCATTCGTCAGCTCAACAACATGCCATTCCCACTGGGATTCGGAGATCTAATCAAGAAGCAACACTGTCGCATCGAATGCATGCCCAACGAATCGGCCATTCTGAACTTTTTACTGGGTGAGCCTGCGCTGTTTTCAGGGTCACCTTATTTCGCAAGACATGGCACAGCCTACAGAATTGCCCAGTCGCAGCCTGGTTCTGACTCGACTACTCTCCAGCCATGATCCACCGCACCGATCCCGACGTCATTGTCGGGCACAACTTTGTCGGTTTCGATCTTGATGTTCTGCTGCACCGCATGAAGGCTCTCAAGACTGCCCACTGGTCCAAGATTGGTCGTTTGCGCCGGACGGTGTGAGTGATAGTTATGCAATCCGTTTTTGGGGTCACAGATGCCGTCCAGCATCGCGAAGGGACTTGCAGGCTCCGGGATTACCATTGACCGACATTGCATATGCACAGGTGGCCCAAGCTTCAGGCTGGTGCTGGTGGAACCGGCGACACATCGTATGCCGAGCGCGAGGTGTGCAGTGGCCGTCTCATGTGCGATACCTACTTGGCTGCCAAGGTAAGTGTATTTTTGGCTCTGGTGTCCACCGACACAGCCCCGGACACTCCTGGCGGCGGCGTGACAACTAATCATGAGCCACGAACCTTTGTACCAACCAGGATCTGATCCGGTCCAAAAGCTACGGCTTGACACAGCTGTCGCTCTCCCAGCTCAAGGTCGATCGAGACGACATTGACTTTGACCAGATCCCGTCGTACTTTACCCAAGCCGACAAACTGATGGGCATGATACAACACTGCAGAGTCGACAGCTATCTGACGGCCGAGTTGATGTTCAAGCTCCAGATTCTCCCGCTCACCAAGCAGCTGACCAGTCTGGCCGGGAACTTATGGTAACGCCTGCTGTTGCCGCTGATGCAGGGCTTGGAAAAGGGGCTTCGAGCCTTGTCTTTGCGTGTGGTCGTCGAGATCGCCGGTGCACATACGACCGCAAAGATGTTCGCAAATTTCTGGCGCATTCTCATGGAGCTTCTTCATCCAATATTTGTCCTTGCGTGATCGTCATTCAATCTGCGTATGACTGTCGGGCCCGCTCGTAACAGGGGCAGAACCATGATGGGCGCACGCGCCGAGCGCAACGAGTACCTCCTCCTCCACGAATTCCGCAACAAAAAGTACATTGTCCCCGACAAAGAGTTCAAGTCAACCAAGGTTGTTTTCGATCAGCTCAATGAAGGCGCTGACGACGATGCAAATGGTAAGGCTATCGGGAACCTGAAGGGCGGCCTTGTGAAGATGCCGCATCAAAGTCCCTCCCTAACGGCAAACCTGTGGTGCTCCCCCCCTGTGCCTCTCAGATGAGGGATACACACAAAGTAGCAAAAAAGGACCAAGTCGACGCAAGCCGGCATACGCTGGTGGCCTGGTCCTGGAGCCCAAGAAGGGACTCTACGACAAATTCGTGCTTCTCCTCGACTTCAACAGTCTGTATCCTTCCATCATCCAAGAGTACAACATTTGCTTCACAACTGTCCAGCGCACGTACTCTTCTGAGGTAGGGACTTCCTGCGACCCTGTTGATAAACACGCTGTCGCTGGATCGCCAGTCACCAAGCACAACACTGCGAGTGGCGATACATGCCGCTCGTGCAATCCAGAGCTACATTCGACTGACCAGAGTGCTGCGCCTGGTGGCTACCCTTTCACCAGATTGATCAACTTCCCGAGGTACCCGATCCCGAGCTCGAGAGAGGTGTGCTGCCCGAGCTGATTGCCAACCTTGTCAATCGGCGCCGAAGCGTCAAGCAGTCGATGAAGGATTCGAGGCTGTCGCCCATCCAGCATGCCCAGGTAGGCTCGATGTTCGCTCGCTTACAAGCGCTTCAAAGCGGCTGCAGCTGACCGCCGGCCGTCAAACTCCGTACCTGACTTTTGTTCGTCCGTGGCGTCTAGCTGGATATCAAGCAGAAAGCCCTAAAGCTCACGGCCAACAGTATGTACGGCTGTCTGGGCTTCTCGCACTCCCGCTTCTTTGCCAAGCCGCTCGCGATGCTGATTACGGCAAAGGGCCGTGAGATCCTCCAAAACACCGTCGATCTCGCCACGCAGGAGAAGCTGGATGTGAGTGTCCTGTTCTTGACGACGCCTTCCGCAGAGGATGCGTTGGACTGTCTTTGGCCCTGCGATGCCAGCGATCGGCTCGTATCCTGCTGCGCGCTGCTACAGATCGCATCGCCAGATGAACGAGCTGCAGCCTCCTCCTGCTTCTCCCTTGCTCATGCGTGGCAAGTCGAGTCTGCGACATGTCCATCGCGGTTGCTTACCCGATATTCGTTGCTATGATTCAGGTCATCTACGGCGACACAGACTCGGTCATGATCAACACGCACACGGACGACCTCACTCAGGTCAAGAAGATCGGCTACGACTTCCAGCGAATGGTCAACAAACGATACCGCTTGCTCGAGATCGAGATGGATGGCTTTTTCCGACGCATGCTGCTGCTCAAGAAGAAGAAATATGCGGCCCTCACGGTGACCGAGAAAGACGGTGCCATCTTCACCACTCTCGAAACCAAGGGCTTGGACTTGGTCCGTCGCGACTGGTGTGGACTCAGCCACGACGCTTCCAGGTTCGCCTCTTGTCCTCTGCCGTATCCCAGCCAGTGCTGCTTGAAGAGTAGTGCCGCCTGTATTCATCGCCTGTATTCATCGCCTGTATTCATCGCCTGTATTTACCATCGATGCTCTCCACAGCTACGTCTTGGATCAGATCTTCTCTGGTGAAGGCAAGGAAGAAGCTGTCGAGAACATCCATCGCTTCTTGCGCGAGCTTGGCGAAAACGTCCGCCAGGGCAAAATCGAGCGCGCAAAGTTCATTATCAACAAGGTATGTTTCCGATGAATTCGGCGAACGGCAACCTCTTCACGTTTTGACTGGCTGCTTGATAACCCTTCCGATTTGATTACCCTCCAGTCGCTCACCAAAAACCCAGACGACTATACCGATGCCAAGATCCAGCCGCATGTCCAAGTCGCCAAACGCATGCAGCAGAAGGGCATGAGTGCCCGTGTTGGCGACACCATTCCGTATATCATTTGTGTCACCAGCGAAGCGTCTGGAGGCATCGCCTCAAAAGCCAGACACCCCGATGAAATCGAGAAGGATCCTGTTGAAAATGTCATTGGTGGGTCTGGCTTGGCTGACGGATGCTGCGCCGCACTGTTTGAGGAGCTGTCGCTTCGGTGGCTTTGCCTCGCTCCGCTCGAAGCATCTTTGCTCACCATTGCCTAACTGGCCGCGATCATGTTCTGGTTGTAGACTACGAGTGGTACCTCAGCAATCAGATCCACCCGCCTATCGCGCGTCTGTGCCAGCCCATCGAAGAAACAGACATTCGCCGCCTTGCCGACTGTTTGGGTAAGCGACTGAGCCTTCCTGCGACTATGTTGCCGTTCAGCAGCAACTGGCTGTGTCTGGGCACCTTCTTGACCCATGAGCGCTACGTTTGGCTCACGTATTCCGATGTATTTTCTTGCAGGTCTGGATGCCAAAAAGTACAACAACGTTTCTCTCACTGGAAACTCAAACGAGGCTGATTCCCTTCATACGTTTGAGTCTCAGATCACCGACGCGGAGCGATTCAAGAATGTCGAGAAGTGGTCGCCACGATGTCGCAGCTGCGGTGAATGCAACCCGTGGGAAGGCGTCGTCCGTACAGTGCACACCCAAGCCGAGGATCCGTCAGGCGACAGCGTCAAGTACACGAGCCCGCTTGTGTGTCCAAACGCCTCCTGTGGCAAGGCACTCGAGATTCCATCGCTGGTGACGCAGCTGACGATCCAGATTCGCAAGCATATCTCGAACTACCAGAGGGGCTGGCTCATCTGCGACGATGCTGCTTGTCGCACCAAGACGAAGCAAATCTCGGTGTATGGAAGCCGATGCCTCATGCCAGGATGCCGCGGTACCGTGGCATTCGAGGTGGGTGCCATTCATCTGCTCGAGGAGTGGAGCCAAACTATGTGAACATCGGGCCGAAGGGAGAGGACGGCTCGGTCTGTTGCGATCTGCTAACAGCTTTTCTCGAACGGCTGCTGCAGTACACGGATGCTGCCCTGTATACCCAGCTCCTCTACCTCGAGACGCTGTTCGATGTGCAGAGGTTTCTCCGTCAGATCGAGGAGTCCAAGGACGGTCGGAGTGGTAAGTGGTGATCACATTGCTGCTATCTCATTTCGTCATCTCCTCTTGCACGAAAGCTATGGGCCCGCGCGACCAAAGCCCACTGACGATTTGTCTGGCCTTCTCTGCATCCCTGGGACATTGCACAGAGCTGCTCAAGAGCGAGGCATACAAAGTTGGCGACGCACTCGTGCCTCTCCATGCGGTAGTGCTGTCCTATTTGGAAAAGAATGGTCGCCGATACGTCGATCTTGGCCAGTTGTTCAGCTTCTGCATCGCCATTGATCGATAGTGCTCGATTGGGTATCTCTTGGTTCGAATACAAGGTGCTCCCGTCACATTCGTGCACTGTGGATGGGTGGTGGCCGTGTGAACTGTATTCGCTCACGGATAGACCAGTACAAACCAACCATACTCTGGCGACAGGGCTGTCGCTTGTTTCTGGGACTTGAATACACCCCGTTTGTGGACTGGACGAGAGACATGCATGTGGTGAATAAACATGTATATTCAGACACAAGGGGTGGCGAATGCAGCGGCCGACAATCGTCAAATGATAGCAACAATAACAGGCAGCTGGCTTCACCGCATGCGCCTAGTCCGAATCGCGGTTGCTCGACAGGAGCTGGAGGATTCTCAAGAACAAGTTGAGGATGTCCAAGTAGAGCTCCACAGAAGCCACGACGTAATCCTCGGGCGACATGCGCTGGAAAAGCTGGAAGGTGTCGTAGATGATGTATGCGCTGAAGAGAACGATTCCACCAACGCAGAGGACAAAGTTCAAGAAGCTTCCGAACGGGACAAAAGCTTGGACAATGCCGGAGATGATGAGGATCTGCACGGGGTGGCGGATGCAGAAGGTTGGAAGAATGAAGCATGAGGAAGTGGATGAGAGGCCATTTGCACCGACCAGCTCCCACCTCATTCGCTTGCGCAGGGCCGAGCACCAGGACACTCGACTGGGCCACCAAGTCCACGCAGCAGAGATGCGGTTATGCTGGGAAGCTTCCAACATGACCGTTTACAGGGTTGTCGGCATACATACCCAGATACCTGTCCACACAAACGGTGCGAGGAAATCAAACTCGATACGGCTCTGGATGGTAAACAAGGTCAAGCCAATGAACAGCGCAGCGGTCAAGATGACGGCCTGGAGGACAATGGTCGAGTCGTAGAATGTAACTGGAAGCGGAGGAACAGAGGACAGTGTTAGCTCTCGTGACTTTGCTATGCAACCGTGTGCGCGGGAACGAGGGAGGAAGAGGAGGGCATTAGAGAAAGCGGACTGCCCACAGCCTCTGCTTGACGAGACCTACCGACAGTTCCGACCAAATAAGCCTCGGCGAAAGTGAATGCACCGAGGAGGAAACTGGCCACATCAAGGTGGTGTTAGCGGTGCTGCCGATGAACACAGCGCGTCGGTATCGCAGACCATCCGCAGTGCTGCATCAACTCACATGTTGGTTGGGTAGCTCCGGCGGTAGATGGACATGGCAATCAAAACAACAAACGACAAGATGATCGAGGTCCACAGCAGCCAGGAACTTGCGGTGATGATCAAGTACGTCAGAGGGTAATGTTCAGTAGGCGAGTCTGGAGACGAGCCGCCAAAGCCGACTCGCTCGGCTCGGGTGGCTTGCATTCGCAATAGAACTCACTGTGTTTGGACCCAGGATTTGATGGAGCTATTCAGCATGAACAGCAAGCTCACTGCCGTCGTCAGGGTGAGCTGGCCAGCCAAAATGAAATAGACTTTACGGACAAAGTCTGTGCACAAGGCGCCAAGACAACAGCGGGTTAGAGTCGTCATGACTATAGGGCACTCGCCGACCGGCTCATCGGCCCAGCCACTCCAAGGGCCAACGGGCGGCAGCAAACGGGCAGCGACACAGCGGTACCAACCAAGACGGACAGAGGCCGAGGACTGCTCAACGGTAGCTCCGTATTTGCTGTGGATGTGGATCAAAGCATCAGCATATCGCTGCAGCACCAGACAGCCGCCCGCACATGCCACCACTCACAAGTCATCGGGCAGGTCGCTGTCGGGATCGCCGCCGAGGGCAGGGAAGGCCGAGTAGCGCGGAGGGCTATCGTTGCTCTGGATAGGGGTGTACGCAGATGACATGGCGGTGCAGGGCGATGCAGGGCGATGCGGGACGCAAGCGCAGGGAGACTGGCGATGGGGGAATAGGCGATGGAGGAAGAGGGAGATGGAGGAAGAGGGCCAGGCGGCGGATGGATGGATGGACGGGGCGGACTTGGCGAAATGGTGGCGCAGACCGCCGCCGCTGATTGGCCCGCGGGCCGTGCCGTCCCGGTTTTGGCCGCCCTGGCTTTTGGCCGTCGATACCCTCCGTCTGCCCTCGATACCCTCCATCAACTCTTGATACCTCTGTCCCCGTGTATCCCGCAGCACCCCCTCCGCACTTATACACTGCCCTGGCCTGTTCCCACGGGAAGCTCGCTACCTTCTGCATCCCGCAGATCCCTCCCCCCTCACCCCTTCCATTCCATTCCGCCGCAATGATATCCCACGACCATCCACATCGATCGACTCTCAACGAGTGAGTGACAGCCAGAAGGCCATGCAGATCGTCCTGCCTCGACTCGGTCCGCCGGCATTGTGGCTAGATTTCAGTGGGTCCGGCTGTTGCTGCTGCTCCAGAGTATCAGCGTCCCCCACTCCTTCGGCAGCTTGCTCATCGCTACTGTTCGCTGTTCTGGATGATGTCCTGGGCTCGTGGCGACCTCTCTTCGTCGGTATACCGCAACCGCTCCCGCATATCCAGGGTATGTGTATTCGTATTCGAGACGCTGTACGGGTGGTCCTGTTCGTATACTCGGGCCACATTCCTTGCCTCCATCTGTCGATGATCGTCCCCTCTATTCTCGCCCGTTGGCAATCGCTCGGTTCGGGCCTTGCTAAATACCCTCGAAACGGTTTGCAGATATTCAACGAGACATCCAGCTCGCTTCTCCAGCGCCTCGGTCTTCAAGGTAGGCTCGTTTCGGTCCCGTCTTGTGCAAACAGCTTACTCTCGCCCGCGCATTCGCCAAGCTCGCCTTCTGCTCCTGCCCAGCAGCCACCAACCCATCACGAAGCGTCAATGGATTCAAACAGCCGAACGGACAAGCCCAAATGTGCAGCCAAGCACAGGCTGTCCGGACCCTGCTGACCCCCTCATTGTCGTGCTGACACCCGGTTTATTTCGTCCAATGTCCGTGACTCCAGACATCGAGCTTGTGGACCATCACGACATCCATGGCGTCGACCAGATTCCGTATGTACCCAAGACTGCATCGCTGGGTGCTCGACCAACCAAGCCAAAGCTGCTTGTGTGTTTATGCAGACGGAACCATCGGCTCGTTGTGCTCCTGGGACGACAGCTTCCTTTACGTTTGGATCCCGGAGATGTCATTCATTTGATTTGGACCTTGCTCTGATATCAACACCCTTTCCCGAACAACCCCATCTCTCGAAACAGCCATGCCATCGGTGTCATTTTGATCTCTTGGAATCCTGTTGTGCACAGCTTTCCGACAAGCCAGCGTCTTCGAGATCTCAATGTGAGTCCGTACGAGACGCTTTCTTGGGCGCTAGCCCGTCGAAGCTATCGCAATCGCATCCTCCTGACCGGTGTCGCAAATGTGCCCGCTGTTTCATGCATCATCGTCAACAAGACAGCTCGGCATTGGCGGGTGGTCTGCTTCGACATCTGACATGCTCTGCCATTACTGCACGCACTGCTTCTGGTACTCTCTGATCTTAGGTCCAAGACGTTCGGCAGCAGACGATTCTGTACTTGTACCAAAACCACTCTCTTCACGAGTTCAACGACCATGCAGGTACTACCTTGAACAGGCTCGGAAACGACCAAATGTATTGCCGCCGCAGGATATGGCTGTATGAGCGCAAAGATCCTCCCGTGAGATTCGTTTGCCATTGACTCTTGATCCACCGTTGCACAGATACTCCAATGCATCTCGGATGGCTTGAGGATTACGAGTGGCTTGAGCGAAGTAAGTCAGCCGGAGAGTGATGGTACAAGGCAGTACACTATCCAGCCCTCCCGACATGTCCCATTACATCAGCACTGCAAACTTATTCTGTCCCAATCCTTGCAGCCAAGAGGGGATTCAATCATAAGATCAAGACCTTCAAAGAGAGCGATCTAAGCTGGTCGTGGAAGGTGGTTACCCAACGACCTGGCACCGAGCGGTCAAACGATCCGCCCCTGTCGGCGGTCACCATGTCTGAGGATTTCAAATCCTACCGCCTCACAACCATCGATGAGGAGGACATGCTACCGCATGGGCTGGGACGCATCCGCGCCGACGCCGAGATCGACACCAAGACCACACAGAAGCTCGGGAAGGCCGTAAAGCGTCTAACAGCCGGGGCATTGTCGTGCTTCTCAAACGAATCCCTCCACAGTTACAGCTTTGCATCCTTCGAGACCAGGGTAGGCCTTCGACAAAACATGCGTCACGTTGAGAGGTGGGATCGATATCAGGGTGCACATGCGCATCTGCATCGACGCTTGATGCCGACTGATGACATTGATCCACACTGGGTGTCGTGCGCAGAGCCCTTTCCACTCAGCGATCGATCACACCATGAAGGAGCTGTTTTCGCCTACCCGAAGCGACATCTTTGCCCTGAAGACCCCCGTAATGTCCCCGACCCCGAGTCAGGGGTCCAAAACAACCGACTCTCCTTCGAGAACGCCCAAGGCCACCATCACCGTCAACACTAGCGTCGGTCTCTTCGGAATCTCTGGCGGCCGATCGGCCTTGTCGTCGCCCAAACTCACACCCTATACTCCGACCAAACACGTTGCCCCAAACCAAGCCATGATCACCACCAATGCCAGCTACGAGATTCTGACATGCAACGAAGTTGCTGTTCGGTTGGTTGGGTACTCCTCCGTTGATATCATCGGCACCAACATTCTCTCGATACTGTGCTCGCCGTATCGAGAAAAGTTTCGGAAGCTTCTCCAGGCTGTCTGTTCAGTGAGTGGCCGCGCAACATGTTTGGGCAGCGTCGCTGCAGGCGACAGTCTGTTGGGTCCAAGTGTGCTGGCCTGTGGATCTGTGGTAAGCAACTGCTCCGCACGAGTGTCGATACGGGTCGGGCTGGCAAGCGCAGGTCTGGGCGCGCTGAGACGAGATCTAAATACACCCTTATACTCTCTGGCCCTTCAGATTCGCATAAAGAGGAAGGATCGATCAATCTACCCTGCCTCATTATGGCTCAAGGAAAGCGCCAACGACTCGGGCAGCAAGATATATATATGGGTCTTTGAAAAGATCGACGAGGATATGATCGAGCTCGAGATGTCGTCTGAGGTAAAGCAGCCACTTGGACAGCAGTGACCCGACAAACGAGCGGCTTTGCTGGCTTTGCGGCTCTGTGGCTCACGGCGATACCTTTTTCCCTTCAGGGGCTGCTGTACGACGTTTGTGGCGAGTTCTCCAAGCTCTACGGTGCTGACTTCAGTGCGGCCGAGAGACTTTATCTACAGGATATATGTCCATCGCTGCTCATCCAGGACGATTCACTGGAGCTGCTGGACATAATCAAGAAGTGGAAGTTCTTTGGTGCTCGCTCCAGGGAAGGAGCAACGTTTCCTATCCTCCTCAGGGTAGTGGCCGACCAACCCCTTGGTACTACTTGGCCAAATTACAGCGCCAAAGCAGGAGCACCCCTGCCCAGCGAGCATGACGGGCCGAATTTGCAACCCGGGCCGAAATCGGCTGATGATCTGGATCCGGAAGCCAGCATTCACCTGCAGCTCATCTCTATGCCAAACATTGCGGGGGTTGTTACCGTCCACGAGAACGGACTGATCCAGTCCTGCAATTCGATTTTCACAAAGTTCCTCTTTGGCCTGACCAGCAGCGACATTGTCGAAAAAAGCGATATCACCGAGCTGCTCCCTCAGTTCTGGCAGCTCCTGAGCGCCGCTACCAACAACGGAAGCGACCTCAAGGGATACACTCCGATCCAGCTGATCCCGCCGTCAAAGTGCCGCAAGGTTGCTGCCGTGTCCCCCGTTTCGGCCGGCTCGCTGACACACTTTCCAACCGACTCGACACCTCGCACCGGAGGGTCGGTCAATGTCGCCAACGTCATCGCCGAGGCCACACGCTCGACCGGCAGTCTGACGCAGGCGTCCCGCCAGGCCGTTATGACGAGCGGTGTTATTGCTGTCCACCGCGACGGAACTCGCTTCAACGTCGATCTGCATATCCGGCCGGTGCATGTCTCTCATGAAGTCCTGTACGCTGTCTGGATCACATTTGACCGCGCACTGCACTCACCGCCCATGTCGACCACGCAGCCGTCTTCGCCTGTTCGCGGGCTGAGCGTCGCCGGAGACCAATCGCCTGTGACGACTGGTTCGTGGTCGACCAAGCGGCCACCCGAAGAAGTCGCGGAGAATAAGGAAGAGCTTCCAAAACTACCAGCAGCTGCGATCCAGACGCCAGCCATTGGATCGCCGTTCACCATCGACAAAGAGCTTGATATCGGACCCGGCTCTCCAGTAGCCGTATCAGATGTGCTTGCGACGGACTCAGTTATCCTCTCACCTCAAGGATCCGAGCCTCTGGTCGGCGAAAGGGATGGCCAGGGTAAAGTCACAGAAGCGAGAGAGAGTGAAGGGCAACAAGAAACCAAGCTGGTGGACTCGGCAGAGACCGAGCTGAAGGAGGTCCAGGGCCAGAAGAGGGACTCGTCGAGTGAACATGTGCCCGAGGACTTGGACGAAGGAGAGACCGAGTGCTCTCCAGACCAGTTTACGCTGAAGGAATTCGAGATCATCAAGCCCATCGGCGAAGGCTCGTATGGATTTGTTAGGGTGGTCACCCGTAAGAACGATCCCCGCGAGGTGAGGTTTCCGAAACTGGCAAGCGGTGGCGATAACAGCCATAGCCATGCGGGCATGGACGACAGGAGAGCCAATGGGCTGCTGTCGCTGGTGTTACTCTGGATGTTGCGGCTGCGGCCACAACCTCTTGCGTCTTCTAACGCCCTATTGCTATAGAAAAAATACGTCATGAAGTTTGTCGTCAAATCTCGCATTCTGGTGGAGTGCTGGATGAGGGACAAGATCCTTGGCCTGGTGCCGCTGGAGATTCACATCATGAACTTCCTCAAGAACAACCCGCACCAGAATGTCGTGCAGATGCTCAAGTATTTTGAAGACGATGACTACTTTTACATACTCATGGACATGCACGGCCACGGCATTGATCTCTTTGAATGTATGCTAGCGCACCCCAATGCGTCCTTGCTTCATGTGTGTGTGTTCAGAACGATCGACAACACTTGCAGAGCGCTGTCTGGCTTGAGACATCCCAGCAAATCCAATCTAATATCGTCCAATCGTTTGCTCACCCCAATGTCACGACTGCTCAGTCATCGATCGCAACCAGACTCTCACAGAGGGCACGGTGCGCAAGATCATCTACCAGGTTATCTTGGCCGTGCGCCATCTTCACAGACACGACATCGTGCATCGGTAAGGACATGTCAAATCCCAGACCCCGCTGGGCCGCTTGCCACCATCAAGGCCCAGACAGCACGATGAATGGATCGCTGGGCTCTGCAGGTTTGCTGTGGTGTCGAGCCGCTGGCCTCATATCTGTCGTCCCATGTCTGCAGTGACATCAAGGACGAGAATGTTATCGTCGATGATGAATACTCGATCAAGCTGATAGACTTTGGGTCAAGCGCGTATCTGAAGCCCAACAAAAAGCCTTTCGAGACCTTCTTTGGAACAATCGACTACGCTTCACCCGAGATCCTCAGCGGCGATAAATATGAAGGGAAGCCGCAGGATGTCTGGGCTCTAGGTGAGGACAGCCCCACACCCGTCTGCCCTGATGACGCACTGATGTCGTCGAGCTTGGCGGCACCAGCCAAGTCAAATCCAACGTGCACAGCCAAACAAAATGGGCTCTGGGCTACTTGGAAAGTTGGGGCGATCTCTGCTGTTGCTGATGATGCTGCCTGAAACAGGCATCCTAGTTCTTCACGCTGATCTATGGCGAGACGCCGTTCTACAACATCGAAGAAACTATCGCCTGCAACTTGAGGTTCCCGTTCCCGTTCTCGCCAGGTGAGTCTGGAAACGGATGACTGGCAAGCTGAGATTCGCCGGCCAAACTCTCGGACTGTGGCTCGCACACTCGTGCGCTTTGAAGCAATCCGCCCGCATTGAGCGACGCTTTGCGCTCTCTGTCCGCGCTGCGCATTTCGGAAACGCCCCCTAATCGCTCCATATTCTTAGGTGCAATCGACGTTATCACCAAAACGCTGAGCAAGGACGCTGCCCGGCGCCCAACGGCAGAGGAACTTGCAAAGCACCCTTACTTTGAGCCGTGTTGGGATATCTATGGTACATGAAACTCGGCCGCCACTTTGCGTTATGCGCGGCCGCGCAATATCACCCCCCGTGGTGTACCCATCCCAAGTTGAAAGGTTCTCTCAGCGCAAAGTCATCGATGCCCAAGGCGTGTCATCATTCAGCAATATCCCCTGCCACCCAACAGACACATGTATCCTGGCTTGCTCTGAGATGGTGGTTATCTCTCTCTCAAAGATATCGTATCAATCAATATAGCGCTTCCAAAAGCAATATGCGAGTCCAGGCGCACATCGTCCGAGGGACAGGGATGCTGCGCGGATGATTGGGTGGAGGATGGGCCAAGAGATGGCTTGAGAGGCTCACTCGATATGCTGGCTGTTGCGCTCACATTTCGTCGTCGTCATCACTCTCCCGCCGTTTCATACGATCATAGTCATCGTAATCCAGCTTGTCCTCGGAGCCACCCGGACCCGCTGGTGCAGCGCTTGACCCGGCGGCTGAGGCGGGCCCCTCTGTCGTGCCCGGAGTCCGCGATTTGAACTCGGGCTTGAGTTCGTACAGATTGACATATGGACCTCGCTTGTTGAGAACACATATCTTGACGAGAACCTCCTTGAGCCACTGTTGCGGCTGCATCGTTTTGTCGACCAGACCCTTGAAGCTCCAGTGCGAATGCTTGTCAAAGAGGACAAAGAGCTCGTCAAGCAGCTCCTTCTCGGACATGCGTTCCTTCTTGTCCTGCGACTGCTTCTTGCGATGCTCGAGCTGGGAGAGGATCAACGGGGGTGGAGCACTCAGTATCGGTATTGACCGAGTTATACAGAAGCGGCTGTGGCCGCGATGCCAAGGGGTTGGGGCCAGACCCATGGATCGGACAAGACATGGGTATTGGGGCAAGACCAATGAACATGTGGCAAAGATCACCGACGGCCAGGTCGCCACGATCCGAACGAAGCCTCACCAGGGGATCGCGGCCAAACTTGAAATCTCGGATGCGGTCGGATGTTTGCGTCCATGCCTCCAGGCGTGGGTTCTTCTCTTCCTTGACCTTCCGGTTGGTATCGTTCTGGGTGGAATTGCGCCGCTTGAGCAGACTGTGGTAGTTGTCGTCCAAGATCGGAGTGACGTGGGCCTCGTGGTGGATGGTGCCGGCAATGCCGACGGCGGTGCCCTGGCTGTTTTCGGTGAAGACGTACGAGTTAGGTTGGCCGGTGCTGATGACCTTGAGGTTGAAGTTCTTGGGCAGATCGCTGCTCCAGTCGCTTTCTGGGAGATGCATCGTGATCTTGGGCTCCTTTCTTCCTCCAGAGACCTGGGCCCTGGCCGTCATCAGTCCAACGGTGATGGAAATGCAAAATCATATGATGGTCAGCCGCTCATGCCCGCAAATCTACCTGCAGAAAGGTCAGCCAAGACTGCCTCGTCCACCAAGGTACATCACCCTCGGCACGAAGCAAAGTTGATCCCTCCCACCCACAACATCAAATCAGCGCAGGCCGGGTTGGTTCAGATTGGCCAAAATAGCCCCGCATTAGCTCATATTGGCCGACGTAGGGCAGAGCATTCGCTATTTCTCGGCTCTTACTTTTCGTAGATTCGAATGCGCCCGAGCTCGACTCCGTCTGTCTTGATGCTCGACCATTTCTCGGCCACAAACGCCGGCACCTTGACAAGCCAGATTTTCCGGGAAGTGCTCGACAGATTCAGATCGCCCTTGGCAGCAAGGTCTTCAATGCCGACGTGGTCGCTGTCGTCGTGCGGATCATCCAGAAGTATATCCGAGAGGCCGTCGTGTCCGGGCTCGCGCTTGATATCGCCGTCGATCGTCATGGCGTCGGTTGGGATGGGCAGAAGGAGCAATCCGGGCTCTGGAGGCCGAACCCCCCAGACACAAGCACCCTTGCTCTCGCGAGAGCGTCTCGCAAGACCTTCTCGGCAGCGGGCGAGCCACGCCCATCCCACCTGACCGGATCTCGTGACGCCAATGGCGACTCATCCCGGCTTCTCGTGTGCAATGCACCCACATTCGGCACTCAGGATCAACGGCTCAGGATGCTGTAGCTGCCTTGACACCGGCTCTGGAAGCGGCGAGAGTACTTTACCTCAGATACAACATCATCGACCATGTGAGCTGGAATACCGCCACGACCCCCCCCTGTGTATAAACATAACCGAGCTATGCGATGTATTCTGCAAGCCTTTGAGTGGCGCTCGATTCTGTCTGGATGGGTTGCATTGTCCTCCAACATGCGCTCAAACATCCGTCGTGGGGTTAGCCGCCTGGCTCTTCAATAAGACCTTTGTTTTGCGCTTCGCCGGCTGGGTGGGAGGCGATCGCGAGCTCCCGGGGAGCGTCGGGGATTTGGGGGAGCCCGGGGTGCCAGTAATGCCGTTCTTCGCGTTCAAGGTGCTGAAGCCATCAGTGGCAGCGCGCCAGCTGGCGGCACTCGATGCTCTTCTCGCCATCAGCAGTACAATATCCTCGCGGATGATTTCACAGTACTCTTCGATAGGGAGGTCGTTGGCGTCTGTGCCAAAGGGCTCTTCGATCTGCTCACCGATCTTTTCGATGCCCTGGAGACATTTGGATGCTGTGTCAATGCACGATCGTCTCGGATGTGCTGGGATTGAAACTGAGATTTGTCCATGCCTTGCACCAGACAAAACATATACAGGCACAGGCACAAGCACAGGCACAGGTACATCTCGGTAACCGATGATCCTGCAAACGGCTCTCTGCAAATGATATGCTCACAGTCCACAGGGTTCTCAACGACGCTCCTCCGCGGCCCTCAGCCGATATTCTTACCAAAAAGATAAAGGTCACGAGGAAAACACAGGGGATGGTAAGCCAGGAAAGATCGTTGACCAGTTGGAAGGGCAAAATGATAAAGTACAGAGCAAGGGTGTGTTTCTGGAGAGGAGGATCGGGTCAGTTGATGCAAGTAGCGCCCTAGGCCGATCATATGCGTCGACAGAAGCGATGTACGTGTGGACGCACCAAGTGCAGTCGGTAGGCAAGCGGAATGGGAGTTGAGAGGATACGCTCCAGGCCGGTGGTGGTGTCTACCAAGTTGCTGAGTGGGCCAAAGTTCGGATACCAGTGAGTACGGTACTCAACGAGAAGGGAAGGGAGTCATTTGGCAGCGGTCTTGTCCCAACGAACCTGATGTTGGCACCGAGTCCAGAGCCGGCCATAAAATGGATCTGTTCCTTCTTTCGTCTCTCGCCAACGTAGGAATTCAGCAGGTTGCAGATCTCAAACGGAATCTTGACGCAATTGCAGCTGTAGTCATGGTAGTGTTCTTTCGAGTTCGAGCTGGCTCCAGCCGCCGTGGGCTGATGGTTGGGGTGGCTCACCGAACGATGGGAGATGGCCCGCTGAGACATATTTGGGGACATGGGTGGAGTTGAGGCACCCTTGTGGGTATGTGCTGCGGCGTTGACTGCCTGAGCAAATTCGTGGCGGTTAAATTGGGAGAACTCGGGGAGCGGCGGCAGGAACTCTTGAAGCTCAAAGCTTGCTCCCTGGATACCGTGCTGCCCGCGCAGATGGTGCTTCAAGGAGATGGGCAGGGCGATCAGCAAGTTCATGGCTATAAGCTTCTGGGCCATATCCTCCTCATCTCTGAGGCGAGCGGAAGATAGGTGGTTGTCAGCGATTGTGAAAGTGTGAGGGGATATGCGTATACAGCCTCGGGTTCAACAGCAAGACATCAGAAGGGTTCAGAAGGCACTTACTCGTCAGGGCAGCTGCTCCAGATGGTTCGAGCCGTGTTACGGATGGTGGAAGTGACTGAGGGGGAGCGAGTGTAGATGTCGAAAGGGACGGGAATATGGGAAGAGCAAGTAAGAGAGAGTGTGTGTGCGATAAGCAGCAGCGTTCTCACTCAGCGGTTGCGGCAGACACACCATGGATATACGCAAATGCCCGAGTGAAAGCTTACTCTGAGCCCACAAACGACGTCCTTCGTAGAAGCGATCATCTACATGGCGACGAATTATCTCGGTGAGCTTCCAATAAGCGCGCTGCGGCAGATCTTCATATGGTACTCAGAGCACAGAGCGGGCGACGACCCGATGGTACACCGATACAGGACGCTTGGTATGACCATGAAATGGGGCCAGCGACCTGCCAGCGACCTGCCAGCGACCTGCCAGCGACCTGCCAGCGACCAGACTGCAGAGAAGGCTTACATGCCCCGTTTGTGCGAAAGACGAGGAGCAGAGAAATCACGACCGAGACCAACGTTGCGAAGGCTGACGAGACGGGGCAAGACCAAAGGGAGGTATTAGCGATCCGGCATCGGCCGACATCCTCTGGCATTACAACGCAGGAATAGTATCGAGTCTCAAAGCGAGCGGAAACAGCTGATGCCAGCGATAATCGAGCAATGTCTATCGGGAAGGCAAGGAGGCAGCTGGTCACTACGGACAAGATGTTATGCCACGGATCTTGAGAACGACAAGCACGGTCGTCCAGAACGTGGCCCAGACCGTGGACAGAGCGACCGGGATAAAGATGCTTGATACAACCGAGTACTTCCAGCTCTTGGGGCTGCGGATTCGATCCGTATGGACTGTCAGCTCAATATGCACTGCTGGGCGGAACAAACCGAGATCTCCCAGTGCAGATCCCTGGAGAAGAGCCCCTCCCATCATGGACAAAGCCGCAGCAACTCCAGTCTCGGCAACACGGTACCTGATGAAAAAGTCGTAGTGGGGGAGTGTTCTGTAGCCGTTGAGAGAGAAGAATGGGTGTCAGTCACTGGGCCAGCTGAATCTGGCTTCTTTGTGTCAATCTGGTCGATTGCCCGTTGCCGAGCCATAGCTGTGCTCCCAGCCGAGTCGCTGGGTAGCATCCATGCCTTCGATGGGAAGGTGCCCACCTCTCAACGTGGCGCACCCGTCGGTTGATAGAGAGATACTCGGGAGGCACCTCAAGAAGCCTCAGCGACGACATGGGGCAAGCGAGCTGCACAAGGTGGGGGGGGGCAGGTGAATGGAGAGGCGGTGCGATGAGGACGACAGCGGTGAAAGTGAAAGACGATGCTAGATCCGAGGGACGCAGACGATGTTGGATTGGTGCTGGATGCAGGGCGTGCAGGATGGTGCGAGAATGCAATCGGATGCAGATGGAGGATGATATGCTGGAGAGAGAAAGAGCGAGCGGGAGCGACGGACCCGAGCAAAGCGCACGGTTGTGAGGAACTGGCCGTGGGAAGCTGCGCGGCCCCGAACAGAGTTGTGCCGCTGTTGCCGAGGCGTTCTCTGAAGAAAACTGTGCGACATGCGGACTGCCAGCCACAGAACGGGGCGCAGCGCATTGCATATAGCCCCATTGCATTGCTTGCCGCAGCGGCTCACCCCGTGCTGAATGATACCCCGAGGACATTCCTGAGGACAGCTGCAGTGCTCCCTCCACATCCACAGCCCGAGAAAGATTTCCTCCATCTTCCATGTGTCCAAGCGCAGCATTATCGCTGTGCAGGGCGATTGTGGAGACCAGAGGACGACCCATGGCCTTCACCCCGAGGCTGCCAATGTAATCAGTCTCTATTGAAAATGGCCTGCGTCCAACAGGTCTTCAAAAACGCGGTCGATGGAGCTGGAACAGTGTCCCGTTTTTCTGAAAGGCTATAGCAACGTCCCACGCCCAGCCCAGTCCTCATCTGTCTCAGGACAGCAACTCACTACCGCCGGCGAGTCGATCGCCGTGTGCTGGCCGCCTCAGCAGCAGTGTGTTGTGCACCTCTTCTTGTTGTCCTTTGTTGCGTCGTCGATTCTCCAACAGCCTCCTGTGGCACCTCGACATGGACTTCGCTGTCATCGAGGGCAGCACCGTCGCCACTGGATTTGAGTGCGCCTCTCCGGCTGCGTTTGGGTTCTGGATCCCCGATAGCCTCCTGGGCAGCATTGATTATGGCTCCAGCAACTGTGTCTTCAGCCGAGGCCCTCGACCCGTCACCAACCGGACCCTGGTGCTTGCGTTTGCGCGTCGGATAAGTCGCCGTCGATAGCTCGGCTGCATTCGCTGATCCGGCGGGAGTGTCGTCTGATTGGTGGCTCTCATCTCCTTCTTCCTCCATTCTGGTAGCAACTGCACCAATATTCCTTCTGGAGCGGCTACGCGTCCGGGGCTCGATCGGTGCCGGTGCAGGATCCTCCCCGATGGCGGTTTCTTGAATCACAGGCTGCGACGATGCCATCGAGTCCTCCGCCAACACCTTTCTCGGACGCCCACGCTTCTTGGGTACAGGAGACGCCATGGCTGCATTGCTATCTGCGCGGCTGGTTGGCTCTACTGAGTCGACAGTCGCAGGGGGGGCGGGCACTGCTTCGGCAAGCTCCTTTCGTGGTCGGCCCCTTCGCCTTGGTGCAGGTGACAGAACGGGGGACTGTGTTTGGAACGCTGCCTCAGTAGAGTCTGTCAATCGAACTGCTTCGGCTTCGAGCACTATCTTCTTTGGTCTACCGCGTCGCTTTGATGCCGGAGAGCCCAGCTGGACAGCGAGTCCGGCCAGCCCAGGTTCTTCCGAAGCCAACTCCACATGAGCAATCTCAACAGCAACGGATTGTGTCATCTCAGACACCGAGGCTTCTGCGCTCGTATTCTTCTTGGGCCGGCCACGTCGCCTTGGCTGGGGGGAGGTTATCGGCGCCGGATGCTCCTGCAAACCGATATGCTGCGCTTCTGCTTCCACATGCAGCGTCGGCGGTACCTCCTCGGCGATCCTTTCAATTCCGCTTTCAAGATGGGCTTCAAGAGGGGCTTCAAGAGGGATCTTTCGCGGCCGACCTCGTCTTTTAGGCCCTGGCGAAGCCAATCGATCCACAAAGATCGGTGCCTCCTCTTCGGTGGGTGCAAGGGATGTGGTAGACTCTGTTTCGGGAGGCTCGGGGTTCGCATTTCGCTTGGGACGACCACGTTTTTTGAAGACCGACACGGGATCAGTCTCGTGAGTGACTTCGTCGGAGGCCTTTGCTGAGATCGCCGTTAACTCGGCAATTGCGACATTCGTAACAGTATCCGCGACAGTCTTCGGAAGCGTACCCTTCTTTGCTGCGAGAAAAGCGGTCACTGCGTCGGCTATGGTGGTGTGCTGCGCGTCGATCGATGTGTCGATTTGAGGCTCCGTTTCAGGCTGTGCACCAGTCTTCCTCTGCCGACCACGTCGCTCCGGGGTTGGTGTGGCGGCTTGAGTCGCCGCTGGTACTTGGGTCTGATCTTGCTCTGCATCGCGATCATGCTCATGTTCTCCGAGCTCCTCAGCCTGCGTAACATCGGTTGCAGGCTTCTTGGAGCGACCACGCTTTCTCTGGACCAGAGCTGTAGCCCCGCTATAGACCGCAGCCCCATGTTCAGCTGCTCCATGTTCATGAGCAATCTCAGCGACAATCGGCAGATTCTCTTCGGATGGAACTGCCCTTCTTGGATGCTCTTGCTTCTCTGGAGTCGAGGGTGCCGCCGAGAATGCTGCTGGCGGACTAGTATTGGCGTCTTCAGGCTTGACGTCAATTGTCTCGACAGCGACTTTCCGAGGACGACCGCGCCGCTTGGCTGCCGGTAAGGACATGGCTGTCGCTTCAGTCGTGTTCTGCAGCATCGCTTCGACTACCTCGGCCGCCAAAGTCGGCTCATCGGCTGCTGCTGCCATCGGCAGGCTCGACTGCGCTGCGTCGGATGAAGAAACGAAATGCGTGGCCTGGGCTTCAACAGGAACATCAGCTAAAACCTTTCTAGGTCGACCCCGCCTCTTGGGTTGGATTGGTGATGGGTGGTGGTCGTCAAGCTCAGCAACGCCGGTAGGACGTATCGATGGACGATCGTGATCATGGGGAGGATCGAATGCTTGGGCTTTCTCGCCTTCGTGGATCGCAGTTAGACCGAGGCTTTGATCTTGCATATCAGCTTTGGCATTGGCAGTTGCCACTGTTACGACGGCAGATCCCGCCTCATGTCCCGGCACATCCGGTAGTGGGTTTTGTGCTTCACTCGCAATAAGGGATCGCTGGCCAGGGTCCCGTCGAGGCATCTTTGCACGACGATGATCTTCTACCGACTCTGCCGTTCTACCAGGCGACGAGGCAGCGGCCTCAGTGGCAGCCACCTTGCGTTTTCTGGTCTTTGATGATGGAGAAGCAAATGCGCCAGCATCAGTGGCATCGAGGCTTTGGCTCAGCGTCTGAATATGACTTGATTGAGAGGGGGTATTGCGTCGCTTAGCTGCAATATCGATCGTGGGCGCTGTGTCCGAGAGATTGTGCTGCGTCGTGGCCTTGGGTGTTGTCTTGCGGTCCGCTTTGGACTGAGCAACGGCATCCTCTCTGAACAAAGTGCTACCCCGGGAGCTGGGGAGTCCACAGATGATTAGGTTGGACGAGTGATTGGGTTTCATTGAGACCCGGCGGTCCTGGATATCGGGTTGTTTGTATTGCGAGCACCAGGGAAGAGAGCTGACTTACATGAAGCTTGGCTGTACTTTGGCTACGTCGACGATTTCCCGAGCTTGGTGGCCGGCGCCGCATTCCAACTGAGAAGCAATCTCACTTGTCGCGGCATGTTCAACATCTTCAGCCTGCCCTAGCGTTGGATAATCTTGACCGATCGCCGATCGATGCGTCGGCAGCGGGGCAGAATCACTGTCGCCGAGGACTAGATTGTCTTGTTTCTCGATCGGTTGATCTTCCGGTGAGGGTATGTGGGGCGATTCTTGTTGAACGGGATGGGCGTCTTCGACCGCAAACGCAGTTGAGAGATCCGCATCGTGACCGATGGGCATTTCGTTCTGATCCGATCGCCCCTCGGTGCTCTTTCGCTTCTTCTTTCCCTTGGATCTTCGCCGGTCCGTTGGTGTGCCGATCCAAACAATGTTGTTGGGTGAAGAGGCATCTTGAATTTGCATGACGGTTTCGTCGTGAGCAACTTGATGCAGAGCCTCACCCGATACAAGCCCTGGTTTGGTACTAATGGGGTACTCAACCTGAGTCTCGATGAGCGCTCCGGTTACGTTGGCCTCCTGAGGGGCAAAAGGCAATTTCGCGTCGGGTTGAACTGGGGTTTCTACTCTCGACGTGACGGCCTTTGACATTGCGGGAGAGTTTTCTTCTGAAATGGATGTCGACGGATCAACGTGACTAGAAAGTGGACGAATACAGAGGTAAGCGCCCAAAACTCGCTGCTGCACCACCAGAGTAAATAGCCATGCTCATACACAATGTGGAGCGAAAGGAAGGATGCGTCATTTTCATGGTAAAGGGTGGGATGCAGGTGAAGGGATGTCAGGAGGAATCACGGCAAATTAAGCATGCCAGGCACGAAAGAATCGCCGAATGCCGCCTCAACAACTCACCCCTCTTCGGGCAGTTGATCTGGCCTGCCCATGTCGAGCAGCTGGCTCTTGTTGGCTGCGCTGGCTATGTCGCCTGTGCCGACAATGTCGACGGCAGCTTCCAAGCCCAAGGGTTGGGAGGATGTTGGGTCGGAAAAGGCTGTGCTCTTTCTCTTTTTGCGCCTTCGTTTCTGCGGCGTCGGTGTCAGAGGCGCTTCGGCGACAAGCGACGCATCCACAGGCGTTGTAGTTGGAACATGGGATGCATCTACGGACGCTTTGGTGGATGTGCTCGGGGCCTCGGATGGTGCTCTCAAGGCTTGCGGCGACTGACGGATATCTGTACTAGCAGCTTTCTCTTGTGTGCCCTCCGGGGGCGGGCTGATAGAGCAATTACAAGCCGGTCAAGGGCGGTTCAAATCTGTCAACCATGCAGATCAACATGGCGCTTTGCCTGATGGAGATTCCACAGCCAAGTGAAAACACCCGAGAGCCTATCAGCAATAACACTTACAGTGGCAAGTCATGCTCTCGCATATCGACCGACTGCTCTGTTGGCACATGTTCTGGCCCTGGCACTGGCATTAATCCTGACACTGGCACTGGTACTGGTCCTGGCCCTGGTACTGACGCACTAATGGGCACTTTCAAAGGTTGTTCGGAGCGACTCTTTGATTCAGTGACGGCTGTGTCTGCCCCATGAAGGCCGACACTCTCTTGATCGGACTGATCGGGTTGATCGCCACCGTCGCTGGATAGAGAATGGCTCATTATGCTGCTTCTCTTCTTCTTCTTTCTCTTCTTCTTTGCACCTGGTTGCGAAGGAGAGCTGCTCGGACTGGAGAAACGATCGATATTTGGCTATTAGCACCTGCCTTGGATAGACTGACTAATGCGAATCATTTCAAATGCAGCTGGCTCGAGCCGCCGTCATACCTGCTCTCAGCCGACATCACTGTAAATGTGCTTTCGATGTGTGAGCTACCGGACCCCGTTGCTCGTGACTCTGAATCGATTTCGGGGCGGACTGCTCGCTCAAGAGCTGTATCGGAGTGGCTAGACTCTGGATAGTCCGAGCTGCGGCCCATAAACGAAAGCCGTCGGGGAGGCTCAAGCTTCTCAAGCTCAGCCGGACCGACGGACTGGTGGCGTCGCTTGCTGCAGTGCGCAGGAGAGGAATATAGGGGAAGCGAGCGATGCAGTGACATGAAGGATGAGCAGCAATTCCAGGCTACCAGTGGATGGTGAATGCGCTTTCAATCTGCCTTCCTTTGCTTACCTAAGCTTCAAACTTCGGGCGGCCTGTGGACTATCGGTATTCGGGGTAGTCGTCTCCACTGCGGGTACAGAGGCGGCGACGCCCAAGGGCATTTTGGTGTCGAGCGGCTCGGCACGTATGCCCGATTGTGCCTCTTCCGTAATTCTCGGTCGGCTGGATGTGCTCGCGGATGTGCTCGCGGATGTATCCGCAGCAACGACGAAGCCTGGGTCACTGCTCGCCACGGTGTCGTTAGCAAGCCGCAGTGGAGACAGGGGAGAGGCTGTCTTGACTGGCGTTGACGAGACTGATCGCTTCGCCAAAAAGTTTTGGACAGCAAGGGCAATTTGTGCTTTCATTGAGAGAGGCTTGCTTGCATCAAATCCGCTTGATGACGCCTTCTTCGCCGTCAGTGTCTGGAGAGGTACAGCTTTCTTGGCCTGAATCGGAACAGAGCTAACGCCATCGAGCTTGCGCTTCTTGGAAAGTGGCGTCGAAGGAGCCAGCAAAGACTCTGGGACACTAGTGCTGGAGCTGCCGGGGGTGGGGGACGAAACGAGTTCGAGCCGATCCTTATGCTCTGCCATGCTGGACTTTCGTTTACTCCGCTTCTTGCTCAGGGCGGCGTTCTGGGCGGCCGTCTTTGGTGTGCCAACGCTACGGACAGGCGAGGGTGTTTGATCACGGGCGGGGGTCGTTGATGGGATCACCTCCTGTTGCTGTACAAGCTGTTCCGGTGCGAGCAGCTCCGACGCGGATACTGGCCCGATCGATTCCTCCGGCAGTCGCTCGCCATATCCGCGAGGAGACCCAACCGAAGGCTGCGCTTGCGGCTCAGATTGCCTTGAGGCCAGCGAATAGTCTGACTCAGTGGCTGCTGGCGGTTCCCGAGTCGCAGGGCATTCTAAGGACTGGGGTTCCAGAGTCTGCACCTCAGGCCCCGAGATTTCCAATACCTTGATCTCGAGCGCCTGTGCTTTTGGTGTTTGTGTGGGAAGCTCCGGTGATGGACACGACACTCTTGTGGGACTGCCCAGGGGCGGCTGTTCGAGAGGGAGGCCCATTGACTCGTGCTGAGGACCAAGTGTGGCTGCCAATGAATCCATGTCGGCTCGCTCCGGAGCCCCGGGCGTCACAGGATTCGATCGAACAAGCGGTGACAAGCTCTCTGTTTGCGCAGCTAAAGCAGCTTCTGACAACGGCGTTTTGGTGCTGCGACGACGCTTCTTTCGGCGCTTCTCACTGGATGGTGGTACCTGAAGCCGATTCCCATCAACGAGCTGCTTGGGAGGTGTTCGGAGGACTGCGTCATCAGGGTGGGGGTGTGACTGGGTCTCGGGAAGGACAGCGGAAGAGTCATCGACTTCATTTGCACGGTCAGGCATTTCGCCCAAAGAATGTGTCACGGATATGAGACTGTGCTCTGGTGAAAGCGGCTGCATCTGCAGGGGTTCTCCAACAAGCAACGAAAGGTCCTGCGCGGAGATTGGAGGTCCAACGCTACTATCCAAGAAAGGGTTGTTCAACGGATCGTCGAGAGGGGTAGGCTCTAGAGCCAGACTTTCGACGTCGCTGCCATCAATGCCAGCAGATGCTTCATTGATCTCGGGCGGTACGAAATATTGATCGACTCGGACTGTCTCGCTGACGGACACACTGTCGCGCGATACATTCGAGGGCTGGGCTCCGATTTCGAAGTGGAGTGGGGAAATGGCCTCAGGGCGTGTCGACATTGGTGTTTCGGTATTGTCCAAGATCTGTGTTTGGAATCTGTGCGCGCCTTGGTATTCGGGGTGAGTGGGTGTTGTGAACATGAGCGGGGCAGGTCCAAGGGTATGGCGGCGTGACCGTTCGGGGGATGCATCTCGAGCAGGCTGGGACGAGCTTGTACTGGCACGTCGTTGATTGATGACTGTGAAGCTTGCGGGAACGAGCGTGGTCGTGCTGAACAGGGGAATACCGATTGTTTGGGTGCCCATCGCTTCCAGCTCTGGGGGAGAGTCTGGTAGTGTTGGCAAGACTGCTGCGACAGACTCAGGCCCGGGCTCTGCCTCAGCGTCCGTTGTAACAACGGCTTGAGGCGACAGTCTATCAGAAAGGGTGATGACAAAATCACTTGATGAATCGCCGCTCGAGTCAGACGAGTGGTCGATGGGTTCGGTTGCGGCGATCGAAAAGTCGGGCATCGTCGGAAGTTCCGGCTTTGTGACCGAGACCTCGATCGACCAAGTTGGAGGTGGAGTGCCTGCTCTGCCACAGTCAACCATCGAAATGACAGCTGCACAAGACTCGTCCTCCAAAGCATCCTCCCCTTGTGCGCCCATGAGCTTGTCCAATAGATTTGGACTGGGCTCTGCCGGAGCGGAATGGTCCTCAAGGGACGATTCAGACGACGCGAGACTGCTCGACGGGACCAGCTCGGGCCTGGCGTCCTCATGCAAGACGGGAGGCCTGCGGGGTGAGGGGCGCTGAGGTGTGGGACTTGTGATGCGAGTCGGCGGGGTCCAGGTGCGGGTTTTGAGAGCAGACTTGATCAGGGCTGACCTTGGGGTTCGTGCGCCTCGCTTGAGCGGCGAGGCTGTTGGAAAATCCTTATCAAAAACCTCGGGCGACAGCTTGAGCCAAGCCCAGGGACAACAGTGCGTGAGTTACTGGTAGCATTGCAGCTATGCTCCCCTTGGTGTTGCATCGATCGCATCGGTTTCAACTCACCTGTGGGCCAAAAGTAACTCCCTTTTTCTTGGCCGACTTGTCCGGAGATTTAAAGGATGCCTCGATACGCCGAGTCACTTCGGCAACGACGCCTTGGCTCGCATTCATGTTCTGTACACCAACGGTATGCTGTGCTGCGGGCGACGATGGCATGGCAGACTTGCCGGAGGGAGAGTGCCAGCCGAGGAGCTGAGACATCTGGTGGTTGCGGCTTCCGCTGCTCGGAGGGACGATAGAAGTGGGGAATTTGGTTCCCTCGGTATTGTCGGCAGGACTTTTGGGAAGCGTGGCTACTTGGGGCTGCAATCCTTTCTGCGCCGACATCATGGTTCGAGAGACTGTGCTGTTGTAAGCAGCAGCAGGGGTCTTGGGGCGACGAAGGACAGGAATCATGCTGGGAGTTGAGGACGGGACAGAAACCGGCGCCTTCTTTGTGAAGGCCGACTGGAGGGGCAGACACTGAGATGGTAGCAAAGTCGGCTCGGGACGCGGGGCTGGAGCTGGGTAGATGGGATATTGGGCAACCACGTTCGCCTGTGACGCCGTGGACAGCGGCTGTGCGATCCCACCCGAGCCTGAGTTGGAGATGGCTCTCTTTGGCCTTGAATCATCGACTGGTTTCAAGTCCGTTTTGGTTTTGGATCCAACAACCAGAGGCGAAAAGGAAATCAAGTCAACCTTGGTCGGCTCCGGAGAGAACTGGATCAAATCGCCAGTGGGCGCTATCGAGGCTGCGACCCGCTTAGGAGAGAACATCGGTGGGTGACTCTTGATCAAAGGTTGGTCCTTGACTCGCTCCACCACTGACTGAGAAGAAAGCGCAGACGGTTTTGCGGTGGACGCCTGTAAGTGCGCAAATTAGCGATCGTCATAAGTGGAAGCCATGACGAACCGGTGCAGCTGGACCAGGTTGCGATTGCGTTTTGTTTGTTTGGCTTTACAATACAGGTTCCATTTCTGGATACATTCTCACCTTTTCAATGTGTGGTCCCGAGAGAGTCTGGGCTTCAGGCTTCTCGAGCTGAGCTGCCTTGAGCGGAATGTTTTCGTTGTTGGCATCGCTTTGGCCAGCGAGACGGCTCTACAGGCCCGAGAGACCCGGTATCAGCATGCAACGCTTCAAGTCAACGCAAAGACACTCTGTCGAAATGCCAACCACTCATACCTGATATGTTTGAATGATATCATGGAAGAACACAACGCAGAACTGGCTGCCATCAATTATAATCGAGTCCTTGTTATTGAGGAGAGTTTCTTCGTTCCGGTACAGGACATTGTTGACCAGCGTCCCGATGTCTGAGTGGTCTCGAAGCCAAACCTACCAATCATTGCGGTCGACATGGAAGAATTACGATCAGAATATGCTGTGGAGAGGTATGGTGGCCTCTGGCGACAGCAGCACGGCGCACCTTGGCGTTATCGCGAATGATGATGGTGCAATGCTTTCCAGAAGCATGTTCGCAATGGAGGCGAAGGTTGCACGACTTGTCCCTATATGAGTGATCGTGGCGAATGAGGAGAGTTGGATACTTTGAATGAGGCCACTGATGCTTGTCCCGTCCAACCAACACAGATCGGATTGTCGAGGCGACAGCGACCCAACTGATTCCAAGTGCTGACTCGAGAGGCAGCAAAGCAAGCAAGCCCGCGACCTACTTTCCGATCGTGAATTCAAATTTGCTGATCGGGAAGCTGGAAGCACATCAGAGCAACAGGCAGGTCGGGATCAGTATAGTGGCATGCAATCGAGCCTCGATCTCGTGCCGTGCTGTCAGGAAGGAGGCAGGGGCCGGACTGGAGCTTACTTGAGCCTCTCGCCCCTGCGGATGGCCAATATAAGACCAAATATTGGATCCTTGATGGTACACTGCGTGGGCAAAACCGAGCTCATAACGGCCGACGAGTGTGCTCAGGCAGCGACGTGATCTAAGCGATGAGTTGTTGGTTGGTTGGTCGTGGATGTACCGTCCGCTGCGAGCGGCGATGCAGAAAGCGCTGACGGGTCGAATCGCAGGAGCCGCAGGCAGATCAGCCGGTTGCTCTGGGACTATGCTCGTGTGGGTTGGGATTCAGGTGGCTCGGGCGCTGCCGGATGCAAGCGAAAGAGGCTGGAACACGACGGGAAGTCTGCTGGCGATGCTGCGAGGGGAGAGACGAACGCCGTCGGGTCGTTTGCGAGAGCGCGCAGTCCAAAAAAGGCAAAATGCACCTGGCCCAGCCGCCCCGGATATCGGCCGTGGGTCGATCAAAAAACGCATGCGCTGGACGGGCGGTCTTGCGCTCCGTCGCCATGGACGAGATCCACATCGTCCGCGAGGTCGCCGAGATTGCTGCCCAGGCCCGAAGAAGGTGGGGAAGAGCGGCGGCGTGGCGAGAGATGCTGCGAGCGTGGGATCGAACTGCGGCTATTGAAGGGCGCAGATCTGATCGAGGGCTCAAATGATGCAGCTGATGCAGACTCTCGAGCCAGAGATGGCGATCCGTCCGAGCCGGCGGCATCAAATAGTGGAGCGGGTCCGGAGTGTAGCATGCCACCAGCTCTCTGGACTAATATCCGCCCACATTGCCGTCTGCGACCAGAATCCTGGACTGGGCCGAGAAGGGTAGAAAAGGAAAGGTGGCGCTTGCAGCATTTCCTGGCGCCGACGGTGAGCTCGGTGGTTCGCTTCGCTGTTTCCATCGAGGCCGAGCAACAGAACTATGTCAGGCTCTCTGGCCAGACGGAGACATCGGTGCAAGAGCAATTCGCCTTCCCTGCTTGCAACAAGCCGACTCATAATCGGCGGCATGATGCTTGTCTCTCTAATCTAGTGACCGGACAAAAGCTCTATGACGTCCGCTCGTGTCTTGAAGACCGTGAGTGTCGACTCAGATGTAACTTTGCCGATAATTCGAAATGAATGCCTTAGTGACGAGTCTCGCCTTCGGCTTCCAGTTCACAGCATTGTTTTCGATCTCGTGGATTTCCGAGCACGGCTCTGGGTTTTGCTGCCGCAGCTGCCGCCCCAGCCTCCGGTGCGTATTATGATGTCTGCAAGGATGGCATCGATCTGGTAGCGCCGCGGCATCGATCTGGTAGCGCCGCAGCAACGATGGCATCCCACAGGGAGCAAGCCTTGTCTGCTGACGACATCCACACTCGACTCTTCGGCTCGACAGGCCCCTGTGTCGAATGAGCCGCAGCTTTTGCCACAGGACATACTCTCATACATTGATATCCACGCCGAGATGCTGTCGAAGGAGTACTCCGTGAAGGTAGGAAGCCACCGCTCCGGCGTCAGAGTATCGGACAACAGTGCTCCGTGCACAGCATCGCTCCTAATACTGGCCCTTGAATCATAGGAGACCATCGCCGTCGATCTGTTCCAGCACCATCGGTCACTAGCGCCTCAGCAGGTGGCCCTGATGCGTGCCCTTTGGGAGCGAGAGGCCTTTCTGGACTCGCGATTAGCGTTCGAATGGGATGAACGCTGGTGTCTGCATGACGCCCGCCTGTCACAGACTGAGCTGCTTCCAAAGCCTGGTGCCAACTCATGAGGCAACCACCGAGTGACCTCGAAGCAGAGCGCTTTCCGTGCGCGATGAACAAAAACTCGCATGACCAAGTGATTCATTGCCGACATACGGATCTGGAGATGCACGGGCAGCATTCGGTGCTGTCCATACACGAAGCTACACCGGTGTATTCGGGACCCAGAAGAAGGGGGCAAGTCTAGCTCAAAAACGGATGCTTCGCCTCGTGTCGGGTGCGCTGTGACCAGGACATTGACTCGTCAGCGCTACCGGAGAATATTCGTGGCTGTAGGAACATCAATCTGCAAGTCGTTTTCATCGATCTGGTTGGCATCCACGGCGGCTCGATATGCGTGCTGTACTTCATTGGCCACTCTGGTGGCAGCATCGTCGTGCAGCGGGCAACTGCCTTTATGAAGCAAGGCAAGTGAGGGATGTTAGTGCGGACGACGAGTGAGCAGGACAATATCAATAAACGCAACTTACTTCCAGCGCGATTGAAATGATCGTAGCCTTTGATGGCTTTGCGACAGACATAACACATATCTAGAAAGCCGCAGCGGCAGTCAGTTGGATGCAAGGCAGGCTTGTTCATGTCCCGTGTACCAGTCCAGGCGCACTCCTGTTGCTCCTGTTGCTCAGCATGCCATGGACCGCAGCTCATCCCACAGACCCTCGGCGATACTCACATTGGCCGCACACACAGGTGATTTTGTTGCACTGGATCGTCGAGAAACACAAAGCCAGGGTGAGAACCAAACAATGCTGCCCATCCAGTCAGGCAGAACACCCACACTTCCCTTTGAGACTCAGAGACATACCCCGTCTTCCTTGATGATTTTCTTTCCACATTTCGGACAGGCCCGAAACAATGCCTCGGACATTTGCTCCTCCACAGTGTGCTGAACATCCAGCTTCTTATCTTTCTTGTACTCTGTAGCAGGAGTTTCGTCGCGTTGGTCAATGGTATATCGGCATAATCGCGTATCGGTGGGCTATGATAGAGATTGAGTTTATGGGCACCTTCACATGTGAGCGGCAGATGATTGAGCTGCTTGCATAGGCGGCACGAAACCGCTTTGCATTCCTCGCGCTGGCAGTAGAGGAGCTTGTCTTCCTCGGGCAAAGTTGTCAACTGAACGCCAAAAGAACAAAACGGGCATTCGGTGAAGCCCTCTAGGCCGGCCTACAGCGCACCAATTGGAATGATTAGGACGAACAAGACAAAACAGTCGACCCTATCACAAGTTCATACACAAACATACCTGGCGAATGGCTTCTTCCTGACGGATCTTCGAGAGGCCTTCAAAGTCGGCCTCGGACAAGAAGCGACGAAGCTCTCCATCGGTAAAGGAATACGGACACGAACTCATGTCCATGCACTTGACCCGGCCTTTGCCTGTTCGTCGAATGCCAAAGGTTGTCCGACGGAAACGATCAGAGCCCAGCCCAAGTACAGGTTCTCGTACGAACTCACGAGCCAGCCTTCATGACCAGAGTGGATATGGAGCAAACATTGTCGAGACCAGACAAACTCACGTATTCCAATGGCTTCTTTAGCGGCCCGGTTAGCACACTCCATGCAGAACAAATGCCCTTCTTCGCATTGAGTCATCTATCGGAGGGCAATCATGGGCGGGTCAGCCTCCTTGTAGTTGAATTGGCGCCGACGATAATGCGCATGCATGTGCATACCATATCAAAGGCATACTCATCGCAGCAGCATCCGCACTCGTATTTGACCTCAGGAGCCTGAGTGCGATCGCTGCTCTGCGGCTTGTACCCTGGATTCAATTGTCGAGGAAACAAGATCAGACAACGGCAACGAATGTGCTAGACTCGAGCGGAAGAGCTGATCTCAACCGGACCCGATCAGGAAGACGGCAGTGGCGAGATTGTTCTTACGGAACCATGGAATAAACGGCCTGATCTCCCGGCCCAGTCGAGAGTCAAGCGGCTCGTTGCTTTGATCCGCGCCCTTGCGTTTGTTCTGCTTTCCCTTTCGCTTCAGGAATCCGCGGGTCTCATCTGGGCGTGAAAGCCGCTCCTTCAAGATCAAGTAAGTTGGAGTGAACTGCGAGTTGTGAATGGCCATAGCTGTGCGGACTACAGAAACCAATCGAGTTCAATGATAATCCAGAGTCAGCACGGAGCGAATGCCCATCCCAAAGACGCAAGAGGATGCAGCCGGAAGGGCAGGCCTCTCAGAACCAACCGTAGTAGCTTGGAATCTCTGGAAAAATATCGCAGAGGATCTGAAAACTGTTTGGAACAATAGCCACGACTGTTAGCGTCTGAGGAATCGCAGGATGCTGGCGACCCTGCGAGTGAGGACGCCGGAGGACGAGCAAAGGTACAACCCGACAGACCCGTTGAAGCAACCTACCACTGAGCGATATAGAGCGGGCTCATGGCAACGTCGGCGTTGACTACTCGAAAGTCGATTTGGTCCTTGCGTTGATCGAACGACTGTCGTTTGGGGAGGTCTTTTACGGTTTTCATAAGTTCCTCAACGGCACGTTCCACATCGCCATCGAGCTCCTCAAGCTTTTGATACAGGTATACCGGCTGTACATCTGGAAACATTTCTTCCAAAAATTGAGTAGGCAGCGGGGGGCTGGGAGGTCTTCGAGAGGATGATGGAGCTGGAACTGGATCAACAGCATCGACATCGATACATTCATCAATGCGGCGACGTTTGGCGGTGATGGGCTGGTTCCCCTCATCGTCCAAAACGACAATGTCGTTGGGAGACGGAGGGTCAACGATGTCGATGGCCGGACGCATGTCAAGATGATGAGCAGCCCAGAGAATGCCTTCAAATCAAACAAACAGCAGGGCGCGAAGGGAAACAGCACAACAAAGCTCGCTGATGGCTGCCAGTTGACCCACAGATGCTGGATGAAGCGGGAACCTGAGGAGACGGGGCATGCTTTGCAAAAAACAGGGACTTGCTGCGCATCGACATGGGGATTGCCGAAACCGAAGCAGAGAAGCCTTCCATGCATGAAAATATCAGAGACGGAAGATTCCAACGCTGCCCTGGACCAAACCTCCATGCGAGCACCAAGACACCCGGACAGGGGGCGACCACGATAAAATATTCAAAGAACCAAGAGCCAATCCATGTGAATTTGACAACCACATCTGGCAGAGGAACTCCGCGCCGCATGATGTGCAAGTGGGATGACGAAGGAGATGCACCATCGATGGCAATCAACTCGGCGCAGGGACATGGAGCTGTGTGTGGGCGACGAGAGCAAGGATATATTGTCTCGGTTCCTGGATGCCTGCCGAGTCTCGAACCTGGATGTCGGCTGAGTCTCGATTCTCACGATCCCGGACTCTTGTCGGCCAAGTCGGCCGGATGTGACGGAATCGCCTGCCATCGCTCAACGGCATCGACCACCTGCGACAGCAGAATCTCATTCGCCGACTGGACGCACGACGAGAGATACGGCGAGCCGATCAGGACGGCGCCGTTGAGCACCGAGATGCGGGTTGAGTCGGCAGCGAGGCGGCATGGGATGTTGCTTGGGTTGAAGATAGGACAGAACCGAATGAGCCGCACTGCAAAGGCGACAGCATCGACATTGGCAGATACTTGACGGCTTCACCCCGATGCAGAGAAGCATGAGGCAGCCGACCAGAGGACGCAGACAGCCAAGCCGCCCACTTGTCGGTGCAGGGCGATGGACTGATGCAGAGCGATCCATCGCCGGTTGTGACAAGGCGGACGATGGCCATGATGCCCACCTTCTGCAGGAACAGCAGCAGCGAGTCCCTCGCCTGGGCCTCTGTTTCAAACCGCTTGCCGGGACAAAAGGGCGGGTCGGCTATCCGCCGGATGAAGGCGCTGATGTGCTCGAGGGGGATTGCAGGGTGATCGGAATACTCGTCGACTTCGATTGACCTGATCGCATGGCCCATCACCAGCACCAGCGAGTGCGTCTCGCTGCTCGGCAGCTGCGTTGCCTCGGCGAGGCGATGGACTGGCTCGGCCTTTGGGACGAGCAGGAACAGGCTCTGGTTCTGGTGATCTGCGACGATGAGAATGCCAGCAAGGATGCGAGGGCTGTCGAGTGGGTCCTGGTTGATGTCGGCCAGAGCGACATGGACGGGTTGGCCGACCAGCTCTTGCAGAAATCTGGGGTCTGCAAACAACCCCGAGTCTAGAACTGGCGGCATGCAGCAAAGCGATCGGAGAGGGGAGGTGGAGATCGAGGGCAAGATGGGATGGGCGAGTGCTGAGCGTGTTGGGCATGGCAATGGCAATGGCAATGGCAATGGCAATGGCAATGGCAATGGCAATGGCAATGGCACTGATCATATCGATGCAGACGACGGCCTGCTGCATCGGTGGTCTCAGGGCCTGTCTCGATCGCCGTCGCTGCCATCGCTGCCGTCGCTCTGTTCGTCTTGGATTTCTGCCAATCGTGCAAACAGCCGCTGCTGGAATCTGCCGCGAAAGAGCGGACTGGCTTCGTTCAGCAGGGCATCCAGGCTCTCGAATGTCTTGAGCAGATACGGGTCTGCGTTGAATGGTCGAGCCTCTGCCAGTGAATGGTCCTCGGCGGATGCAGGATCGACTTGGATGATCTGGCAAACAGGCAAACAGGCAGCAGGCAAACAGGCAAACGAGGAGCATGCGGATGAGCGGCGCCCGGCATCCAGCAGGCATCTGGCAGTGTCGACAGTCGTTGCTCGAGGGATATTCAATATGTCGGGATGCAACCATGCCGACAGCATCTCTCACCGTAAAGCCTGCATTGGAGACTGAAACAACAAGATCGACACCTTCCAGGAGTGCCAGGCTGATCCGGGGCAACGCTGGCTCGGCAGTCGGCGATGGCCGCCAGACCGTCGGCGGCATCCGGAGACCAAAGGAGTATTCGTCGAGGGCCTGGGCAAGCTCTTGGTCAACGAAGCCGGCGGCGGGTTGAGGTCGAGCCATGATGGGAACCAAGGACTGCCAGGGTCGGTGCAGTGGCAGCCGAGACCAAGACCAGGGTCGGCACAGGGCAACAGGGGCAACAGGGGCAACAGGGGCAACAGGGGCAACAGGGGCAACAGGGGCAACAGGGGCAACAGGGGCAACAGGGGCAACAGGGGCAACAGGGGCAACAGAGACAGCATGGGCAAGATCGAAGGATGTATTGGCTGCAACTGCACTGCAGTGGAACATGGTGGCAAGCAGTGGAACATGGAGGCAGGCCGTTGTCCGTTCACTGCCTGCTGACGACAGCCCACTCGATCAGACCAACGAGGCCGCCGACCAGGACAGCGCCGTAGCTCGGGAACTTGAGAAACCCGACGCTGAGGAACGAGAAGCCGACGATGGCAACGTAAAGCGGGAACTGCGAGATGCTCAGGGCGTTGTTGGCGTTGTTGACGTCGTTGACGGCCTTGGACCACAGCAGATAGACGGCCGCAAAGACCAGGCCGACGGCCGAGGCACCCATGCCGCGGAAGATCACCTGGATGTACTTTTTCTTCCGGAACTCGGTCCACAGCGGAATGATGGCCGACATGAGCAGCAGTCCAGGCAGGAAGATGCCGATGTGCGCCAGGATCGATCCCGCGATCGAGCCGCCCCAGCCGAGGGAACGCAGGGCAAGGCCGCCGAGGAAGGCAGAGAAGTTGAACTGGGGTCCTGGGTGGTCGGGGTGGCGGGTGGTCGGATGATGGGCAATTGTGATAGTTAATCATCGTGGTGGAAGCGCAATCCAGGCAATCGCCACATCATGTCGCCACAACATGGCGGGACTGTCGATGCCCGATTCCCACGACCAAAGCCGCCATCCAACACTGCCATCCACAGCTGCCATCCAACCCTGCCATCCACAGCTGCCATCCAATACTCTATCCGATGCTGCCATCCAATACTCTATCCAATGCTGCCATCCACCTCATCCAGACCACTCACCGGGAGCAGAGTTGATCAGCGCAAAGCCGATCAGGAACTCGCGATCCGTCAGCCACCCCACCGACACCGTATAGTCCTTGAGGAGCGGCACGACGACAGGGCCGCCGCCAAAGATGATCGAGCCCACAAAGTAGAATGTGCCAAAGATGTTGAGCGGGAGCGGGATGCCCGGGACGGTCTTGAGGACAATCGCGATGACCAGCAGGACCAGCCAGATACCCAGCACAGCCAGGCCGATCTTGGACGAGTACGAGAACTCGATGTGCTCGTCCTCTTCCTCGGCCCGATTCGAAGCAACCTCGGTGGCGATCTGGCTGGGACGGGCCTCTTCATCCGCCGGAGCCGCAGCTGCGCCGGTCTCGTCCTCGGCCACGGCCACGGCGGCAGGGGTGATGAAGGCCTTGGCCTCGCTCCTGCGGGCCCTCCAGGTGGTGTAGTAGTGCTCGAGATAGGTCACCAGTCCGCCAAAGATCATCAGCACAGGGAAGAGCCAGGCAGCGCTGTAGTTGATGGCGACGGCGGCCGAGATGAAGCCGAGGATCTGGGTGAGGGGATCGACGTTGATTTTGGTGCCGAGCTTGTAAGCAGCCAGGGCGGTGAGGCCGATGGCCGACGACGTCAAGCCGTTCTCGATCTTGAGAACCACGAGCGGCAGCTGCTCCGGCAGATACGAGACGCCAATGGCAGCGGCAGCCATGATCAAAGCGACGGGCAAGCTGTGGGGCGAGGTCGTTGGATGTGCGCCGTTGGATGTGGTCGTTGGATGTGGGTGATTGTCACGGCGATGCGATACGATACGATGCAGTGCAATGCAATGCAATGGTGCGAAAGTGGTGAGAAGCAGTGCATCGGAGACACCGATCGGCAGCGCTGTCGTTGTCCGGCTGGATGTGCTGCACTTGTGCCGTGGCTGCATCGTCGCTGCCGGTTTGATTGGGCACCCGCCAGGCTGATTGGATCTGTCCTCAGGCCATGCTCCAGATGCACCCCATGGCATGCTCCGGATGCATCCTCTCGCTGCCCTCCGCCATCAGATGCAGCATGCGGAGCCACACCGACATGCAAACCACACCCACATGCAAACCACACCGACATGCAAACCACACCCACATGCAAACCACACCGACATGCAAACGCACCCACATGCGATACTCACGTCCACATCAGGAACGACACGGCGCCGCCGACCGGGCCGGCATACAGCAGGGCGAATGCATATGCCATCTGCGTGCTGGCCGGGCCGGGGAGGGCCGATGCAATCGAGAAGAGCTCCGAGAAGACCTTGGGACTGACCCACTTGAACTTTTCGATAAAATAGTCGTGGAAGAGGGCAATGTGGGCCTGGGGGCCGCCGAAGGTGATGAAGCCCAGCGGAGCATATGCCCGGACGACCTCGCCCAGCTTGGAGTGCTTGCGTTGCTGGTTCTGGGCCATGGAGGAGATGTCCAAGGGAAGCGGATGGGCACCCGACGATGGCGGTGGGCGATGAGCGATCGATGGGCGATCGATGGCGACGGAAGCGGCTCTCAGCGGCGGTATTTGAGGCGACGGAAGAATCACCCAGCCGGCCTGTTTGTGGCGGTTCGTTGGCCCGACAATGCCAAATGCTCGACAAATGCGCGACAAATGCACTCGGTGCACGCGTTGGGCCAATCGCACGCGGGCCGAAACCGGGGCGAGTGGCGCACGTGCTGTCTGCCTTCCCGATCCGGCTGCTGACTACGCCCCCGTGAGCGCAGCAAAGCCGGGAGGGCTGGCCTGCCGATGGCGCCATCGGCCACGAGGCTCTGCCGATTCGATTCTGCCGACAATCAAGGCAGCCACGCCCCCATCAGATCCAGCATCTGCATCACCCCTGCAAACAGGGGTGAGGCCGAGATCCAGCACGCGGTGCGCCGATCCATGTGCAGGGCACATCCTGGGCGGCTTCCTCGGCGGCTGTGGGGTTTGGCTCGGAGATCCATCGCCTGGTGCGTGGTGGACAGGGCTCGTCGGAGACATCCACAACCCAGCACACCCGCTGCCTGGGCGGCTGACAGAGATCGAGACTGCAGCGACGCATCGCAGATATCCATTGCAGATATCCATCGCAACGCCAGACGACCATGACCCGCCAGAGAAGCCATGCCGCCAGCCCAGGCGGCTTCATGGCAGCTCTGTGGGCATCCGAGCCCAGCAGCGCCTCCGCTCGTCTCCTGGCGGCAAAACTGGCCGGCTTTCGTGGGAATCGCAGGCAGAGCCGCACCTGGCTGGCCACCAACAGCGTCTGTGCTTGTTCTATCGCAAACGTGGCAGCTCGATTCGCGTCCACGAGTTCCGATCCATCCCATTGGGACAGCCAACATGATCCCGTGGGATTCGCAGGCACGAAATGTCTTTCCGCCTTGCTGTTCCTTTCAGGTCGCGGACTGCTGGTGGAGCTCGCTTTCTTGGCATTCACCACATATAAAATCGCTCTCTCGCACCCTTCCCGACATCACATATTATCAGTTCTCCGATTTATCACCAGAATGAGCACCTCTTCCACAGATCTCAAGGTCATCGGCGCTGGCTTTGGCCGCACCGGCACCACATCCCTCAAGACCGCCCTCGGTATCCTTGGATTCCCTTGCTATCATATGAGGGAGGTTATCAAGAACCAAGACTCGCAGAACTGGATCGATGCCAAGCTGGGTAAGTCTGTCTGTTTCCGAGCGTGCAGTCCCGAGCGCTATCCCATCGGTGCCTTCTCCCAGGCGCTTCGGTGTCCACCACTCGCTTGAAGGAAACACCCTGCACTCCCTGAATCTTGAGCGGACCATCCTGTCCTTTCCTGACCTCTCGTGTCTTTCCTGGCCTCTCCTGATCCATCCAACCTTCCATTTCCCAACTCCCGCAATAACCCTGCGCTCGTTCCCCGTCGCCCCCAGGCAAGCCTGACTGGGACCGCATCTTTGACGGATACACCGCAACCGTCGACCATCCCTCCACCGACTTTTACAAAGACCTCATGGTCAGATATCCAGATGCCAAGATCATCTTGACCGTTCGCGACCCTGAAAAGTGGTACAAGTCGGCCTCCGACACCATCTTTGCCATCCCTACACCTCCATTCTACTTCCACCTGTTTCCATTCTGCTATTTGCCCGGTATCTCGACCATGATCAAGTTTGATCGGATGCTCAATGTTGTGATATACGCTCCCAATGCCACCTTCAAGGGTGCGCATAAAGACAAGGAGGCCATCAAGCGTGTCTTCAGCGAGCACATCGAGTCCGTCAAGCAGCACGTTCCTCCGTCCAAGCTGCTTGTCTTTTCCGTTTCGGAAGGATGGGAGCCACTCTGCAAGTTCCTTGAAGTCCCTGTTCCGAATGTCCCCTTCCCGCGAGTCAACGACACAGCCGAGTTCAACCATCACGTCCAGTTTCGAGTCCGACTGATCAGAAATGTCAACTTTGTCATGGGTTCAACCACGATTGCACTCCTGGCTTATGCTGGTTACTATGTCTGGAAGCAGTATGCCTGAATGCTCGTGCAAACCTGAGGGATTGGCAGCCGGGTGCTGTCTGGTTTGAGGGTCCTGGCAAACGTAATAGTGTCTAGTGCAGTCGCTGGTTGTGCGGCGACTGGTGGTGCAGACCCCGAGTTGTTTGAGCCTTGGCCCCAGACCCTGTCCCCACTCCCCTGCCCCAGCTGTGGCAATATATCGATGTATTGATGTCCAATGCAGTCCAATCTAATCCAATGCAGTGCGTCTGGGAGGCCGTCGAATTGTCCTGACACAGCCTGGCCCGGCTGGCGCTGGCCGATCCGATCCAATCCAATCCAATCGAATCAAGCGAGGTGGTGGACCCAACCAGACCCAGCCTGTGTTGCCGCACGATCAAGCACCTGGACATGCGGTTGTGTCATCAAGGAAGCCCACAAGACCAGGCTGCCGATCCGCTGGAATCTGCGCTGAGCTGTGCAGAGCCATGCGCCATTGCGGAACAATGTCCACAGTCGCGGGAGCATCAAAGCCGAGCGCACAAAGAGCCCGTCGGCCCGGGCCACTCGTTGGCTATCGAAGAATGTTTTGGGCCGTTGGGACGTCAATCAGCAGGTCGTTCTGGTCAATGGCGTTGTTCGCCACGCCGTTCTGATATGCCTGCTGCACTTGCTGGGCCAGTCGGGCGGTGGCGTCGTCGTAGAGCGGACAGGGACCTGGACATGGAGCGGTTTAGCATGGGGTGAATCGTGATGTGGTGGGAGGATCCTGGTGCGTGGAAGGATCGTGATGGTGGAAGGATTGTGGTGCAATGCGAGGGACTGGAAGCAGACTCACCGCCGTTATTGTTGAAGTGGCTGTAGTTTTGGATAGCCTGTCGACAAACATAGCAAATGACTGCAAAGCCGCAGCGGCGGTCAGTTGGATGCAAGGGGGTTTGTTCATGTCCCGTGTACCAGTCCAGGCGCACTCCTGTTGCTCCTGTTGCTCCTGTTGCTCCTGTTGCTCCTGTTGCTCCTGTTGCTCCTGTTGCTCCTGTTGCTCAGCATGCCATGGACCGCAGCTCATCCCACAGACCCTCGGCGATACTCACATTGGCCGCACACACAGGTGATTTTGTTGCACTGGATCGTCGAGAAACACAAAGCCAGGGTGAGAACCAAACAATGCTGCCCATCCAGTCAGGCAGAACACCCACACTTCCCTTTGAGACTCAGAGACATACCCCGTCTTCCTTGATGATCTTCTGGCGACACTTTGGGCACGTCAGGAACAGTGCCTCGGACATGTCCTCCTCGATCTTGTGCTGCACGTTGAGGTTATCTTCTTTCTGGAGATCTGTGAGCCGGTGCCATCGGGCAAGTGAGTGCATCGCCCTCGTGGGTTCAATATGAGGCCAGCTTGAGGCCAGCATGGGCCAACTTGCGCTCGGCACAGGCTCGACATGGCTGGCGTCACTGTGGCATCGTTGTAACTTGCCGCTGGGCGATCGTCCGCCAAATGCACACCACTCAGGCTCCCCGAATCAACAGCCATACCGTCGCATTTGCGTGGAGAGTGGTTTTCCTTCTTGCACCGCCGACACGACACCACTGCACATTCGGGATTCTGGCAGTGAAACAAGGGTTCGTCCTCAAGAGGCGCCAGGATCTCAGCGCCGTAGTTGCAGAAGGGGCACTCGACGAAATCCGTCAGCTTCGCCCGAAAATCGTGAACAGGGACAGCGGTTTGCAAGATCAGCGACGGCCAGGTGGCGAGGACATGCGAGGACATGCGAGGACAGGACATGGCGAGAACAGGACCTGTCTCCGAGCACGATTTGCAGGACAGCCAAGCAGCAGAATAGCCGGACAGCCGACAGCCGACTTACAATGCCGATTCCTTCCGCCAGACGGAGTCTCATGAGTGCATCAAACGAGGGTTCGGGAAGCAGTTGGCGGAGTTCTCGTTCGTGGAATGCGTATCCGCACGGATCGGTGTTCATGCACTTGACCACCGATCTGCCTGTGTGCCATCAGAATGCAGATCGAGTCGACATGGCGCACAGGTCAGCGCTTGTCCACCAGCCCTTGCACCAATCGATGTCCTCTGGCTGTACTGCGTCCCAGGTTGCCCTCCGTCCCAGGACAACTGCTTGCGACTTACGCATGCCGATTGCCTCCTCTGCGGCTCGACGGACACAGTCCGCGCAGAACAGATGGCCCTCTTCGCACGGAACCGTCTGTGGAGTGCAAAGTGTCAGGATCGTCAGGTGCCTGGGCAGTCGGATCGGCTTTGCTGATGGATCGGCATCATGGCGCCACACCCAGCCCGACAAGAGCGTTGGCACAGCGCACCTGGTCCATCGGGACAGTGTTGTAGCAGCATCCGCATTCGTGTTCTGGATTGGGCTCGGGCTCGGGCTCCGTCACTGTCAAGTTGCATCGAGAGAGGATGGCAGAGCGAGGAGTCAGGGGATGGTCGACTCGCGCCGTGGTGCCGTTGGCGGAATGCCTTTGGAGGCCATGCCGCGATCACTCTCATGGCGTCGGCTGGATCAATGTGGACGGCAGCGCAGCGTGATTGCACATGTTGCTCTGTTGGGCTCTGTCGTGAGAAGTACATACGGGGGGAGTCCGGTCTGGTCGGATTGTCGGGACGAGACAGTCCGAAGGAGTTGTTAATTGAACCAGGCAATGAAATGCCGAGCGACGAGGAAGGGACCTCAACGGGAGGCGAATCTTGTGACTTACGGAAGAACCTCTTGTCGACTCTGAACGGCCTCTAAGAGAGTCGCTGCTATATCGACATTGCCGTTGCAATCCTCCAAGATCTGAGCGACCATCTCCGGGTGAACTTCGGGATATATTCCCAATAGGAATGCAGTTTTGTGTTGATCATCAAGATCCTGTCCGTCATAGTTGTCATGGTTGTTGTGTTCTGGTGGCGGAGCAGGTTGTTCTCGCTGCTGTGTTTGCCGTCGAACGTTGGCTCTGACGGGGACGTCTTCGAGCATGACCATGCCGAAGGCATCGATAGCGGACCTGCGGGCGGCCATGTTCTTGGTATCCTGGAGCAGCAGTGGCGATAGGAATCGGTGCTCGTCAGCGTTGCGAAAACGCTCGTTGCTGGTGGTCCAGCCCAGCCCGACGAGGCAAAGCGGCTCAGCCCCCCACACAGTCCAGCAGATGCGAGCGGTCTGCCGTATTGGTTTACCTTGGAGCTCCGTTGCTGGCGGTGCTGGTGCTGGTGCTGGTGGTGCTGGGTTCGGGGACCGAGATGGAGTTGCAGGAGCGGACGAGAGGAGAGCAACCCAGACGGCGGTGGGAGATGAAACCCGCAGGAGCGAAATCGGCATTTTGTGCGCCCGCCGTGCCACCCGTGTGTGTGTGTGTCCTTGTCCCTCGGGCGGCGGTGTGGCGGTGAGCCTCTGTGGTTGGCCGACGACTGATACCCGAAACATGGGGATGGTTTGTGGGGACAGTTTGGATTGAAGGATATCGATCGGCTGGGGCTGCTGTGATGGACTCGGCTGAGAAAATGCGATTAATCTCTTTGCTCTGCGCCTTTCTCCCTCATCCAGGCGTGTCATCTTGCTCTGAGCTGCAGCGACACCATCTGCATCGACTCGCTGGTCCTCCTCGTATCCGCTCACCCCATGCATCTCATCATACAAGCCCCCCCCCAGGGCGATGACTTGTCCTACTTGGCCGCTGTTGGCCGAGTGTGTGATTTTATACCGCTGCGGTGTGTTTTTGTCCGAGAGAATTCGGGTGTCTCGCTATTTTCAACACCCTGCATCCACATCCATGTCGCTGGTTGTGTGTTCTAGATTTGGCTTTCGCCGCAGGATGCATTGAACATGATTAATCCGGCCAATTTCTTCGCCGCCACCGTTCATCACTCCATGTTTCCTCCTCTCTCGCAGAGTCAGAATCCACACCGACCCACTGGTCTGGCCGCCCTCCGCGGATTCGTACTTTCTGCTTGCGCAGGATGCTTGATTGGACCAGGATCCATCGCATTCCCGGTTCGCCCGGCTGTGCTACAATGTTGTATACAATAAATCGCTCATATAACCTCAACAGCATCATCTGTGTCCAGGAGGATTACCGTTCGCGGTGAGTGCAGAAAAACGGTGGTCGGCAAGCGAACGATGAACCACCCTCCATTCAGTTATTCCGTCGATGAAGCCGCACAATGGATGATCCATTCATGTTGGTCTGGCATGTGTCTAGACTGACGACTTTCGCCACGAAAATGATCAAGAGCCGTATATTCATTCAATTTCACCGATCCGAACGCAGTTGCGCTCGATTTGGCCCAGGTTCTTGGCAAGGTGCTGATGCTTCCTAAGCCAGGTTGATCCCATCTCCAAACTTTCCAAGACCACTTGCTGCGGCAGCGAGCAAACTGTGATGGTGCCATGGGAATCAGGCTTGCTCGAGGGGGTACTTCTTCAAGATATAGTTGAAGAGCGTGAGGATCTTGCCGCGATCTCCCGACACGAGGTCTGAATGAGAGTCAGGTGTAATGTGTAAGTAACTTGAATCATCACCCGTCATCAACGCAATCTCATTCGCCGATCGCGCGGGCATTTGGTTACCTTGGGGAGTCAGGAACGAGGTCGGAACATGGCGATCGCCCAGGAATTTGAGGGCAACCGCGATGTTGTCAATCTTTTGAGTGGGAATGCGGACCATCTTGTTGTATCGACCAACGCTCTCGCCAGTGGCAGCCTGTGTGGATGCCGAGCCCAGTTAGTTGCGATGGCGGTGCACAGCTCTCGCGAATGCGCTAGCTTTACCTGGAGAGCATGAATCAAGTTGAGGCCATCACCAAGCGAGCTATACAGATCATCAATGTGCACGCTTTGGCTGGAGAGATGGTGGTTGAGCCAATCGATGGCATGCTGCATGAAGTAGATCTGTGTTAGCATTCCAGTTGCGGGGATTACGATCGTCATTGATAGCCGAGATCAACACCGAAACGCATCATCCTCACCTTCTCAATAGCTTTGTCATCGCCGCTCGAGCTGTTTTCCTTCTTCTTGATCACCTGGGATAATGATGGAACGACTACGTTTAGGTGGTGTTCAACCTGCCGATGCGTATCCGAGGGAGCCTACCAAAGGAGGACCCGTTGGGGTGTACAGTTGCTCCTACATTATGCCGAAACGATCGGTATTAGTTACATACAGATATGGCGACAGTGCTTGCACCGCAGATATACGTACCACTACTTTGGGAGGTCGGTACTTGATTTCCTCCTGATGGGTTCGTCAATTGTCAACGATAGGTTAGAACACCAGCCATTGTGACCAACCGCGGGTGAAGGTCCATCATGCAGCTCAACACTCGTCATCTCACATGTTCTGCAGGCTCATCATGGCTCTGTGCTGTGTCGACTTCGATAGGCTGTGGAACTCGAGGCTGGGCGATTCGATGCAAAGTGTCAGCATTCTATGTCACCAGCAACATGAATTATGCTCGAGTGCAAAGGCCTCACCTTGGCCAATTCGACATCAACTTTCGACTCTCCTTCAACAGGGGAGGGAGCCGAGGCAAAGACTGGCTTCGGCGGGCGAGGAGGAGCGGCCTTAAGGGCGGCCGCCAAAGAGGAGATGGCGCTGTTCGAACCATGTGCACCGAAGATTTTCTTGGGCCTGGCTGGCAGTGGAACAGGCTCAGGGGTGGGTTCGACGCCCGAGTCCACCTCACCAGATGCCTCGTTATGGTCCTCTGTTTGGATCGCCTCGCTCGTCTCGTCCTTAGTGGCTACGGATTCATCATGGGCCAAGGGCGACTCTGGTGCCTCTGACGGGCGCAAAGGAGATGCTGGGCTTTCAGGAGCCGTTTCCGCCTCGGCGTTGAATACGGTATGAGGCCGTCGGGGAGGCACTGGTCTCGGCGGCAGTGCTGTTTCTTGAGCGATGGTTTTTGGCCTTTCTGTCAAGCTTGGACGACTTGCTCGGGGCAAGACGGGAGGCGGCGCCGCAGCCGAATCAGTATCCAAGCCATGGTCGTAGCTCCGCGAGAGTCGTGCGGCAGGCGAGGGTTCGATCGGTGGGGGGTGATCGGCGATGTTAGTCGAGTTGACCGAGTGAACGCTTTGAGGACGGGAGGGAGGGAGGGGTCTGTTTGGGCGGGGCACCGGTGCGGGGGTCTCGCTACTGCCCGAGTCCTCGTAAACCTGAGTTTCCGATGGAGCTGAAGCTTCGGCACTTTGTCCAACATGAGCGCGATGAACCAAGTGTGATTTTCCGCCAAGGGGCCCACTCTTCATGGCATTTGCCAACGCCGCTAAGGCGGCTGTCGGCTGAACTTTCTTGACTTGTGGAGCTTCGTCGACGGGATGTTCCTCGGCACTGGCATCATGCTCTTGGTCGATATGAGACTCGGGTGCCCCATCGTGCGACTGCTCGTTGCTATCCGGCTCATGCGAATCGGCAGGACCGCTGGCCTCGCCCGTGTGGCTGCGAAGCAAGTCATCCGAGAGGACCGAGGATACGCCTGCAGACTTGCGGCGAGGAGGAGGCACTGGCGGAGCGGAGGCTTGGCTTGGCGGAGCGGCTTGAATGGGAGAATCGATGGACTTGTCATCGTGAGACGCAACTGCAGGTCCTGCCGGCTCAGCAGGGGCAGGATTCGGATGGTGATCGTCAGAGGCCGCATCTAGAGGTTCTTCGCGGGCTGTGACTCCATAATCGGCCGCGGCATTTGGAGTCTGCGAGAGAATGTTCGTGTGAGATGACAACCCATCCGAGGTGCAAGCCAGAGCTATCTGTACCAACCTCGGAGGACGTGCTTGCTGCGCTGGGCTTTTTAGTCGGCTTCTTTGGTCTGTCTTTGTTGAAAGAGGTCAGGAACTTGGCAAATCCCTTTTTCTCCTTATCTTTATCCACAGCATGCTCAGCCACGACAGGCTTGGGCAGAGTAGCACCGACAGGGGCCACTGAAGAGGCAGCCGGCTGTGCGGCTGGTTGAGAGGTTGGTTGCGGTGAAGGAGAAGGCAGGGAGACGGAGACTGCCGTTGGAGCCGGAGACAGCTGAGCGGCAGGTGAAGGGCTAACTTCAAGCTGGGAAGCTTTGTCGGGCCCGGCAGAGTCCTGTCCGTGCGTCACATCAGCGGGCTGGACAATGGCGCTGGAAACAGGCTCGGCAGCATCCTGCAGCCGAAAACGAAGCCGAGGATCAAAAAATCAGTCACTACTAGCATGAGGACAGGCCAGTCGACACTCGCTACGATGGAGGTCGAACCCACCTGGATAGGTTCCTGGGATGGATTTCCAGCCGGATCCTGAACTTGTTCTGTTTCATCGGGGAGGATCGCAGGCTGGTCTCGTTCGGTATGTCGTCGGGGAGGAGGGGCAGGGCGAGGACCGACCGCCAGCATGCGGTTAAGATCGGAAAGCAAGCTGGACTTGGGATCGCCCGGTGGCTGCACCTTGGCTGGCTCCACACCGTCTTGAGTTCGAGTTTGCTGAGAGTCAGTTTCGTCGTCGACGGAAGATGTGGCGGCAGCGGCTGGTTTCTGGGGCGACTTGGGCCGCACAGGAACCGACGGAGGTGGCCCGGCAGTTGGCTGTCGCTGAAGAGCAGCAGGCGCAGGAGCCGAGGGCTTCGGCTGTGGGCTGGGAGCTTGCTTTGTCCGGCTTGCTTCGATATGCTCCCGCAACTGGGCCTCGGTGTTACGAACAACGGAGACGAGCGCCTCCTCGGCGACGGTGCTGACTGAGCTGAGCATCGCACCGTACATATCACCCAAGAGCCCAAGAAGGCGGGTTTGGACAAACTCCTGGATGGCGCCCTCGAGCTCAGAACCGAGCTCGTATTTGTTTGTGATGCCCTTGAACTCGTCTCGGCATCTCTGAACGTTCTCTGGGCCGGTACTTTCATTGCTTACGAGCGCAGGATTGAGTTCGTCGAGCAAGACATTGCCAAGCTTCTCGAGCTCACGGGTCAGGGCCGTCTGCGCTCGGGTAGCAAAGTCATGGGAAAGAACAGAGAGGGCCTTGGGAACCTTGTCCTGCAGAACGACATCAGACTGTTCAAGCAGGTCGCTATGAGTTATTTCGAAGGACTTGATAAGGTTGATAGTATTGTGGACTGAGGTGGACAGCTCGTCAATCGACTCCTCGGAAGGGTTCAGGGAGGCATAGTCATCCAAGAGTGAGGGCAGATGCTCCAAGGCAGTCTTAAGCTGAGGCTCTGGCTGAGCTGCAACGCTTCGCGGGGGTGGGGCAGGCGGCATCTGAGTAAGTGTTGATTGCTTGAGTGGGGGGCAAGTCTCTCACCGGCGGTGCTGGATGGGCAAAGGCGGCCTTGAGGGACAGGACAGAGGCCGACGAAACGGCAGGGGAAGGACAGGGTGGCGGCTGCGGGATCGACGCGGGCTTGCGTCAGCCCGGCGGCTCGAACCAAGCAGCCAGCCGAGCGCCACAGAGGCTGTTGGGTGGGCGGCGGCCTTGGCCTCGATCAGGGCAGATGCGGCTCGTTGCGATCGAAGGAAGCGTCAGCCGGCGACACGACAGCGATGGGCAGATCTGACAAGCGGGGCAAGGCCCGGGGAGGCGACGGCGGCAGACAGATCCATGTCGAGAACAGAGATGCCTTCCAGCGGATGAACTTTCTGCACCAGGCGGCATGCTATCTGGGATCTCGCAGACACCAAGCGGACCAGAAGGACGGCGCGATAGCGGCCGGGGTGCCGCTGGCATCATACTACAACCACGCAATGAAGCGCATCTGTCGTAAACTCGTTGTCCGTCTGTAGGTGTTCGGAGGGATGCAGTGCATATGAATGCAGTAGAGAGCTACCTCCTAACCATGTCGATCCACAGCGATCCGAGCGTGAAGCGACAGATCTGCAAGCAGTGCCATGCGCCATTGATTCCGACTTTGACATCCGATATCGAGTTGAAGAGTAAGCATCGGAAAGGATGCAGCTGAGCATTGTCAGCACATTGCCATACCAACAAGGAAGGCATGAGCGAGAAAGCTCGACGATAACATGTGAGGCAATGACACTGGTCCGAATAACTGACACACATTATTCGCTGACGCCCAAAGAGGAGCCACTTCGAATCGTTACGACATGCGGCAGATGCAAAACAACAAAGTCGCTGCCAGCGAAGGGTCGAAATCCAGTCCTTTTTTACGACAAGAGCACGATCGGGCTGGACGATACCGATTGGCCGTCAGCAAAGGATCCGCGTGAGGAAGACAGCCTTGACCCGAACAATACGAGCGCGACTGAAAGAATTGAGGGGCAACAGAAGCCAGATTCCACCCCGAGAGATGTAATTCAGGCAAGAGATGTGGAAGGCGAACCACCCGTTGATCCAACAGACGAAGCGACAGACGAAGCGACAGAGAAATCGACAGACGAAATAAACTCGCAATGATCAGATCGATCAGATCGATCCAGCGAGAGGGGGGGGCGAGAGGACAGGAGGGGAGCTGGTGCGGCACGAGTATGGCAAAGATGCGGCATGGGCATGAGCATGAGTATGGCCAACGGTGCAAATGCAGAAGCGAGCGAACCACCTTGGAGGTTGTTGGATACCAGCACACCCATGAGACATCATTCTCTGGGATGGAGAGCAGAGAGCGGTGTCGATAACGACCAACGACCAACGACCAACGACCAACGACCAACGACCAACGACCAACGACCAACGACCAACGACCAACGACCAACGACCAACGACCAACGACCAACGACCAACGACCAACGACCAACGACCAACGACCAACGACCAACGACCAACGACCAACGACCAACGACCAACGACCAACGACCAACCAGCAGTATCCAACAAGAACCGACACACTTGGACTTGCACACATGCGCATGGTTGGCTTACGATGATGCTTATGTATTTACAGGATCAATATCTGCCGCTCCATTCACCGCTTGGAGCATCACCACTCAGCGCAATACACACGTTGCATCTGCTCATCGATCACGTCTCGATGTCTGTGCTCATATGCTCGTGCTGTCTTTGCAGAGGGGGTTTGTCAGCCGCGTCAAGACTATGGTGCTCGTACACTGCCATCAGGTTGATTCCTCGTGGGGACAGGTGTTCATACAACACCAAACCATCATGGCAAGCAACGATCTAGACCAGCATCGTTCGGTGGTATTGCCGATGCCAGCGACAGTGACAGTGCCAGTGCCAGTGCCAGTGACTCGGATGCAATGCCTTGACCAATCCGTCGGGGACGAGCCAGGGAGGGAAGACCAATGCCAGATCGCAGTTCGAGACAAGCAAGCAGTAGCGAGTGTCGTTGAGGCAGAGGAGGATGAAGCCAAAGTGGGAGGGGGGAAACGGTGTATCTGGAGAAGACCGAGGGGGGGGACAGCGGGGGTGAAGCAAGACATGCGGTAAAAAAAAATCAAGTGAAGCCGGGGGTGAGGCGTGGCAAAGGAAGACAAGGCAAGGCAGGGTGAGGCGAGGCGATACACCAAGCTGCCAGGGAACGAGGGATATGGAGGTAAGGTTCAAGTGACAATGGAGCGGAAGCGAGAAGATGACCACAAATACAAGGAGAGCGGTGCCAAATGGAACCAGGAGGAAAAGAAACAGAGAAAAGTGCCAGACCAAAGTAAAGGCACCAAAACTTTTGACGGCCTTGCAGAAGGATCGACCGACTGCTGTATCAGGCAATATCGCAGCATCCGGAGGGCCTGTTTCGCCAGGATCTGCCGCCACATACACATGGCAAACAGCTTAGCCGCCAAAGCCGTAGAGGGTGCGGCCCTGGCGCTTGAGGGCATAGACGACATCGAGCGACGTGACGGTCTTGCGCTTGGCGTGCTCGGTGTAGGTAACAGCGTCGCGGATAACGTTCTCGAGGAAGGACTTGAGGACGCTGCGGGTCTCTTCATAGATCAGGCCAGAGATACGCTTGACACCGCCTCTGCGAGCCAGGCGGCGAATGGCGGGCTTGGTGATGCCCTGGATGTTGTCGCGAAGGATCTTGCGGTGGCGCTTGGCACCTCCCTTACCAAGACCCTTTCCACCCTTGCCGCGGCCGGTCATGTTTTCGATGGGTTAAAGACGTTCAAGTGGCGTGGAGATTTCTTGTGCAAGCGATCTGCTTCGTTGATCAAGCAGATGGGTCAGCGCTTCGGGTCGAACGGAGTGTACGGTCCTGATCGCTGGGATGCTGGGGTGCTGTGGCGGCTTGGGCGGCGGCTGCCGCGAGGTATTTATACTCGGTTCACCGGCCACGCCCGATGATGATAGGCTGGCGCCCCACCAATCATCTGGCGTGGCTTGGCATCCTGGCTCTCCGCGCCAGCAAGGCCCTCTCCCGCGCGGCCGCTGGCGTGCCTGGCCACTCAGCGGTGAAACCGGGCGGCCTCAGCAGAGTCACACAGGTCACACCGCGCGGCAGTATAAATGCCAGGGCCCGCCCGCTTCCTGGCGGGATAAAACCAACCTCGCTGCCCTGTGTCCTTGCCGCCCCAACCAGCCCGAGCTCGACACCTCCATTATAATTTGCTACCCAACCAGTCAAGTAGCCCAGTCGTAACCATGGCCCGCACCAAGCAAACCGCCCGCAAGTCCACCGGTGGCAAGGCTCCCCGCAAGCAGCTCGCCACCAAGGCCGCCCGCAAGTCCGCCCCTGCCACTGGTGGTGTCAAGAAGCCCCATCGTTACCGCCCCGGCACCGTCGCTCTCCGTGAGATCCGTCGCTACCAGAAGAGCACCGAGCTCCTGATCCGCAAGCTGCCCTTCCAGCGTCTTGTTCGTGAAATCGCCCAGGACTTCAAGACCGATCTCCGCTTCCAGTCGTCCGCCATTGGTGCCCTCCAGGAAGCCTCTGAGGCTTACCTCGTTGGTCTCTTTGAGGACACCAACCTTGCCGCTATCCATGCCAAGCGTGTCACCATCCAGCCCAAGGACATCCAGCTGGCTCGTCGCCTCCGTGGCGAACGCTCTTAAGCGTCAAACATGGCTGCAGGCGGTAGCATGGACACACGCATGTCAGGGATGGCATTGACGGAACAGTACAATAGTACACCACAGCGGACAAACAACCATACGGCGACAGTCCAAAAGCACCATTACAAGGATCGAGAGCAAGCAAGACAGCACAAACACAAACACAAGATAAAGTCTAGCAAAGCAGATCGACGAGATTCCAAGATGATACCAAAATTGCCACACTTTCATTCTTCGACGGCACTGGTCGACCGCCGCGCCAATTATGGCGCTGGAACACGCCCCTGTGCATCCTTTCTATTTCAGTTCGCTCCGTGGTCCTGTCCCGATGTGATCTTGGCCTGACCGGCACTGGATGCTCAACAATTGTTGGAGACTTGAGGGGGGGGGCTCGCTGCCCCAGCAGTTGCCTCCAAGATGGATCGTTTACCGTTTGCCGTTTGCCGTTTGTTCCTCTCTCGCTTTCCTTGATGCTCCGGCCAGCCGATCTCAGGCATCGTTCTCTTGTACATACCGTGGCGCACACCAGCAATCATCGCATTTGTCTCTAATACACAATCATGTGTCTTTCGACACAGCTGAAGCTGAAGCTGAATGGCCAAATTGTGCTGGTGTGCTGGTGTGCTGGTGTGCTGGTGTGCTGGTGTGCTGGTGTGCTGGTGTGCTGGTGTGTTGGTGTGCTGGTGTGTTGGTGTGCTGGTGATTTGCGGTGCAACGGACTTGGCGCCCGTCGCATCCCAAGTCAGTCGCACCCCCAAGATCGCAGTTTGGGCTGCACAAGTCAAGCAGAGCGCGTGATTAGAGTGCGATATGCATCAGTGCACTCAAGAACCCGCAAAGGGTCTGTATCCCAGTCGGAGAGGGGGACTTGACCAACATGTCCATTGCCCCCCAGGAATCGCTGTCAATCTCAATTGCTCTGCAGTTCGACCATGGCTCTGTGTTTGTGCGATTCGGTTCGTTCCGGCCGTGTGCGGCAGACGGCTCGGCCATCAGGCTGCTGGGCTGTTGAGTTGGGCTGGACTGGACTGGACTGTTGGTCTGGGCTGGACTGGGCTGGACTGTTGAGTTGGGCTATTGAGTTGGGCTGTTGAGCTGCGACAAGCAGTTCGCGCTTTGGTCTGCTCGATCCCAGCATCTGCCCCGATCTGTCTGGATCTGCCCCGATCTGCCTCGATCTGCCTCGATCTGGATCTGTCGGGCCCTCCCCCATTCACTTCCCCCATTCACTTCCCCCATTCACTTCCCCCCTCAACTCGCTGCCTTCTTCTGCTCTTGTCTCCCTTCCACCACCGGTTTCCCCCGCCCATCCGCCGATGCGTGCTTTCTCGGCAGCCAACCCGCGCTGCAGTCACCATCCACATTCGTCCCACCGCGTCCTTTCCCCGCCGCTCGAGCGAGTCTTCGCCAATCTCGCCTCATGTGCCTTCCATGCTCTGACACCATCTGCATCAACCCTCGTCGTTGCGCAATCCGACAAGGCGCGCGGATGCCGTGCCGGGGAGTTCCTGCTGTCCCGTGCCTGTTTTCCCGGGGTTCAGGCTTCCTGTCCTTGTGTGCGCGTGGATCCCTCCTATTTTTTTTTCTTGCTCCAATGACTCAGCGGCCGCACGCCCCTGCCACTGCTCTTGTTTGCATGTGGGCTGGTGGGCCTCCCCCAAATATATGGCCGCGATGTCGACCATCCTCCGCGCTTCGACAGCCTCCCCCCTCTCACCTCCGAAATGGACAGTCACCCGGAAGACGCTGCCGAGCAGGCAGCAGCACATCCGTCTCAGACAGGGAACCTCATCGATTCATCTCAAGATATCATCGAAACCGTCCAGGCTGATGGGACCATCGTCCAGCAGGTTCACCACCATCACACCGTGAATCGCTATGTTAATCGCTATGTCATCTTCAATCGCTACATCTGTCGGAGTCGATGGTATGCGTCGGTCCGCCGCAAGCCCAAATCTAAGAGTGTCGATGAGCACCTCCAGTCCTTTCCGAGTGCATCTAAACGCCAGAGCCGCCTTGCGTCCACCAAGACAATCTCGGACAGTCGGGCCACATCGTTCAGTCGGGCCACATCGTTCAGCCGGAACCCCACCCTGCAAGGTGTGCTGTTTGATGCATCTCTTTGTTGGCACTTCGCTCACATTATGCGTCATCAAACACTCGTTGTTCGACGTCTGTATCGACTGAATCCTCGTATGATGCTGCATAGATGCCCCGGCTACTCTTTCGGATCGCCCGTACATCTTTCAGACGCCCAACGTCAGCAGCACCGCAATCGGAATCGTGGATGATCCCGACCGGTTTGAAAAGCAAGACCTTGTTGTCCGTCTCGGTAAGATCCCGTGTCCACCGTCCTCCCCCGGCCTTTGGTCATGGTGTGAGATTGCGGCGACAGCTTGGTTGGCAGAGCTCTATATACCTGCTTCATCAACGCCGTGGCTATCAATGTTTGGCAAGGTCCGTTCACCGCACATAACAGTCGACTCTAATGCCCCACTGCACCCGCATATATAGGCAAGGCCCTCTATCGATACGGCGCAACCAGCTTCCGAACCGAACTCCATCTCCGCTATATATCCAGGCTTCTTCACCTCCCCGCCGACTACGCGGCATTGCCGAGTCTTATCATGGTTTCGTTCGGCCTGCCCCACGTCACAACGCTGTCCACAGAGACTTTTCTGAACTTTGCGCCCCAAGGATACGACATGGGCAAGCTTTCCGCGGTCACCCGACTCAGCGAATCCATGTGCACCAAGATCCAGGAGTGCTATGCTGGCCCTGAGCCGTCGTCAGTCAAGCCCATCCTTGTCGAAACCATCCAGGAGCTCGACCACATCATGTCCTCTCGTGGGATGTGGGATCGTGACTGGATCCAAGCGTTCACATTCGCCCTTGCCGGCGGAGCTGTCGTCGTACTGGCCTTCAAGGGTACTTGGATCGACTCGATGGTCAGCTTCTTCTTTGGCTGGGTCGTGGGATGCATCTGCGTCTACGGCCCCAGACTGTTTCCGAACTACACCTACCTGAGCGACCTTGTGGCCGCTTGTCTGGTCACTTTACTCATCCGCGTGGTGCAGACCCTCATTCCCAACGTATGCTTCAATTTCGTGCCGATATTCCTGTCATCGATGATCGTGCAGCTCCCAGGGCTTCCATTCACCATTGGTGTCCTGGAACTTGCATCTCAGAGTCTGGTCTCCGGAACCGTGCGGCTCGTCTATTCGCTGCTCACGGCCTTGCTGATGGCCGCCGGTGTCGTCATGGGATCGGCTATTCCTGGCCTGGCCGACTTTTTCGACACCACGGGGCACACCAACAATGCCCACCAAAGCTGTGTCATGCCCACCACTCCCACGAGTCTGTGGTGGGTGCTGCTGATGCTCCCGATCGGAATACTCTCAATCAATGTCACCTTCAAGGCCGCCATGCGCGACTGGCCAGTGATGTTTGCCATTTCGTCGTGCGGCATGGGTACCTACCTGCTCTGCACCACGCTTGGTCAGCTGCAGAATGCACCTTCCACCGCCATCGCTGCGTTTGTCATCGGGGTCCTCGGCAATCTCTACAGTCGATTCGGCGGTGGTCTGGCCACTGTCCCGATCATTACAGCAATCCTCATTCTCGTGCCGGGCTCGGTCGGCGTCCGTGGGTCCCTCCAAATTATGCTGGCGACCGACATTGGCAGCGCCTCTGCTGTCCTCAACATGTTCCTGGTTTCTGTGTGGTTGACGATCGGGCTTTGCTTCTCGACCGTCCTCGTATACCCTTCGACAAAACGCTTTGTCGATCGCCGAGATCTGTTCCGGGGCTTTTAAGATCGGCCCAGAGTTTGCAAACTGTAGGCCACTTGACATGCCCATCATCCCCGATTCTCAGCCTGATTTGTTGTCTGCCGGCCTTATCGTATGGCCAGTGCCTCATTGTATCTACTCCACATTGCTGCGATTGCATTCAGCTTGAACTGGCTGCAGAAGGACAAGCCATCCACAGCATGCTCTACCTCATTCCCCACTTTGGCATGTTACCTTCTATGTTTGAACTGCCACCTATGGAATCTCTCGATACTTACCATAATAAGTGTGAATCGCCTT